GTGTTTTTTCGGGGCGGTTTATTGGGTTTTTGGTCTGTTGGCATTGTATTTTTGGGTGTGTGGTTATTTATTTCATTCCCTCAAAATATCTGTTTAATTTTAATGGGGGTTTTTTGGGTGTTCCCCCCCCCCCCCCCCCCGATACGAACTCCCGGACTCGCATCGCTCCGCTTCGTCACAATGCTAAAAGCGGGGATTACAGGATTGTCCTCTTCATCCTGCAGCTGGGCTACATCGGGCACCTCTTCTCGAGCAAGCTGGAGCGCGTCAACCCGGCCTGCGCCGTGGGGTCGCACTTCATCGCCAACAACCTGCTGCACTTCGCCTTCGTCATGCTCTTTGTGCGCTCCTACTTCGCCTGGGCCGAGGTGGTGCTGGTCGCCAACTTCTTCAACCTGTCGTCGCTCTACTTCCGCCACAACGCCTACCCGCGCGCCATCCACTTCCCGGCCGTCTCGGGCCCGCTGGCCTGGACCTTCGTCGCCATCTACTGGAACGGCGCCATCATGGTGCCTCACCACCACAGCCTCGTCGCGCGCGTCTTTGCAAACATCTTTGTCTGGTCCATCCTGGCGTACGGCGGCTTCTTCATCGTGGCCTATAGGGTTAGTTGGGAGTCTCCCTTTCCCCCCACTTTATTCTTCTCAAAGGGCTTTTGTCCCTTCTACTGTGAGTGTATGAGCTGCATATTGACTACCTCTCCTACCAGGACTACACCATGGGCTTCTCGCTGAGCGTCCTCTCGGCCGCCCTCGGCGTCGCGCAGTTCCAGGGCAAGTTCATCGCCCTGCAGTGGATCTTCGCCTTCACCATCATGGCCGTCCTCTTCGTCCTCACCGTCCTCGTCGCCGTCCCTGCGTGGGCGGGCCGCGAAGACGGCGGCTTCTTCGGAATCGGCCGCCGCCAGCAGCAGCCCGCCGCCGACACGGAGCGCGCCCCTCTCCTCGGCGATAACTGAAGCCCCCCTCACCCAGGGGGGTTTCTTGATGACCGGCCATGACGGGTGGGAGAGGAGAGCTGTGCCCCCCCAGCCGTTTGGTGTCAGGGTTCTGGATTCAGATCCCCGACGCGTTTTAATACCGGTCCCGTAAAAACAAGCAGCTCCGTTAGGATCTACTTTCTGGCGTCAAATGGGAGTGCCTTTCGTTTGGCGCCCCGGTTGATTCACTGAAAATTCCCGTCTGGTAATGAGAATGCATTTTCACCTCCTAGTTCCCGCAAAATTGATCCCGGGGATACGCATTTGTGTTTATTTTCAACTTATGGCTTTTCTCGACGTATATAATCTTGGATAGTAATGAGAGGCGTTTTCCTTTTATTTGCGATCGCGAAGTCCTTATCGAAAGAAGGTGACGTCATTTCCATTAATATCGAAACGCCAAGGCGTGTAACCATTAAGATAACGGATAAGAGATAAACGATAACAAAGTAAACATGGGGGCAGATTAAGCGTGAGGGATATCACATGTAAAAATACCAAAAGCGCATCCCCAAATGCCTTCCCAATGGCCTCCCGCGTCCTCCCCTTCCCCTTCCCGCTGCGCATCGGCACCGACATCTGCCAGATCTCGAGGATCCACCGCATCCTGAGCGGCGCCCAGGGACCGCGGTTCGTGCGGCGCGTGCTCACGGAGGAGGAGCGAGCGTGGCCGGGCCGCGACGACCATCCCCTCTCCATCATCCTGTCGGGCGCCGCTCCCGGCGATGCGCGGGAAAGGGAAGGGGGGAGGAAGCCCGCCCTCCCGACCGAGGCCGAACGGCAGTCCCAGCTCTGGAAAGCAGCCACCTTCATGGCCGGCCGGTAGGTACCGATCCCAGTCTGGCAAGAAGACCATCCCTCTCTGCGCATCCCCCCCCGGAAAAAAAAAACTGAGACCGGAAAAGCTTCGCCGCCAAGGAGGCAGCCATCAAGGCGCACCCCCACCGCCGCCTGACGTTTCACGAGGTCGTCGTCCGCAGGGCCACCACCACCACCACCACCACCACCACCACCACCGCCGCCGCCTCTACCGCATCCTCCTCCTCCGCCGAACAACAGCACGAAACGCCCCTCCTCCAGCGTAGCGGGAGCGGGCCCCCCGTCGCGATCATCAGGGCCGCCGACGACGACGCCGACGACGCAGACCGCGAGGCCGCCCTCAGCATCAGCCACGACGGCGACTACGCCACCGCTGTGTGCCTCGCCTTCGACCCGACGGTGGCGGACGGGGCTGGTGGTGTTGGGGGCGCTCTGAGGTGAAAAGGTGGGGTGGGGGGGAGGGGGGATTTTGCTTTTCCACGGGCCCTGATATTGGGGAGGGCATCTCTGGAAAGCAAAGGCGGGTCTTGGAGCTCGTGAAATGGGGGTGGGAGATAAAGCCTCTGTTGGGCGGGTATTGATGAAGGAGGGCAGAGAGCACGAGTTTGCGGTCACGGCTTCGCTCTGTTATCGGTCTCCTGGGACCTCGCACTATACCTGTTGCTTGGGCGTTTTTATACTTGATACCCTGTGTAGCGGCACTGGCATCACCCTGGCTTGTGTGGAAACACTATGTTTAATGACGACGAGACCTGTCAACATTCATCAACGGGTGTCTGAGACACAACGCCTGGGAAACTGCCGTCTACTCTATTTCCCACCGAGGTCTTAACCAAGGGATGGTCGACCTAGGCCAACTTTTGCCAAAAAGGCAGACATCGATGTGCCTTAATTTATGTACAAATGAAGTTGAATATGCCTCTTTTTTGTTCTCCCCTCTTTCCCTACGCCGCCCATGGTCGGTTTCCAGCAGCACAGCTGGCGTATCGTACATACACACCCTTCCTGGCTCCATCCCGCGCAGGGAAAGCAGCCCCTAGACCATGCCCCACACCAGCAACCCAGTGAGGGTGGCCAGGCCGACCCAGCGCAAATCCGCATCCGACGAAGCCGCCGAAGCCGCGGACGCTGCTGACGGCGCCGCAGGATTCGACCTCTTGCCCGCCGTTGTCGTCGTCGCCGAGGGCGGCGGCGGCACGTCGCGGAACTGCCTCACGACCTTGATCTGGTCGCCCTTGAGCGGCGGCGCGGACCCGGCGGCGAGCAGGCCCTGGATGGTCTCGAGGGCGGACATGTCCTGCCCCAGGCCCGGGTTGCCGTCGAAGCCGCCGACGTACCACTTCTGGCCGCAGGTGGTGCCCTGCTCGCCGCCGGCGCAGGCGGCCGCCGCGGCCTTGGCCGAGGTATTCAGCAAGCCGTCGACGGCGGGCCGCAGGGACGGGACCATGAGGGTGGAGGCGTGCATGAAGCGCGACATGTAGCCCTTGAAGGAGAGCATGTCGACGTTGCAGGAGCCGACCTGCTCACAGGCGTGCTCGTACATGATGTCTGTGGCGTTGGCGAAGGGGCTGAAGAAGGAGCGGGACGCCTCGAGGAGGCCCTTTGCGCGGGCGGCCCAGGCGGCGTCACCCGTGTGGTTGGCCATGACGGCTGCGCCGTAGAGGTAGATGCCCGCCGTGTAGGAGAAGGACACGGGGTTGATCTTGGTGCAGTTGTCAAGCGAGTCGGCGCCGTCGTACACGTTAAGGCCGGCGTCGATCATGCCGACCGCCGTGGTCCAGTCCCACACCTTTTCGGCCCAGTGCAGGTACGTGTCGTTGCCCGTGGCGCGCGCCAGCCGAGCCGACAGCTGGAAGAGGCCGCCGTTGGCCACCGTGTTCTTGTAGTTCAGCCCGTTGGGGTTCGACTCGAAGATCTGCCACGCCAGGCCGCCCCCGCAGGTCGATGGGTTCCACCTCGCCACCAGTGAGTTCCACAAATTGGTCCCCAGCTCCAGCCACGGGGGCACGGAGGCATCGGGTTGGGGGAAGTTCCGCTCGGCCGCGGCCATGACCGCGAAGCCCCAGAAGGCCTGGTCGTCATTGCCCTCGTCGCCAAAGTGCGCCGGCAGCATGTAGTCAAAGTTGGGGCCGACCTGTGCCAGGAGGGCGGTCGCGACAGTCTTGTCATAGGTGGGGTCTTGGGTGTAATGAGAATAGTCAAGCATTGCGCCCATCAAGGCGCCGCATTCCCACCAGTAATACGGTGCTGGGAGGTCTGCGAAATGCTCTGCGTTGCCAGGATAGTAGGACATGGCCCCGGCGGCAATCGTTCTTGCAACGCCTTGAATCGAGGCTGTTGGGAGAGTTAGCAGCCACATTCCTCGGAGGGGAGTTTCCGGTGCGGTATCTTACTGGTCTCGCCGATATCGAGGTCCTTTGGAAGGATAAAGGAGGCGATCGATGCCACCGTAGAGGCGAGATGGGTGGATTTGACAAATTTCATTTTGACTACTTATCAAGCGCGGTTGTTGGGTTTGGGAATACCAGCAATGTTAAAAGAATGAGGAGGTTTTGGAGAAAGGTCGAGTCGGTCTTGTCGCCCAGCGAGAGTTTGGCAAGGCAAGATAAGGAGAATGTAGATATAAGCCACGACTCCTCCTGGAAGCGCAGAACGAGTGGAATATAGTAGGCAAGAAACGAAGAGTCAACGACGGTCAGTTGAACAATAGCCGAACTCGGCCAATGGACAATAGGAAAGAAAGAACAGAAAAAAGACGGACGAGATTGACAATTGGAAGGCACAATTGGCTTGAAGAAGACCGACCTACTGAATAAGGGGCAGCTCGTAGCTTTTAAAAGAAGTCGACAGTTGGCGAGGCCTCAGCCGGCACAACCCCTCACCCACATGTATGCACATACTCTGTGCGCTAGTTGATCATTGCATCTTTGACACCCCACAAAGGCAGACAACAAAAGGAACCGAAACCAGGAAAGGGAGTGGGTCATGGACGAATCCCTGGCCATGACCAACGCCTGCTGGAGTCTGGACACAGACAATGACCGACTTGTGTGCTACAGGCGCCTTAGCTGGTTTCGGCCTCCTCTATCGAAGAACAAGTGAGTGGAGGATTGCGGCGCGCCAGCGAGGAGGAAACGTTGCAAGGCATCAGGCCAGCGAAGAGAAGTGGGTCGCTCATTTATTGGCTCAGCAGAAGCCATTGTGGACTTGCGGCGTCTGACAATGCTGTGAGTCTGCTGCCAGCCAGTTGAGTGTACTCATTCTGCCTATTCAGGGGTGGGCAATGAATGGTGGTCGTGGCATCGAGTTGGGTGTTTAGCGGCTACATAGTAATGTGGAGCTAGGGTAAGCAGGCCTAAGGGGCATGCAGGGCCACCCGATTGGCTCTCATAAAAGAAACTAAAACCTGAAACATCTTTAATTCTGACAACTCATTCCTCCACAACCGCGCGCCTCATGGAAAATGTGGAGACAGCGCAAGGAATTCTGGCAGCTGCGAGCAACTGGCACTGGATTTGGCCCCCAACCGCGACGACGACGAAGAGAATGCTCCTTCTACTCTCAACCGACCTACCTAGCCGTTCGAGAGAGCGGCTACACCATCGGGGGGCACAGGCTTGGAGCCATGATCATCTCCTCCCTACCGCCAAGAACACGGCGACCAGGCGAGTTTCGAGTAGGCTGCGAAAAGTCCAATTTACGGAACCTCAAATATGGGTGCGGCCACCCTGGGCACTGGGTATCAATTGTCGTTTGTCATGTGCCATTATTTACTTCCCCCTATTTCCCAGAAACTCCCTTCCGACCCCTCTGTCTCCCGGGGATAGTGTGAAGCGGCAACGATAAAGCCTGTATTACTACTTTCTTGATTCCAGTAGCTCAACCACAGCCTCACGCTTATTCTTTACAGCCCATGAAAGCGGCGTCTGACCAGCTGTATCCTTCGCCTCATGGTCAGCGCCCCTGTCAAGGAGCAGCTTAACCATAGCCATTTTCCCCTCACCAGCAGCCCATGAAAGTGGCGTCCGACCAGCCATATCCTTAGTTTCAAGGTCAGCGCCCCTGTCAAGGAGCAGCTCAGCGACAGGCTCATGCCCATACTTTGCAGCATATGACAGTGACGTCTGACCATCCACATTCTTTGACTCAAGGTCAGCGCCCTTGTCAAGAAGCAGCACAATGACAGCCAGATACCCGAAACTGGCAGCCTGTGACAGCGCTGTTGAACCACCCTTGTTCTTTTTCTCAAGGTCAGCACCCTTGTCAAGAAGCATTTCAATAACAGCCTCATGCCCATATTGTGCAGCCAATGCCAGTGGCGCCGAACCATTAGTACCCGCCACCTCGAAATCAGCACCCCTGTCAAGAAGCAGCCTAACAATAGCCTCATACCCTCCCTTAGCAGCCATGGACAATGGTGTAAGATTGTGTTGATTCTTCGCCCCAAGTCCAGCGCCCTTGTCAAGGAGCATCCTGACAATAGCCTCACGACCCTCCCTAGCAGCCCATGTCAGCGGCTCCATACCATCGTCGGGATCAGTATCCATTGTCTCGAAGTCGGCGCCCTTGTCAAGAAGCAGCCTGGCAACATCCGTATACCCTGCCCTGATAGCGAATATCAGCGGCGTATTACCATCCCGACTATCCTTCGCGTCAGGGTCAGCGCCCTTGTCGAGAAGCAGCTCAACGACAGCCGCCTGGTCTGCCCTAGCAGCCCATGACAGCGCTGTCATCCCATAGCTATCCTTTGCCTCAAGGTTGGCCCCTTTGTCGAGAAGCAGTTGAGCAATAGCCTTAAGCCCGAAAAGACCTGCTACCATAAGAGCTGTAAAGTCTAGGTATTCAGGATCAGTCATGCCTATAGACGCCCAGTAAATTTCGAACCATGTCAGATAGCACTTGGAAGCTGGATCACAGAGCCTCAAGACGGAAGATACCATAGCAGCATCGCTGCTGATATCAGCCTTGCGGACATGAGCACCCCAATTTTCGCCCGAATAATCCAAGAAGGTATGGCGATCGCTGTGTAGGCTGGCTCTCTCGCTTGTCTCTGGCCGAGTGGCGCCGGCATTGAGGAAGTCAAGATAGACCACGCAGGCCGTTGCAAGAACTTCGTGCGCTTGACGGGTGGTGATGGAGTGGTGCCAGCGTAGCTCCGACGGAACAGCTGCAAGCGAGGACGAGTCTGCAAGGAGAAATTCCCGAGCAGTCTGATGAAGAAAATAAACCCGGCCATGGTAGACCGAGATAAACAATCCGCACCAGGTTCGGAGACGCGATTGAAAGTCTGCGTCTTCTTCAAGATCAAGGTCTTCCATAGACTGCGATGAGATGTCGATATTGACAGCAATATTCATTTCCGCTAGGGTTAGAGGCCGACTTGCTGCCAAAATCATGCTCAAGGCCTTTCGAACCATCTGATCGTCCTTGGACTTGCAAAGGATCTTGTCGTATGCTTGGTTAACGCTCTGTGGGAGCGAGGCAATTCGTGACTCAATGCCTTTCTTGGTCCTCTTGAAGTCTTGGAATTTCAAGTAGTCAAACACAAGATATAGCCAGAGGTAGGTGCGCTGCGGAGTTTCCATCAACCGTTGTTCAAGGTAGTTCTTGATTTCTGTTGAAAGCCGCTTCTCTGTTGCCAGCTGCTCGACTCGAAATTTGATGACACGGTTTATTTCCTGGCTGATAGCCTCTGACTCGTCTTCTCCCGGTATACGAATATAAGGGAACGCGGCAAGCAGGTCGTGGAACTGGGATACGATATGTTCGTAGGGTCGGCTAGTGAGCAGGAACTTGATCTTGCGAAGCTGGCTCTGCCCTTGGAAGAGATGTTTCAGCATCCGAATCAGGTCCCTAAACTCTGTCTCAGCGCATTCGTCCAACGCATCTAGAACCATGATGACAGGTTCTGTCTGGGGATCTCGCACAGCCTTCTCCAGGATATCCCATAGCGATTCCGTGGCGGTTACTAGGGCACGTCCATTCTCGGAATATGCTGTCATGGCATGTCGAATCAGAGAAGGCTGGTGGGAGAAAAGCTGGTGCAGCAATGCGCAGAGCGCCTGATTGACAGTATTCTGATCCTGGTCCTTGAAGAAGAAGTAACATATGGTGGTGGCTGACTGCGGCAGTTGCTTGTCAATCAAGTACTTTGCCAGGACTGATTTGCCGCACCCAGGGTCTGCCGAGACCACCAATGGTCCTGAATCTTCTTCCAACCACTTTTGAAAATGGTCATGTTGTAGGAACCACTGACACGTTCCTTCCACTCGGTCTTCAATGCGGTTTTTGTACCACTCATACGTCGTGTCCTTGCTGCCTGTTGTGAGACGGAACAACTGGTGGCATTGTTCTTCTCTGTCGGACAGCCTCTGCTTGGCCATATCTTTCTGGACTTGCAGCTGTGCTTCTGCAACTCGTAGATGTCTTTCGCCGACAGACAGAAACTGCTGCATGATTTCGAGAGACTGCGTACTCGTTGCGTTGAGAGACTCTAGCTCTTGGTTGGCAGACTCCAGCTCTTGCCTCGACGCCAACGCATTTATCTGCTGCAGCTCTCCGTTGACTGTAGCCTCGAGTCCTCTGATATTGTCTGTCATCTGCCCCCAGACTTTGGGCTGAAATACATCCCGTGTAAATTTCCCAAGCATACTCTGGTAGAATCGTAGGACGCTTTGAATCTGGAACTCCAGAATGTGCTGATACAGGGACACGATGTGTCCATTGGCTTCCCCCATCAAGTCAGTGTCAACCCCGGAGTTTCGCCCGAGACGCAGCAGTGTTGACTCGAGCGCAGCAAAGTAGCGCATACGCGTAGTAACGTATGTGAAGCCCGAGCGGTTGGCTTCATCTGCAGTCTCCGGGTTGGTGAGTAGCGGGAGAACGAGGCAGACACCAGCCCAGGCGATCGAAGCTTCTGGCGAAGCCTTGACAGCTTCGCCGATCCAGCCTTGTGCCCACAGCACCAGCTTTGCGGCCTGCGCGATTTGATGCTCCAGGATAAATTCATGTCCGGCAATGGTACATTTTGTTTTCTTCTCATCCATTCTTTGTAGCCCCTTGTCTATTATTGTGTTCAACTGGGCTTTGCGAGATTGTCTATCGGCGACGTCGGTCATGTCGTTGACTCCGTCCGTTGGTACGGAACCTACGTAAAGTCAGATCTTGCGACATCTAGCCTGCGAATGGCACGCACTTGTCCTCTGTGATTCCCTGGAGAGCAATGTCTCGTATTTCTCCACTAATTGCGGATTGTCACCTCTGAGTGCGTCGTATGCCTGATCCCAGAGTGACTGGGCGGGTTGCGGTTTCTCATGATCCACAAGCAGATCATTCTTTTGAACGGTCGGTATCAAGTTGTCTTCACCGCGCTCCTCCTCTTGGGTATGGCTGTAGCCGCTGGCAGAGGAGGCGACGGACCCAGCATCTAGCTGTGTCTTGCTACCCTTCTTACCCAGCAGTCTTTGGAAGCGTGATGTTGTGGTCTTCAAGGCCGCGGACCCAGATTTCTGAGCTGGGTCCTGCCCGTGACTGCGCTTGAAGAGCACCATAGTCTGGCAGCGGATGGTGTTCAGGGGTATTCCTCAAGCTGCATCGTGCAGCTGAAGAGAAAACACCCCGCCGTCTGCAACAACTGTTTTAGGGTGGATTCAACAAACAGAGGACATCACAATCACATCCTGTGCCCTACAGCGATTGGCTGGGGAGCCGCCGAACCTGGCGGAAAAAATCATTCCGAAGCGCAACTGGGGCGCAGTCGCATCCAAGTCGCATCCATCTGCAGCAAAGATGAGGTCTATATGGGGCAAAAGTAGGTCAGGAGTAGAATGGCGAACAGACTGGGTTAATAAACATGGTTGAGTACGTTGAGCTGTGTGAGTTAGGTACTCCTACAGGTGACTCGCAGTGATGGAACAGAAATATATACTTGTTTCCAGTGCATGTTGCGATTTTCCCATTTACGAATGAACCCGACGTTCGGAGTCTGTACTGGTATCTGGACCTGGCTTTCGGGTTCTCCAGGGGTCCTCAGCACGTGGACCCGCCGCTAAGTCAAACCACCAGCACAACCAACCCTCTTCGTCGCCTCGAAAGGGAGAAGCTCTCATTGGCGTCGGTCACTCGCAAGCTCCCTCGGGCATTCTTATCTAGAGCCCTGAAATGATGCCACAGATTTGCTGTGCTACGGTCACTGTAGTAGGGAACAGGGTGTACGAGACTAAGATGTGCCTGTAAACGTGTGCATCTGTTGATGATATGGCTAATAACTCAGGTCTCGGTACAGGAGCGTCATGTACGGAGTAAATAGTAATGGGTATCGATCATATTCATGTCCTCGTCTGCGTCAGTTCGCCATCAGGGCCGAGATGTCAAGAAAAAAACTCTTTCGCCGTGGAAATCCCCTGTAGGAGCCCTTGGACGAAAGGTGCTCATAAAGATAAATCTGAACTGAAGCCACCCTGAACGCCGTTCTCCGCCAACGATCCCTTCTCTAGGTATCTGATGCCTCATGGGAGCAGAATCCCAGCCAGTATAGCGCCACCGGAAATAAATGCCACGCTGAGGCTTAATTTGTTGCCTGGCCCCTTGCCTGTCAGGCTCGCCGCTGAGGTGGGAGATGAAGGGTCTGCCAATGATGTGGGGTTGGAAGTTGCCTTGGGTTCTGACTCTATATCGGTGCCGTCGAGATTTGGAGTTAGCGTGGTTGTCGGAGCCGTTGTAAGTGTAAGGACGCCCCATTCGACGGCAGAGCCAGAGAAGGTGCTTGTCCACGTCGTTTCGGTCGGGCCGGTGAAAGGCCCTTCATGGAAATCGGCGCCGAGCGACGAGTAACCCGTACAAGTCGCCGCCGTGGTGCCGACGAGGTCGCAGCGCAGGTCCGCTGTTCTATACGGCCATCCGAGACATGGTTAGCTCCATCGTCTAACTAGGCTGGACCAGGACGTACATATCACCGGGGACCGCGCCGCCGAAGCTCATTGAGCTGGCGCCCTCTGCAAAGAGGAATGGCAAGGCATCATCTAACACGCATGACGGCGGTGTCTGCTGTGCGCAGAATATTGTGTAGGTGGTCATGGATTCATCCTAGGTGGCAAAAAGTAGGTAAGCAGGGGAACAGACGGCCGGACTCGGGGCTGGTGGCTCTCGATTCCGTACACTTTTGATCACGCTTCCGCGTAGGGCTTTCCAATCCGAAGCATCGTAGCCGGGCAGGTACACGGGCACCGTCGTCTGGCTCCAGCCTAGCCCGGCGCAGAGCCAAATGGCTACGAGGGGCCGGAGAAGCCAGGGAAGAGGTGTCATGGCAGACGGTCAATTCGGCGGATGTCGGATCCCGGGCACTTTTCGCATAAGATCTGTGTGCTCGCGCTGCATGTCAATCATCAATAGAATCAGTAGGAGAGCAAAAAAGAGAACAGTGGTGTGTTCAATTGCAGTCGAGCCTCAAGTTGATTTTTTTGGCCCGCTTTTGCTTGGCGGTCCTGTGCCAAGACCCCTTCCTCACTTTACCATGATGAGACAGCCTTGCTTAACAAGATCGACACAATGGGCAGGTAGTGTAGTGCAGGAGAGAACGACTCAGGACTACCGCCGCAGGACCATCGCATTCGATATCGAAATTCCCAAGCTGAAGGATAGATAAGCTAGGCGAAAGGCGCGGTCCTCCTAGGCTTGGATTGTGCGCGCCCACAACCCATTGTCTGCAAGGCTGTGTCTACCATGGTAGCCGGCACATACAGAATGCTTCCCGCGCAGGGACCTTGTTGGCTGGTTTCCGACGAATTCCATCTCGGGGTCCTCATTTCTCAGTGACGGTCAAATGCGGGAGCCCGAACCCCGCGTTATGACCTTTCTAATAAACGTCCAATCAGAACCCCAACTGGAGCAGTACAGGGACGCATTGATCATTTACTCGTACCCCCAGCAAATTCTCAAGTGTCTTACCCCTGGGCCTTGATCCTAAAGGATTGGCCTAATATTAGTGCCGACACTTGTCTTCTGATATTTCACACTAACGCATGCCCAGCACTTCCCAATCGCTGTGATCCGACGACTTACATCCCATACTTCAGCCGCTACAGCCGCAGAACCAAGCCATGGCCCAACGAATTCTCCTCGCCCTTCCGCTCCTCTCCGCCCTAGCAGGCTCGTCATTGGCGCAGTCGACCACTGTCATCGACCTCGTGATCCCCCAGGTCGACCAGCAAACCATCCTCGCCTCCGTCGTCAGTGTAGGCCCGACGGCAACCGAGTATGCCCTCTCCTGCCCGACCAACGAAGACGACACCGAGTGCGGCCTAGGCGTTGGCTTCCTGGTGAGGGAGGGCCCCTCGACCATGGAATTCCACTTGACCTCGGGACCTGAATTGTAAATATATATAAAATAATCCCTTCGCAGAGAGGGCCCTCCATCCTACCATTCTTTTCTGTCGACTAACCAGCCATTCCTTGTCTCCCTGGTGCAGCACCGCGGCCGTGAGCTGCGTCCTCGTCGGCAACGACGCAACCTGCACCCAGGATATCACGGGGGAGTCGTCCTCGCACGAAGTGAACGTCCTAACCGACTACACCTCGTTCAGGGTCCCCGTGACCGTGACCGCCGGCGCCGAGCTCCTTTCCGGGTCCGGGTCCGGGTCAGGCTCCGCCGCCCCGACGACCTCGGGTTCGCCGTCCGGATCGAAGGGGACCACAAAGTTGACCGGCACCGCCACCCCAACCCCCACGGCCACCGGGACCGGGGCCGGGGCCGGGGGTTCTAGCTCGAGCTCAAGCAAGGCTGGTGTTCCCAGGATCACTCAGAACGCGGTCCTTGCTGGCGTCGCTGCCATTGTAGGTGGTGTCGCCATGATCTAAAATCCCGGTCAGATTGGAGACTGAAACCTTCTGACAAAAGATTGCGAATCACGGGCAAAGATCTAGAAGCGCCGACTGTATTTATCCATTGTACATTACTCTGTTACCCTACCAGCCAGCCGGTTTCCGGAACGGGGTTGTTTCTAGGATATCGTGGAGTGCTCCAACTGGTTTCTCACTTCCTTCTCATCTCTGTATACTCCATGTTTATATGTGTGCATATATATAGATATGTGTATAATCTTAGAACGACTGGTAGGATTAAGATGAGAATTCATACATGTTGATGCAAAGTCCTCTGCCGCTAGATGTGAAGTGATATTAAGGAAGATGAATGGTGGTTATGTGTTGTGTGATGCTAAAGTAAAGGTGATCTGATCGTGAACATCAGGTAGACTGTGAAGAGTCGGGCTGAGGGCGGGATTCATATCCGAACAGCTCTTCCCTCCCATCCAGCCAACTAGTACAGTTGACGCAGCGTTTCGCCTATGCCGTCGAGTTAGTGACCAGATCACGACGACAATCTCGCTGCGAGAGCCTCACCTTCTCGTTGATCGACTTCCTGCAGTACCTGCACTTGATGGTATGCTTGATGATAGGGTCGTGGGACAGCCATTGATAGAGGCCAGCTATCCCGTACAAGGCAAAGCCAATGCCCATGAAGTTGACCAGTTTGTTGAGGAAGACACTTGATGGGGTGGTCAGCCACAGCTGTCAGATTGAGTTCACTAGGGGAAAAGCCTAGAAATAGAGGAGTTACCCGTAGGCCATCACGACGGCCCCATCATCCTGGGCCCGCTTTAGCGTGTTGTAGCCGTGCTGGTTGTCATAGTTGGGCCCAGGGTGGAGGACGGCAAACTTCTCCTCCAGGTTCTTATTCAGCGGAAGCAGGACAGAGAGAGGCGGCAGTAAGATGTCGCTGACAAATGAAGAGACCAGCGTCGTGAAGGTTGCTGCTAGACTGTATTTGCAGTGTAAGCTCACTACCTCCGACCGAACACGGCTTACTCGAGGTAAACCAGGCCAATTGTGAGGCACAAACGACCAGAATCCCACTTACATCAAGCCGAAAGCGATTTCGAGGATATTGCCTTGAAGAGCAAAGTCGAGGAACCCATCCCAGAGGCGGCGCGCCCTACGCCTACTTGCCTCGAGCAAGTCCTCTTCTGTTTCCTCCTCACCAAAATCGTTAAGCCTAGGCATATCTGGGTTCGACGGGTGTGTCTAACGAGCTTGCCCACTCAGTCATTCATGCATTCGTCAACTCACGTACATACCAAATACAGGTACAATAAACAAAATACGAGACAGCAATGGCAGTTTTGTAACGAAGAGGGGATCGGCCAGCGGGGGGAGGTAGTGACGCACCTGGAACGCCTAGATGATGTGGGGGACCATGCAGGGGTCTGTGCAATTCAATATCCTACCTCCTGCATACTAGTAGAACCTCGATATGTAGAAGATAACATAGAACTTCCATTACAGTCTCTGCAACGGGTATCACTCAACAGCTTCTTGAAATCAGACTAAATGAGCGTGTTCCTAAGGTATCTTTACTATCTGACGCAAATCATCAACAAAATCACACAAAGTCAGAGCCAACTGGGCAGGCGGTCAACCCCCCAAGCAAACGCCAAGCCCCTCCCCGCATGCATGCGGTATTCATCCCGCCCTTCTAGGGCCAGAGAAATGCCTGTCAACACCATGGAAATGCTCATTATATCATCAAGACACTCAACCAAGCCGGGCCACCACGTGGGATTGACAGGACCAATCGATGTGGTCCCAGCTCTCACCATCGACGCCCGTTGATCAGTATCGAGGGTTATTATACCCGGGCTGGGGCCGGGACTGGGAATGCTGGTTGCTCTCGGCCGAGTGCCGACTCGCATATTTCTCGTGGACGCCCACGCGCCCATTCCTCTTGCCGCTCCGGCTCAATTCCCAGCCCCAATAACCGGTAGCGACGACCATGAGCGCGAACGCCGCCCACGCCATCGCGATAAACTTGTCGCCCGAGTAAGCCCGCAGCCCGATACGCTTCCCTATGTCGTCGATCTTGTGGGCCGCGGGCTTCGCGCCCATGGTTGTGATTAGGTTCCCGGCCAGGAGGAGTAGGACCGCGAGGACCGCGATGCCGAGATTCGCCAGGGTGATCGTCCGGGCTTGCTTAGGGATGAGAGCCACGGCGGCCACCGAGGCGAAGAAGGACAGGCCCGTGAATCCGATGGCGAGGATGTATATAACGGCCATGGCGAGGAGGATCTTGGGGATGTGGTCGAACTCCTTCTGCAGGTCCTTGGTGAACCCGAGATCGGCGAGGTTCAGGTCGAGAGGACCGACCGAGAGCTCGTGGTCGAAGAGCGCGGTGATGTTATACTGACCTGACAAGATGTTAGCTTACAGTGAGCTTCGACCAACCGATCCCACGGTTGCACATACCGGTCTTGAGCGGCTTTGTGCACTTGGTTACGTTGAACTTGGCACCCTTCGCTGTAGCGTTGGGGCTGAAGTTTCCCTCGCAGGCATCCATGACATGCAGCGAGTAGAACTCGTGGATACCCAATTTACTGGCTAGCTTGTCGGCAATGTCATCCTCGATATCGTCTAGGGCGTCGGCGACATCGCTAACAACACTTGCGACCGCCGAGGTTGCGCTGCCGCAGATCTTGCCGAAGGGGCCCGGGAGGCCGCAACCGCTGTCGGTCGAGCTAGGTTTGCTCCCGCCACCCGTCGGCGTGGGAACGAGGTTCTTTCCAAGCTCCGACGTGTTAAGCTGACATGACTGTTAGGGGGGCATCGCTCTCAACGGTTGGCGGATGAGTATCTATCGTACCATAATGATGTGATAGTCTTCCATAAACCCCGGGTTCTTGCCTGCGAAGAGCACCAGCAACGCGAGTATGAGGCTCACCAGGGAGCAAATGATTGGAATCCCTATGGAGAGCTTCATCTTGTGTGATGTGGATGTTCGAGTACCAGCTCGTGTTTGTATTGACGAAAAAGAGAGATTATATTATGATTATCCAAAGGAAGGTTGGGATATATGATCGTTAAGTGGGAGGAAGGAGTAGCAGACAAAGGAGTGTTCCAGTCCAAGGGACCAGTGATATATAAAGAGCAATCAAAGACAGAATGGTTCACCGTCGGCTACAAACAGTCAGCGGCGGTGACAGTGTAAAATGGGGGCTAGTAGACCATCTCGGCAGCCAGTCTCTACGTTGTAAGCAAAGGTCTAAAGGGTCTTATGGCCAGGCCTGTTTCGTGGCAAGCACACCCTCTGGCGTCACATCGCACATCTTCACTGTGACAGGCTGGTAGCAGCCCTGACTCAGAGCCGGGCAGCCAACGAGGTTGGTCGCGACATTGCCCGTTGCCATGGCTTGACCCAATAGACCTGTGGCGCAGGTGCGTCATCTCCTGTCTGGTGTGTGCAGGTCGTTGGATGAGAGGACAAGACCTGCTTGAAGAGATGCGTCGCTTAAGATCTTGGTTTGTTCCCGCTGCCACCAATAATAGCCTAGGAACCAACAGGGGTCTGGCTGGGGGGCGCGTCACCAATTTTTGGATCGCCTGAAATGGCCCTGTACGGCCTGGGCTTCCGGGCCGGGCTTCAGACGGCCTTCCAGCCGGGCGGTCTTAGATATATCTCAAGTCTAAAATAACACCGGAATACATATGTCCTTAGAACACCAGGTTGGTTAGTTGATGGTCCGACGGACTGGCGGTCTAGTTGCTCTCTTCCTGTGTCCCTCGGTTTCCTGGGTCTCAAACTGGTCTCAAACAGGCCAGTATTCACATTCACAAAGAAGTATATCAAGTTCTTCCATTGTTTTAAACGGGGAAACAAAGACGTGTTAAAAAGGCTACCGGTATCTAGAACTCGGCAAAATAAGCTGAATGAATATGTATACAGGTACTGATTCCATCAATCCAGGTACGGGCGGATCCAAACCGGCCGGAAATGAGTAGGTGGGTAGGTTAGGTGGGCGATATTTACAACTTGGCAACCATCTTGTTGCCCCTTTGGATCACAGCAGCCGCATCGTTGACAAACTCGTCGACGATCTCCTTCGCGGACTTCTTCTCGTTGACCACCGCGGCGCACTTGCCCATCAAGAAAGGCCGGAACTGATCCATCAGGTCGTCGACATCGACATCCTCCTCGCCATCCGCCTTGGAGGCACCCGCCTTTGTCGGCGGGGTGTCCATCTCGCCAGCCATGACCTTGTCCAGGTCGACCTCGTACGGGATCACGCCCTTCGCGGTCAGCTCCTTGATCTCCTGCTGGCGCTCCGTCTCCCAGTTCTCGATATAGGGGTTGGTCCGCACGCGCAGCGGCCGCCCTGTGAAGATGAGCGTCCGGACATTGTCGTCGAAGCCCGCGGTGCGGACTGCCTCCTTGTGTGACTCGGGGGCACCCGCCTCCTCCGACAGGACGAACCGAGTGCCGACCCAGACGGCGTTGGCGCCCATCATCAGCGCCGCGGCCAGCAGCTGGCCGTTGTGGATGCCGCCCGCTGCGATCACCTGAACCGGCTTGCCAGTCAGGGGGCTGGTGTGGCCCTTGCAGATGTCGACGACGGCGGGGATCAGCACGGTGGTGGGGATGTCACCGGTGTGGCCACCGCCCTCCCCGCCCTGGGCGCAGATGATATCGCAGCCAAGGTCGAGGCACTTCTTGACATGTTTCGGATGTCCAACCATGTTCATGTAGACGATACCAGCTTTGTGGAGCTTCTCGACGATGGCCTTCGGGGGGACGCCGACCGCGGAGACGAACAACTTGGCGCCAGACTCAATGATGATATCGACCATCTCATTTAGCTTGCCCTTTGTGTAATCGTAGCTGTGAGGGGGGGCACGGCGTGGTTAGCGGCATAATCTACCAAAACATCATGTTCTCCAACCCCAGAAATGACTTGGGAAAGACTATGCGGGCTGGGGCTACCTACTTTGTTTTCCGTGCGTTGCCTCCAACCTGAGGGAGCAGCAGGTCGACTCCAAACGGCGCCTTCTTGTCCGTCAGGTGGCTCTTCAACTCGTCGATCTGATCCCGAAGCATTTCCGGGGTGTAGTTGATCCCTCCGAGGACACCGAGCCCTCCGGCGTTCGTGACCGCGGCAGCGAGCTTAGGGCCGGCAGCGACGTTCATGCCGGCCAGGAGGACCGGATGCTGGATCTTGAAAAGATCGGTTATCGGCGTTCGGATCTTCTCTGCAGGACGGAGCGAGTCAGCAAGAGCACATGCCAATGGGGGAATAGAGGGACTCGGCCTACGTGGTGAAGCCATTGTAGCGATGCGACAGGGTAGGCAGTTAGAGACAGATGTGTTCAAATAACCGATGTTGGAGAGATAGGTATCTAGAGGAATAGGGAAAGTATGAACAATGTTGGAAACAGTAACAAGGTCGCACCGCGACTCAGGACCGACCTATATGAGGACGAGCTGTGCCGAGGTTTCGCATGATGGCCGACGCTAGACCTTGGGAATGCGGAGGGGCCGAGGCTAGGTAGGCAGATCGCCTCCACCCCACGCTGCGGCACATGATCGAATGGGGTTCGCCTCCAATGGAGCGGTTCCATTGGAGCCCCATAAATTCACGATCGCGGTTTTGGAGCTTTTGAATGAAGCCATCATGAAGTTTAAAGCCATTCTCTAGTGTTGCTTGCCTGCCTTCCTGTTCTTGTTGCCGTTTCCAGTCCTGTTCATGTCCAGGGGTTTTATTAAGAAGGGAGTCCATGCACGTGGTCACCAGGACCCAGAACACAAAACAGCCATAACATGACCCCAATCTGATCAGGATGGTCGGTTTCGCAAAACAATGCCAAATCGAAGGATTCTCGATACTGGGCAGAGGATCGATACAAATCATTCCAACGTGCACAGCTCATCAATATGAGGAGAGACCGACAGGTTCTGGGCGAGCTTCCAGTTCGCGGCCTGAGTAATCAAGCCAAACCGTGTGCTGCCAGTTCTCCCCATACCCTCAAGCCCGAGGATGAAAACACATCGCTCAAAGGCCGATCAACAACGATGGTTCGTTGTATCTCCCTCCCTTTCCTTCTCGCTCTCTTGACCATCCCCAAGCTGACGATAGCAGGCTGCAGCAGACGTTGATATTGCGAAAACCAACCCTGCCGTCATCGGCGCTCTCTCGGCCGACGTTGCTACTTACAATTCTTACCTCGTCATCATCGCGTCAGATTCCTCCTCATTGATCTCTCCACCCAAGATGGCCTCCGAAGCCCAGCCGCCGCCCGGCTTCCGCAGCATCATACTCCAGCGACATAATATCGTGTTTGACGCGAAGACCCTAGCTTAGGTAGCTGCGGGTCACTTCAAGAAGATACGAGAAGCCGCAGACAAGGAGAAGCAGACGGGGCAAGATATGGGCCAGCACATAACGACAGTGCTAGATGGCGCCAAGGAGGAAGAAGTTTCGGAGCCTCTCACCGTCTCGTCGGAAGAAGGGAAGCGCTTCGCAACAGAACACGCTGCGCTGGTCTGCAGACTGGGTGGAAACGACTACATGGTTCAGCAGAACCTTGTGCGGCATCTGTTGGGCGGCCATCCACTGTCGGATCAGCCCGACTCGGCTGACAACAAGTGGCGCATCTCATGCCGCCCACCACCTCCTACCTCCTTATGGCGCACCCTGCCTTCTTTCTCTGGCGGAGCAGTCCCGTTAGGAGTCGAGCGGAAGGCTGCCCCCGCGCACAACAACATGGTCTCATGCACCTTCTGGCTGCTCGCCACCGGCTTCGATCTTGGCCATCGCAACGTCTTCTGCACCCTCGTCCGGTCACCCGACGAGCTGTCCATGTGTCCTTACCTCATCATTCAATACTGTGAGAAGGACAGCGAACTGGATCAGGCGCTCGAACATCTCGTCATGACGGGAAGCCACGCTCTCTACGACCGCCTCCTGCTCCGCAAAGCGGCGGCCGAAGCAAAGCACCGCTCCCAAGGCTGTGGACCCACGGCCGTCGGTGCTGAGGGCGTTATCTCGTAATACGGCATCACCCTCTCGCATACCAGCTACAAGGTCTATCGTCTTACCGCTCACAACAAAGCCAGCATCGCGCACTACTAACAGTCGCAGCAGGAACACCAGCCTATCTCAGTCTCCGAATCTCTAGGCGTCTCATCCCCGACCTCGACATCCAATCGGACTGACGGTCCTACCAGTACTGGTACAAGTGCCAGTGCTAGCCAACACAACATCAGCAACAACGACTCCTGGACGGGCTGCGAGGTGGCGGAGGTCAGGCGCGGCGGATGCCGAGATATAGCGTCGCTTCTCCAGCTGGTCGACTGGGTCAATGAGATCCACAAGTGGGGCCAGAGCGCGCATGCGGCGGCTGTGAAAACGGATCTGGATGCGTACGTCGCTTGCGAGTACGGGGGCGAGGGGGCTTTGCTTGGACATTGAAATTGGGGGGTTGCGATGGGATGGTCCGGCTTGGGAGTACTGAGAGTTGCGTTTGGCTACCTACTGGTGATGGAGTTGGCCTGAGAAAAAGCGGGGCGTGGTCACGTGGACCGAATGGGGAAGGGTGACCATATTGGGGCCATATTACACAGAACTCGAGGTTGTGAAACCGGTGCCTACCTAGTTGAAAAGGCGTGATATACTTCGATCGTCCTAGAGCTCAGGGCGCATTGAAAACCTCCGAGCTTACATTGTACTCAGTTTACGAAGGATTAAAGTTGCGAATGTTGACTTTCTTCACGGACAGGCCCGCGCCCAGTGATGGACAAACCCTAACCCTGGATCTCTCCCTTGCTTCCCACTACCTGTTCCACCTCGCGCCAATCGCCACCTTGATAGTTATCGACGGCTTCAGATGATGAAGTTGTTTTCGGCCATACCGGGTTGTCTTATAAATCCGAGATATCTCTGTGTCCCTCGTCGCCATGTTCGAAACTCCCCAGAAAGCGTGCTTAAAGTCTCGACCAGGATAGGCAGAAAACTTTTCTCCAGTTCAACCCGGGCATATCAAGACTCAACCCCGTTCAAGAGATATACAATGCCGCAAATGGGCGCAAGCTCGAACGGCTCTCAGAGCCGCAAGGCCAAGCGAACGGCTTACATTGCCCTCGGCAGTAACCTGGGGGACCGGGTCTCTTGGATTGAGAAAGCCTGCAATGAGATGGATGCGAGAGGCATCAGAGTCACGAAAACCAGCAGTCTATACGAGACAGAACCGATGTATGTTTTAGACCAGGAGAGATTTGTCAACGGAGCCTGCGAAGTCAGTCCTGCCTATCAACTCCGATCATGTTCATAACCCCTAACACTGCACCAAGGTAGAGACAGACTTGGAGCCGCTCGCGCTCTTAGACCAACTCCAGGACATAGAGAACTCAATGGGTCGCAAAAAGGTCATCGACAAGGGGCCTCGTAATATTGATCTCGATATCCTACTATATGAGGATCAAAAGATCGATCACCCCCGTCTCAAGGTGCCGCATATCGGCATCCCGGAGAGGGAGTTTGTGTTGAGACCCCTGGCTGAGTGAGAAGATGCCCCAGCCCAACGGCAATCTAGAAAGCAACGAGACTGACATGGGAAACCAGAATTATTCCGCACAAACCAATCGACTCTTCCCGGCCCTGGAAGCTTACGCAGGACTACCTCAATGAACTACCCCCTTCCTCTTCGCCACTCACCACATTAACCCCCTTGTCAGCCCGCCACCCGCCGCTCCAGGCACTGAACCCAACGCGGAAGACGCACGTCATGGCCATCCTCAACATGACCCCCGACTCGTTCTCCGACGGCGGGCTCCACACGCCCTCGGACCCGTCATCGCTAGCCGAGACAGTCCGGTCCTTCCTTGCCGCTGGCGCAACCATGATCGACGTGGGAGGGCAGTCATCGGCGCCTGGAAAACCCGAAGTCTCGGCCGAGGAGGAGCTCGGCCGCGTGCTGCCGGCCATCGAGCTGATCCGCAGCATATCCGGGGCCGGGGCCGGGGGTGCCGACGTCATGATCAGCGTGGACACGTACCGTGCGTCGGTCGCCGAGGCGGCCGTCCGTGCTGGCGCCGACATGATCAACGACGTTTCGGCGGGGGGGATGGACCCGAACATGCTGGCCACCGTCGCCCGGCTAGGCACGGCCGTGTGCTTGATGCACATGCGCGGCACCCCGGCGACGATGAGCAGGTTGGCCACCTACCCGGCGGAGCCCGGCGGGCTGGTCTCCGCCATCGCCGAGGAGCTGCTTGAGCGGGTCGCGGCGGCCGAGGCGGCGGGGATCCGGAGGTGGCGGATCGTGCTGGATCCGGGCCTCGGGTTCGCCAAGATCGGCCCGCAGAACCTGGACGTGCTGCGGCGCCTCGACGAGCTGCGGGCGTGGCCGGGCCTGCGCGGCCTGCCGTGGCTGGTGGGCTCGAGCCGGAAGAGCTTCATCGGGCACATTACGGGGGTGAACACGCCGGCGGAGCGTATCTGGGGTACCGCGGCCACGGTGGCGGCGGCCGTCCAGGGGGGCGCGGATATCGTGCGCGTGCACGACGTCAGGGAGATGGCACAGGTCGTGATGATGGCGGATGCCATCTGGAGATTTTGAGGCTGGGGGGGGTGGATTTAAACGGCAAAGGGGCGCATGCCTTGCTGCCCGCGTCACGATATATGCATTGCATTTTAAGCGTTGGAAAAGGATTCAACAACCACGGGGTAAATGGGGACGGAGACCTTGGGATTTCACATCCCTGAATCCGTCATCCTCAGCCTAAAGCTTCAGGAGGGGCAGCTCAACCAGGCCTCACTCCTAGATCTTGATCGGGCTGCCAAGGCTCGGTTGAATTAGGTTCTCAAAAACTAGATTCTATTTGGGAGAGAGCTCGTCAGCAAACCTCCCAAGGTACCCATGTAGGTCAACCAGTGAACACTGGACTGTTTGGAAGATTCGCTGGGCAGGCTTACTCGGTACTCGGCGTATTGTGGTCTTTTGATGTGGCTGTCGGCTCAAGCTGACGGCCAATGAGGCGCAGCCCCGTTTACGGTCAACGTCAGCCAGTCATCAAGTGCAGTCGCCTAGCGCGAGTCCCCGGCGCTCATTGCCCAAATTTAGCCTAGTGTGGCCACCTCTGCTAATGCAGGAACAACGCGCCTTGACCACTCAAATGTGTACATAGTAGGCAGGGGCCGAGCTGGGGACGTGCTTCACCTGAATCACCACCACCTGGGGCCGTGGTTCAAGGCGCTTCGACTTGGAGTTTTCGAATGGCTTGGGCTGGGTGGTTTCCTCCAATTTCCTTGTTAATTTGGAAGGCATCGTCAACCGATTTCTAGAAACCTGTAACTGTATTTATCCCACATCAGCAGCCGTGTTGGAACTGGGAAACCTGGGATTGGGTTATTGGAAACGGCCGGCATTCAATATCGAGGAATATCGAGCAATAACATTCCGTGCATATCACGGCTGGTCAGTGATTGGCGGCGAGGGACCAGGTTTTTGTGCCGTCTTGGCCAGTGGCTGACCACCTTGTTTCTCAATGCAAAGCGCTTGCTTTGTCTGGCGCAAACTTTTCCAGTTCCCAGGTTTGTGTTGGAGGAAGGCGCCGCCATGTCATAGGTTTAAAATCGTCCATAATTTCAGGGAGCGTAATTACGTAGAGGTAATCCGTAGGTACCTATGTAGGTATTCACTTTGCTGGGCAAATGATACGCAAATGCTACCTCCTCTATCGCTTTTTTGATGCCCAGACCAGGGTAAAATTAAGGAGGCACCATTACCTGGCGTGTGGTAGCGCCCAAGTACCTCTACTGCACTTTTACTGTGGTGGGGTACACAACCCATGCTTCATTTCAGTTAACGTAGCCTTCCCGTCCAGTCATTTACTGTGGTAATTTCTGGTTTCCCTTGCCTTTTCCCTTTCCTAGTCGCTCCTTCACCTCCTCAACTTTCGGTATCTTCTCTCGAAGCCACCTGCCACTCCTTTAGCATCACTCAACACATTCTTTTTGCGACTCCACGGACTCGCTCCTGCTCCCAGTCAATTGTAGCAGCATTTCAGTCCTTCCCACCAACCACCCAAGATCAAGTACCACGATGCTCGTCAAGTCCGCTTCCGCTCTGGCGGTCCTCGCCTTCGCCGCCCACGCGAGCGCCTCCGAGGCCATGCCCTACAAACCCCTCATGAGGATGTCGGTGCGCCAGATGTTCGGTTTAGTTCGTCGTCAGGATGACGCGGGATACCAGCCCACCCAGGCCGTTTGCGGCACTGGAAACACTTGCGCCGAAGCCTGCGGTGCCGGTTATGAGGCTTGCTCATCGTCCGACGAGATGGTCCACTGCTTCAACCCTGGCGCCCAGACATGTTGTCCCGACGCCTCGGGCAGTAAGTTCTTCTGTCATGGAAATATGATACCCGACGCCTTGACGCTGACTCTAATTTAGACTCGTGCGATGCTGGCTATTACTGCACGGCGGACACCGGAGGCGAGACATGGTGCTGCCCCGACGGCATGGACGTTGTCGCATGTGCTGCAGCATACAATATCGACGGTGGTCTTGTTTCGGAGACCCCCGAGCCGGCCACCTCGTCGGTCCCAAGCTCGACCTATGCGCCTGCCACGACCTCTAGCTACATCGCCGTCTCCAGCTACACCCCCTCCAAGAACGCCACCGTCACCGCAACTGGGTACAATACAACTACCTCCTGCCCCGTTAGCACTGTTGGCCCCTCAGCAAGCTACCCAGCCCAGAATGCGACGGCGACACAGTTCACTCCCAGCGGCTCACCGTCGCCCACTGAGGTCACTGTTAGCGGCGCCAGTGTCGCCGGTCCCGCCGGTGTGCTGGCTCTCATCGCAGCTGTTGGTGTCGCTGTTCTTCTCTAGGCTCAAAATCGCATAGTGCTGCCCAACTTGGCGAAGGAACCCGGCGTCTGATACCCTTCTGCTAGCAACACTGCAATGAGAGATGAGATACGACAATGGGAGCAAGCCACAGGAACTTCAAAACCCCCCTTTTTTTGTGCAAAGTTGGGACGTTATGTTTGGCTCTGAACAGTAAATACCCTTTATATCAGCGCCCACCTTGGGGCCGCTGATGATGATCTGTTCGTTTTTTTGGCTTGGTAATTTTGCTTGCAGGGACGGATAACGAAGGGCATGACCCTCGAGTGGCTTTGTTTTAATCTTCGATATCCGCCGAGCTTGCCTCGGCCGTTTCTAGGGCTGTGAAGTTGCGTTTGCGTTTGCCTTCTGCAGTCCATCCTATTCGCCTTGATATAATTGCTTTGGAGACAGTAACATGCCAACTTTGCACATGTTGATGCTGATCCGCCTGCGTCGTGAGACTCCATCTCTCCTTTACTACCTACCCATTCTCCCTGGTGATTGTTAGAGTGACGTTACTCAATTCCATGACACGTGGAATGCGAGAATAAAGCACCTCCTAGAACGCCCCTCCAAGTTAGAACGCAGGTGCTAGCCGCCCAACAAGCACACGAGATGTTTGCAAATATTGAATTCCCAACAACTAACTCCAAACCCCCAACTACCTACAACCCAATGCAGGAACGCAAGCAAACATACATATATGCGCGTCACATCAAATGAAATTACACCCTGCTGTCGATCCCTGAGATCATCGATCTGTTGCACAGCAGGATAATCAGGTCAAACAAATTTGCAGATCTGCGGAAACGATCCGCAGGCTTCCTATTATCCAGTAACACGCACTATGCTGGGTATATGTGGGCGGCTGCTGCACGGTACGGGATCTTCCTGACGGCTGACGCCTTACAAGCCGCCTCAAGCAATACCGGACGCCATCACGCCAGACAATGACGAAGCATTGATTCAACTCTGTCCAATCTCGGGGCTGAGACGGTATGCTGAACAAAGCTACGAGTCGTACCAAGGAATTTGACAAAGACGGGAGATGTGTCAGGGACCCACCCCCTGCTCCAGATGCGTTATCGCGCTAGGCTCTCGTTCCACGGCAGCCAACTCTGTCTCTTGAATTCCGGCATGCATTTGACCTTTTCTGGAGGCTCCAGCTGCCAAGAGATATCCATGGGGGGGCGGTCCCCGGCCCCCGGCTCCGGCTCCCCCTCTCTGGCGACCCAGTCGCTGACATAGCCCTTCTCCCGCTTGACCAGCCTGCCCAGCGCGTCCGTGTACTCGAGGTTGACGCTCGGCACGACGGCGATCCTGCCGCGGCCGCGGAACCACATGTCCTTGCAGAACAGCTGCGGCTCCCCCTGGAAGCACTCCCCCCCCGCGCTGCTCCGGAACCGCACCTCCCCGGCGGCCACGGGCCCCGCCGCGAACGCGACCGCCCCGTTCCAGCACGCGAACACCTGGAACGGCCTCCCGGCCGCCAGCCGGGACCGCGCCGTGGCCTCGTTGAAGAACAGGTCGCCCGCCCGCTCCCAGCCGGCCGTCCCGGCGGGGATGTCGAAGAAGAGGTCGCCGTTGAGGGCGCGCGCCACCCACACGTCGTAGAAGAGAGGCGGGCCGCCGCCACCCGGGTGCGTCCAGTCCATGGCGCAGGTCATGTCGGCGCGCTGGAGGGCGCGCTGGTGGGCCAGCTCGAGGAGGTCCTCGGCGCAGGCGGCGACGTCGTTGATGAAGAGGACGGTGGCGCCGTCGGCGAGGTCGAGCTTCTTCGCGGCTGCTGTTGCTTCAGCGGCGGGTCCCGTGTCACCTGCCCCGTCCGGGGTCGTGGGCGGTGGGTGGTGCCTCCGGAGTTCTTCCTCGGGACCTGCTATGCCGGTTATGGGCTCCACGGCCATCGCCCTGAGCTGGGCCAGCTTCTCGATCCTCTGGCCGTCGCTTGGGTTTAGCGTGCTCCTGCGTAGGTAGTACGCCGTTCCCAGTCGGCCCAGCTCATCCGTCAACAGCTCCAGTACCTCCAGTGTGCCGTCGTCCGAGTTGCCTTCGACGATGCTGAGCGCACAGTTCTGCGGCCCAAGGAAGCGGATGGCTTCCAATACGGATCCCATCAGGCGAGGCAGGAGGTCCACACATTGTCGCAGGTTGAGGGCGAAGAAGTACTTGTGTTTGCTCTCCCGCTTGTCCACCTTCAAGTATGAATAGCGGGTCTGGTTGATTGGAGGGCAGGTCATGCGGTCGAAGGAGGTGTTGGTTGGGTCGAGGATCGAAGGGAGCAAATTGCGCGCGATTGAAATTAGCTCTGTCTTACTCGGTCTCGGAGCGGCCGTGGGGGACGACGCGGTCTTCGGCGCGGGCGACCGGGTAGATGACGCAAGGCTGCCAGCCCCTTTGCCGGTCGATTTCTCCTTCGGGGCAGCTTCTTCGCCCTGGTCTAGCCCTTCCACCACAGAAACTGGTAGTTGTGCAGTTCCACTGCTAGCCTGTGTTGGATGAGAGGTCAAATCCGCCTTGGGAGGTGGTGTGGTAGCGTCGTGATATAATGGCTCCGACCCCGGCGGTCTTTCTTCCCCTGTATCAGCAGCCGGGAAGTAGCCTATCTACTCATCAGCTGGGACCTGACTTCTTCGACATCCGGAGGCACATACTTGAGTAAAGAGGAGTCCTCCATGAGCCGGTATGGGTGAAATCATCATGTCCTAAAAGGAGATATGTCGCAGCTAGAAAGCAAAGGGTGAGGGAGATATAGATGGTGAATCTATGAATCCTCAACCTCGGGAGCATCGTGAAGACTGATAGAGGCAGCAAGGAATGGGAGACAAGGGACATGCCGAGGATGAGGAGGAATCAATGTGCCTAATCATTATTGAAGACGGCAACAAACAAGGGCTGTCTGTTGGTGGCATGGTGACAGAAATCGCAGCCAATGCGGCCGGGCTCAAAGGATTACAAGTGGCAACATGCCTGTATGTCACTCTTGGTTTGGCACATGTGTGTTTCTAATGGGTATCTGAAAGCTGACTGACGAACGCCTCACCTTACGGTCCAACTTATGTCCCCTGGTCATGCTGCAGGGGCGCCTAGAGAATCAGTGAGTAAACTTGGGCGTGCAAAAATGCCCAAAGCTCCTTTTCTTTTTTTCTTCTTTTGTATTGCATAGCAGCAACCCAATAACGGCTATCCTACACCTTCCAACAGCCAGTCATCCAAATCACAGCTGACCCAACAGCCAGGTAGCATCCCCTAACTTGACTGTATTCCGGAGAAGGTCTCCTTGAACCGTAGATGGCCCCCTCCCCGTACGCTTACCCTGTCAAGCTAGGCAGAGTTCTTTTTTTGTACTGGGGCTGAGGTATTTTCCACAGCTTGCTTCCACACCCCCATTTCAGTTGTCTAGATTGGCAGGGTTATGTCACGAAGTCACGGTTGTAAGGATGACAGAGGTAGTTGAAAGTGGGGGCTTTCCCGTATTCAGTTCGGAAGCCCCGGATTTGGTGGCATCTGCACGGGAGGGCATGGGCCACCACCAACCATACAAGGAGACCCGATCCAACGGTGCGGGGGCCGATCTGCAGTGAAGGAGCTGATGGCCCGAGGCGAAGCAATACGAGACGGGTCCAGCCGAAGCTTGATTTGACTCGGTACAAGGGCTCTAGAGGCCTAGATGCTGATCCTGCAGGCACGATTGATCATTCTATGGTGCAGCGAGGCCTCATCATATCCCGGTGGAAATGGGAATTCCTCTGCAGGCAGTTACAACTTATTCCGTGGGCAAGGACAGTTGACATCGTTGGCAGGGACCACTTATACCTCGTCTCCCATATTAGGCCGGTACTGACCTTTGTGTTCTCCCCTCCCCCACCCCCCTCTTTTTCTCTCTCACCCCTATCCGCATACATTTTGATCTTCGCGTCACGCCCTGGACCATCAAGTTCCCACCAACCCTCCCTCCTTCGATATATCACCTCCCCACAATAGACCCTCGACACAATGACTTCACCGCAGGTCAACGGCAACAAACCGTTCAACAAGCCTCACACACTCGGCACTCCTTCAGCATCTCCTGGGATACCTGTGATCACCAATGGCATAAAAACTCGGAAGTCTAACCCCTACTAGTCGACAGAATTCGGCGACTCTGCCTACAAGGGGACTTTGAACCCCTGCCGCTAATGACCGTCTATCAGCTGCTGTCCATCGATAGTGATGTCGGTCTTGAGCAATACGAGGTCCAGTAAGTCGGCTAAGCCAAGCAAGGTGGACTTGGGCTGATATGATTCCTTCTGCTCCACGTCCAGTCTAGCACCCTCGTCAACAAACCCATACCCTATCCTGCTGTGTGTGCAGAAGAGGGGGGATGTGTGCGCCAGGTGCTAGTACGCTAAACAAAGGAAGGTTAGAAAAAAGCCGTAGAAACTCCTTAAAATGCTCAATTCGACTTAGTGCAAGACAGATACTGCTTCTGTAGGCCATGGATCCTACCATGGTAGCCTCTCGTGTCCCAGTGGAAATGGGAATTACTCTGTAGTCAGGGGTAATTGACATATCTGTCATCAAACCATCCGTAGGTCTGGTAAACTCCCTTGCAAACCTCCTTATCGCCCAATACCGTACACCCCATAGTCTTCTATGGGGACGGAATTGATGCCTAAGCCCCCAACAGCTTCTTCACCCTCTTCTCCATGACATCCTCAAACTCCTGCACGCCGTTCTGCAGCAGCGTCATCTGCCCGCCCTTGAGGCGATACACGGCCCTCCTCCGCTCCCCGGCGCTGTCGCTCCGCTCATCGTCCTCCTCGTCGCTCCCGCAACCCTCGTCGTCGACCAACCCCTCGACTGCGCCCCGGACGAACCACCTGTCGTGGCTGACGAGCACCACGGCGCCCGCCCAGCGCCTCAGCGCCTCGCGCAGCGCCGCCACCGTCTCGTAGTCCAGGTGCGTCGTCACCTCGTCCAGCACGAGGCAGTGCGGCCGCCGCCACAGGAGCCGCGCCAGCTCGCACCGCACCAGCTGCCCGCCCGACAGGCGGCGGACGGGGACGTCCGAGGCGAGGCGGCCCGGCAGGCCGAGCGACCCCAGCAGGCCGCGCACCGAGCCCTCGTCCAGCCCGTCCTCGCCCGCCACCTCGCGCATCAGCAGCGCCAGCGCCGTCAGGTCCGGCTCGGCCCGCCCGAGGCCCTGCAGGGCCTCGACGGCGTGTTGCGAGTAGTAGCCCAGCCGGAGGCGCGGGTGCGTCGTCGCGCTCCCCGTCGTCGGCTTGGCCGCGTCGACGAGTAGCTGGATCAGCGTCGACTTGCCCGCCCCGTTGAGGCCGACGATGCCGACGCGGTCGCCCGCGTGCACCGTCAGGTCGATGCCCTGGAGCACGGCGGGGGGGCGGACGGCCGCCGCCTTCACGTTCGCCTTGGCCTTGGCCGGGTAGCGGAACGAGGCCCCCTCGAGGCTGATCAGGGGGCCCGGGAACCTCAGGTCGGGCGGGTCGGGCAGGGCGATGGTGACGGGCCGCTCGTCCTGCGGGATGTCGATCTCCTCGCGCGCCGTGAGGTGGTAGCCGACCAGATCACGGTTCAGCTTGAAGCGGCCGCCCTTGGCGCTCACCTGGAGGCCCCACCGGTCGTCGAGCTTCTTCTGCCGGGACTTTGCCTGCCGCAGCTTGTTGTCGTCGTCCTTCTTCTTGCCCTGCTTGATGTTGCGCGCGATGGTCTCCTGGATGTGCGCCTTCTGCTTGTCCTGCGCGTCCTTCATCTTGGTCAGGTGGAGCTTGCGCTCCGACTGCGACTCCTCGTAGGTCGGGAGGTCGCCGTGGAAGTAGGTTAGCGCCTTGTCCTTGAGAATCAGCAGGTCGGTGGCTACGGTGATGAAGTCGCGGTCGTGGCTGACGAGGATGAGCGTCGGGGCGCCGGGGGCGTCTTCCAGCGATTGGAGGTAGCGCTGTAACCAGATGATGCCCAGCAGGTCGAGGAAGTTGGTAGGTTCGTCGAGGATCAAAATGTCAGTCTTTTGGAGGAGGACTGTCGCCAGAGCCGTCCGCATCCGCCACCCTCCCGACAAACTGGCGACAGATCTCGACATGTAGGCCTCGCTAAATCCGAGACCAGTGAGGACCTTCTTTGCGCTTGATTCAATGTCTGCCAGCTTGGATGGTTCCACCTGAATCTGAAGCTCAGAAAGGAGGTCTGCTGCCTCCTGGACTTCGGCCTGGACAACCTCCGGGGTTATTTCATCGTCGGCCTGGTTATTCCTGGCGGGCTGTCAGCCCAGCTTGCGGTCTCGTGAGAGATATGGCTCTGGCCAGAGCAGGCACACTTACAAGGCCTCCGACTCAGCGACGACCTTCTCAAACTCGGTCAAGGCCTTACGGGCCTGCATGCCCCTGGTGCCACTTCTGAGTCTGGCATCTTTGTCTAGGACGAAAAGTCGCTTCTGTAGCCTCTCATGGCGGACTTTCCTCAATGAGCGGAGAACGCCAAGGGGTTCGCTGCTGTTCATCCCGCTTGTCAGGGCTGGTACATGTCAGTGAGAGAGTTTCGGAAACCCCTGGATATCTTGGTAGGCACACTGTTGATTTCTTGCTCTAGTTCACTCTTCGCCGTGGCCTGATCGATGACACTCTCCAGCACAGACGGGCCCTGCGGCAAGGCGCTATCCGAGGAGGAAGACTCCCCGGGAACATCATCAGCGTTCGCGTCGCTGGCATTCGTCTGCTGGAGAATAGACACTCGGGTTCCCTCGGGAATCCCGGGAATGAGTTTCTCTGCAATTGCTCGCAACAGGGCTGCCGGACACGTTAATGAGACGGCCCGTTGCGCGGAAGTTCCACTTCTGCTTACTAGACTTCCCAGACCCATTACGCCCGATCAATGCGTATCGCTGGCCTGCCTTCAAGCGCAATGTGGCATTGGATAGGATCTCAATGCCTTCGGCTTTTGCCTTTCCTTTCCCTTTGGCCGAGGGCTTGCCGCTAGATGCGACAGTGATATTGAGCCCTTCGATGTCTAGCTAAAGGAGATTCAGCACAAAACATGGAATATATACAAAATAACAACAAAATGTATTAAAAAATAAATAAAAAAGGGGGTGCCTTTTGGCCTCGTTACCTCTCTGTAATTGGGGCTCTCAATGTGGAACCGAGTCTGTTTGCAAGAGCACAGGATGGTCGATACGGAATCGGATGCAATTGACGTCATTGTTGCGAGCTCTTCTGATCAGTCAATCAATGGGGCGAGATCAAGAAGGAGATGGTTTCGAGATGTCATCGGCCTGAACAATGGTGGTGATTCTCCAAACTCGGACTTTATATCTTCTTGGGGCTGGTGTCTTCGTATCGCGTGTCCCCAAACGTATGCGTATATTAGTGGGTAGGGTAGGTATTCGCAATCGGACAACCGTGACTCACGCCGGTGAGTTGTGCATTACCACGAGGTACCTACCTGTCTGCCTAGAGTGGGCCGAACACACATGTCGCACTTGTTAGGCGCCGGGTGCGGCACACATCCCTCGGGTTTCTCCCGAAACGTTCGAATTCCACTAGCCGGCTCCGATCGTGGGCGGTCGGCGCGGCCCTGTCGGTAGCAACATTGTAGGATCAAAATCATCATTAAAACACTACATTAATAGCCCGCTGTGGGACTTCTTTGCCTCCTAACCTATACACCTATAATACAGCTCCGCCACTTCAAGAATTAATCAGACTTTCCCGATGCAGTGAGAAACGGAGAGTAGACTCAACAACGAACGCCACATCAAGCAGGACATAACATTACAACCCAACTGGGTCCCTCTAAGCAGACCATCGGGCAGACCGTCTCAAAAGGGTCGCCAATATCCCATCGTTATCGGCAGACTGCACGCATGGGGCCACTTCGGCCTCTCGATCAGTCGCGGACTGGTCTGAAGGCCGGTCAATCACCTCCTAGTTGGTAGGCCACACAAAAGGACTCCCCCTAAGGGCTCACCAAAGGGCTCACCTCATCAATCACCTCATCAATCACCTCAACCAACTCAGCCACCTCAGCCACCATATCGCCGGCAGATTCCCCAGAAAGGATCACCTAAGTGCCCTCGTCACCTTCCATCTTGGCAATCCATTTGTTCATCTGGGAATATTTCTCCTCAAACGTCTTCTGCAGCTTCTCGCAAGCCCCCCACATAGGGTCTTTCTTGGTCCAATAGGTGTAGCAGTTGGTGAATATCTGGTTCATGTCTGCCAGGAATTCCTCCTCGCTTGCATAGCCCTTGCGGTCCATCTTGTCCTTCATGGTTCCCAGGTCCATGGGTTTGCTGATTTTCTCATGATAGTCGGGAACGCCGTCCGGAATCGGGTCAACGGGTTCCTTAAAAGGACCAACTAGGCGAGTCCAGAACCCTACCAAATTGTCAGCGCGGAAACTCAACCTTGTGAGGTCCATGGAGGGAGGGGGTTCAGACCTGGTCCCGAGAGCATCCTTGTCAACAGGTCGGCGCAGAAGTTCAGCTTCTGTGCCGTGGTGAACTTCTGTTCAGCAGCAAAGGATGCAACAGATCGGCGTTTCCCCACGGGCTTGGTTACTGGCAGAGAGGCTCTCGAGCCGGCTTTCCGTGCGGCCGCCTTCCCCGTAGAAGCTGCTGAGCCGGTCGGCAGAACATCCGAATGACGCGGTTTCTTCGCCAACGGTCTACCGCTATCTGCTTCGTCGTCATCGATATAATGAATATTCCGCTGCTTCTGTTGCTGTGGTTGATGTTGCTGCTGTGGTTGCTGCTGCTGCTGCTGCTGTAGTTGCTGCTGCTGTGGCTGTTGTTGGGCTAAGACGGGTCCGGTACCATTAACCTGGACAATCGGGGTGATATCCAGGGAGCTCATTGCGACGACAAGCTCACTGAGGACTTCCTGTGGCAATGATCTCGCAAATTCGGCCCGAGAATCCGAGGACCGCATGTATTCGGCAGCCCATGACAGCAGCAGCTTCCGTATGGATGATCCCTCAGGGGTGTCTTTCCATACTTGAACAAGCAGCGGCGTTGCGGGGATACGCTGAGTGATACGTCGACACTCGGCCATTGCTCCCAGGGTGGCGTCGCAGATCCCATCGATGGCTAGCTGGTGACCAAGCTTCCACACACCGATGAGCACCTCGTACGAGGGAAAGTTGTCCTCGTTGGGAAAGACTTTGTTTGTGAAGAGATAGTTCTGGGCGAGGGCAAAAACTTGGACGGGCGTGTCTGGCAGCTCGACTATATGCTCAATCGCATCTGTTCTGTCGTTCTCCGAAAAGTACTGCTTGTAGTACGCGGATCTCGCACATAGGAAGTCTTTCTGGATACCAAATGGTTGCTGATTCGGACCAACCAGGACAATAACAAAGATAGGATGCGGATCACTACTCCCAGTCAGCTATAAGGCACCCCAATGGGACTTGAATCATCTCAGAAGAGGTACTCACAGCCATGAGAATGAGGGTGCCGGCGGTTGGTCACCTGCCTCATCCTGAGGTTGGACTCCGTTTTCCGGTTGTTCGCCAGACATCCTGTGTACTGAATGCGTGATACATTAGCATTTTAAGTCTAATTTACAACAGCAGGGGCTGATATATCTGTATGGCGATTGTGTCACGGGGTCAAAAGCGAGCTGGCGCGTATCCCACTTTAACGACGGAGAGTTTTCACGACGAGACAAGACACACCTCGTCAAATACCGTATCACTTGAACAGCATATTCTGGACAAGAAGGCCTACATAATATGAAAAGTGATCATGAACTGGTCATGACTAACCTTGCTGATTGATAGAACGAAACTGTCAGGCGACGTCGCAGTTGGTGTCTTGACTGAAGGTTCCCGTTGCACGCGCGGCCCCCAACTTCCCTGCAACGGTAGAGATGAGAATTATCACAGACTCCGTACGATATTCGTTTTGTAGTGAGGACTTATATGCTGGACTGAGATAAAACGCATCGTCTCAGTGAGATTCGTGATGTTTAAGGTGAGGCTGGGATGTGGTGGTGAAATTTGATGTGGCCGAATGTCTGAGAACTGACGAATGAGGCTGAGCGGATTGATGGTCCAAGCTCCAAAAATGGTGGGGAATGGGGGAAGGGGGATCAACACTGTAGCGACCCTCAGTGTGGAGAAGGCCGGGTCGATAATCGATTCACAGAGTCGTCAAGTGAATGAATACACCCATCGGGAGAGAAAAGGGGATGTTGGAGGAAAACAGGGAGAAAATGAAGAAGAAGAGGAAAAGAGGAATGTCACTATAGGTATTCAGACACTAGGTCCGGCGTTAACAGCCGTCTTCGCTCCATCAAGAAAACCGATAAAGCAAGCTACCTCACAGGATCTATGGCATTTGCACTTTCCATCTTGAAGCTTACACCCTCTCTTTCCAAGCCGATTATCCCACCAGCTACAGCCTCGATTGCTGACCAGACGGGATTCTCCCAGCTGCAACCCAAAAAAAACTCACCGTCCTCAAGAGTATCCATGGCCCTTTAGTTCGACAGCAGAGGAGGGAAGGATTAGAGTTGCCTTCCTCCCATCACTTCGTGAACAACTTCAGGCACTCGCCATGAGCAACGGGCCAACAATATACCTCCACAACATACGTGGTTTCTCACTCCCAGCGCATCGTCCTGATATTTATCCATTCCAATCCCCCCGACAGTCTCATGGATGGCTCGAGGACCCCGCTGTCGGCAGGCCATATAAACTGGTCTCAGCTACGACTCCCTCGACCCCTTGGCCGTCGGGGTGTGATCAGTCAGTCCGAGATCGCCGTCTCCGCGAATTTCGTACTCGCTCGCACCTGCCACCCCCCCCGGGGGAATACCTTCTATCATGCTGGGGAAGGATGCCATCCCGTTGGATTGACCGTCCTCGCCGTAGCTTGCAAGACGCTGAAGTGCCCCTGGCCCATATCTGTCTGTCCAAGAACAAGACAAGCCCAAGGGCTGCCCCCAATTGAACTGTGAATAGCATTTGCATTGCGAAGCTTTGAAGGCCTACTTGGGCAGACCTGAACCTTGATCTGTTCTGATAACCTGTAAAGGAACAGCCGTGCATATTCGGGAACAAGGAGTGTTTTACGGAATGTCAATGATTATCACATCATCCCGCAGCCTTCAAAATGTTTGGGCAGGATGAAGATGATCAGAAGCACTGGGGCAACGTTGTCACTTAAGAGAGGCGATGAGGACTCAAAAGGAGCCCGCACCTAGAGGCTGCGGCTTATCAGACGAGCGCCGAGTAACAACCTCAAGCTCTGCCCGACGTGGCTCGAAGTGGTCTGGCTCTCCTGCACGATGAGATAGTGAAGGCGCCGAAGAAAATGATGCAACTCCTCCCCATGAAGGACATCTGGTGGGGAGACGGTCAATTCAATCGAAACTGGGCTGGACATGAATCACATGCTGACATGAATGACGGTGAACATCCAAAACGCGTTTCGGTGGAGCATCTCGGGTGGGAAGTTTGTGCCATAGACGGGTCAGGCAGTCTCAATTATGAACAAACCCCCCCCCCTTCCAAGACAACAAGGGCGAGACGAGGTGGAGTCAATGTGTATCGTTGATGGCCGCCCGATATTGTTCTCCTCCACCAAAGCGTCGCATGCAGCGCAGAGTATCATTCGGCCACTTGGTCCTATCGGCCATCTAGCGAGAAATGCTCGGGCTCCTTCGCCATGGACCAGAGGATGCGACAAAGTACCTCACTTGAGGATGGGGAAATCCCTGCGGAGGTAAAACGAATGCTCAGCACTGAGTCAATATCTCAGGACTTCCCGCAGCCGTAGAGTGAGTGCACTGCAGGCGGGGAGGAGAGAGGTGCATTTCCGCTGCAGGCAACATCTGCAGGCGACCCGTTCTGTTCGAGAAAACCGACCTAGCCCTTCACACCGACGTTGCAGGGGGGCAATTGGCTGAAGTACTGTACAATTGAATCGCGAATGGAACCATAAGCGGATTCTAGAATCTAAATTGTTGGCAAGGATAAAAAGGGGGGAGTGTTTGGAGACCGGCTTGGAAAAACGGGTCAAAGCCTCAAGGCGTTGTAGGAGGATGGACGATCGACCCTGATCGAAGGATGATGTGCGAACTCGTGCGTCGGCATGACGGTTTTCATCTGTTCTCGGGCTAATATTTGGTGTTGCACTGGATGCACCGTGGACATGGCGATCCTACGGGCAGCATAGACGAACCGGTCCGTTCGCGCTGGAGAATTGCGCTGAGTCCGGGAGGCTGATCACTGGGAACGATGGGCCGAGAAGTAGGCTGAATTCCATGGAATGAATTCGAGGGTCGGAAAACAGAAGGGAAAAGGATCAGGGAGGCTTGGCACAGTTTCACCGACTGTACCATTGGGCGGCGCCGAGATGACGCTCAGCGAGAAGCACTTGAACTCGGATTGATTGCCATTGCACCGTCTGTCTGGCTGCAGCTGTGTTGCCCACTGTGGGCCGTGGTCTGGGTTCTGGTTGCTATACGCATTAGGAGACTGCGACGTAACGCTACAGCCTGGGCGAGACTTGTGCCTCTGTGCGCTCTCAGATATGCGACGCAACATCTGTCGAGTGTCCTTTACTGCTGTTACAGGAGCAGCCTCGCGGTAATAATACCATGTGAAAGCGGTCAGATCTGTTCAGAGCCCAGTCAAATCGGAGCGAGCTACACCCCCAACAGGAGTGGCGTGAGGATAGCCAGGATAAAAAGGTGTACGCATGTACGGATATGTTGTAGGTACCTACTTGACTTGGGCAGGACATATTCTAAATCGCACTGTCTGCTTCCGTACTTGGCACCATTTTTTTCCAAGTCGCCATTCCCCGTACTAACAGAGATGCTGGCATACCTAGACCTAGGTGACGCAACGAACTTTGCCAGGAAAACAGTCGCGACGTCATAACTTGGTCCTGCCTCGGCACTCATCGACAAGCCTTTCAGCCGAGTAAGAATGCCGCCCAGGAACGGCCGAGAAATTAGTGGAGACCAGTCTGACGGCTCGGCCCATCGGCAGAATCTTCACAGAAGTTTGCGGAGCCCACGTGTGCTTCTAGCGGGATTACGACTTGCCCCTTGCGTGTAAGAAAAAATTCTGTATGAAGGCGGGACGCCCCAGTTATCGCTGGGGAACCCGGAGGAGGCGAAGCGACGGCTGTATGGCTTTCCCGAGTCATGGCCCATGTTCAGGCACTTCCTTCGGCAATATCCTCTGCCCCTTGTCCGTCCGGCGATTCCTCTGCCCCTTCTTCGGCGATACTTCCCTCGCCGGACCCCAACACCGCCACTGGAGCTTGGCCATCCTCGTCTTGGCTTCCGTCGCTCTCTGGACGTTGCCCGAGGAGGAGGTCCTCGCTGCCTTGCCATTGGGATGGCATACCCGGGATAGCATCCTCATCCTCAACTTGCCACCCGTAGTCCTCGTCCTCGCTATCAGCGACCTCGAAGTCTGTGTCTCTCAACTTGCGCTTCCGCGCCGGCGTTGTGGGCAAGGTAATTGATGCCTGACTAGCGGAGTCGAAGCTTGCTGCAACTAAGCCCCTCTATTATTTGGCCTGTTAAAATTTCCCGTCTTTCGAGGCGCCAGAGCAGCGCCCCAAGTCGCAAAAAAACAGTGAACTGACCGATTCGATGCTAAAAGCGGCGATGTTTTCGATGGATCCATAATGACCCCTTCCGTTTATCTTCTGGGCTCCTGCAAAATGCAGCCCAGTTGGTTTGTCTTGATGCACGCCCCAGTCCCTGAACAAAACCAGCCTAGTGAAGATACCCTGCTCCCAGACGTTGGCATTGATGGCCGGTATGAGGGTCGGGCCTCGTTCCACCTGCATTTTCGTGGCACATTGTGTGAGAACAACAATAGCAATGTCACGTGTTGCTGCAAGCTTCTTCAGTGCATCGATGATATACTGAAGCACCTGGAACCTCCGAGAAGACAAGGACGGACCTTATAAGCCTGGTTAGCCCAAGTTGAGAAACGCGAAGAGTCAATAAAGGGGCATACCCTTTCCCGAACTTGGGGTGCCTTTTGCCTCGGGGATCTTAGGGAAATTGTGATTCAGGAGTGCGGATAAGGAGTCAATGACTACGAGCGATGTGTCTCTGGGGATGCAACTGTCTGTCGGCCTGCATAGCAATGCAGTGAAGTGAGGAAGCGTTGGGCAGGTGTAGTGGATGAAGTGTCTCAAGTGGTTAGATACCGTCTCGTCTGACGTGCCTGTCCTCGCCGCAACAACAGCAGAGAGTCGTTGACTACACAAGGGGGAGGAGCAATCTGAGACGGCGGGTAAGCATGACTCTCCGTAATGAGGATAAACTAGAGACTCTGAACAGACCTACCCACACCACCCCTCGATGCTCGCCCAGGACAGTGCTGCTCAATTGAACCCTGTCCAAGTGTAAGTAGAGAGAAAGAAGCAGGTGCGGCAATTGAAGAGTCTCGGAAAGGCAGCTCACCCCAGTGTGGTTTTACCAGATCCAGGAGGGCCCCATACTTCTGTCACCTGCCCTTTCTGGATTCCTCCCCAAACAGACTTGCCTGAGCTGGCGCCCGAGAAATGATCTGCCAAGAGCCTATCGAGACCGTCAAGGCCTGTTGATACAAACCTTGACGGGTTACCATCTAAATCTTCGAGGGCCTGTGCCGCCGAGATGGTGGGGAGTCGATCTTAACTTTGGTGAGTTTGCCGGTACCCAAAGCTGGGGAATGGAGAAATACGTACGAGTTGCGGGTAGTTCGAAACTGGCGACGTCATGCCCGTGAATTGCATGGTAGTCCATGAGGGAGGCACACTTGCACACGATTGTGTGCCATGAATTCCGTGTATTCCCGCAACCTAGCTATTCTTATTAGGTTCAGTACTGTACTGCGGGCTTCCTTTCCCAGCGACTTCCTCTGATGCGGGGAAGGGGTGGAGCGGCACGTGACCTCGAGTTGTCGCGGGTGTCACCTTATTCCAGCCTTATCGATATGACCACCCTTACAGCTACAGGACCTATTCACTGGCTCGGAATAAATAATATGCTATCCGTCTTCCAATATCATGTGCTGGGCTGACTTATCTCAGCTCATGGGGGACCTAGTGCCTCTCCGGTTGGTACGGCCTTATGGAATACACCGTACCATGGTCCTGCTGCCTTTTTAATAATCGAATGGGAAGAGATGTTTGTGCTGACAAGGCTGACTCTATTTCTCTTCAGCCCTTGGGAACATCTATTGGGTTCAACACCGACGGTGGTTCATTGTCGGCCCGCACTGCCGGGGCCCTGTGCTCCGAGCCTTACGGATCCACGAAGACTTTCGCCGATTGAGACCACGCCTGGAACAGTGTAACGAGCGGCAACCGTGTCACAGGTGAGGGAAAAGAAGTTTGAACAAGCGTCTACGCTGAGGAAGCGGAGCTAGACGGTATGCTACGTAGTCCAAAGTATCGTGAGAAAGCTGCATGAGCATGAGGATAATGACATCTGAAAAATGTTGAATCGGAGGTTTATTCGAGAGAGAATGCCGAATCTTGCGAGCTACCCTACCCCCCTTTGGAGATCCTCAACTGCCAAAAGAACTTGTTGGGTCCAGATTGCCTGACCCCACACTCCAAAAAGCCACACGGCGCGGGGCTTCGGCTCCAGGACAACGGGTATCACCCGCGAAATTAGGTGATCGTCTTTTCGTGGGGGTTGACTGGGGATACCAGGGCCGGGGAGGAGAAATACCTACTCGTACCCAGAGTCAATCCTTACAAATTCTCATATCACAGCGGACGGACAGAGCACCGTGAGCAATTACCGAGTTATAAGTGAGGGACTGAGAGTCCATCCGGTAAATGAAAAAAGGAGTGTCCAAGGAACCCGGTTCTTCCCCCACGGAAAGCGATAGTTGGGTTATTCCTAAACAGGGAAATCTGGGGTCAAATAGGGGCAACCCCTACATATGTACGGATGCACATTTCGCGGGGTTTGCAGCTCGCCTTGACAGCAGTTCGTCCAACGTCTCAAACCGGCTAAGAAGTAGCTGCACATTCGAGTTGCGAACAAGCTGTTGATCACACCAGCACAGCCGGCCTTGTGGTGTTCATCCTGTTCATCTGGAGACAGAGGGGCCTGAATGACCAGTCTCGTTCAACTCGACTCAGCCGATGCCATTTGGGTCCTCCACGTAATTGAGAAACCGCTAGATCAAAGCGAGCGGCATTTCTATTCATTGGCAGCCAACCGCGGATTCGAAGGTTTCATCAGCGGCCGCCTACTTAGTAGTGTATTGCATATCACCATGATCAGTTACATTCCGTATTCAGCTCCCTGCCGTTTTCTTGTCGGAAAACACATCCGGGCCAGGGCCCTAGTCCACATGACAGCGGGCAACCCGGGCCTGGAGCCCTGAGGGGTCGAGACTGAAATCCGAGCAAGGGGCCTTGTCAAGGGGGCCCGGGATGGGGGTTCGTTGGTTTAGTGTACAAATCAGAGCCCATCGCCTCCAGAATTTACCAGGGTGAGCATTCAGGGCTGGGCTGCTGCAAGGCACAGCTTCGTCGGGTCACTTGCCCTGATTCAACCGGAATGAGCACGTGCACAGTCTACATGTGCACATTGGCCCCCAATATTGCTGCAACGAGAAGGGAGCAGTTCTGTATCAACCATGGTCCATGGCTGTTGTTTAATCACTCATGTGACCGGCTGGCGGCTATGCTATGTTCGCTTGCGCCATTATCGCCTCATTCTCACTGTCAATCTCATGACCTGGGAATTACACGGATAAACGGGGCGTCCCGGGTGGTAAAGGTCTGGCAAAGGTTTCCAGGGCACTGAATTGCGTGTCTCGGGGGGATTCGGCATCACGTATTGGCGGAGAAACGTTACAGGCAAATTCCTTGGTTGGTAAAAGCCTGGGCAAATTCGCTCCGGGAGACTGGGGTCCGGGGCTAGACCGAGAGTCCCAAGGGGACAAAAAAAAAAAAAAAAAGGAAAAAAAAAGGACAGAGAGATGGTGGGGCTTCCAAGGAAATACCTTTGCCAAGTGCTTCATCAGCCATTGATCACGTCACTGAAATTGAATCAGTCTAAACTTTTAACTGCCCACCGTTCGCATGAATATGGATGGCTGGGAGAGTCGACATAAGTGAGACAATGGAAACATAAAGAAAACCTGGGAAGAGCCAAGCCACATGCCACAGAAGACCGCCCAGGTTACTAAGAGGTTACGGCAGTTCAGAAAGGTACTTACTGCACACATATACGTGGGACTGTTCATGTGCAGAGGTAGGTATGGATACCCCATGTCTTACTTATTAGGCTTCGGTGTGGATTTTCCAAGCATGGCCGGGGGCACCTCCGTGCTTGGCCCCGCAGAATTGCCGACTTCGAGGCCGATGTTGAAAATGACTCGTGGACCCAGTGGCTGTGTTTGACTGTTTGCGACTTCTGTTGTTGGCAATTTTCAATTTTCAGGCTCCACAGGCCTCAAGTTTCAAGGGCACCTCAAGGGCCAAGGCCCTGCTTCGCACAGTAGTGTATATGTAGGTCTACCAGTACTGGTTTAGGATTTGTCCCTTGGGCATAGGCCTGGGGCTGACGTCGGGCATGTGAAGGTTGAGGATTAGTTAATACGTCGGAATAGGGGTGTGTGTGCTTCAAGAAGGTGAAGAATGGAACTATCCTCCAACCTGGTTCCAGGGGTGGACACTGCACACTGCACACTGCCAGGGCTTCAATGGTACGGTTTTCCAGGAGACATCACACTGCAAAATGCGACAGGTCACTCAGACCGTCACAGCTGTCTGCTTCTGAGCACCTTATCTGTGACGTGTCTCAATTGAGCTCTGAGAAGCCAAGCAACCGACACAACCACAGGTTGAGAGGGGTTGAGAGATTTTGCTCTTTGCGGCCCATGATCTATCATCATGCGATACCAAGACGATCAGGCTTCTCGAAGAGGATATGCTTGGGAATGGCTGGAGCGACGCAACGATGGACGCTCGTCCATTGCCTTTCTGGTGTGACCAAAAAAAAATGCAATGGCCCGTAGCATTCCTCCACGGCAAGGTGCAATCAGCAGAAGAAGGTTCAGTTATGAAAGAGGATGAATAGTTGGTTAAGCACTCGTTTCGTGAGGCGCTGAGTTTACGATATCCAAAATATCCCACTTCGTCACCATCGGAGAGGACCGGAACTCGCGCAGCCCTATGTTCAAAGTAGAGATATTCTGGTGGCAGCGCCCCGGAATTGCCAATTCCGGTTAGCGGACAAATGGAGAAACTGATAACACAGTGCGTAGTGGGCCCACTGAGATACCGCGGCAAGCAGCGGCGAGGACGCCGAGGAGGTTAAAGAGAGGAAAAAGAAAAGACGAACCCGCAAGAAAAGGGGAAGAGGAGGTAGCCAGGCATAAGAGGAAGCAGAGATTAATGGAGTTCCGCCTGAGGCCTCATGATCAAGAAATGTCGTGCTTCCAGTAGAGGATGATAAAGTCAGCCGGGCGCCTTGATCACCCCCACGCCCTGCATACCTGCCGTAGGTACCCAGTCCAACAACTCCTCTGGGGTAGATGCCTGGTGAGAAGAAGTAGCAAAGTAATATGTACCTGCCAAGGGATCGAAAGGCGGCCTTCATGGGACTCAAATCTCGTACAGTCTACGGATGTACCTCATACAGACCACTTTTTCCTGAGAGAAGTGCAAGCATTACGAAAGGAGGTTTCCCCAGGTTTCGGAAGACACTTTAGTAGCCGCTGGCTGATCATGATCCAGTCCACGGATCTAATGACAACCCAAGTTGTACAAAGTCGAGGCAAGTTGGAAAGAGCCCTCAGTCAGAAAGGAGCACTATCACTATCTGCCAGATCACAAGCCCCAAGGTCTCCCCACAGCCCTCCGCAATCTCCCCTCTCGAGCCGAGCTGGGATCTTATCTCTAGTAGCTTCGTTTCCCTCAACTCCCATACATCCGGAGTTGATGCCGCACCGGGAAAAGAAAAGAGGAAGGCTACCCTACCCCCACCTTCCGCAAAAGCTGTGTGTACGCAGTATGTTGTCTACAAGGTAGGTAAAGTGTCGGCAGCGCGGGACCTTGCTGCGTGACTCTTTGTGGCTTGAGCAGTTACGAATAGTTGTCTTGATATGGCCGAGAGTCTGATACTGCGGATCGTTTCTGAGAACCCCGGCCCGTTTGGTGGTCAGTCCCCTAGTGACATCCCACGTATTGTATTGTACAATACTTGGTCTAGTTGACGGAAGGACCTGAGCCGTGCATGACTTCACCTTCACGCAAAGCTGGGGAAATAGTAGAGTCAAAGTGGAAGAAAAATAGTGCCAATGGCAAAGAGAAGCCGGCAGGTGTTTGCACATTGCCGACACGTGTAAGTATGGGCGCTTGCTGGCAGTCGAGCCTAATGCTCTGCCGCTGTCCCTGACTGGAAGCATGATACGATAGTACAGTACAAGCCAATACTATGTAGGTCAAGTTATCCGAGACCCAGGACGCAGCGCAGCGGTCCAGTACTTTTGCCCACGCCCCTCCATCCTTTGCTGCCCCACACACTTGACCCCCGGGGGGTGGCCCCCCCAAGCTTTTCCCCCCACATCTTAGGTACCTATCTTGATGAGAATCTTCTCATTGCGGGGCTTGGCCGCCCTGTCAAAAAGGTACATTGTTAGGTACCCGACAGCCTCAACGCCTGCTCCGGGTGACCCCCTTTTACACTAGTGACCTTCCTCAACTCCCTCAACGCCGCAGACCGGCCGAGCATGAGGTAACTTGGCACCACTGTGTGGGTTTACTGTACAGTACCTTGGTACCTCCCTCCCCTCCGTCCCCACAGCACGCTCCCTATACCGAGCTGGCAGCCATTTAAAACCACTTGCCATCCCCTCTCCCCCCAAAAAAAGGTTCTTGCTCGAGATTTTGTTACCTTCCCCATGCTAATAATTCCCCAACACCCGCATTGGCATACCCATCCAACCCACTCAGAACAACCTCGAACTCTGTTCAGCCCACCAGCAACACAACGACATCTCACGAGTTCAAAATAAAATTAAAAGCTCTCAGAGACTCCCCGAACGATTTCTGTCGTCGCCCAACCCATTCTATCGCTATTCTAAATATCTCTTTTTTGGTGTTGCTGAACTGCAACACCTGTCCACGGGAAACTTTAGTATCGCCGCCGGGCAAGGTTGACGACGAGACACGGCGACCACATGCAACGAGCACAGTCGGCCGTGGATTTTACAAATCTACTTAATCCAGGCGCTCCAGTGGCAAGGGAGCAGCAGCAGCAGCAGCAGCAGCAGAAGGAAGGAGACATGGCAACCGTCACCGTCATCCGGCCCAACGGCCCCCTCCCTGGAGGTCAGGCAACTGAGACTCCGAACGAGCTGCCTCGCCCATACAAGTGCCCCTTATGCGACAAGGCCTTCCACCGCCTCGAACATCAGACTCGGCACATTCGGACACACACGGGAGAGAAACCGCATGCATGCCAATTCCCTGGCTGCAGCAAGAAGTTCTCTCGCTCAGACGAACTGACCCGCCATTCGAGGATACACAACAACCCCAACTCGCGGAGAGGGAACAAGCAGCAACAGCACCAGGGCATGGTCCACGGCATGCAGCCAGATATGATGCCGCCGCCTCCCGCTCCCAAGGCTATCCGGTCGGCGCCTCCGTCCGGCATGTCGTCTCCCAACGTCTCGCCACCGCATTCGTACGCTTCGTACGCGGTCCCCCACCCTTCCGGCTTGAACCCCTACGGCCGTGGACTGCCTGGTGCTCAGGGGCATGGCATGGATATCACCATGCTGGCCAAGGCGGCCAAGCAGGTCGAGCGGGAGACATTAGCCACGCCGCCTCACCATAACCACCATCTCGCCAGGCACCACCCCTACTATTCCCACGGTCTCCAACCCTCGCGTGGCCATTTGCCTTCACTGTCTGCGTACCACATGTCGCGGTCTCACTCTCACGACGAGCATGACGATCATTACGGACACGCCTACAGGCAACCGAAGAGATCGAGGCCGAACTCGCCAAACTCGACAGCGCCGTCATCCCCAACGTTCTCCCACGATTCCCTCTCGCCAACACCCGATCAGACACCGCTTGCTACTCCGGCCCACTCGCCGCGCCTCCGGCCTTTCACCGATACGTACGATCTTCCTCCGTTCCGGAACCTGTCGCTGCAGCACACGACCCCCGCGCTGGCTCCGTTGGAACCCCAGCTGGATAACCAGTTCCCACTGAGCCAGGCTCCGACGACAGCGCCAAGGAGTACCGGCATGTCTCTTGCCGATATTCTCAGCCGGCCGGATGGATCACAAAGGAAGCTCCCGGTTCCGCAGGTACCCAAAGTCGCCGTACATGACTTGCTTGGACCGACAGACGACTACCACGTGAGCGGCAGAAGCTCGTCGTCCAACAGCATCTCAGGGGGCGACTTGGTGGATCGTTTCTAGATTGGATCCGGTTTACTTGGCTGTAAATTCGGAACTGGACATGATTGATGACAAACGCCGGCTATAGATGGAACCACGATGGCGTATTATACTTGATTTTTCTCTCTTTTTGTTATCCGGCTCGGCAGCGGGCCACCCGTCCATAATATTGACCTTGTCACTCGGCCGGCCCCCCCCCCGTTGGGACTACCGACTGCTGAGTTCAAGGTCCCACCGCCTCAGAGGACGACGGTTCTCTCGATTTTTCATTCTCGAGACGACAACCATATACCGAACACGGAATGCGCCGTTTCTTCTGGACATGTTACCTAGCCGAGGTTGTTCGGGTGGTTGGAGCTTGCGGGCCAAGGGGTGGAGTTAACCTACGAAGACAGCTCTTTTGTTTGTTTGCTTTTGGGGGTTTGTTTTCGGCACCAAGACTATAGACGGGGCGAAAGGTTATTGAATATAGGGAGGGACAGGATGGATCCCTGGGTATGCCGACAACTGGAAGTCGGCCCTCTTCTCTCTTTGTGTATTTCTCGCGTCAAACTCTCAGCTCAGACCGCCGTCCTTGGCTCTGGAGCGTATATTTGGTATTGGCATGGGCAGATAGAGCAAATCCCCCCCCAGAAAACAAACCCGGGGGGTTACTTCCAATCCAACGTGTCCTGTTATTCCCTCCCTTCCTTGATCAGCTGTGACTTTTTACGTATTGAATTGAGAGATCACATTTGGCTCGTGGGTCTTGTCACGCCGACACACAATATGCCCTCCGGTAGCGGAACGTGCTAGATGCACTTGAGGCCTTTTTTTTTTTTTTTTTTTTTTTTTTTTTTTTTTTTTTTTTTTGCACTCTCCCTTCGCCCACCCCTCATGTCCGAATCTCACAGCGCTTGTTCTCCTCTTTCTGACCTTCCCATCTTTTTCCCCTCCCTCGCGCTACCCTAGATCTGTCGTGCTACGTATCATTGCGAATCACCCAGTTCGCATCTGGAATGTGCCTGGGCAAATTAGGTACCTACCTAGGCAGGTAAGGTGGGTATTTATTAGTGTGGGATTCGGAGGACGAGGCCAGGTCGGAGGTTCCGGAAACCTGGAAATAACGAGCACCGAGAAGGAGGGTGTCTGAGTGGTTGAGTGATAATAACCAATAAAAGATTTTTTGCCTTAGCCTCCTCCCGTATCACCTCAGCTTACACATGTTACCCCGGAATTCGACTGCCTTAAGTCTACCTCAGGTCCTCAGGTTCCCCAGGAATCCTAAAGGCCTAGAGTGCCTTGGCTACTCTGGCTGGTCGGGCCTCGTGCGCATTTTCGACGAGAGCCCAAAGCGCTTCCCCTTCGCGCCTTACTTGCCGACAGCTTTTCAACTGCCATGAATACGGCTGAGGTTCCCCGGTTTGCTGTGATAATTAATGCTCCCATTAGAGCGGGTTCCCGCTAAATATCGCCCTATTGTGGATTCAGATAGTGTGATCACTCTAAAGATCTCCCCATCCCTTATTGCGGTATATATGCGGGTTTATCCTGCGGGAAGGGGGGAATGGGGAAGAATTTTTTTTTTTTTTTTAACAATAAGCCCGTATAACGAGGACAGTGCCCCGAGACCGTGAAATCATAGCGCCTCGTTGTGTGACTTGAGGGTGCCTAGCGAATTTGAAGCTATGGGCGAGAGTTATCACGGGCTTGGAGATTCAGCCAGCCCCCCCTTGCCTGATTGCCGATTTGCTTGCTTGCTTTGGATGCCTGCTTGCTTGGACAGGCAAACCAAGCTGTCTCCCACCAGGCCAATTGGCTTCCCGAGACGCCAATCCAAAATTCCCTGCATGGGAGGAATGCGGGTGAATATCCCGTAGTTACAGTCCTCGTAATCAGGCGTGGCCTTCCGATGGGCTGTGTGGACTGTGGAGGAACCGATACGCGATTCGTTCAAGATCTACCTATGAGTGCTATACTTTCCTCACCGCAATTTCCCCCTAGAGGGAGAGTGTGGTTTCTTTTGGTTGAGGATTGGATGGGGTATCGTCATCACTTGGGAAGGTGGTGCAGAGGTTGCAGCCCGCCTTCTGTGTTCATAGGTTCGTACGTACTGCACTACGGGGAAGGTACGCATATTCGTCGATGAGATGCTTGTCGAATGCGGGGTTTAGCCTTCCCCAGAGCCTGAGAGATCTTCAAGTTTCAGGGGCCGGTTGTCAGGTAGTGGGATGTCGCAGCTTATTGCGGGCACAGTACATGCCCAAAACGGACGTCAGCCTCCCCACTTCCAGTACTGTCTCTCCTAACAGTACCTACGGTAGGTATAGGAGGTGCCCAAAATGTAAGCAGCCTACCAGGCAGCGAGGGTTAAAACTTGGCCGTGGCTACCCACCGCGTTGCATTGAGAGCCAACACACTTCGACAAGAGAGTCGAAACACCTGGGTGCGAGGGTTATGAAACGGTGATGCTGGCTAGGATGGCGACATGCCCACGAATCCAATATGCGTACTCTAATAATTGTGGCGCGGCGAAAAACTACAACTACCTACCAAGACACTGGGGGGTCAGGACGTTCCATGGTTGGCCAAGGCCAAGCAATAAGCAATGGCGTAATTTGAGCAACTTTTACTTTTTCCCGGAACCCGCACTCTTTAGGTCCTCCCATCCATCGCCCCAGCCGGCAGCTCTAGGTACCTAATAAGAATGGGCTGATGGGGAGGTACAGTGAGTACATAGTAGATGCGCGGATCCAATGGAAAGAGCGCGCGTTGCGCCCGCGGCATGTACGCGGAGTAAGTAAGGCTGGATGAGAATTCTGGCGAGTCACAGCCGGGGGTACGGGACGTCGGGCGGCGAGGAAGGAACCTGGAGGATCTAAGCAGGGCTTGGCTCTCCCATAACCATGGGGTGCGTCCCAAGGTACCTACAGTACCTACAGCGTACGTGTCTTCTGTCTGTAAAGTTACAGTCTGGAATTTGTATCAACACTGTGCAGATCGACCCCCACGCCCCACACGGACCTAACCTATGTGAGTATTTCATACATACAAGATCTCGTAGGGAATATTGGCCGCGAACCCCGCAAACAGAAGGCTTCGCGAGGATTCCTGTTACATACAAGGGGCCTCATCACCTCATCTAGCCAAGTCTTGTCACAAACTACCCACGAAGGGTGCCGGGAGAGGAAAGCGTGATGGCTCAAGATCCCGGAACGAGCAATCGCACCACCACAAGCCGTGCTCCGATGTTATGCCGCCGTTACATCGTGCATTCCCAGCGTTTTCTTTCCTCCGCCAGAGATCTGTCTTCTGAGCCGTGCTTGCAGCTGTCAACCCAGCCAATCTTGCTCCGTACACACCCCATGCCCCTGGCAGACAGCTGAAAATAGGAATACCATGTACTAAGTAAGGCGGCATCCCTTTCGCTGTCGCAATCGATCACGGCAGGAACGAGGACACCAGCAAGAGCCCTCCGCGAAGCACACTCGTACCCCTGAATTGGCTGGTAGCCCCTTATCCAAGGACGCTCAGTCGCTTAGGGACCAGGACCAGGACCAGGACCGGGCCTGGATTTATTTCCCTGCATCTTCTGCACGATCCCCCAGCTTTCTCCCTTTTCCGGTTCACAGTCGATCGATTTCCCCATGTCGACCATGGCTTGGCTGGAGGTTGAAACAACCCACGGGCCCACGACCACCTCCCCCCACCGTAATGGAACGTGGGGAGATGATCTCTGTTGCAGCAGACAGGGGGCAGAACCCTCGCCCACTCCAGCGTTGGACGAGGGACTGATATTGTAGCTTTGAGCTATGTGTGCCCAATCCCGGTGCTTGCCGGTGAGACGCGTTGGCCTGAACATGGATTGATGCGACGTCCTTTACCTGGATATATCTGGAGATCTAACGGGAAAACCGAAGATCCTTCTGCAACAATGACGAGCTGTGTATCAGACAGATTGGACGGGGTCCGGCTTGGTAACCGAATCACATATCCAGGAACACCTTTGGGGGTAATAAGACTGCCTGCCAGCCATCTCTCGCAAGATCCGGCGGTTTTCCTCGCTGCATACACACGATCTGAGCGCCCGTTGAGTCGAGCCGATGATGCGATATGGCAACTTGCCGTACCTTGTCAATATGGCAGCGCCTTATGCAGCAGTAGGCGGAACGAAGGCTGTTCATCCTATCAGTGAGTCCCGACGGACGAATTAAATGTCTCAATCTCACCGCCATAATTGTTGGGAACAAGATCTGTTCAATTGCATCGAGAATTGATTGACTGCACACCGGGATTGCTCGTCTCGTATATTAACCCACCCCCGCAATCGTCGAGTGGGATACCGGCTGCAGTATAGGCTCCGCACGATATCTATTGCTATCCGAGCTGTTCTCCGAGGGCTAATGTCAGCTATGACCTACAACGTATACGCTTATCGCCCCGAGTTCTTCAACGTGGCCAGCGTGAGGCCGGTGGCAAGAACACGGGCTGTGATAGATCGCTGCTCAATATCGCAAAGACAGGCGGTCCCAGCCCCCGTGTATGCCTTTTCTGCCATCCAACAGAGGTTCAGAGGGGCCACGGATTTCAGATGCATCCTCGCATACCACTGGCTCGCTGACGCGCCCCATCGTGTTCGACATTACCCTGTGCCTCAGCCAGATCTTGTAATGACTCCCCAAAATTGACAGATGCGCATGGCAGCGCCGCTGGGTCGCCACACCAGCTGCAGGGCGGCGGCCCAAGCAAGCAAGTGCTTCCGCACCTACCTCACGCAGCCCGGATCTCAGGGTATTTTGGAGCTCGGATTCGTGGGCATCGGCACAATGTTGCTCCTTTATGCCCCAGCGCTTGGGTCGATTTCCAATTTGTCCGTGGCCCTTGGGGGGAAACTCTCTCACACACGCGTTCAACCGCGTAATCCTCCCGGTTGCCAGATATCTGCTTATTGCTCTGCGCGTGTTCTTCGTCAGCAAGCGAGTCCCATAGTACTCGCGTCAGCATACAGCTCCATGACCAAACCTTTGCCGAGTGGCTGAGGGTCCCATCAAGTTGTTGCCGGCCCGGGGAAATCCGCTGGTCAAGCTGCAATTGTGGCATCAGGTCGAGGGAACCTGCAGCCTAAATATATTAAATATATTGATCGCCACCCTCTCTTCCTGTCCCAAGACGCAGTCCAGGTTGTCCTTCCCCTGATCCCATTCAACGAGCATTGGCACCCCCTGGGGGTCGCTTGATTGTAACAGTGGCGTGGGCATATCACTGAAATTGGAGACGCAATCAAATCCACATGTTTCTCCCCATGGGCTTTCTCAACACAATCTCTACCCGGAATGAGGTTAAAATAATGCGGATACACAACAATAAGCGTACCTGACTCAATCTTGATCACTCGTTGTTTTTCTCCTGCTGCGCAACCCAAAAATAGGAGCGAGTCTAATAAGTCTCCGCCCTTCTTCAATTACTGTCTCCATGTCTGCTTGGACAAGGCCCAGGCCATGCTCTGCATATTCGAACACTCAACCGTACTTTTGGCTATGTGATATGATGCACGATCCCAGGATCGTTTTTCTCCTTTAGACTGCCAGCATTCACCGGCCCATGTCGGTGAGCGGCACCCCTCTGCCTATCCACGGCTCATCCCGCTTCTTCACCTGTTCTGAAGGTGGCAATGTTCCGAGGGCGTTATTCAAGGATATATTCAGCCTTTTACTGTTGGGGAATGCGCCCTCAACCTGTTTCCCGCGCCATGGGATCTCGGCCCGAGTTTTCAGCAGCTCAATGGCCGTCGAAGAGACCAAATTGGGATTCCAACAGCTTCCAGTTTTGCGGCTTCTGGTGACACACTACATCCCAGAAGTTGTCTGATACCTGTCGGTTTATGGTTCATGAACGGCACGGGTGGGCGCAGGGACGGGCGGACGGCTGGGCTCAGCCCCGACAGGGTTGGAAGTCTCTTCAATAGGAGGAGGGGAGTCGCACAGTCGAGCCACTTCTCCGTTCCTACTGTGGTCGAGACTGATATTGTTTGCAGCCACCTGCACTCAGAAGCCCTGCATAGCATGACAACAAACGTATCAAGAATCCGCAGCCGCTTGGCCTCGGTGCCCATTCGAAGATCTTGATTTTTGCAACGCCAGCGTCAGACTCTTTAGGGCAACGGTACTCGATCGGGCCGATGACAGAGCCCGTTCCCGGGCCTTCCAAACGTGTCTACCTTTGCGTCTACCTTTGCGTATCTCCATCCTCCAGCAGCTTTAGGCTACCCGCGAAGAAGTAGACTCAACACGCAACGGTGGTGATCCCTCAGAACAGGTCAACTTTACATGAGTTGCCTCCCGGCCACTGCCGTTGGGGGGGAAGCAAGTATTCCCAATTTGTAAATGAAAAGCCTGATCTGGGGTCTCCCTTGATAGCCATCTATGTCGTGTTCGTCCTTGGAGATTGTCCATCGGAGCAACCATCCTAGGCTTCTATGTCGGTAAACGTCCAGGTCAGAATAAGGCTAAGGCCAGGGCCATGTTCTTCTGTGCTCTGCCTCCCCAAAAGTACTGCGAGTATACAGAACAGATCGACCCTCGTCGTATCTTGGGCTGCTAACTGCCGGCTTCTCCTATGAGTCACTCGGGAAGCCCCTGAACCAGGCCCATTGTGGGATTCTAGACTCATCACCGACTCAGATGTGCCTCGCTTCATACAAGTGTGTTTTTGTTCCAGTGCGCCACCATACTCTCCGTGCTTCAAGACAACATTCCTCTCTGTAGAGACAACCAAGTGGTGACATAGGGGGTGGATGGGTGTACGTAGTGCTTCACGCAACCCCGGGAATCCAACGGCTCGTCTACAACTGCTCACCTTAGCCCATTCCAAAGCGTTGTTCTAGTAGCCTCAGGAACGGCCTGCGAAGGTAGAGCCGTGGATAGTGAAGAGCCGTAGATTCTAACAGGCCCGCTTAGAAGGGGTGAAGCATTATCGTTTGCTGAAGCTGCCCTAGATGCCCCAACGTAAAGAACTAGACGATTGTTGCTTAATAGTTACAACAGCATGGCTCACGAGTGCTAGTCAATCTTATTGGCAGCGGGATGGTCACAGGCTACTCGATGGACGACAGCCTACTTGAGATAGGACTGCTCACCGACGCTACTGCTTCTTATCAAGAGCAATAGGCTACTCCCTTGCCGTTTTATCCCTAGCTAACAACGCGATCCGCTTCTCGCTCCCTACTCTCCTCGCCCCTCGGGGGCTGAACCCCCGCGCACCTCGGCTAACGCCTTCCCGAGCGATTCCAAAAACCGGGTGACCTCGTCCGCGGTGCCGACCGTGATCCTCAGGCATCCCAGGCAGCCGTGCTCCTTGCCGCGGAAGCGGACGACGACCCCCTTGGTCTCCGCCAGCCGCTGGTAGACGGCCAGCGCGGTGGCGTTGTCGGGCCGCGACGTGGCGTCGAGCATCTCGAAGAGCAGGAAGTTGCTGTCGGCGCCGCCGCGCAGGCGGCCGACGCCCTCGATCCGCGGCAGCTCCTCCAGCAGCCTCGAGCGCTGCTCGACTATCCTCGCCCTGTTGGCGCGCATGACGGCCAGGCCCGGGGCGTCCAGGGCGTGGCAGGCCAGGGCGCTCGTGGGGCTGGAGATGTTGTAGGGGGCCTTGAGGCTGTTGAGGAGGCGGGCGACGGGGGCGGAGGCGAAGGCGGCGCCGAGGCGGATGCCGGCCATGCCGAAGGCCTTGGAGAGGGTCTGCATGACGACGAGGTTGGGCCACTCGAGGACCCACTCGGCCAGGGAGGCGTCGTCGGGCGCGAAGTCGACGTAGGCCTCGTCCAGGATCACGACGCCGTTCCACGTCGGGTGCTCGAGTACGGCGCGGACGTCCGCCTTGGCCAGCCGCGAGCCCGTCGGGTTGCCCGGCGAGCAGAGGTAGACGAGCTTGACGTCGCGCTCGGCGGCCAGGGCGGCGCACACCCCCTCGACGTCCAGGCCGAAGGTGGGCGCGGGCAGGAGCGGCACCCGCACCAGCCCCACGTCGTTGACCTGCGCCGAGACCGAGTACATGCCGTACGTCGGCGGGCACACGAGGATGCGGTCCCGCCCGGGAACGCAGAAGCACCTCAGTAAGGCGTCGATGGCCTCGTCGCTGCCGACGCCGACGAACAGGTTGTCCGGCGTGAGCGTCTGGGCCGTGTGCGCGTGCGTGTTGCGGTACCGGCAGAACAGCTCCTTCAGGTCCGCCTGGTGCGGGTCCGGGTACCGGTGCAGGCCTAGAAAGTCCAGCGCGGGCTCCGAGGCGCCGCGCTGGGCCGCCGCCATGCCGTCACCGGCGATTGATGGGCCGTAGGCATTCTCGTTTGCATCTAACAAGATGTTGGAGCCGTCGTCTTTGTAGTCGCTGGGGAGAGCGTGAGCTAGGGATACAAGAAAAAAGGGTGAGCGGGCCGGTCAGGGGCGGGGACTCACTCCCGGGCGCAGCGATACGGCTCAAGGGTAAGTATGTTAGGCCGAGCACATGTCTCGAGATTGAACGCGCCCATGGTGGGTGGAAATGTCTTAAAGCTTGTTTGAATGTAGCAAACTTCCGAGGTATCGTTTTTCTACCATCAATGACCACCGTTAATTAAATATGGCATTCGGCCGAGAGCTCTGTTGAGTCACCGAGGAGTCATCCCGGACGGGAAGTGGTGGGCAGTCTCGTCCGGACCCGACTCCGGAGTTTGGTGGCTGAACTTTTTCTTTTTTGGTCATAGGCTGCAATTGGCGAATGATGTTTGAGCGGAGCCCCAACCCCAATTTTAACCGGTGCTCCACAATTACAACGACGATGGTTCCATCAGCGATTGGATGGCCTCGGCTGCCAAACGGAGGTTGCACACAAGAGGAGAGACAATCCTTTCCCCTTGTCGATGATCTTGACTTAACCCAGTCAGTCCCCCATTCGTATCCTGGGACCTGGTAACCTTTCATTAAGCTTGAGAGGATGGAGGGGCTGCGGGGACTAGTCAACTTATTTTGCTCTATCTAAGCCAGAGGACATCAGGAGGAGGATAAGTCGGTCCGCGTATACAAGAAGGCATATTTGACGGACAAGATTCCCTCGTCTACACGACCTAGGTCCGGGTCTTCGGATACTTGACGACCAGGATCAGCCAATTTTGTTGACTCAGCTTCATTGTCGATAACCTTGTCCATGGCGACCCTGCCTCCGCACTCCTCAATATAGCCTGCAGGGCTTACATAGTAGTCCGTTCCTGCTTCCCCGTCCCGGGTGAATGGGACGTTAAATTGCTCCCGCCCTTGGAGGGGCATTTTTTTGAGGTTTATATAGCAGAGTAGGATCGCGCTGCTAATTCTTCGTTGTCCCCCTCTCCACGGTCTTTGGCAAGCGATCCGCCTCACCTCTCCTCGTCATGTTGTTCTTCTCTTTGCTGGTTGCCGGCGCATCGATCGCCGCGGCCGCCTCAGGCTGTGGGGCGAAGAAGCCATTCGAGAACTTGGTTGTTTTCGGAGACAGGTTGGGCCCGTATCATTCTGCCCTGCCCTGAAATGGCCTGCTAACTTTCCGTGAAGTTACAGCGACAACGGCCGCATGAGCTACATAGTCAACCACGATGGGAAGAATCCTCCGCCCGGGGTCTACCAAGACGTGTCCAACGTCACGGCCAGTGGTGGACTTACTTGGGGCCATTTCATTGTCCAGCACACGGGTGTCAACCTGGTTGACTACGCCATAAGCGGCGCGACCTGCTCCAACGAAATAATCTCTCGCCAATTTGACGCCATCAAGAGGCCCTTTCCCTCGGTCATGGATGACGAGATCCCAACCTTCAAGGAGGATGTGGCATTCGAGTCCCTGTACCCAAACCGCACGGCCGAGAACACGGTCTATGCCCTGTGGATCGGAACCAATGACCTCGGCTTCGGCGCTTTCCTGACCGACTCCCAAGCTCCTGGCACAACAATCACCGATTTCGTTAACTGCATCTGGGATGTTTTCGACGCCGTCTACCAGACCGGCGGGCGGCGATTTGTCCTGCTCAACGAGGCTCCTCTGGAACTCTCTCCCCTTTACGCTGCTCCGGAGGCAGGCGGAGCCTTGAACAACCAGTATTGGACCAACAAGACGCTGTATAACATGACCGAGTACAGCTACAAAATCAAGGAGTACACCACAAACGTCAACACCATGTTTGATTACGGCGCGCCGTTCCAGCTGTTGGTGAAGAGCCGCTGGCCAGGGGCAACCTTCAGCATCTTCAATGTCCATCAGCTGCTGAAGGACATCAGCGAAAACCCCAGCGACTATCTGGACTCGCCAGCAAACTCGACCGGATTCTACCACCACTGCAAGGCGACAGACAACTCGGACTGCGTCGATCTGCCCGAGGTCAGCTCGTCTGCCTTCCTGTGGTTCGATGAGCTGCACCCCTCGGAGAAATCTAGTAAGTCGAAGCCCGAGCAAGACCGATGGGGTAAAGAGACCGTCCCGAAGAGAACTGTTCTAACATCAAGCGTCAAGACTCGATCATCGCCGAGCACTTCCTTGACGTTGTTGACGGACAATCGAAGTATGGCACATATTATGGATCGCAAGGCAAGAAATGAGTCGGAGCAAGGGCCCAGGACCAGAGTCAATACGATGCGGCCTTGTCATTAATATAGCGGAGTACCTGACGAAACCCTTTACATTGGGAAAGCCGGTGGTGAGAAGCGGTCCTCTGATAGCGAATTCAGACGTCCCGCTTCCTTGACCTGCTCGCGGATACTTGTTGTCTTTACTCATTCCTTTCGCCACGATTGCAGTTTAATGAAGACATTGACACATCTTGACAATACCAAAACGCTCCCCGAGGGCCCTGAGCCAACCAAACACACGCGAAACAAGTCCGAGGGCCCTCACTCGACCAGGAAGGTGATGCTGTCTTGGGGACCGGAGTCTCTCTCTAAGAGGGGACGACGATGTAGGCGGATGCCCTCAGCCGGCATCGAGACGCAGGGTCTGAAAAAGGAGCTGTCCTCGCGGTATCTGCGAACCTGTAGCCCACAGCCCGTACGCATCCTATGCAATAACGCAATGACTTAATGTGTATTCCAGAAAAGGTAAAAAGTGGGCCGATCGGTGGTTTTGTTATTTCAGGGCCATTCTGCACCCTCACACCCAGGGTGATGGCAATGCCCAGGGGTAGCCTTTGGCAATCACGATCCTCACGGGCGTGTTTGAAAAGCCGACGGCCGGTATGACCACTGTTGCTGCTCTGCCTGCTATTGTTACGAACATACATACTTACATATATGCATATTTATGTACATATATACATACTACTATCCCCGCTCAGCCCGATGGTTGAAACCATCAACGCCTCGAAAAAGAAAACACACCAACGCTTCGCGAGTTATCCCTTCGCATCCTGAGCAGGGAGGTTGCGAACAATACCGGTCAGGTCGGGAGTTCTGGCCGGCTTGCCCAGACCAAGATGGTGTTGCAAGAGACGCCAGTTTGATCAATAAGTCAATGCACCCATGCAAGGAGCGGCTGATAAGTAGGTACCTGTTTCCATTGGCTTCCCAAGGTACCTAGGTAGGTAGGAACTACACGTAGGTAGGTAAGTAGTAGGTTCAAGGCCGCAGCATTGGTACTCAAAAAGACCAAACAACCTCCCTTTCCTAAGATACCGAAACGACTCCTAAATGAGGCCGAGCCACAAGGGAAACGCAGTGTGGATCTCCTCAAGAACCGCCTCCCCCTCGACTGTCCCTTCGTCGCCGTAGCAACGAATACACCCGCTCCACCGAATCCAGGAACGCCTTCTTGGTAGCGAGCCAATGGACATACCCAGAGTCTCCTGGAAGGAGGCGCAGAAGTTGGGCTGATTGCTATTCAACCCAGACTTCCTCCTAACAATGAGTTAGCAGTGAAACGATATTGAATTGGCTATGTTATGAATGGGTCCAATAAAGTTCTGGTTTGTGGGAAAGAACCTCAAGTTCTATGCCCCTATTTTGACCAGGGAACAACCGAGTTTTAGCCTTACCTGGGTGTGTTATGCCTGCATAGATAAATACCGTACCTACCTAGGTAAGCGTTTGCTATTGCTATTGCTGCTGCTAGTGCTATTATTGTTACTATTACTTTTGCTTTGCTCTTGCTATTTCCAGCAAGTGCAATAGCAATAAACAGCGACAGCAATAGCGATAGATAGATACGGCAATAACGATAGACAGAGACGGCAACAGCGATAGACAGAGAGGGCAATAACGATAGACAGAGAGGGCAATAGCGATGGCAACAGCCGCTGCCACCTTTTATGCACTGGCCGTTGGCGCATCCCCCTGGAGAAACCCCCTTTCAGAGGCTCACAGTCAGACCGCTTAGTAGTTAGCTTCTCTTTTCTGAGTCTATCTACGGTCCGACAGGAGAGCGAATGTGCAAGTTGGGAGCGTTCCTTCTTGTATCCATAGTTCTGGCCCGTGGGCTGCGACTGCTCCGACGCTCCCGGCGGTTCCTTGCGTTTGTTCGGTTGTTAGGTTTTCTCTGTATTTCTAGCGGTTTTGCCCCCTTTTAACCTCTCTTCTTTCCCTTTGTTTTAGCAGTTATCTTTTATTGTTTCTTTTTACTGGGAAAAAAAAACCATCAACACTTCATTGGCCCCTCCTTGGGGGCAGGTTCGGTTCTGTCCGCTGGTTCTGTCCGCTGGAGTTGCCTGTCCGCTGGAGTTGCCTGTCCGCTGGAGTTGCCTGTCCGCTGGAGTTGCCTGTCCGCTGGGGTTGGGGTGGGGCCACACGAAGACCAAAGACATTCAATACGGTGCTGCCAGCAGGCGTGGATCAAGCAGGACGTGCCGGTGCACCTCCATGACGCCAGCACCAAGGCCGCAATCGCGCGCCTGCACGCGCTCAACGACAGGCACCATCGCGACGGACCAGAGCCCGGCTGGGGGTGCGGTCCACGAGTCGTACCAGACGAAAATCCTGCATCTTGAGGGTGCTTTGCCCGGGACATTGAAGCCTCGGTCAAGGGATCGTGCTGGCGTGGGTGGCTTTCACTGGAAGAGACTTTGCCAAGAACTTCCGGCGCTCTGAGCCGCTCGCACTGATCGTCATGATGCACTAGGGGGTGCTGGTGGATAAGCTGGGCAGGGAGGCCTGGTGGGCGAATCAGGCGGGACGGAATCTCGTCATCGAGCCATTTTGACCTGCCTTCCCATCCACCTCTTCCTTTCCGGCAGCGCAAAGTGTCGGCGCCGCGAGGTCACGTCCTGGGGCACTACCTCTTGGCCAATCGCACCACCGGCACCAGCACCGCCCCTCGAGAACAGCAAAACACACCAACGCTTCAGGTGTAATCCCTTGGCAAGCCTTCACCCATCAGTGCCTCGAGGACGGTAAAACACACCAACACTTCACTCGTAGTCTAAAGACGGAAAATTATGCCAAACCTTCACGCATTTTCCTCTTCGCGATTTCATCTAAGGACACACCAACACTCGACAGGTCCACCAACACTTGACGGGCACACCAACACTTGACGCATTTTGCCCTTGGTGGGACTCTACCTACGGCCCTGCTGGTATGATCTGGCCTGCGCAGCCGTGGAGGGTCGTGAAGACTAGGGTTTGAAGGAATGTTTATGGAACCTGGATATCAGAAGAAGGTTGTTAATATCGAGGTCACCTGAAGAGGCATATCCTTCAGCCTACTCCTGGAACTAGAGTCGGTCATATGAACGGGATTGAAGCTATGCCTCCTCCCCCGAGGCCCTTGCGGATCCCCTTGTCGACGTTACCCTGACTGTAAATTGCAATCTTACATGACCTGCCCGTCGTCTTCTTACAGTTTCAAATTTTGCAGTACGCTCTTACGCCAGGTGTAGTACCTAGGTATGCTCGCATCCGCTTTCGGCTTCCCCCCTTGCCTCGCTGACTTCAGGTTAGGTAGGTACCTAGGATCGGCGACTCAAAAAAAGGTGCGAGTGGTGAGATGCTCAAGTGTAAAGTGTAACTGTGATCTCAGTAGTGTCAGTGAAACTATTAAAGTTACTTTGGTTGTGTCTCCGAAAACCTTGTGCCTTGGGATATATCAATATGCCGCACAAGGTCCCCTCGAAGCCAGCCTGGCTTACCTTCCATCTTTCTCGCAGAAACTGCTCTTTGCTCATCAACAAGACAACATCCACACACAGGGGTTTAAATACACCTCCAACTAACATGGCTGACACAAATCATGTTCCTGATCGTCATTCTGGCCTCAACGCCAACTATCCCCACCCCGAAGGCGACGAAAAAGGTCGAGATCGATTAGCCTGCTTCACCAACGGACATAGTGTGAACAAAAGATATCGCAAACTTTTAAAAGAGAATGAGGGCATCATCTTCAAAGCCGACCGGCTGTATATGGAACCACCCCACTGGGCTTCTCGAAACCAGGGCGCCGGCGAACAAGGTTGGATCGAGCTGGGACAAGACTTGCTCTTCCTCCTAAGCTTCATTTGGTCCTTCCTGGCTCTGGTGTTCTTCAAGATGCCGACAGATCGCTCGCTGCAAGCCTTTTTGTTTGAATTCCGACAATACCAACCCTGCTTTCGGTCGCATTCAACATCTACCGCCAAGTGAGATATACATTGCCTTCAACCTACCGCATCTTCAGGGTGGCCCAGGATATTCAGTCGACAAAGCTCAAGGGTTTCTATGATTCTCAGACTCTCCATGAGAAGATCTCTCATTGTTGTGTGGAACTAGGCGAGTTCGTTCTCTGCGTCGTTCCCGAGTCTGATATTGCCGCGCTATCCTCAACGCAACTGCATTGGCTGAACGACATGTATCGGGCCTGGAGGCTTACCCACCAACTGCTTGGAAGTTGCTCTCTATTCATAGATATGATGGAGCAGCTGAGACGGGGCCCAGATGCCTATCCGATGGAGGCCGGACACTGCGGAGAAAAATACGGAATCACAACCACAAGGATTATGGTCCCGTTGTCTCCAAAGGAGTTGGAGAATGGACCGAACGCACAGGGATTGGAAACGGTGCTCTATTTCCCCCCTCGCCTCGTTTCTTACCTATCAGAGTTAAGGATTGGTATTGAAGGGTCACGAAGAGATGGCAAGGTAGGAAGTAGGGGGGAGCTCTTGGTACGATGGCGGGAGTTTGAATGTCAGATATATCGGAGTAGTCACGTGGACATGTAGGTGGAATAAAGGTACTTTATTGCATGTTACGATAACTTGGCGACGGAAAGTTGTGCGACCCCACGTGCCCACCTTGTCCCTTCTGGGATTTGCTGACATTCCTTTGGCGCCCTTTGACCTTCTTGGATCCTGCTGCATCATTTCTGTTGTCCCCCGTATGCCACCTGTCTGGCGCCAAGATCCGTACATACTTCTTATCCCTACGGGTCTACACGGTATTGGTTGCAAGTTTGCAAGGCGGTCTGCTTCTCCTCTACGGAGTACTGCGTAGGGAAGCTCGGCGCTGCCCTTTTTGATTGCTCACACCCTGGTATTCCGCGCGTTTCTTGCGTGCTACCTCCACACTTCTCATACCGCCCACACCAACCGGGGCTGCCTTTTGCGCCGCCTCGGTGCTACGAGTGACGACAAGCAAGGCAATAATTGCCCAAGGAGAGATTTGAGTTGGCACTATCGCCCCTGGGCAGTCCTTGTATATACGTCGACACCCACTGGAACACGCCCATCACATCCCCGCCATTCATCCCCGAGCTTCGAGGACCTGAGGGCAAACCATACCAGATTTTGATGGGCTTACCCCTTCCCCATCCCCACATCGGCAGGCTCAGCACCACACACACGTCTGGCACCTAAGCTGATCCACGACCACTCTGCTGTCGGTTCTGTCTCCATTCCACCCGCCCCGGTTCTGTCACCCCTTTCTACTGGGCTGCTCCAGCCTAGCCCTGTAAATAAGCCATGTACCAGGGGCAGTATGGCTTTCCAAATGCCGCCGCTGGCGGCGCTGCTGGATCGACCTTCAACGGCGCCCCACCTTCGCAGAACCCTCACTTGCAGCCTGGTCAATCGCCGAACCAGCCACAGATGATGTACAACCCGCAGCAGTTCCCCATGGCCGCTCAAGGTTCATTCCCCGGCGGTGGTGCCAATCCTGCTGCCGTGATGGCAGGTGCTGGTCCTGCAGGCATGATGCAGAATACCGCCATGCCGCCGCACATGGCCGCCAATGGTCAGAGTAAGCTTCCATTTCCCTGACCACTGTTTCCTCCCTAGCTCGTTCGCCTTCTACCCGTCCCGTTTATGCCGTCGACCCTCGTCGGGCCTCGCGTTGTACCAGCTTTGTGCGCTCTGTCTACCTAGGCATCCATCCCCCTGGGCGCGGGAGGAGGACCGGTTCCGCCCGCTATGCCAACTCTGCCCACTCCAGCCTCTTCATTCGGGGCCACATACAGAAGCTGACGTGTGTCTTGGGATCATTTAGTGGCGTACCAGACCCCCTATACCGCCTCAGCGTACGGAGCTGGCGTGCCATCTCCCGCAGGTCCCCAACCACAGCTGCCTCCCAACTACATGATGGCCGGCTCGATGCCTCCCCAGTTCCAAGCGAACCCAGGTGGCATGCCACAACAGCAGCACATGATGCAGCGTATGCATATATCCCAGCAAAACGCCCAAGCCATGGGAGTTGCAACACCCCAACGCGCCTTCAACGCTCCCCAAGGCAGTCCGAACAGCTCGGTATCCTCACAGCAGGGACAATTCCCTCCCCCAGCTAACCAACAAGGCACCGCTCAAGGCCAGGCCCCAAACACCGCCCAGCAACAGGTTACGGCTGCCACAACACCGCAGACACCAACCTTTCCGTCGGCCACCGGTCAGCCGCCCAATGCGAACGGGACGTCGACGGCGTCTACCCCGCTGAGCCCAACCTCCGAGTCCCGAGACAAGGAGAGGTTCAATTTGTTGTTGGAAATCAACCAGGAGCTCTTATACGAATCTATACAACTCATGAACACCAAGGCAGAATTGAAGAAGGGACAAGCTGCCTCTGGATCTGCGGGAGAGAATCCGAATGGGCAGAGCGCAGATAACGTGGAAGAGGAGAAGCTCATCCTCCAGGATTACAACCAGTAAGTGTACCGCCATCACCTTACCAAACCATGCGCATCCGGCCTCCTAACCGAACATCTCAGGTGCATGCGGAGGCTCCAGGGCAACTTGACATATCTAGCAGCCCTCGCCGATAGGAAGGGCGGGCAGCTGCCACCATGTCCTGCTTATCTATCGCCACCTCGCTTGAGCCTGGACATTAAGATGCGGTGTCAACCCCCCATACAACCCGATTCCAGCGAGAAACAAATAGACCAGAACGAGGATCGGGAGGAGAGAGACAAGTTCCTCAAAGAAATGTATAAGAAGCTGCAGGGGCTATTTCCGGGGATTGATCCTAAGAAGGAGCCGACTTATCAGGTGCAAAATGCCAGAGGAGCCCAGGGGGCTCACGGACAGCAGGCCAGCCAGAATGGCCCAAGGTCGGGTGGTGCGCAGACTTCCAACCAAGGAAGTCCCCCCCCAGCAGGAGCACCCCAGCCTCAGAGGACCGCACAAGCGGCAAACCAGACGGCTTATCTAGCAGCCCAGACTGCTGGTGGATTGTCATGAGCTCCGAATCTCTACCCCTGCCGCGTCCTGGTCCGGTGTTTAAGGCTACTGGGGGGCTTGAAATCAGAGCTATGCTGGTTGCCTCACTTGGCTACGCGACCACATTAGCGGCGTTATTCTCGGACGGTGTCATGAACGGTCCTAGAGTCTGCTTCGGGTCGGGAATATTGTCTCAGCAGGCGTTGAGGCCATGCAAAATAAACTTGTCTTTTCCGTGGGAGCGGATGCAACTGGTTTTTGTGTGTTCGCGTATGAAGGGATATGGTGTTGAAATGGGATTATATCGATGTATGGCGAGGAAAGGGTCGAGAGTTGGAGCGAGTCTCGGTGTCTCGTGTAAGATTTGGCATCGATTGTATCCTTGTAGGTACTGCACCTGGCTTAAGCGAGTGAGAGCCTGCATACGTTGGTAGTGACAAAGTAAAACGCATCGCTATGATCGACTTTGACATTGATGAACTGAACTTGGTGGGTTGCACTGCGGAAGATCGACCAAGTAGCTCGCTGACTTTGGTCTCGCACATTCTACACCACAAGGCTTTCATGGAAGCCAGGCAATTCCCCCGTCCCTGGCAAATTGCAAACAAAATGGCTTCATGACTTGGATGGGAGCTGTGCGATCGACCCTCCTACGTTCAAGCCGTTCTGCTCCCTTGGGAGTTGACTAGGGACCCCTGTTTTAGGGTCCATGGGGACTGCGGGGCCGTTATACATGAAGCTATTTGATTGGAGAACTCGGGAACATTAGACTCATTTGCCTGCACCAGTTGCAGCTCGCAGGATGCAGTAGTTCGCAGACTGGCCAGACCCATCGAGTATGGCTTCATTACAAGGTAGGTACTGTAATGAAAGGAGGAACGCTCCTTAGGCTTACACAAGACCAGAGCGTTACACCAGTTATGAACCAAGAATACTACCTAAAATATGTATGCACTTATGTATTATTTCTGACATGATTTTGCATCTCGCGAATCCTCTGCTCTTCTTCTCCCTGGGCTATATACCTACTCTGCCTGAATTAACCTGTACTGTTTCAGTCCACCTCTGCCCCTCGATGCAACCAAGGAGGAACTTCTGAGGATAGCCCTGCACAACTTGCGAGGAGTTCGAAGTTATCCCCTCGTGCCCCTCTGTCCCCGTGGCCAGTGCGATTTTGCTTGTCGAGCACCCCTGCCGGTCTCTTCTTTTTTTCTTCCTTCGTTTTCCGCCTTGGCTCGTTGCTGGCTGCTCCTGTGGATTGCCTTTGCGAACAGCACAACTGGCACGCACGGAGGGCTTGTTGGCATTCCACATCTCCTCGACCCGCCCGAGGCGATAAATAACACAGTCTCTACCGCTTCTCCACATCTCCTTCCTGAGGTCTGGGGCTTCCCAATGGAGCTCGACCAGGTCGGAGCACAAGAAGATCAACATGAACCAAGCTCGCTGTCAACGCCGACCTCAACCGAGAGCTCCCAGTCCTCAACCGACATCTCTCCGGTAACAGACGAGACGACACGAGCCGCCGACCACGACTCGCTTGTCACCGTCCGCCTCTCCGAACCCCCCACCCTCCAAGCCAACACAAATGTCGTGCCCAATGCTTTGCCCCCAAGGAAGAGTCTGTACGGACATGAGTATACCCCGAGCGATGCTATGGCAGAGGCAGTCAAGGAGGAAGTTGAGGAGGAAGTTGAGGAGGAAGTCGAAAGCGACGAAGACGACGACGACGACCTGACTCCACTACCAAATATTGGGCGTAGCCTCGAAGACGAACTTGAAGACGACGACAATGAAGAATATGCGGCAGTTGGCAGGGAGACAGCTGGGGAACAAGCGCAGGAAGATACGCATGTCACCGACTCACGGCCGAGCTTAGATTCAGATGTCGACTGGCACGAATTGCAGAAAACAGAGGACGAGGAGTCGAGGGGCCAAGATGCAGACAATGTAGGTGCTTCTCTCTCTCTTGCCCGTTGAGCTGTCCTGTGCGTGGTTAAGCAAGGCGAGATGGACTCGCTAACAGCTGCCCTTCCAGTCCGCGACCATGCTACTTGCCAGGCTGGAGCAGGAGAATAGTCGGCTAGCTACCAACCCGAAGACAGCGAAAGTACAGGCAGAGGAGAAACAACAGTCTCCAACATGGAAGACACGACCGCCCTCAATGGCGCAATTGCGACAAATGGTCAGCGGCCCCACCCCTCCAGCGCTACGATATTCGATGCTGCCGCCACCCCCCCTTACGGATCTCGAGTTCTACGCGGCCATCGTCAAGGACTACCAACAGACGGCGGCCAGGCTGCCTACGCTACTTTCCAACAAAATACGGAAAGGCATCCCCCCGCCGCTGCGGGGCGTCGTCTGGCAGAGCATGTCCGGAGCGCGCGACCCAGCTCTCGAGGAGGCCTTTGAGAGGTTGTCGGGCGAGTCTAGCCCGTATGAGGGCATCATCGGCAAAGATCTCGGGCGCAGCTTCCCCGGAGTGGACATGTTTCGGGACCCCGAAGGCGACGGCCAGCGGATGCTGGGTCGAGTGCTGAAATGCTTCAGCCTCTACGACCAGAAGATCGGATACTGTCAGGGGCTTGCTTTCCTGGTTGGCCCGCTGCTGATGCATATGCCGGACAAACAGGCGTTCTGCGTCCTGGTCAGGTAAGAAAACTGGCACCAAGCGTCCGAACCATGGGATAGCGAGAGAACCCCCTCCCAGCCCCCCATCATTGGAGCGTTTTTGGCTAACCCACGTTGTGTGTGTGTGTGTGTGCGGTCAGACTCATGGAGCACTACGATCTGCGCGGCTGCTTCCTGCCAGACCTGTCAGGCCTGCACGTCCGAATTTATCAGTTTCGACAGCTTCTGCAGCAGAAGCTGCCCACGTTGTCGGCCCACCTGGAGGATTTGCAGGTCGATCCGGCTTACGTTTCACAATGGTTCCTCTCGTTCTTCGCCGTAACGTGCCCCCTACCCATGCTGTTTCGCATCTACGATGTCATCTTTGCCGAAGGTGCCTCAGTCACCATCATGCGGGTGGCGCTGTCGCTCATGCGCAAGAACCAGACCCGCATTCTGGCCTCCACCGAGCTGGAGGAAGTAATGCAGCTTCTCCTTTCTCGAGGATTGTGGGATTGCTATCACTACAACGCCGACGATTTCGTCCAGGATTTCGTCGGACTTTCGAGCGTAGTCACCAGAGAACAATTGGCAGCGCTTGAGCTGGGATACCGAGAGGCCCAACTGGCCAAGAGCGGCAACTTTGGCGCCAATCCCAAAAGCACAGATGCAGCGCGGGCATCGGATGTTACAACCGCAGCCTCCAGATTTCTTGGCCGCCTCTGGGCCTCCTCATCAACCCCGAAATTAGCTTCTTTTTCGCCATTGCACGCGTCTACAGCCACCACCACTATCAACAGCCCCAGCAGTAGCAGTAGCAGCAGCAGCAGCACACTCAGCCCTGGCCTCACCGCGCCGCATCGCCCGCTGAGCATGCTCAGACGGAGTGCATCGAAGCAAAGCCTGGCCTCCACTCTCAATTCTATGGATGCTGGCCCTGCATCGGCATCATCGTCGGCTGCCAGCGTCCTGAGTTCTGCATCAACAGATGCCACCTCCATCTCGAGAGACAGCTCTACCGCAGACGACTCATCCACCCGCGGCTCAGGCCCGGCCGCCAGCGGGCCGAGCTCGAGACCGACCCTCGCTGCGTCCGGCGGTGGCAGCAACAAAGACGACACCAGACACCTGCATAGCCAGATAGAAGACCTCCTTACCGCCCTCAGCGAATTGCAGCGAAACCAGGCACTCCTATCCGATCAACTACAGAAAGAAAAAGAAGAGCGCGACGAAGACAGGAAGGCGGTCCGCTCGCTCATCGACAGCCTGAGAAATAAAGCAAGCAGTGGGGCAGCGACAACGCTGTCTAGCAGGGATAGTGAGGAAACCGTCACCGAATCCCAAGATGCCTCGAACAGAGTCGGCCAACCCGCCCGTGTCCCACAGCTCGCGGATCTCTTGGACATGGTCGAGCAGCGGTTTGGCAACGAAACTGACAGCCGAAGATCGTCGGTCCCGCAGACCAAGCTGCAACTACGAGACCAGCTGGCGCGAGCAAAGGAACAGCTGTCCAACGAGCTTGCAAAGACGCAGGATTACAGCCGGAGAATATACGATCTGGAACAAGAGGTGGCAACGGTCAAGGATCAGTTGAGGGAGAGTCATGTCCACGTCAGGACTCTGCACCAAGACAAGCAGCGCTTGGAGAAGCAGGTCCACACGTTGAAAGTACGAGCCTCCGACATGCCGCCGACGGTACAAGAGAATGGAGACTGGTTCTCTCGGGCGATAGGCATCAGCGGCGCCAGCGCACCGGCCGGCGGAGGGCTCCGCGAACTCAAGCTTGGCCGCAGCAAATCGACACCATCACAAACGACAACATATACCAAACGAGCGTCGTCACTGATGATGCACGGGGCCGGCAACGGTCACGACCCCATAGCCGCACCGGTTAGCGAGTATGACGCCTTACTCCTGGAGCTCGTGCAGGCCAAGACGGCCGAGGCTGTCGCCAGGCAGGAGGCCGAAGAGGCAAAGCAGAAGCTCGAAAACCTGCGGAAGGCGTTCGGCCTCGCGCTGGGCGATGCCGCGCCCGTCCCACCCAACAGCACCATGGCGGCAACGGCAGCGAGCCAGGCTTCGGCAGCGGCGACGGCCGCGTTTGGCATGTTCGGCCGTCTTACTGGCTCGGCATCCGCATCCACAATAGCCGCCGACCCAGTATCTGTCACTAAGTCGGCGGCGGCGGCAACGGCAACAGCGACAGCAGCGGCTCCGGCTTCGGCTGCTGCAACCGCTGCTGGTGGTGGTGGTGGTGGTGGTGGCGGCGGCGGCGGCTTCTGGGGTTGGCGAAGATGATGGAATATTATAATGCTGTACGACCGATGCGCCTGCCTTGACGCATGTTTGACCCCAAAGTGGTGTCAAGGACGGGAAGAAGAGGTGGTCACGCGACACCATCCCTAACCCCCACTACAACTACCATTGACATACCCCATTCTTTCCTTTTTCCCCTTCTTTTCCCGACTTGGGGCTCTCATATACCTATCTTCATCATGGGCAGCTTTAAGTCCCACAATTTATTAGACTGGGCACTAATGTCTGACGACGTCAGGCGAAGGTAAAAGCACGAAATAGATGCTTAAGACCTTGTTTAGGGGGGAGTCTATTGCTTCTTAGAAAGTGCTTCGACGGAAGCAACAGGCCGTAAAATTTTTATGTATAGAGATACCAAGATAAACCTGATTTATTAGAAGATAACCTAGGGCACTGCACTCTGCGCAGTGCTCCTTCATATTTCTCTTCAGATCTGTTATGTGCAGCATTAAATCTCCCTCCCTTTGTCCCTGTCAATGATGGAAAGTTTCCACAATTTCAAAAAGCAAATGATCCATGCGCAGGGTACCAAGCTCTTCCAAGCTCTTATTAGTGTCATAATCACATGCAAGAAGGAGCTAGGCCGTCCACGTCCAAGAGATGGGACAGCTGGCAGTAAAGAAGGCGACGTAATAAACAAAGGCAATATGAGCACAAAAAGGAAAGAATGATTCACTGAAGGAATTAGCTGCCTGCCAAAGGTCCAGGCTTCTGGAATGGAGGGGCGTTGCTGGGACTGTGATAGGCTGTGGCCGATCCAGTTGCCGTGGCATGATGAGATCATGGCCACAGGTCACCAAACCACAGAGCACGGAGCAAGTGACCGGGGTCAAGTTTGTATACCTACAGTCTCCTTTCTCCACCAAATTTATCGATTCACCTTCAACCTGTCTCACCATTCCACACAAAGAAGCTGCTCTCCTGAATCCCACTGCCCACCGACTTCACCTTTGTGCTTCAAATAATAACTTGCAACCACAAAAGGTATCGTCATCACAACCCTCAGCTTCCCTATCCAGTTCTAACCCGCTGCTCTCTGAAGCTGTTTTATCAGCACCCTGCCTGCCAACAGAACATTTTTCCAGCGGTAGCCCCGTGCAACCACTTGCCGTCCCCAATTTCCAAAAATCAAAATCACCACTCGACATCACAACATTCGCCATGGCCGACAGTGCCCGTAATCCCACTTCCTTCGCGGATGCCAACGGTTCCACCGCCACAGACTCCTTCAAGGACAGTAAGGTCAGTTTTCCCCTCCCCGAAATTGCCGGATACATGACCACAGGTTGTTGTGGCGATGGGGAAATTATCCAGCTAACATGTGTCTAGTGTTTCATGGCTCGCCATCTTCCACTGATCCTCTCCAGAAAGCAGCAGAACACTGACGATGACTGTCTCGATAGATGTTTCATCCGCCTACAGCTCTGTCACTAATGGTATTTGACTTCCCCTCGAAATACGCCCTGCTACAGCCATATCCAAGCTAACCTATCTTCCTCTTTTCGCAGGCCCAGTTGCTCAGAATGCCAAGGATCAGCATGCGAAGACCACAGCCGAGCTCTCCAACCTCGCCGCTGCCCGCAAGACTCCTCCCAACCCTGCTGCCACCGGCCAGCCGTTGACACACTACCACTCGTTCTTTTCGGAACTTCTTTCGTGGAACAACCCTCGTGCGTTTCCAAATTCCCCAGGGACTGTCACATGCATCGGATGGGATCACTAATGAAGGAAATAGGTGCCTCTGCCATCGCCTATGCTTCCATCGTCGCCGCCATCTTTGCGGTCCGGTACCTGGACGTTCTTCGATGGGGTTTCAAGCTTACCTGGATGGTACTGGGTATCACCATCGCTGCCGAGGTCCTTGGGAAGACACTCCTGAACAACGGCCTCGCCACCCAGCTCCGTCCCCGAAAGTATTACACCGTGCCGAGAGACACCCTCGATGCCCTCATTGGCGATGTCCATGAGCTTATCAACTTTTTCGTCATCGAGTCCCAGCGGATTCTATTCGCCGAGAACGTCTCTGCTTCTGCTGCTGTGGGTTGCCCTTGCTATACCTGTTCCTATGACGCACGTGTTTCTCCGTTTCTAACGATTGCTAGGCTTTCCTGGGGGCCTTCATTTCGTACTTCCTCGTCAAGATTGTGCCGTACTGGGGCCTTGCTCTGATCGGCGCGACGACTGTCTTCTTTGTGCCTCTTGTCTACGCCTCCAACCAGGAGTTTATCGACAACCACCTCAAGCAAGCTGGCGATATCGTCAACTCCCAGGCTGCTCAGATCCGCGAGGTTGCCCAGAAGCATACCTCCCAGGCTACCCAGATCACCAAGCAGTACATGGGTGACTACACGGCCAAGGCTCAACAGATGGTCCGGGGACGCTCTACCTCCCCCGAGATCGCCGCGAAGCCCGCCGCCAAGCAGTACTCGACTACCGATTTCCCGGCCGCTCCCAAGAAGGACTTCAAGACCGAGCAAGCTGAGACCTTCAAGTCCGAGTCGGAGCCTCTCATTGAGCCTCTGTCGGAGCCTCTGATTGCGTCTTAAACGCAACCGTTGGTTAAACTCCCAACTTCCCCTCACCCTGGTGAACTGTACTCCTTACACCAGACTTCGGACTTTGGCTGGCCCTCGTTCTTGATATGACTTGACGGCATAGACATGAGGGGACGACGATTGCTAGACTGAGGGGCTGGCCGAACGACGATAGACAACTTCTCGGTACTTGTGGACATTTGGCGGCGCATGGCACTGGAATGGACAATAGCAAGATTGCCCTCTTTTATTAATAGGAAACTGACGAGACGACTGCGGCGATCAAGAGGGGATTTTGACATCGAGGTGGAAGAGTGGATGGAAGGAAGTGTGTGGCTGTCGGCCACTCTGGAGGTGATGGATGGGTGTGTTCATGTTGTTCAGTGTGTTGATTATTATTTTCCCTACCTTTTCAACGTACGATAGGATCGATCCTTGCGAATATGTCTCTTTCGGGCGGGAGGAAAACGGGGGGGCTAGGTTTCTCTTGCAGAGGCGTTTCGCGCTATCTCAATCAACCGCGCTGTCTACCTTTGCTTCTTCACTTGCACGATCTCATCTCGTCTCTCTTTCGTCTGCATTCCGGGTTTCCGGGCTGTCGTGGAGGTCGAGAATAAATACGATATGGCTTTCTTAATTACATACCCCCCTAGCTAACCACCACAAATTGCAAGTAACTGGGAGAGGATTTAACAGCCTGGTCAGGTTTGAGAGAGGCTCCCACATGTGTGATGCTGCTACCCACCTCCTCTCGCTCCCTTCCTCGAACGTGGTAGGTAGACTGGGGCTTGGCGCGAGTGGGGGGAGTCAAGAACATGTTTGGCACTTGGTATCTGTCTACTTTGGATGCTACAGGCAAGTCGATGGATAGTTTGCTCCACACGTTATTCGTTTAAAGGAGACGATAGAGAGCTGGAAAAAGAGCTTCCTTGCTCAGCGAACCCCCCAAGTCCCGGATTTGACGATATCAAAGGTACAATTGCACATGCTTCGTCCCCTCGAGCATCCTCCTCGGGCCATACACACGCACACGCCAGAGGCCCCGGTTCCTCGATGAGCAGACAAGACGGAAATAGCTAAAAGAACCAGGAGTGCGTAATCAACTCGATAACGTCAGGCCCATCCGTGCCGAAAGTAAGAAAGTGAAAGAAAAAAACCCAGAAATCCCTGCCTCATAACCGTTTTTGTCCCTTCCGATTGAGCATAATATCGTGTCAGAGCAAGAGAGCAAAGAAAGGGTGTGTGTGTGAGCAAGCATTGTCGCATTAACCGTAGATGGCACCCCCAAGACAGGAGACAACGGTTCAACAACCGGCTGGCTCAGCTAGTCACTGTCATCCATGGCGAAGGCATCGCTCTCGTCATCGACAACCACGGAGTCCTCGTCATCCAGGATGATGGGTTTGGCCTTTGCCGCTGCCGCCCTGCCCGGGCGCCCGCGGGGCTGGGGGGCGGCCTTGGGAGGCGCGTCCGTCATGACCATGTCGTCATCCTCGTCGTCGTCGCTGACCACCTTCTTGGCTGCCTTGGCCTTCTTCGCAGCATACGCCTTGGCGGCCGGCGAGAGTGGGACCGGTAGCTTCGGCTTGGCCTTTGTCGCGGCCGGCCGTCCACGTGCCTTCTTCGCCGGCGCGGGAACGACACTCAGAGGCGCCTTTGCCTTCGATGTGGCAGCCTGGGATGAGGAGGCCTTGGAAGCGGTGGCTATCTTGGCTGGAGGAGGCAAGTCGTCGTCAGAGAGGAAGCTATCCAGGTCGTCCCCCTTAGTGGACTTGCGAGGTGACGACATGGCGAGGGCCTCATAGTTTGTGTCGTCGTGGCTGTCAAAATCAAATGTCCGAGAGGGCTTTGACCGGACTTTGGGGAGGGCCGCAGAGCTACTGGCAGGCTCGTGGCCAGACTCCGGCCGCGACATGGCAAACAGACTAAGCCTGCCACCCTTTCCACTAGTAGCAGGGGCTCCGATACCCTTGACCATGGCGCCGACGTCGCCCAGCATGTTATCGCCGTCGCTCTCGGACTCTTCGTCATCAACAATCCAGGCCTTGGCTTTGGAGGTCGCAGCTCGCTTGCCGCGTGCCGGTGCCGGTGCCTCGGGGACCTCCACCTCCTCGACTGCTGATACCGAGGCAGGTGGCGATACCGACTCAGACCGTTTCTGATGATTAACAGTCTTGCCAAGGGACTCGAAATCTTGATCCGAGCCTTCCTGGTAATCTAGGTACGTCTGTGCCTTGGATGCTGCAGCACGCTTGTTGCGAGTATTCGAGACCTCGGTTTGTGCAGTGACTGGTGGTGTCGGTTTCTGAGGATTGGCAGTCTTGCCGAGGGATTCGAAATCCTCATCATCATCGTCATCATCATCTAGCAGGTACGTCGTTGCCTTGGATGCTGCAGCACGCTTGTTGCGCGCATTAGACACCTCCGGTTGTGCGGTGGAAGTTGCCATCGGTTTTTGCGAAGCCTTGGGTTTACCCAGTAGGGAGAAATCATCATCGGACAGGTCATCAGCGCCATCAGAACCAAGACCACTGGCCTTTGGCTTTGGCTTGGGCTTAGCAGCAAACATCTCAGCGAACCGCTGGTGCGTCTTTGTCTCGACCTTTGTGGTTTTCGGCGCTCGAGCAGTTTTCTTGTCCGGCTGATAGTCGTCATCACCCTTGGCGCGCCGACCTCGTCCAGCTCCTATCTTTTTCGAGACTCGACGGCCCATCCTGCGGATGTTGGTCTGAATCTCGTCGTCAAGGCGCAACTGGTTCTCCCATTCCTCGACAAAAGAGTCCAAGTCCCGGCACCAGAGGTCCTTGGCGCTGAGTGCTTCCAGGTCGTCGTGTTCGACCTTCTTCGCCGCGATTTGCTGCTTCAGGCGCTCGAGCCGCTCAAGAGTAAGCGACCAAAGAGGCATCTGCGTGATAGGTTAGACATATGGTATTGTAATGAAATCTATCATATATAGATGGGGAGAGGGAGGTCCTTACCGAAAGCAGATAATCATAATCGCGCGCACTGCCTCCAACCTGATCGTCATCGTCATCCTCGGCCTCGGCCTCGTCCTCGTCCTCGTCCTCTGCAGACTTGGGCTTCTTGGTATCCTCCTTGGGGAAGGGCTCATATTTGCGATCACGAAGCTCCTGGACAAGCACCGCCTTCTTCTTCTTGGAGACGACGAACTTGCCGTCGATGATCTCCTGGATGAAACGGTACTGGTTCTTCAGCTTCCGGTACGCTGTGTGGTACACCTTCAGCCAGTGCTCCCTTCGCTTCGTATACATTGCCATCCGGAAGTTGAAGTATTCTTCCATTATCTCCTCGGGGCTCTCGTACTTCCGGATCCGACCCTGAGTATCAAAAGCTACAAGGTTGGTCGTGGCCAGGGACTTGGTAAGCTTGAACTTCTCGAGCAAGCCCTCAGTCAGAGCCGCGTTCATGTGCTTCTCTTCCATCTGGATGACGAAATGGACCGTCTTGTGGTCGTTGAACTCCTTGTAGTCCTTGATGAAAGAAGGCGATTTCTCGCCCCGAATGATGTCCTCGAGTCGAGACTTGAAATCATCTGTCCACATGCGGATCGGTAGTTCCGAGATGACCACCTCGTTGGGATTCAGTTCATCTTGCTTTGCAATGCCGTTGAACCTGAACTTATTGGGACCCTCTTGCTCCGGGGTGCCCTTCCAGCCACGAAACCATGGCGTCATGGGCAGGAATGGCTTCTCTTCAGTATCATCATCATCTAGCCTGCCCATGCGGCGTCTGAGATTCCTCACGATGTCCATGGGATGGTAGTTGGGGATCGAAGTGCTCCATCCAGTGCCGATACCATCCGCACCGTTGACGAGGACCATGGGGATAACCGGAGCATAGACCTTGGGCTCGATCATCTTGTCATCGTCAAACTGGGCCTCGAGGTTGGGTTCGTCGAGGGCCGAAAAGACACGTCGTGCGAATGGAGACAGGCGCGTGTGGATGTAACGGGCGCTGGCGGCATCAGAGCCTCCCTGGAGTCGGGAACCGAAGTTTCCACTTGGCTCGAGGCAGTTCACGTTATTTGAACCGACGAAGGTCTGGGCCAGGCCAACAATTGTCTGCTGAAGAGACTGTTCGCCGTGATGATAGGCTGTTTGCTCGCCGATATAACCGGCCAGTTCGGCAACCTTTTGATCCCTGACAAGGTTCCGTTTGAAGCAGGCAAATATGACCTTGCGCTGGCCGGGCTTCAGCCCGTCAATCATGGAGGGGATAGATCGCATATTGTCAGCCATGCTGAAGAGAATGAGCTCCTTGTTGACAAAGTCCGAGTACGTGATAGACTTTGTGGAGTGATCGAGATATGTCCCCGGGACAAAGGCCCCCAGCCACTCCTTCCGGGCATCCGCCTTCTTCTTGGAGAAAGCAAGGTCGAAAAGGTCTGCCTCTTCGCGCTTCATCACCTTGAACTCCTTCAGGTGCTCATCGAGGTTGGTGAAATAGACTTGGGCATCTTCATTGGAACTGGTACCCAATCCCTTGAAGTACTTCATGTCCCATCTCTTGAGCTCTTTCTCGTGAGCTGCTTTCCACTCCTCGTACTGCGGCAGACTGAAGAACGACTGGAGTTTCTGGGGCTTCTTGGGATTAGAACCCTGCCAGACCTTTACTACGGGTGTGATGAACTCCCTGAAGAAGTCCGGGATCTGGAGGAGAGAGGGGAATTGGACTTGGAGGAAATTGATCAGCAAGCCCTTGATGTGGCTTCCGTCGTGGTCCTGATCTGCCATGATCATCAAGTGCCCATATCGGAGGCTCTTGGTATCCGTGTACGTCTGCTTGTGCTTCAGGCCCAGGAACTGCTTGATGTACTGGATCTCCTTGTTTTTTGTGATCTGGTCGATGGAGGCATCACGGACGTTCAGCATCTTTCCACGAAGAGGGAAGACACCAATGCGGTCAGGGTCGAGGACGGCACGGCCGGCAACAGCAAGACCTCTGGCCGAGTCACCTTCGGTCAAGATGAGGGTGCACTCATGGCCATGCTTGGTTCCAGCCAAGTTGGCATCGACAAGCTTGTCATTGCTGATCCGGGAGCGCCTGCCTCCATCACTCTTGGCCAGCATCTTATCTGCCTTCTTCTCTGCAAAGTGCATGATGTTGTCGATGGCCTCGGTGGCGCGGATCTTCTTGATGAATCCATCGGTGAGGGTGACGGTGCTCCCAAATGCGCTTGGCTTGGTTGTCAACTGCTCCTTGGTCTGAGAGTTGAAGGCCGGGTTCTCGATAAGACAGTTGACAAAGATGAAGATGTGGTTACGGATGTGGTTCATCTTTAGTGAGTGGCCCTTCTGTCTCTTGTTCAGAGTGGTCAAGAGGGCATTGCCAATCTTGTCTGCGATATAGTTGACGTGGCTGCCTCCTGACGTGGTAGCAATGGAGTTGACGAAGGACACTTGCTGGAAGGAGCCATCCGAGACTGTGAAGCCAATCTGCCAGCGCCTGTTGGCACTGGCATCCTCAAACTGCACGGTAGCAACGGGAGGCTGGTCGTCGGTGGCAACATCCTCGCGCTCCTTGGCAATTGCTCTGGCGTACATGGTGCAGTACTTCTTGAAGTCGAGCTTGAGCGCCTCTCCGTTGAGATGAACCTTGACGTCCTTGACTGTGCCAGCCATGTCATAGACCCGACGATAGATCAGAGCCTCCAGATCATCGTCAATCCCATCGGACATGCCAAACTTTGCAAAGTCTGGCTTGAAGGAGACACGGACAAAGTCGGCCGTTTTGCTGGATGTGATCTTTGCCTTCTCCATCTTGGTCATGTTGTCGGTCCAGGCTTGCTTGTACCGCTTTCCGTTGGTAGAGTCTTGGATCTCGATGGTGAAGCGTGTGCTGAAGACGTTGCAAAGCTTTGCTCCGTAGCCGTTGCGACCACCAACAGTCTTCTTCTCGTTGTCGTCAAAGTTAGACCCGGCAAGGAGATGGCCGAAGATCAACTCTGGAATGTAGACCTTCTCCGTGCCGTGGATCTCGACAGGAATTCCCTTTCCGTTATTTTCGACGGTGATGAGTCCCTCCGAGCGGTCCACTGAGACTTTCAAGTAGGTCATCGAGCCATCCCGCTGCTTATTGTCGGCAGCGTTGACCAGGATCTCGTCAAAGATCTTGTAGAGACCCGGGACAAAAGACACGTCCCTCTTTTCCATATGACTCGTCTCCTTGTTGAAAACCCACATCTGTTGTGTGGTACGTTCTACAGAGCCGATGTATGTGTCGGGACGCTTGATGATGTGTTCAAGCTGTGTCAACTTCTGATAAGTCTCTGTGGCCGTCTTCTTAGTCTTTGGATCCGATGGGCCGTCGACTTGCATGCTGTCGTTCTCAATCTCGCCGAGAATCTTCCCGCTTGCTTTCTTTGTGGCAGGGGCCTTCTTCTGCTTTTTGGCACTGGGTGGGGTCTGTGATAGATTGCCGGCTTCGTCGCTGTCCATCCGGGAATCGGCCTCATCATCACTCTCGGGTTTGGCGCGCTTCTTCGTGGTGGGCTTCATGCCTGTCAACTTGGCTTGCACCATCTTCTTGGCAGTTGTCTTTGTCGCGGTGGCTTTCTTCGCTGGGGCTTTAGCCTTTGGCTTCTGGTATTCGTCAGCTTATGTCCACGGCGGGATGGCTGAGGGAGGGTTTAAGTAATCCGAAGAACTGCAGGCCCGAGGCCCAACTTGACTTACCACCTCAGGCGAGTAGCCATCAGACTCATCGTCATGATTGTTAAAATCAGAGATATCGGAATCCATTGTCAAGAGGCTGGCAGCAGAGTCCCTGCAATAAGTAGGCGGCCTCGCCTTGAATCCAGGTTGTGGGCTGCTTCCAAATGAGTGTCGCCAGCCACAAGGGAAGGGAAAAGAATAGGCAAAAAGACTCGCGGCCTGCTAGAGTGAGGTGAAGGAAGAGAAATTGACCACAACCGGACGGAGTCTTGAGTCCCTTTGTATGGTGTGAAGAAGTTGGGGTCCAGGAAGAGGGGAAGGAGGGGGAAGTGTTTAATATCACCAATGTAAACAAGTCGCGAGTTTTTGTTTGACTTCGCCGAATTGGTTGCCAGCGAGACATACGCGAGTGAGCCAAGTACCCGCGACAGGCATTGTGGGGCAGGGTTTGTGATTGGCTGTCCAAGGGACTAACCCACAGCCACTTTTGTCAGCCTCACTCTTGGCAGGTGTGTTTCTTGGTGCGATTCCCAATTCCCCATATCAGAAATATCATAAACCTCCAGCGCACGACCGAGCTAATGGCTGATGAGAATCACGAGACATTAGGGAAGATGACAGATGACATGTTTAAATTTCAAGAAGGAATACCTACCTAGGTACCATAGTGTAGTCCCATCCAATACCTAATTAAGGATCCGATGTACCCTCCCACCAAAGGGCCTACCGAGTTGTAAACCTACCCGACTACCCCTTACTATGTATATAGCCCTGGTAACGAGTTAACCAACTTTCAAAGGCTCGTACTGCGTACCTACTCATGATTTATGATTTACCCAACAAGACGGAATGCAGATACCCCGTCCCACCATTGCCATGCCTGGATTCCAAACCGAAATTGAGCTCCGCCTGTCCTCAACAGTGCCACTATCATTCCTATCTTCAATAAACTCCTCCTTGTGGACGTCGAGTTTGTTTGACGGTATCTGGATGCCGTCCTTCCGTCTGGACCGTGCGAAATCCAAGCCGCTCCTTCCCCCCCTCCCCCATCACATCGCTCACTTATTCTAGGATTTTGATGACATACAGGCTATGCAGCGAATTGGTCCTCTTGCGGTCCGCAAGCAATCTGTTGTTTGGAGATGCGTTAATTTCAATGGTTACTCGTCGGCAGCAATCACCTCTGCTCATGTTCGATTCGGGCCTCGTCGGTCAAGTATCGAGGATCTGACAGCCTCAATCGCAATCTCCCCCGGATCGGACAAGCACTGCTTTTGTTCACCACTGTTTTGGTGACACGGCGAACCAATTGACCTCTGAAGAGGGCAGGGCAGTTCTCCTCTGGACGCTGTGACGCCATCTGCCGTGTGCCAGCTTGTACCTCCTGGCCCTCTACTCCCTCTTCTGCCACACTTCGGGTGGAGATTGTTCTACTGTGGATGGGGTCCTCTTTTGCGTGGTCAGCATGCCTGTACCACCTGATTGTTCCTTTTCTAGGCGTAAGAGGACAGGGAATTCCCGGAGTCAATGCGTACAGCCGTGGATTCTGGATTATTGCACTGGTGCCACAGCGCATAAACGCGACCTAACGCCGTTATGTCAACCGCATGCCGTGTGAAATGTCCAGACTCCAGAATGGCTTGTAGTCCAGCGGTTGGTGACAGGGGCATTTGCGTCAGCTTCCAGATCTTCCAACCTCGAAGACCTCCCCAAGGCTAATAAGGGGATCACAGGTATGCTCGACGGCAGCCATCGGCAGGAATACAACCAGTTCCTGGCACTAGCTGGACGGCTCCAAGCTGGCTCATCACTGACTGGAGGAAGACTGATGCCATTTGGGGCAGACTACTCTGGAAAGTTCCATTCAGGAGATTTAGATCTCCCTGGCACCCGAACCACCGCTTGCTCCCTTGTGGGCTGAAAGGGAAGAAAGCTCCGGCAGCAACGCCGACTCGAGGCATGTCAGATTGTTAGGATAATGAATCCGACTGCTACTACATTTAGATCAGGGGCCCCCTCATTTTGCGTCTTCCGTTTGCGTGGATGCACTGGCCACGCGCTAGCCCCTCTACTGGGGGATCTCTCCATAGACCATACGGACGGCTGCAGGAATCATGACGGCTGGAACGATGCGCATGGACAGCTTCAGGGGGAGGATGACTCGAGAGGTGTAGCCTCAATATTGCATCTCGCTCTATTGGACTACCAGGGCGCAGTACAACACTGTTGAAGTAACATTAGTCCTGGAATAACACCCCTGGTCAAAGAGCCATGCCGGCAAGCTCTCAAGAACCGTGGGGAGGGCACTGGGGGGGCATCTTCCTCATCCCCCCGGTTGATGAGACTTTCCCGACCGGCCAACCCAAACCATGGATGGTCAGTACGAGCCAGGTTTGTGGCTACCCAACCGCCTTCTATGACTCGTCATATGGTGGCTGTCAGGCTATCACCACCTCGCTATGCCGTCGTCGAAGAGCAAAGTGAACCTGTAGCAACTTCGAGGGGTCCTCAACACAACGGTGGCTCCTGTGTCGTGTATCCGGGGATTTTGTGTGCTTGTGCAAGGTCAAGCCTGTGGGAGAGGCAAGGCTTGGTGCGGTGACAGCTGCAATCTCCGCAACGATGCAGCGAAGCCAGCAGGGTCGGGAGGACCCCCGCCGGCTTCTCGAAAGCCCTTAGAAATTCTTTGATGCCAACTTTTCTTGGTTGGCACGGCTATGCGCAGGGCCCCCGTCTGCGTGATAGCGGTGGAAGATTCACTCTTTGGCGGTCAAGAATTTCGAAAACCTGAAGCTCGAGGCTCCCATCAAGCAGCAAAGAACCCAAGTTGGCTGCGTGGGTTTGACTCTCTCCGCCTCCGCTCGCGTCCCCTCACCTCCCTCGCCAGCATGACAACATACCAGCAGTGAAACCTCATCCTCTGCCTCAGGATGGCTCCCCCCCTAGGTGACTGGGGCGGAGTAACCACGTGTGTCGAGTCAGTCAGTCTTCCTCTCTGGGATATCAACCCCTTCCCGGCCTTCCTTCTTTGTTCTCCCCCCACCCCAGGAAAGCAGCCTAGTCTGGTAACCAGGCAACACCTCCTGCAGCCATCCGACGGTCTGACTTCTGTCAAAAAGGGCTCTTGTGTATTTCCCCAAACAAGCCAATCACCTGTTTGGCTTGCCCACGGCACAGTATTTGCGGTGTCAAACTCATTTTGTGGTTTCTTAGCCACATAACGACCGCGTCATGCAGTCACCTGTGATCACCCTTTTCGGGCCACCACTGGGCCTGGTGGAATCCAATGAAACCATCTTCACCTCGACAAGGCTACTGTGGCCCCATAGGAATGTATGGAAGTGTCAGTCCTGAGGCCCCAAGGCATATCTCGCGGGTAATGGGGATACGAGTGGATCAGCCTACGGAGCGTTGCTACGGAGTCGTTTGACACTTCGGCCCTCTGAAGCCGGAAACATGCCCCGTCAGGAGACCAAGTACGAGCCGTAATTCTGTTTTCATTAGGCGCCCATCCCCACCCTGCCAGTCTCGCCCATCCCGGCGTCGCTAAGAGATATCACATCGACTGGCTGCCAGGTCTCGCCTCGCCCGCGCCCGCGCCCGTCATCAGTCATTTTGTGGCTTCTACTCGATCGCCGAAAGAGCGGTGGGCGAGCCAAACGGCCATACTTCATCTCAGTGGAGGTCGATTCCAAGACATTCTTGACAAAGGAGCTGCACCGAGAATACCGAACGACAAGCCAGGGACCCGGGGACCGGCCATCGGACTGCAGATAATTGCATAACTGGCTTCAAGTAAGAAAGAGGAAACTTCTCGATTCATTGTCCTGGGCCACGCGGACTCCACAGACCCGTGAGGATTCCACGGCTACCTTGTTGTTTGCTTGTAGGGAAGAGAGAGTGAAAAAGACTTGGCTGCTACATTCTGGTCCCCGACTGCAAGCGCTGTCTGAGTTCATATTCTCTCCTACCCGTCTTCCATCTCCCGGAAAACCCCCTTCCCTACAGAAGTTGTTCCCAACCTTGCAGTGGCAGTTTCTCGCGCTCAAGACACCCCCCACCCACACACACACACACACACGCACACACACACACACACACGCACACAGCGGGCTCTCACCGCCATGCTTTCCCTGGCTTCCCTTCTTAACCCGGCGCCCTCAGGGTCGCCTGCCTCCTGCTTTCCAGCTACCCCCATGTCGATATCCCCGGCCACATCCTTCGTAGACGAACCCTTCTCGGACAGGAACTCGCTGCCGAAGAACAAGATGTCGAAAGAGTCCGCAGGATACACCAAGTCCAGGGCCAAGGGCATTGTCAACTTCTATCCCTTCGAGAACCTAGACGAGGAGTCCCTGCGTGAGGTTCGGAAGTTTCGCGTCTCCCCGCTAGGCAGCATCCAGGACTGTTGTAGACACATCCCATACAATAGCGGAAAGAAGGACTTCTACGAGAAGACTGGGCGAGAGAGCTTCGAAGGTAAACAAAGATTCTACGAGTGGGCGAACTAAGCGCCGAGACTCTCAAGAAGCTGATTTGGCTTGCAGTGTTCCAATACACCTTCAAGGTCCCCGGAGACAACTCGGATTATACGGTCATGTGGGATTACAATGTCGGGCTCGTTCGGATGACCCCTTTCTTTAAGTGTTGCAAGTATTCCAAGGTAGGTGCCGATTTCCTCCATCTCGATAATGTCCCGAGGTCCCGCGGTCAGGGGGTTAATAATGTGCAGACGACGCCAGCGAAGATGCTCAACATGAACCCCGGGCTCAGGAACATCACCCACAGCATCACGGGGGGGTCTATTATGGCACAAGGTAACCGACACAACTCCGGGACTCCCTTATCTCCTTCTTGCAAAAACCAAAGCCTCTGGTTTCTGATACACAGCACAGGTTACTGGATGCCATTCTCCTGTGCGAAGGCAGTCTGCGCGACCTTCTGTCACCACATTGCTGGCGCCTTGATCCCAATTTTCGGACCCAAATTCCTGTCAGAGTGCGTCCACCCAGAATCCCCGGACCACGGACGAATGATCATAGATCCGGAAATCGTCGTCGAGGCTTCCCGCGAGGCCGACATGTTCCGACGAGTGTACGCGGAACAATCCACCACCCCGTCCGGCAGCCCAAGGCCGGCCCGCCGGTCGCTGCGGTTCCCGAACTACGACAACAGCAGCCAGTACGACCGCCGCCAGCGCTTCAGGAAGGGCATGATAATCGACAGCCCGTACACCACCGACACCGATAACGATGTGCTTCCGGGCCCGGACTTCTCCCCCGCCACCCAATTCCACCAGCTCTCGCCGATCCCCGCGCCGCGGACGTCGGCGATGGCCACCCGATGGACGGCCGCGAACCACAACTACAACCAGTACCTCCACCCCCCCCACCGCCCAGCCGCCCACGCCCAGTTTCACCGCGACGACCAACACCCGTACCCCGGTGCCGCGAACCCCTGGCTGAGCGCGGTGCCCCGCCTCGGCAGCAACCCGGGCAACCAGCACAGGCGACAGCAGCCCGCACCTTCGTCGCACCCCGTCCAGGGTCTTCATCTGCCCCCGCCCCCGCCCCCGCCGGCGAGCCCACAGTCCCGGCTGGATTGGACGACGCCGCAGCCGCAGCCGCAGGCGCCGCCCCCGAAGCGGCCGGTCCCGTCCGACTACGCCGACTACAAAGAGTACAACGAGTACGAGTACGACGCGGGCGAGAGCCAGGTCGGCAGTAGCAGCAGCCCCACGACGTCCCGCGGCGGCGGCGGTGGCGAGGACGAGGACTGCCGTCAGGGCCGCCGGCAGGGGATAGACCCGCTGCTGCCGCTGCCGCCGCCGCCGCCGCCCGTCTCGGCCACCGGCGGCAGCGGCGTGGAGAAGAATGCGGCGCTGCTGCTCATGAATCTCAGCATGGGGGAGGCCGAGAGGGATGGGGAGGGCCGCGAGGGCCGCGGGGCCCGGTCGATGCTGACTCCCGAGTCGGTCGTGGATATGCACAGGAGCAAGAGGAGGAGGGCGACGTCGATGTAGGCGCCGCGGGAGCCGGTTCGTTTCCAAGCTTGCACTATTTTGCACGGTTGGGTTGGTTGGCTATCACTTTTTGCGGAGTTAATCGGACAACTCTGTTACGGGGGGACTCACGTCCTGATCCCCCTCGCGGGTTTGGGCCGCCTGTAGCGGGGAATATAATATGTCTGCTTGTGGACATGAGAATTGAGGCCGTCTGTCGTTTAGCCCCTTGTGCGGACAGAGGTTTGCCTCGGAAAACGGCCGTCTAGAGAACGGGCGGCGTACAGGAAAGCAAGTGCCTTTTTGCTTAGCTCTTTCTTTTTTCGCAACTCGGGTTAGGGTATCATCAATGGGATCTATCGTTTTCGCGAGCGTACAATGACTCCCCCTCGTATGGCTGCTATCCGGGCCTGGGGAGAAAAATGAAAACACACAACCCCCTTTTTCCTACTTCTGGACACCCTTCTCCGCCGCCTTCTTCATTTTGAACTCCTGGACCCACCCCTCTGCCTTCGACTTGGGGACCACGAAGATCTTGACGAGCTCGTCGACGATCTCGACGTTCCCAGCGCTCAGAACCTTGAGCAGTGGAACCTTCTTGCCGACCTTGACCAAGCCCCCCGTCAGCGTCTCCATGTAGCACTGCACGTTATTCGCGCTATAGCTGCCGTCGCGGTCCCATGGCAGCGGGAAGACGTAACCGAAATGCTGCTCCAGGCACTCCCTCTCGTCAAACGCCTTGATGAAGTCCGACTCCAGGTGGGCCGGGTACAGCAGCACGGTGGGGAAGCTCAGCGCGCTCTTCGGGTCCTCCGGGTCGGGAGTCAGCTGCAGCCTCGCGTCCTCCATCTCGGGCGGCTTCTCCGTCGCCCGCATGCGCACGCCGCGCGCCCGCAGCGCCGCCTTGAGCACCCTCGCCCGCCTCTGCGCCGTCTCGGCCGCCGCCCTCTCCTTCCCGGACTTGGCCGCCTCCGCCGCCGCCGCCGCGGCGATCTCGCCCGACAGCGCCCCCAGCGCCGCGTTCTCGGGCGCCACCGCGAGGCCGCGGGCGCACGCGTCGTCGGCCTCGCGCACCTTGCCCAGCGCGAGCAGGGCCCGGGCAGAGCGGTAGTAGGCCTTGACGTTGCGCGGGTTGAGCCGCAGGGCGCCGGCGCAGTCCTGCGTGCAGCTCCGGTAGTTGCGCAGCTCCAGGTGGCTGGCGGCGCGGTTGACGTAGAGCACCTCCAGCACGGCGTGCTGCTTCCGCACCTCGTCGGGGGAGTCCGAGTCGCCCTCCTTGGGCGGCTCCCCCTTGTCGCGCCGCCGGTCCTCGGCAACGACGATCTGGATGCCCTTGCCGTAGAACTCCTTGGCGTCGGCCCACTTCTTCTCCTTGAAGCACTCGTTACCCTGTTCCTTGAAGTTTGTTGCGTTCTCGAGCGGGGTGCCTTCGTAGGCTAGTGCTTGCAGGGCGGCAACGTCGTCGTTCTCCTCCAGTTCTGTCATGAACAAGGGCGATTTGTTCAGGTCGGCAAGGATCTCTTCCGAGCTCTTGCCACTGGTGAAGGCCAGGGAAGGGGGGAGCTCTGGTATTGGCTGACCTTCACCATGCCCGGTGGTGAGCCTTTTCATGAGCGCCGTCATCATCTCGTTGTCGTCCATATCTGGTTTTTTTTTCTTCGTGCGTCACCACGAATAGAGGTACAGCTGAGAAATATTGTATACTGATTTGCAAGGCGGCTATGACAATTACAGCCCTTCCAAAGGACACCTTGACGGCAGCCAGAGATCAACGTCCAGATTGTCGATATGTAGCCTTGGTTGTTAGATTGGTGGTATCTGGACCCTTTCTGGCGGGGTTTGGTTGCTTGGTGGGGATGAAGATTTTGGCATTTTTTTTGCCATCGCCTTCTTCTCACTTCGCTGAGGGCTGATGAAAATGCATGTCGAGTGAATTTGCAAACACACCAATACTTTATTGCCTTCTTGTTTCTTACTCTTGCAACAATTTCTCCAAGGGGTTTTTTCTTCAAGTTTCTTGTATCACTGGTGTGTTGTAATCCTTACTCCTATCTTGGGGGACTCAAACTGTTTACAAAGGCAGGACTAGATTCCGGAGACATTACAAGTCCGCCCATAAATATCGTGTCTATTAGGTACGCTACTATCGACTGCTAAGAACATGCGCCAACAACCTAGGTATAAATATATAGTAGCCCGCAACCATGTCTTTCGTGTCTCTAACTTAAATCATGCCATGCGCCATTATTAAAGATGCCGAAACAAACTGCTTGACGCCGACCAACGCCAATGAGGCCGATCCCCCATATATGACTCCATAATCCTCATAAACGCGCCGTACCATCAAACCAAGATTGCGCAGATGAGGGGATTCTACCCCCTTACCTCCACACATCTTCGAGCCAATCACCGTGGTGACCGCAAACCCTCCACAGATTGTCTTTCCCTGCGTGCTGACAAGGAGCAAGCAGGTTTAGCCGTCTACTGCGTCGCGGCAACCTCCTCATAATCCTCAGCTAGGGTGCATCTAGGCTTCTCGCGCTTGACAGAAAAGCATTGAATACCACCCAGAACGGCAACGACGGCACTACCGTACCATGCCAGAGCAGTGCAGTCCATCCCCTTCCCCAGGCTGTACAGATAACCTGCAATAGGCGGGGCAATCATCCGGAACGCAGCTCCCGCGCTTGCCGCCAACCCGTTCACCTTGCCAAGAACTGACGGACTCGGAGTCGCTTCCTTGATGAGGATGAGAAGTAACGGGTAGACAAGGATAGAGAACAGGTTGCGGATAGTGAGACAGACGTATATGGCAGGAAATAGAAGCGACTCCGGTACGAACAGGAGGAAGGGAACGAAAAGGTAGGCAATCGGGTGCAGGACTGTCACAAAGATGAAAAGCCTGTAGATCCCCAACCGTTCGGCGGCAAAGGGGAAGACCACGGCTTGAATGAAAAGAGCGATCACGCCATTGACGGCCATGATCATGCCCACAGCTCGGAGAGAGAGACCAAGGCCTCCGGGGGAATAAAACGGGCTCAACGAATGAACCGGGGAACCTAGCAGCGACGACGGGCTGAGAGGTCTATCGTCCTCGAAGAATATGGGCAGAAGGTGATCGTACGTCATGGAATGATAGGTGAAAATCGAAAGGGCGAGGATAACAGCCATGATCCGCTTGGAGAAGATGTTGCAGTCCGGTCGCTTCTCGGACTCTTTCGTCCACTTGCTGTCCGACTCCTCGGCTTTGTGGCTCTTGATCGTTCCATAATTCTCATCCCTGAGGAGGTCGACAGCGGGCCGCTTGATGGCATCAGATGTCTCAATGAGAGGAGTCTCTTCCGAGACGAAAGTATCATCGGGCAAAAACACGCGCGGTTGCATATCGGGGTGGGTTTCCTCGAGGAGGAAGTAGCCAAGAAGAATGCTGATGAAGAGCAAGCCAGCGCAGACGAGATTGGGGAGCAGGTAGGGGAACACCTCGAATAGTGACCCTTTGGGGAACATGTTCGGGAAGGATTCGTGGGGGTCAGCAAAGGTGCCACCGATTGCTGGACCTACGATTGTCCCTATGGACCAAACGAAGGGCACTATATTTGGGTTGTCGAGTTAGCAATCCTCATTGAGTGGAGAGAGTGGGCGATATCGATGTTGAAAAGTGACTTGGCCTTCCTGGGCAGCACATTTGACGAGAGGGTTACGTACTGATGGAATAGGCTTTGGCTGTGATAGAGTTAGCACGCTGAGAGGATGGACAGATTCGCGGGTAATTCGCGGGTAAGGGGTGACGTACGCTCGTGCTCTGGCTTTGTGACCAGCTCTCCGACCATTGTCTGAATGACGGCAATGTTTCCGTTGAGCAGTCCGCCCAAGGCACGCCCCAGGAGGGCGACCCAGAGGCTGGAGGCAAAGCCCACCATGACCATGCTGAACATGGTGCCGATGCACCCGACGAGCAGGACCGGCTTTCGTCCAATTCGGTCGGACAAACCGCCCCAGAACATGCCCATCAGGGCTTCCGCAAGGGCGAAAGACGAGATGAGCAAGCCGGCATAGAAGGAGGCGTCATCTTCGTGGCCAATCTTGAATCTCTTTATCAGAGCCCATGCATATGGGAAGATGGACGTAAGAGCTATCGGCTCGGCGAGGCGAACGATAGCTATAGGAAAGGTTAGTATCTCTTGCAGAAGATCGGTCTACTTGGTGGCGAAGGTATCATAACATACCGAGCACGAAGAGCTGGACGGTAGGGAAATCATCGGGGTTGCGGCGAGTTCTCTGATTTGTTAGGGTCATTGCTTCTCGGCGTGGTTGTTCTCTTACGGCCAGTCGACACAGCACTTGACTAGAGTGTTGACAGAGGCAAGTGTCGTGCCGTTCGCAGCTTTCAAAAACTGAGCGTCTCGGTGGCGGTTTCTGAGGACGGACGGGAAACGAAAGAAGGAAGTGACGGTGCGGGCTTTGGCAGCTCTATATACCTGACACAGGGAGCAACGATATGAAGGAGCAGCGAGCGGGCTTGCATACGGATGCAGCGATGGTGGGGAGGAAGAGTCGAGAGGGCGAGAAGGGGTTGTATGATCACGGGTGGTATAAAATATTTGCATGCATGAAGGGGGGCGGAGACCGGACTAGCTACAGCCTAAGTAAATAAGAGGGGCAAAATATGCATGAAAAAGGACGCATTGTTCCTATATCGGAGTATGGCGGGCGGGCTGCAGCATCACCGACCACGGTCTGGAGCGGTCGATAATCCTATAGCCGGATCACACTCAACTAGTTGGATTATTATAGCGTAGCACGCATCGAACATCTCATCTCCTGAGTAAACATCAATGGACTGGTAAGACTCCCTCCTGTCAATTTATTGCGCTATCAAGGTGGTTTCACTCCAGGACGTTGATGGCAGTGGGCTGCTTTCAAAACTTTTCAACTGGGTCATTATGTGGCATTGGCCAATGATAAAACACGCGAGTTAACATCATTTCTTCCGTCCTAGAAAAAGAGGGGTGTTCTGTCTGTGCCGTGTTTTCCGCATCAGTGGCCAAGTTGCCCCTCTTATCACTGTAACCGATTTTGTTAATCATTGAATCGCCTGATTGGCCAGCAACTTGCTGCATGAGTAGTTCTATCACTTTCGAATTTGTTGACGCCAAGATTCAAGAGGGGCGGTGAATTCCATTGCAAGCTGCCTTGGCCAGAATAAATCGTTACTGATACGGAATACTCTCCTCGGCGTTCGATGTGGCAACATGCCTCGTTTGCTTGGCTCTCTCACTGCTCCAGATCTACGGATTACCTGGGCAACTTTCGATGAAGAACCAGATGCTACCACGCTGGAGCTCTTATCAATCCACACTAATAACTGCATTCAAGTTCATGCATTGACCTCTCGGTTTGCGCTCTGCCAGTGAGGCGAGTTGGAGTTGCATATGCAAGACGCGCATACTATGCAATACATCCTAGTCTTCACAGGGAGACCAAGGCGGCCCGGCAGCTCTAGCCTGCTTTTGCTTATCTGTCTCCCGGCCAAACAACCCTTCTGGCCCGGCCAGTTCGCTTCCCTCTGCAACCTCTACGGACAGGCCCGGCGGTTGCGGTTACGTTGTATGGTCTGAATTCCGTGTCCGCTTTCGGGGAAAGAAATGACCCAGTCCTCGCCTCCCATCGCACGCGTCACGACTTGTCTTGAATCCAAGACTCAGAGACTCAGGGACTCAGGGACTCAGAAGTTAAAACCATGGGCTCCACGTGTTCTAGGGTTTCTCGGTTGAGAGGCCAATCACGAACCACGTCGTTCTGCAAATTCGACACCGTTCAGGAAATCTTGCAGTAGTTTCCGTTTCTTATTTCGAACGGCTTGGGGGTTCGTGGGGGTTACCCGAAGAGCCTCTCTCCAACCCAACCTACCCTGCTATAAGTTGTGGGAAAGAGTCCAACACATCGTCGAACCATTACATCGACGTTTGTTTCCTCACTGTTTGCGGTGGCCATGGCCCGTTTCAGCAATTTGATACGGCAAGGTCACACATTCCAGTGATGTATCCCAACCTCCGTCATCGGTCTCGGATTCTCATGCATTCGGCAGGGCTCTGATTTATTTTTTGGCCTTGGCTCGCTTGGGCGACATGACAGTAGGTTGCGTCCCACCTGCGATCTGGACTCTCGATCTTCTTGTCTCGAAATCCGAATCAGATGTCTTGCTTCCAAGTTCCGCCTCGACAATCCTTCCACCTGATAGCATAATCAACTTGGTATTATCTGGAGCCGCTCCATTGGGTATGTAGGACCATGACCTTTGGAAATCAACCCTGCTAGTCCCATGAATATCGTGCCCGTCTCTACAACATAATTACGGTACGATGACGGTGACGAGAAGATAGTCATATCTGTTCCCGCAGTCAGTCCTTCGGCGGAGGTCATTAAGAGCCACCCTTTCCTGCCCTGAGGGCCGCAACTATACGCCTGCCGGGTGAGGCGGCCCGAACCCGGCACCGCCGTCGGTCCCATTGGGTAAGCGTTGAGAGTGTGGCCCTTTAAGTTATCCCCAGGTGAACCCTGAAAAAGCCCACCCGGCCCGCTTCCTAGGCACGGTCTCGCCGCTTCCGGACAGGGAGGGATGATGGCGCTGTTTGGACTGTGGAGTACGATGTTCCCAAGAGTTAGTAGCGACTTGCACTTCCTCGAAGGCACCACCACTTGATGCCAAGGAACAACATCTAAGAAACGCCTCGAAGCCCCTGCTCCCCTTCTCTTGAGCCGAAGATGCCGGCCGCCCTCCTGCATATCCCATCACGTGAAGTTGGGGGGGCAGGAGGTGGCTATAGAGGTGGTGGCTGTTAGGTCGGGGGTTTGCTCCTGGTGCGACAATGCGCCCGTAACATTCCATTTCTAGGCAGGAGGGAGGTCTTAGACACTCGACGATGTCTATTAAATCTATCCATATATGAGCGTACCCATTCCATCTTAACTTGAAAGTCTAGTTCGAAATCCCAATATTTCCCCCCGGTACAGTGGGGTGGAAAAAAGTCCACGCACGATGTGTGCTCAACAGCAACAAAATGCCTAGTGCTGGTAATCCATCCTCCCATCCCCAATCACCGCCCAGAACTCCTCGACGAGCTCCCTCTGCCCGCTCGGCGCGCCCCTGACGGCGAGGTAGACACGCGAGTCGATCGCGGGCTCCCACTCGCCGGGATTTCCGCTAGCAACAAACCCGCCCGCCTCGGCGAGGATGCACCAGCCGGCGCAGACGTCCCAGGCGTAGCACCCGCCCTCCCAGTAGGCGTCGACCTGCCCGGCCGCGCAGGCGCACAGGTTCAGCGCCGCCGAGCCCAGCGACCGCAGGCTGTGCACCATGCTCCCGCCCGCCTCGCGGCTCGCCGCCAGGCGCTCAAACGTCCGCGCCTTGACCTCGAAGTTGGGCCCGTCCCGGCTGGACCCCCACTCGACCGCCACGAGCGCCGCGCCCAGACCCGTCAGCGGCGGCGCCGCGGCCCCGGACCCGCGCCCGGCCAGCGGAAGGCGCTGCTTTGGCCCGCGGCCGGCGGCCCCCTCGGCCAGCGAGGCGTTGCGCTGCACGAAGCTTCCGTGGCCCCGGATGCCGGTGAAGAGCAGGTCCTGGAAGGGGTTGTAGACGACGCCGACGGAGGGGACGCGGCCGACGGCGAAGCCGAGGCTGACGCAGGCGTTGGGGAAGCCGTGGATGAAGTTGGTGGTGCCGTCGATGGGGTCGACGATGAAGGTCGGGGCGTCGGTCACCCTCGTCTCGCCCGCCACGTACGTCTCCTCGCCGACGAAGGCGAACGTCGGGTAGGTGGTCTTCAGGCGCGTCGAGATCATGCGCTCGACGGCCTGGTCGGTCTCGGTGACAATGTCGACGGCTGCGGGTGGGGGGAGGGAGGGTAGGTAGATGATGAGTTAGTCATGCTGAGATCTGCTTTGGGCGAGGCCTCGAAAGTCTGGAAAACATGGGAGCTTATCCATTGGAGGGCACTCACAGTTGAGCTTTGTGCCAGTAGAAACATCGTTGGGATTGGCGCCCAAGATCATCCGGCCGGCCTCAAAGGCGATTGACAGCAGAGTGTCGTGTATTTCTTGAAGATTAACTTCAGCCATGGCTAATAGGGGGGGGTTGATTGACCCAAGGACAAAAAAACAGTCGATCCTAAACAGCTGAACGTCTATTCTAGCCCTCGAGTCAATCAGTAGGACGATAAGTTGATGTCACTAAAATTGAGGAGGGGCATTGGCGGGGGGGACAATAGCGGGGCGGCTCTGAGGAGGAGGTAAAAGGGTCCACTGTGAGCAGCGGGGAACGCGTTGAGAGCTTCGCTGTATGCGTTCGGGGGGAAATCTTGGGGCGATGGGCGTCACTTGGTTGTCTCCAAATATCGTTCATAGTAGGCATGGCGAGAAGGAACACCTAATACATAATAAAACTGACCCTGACAATAAAAGAAAAGCCCATCCAGAAAGCCACCAGACTCCCTTTTGCCCACTACCTAAACCGTGATTCCCCTGGCCGGTAAAAAGTTCGTTCGAGTTGCGTTTTTACACCAAGCATGTAACAGCACAGAGCCTGAATATCTGTGATGGTGTCATCATCATCAACCAACCCACAACCAAATCCTCTCCACCCTCTCATACCGCTTCCCTGAAGATAGATCTCCTCTCCGTAGGACTATCCCCAGACCCATGGTCTTTGGGTGCTGTCTTTCCACCCGCGGCGGCGACGGCGGCAGTATCAAGGGGCCGAGGACTAACAGCCCTCATGCTGAGGTTGCTCGGGTCCGCGTCGTCATCGAACGGGTTCCTCGACCCAGCCGCCGCCCCCGGAGCCAACCCGCGCGGCGACCTGCTCCTCGTCCTCCCCCTGGGGTCGTCGTCGTCCCCCCCGAACCCCTCCGGCGCCTCCCCGGGCGTCGTGGCGAGGTTCATCTGGTAGCTTCCCCCGCTGCCGCCGTAGCTCGTGTCCGCGTGGTGGTGGCGCGGCGCAAGGCCGAGCTCCTGCTCCTCGTAGTACCCGCCCACGTCCGCCTCGTGGCCGACCCGGGCGTCCCAGGCCTCGTCCGGGTCGAAGGGCCCGAAGCCGCGCCGGCCGGGCCTCGGTCCCCCGGCGCCCGAGGGCTCGTAGGCGCCTGCAGCCGTGCGCGCGTTGCGGTTCTTGAATGTGCGGATGCGGTCGTTGACCCACCCGACGATGCCGCCGGGCGCCGGTTGCGGCGGGCCGTATGTCGGGGCTGAAGATCTGTAGAAGGGTATGTAGGAGCTGAGAGGCGGGGGTGGTAGCTAGATGAGGGCGCAAGGGTAAGCTGTTAGCCAAGAGGGCTTTACAGGGAGGGACATGGGGCAGGGGAGGACGAGATCCGTCGCGTGACAATTGAGCGGCGATGACGGGCGATAAAGCGGTGCGCATGGATCGCGGGACCAGGGAGATAACTTACTCCTAATCGCTGGGCACGCATACGCGTGTGAATGACCCAGCCGACTCCTCCGGCGAGCAGCACGATCACGATGATCAGGACGATGACGCCGGCGGTTTTCATGGCGAACTTGGTTAGGCGGCGCGGCCAAAGAGGTCAGCGAGCTGCGAGGTTTGGCGAGGTGATCGATTCACCCGTTCAGCAAATTACTGGCATTTGGCGATTTGTTGGCGTTGGCCTGACTGGTGCTGCCTTGCTTTGGGTTGAGTGAGGTTTAAGTTTCAAGCTAATACTCGTCAGCCCTGACGGCCGAAGGGAGCTCTCACAGCCCTGCCTGCCGTTTATAGGTACAGTTACCTTTGCATAGCCCCCGGCCCACCAATCCCTGTGTACCGAATACGTACCCCATGTCGTTAGTCCATACCATAGCACGTGCATAGGTAACTTGGCGCTTTCAAGGCTCCAGCATTTTATGCGATAATCTCCCTTGTTGCCACCAACAAAACATGGTGAATACTCGAGAGCATGGCTGGCACTGATCCCATTCAGGCTGTTTCTTAGATATAAATAATCCAAGAGACCTCCGGGAGAAGATCGTTGGGCCCTCTGGTCTAATAGGGCCCGTCTAAATAACTTCCATCCCACCTCCAAGGTACCTAGGTGCCTGCATGTCCGGACAGGGTCTTATTTATATCTCGCTTTAGGAAATCCGTTTCTTTAGCCTCAGCGGCGTGTGCTCAGCTCCTAGAACCATACCTACGTATCCATTGTTTAAACTTGCGAATATCAAACAAGCTCTCCCCTCAATTTCAACAATCAAGTTGGGCAATCCCCCGGGACCCCGGGTATCACGCAAAGCACATATCCCAATGGCCACCACCCCTCGCAAAGCCCAAGCTCTCAATGAACTCGCCTAACGCACACCTGCCCAGCTCATCAGCGCCGCAGCCCAGTAGCGGCACGACGCGGTCATTCACCAGGACCCGCACCAGCTCCTCGCCGTCGCCGCCGCAGACCATCTTCTCGACGTACACGCGTGCCGCGAACGGCACCGTCCATGCCGCCGCGTAACCCCCCGCCGCGGCCGGGTCGGGGCGCGGCCCCGTCGTCGGCAGCGGCGCCGTGGCATTGTACAGGCCCAGCGCGCCGAGGAAGGCCGTCATGTCGTTGTCGTGGCTGAAGTCGGCGTAGAGCGCGCGCCCCAGCGGGAACGTGGCCGGGTCGCTGTCGAGCGTCGAGTTGGTGCTCGTGCGGTCGCGCACAGGCCGGCCCGTCAGCCGCGCCACCAGCTCATTGGCGTATCCGACGCCCTGGGTGGGCCCGAGGGGGTTGCCCGGCCCGTAACCGTACCACTTGCCGACAGATTGGTGGTATGAGTAGTCCTGCCACTCGGCCTCGGTGAAGAGCGCGCAGAACGGTGAGAGGGTGCCGATTGGCGACGCGACGGTGTTGAACGGGCAGAGGTCCATCAGGTAGACGGTGTCTTGGTCCGTCAAGTTGGCCCCTGGAAGGTTCTTGTTCAGCTTGGCCGTCAGCGGCGGTGCCCAGTTTTTGAGCCAGGCGCTCTGGGCGTCGTATCCGATACTAGAGTATGCGCCTTCTTCGAACTCGGTGCAGAGGCCGTGATCGAGAGTGTTGTTTAAGCCCTCCCCTTCAGGAATGATGACCAGTTCATACGGGAAGACGTCCGACACGTTATCTGCGAGTCTCGACAAGTGAAACCCTTGGGTCCAGTTTAAGGCCGATCCTACGACTCTGTCCTGCCCGGACGCCCTGATGAAGGGCACGGATTTGCTGGCGAGGGACCGGTACCTTGTGTAGAATTTGATTCCGGAGTTGATGAGCTGTTGCTGGCCGAACACTGTCAACTGATCTGAGCCCAGCGTGTATTCGTAGTCCTTGATGAACTCGAACCCCGGACCGTATGCGGTGACCAGCTCGTGGATACGACCAACCGTGTCGTTGTAGATGGCCGTCTTCCCAGCTGTGGGATCTCTGGCGCCATGTCGGGACAAGATCTGAGCGAAAGTGAGATCACAATCCAGTGGAACCGCGGCATCAATCTCGGACGGGACCGAAAAGAACGGCGAATATTGTCCCCACGAGTGTGAGATAGACGCCTGGCATTGAAACCCCTTCTCAGGGGTATCACAGACCGCAGCTATGCGGGACGACGCTGACACTCTTCTGTTTGCGGTGTTAGAACGAGGGCTTAAAGGGGAACAGCAGAGACTTGAGAACTAACATAAAGGCAAATGCTAGAGAGAGGAAGAGGCCGAGAGAGATGCCTGCCATGGTGAATTTGAGGACTCTCCTCCTGCGATCACCGTACTGGCCGCGACCCTCGGTCGGGCGAGGCACCTCGGCCCGGCCGTAGAGAGCCTGGTATTTAAATGCATCCCGCTCAGTGAGCCTCTTGAGCCATGTCGCGATACCGGAGTCCCCCATTTATAAGTAGGTCGCCAGAGCTAGAAGCCCTGGCCTTTGTACCCGAATGGTGCTACTTCGGCCGGTATAATTGCGAATTCATCCCGGGGATGAGGTACGTCGAGGCATGAGAAACGGTGGTAGACCCAAAGTAGAAGAAGAGCAACCTAGGCCGAGACTGCCAACGCATTTCACGCCTCTAGATGGGCGGATGCCCACATGGGACTCATTGGAGGTCATCTTTGCTTGCTGCGGTTCGCTATTGGACCCACGTGCTCACTCTCACTGGTTCTTCTAGGAATTTGACACAAACCCACCGTTTTGGGCGCTGCATACGGGCCTCAGGCATAAAAATTCGCATCCTTGTGATTGCTCAGTGCTAGAACCAAGACCTTGATTTGGCACTTTGATCTCAAGCTAAAAATAACGGGACGATCATCTCCTTCGATGATGCCTTGCTTCGAGACTTGGCCCGGCCAGCTTCGATGCAAAACCAAATCCTAGCCACCTCGAGAGGTACTTTTGTCATTGGCACCGTGAAACCAAGTAACAGCTTCTCTTCAAACAAATGCAAGCGGTCCATATCAAGGACGGGCTTCGAATGCAAAATGTCACAAAATGCCACAGACCTCCTTCCCCGATGGGTATATTCCTCCCTAGTCTTCTCTATCCGCACTCGCCGTCCTTCGCGGGTGTGCTGTACAGGAAGTGTAAATCTCTGATAAATAATACAGTTTAGAAGGCAACTCCCACGCTCTGCAGTCTGTAGATATCAGTACTCCGGCCAAATGTGGCGCTGCGGTCAATGGCCTGTGGTCGTGAGGCAGGCGTATCTTGCTCCATCACCGGGCTGCTCCCCGGCGACCATGTGGTCGGAATGGTCTGGCGCTCCTCCTCCGTTTCCCAAGTCGACACCGTCGACACCGAGGAGACGGTGTCCAAGCTAGTGCGCCCGGCCGCTTCGGGAGTTCCAACGCACTGGTAGAATCCTTCGTTCCCAGTGACCGGTTTGGGGCGATTGGTGATGGACTCGAGACTGATATCTCGTTGATGCTCGGTAGCCGGGAAGAGCCAGTTTGAGACTCGAGAGAAGGACTTCTTCTTGCGCAGCGGCGGACGGAGGACTAGAGGAAGGGGAGGCGCGAGTGGCCGGTCCAGCCCATCTCTAACCTGCTTGTGCTGGCTGATGAATGCCGTGGGGGACTCCGCAATGGTGTCCTCGCGACGACGGACGTGGATCGGATGAGACGGTGCTGTATGAGGCCGACCCTCTGTGCTCAGCCGCTCGGCGAACGAGGGCGCAGCTGCCGGCATCGCTGGGATGGACGGCATTGGTTCGAGGTCTTCTCCCGTTATTCTCGGAACAGGCTCAAGTAGGCCGGGCCCCGGCGTACCTTGCATCCCATGAGCTGTAGATGGGCGGCTGCTCATGTACACGCTCTGACGGTCAATAACCGAGTCGATCTCAGCCTGCAGCAGCTCCTTCTCGATCATAGCACTAGCGATACGCTCGACAATCCTCTCAACACTCGGCGATGTGTATGCCCTTGGTCTTGTCCTCGCTACCGAGCGCGGGGGGATTCTGGGAGGCGTGGTATCCGCGCTACTAGAGAAAGACGACTCTTCATGCAGAGGCCGTCTTGGTAAATGGAATGACATGGACGAATTGCTTCTCTCATGGGTCAAGGTGACGCTGTTGTCGTCCCACGTTGGCGCTTGGGTGTGCGCCGGAGGTGGTGGCGTGATGCTTTGGTCTGCGTAATCGAAGACGGGCAATATCGGTGATAGGTGATTATCAGGCATGTAGATGCTCAACTCCAGAGGTCGGAAGGAGGCGGGCCACAGACGGTGTTGTGGCTCGGGAAACTGGAATGATTCCGAGTAGACATGGCGGAAGTTGGTGGGAGCTGATATGTGCGGCCGGCGCGACGAGGTATTTGAAAAAAAGCGTCTCCTCACAGAGAAGCGGCTTCCCTTACTGCTCGATCTGTCCCGAGTCGTCTGCTCGGCCCCGTATCCTCTTTCAGAGGGCCATAGTGGTTCCGCAGACGGTGGTGGGACAAGGCCGGGCTGGTCCCCAAAGACTGCGTTGGGTTTCTCGGCGCCTGCACGGATTAGTGTCCCGAAGGTTCCAAGACTCGGCCATCCGAGGCGCATATCAACAGGGTTGGACTCACGGGGACGAGGCTTCTCGTCACGGCGGGAGGCCAAAGGCGGACAACACTGAGAGATCGACTGCAGCCACGAGGCATAGGTCTCAGCAAGTACGCTGCCCAAACTCCTCATCTTAAAATTATGACGACTGCCTCATACCGGCCAACAGAAAGGAGGAACGAACGACGACCAGCGTTCCCAGGTAAATGGAACGACGGGCGGGAGAAGCAGGCCCCCAGATTAAGCAAGAAAAAGGCAATCAATCAGAAATGGAAAGAGAAGGATCCTTACCGTGGGCTATTCTACATCTTATTACCTTTCTGTCTAGCCGGCCATACCGCTAAGCTTTGTTGTCCCAGCTGGGAGGCGCTGGCTGTGGATTTAGAAAGTTGATGGTGAGTGATGCCGGCTTGCGAATTTGATAGGCTGAGGCGGAATGGGCGTGGGCCAGTCGGCGCTTACAATGCTGGGGGTAGTGATGATTTGGATGGCTAGCGCTACACACCACATTTGACGACCCACCACTCGTGTAAGACGAACGGTATCGCACAGCGAGTCGATGTCTTAGATTTCCTTGGTCAAGGAACACACTCCGGCACCCACAGCCACGGCCGCATTTGACACAGGAACCCAGGAGGGGTGTCGCGTGGGCCATTTAGATTGGGCCCTGGCCGAGGGCAGCTGTTATCCCGTCATTCAACTTCTGCGAGAGGCTTCTATTATTTCCTGAAACCGAGCTTGTCAGCACGATGTGGCCAAGGCTGCGAACTCGCTCGTGTTTTCAACCCCGACCCCTCGGCCTCCTCGGGAGATCTTGAAGGATCTACGGAATACTCTCTGGCCTTCGGCCACCCCTGGAACAAGTCGGCACACTGCTCCATCATGACCAGGCGCGACCTGACAAGACGTACAGGAACGGCAAACGCGCAGGGCGCAATCTCTCAGAACTTGACTTGTAACACATATTGGTTCGATGAACGGCGGCGACGGGGTGATGCCAGGAGAAGAGGCCGCGCCAGTTGTGCTTTCTACCTCATTTCTAGTTCTCAAAGGAATTCGCGGGTCAACAAATGCGAGAGATTAGTTGGATGCAGACAGCCATTCCTCAGGAGAGCGGGTCTAGAGCCTCGTCGCTCGCTCTGAAAGGCAATTGGATATCCAAACGGAAATACAGAGGTCGATGGCAATTGTAGAGCATTCATCAGCGATTTAGCGCTGAGTCTGACCTGAAAGACAATATTTGAGCTGAATCGGGCTGAGGATGCAGGTGGCTTTGCAGGCACTTATAAAGCCACAATTGGAAAGGTGTAATTCGGGCAAGCTGTGTTTGTCACGTGGCCTCAGGAAACTCACCTGCAGCTGGTGTAACTTACTGAGCCGGACCGGACCTAATGAACCAATCAAATTGAGGTACAACTGGGTCGCGAACTGGACAGCTTGCGTCCCAAGCCATTAAAAAAAGGTGCTGGTTAACCCTCGCCCGCATACCAACCATTCAAGCCCAATCCTGATTCTAGGAAACAAAAATAAAATAGAATCGGTTTGCCATTTCCAAGCTTTGCAGGCTTAGAGCCACCCAGATCTCGCCATGCAAGCTCCTCCGCAACCGGGGCAGATGCCCACCCGCGAACAGATCATGGCGATGCAGCAGCAGCTCGCAAGAGACGCAGAGAAGGCCGGCATGACTGTCCAACAGTTCGTTGAGCACCTCAAGAAACAAGCGCAGGAACAGCAAGCAAGAATGCAAGCCGCAATGCAACAGCAACAGCAGCATCAACATCAACACCCACAACAGGCCCAAGGCCAACCGCAGCCCATTGTCCCTGGCCCTCCGAACCCCCTCGCCTTGGCACTCGCCAAGTTTCTACGAGGCCAGGACCTGAAGCCGCGTACATGTATCTTGAATGGAGATCGGAAGGATATGTTCAAAGGTATTTGACCTGATTGGCAGGACATCCTCGCAGCGAGCGCCCCAGACCACTAACCCTCCTCCAGTGAAGCGAGCCCTCCGAGCGCTCCAGTCCCCTGCCTATGAGAAGGCGCGCAAGAAGAACCCGGCTCTCCCTGAAATCACCGACCGAGCCTCTCTTGAGAACACGTTTAAGCTGCTTCCCATGTCCATGCTCGCCCTCCGTGTCAACAAGGTCGACCCCCACCATGGCCATGACCACGCTCCCAAGAAGACGAAGCGGGTGAAGGGCCTCTGGACGGTTCGCATTGAGCCCCAGCAAGAGGCCAAGGAGGACATGTACTACGTATGGCTGTGGGAAGGCAGCCAGCTCAAGCGCAAGGTCTATGCCGCGCTGGCTCTGCTCGTCATCTTTGCCGTTGTCCTCTATCCACTCTGGCCGCTGAAGATGCGCCAAGGCGTCTACTACCTCAGCTGGGGCTTCTTGATGCTTCTGGGCGTGTTCTTCCTCATGGCTATCTTCCGCGTCATCCTCTTCTGCGTCACCTATTTCGCCACTCCACCTGGGCTGTGGCTGTTCCCCAACCTCTGGGAGGATGTCTCGTTCTTCGACAGTTTCAAGCCAGTCTGGGCTTGGCACGAGGTACGTCACCAAAGGGCGGCAGTCGAGCGGTTCAATAGCACTTGCTAACCAAATTCTAGACGGCGAAGAAGAAGAAGAAGGCGAAGGCGAAGGGCGGTTCTGCGAGTGCCCAGGCGACCTTTTCTGCAACGACCGGACAGCCGGCGCCGGCGACCGCAACAACCACCGCAACCGCCACCCAGGTAGCCGATACTTCGATGCAACAGCGCGGCTATGTCTCTCCAAGAGTCGAGGAACTTCCTGACGATGAGTGATTCTGTCACATGGCATTTATGGCGTTGCTGAGGCGTTGGGAATGACAATGGGAACGTCCGCCTGCTGGGCACAAGAAAATAAGGCGTGTGTATTCAGTAGACTCATGGCCCAGCTGGACAACTCGTAATTCTTCATTGTCATATGGACTGATATGCTTGCATTGCTGCTCGTCGCTCTTGGATTTAATCTGCTGTTCTTGTTTATAAAATCAGACCGCCATAGCTATCAAGATTGGGGTTCAGGATACTCCTTTGCCTGGGAGTCACGCTAGAACCGCTGTCGTAGTATCATGGATGTTGATACCTCGCAATGTCAACTCGGTCCATGTGCATGCTGGTCCCTCATGGATACCTATGCTCCGAAGAGCATACGTATGCCGTTAGTGCAGCGAAAGTTTGGATCCAGATGCCTTGGAATGGCTTCAGCCAAGATCCTCGGCTGCGAGTAAGCCCGCCGTGAGCCAGTATGATCAGCCGCCCCCAGTGATGGCCCCCACCCGCACTGACCGTCGTCTGATGTCTGATGGTGCTGATCGGGCGGGTCGACAGCCGGCATAGTTGACAAGGTTAGGCAATCCGTGCGCCGCATCCTTTGCCAGAGGAATTACCTAAAATGCAGTTCCATGCGGTGACTGAAGCAGCAGCAGCATTGGGGAAATGGGCACACGGGATGAAGCTTCCATGACCCAAAGACGGGATGTCGGGAGAAGCCGTGAGACTGGACTTACAGGGAGTATCCATGTAGTGGTCCAGACTCTCTTCATGCCACCATCCTCATGGATAATACGCCGTCGAATGCGAAGGCTGGAAAGGGCTGGTGCTGCTGGTTCTCTGCTCTACGCAGTAGGGAGCTAAGGTAACTTATCCAGTTGTATTACGTGTTGAGACTGAGGATAGTCGCACTCGATGATCACAAAGGTAGGTACTTGGTATAGACGTCATTTGGTGGGGGCCCAGGTTCTTCGTCCATGGAATATGAAGGACTCCCGCTAGCTCGGTGGGGCACCAACTTTTGAAACATCCCATGGATTTAGATACCGCCACGGCGCTGCCGAAGAACAGAGGGCATTCGATCGGCGGAGGAGATATTGGCCCTGGGGAACCCTGAGAGGCCCCTGCAGACGTCCGCGGGTGGGCAAAAGGCGAGGATAATCTCACGAGGGCGAAGCTGTGCTCTGCTCAAGACGGGCGTGCTGCCTGATCATCATAGGCTGTCCAGACTCGGAACCAGACGAAGGTTTGTTGTTGGTTGTATTAGTATATCATCTCACGTCTTCCCAGCTGCTCTAACGAGCGCTCCCTCAATCCTCTCAACCTGCTCCAATTCACGCTAAAGGTGGACCACTTAACGCGACCACTCACTCCCGCGTCGAGACGGCCTTTGGCAAGTTCACAAACGGACCAGTTAAAACCGCCCGAGCCGCTGAGATTTACCTCGACTGACGAGGCGACCAAAATAAACAAACAGGGTCCTGGTATAAAGTAGGTAGTGCGATCCCACTACATACTACATACCAAAGGTATATATACAATACAATACAATAACGTCGAGCCCAGCCAACATCAGCCACGGCTCCTTTCGACTTCCGACTCAGTCAACTACATGCACGCGGTTGCCCATTTCGCTTATTAGACTACGGCCAGGGGCAGTCTCTCGTCTCACCAACAGAGTTTAAAAAGGGGGGCTCCTATTAAGGCCAATTGGGTGTGTTGCAGACCAGAGATCATCACAGGGTCTTGACTTGGGGTTTAGACCGAACTTGGTTCGCTCCAGTTGCCAGTCAGCCCTCCAGAATGTCCGTTGCTTGGAGCTGGGACCGCTCGACCAAGACCCAAAAGGGTGTTGCGAGTCGCGGCCGTTCAACAAACCAAGGGCAGACAGGTTACAGTTACTCCATCAAGGGAGGGCCAGCGCCTTCAAGGCCACCACGAGAGTTTTTGGAGTCGCAGTCATAGTGAGTGCCGGTTTTCCCTTATAGCAATAATCCCATCGTATCACTATTTCCCCCCAATGCTCGGGCGCATGATCTGGACAGGGCACGGAATCAGCCCCTCCCAAAAACCCCCCACCCCTGACTTATTCCCTGGATCTTGCGACTTCCAGCGCCGTCACGATATTCCCCTCTGATCCCTCTATTCTTTCCTGGATCAACCTACAACTAACCAACCGCGCTCACACAGTGAGACTACCGCAGCTATGCGACAAGCTCATCCACCACCGCGCAACCCAAACAACAGCTATCGCAGCTCGAGTTTCCGGCCAGCGTCATCTGTCTACTCACAGCCTTCTCCTGTCAGCAACAACTTCTCCTCTGCGGGATCCGGGGCCAACTATCACCACGGCGCGGCGCCCGATGATATTTCACCACCAAGCTCCCCAGAACCGAGTTATACAACGAGCGGAGGGTGAGTCGCAACTTTCCCATTGTTTTCGTGTTCCTTGGCTTGCGCAGGCCCATGAAAGGCAAAGAGACAGGAGCGGGGCGGCATTCAGTCTCGGGTACCAAGCATCTTTCGAGTCTTTGTCCGGGTGGCATAACGGCACTCTCTGTCGGCCATACCTAGTCTTGGCCACTTCCATGATTATATGGGGGTTGTAAACGATGATGTCGTCAAGTCATGCAATCTAACCACAAGTACTGACAAATGTGTTGTTTAGTTACGGTGTTCCTCGGGGCCGCTCTCGGGACGTCTCCCCGATTGACGAAGACCTATCAGCCATGACCATATCCCACGGCACCTCCAGAAATGCGAGAAACAACATGGAGGCCCAACAATCTGACGGGGCCGCACAATCACGGTCTAATATTCCCAGTCTGCGTCGAGCGCGACGGAAGCAATCCGATGCCGCGCTGCGAGAGGCTACACAGCGGCAGGGCCAGCAGAAGGGAGATGTCCGTTGGGATACCATGACCGGCGAGCCAACAAACAGCGCAACGGGAAAATCATCACAGGTCAAGCCTGCCGAATTTGCACGGGGACTCGGCATAAGTGCGTCATCTGCACCTACGCAGAAAAGCCCACCCTCGGCAATCACTTCGTTTGGCGACAAGGTTAGGCGGATGGCACAGTCAGGGAGAGCTGACAAGAAGCCCGACACGGTTGAACACGGCATAGACCCTGCCGCGGGCGCCTTCACATCCTCGCGCCCGGGATGGCGGGGTGCGAGCGGCCGGACAGCGCTAGTTGAGCCCGTACGCGACAATCCGGAAGTTACCCCATTGAAGATACCGCGGAAGAGCAGCAAGCGCGTCACTTCTCCACCATTGGCGGCAGGCCCCGGGAAGCCGGGTCTATTTTCGGGCACCCCTGTAAGCGGGCATGCAGCCCCTGTCGGTCCATCGGGGGCTGAAACGGCCGCCCATTCTGTGCCTCCCCGGGAGACTGTAAGGAGAGTAGTGCCCTCGTCCCAGATGTCTTTCCCGCCCAACTCGCAACCACAATCGTCTGCACCCAGTGAAAGTGCAATCAGCTCGACAAGCATCGCTGCCCAAGAGGCAACACGAGGTAGACAACAAGGAATCCGCAGGAAACCCCCTCCTGCCCACGGAAACCACCACCACTCCCACCAGGAGTCAGGTTCGTCCGTCTACACTCAGGATCCCCATGCGCCAATACCTCCTCCGCATGCTGCGAACCCAACGAGTACGGGGCCAGTAGATCCGTGGACACAACCCGCGTCTCGATTCAGCGTCACCACTTACGCCACGAGCGCAGCCGCCACGCCACGCGAGTCCCTTGACGTCTTCGATCACGACCGACCGCCGATGCCGACACCGCCGCAGCAGTATCACTCCAGCCCCCAACCAAAGCAGGACTCCGTCATGGATCGTCGACGACCCAAGCTCACCGAGAGTGACGATGACAAAGTTTATCCCTCTTCCGGGGCCCCCGTATTCGTCTCTATCAAGGACTCGTTCATGACCTCCCCGTTCTCGAGCTCCTCGACGGCAGCCCGCGAGCGCAAGGCAGCCGCCACCGGCACCAGCACCGGCAGCAGCCGCCCCGAACCGGCGGCCGTGTCCTGGGCGCGAACGGCCGGCGAGCGGCCCGTGTCGACAGCGTCGAGCATCAACAAGATGCTCCCGCCGGCGCCGCCCGAGGCGACGGCGGAGGAGTCGCGCGACCGGGTGGGGATGCTCAACGCGCAGCTGCAGAGCCTGGGCAACCGGCGCATCAACCTGCTGCGGTCGGTCAAGCAGATGACGGAGCTCATGCCGCAGGACAACGTGCTGGACAGCGCCGAGGTCGTGCACAAGCGCGGGCTCGAGCGGCGCAAGGTCGAGGCCCTCCGGCTCGAGCTCGCCGACGTCCAGCGCGAGGAGTACGAGCTCGGGCTGAAGCTCCACCGCGCGTACAAGCGCATGGACAGGGATGAGCAGTACGAGAACTCGGCGCTCTGGGTCCGGAGGGTTACTAGCTAACCTTTTCTTCGCACGTTGTTGCCGCTGTTGTTATGTTCCGGGAGGATAGGGAGGTGGGTCACGATTTCGCATGCATGCGGGGAGCACGTGTTATGACGCCTTTTTTTTCTTTTTTTCTTTTTCTTTTTTCTGAGCGACGGAGTTTGACGGTTTTCGAGATGATACTGTTTGTATGTAGGCGAGACGTGTTGTACGATGGGCTTAACTGTTGTACGAATACAGATCCAAATTCTTGACTCGGGGGATAAGTTAGCCTCCCGAGAACAAATCATAGATTATGAATGTCTCTTCGCAACTACTTTAAAGACAGAAAACATCAAACCTCCAATGCTGACGTTGCCAATCCATCTATGGGGCAAGATGCCATTCTTGATCAAACCAAACTCCCGTCTTATGACCGACTTTTGTGTTGAACGCTAGACTTACAAGCCACATGCAAACCTCTCTCTCTCCGCGTTACTCAATGCCCTCTCTAGGTTACGCCGTCCTGTCTGCATCCGCCTGCGCCGCTTTCCGTCTCAGATCCTGCAAGCAAGGCGCGAAAAACAACTCGCCGCTGATGACCATGAGGAGCGTCCTCATGGCGACGACGAGCCAGAGCAAGAAGACCGATATCGAAAACACCTAAAGAAGGCGGGGGAGCACCTCGTTTTAGCCACGTTCAACCGCGCCGTTTCGGCCTCCCATCTGGCACATCAGACTGAATAGTTAACTCACCATGGTCAAGACCCGGAAGAAGCTGCTGTCGAGTTCCTTCGCCATCAACCCCGTGCAGGTGGCGAGGACGCCCAGCGGGAAGGTGAAGCCCCACCAGCCCATGTTGAAGGGGAACGACTGTGTGACGGCGATGCTGATGAGCGCAAAGCCGAGCCAGGCGAGGCCGGCGCCCCACATGACGAAGGCGAGGAACATTCCGACGCCATAGAAGACCTCGCCGACGACGGCGGAGGACGAGGAGTCGCCGCCGCTGCCGCCGAGGGCGCCGGTCTCGGGGAGCAGGGTGCGCGCGACGATGCCGAGCTGCTGGATGCCGAAGCCGCCCTGGCCGAGGGGCCCGATGGGGAGGAAGACGGAGACAATGACCTCGCGGGGCGGCAGGCTGTGCATGCAGAGGCGGTGGAAGTAGATGGTGAGGACGATCATGGCGAAGAACTCGCCCATGCCCCAGATGATGTACGACGCGACGAGCGTCGTCAGGGCGTGGGATTGGCTTGGCAGTGCTGCCGCGATGATGCCGCCCGACGAGGAGGCGACGATGGCCGGCACGAAGGGGAAGAGCAGCGCTGCCGTCATGCGGTTGAGCTCAAGCTTATGGTGGTGCATCCTGTCCCGCGTTAGTTCCCAGCGTTAGGAGTGAAAATAGAGAGAGAGCAGCGGATGCACTGCCAGCTCGCCGGTCAAGGGGGCAGGTTGAGGTTGCAGACTCACACAGGGAAGGGCAACAAGATACTGCACATCACGGCTAGCACAACGTCAAACCACCACAGTGCCCAAGCCAGGTAAATAGCCCAGTCTCCCCAATCCGCACATACGAAGACTGTCATATTGATGATTGCTAGGAGGTTCGTCAGCCATTACGCCCTTGGCAACAGAGATATATAAATAAACAAGACCACCTACTTGCTAGGCCCATGGGGAAGCAGCCCAGGAAGAGAGACTGGACAGGGTGTCTGATCATTGCGCTCCATATCTCGGGATAGAGCGTGTACCGCACGATGGTGATGCCAGTGAAGATGACGAAGAGCAAGATATTTAGAACGAAGAAGGCCACGGCAATGGACTTCAGCCACGAGGCGTTGTACGGGAGCTGGTGGATGAGAATCGACACGATGCCGGTGCCCATGTTGACAGCGAACCATCTAGATGACCGGTCAGTTCCCCTCTCCTCGACTTGTGTGTGTCTGACTAAGGTGAGTTCGATTTTAGTCCACTTACGACGGGGTGAAGTTTCTCACGATCCTTCGCCAACCAACATCTTCCTTAGCAGGCTTCTCTCCCATGCATTGGCCATTACCTCGCTGACACGGCGGCACTAGAGTTTGCTTGCCGCCTCTACTACCGTTACAAGGGGTTGTTGTATCGGCGTTCATGGCTGCTTCGTCATAGATAGTCGGCCGATGTATCGGATTCTCGATTCTTGCATCAACAAGTGGCTCCCTGGATTAGGGATGTCTAGGTTGACACTGTGAGAAATTGCGGAGTGCCCTTTGATGCCAACCAGTTAGGTATGGTTGAACATCTCTACTTGTAGAAGAATGTGCAATCAATTACTAGACTACCAGCAGCTGTGGATGACTCTTTCTCGGTTGTCGGTGGAGACCCCCATGGTGGCCAAAATGTGTAAAGTCCCTAATCCGTAGGTAGTCTCCACCAAGAGCTCTGGGCGGGCGTCTGTGCGCCAATTGTTTTGTGGAATTTTTCGCCTTCCATACCTACCTACCTACCTCGGTAGTTTCCGTCTCCCTCTTTTCCCTACTGTAGTTTCTGGTAACAAAAAGCCAAGAGATGCAGACATTCCCGTTCTTGAACGAAGCCGTATCCTCAGTTCAATTGCTGTTGTCGTTAAGAATCTGCACATCCATCCGAGTTGCGCCTAGGACCAATCAAACTCCGCAATTTCCAGTCGGGGAACAAGGTTGCTGTGGCCGACAGCCGTTGCCGATTTCGGATTGACCGTTGAATTCCCAACCTCAACAAGGGAGCAGCAGACACAACCGACATCTTCCATCCTAGATACCTCAGTTGTTGTTCAGCTAACCCAATACAGAGTAAGCAAGTAGCCGTCTCCTCCAACCTCGTGACCAGCTCAGGTGTTGCCGTTGAGAGGTCAATGCATGGTCAAGCTAACACGAAACATGCGTGCAGGGCCATTTTCGGGTTGTAAAGCAAGGAATCTCCCTGGTTGAGCTCCTTTTCCTTGGATATTTCCTCGAGGGTACGTAAAACGATTCGACGTTGTGATCCCGTGAGAAGGTTATCAGTCATCAGGCGGTCCCACTAACCGAAATCGGGCTCGGCAGTGCATAGGGCCCCTCCGCCAACTCCGCCGATGATACGCGGTGCGAACATTGTCTGACACCGCCTTTCTTCCGAGTGGCAACCCCTAGCCATCCATCACAACAACCCATCATCATCACTGAATAGAGTCGTCAAAAGATCCCAATCATGGCCATCGATAAGAACTTGAGCCTTGGTGGCATCGTGTCCTCGGGGTTTCGCTGCGGTGTCGATGCGGATAGATTTGAAGAGCTCGTCACTGCGCTCAAGGTGGCGCTCGGGCCATGCTCTGGTCTGACCTCGGATGATGTCGATGTCTCCTATCTCTCGAGGCTGATGGAGGAGTATAAGGCCAACGACAAGGGTTGGGAGAGGTACGCAATGGGAGACCCAAGCCGAGGGTATACCCGAAACCTTGTCGATGAAGGAAACGGGAAGAGCAACTTGGTAGGTTCCAGACCGCATCCGCACCGACGTGAATCGCCCCTGAGGTTGCAACGTATATCTAACGGAGAGATAGCTTGTCCTCGTATGGAGCCCGGGGAAAGGAAGTCCCATCCATGATCACGGCAACGCTCATTGCCTGATGAAGATCCTCCGGGGGAACTTGACAGAGACGAGATACGAGTTCCCCGACCCCGAGAAACAAGGGCCCATGAGGGTCAAATCAGAATACACGCACAAGGAGAACGCCGTCGCCTACATGGCCGACGAGCTGGGTGTCCATCGAGTATGGAATAAGGGCAGCGACTTCGCTGTATCCTTGCACCGTAAGACAAGAGGAAACAGGGCAAATTACCTAGACCAAGCTGACATGTCAAACAGTGTATACACCCCCCAATGTTGCCAAGGGGGGATGCCACATCTTCGATCCTGCCACCGGAAAGAGGAGCCATGTGCTGAAGTGTGGAAATTTTTCAGAATATGGTAGGCGACTGAAGGAAGCAAAGGGAATGTGAACGTTGGGTGATTGGAGCTTGACGAAAGTGCCATTGGCATAGGTAAGCTTGTCCGTATTTGGATTCATTTCGCGTCTCGAACGGAAGGGAGAGGTGGCAGCAGTTTCTGGCCGCGACTTGGGGGAGGTTTTATGTCTTAATGATAATGATCGTGTGATAAGCGGAGGCGCCGGTAGCCACAACAACCAAACAATCCATAGTCTGGCAGACGATACTTCAACCCTCGGAAGAGCCTCACCATCTTTATGACTCCAGAAAGAATTGTGAAGTCGAAAGCCCGTCGTCAACGAGGGCAGGGCTATAAGCTGCTGGCACAGCAGGGCTCTGCTGATTGGCCGATAGAAATTGCGTGCTCTCACGTGACCGCGGCTGTCGAGGAAGTCGGGCGAGCCGAATTGTGTCATTTTCACCACCCATGTCAATCTCTCGCCGCCTCGCGGTCCACGCGTTCTTCACGAAGTTCTAGTTACGGAGAATTTATTCGACCGCCCCATTGCAAGAGGACCGGGACGATGCTTAACTGTAGCCTAATGGTATTGCACGGCCTCAAGCTCTAACCTCAGTTCGAGTTTTCATAACCTTACTAGACCAAATATTGATGATCTGCTCACCGCCCAGATACTCCCTACATATCTTGATCGCGGATAAAGGGCAATTTCCCGCAATGTTCTGGCCAGTCTTCTCTTCCATCAACGCTATTGCATTTCCCGGTTGGTGGAGTTCGTCCCGCCCACACCTCTGCAGTTATTGGGTGTTTGGAATGCAACGTCCCGGGGTCTTCAAACAAGATGCCCCCAAGGACCTGGTCGGAGGGAGAGAGAGATCTTGATAAATCAAGCCGTCCGAGGCTAATAATGACCTGCCGCCGTATCTCCGTCCCTGGAATTGCTGCTGCTCAGGGTAGAGCAGCAGAGTAGAGCAGCAGAGATAACAGTGTCTTCCTACGTTATGCTCTTCTCTACGCATAGAGCTCCTTGACGGGTTCCCTAGATTATTTTGTCGTTGATTTTCTGGCCGCTCGCTTCCAAACTCAAGCATTTAGAGGCTTGCTAGTCGGTTACTCATGTGACTTTTCTTTGGTGTGTTCTCTGTTTGGCTAACGGAGATTGCAGAATCAGGGCTCATCCATGGCAGCCACTTTTGCAAAAGGTCTCCTCGCTTCCTTTCCCCAGTCCAGTCCAGGAGGAGATTACAATACAAGACACTAATTGGCTGGGCAATGGCGTGCATCCATGGTCATGGAACACGCATGGGTATGAAAGCGACAAGCCACGATGGTTAGAGCCGCAACTTTGGCCCACCGCGACGACTGTGACGGTACGGATATGTTGCGCCGAATCTGGGGAGACCCCGCATACAGCGTAGCATGGACCCATCAATCAAACTGACCTGCATGGCCTCCCCTCAACTGTCACACAGCAACATCCCTGACAACACTAGCTAGTCAGAGGACGGAGGGGATCCTCCTGTCCCACCTGCCTTGACTCTTTTCAGGACTGTCCACACCTGCAAATTCTGCAGATGTAACCTTGTTCAGGGGGTTCCGCCCAAGAGGAGCCTTCTCTATTCGACATTGGGAATGAAACGGGGCCAAGGAGACCGAATTGGCCCCAGTAATCGCTGTGCCTCATGTCGATCTAGTGTATGTACGCATGTAGGATGAAATCCAAAAGAGGGAAGGATTCACCCAAGTCGCCACATGGTCAAGTTGGTTTACCGATGAGCACAGACGACCGAACCTGATGGGACCAACCACCGAAGTGTTCCCAAAAGAGGGGAGAACAGGGGAATCTTGGCCTAGACTTTATATTGACAACAGCCCAGTTCCTTGGGATTGGGGGCTGATTATAACTCCCATCTTCCACCCCCCGGATGGGTAAACCTGCCGAACAATAACTTGCCAGCCACGGCATGTATTCCAGCGCAGTGACACCCAGTTGCGTCCGTGCCCTGGCCGTTTCTCGTCTCTCTCATTTCCATATATAGCACGCCCTGTTTTGACATGGTTCATATGGCCCTCTAGGCGTCGTCGACGAGACAATGGCAGACCCGGCGCAGGCGGTACTGTTGGCGCCGGAGAGCGACACTCTCACGCCCCTGCCGGGGGTCCTTCGCTCAGGGCTGAAGGCCGTTGCTGTACTAGCCGCCATTTCTTTCATCTCTTCGGCCCTCGTCTTCTCTTATCTCACCTTTAAACTTGTCCGATGGCACTTCAGATCAACAAACGGGGCAGGCAGTGGCGAACCACAGACGGTCGACCTGGCCCTGGGGCTTGCGGAGCGGCACTTTGGGGGTGGTGACTCTAGGCTCGAACGGCGAAGCACAGACAGGAGGAAACGCGGCTCGCCAAATCAGTTCCTCGTCCTCGTCTACAACCTTCTCCTTTCGGACATGCACCAGGCCTCCTCCTTCTTACTCAGTGCCTCCTGGCTCACTGCGGATAGTATCCAGGTCGGGACAGCAACCTGTGCTGCCCAGGCCTGGTTGGTCTCGACGGGGGATTTGGCCTCGGGCGGGTTCATCTCTGCTATCGCCGTGCATACGTATCTCATAGTTGTGTGGGGATACAAACCGCCGCAGTGGGCACTTTACCTCGCCATTGTTGTTATATGGGTCTTCGTCTACATTATTTCTGCTGCCGGCATCATCGCAACGAAGAACGGCCGCAGCGCTGGAGGCTTCTATGTTCGGGCCGGTGCTTGGGTGGGTGCCAATTCCCTGATTTGGTTCTGGTTTCTGTGACATTTGATGGAGGCTGACTCTCTGTACAGTGCTGGGTCAATATCGAATACGAGACGATCCGGCTCCTCACGCATTATCTCTTCATCTTCATCTCCCTTGCTATAACGACCATACTTTACACCCTTGTCTTTATATCTCTACGCCGTAGTCAGAAACATCCACCCTCTCGGCGTCCTGCCGCTCAACCTCCTCCCGCGCAGCCACCGCTGCGAAGCAAATCGCTGGGATCCAAGACGAGCGTCGACCTGAGCGTCGCAGCGCGCTCTGTGGGTGCCAACCCACCCGCGAGTGGCGACAGCGCCTTGGCACACAGCGGCGGCTATCACCCTGTTTTTCTGATCTATCCGGTCATCTACTTTGTGTGCACGGCTCCCCTGGCTTTCGGTCGTATCGCGACAATGACAGGTGCCAAGATACCGGTGGGTTACTTCTGCGCGGCGGGTGCTCTCATCACCAGCAACGGCTGGCTGGATGTGCTGCTGTGGGGCATTACGAGACGATCGCTCCTCTTCAGCGCTGAAATCGACACCGAAGACTCGGGCCTCTCGACGTTTGCCTTCATGAGGACCCCCCACGAACGGAAGTACGGGAACATGGTCTGGGTTGAGGGGGCTGGCGGCCGCGACGGCGCGGCGGCCGATGAGCCAAAGGACCGCTGGACGCTCGGCTGGGCGAGAAAGTGGATGGGCTGGAGGCGCCTGGGATTCGGCGGCGGGGATCACCGCCGCCGGAGCCGCAACCGGAGCGGCACCCTCGGCCTCGCGCGCAGGCGATCCGATACACACGGCAGCCAGCAGTCGCTTAGGGGCCCGGCAGGGATCAGCGACATGGCGATCCAGATGGACATGGTCACAACGGTGGTTGTCGAGGTTGACAACGGTCGGCAGAAACAGACGACGCCATACGGAGAGACGTCTACATATTCGATGTCGATGAACGATTCGGATAAAGAAGTTCATCAGAGGGTATGAGCCTTTTAGCCCTTGTTGGATTCCTCAACAAGAGGGCTTGGCTAGAAATGGGGCCCTCAGGGGTGATTATGAATGATAGCTGCGTATATAATACCCCTAGATAACTGAAGCATGAATGAACCACGTTAGGATCTCACTCGGCCAGATCACTCTACCTAGTCGGTGGGCATCATTGTATCGAGTGTGCCACGACCACCATAAATCTCATTCGGTGTTAAGGGGATAAGACCATTGCAAATATCGAGTCAGAAAGGGCATTTCAGGAGAGAGGTAGCGATGAACTCGCAACTCCGCAGCTTATCTGAACTCTAGACTTACAGTTCTCTCACGTAATATTGCAATGGCATACCATACTCAACATAGATGTAGTGACTAGTAACCAGGAGCCAGGAGTTACTTAACCCCTATAAGTCTTGGACGTGCAACATTAGAATTCAGTAATCAACCAAGAGAGGGAATTGCACAACGATTCGGGTTTTTGCCTCCTTCTTTTCTTTTTCGTCAACACCAGGAGGCACTTTCTACTGACTCTTACCTACCCTATTACTATTATGCCTGCCACGATGTGCCTCGAGTAAAGATTTGTAAAGATATATTTGTTGGATAGAGTCAAAACAACAGCTGTTTGCCCCACTCATTAGTAGGTGTTGGTGCACAGGCCACAAATGGGAAGCTTGACATCAAGTCTCAGACCCCACCAAAATTTGGAAGTTGATGAACAGAGCTGGATGACCAACATAGACTTGCTTGCCGTACAATGCTTATATTTGCCTTCTCTGCAAGTGCGGCAAAGTGGAGGTTTGCCGATCATGGCATTTGGAACTTTCGGTAGAGACACATTCACATTGGTCATCAATGGTATGCCAATTCTTCTATCTAACCGCAACCTTGAGGGACTAGTTGAGTTGACTGACATGAGACAAAGATGTTGATCGACTGTGGCGCCTCTTTCGCATTGAAATCCTATTGACGGCATTCGCGGCTCTTCTAACACTCCGACTTTACTTCTATTGGACTGAAGGGAATGAGCAATTGGTATTTCTGCCAAAGGCCTACGGATCCGAGGTAAAGGATCTCCTGAAGGCTGAGGCTGTGAGCAAAATTAGCCAGGAGGTCAAAGTCGACAATTCTACAAAGACTAAAGCGCCTCGCCGGATCAAGGGGGAGCGGGCTAAGGATAGTCCTGACATCAAAGCAGACCAGACTGGAAACAGGGAAATACAAGTGCTTGTCTTCTTCTCTTCCATCACAGGGAATACAACCAAGCTCGCAAGGGACTATGGGCGCCGCTTGGAAGGATCCCTGAGGGCATATGTCAAGGGTACCGAATCCCTGTTCCTCAGCCCGCAGGTCTTGGATCTGTCTGAAGTGGACTATGACGAATACTTTACCAACCCACCCAAGATTCAGGGCAGAGGAGGCAGGCCCGCAGACCTCTTTTATGTGTTCCTTGTCCCGAGCTACAACATCGATACAATCAACGACAACCTTCTGGAGCACTTGAAGGACACCCACCATGATTTCCGGATCGATACTTGCCCCCTGTCGACTCTTTTGGGCTACTCAGTTTTTGGATTTGGCGATAGGGAAGGTTGGCCTACGGAAGACGACGGTTTCTGCTTCCAAGCCAAGGAGGTCGATAAATGGATGGCAAAACTGACCGGTCGGAAGAGGGCCTATCCGTTAGGAATGGGTGATTTGAAAACTGACGGGCTCAGGAGACTCGAAGAATGGAATCAGGGGTTGACTGAAGTCCTCGACTTCGTGGTTGAAACCGGAAGTCTTGGAGACGGAGTTGCCGGATCAGGTGACGCCGTTGAGAGTGACGATGAAGGGGATGTTGATGATGACGACGGAGAGGTAGCCATGGAAGATTCTCCGAATGTACAAAGTTCGAGGAAGTCGAAGAAGCAGGACGACATCGAGGACGTTGAAGACCTTGGCCGTATTATCCAGACCTCGCAAGGTTCGGAAGCCAACGACACCCAGGTCCAGGCTGGTGCGCCCATCGCCGTTGACTTCACCACGTACGGGAAGAGACCGTCTAAGAAGCTAACGGCTGTAGCCGCTAAGGAGATGGTGCCAAAAAACTCGCCGACCTACAACGCCCTGACCAAGCAAGGCTACTCGATTGTGGGCTCTCACTCAGGGGTTAAAATCTGCCGCTGGACAAAGTCAGCCCTCCGCGGTCGAGGTTCGTGCTACAAGTTTTCCTTCTATGGGATCAACTCGCACCAGTGCATGGAGACCACGCCGTCCCTGTCATGCTCGAACAAGTGCGTCTTCTGCTGGCGGCACGGGACCAACCCCGTCGGCACGTCCTGGCGATGGGTAGTTGACCCGCCGCAGCTGATCTTCGACGGCGTGCGGGAGAACCACTACAAGAAGATCCGGATGATGCGCGGCGTCCCCGGCGTGCGGGCCGAGCGGTTCGCCGAGGCGATGCGCATCCGGCACTGCGCGCTGTCGCTGGTGGGTGAGCCCATCTTCTACCCGCACATCAACGAGTTCCTCGGGATGCTGCACGGCGACCGCATCAGCTCGTTCCTGGTCTGCAACGCGCAGCACCCGGACCAGCTCGCCGCGCTGGGCCACGTCACGCAGCTGTACGTCAGCATCGACGCCTCCAACAAGGAGTCGCTCCGCAAGATCGACCGGCCGCTGCACCGCGACTTCTGGGAGCGCTTCCTGCGCTGCATGGACATACTGAGGGAGCGGCGCTTCATGCAGCGGACCGTCTTCCGGCTCACGCTGGTCAAGGGCTTCAACATCGAGGACGAGGCCGAGGGGTACGCCGACCTGGTCGAGAGGGGCCTCCCCTGCTTCGTCGAGGTCAAGGGGGTGACGTACTGCGGGACCTCGACCTCGGCGGGCGCGGGGCTGACCATGTCCAACGTGCCCTTCTACGCCGAGGTGTGCGACTTTGTGGCGGCGCTGGAGAAGGCGCTCCGCCGGCGGGGGCTGGCCTACGGCATCGCCGCCGAGCACGCCCACAGCTGCTGCATCCTGATCGCGAGCGAGAGGTTCAGGGTCGCCGGGAAGTGGCACACCCTGATCGACTACGACAGGTTCTTCGAGCTGCTCGAGGAAAAGGGCGCGCACGGGGACTTCTCGCCCGAGGACTACATGGGCCCCGAGACCCCCGAGTGGGCGACTTGGGGGAGAGGGGGGTTCGACCCGAGGGATCAGAGGGTGGACAGGAAAGGCAGGCCTATTGAGATCTAGGTAGTTGAATGGCTCCTGTTGAGTACTGGTATAAAAATATATAGTCAGTCAGCCTGCCATCTAAAGGGGGCTGTTTCAAAATTGCGAGGCTTGAATAGAGGCGCTAGGCATAACCTGGGGCCTGGAGGTGCCATCCAAGTTATGTGATGTAGTCCTTTCTTCTCCCATACATATCCAATGATATCAAGAGGGAACAACGAGCACTAGGAATTGAAATCGTGCACTGGACTCTGGGGTCTAGTGTTGATCTATCCTTGCGCCATTTTTTCCCGCGGTTGTTAATGCATCCGTTCGGGAATCCGTTATGTACAGTATTGTTTTACATGCCTCTGTCCTGGCACTTCAGGTCCCATGCGGAAGTGAACTAATGTACAGTCGGCAAAAGCCTGCAAAGGTCATGAGAAATGAGGCCACGCCAGTATGACCAGAAGCCATTGGCTGGTTTGGGGTTGGTCGAGAGGATGTATTAGAGAGGAGGGGTATGCCGGATGGGGGACATCAGGTTCTCAGTCAACAGCCGAATAATGTGTGGCCCTCAGGGGATCTGGGTCGCATCTAGGCTCCGGGAGTGGCGTCCGGCGGGCACGAAGGTGACCGGAGGGTTCGGCAAACGGTGGGAAATATGACGCCTAGTCAAGGCCAACCGTGGGCATTCCAGGCATTCCACCCATCTCACGCATCATGTCGTTCATGTCGTTCATGTCAACTCCGCCGCCACCGCCAGTGTAGCTGCCAATCTTAAGAGTACCATCATACGCAATCATCTCGGCCAAGACGTCGAGGATCGGCTGCCACAGGATTAGGGACGGGGTCTGGCCTTCCGGATACGGTCCTATCTTACCTTGGACACAGTCTTGTCGTAAATTGAAATGAGGTCCCCCGGGGTAGGGTAAACCTTGAGGGCCTTATAGAAGGCAAGTGCCGCTTCGAGGCCATTCGCAGCTGTTGGTGGTTATATTAGCATGGCCCGGACAGGACGGGGGCAATTCCACTGGAGGGAGCAGCGCTTACGATCAGCACCCAAAACCTCGCCAGCCTGGACCTGCTCAAGGAAGTAGGCTTCTTTCTCCTCAGAGTTTGAAGGAAAGCCCTCTTCCTTAGCCTGATCGACAGCTAGCCGGATGGCCCGTCTCTGATTCACAGCATCAGCTTCGGCAGCCTCTTTCTCGGCGCGGGCTTGTTGTCTCTCGTTCCGGCGCAGGTTTCGGCGGAAATCGGCATGGCTTCGTCGGCGATAATCAAAGTACACAGCATAAGCTAGAAGATGTGGCATTAGCTTCATAATCGTCATGACCAGTTAGTAAAAACTAGCTTGAGGCTCAATCGTACCAAGCGCGCCTGTCGCGAGAGCAGCAACTGTGGCTGTGGCAACAACAGTGGTTTGCGACATCTTGTGAACTCAGCACAGTTAAGGTATTAAATAACCGCAGGCAACTGGAGGCAGGATGTGAAGACGCCTTGTGTAGGGGATGAGATCAAGGAGATAGATTGCCGGCTGTCGCACGAAAGCAGGATGAAGCTGGTCCAGCAAGAGCTCCGTAAGTAATTTTTTGTTCCTCCTTATCGGCTTATCCAAGCCAAGGGGAGGGTGCACGGACCATGAGGCTGAACCTCCCCTGGCTGTTAGCCGGGTGTTGCATGTGTGGAGGTATGTAGTCAACGTTGTTGCATCTCCCTCCCTCTCTATTATGCGAAACCTATTTATCATCCTCAAACATTCTTGTTTCCAATGAATGAATTCCACATTGCCATTAGGCCAAGAAACTTAATGTGTGGTGTTTGCGACATTCTCCTAGCAATCCTCGCCTAATCAACTTGCGTCATGTCCGAAGAACGGAGCAAGGTATCGCTCCGTAGCGGGCCTAAAAGGAAGGGTCGCCCAACCATCAGCGCACCGAGACAGATCTCAAATCCAATCCTTCAGAATAATAGCCCTCCTCGTGGTGGCGGTGGTGGTGGTGGTGGTCGATCGGGACCAGACCCTTCTGAGGCCCCCGCCCGAAGAGCTCGACCTCGCCCCCAGAATAGTGGAAAGGTATGTTTGTCGCTCGGTGCATTGCCTATAATCATGTCACTAAACTCCTCGGTAGACCTCCGATCTTGTCAAGCGGCGCTACTCCAGCCGCTTCAATAACTTGCCGAGTGACTTCGACCCTACAGCGCCCCCTGTTCCCTCGCTGCCGAACGTCGATAAATACGAGACTTCTAGAGACCGGAGGGGCGCTCCCCCTTCCCGGGGAGGTGCTGGGGTTCCACCAGTTGATATTAAGGCACTGCGTGACCAGAAGCTGGCTGCGGACCAATGTGAGCTCCTAGTCCGAAGATTTGGCTCGGCGGGCCTGGCTGACTTGACTCGAAAACAGATGTTGCTACCATCCTCTGCGATTCTACCGAAGATGAAATACGTGAATACGAGATCTCGTTGCGGAAGCTCAAGAGCCGTGCGTCGAACGATTTGCAGCAGAATGTCTACCAAAACAGAACCCAGTTCATCAAGATCAGCAAGGAGGCGGAGAAGCTGAAGAGCGAGATGCGTGCTCTGAAAAACCTCATGTCAGAGTTGAAGGCCAATACCACGGCCCTCCGGTCGGCCGCAAACGACACCGACTCGTCGAACTTTAACGGGGAGTTCTCCACCGGGCTTAGCAAACGAGACAAACGGAGCTCTGTTGCTGACCGAACAGCCTTGTGGAGCTCACAGATGCAGGTTAGTTGATCCCGACGCCTGCTAGGGTTTAGTGGTTTACAATGCTCATCCAAATCTACCACAGGCCCTGTATAAGAACGTTGAGGGATCGCAGAAGTTCCTACCAAATTTACAAGGCCGCCATGTCGTTCAGAATGCCGGCCCCTGGGTCGAATTGGACAATGCCACCTACAGGTCTAGGCGGGCAATGCAGATCTTCCTCCTTAATGACCACCTGCTGATTGCATCCCGGAAGAAGCGAAAGGCGGATGGCCCCGGTTCTGATGCACGGGGGCCTATGCTGAAACTGGTGGCCGACCGCTGCTGGCACCTCTTAGATGTCGAAGTTGTTGACATGGCTGGCACGAGCGAGACTTCGGGGGCGAGAAACAAGCTTGCCGACGCCATCATGGTCAGAGGCGGTGGCCGCGAGTCGTTCATCTACAGGACAGAGAAGGCAGAAGACACAGAAAAGGGAGCCCTGATCCTCAACATCCGGAAGACTGTGGAAGAGCTGCGCCGGACATTGCAGTCGGAACGAGAAGCTAACAACAAGGCGAAGGAGACGATCAATTATTTCGCTTCACGAGATCCGGGATTGCTCCAGAAGACGGAGCTTCTAGAAACCTTGTCCGATATCAAGGACATGCTGATAGAAGTGGATGGGAAGCAGCAGAATCTGCGATGGGTGGAGAGCCAAATGGACGAGCTAGACATCGATATCGCTCTCCAACGCATCGAACCGGCAGTTGCCCGGGTCGAGAAGATGAGAGGCCTTGCGTTTGGGCTGAAGAATAACGCCATCGCACAGGATTTCATATCTTTCAAGGTCGATGAGAGATGCACCAAGTTGGCCACGCTCCTCACGCGCGACCTCATCGACGCGCATAAAGAACAGAAGAAGACGAAGCGAAACGTCTCCTGGCTGACTAGGCTGGGATTCGAGGACAGTGCTAGAGAAGGCTATCTCGGGGCCCGAAGCGACCTTATCCAGAAGCGATCCAGGTGAGGATCCATACTCTTCAATCTACCGGCGACTCTTTTACTGACAGCAGCATCAGGCAGTGTATTTTCCAGGGTGATCTTCACCTTTACATCTGGGAGTTGTCGTTCGTATACTTTACCATTATTCGGAACACGGTCAGTTGCTTTCAAAGCTGTTTCCCGCCGCCAATGATGAGTGCCTGCGTCAAATGGGCAAAGGAAGAGGTCGACGCGTTCAACACCATCCTGGCTCGGCAGCTGAGCAGTACCGAGGAGGGAGGTGAAGTGTGGATGCTGTGCGTCAACAGAGCGAAGGAACATGGCAAAATGATGTCCGAGGTCGGGCTCGACTTCCGCAGTCTCGTTGGAGAGAACTTGAAGGCTTAGGTGAATGGGATCACGCCTGTTGGACTGGGTCACTTCTGAGGAAGGACAGCTCCGGGGTTTCTAAATGGTTGTATGGTAGCGAGCTAATGAGATATTGAGCACGAGAATTTGTATTCCGACTTTCTAGTAGTGAAATTCTGATGCTCAGACACTCGACTCAGACGCCAACCACAGATGGGATTTAGGTGGTTGCAAAAGGCAGGCATCATTAGGTAAGCGAGGGGACGAGCCGCCGCCGCCGCAATTTCAGCAATTGGTACCCTTGCCTTGTGCATCCCGTCCGTAACCCAAGCCCAAACCAACTTCTACGAGGTCGGACCTTGATGACATTTGATATACCCCTTGTGTTGTACTGCGCAGATTCGGACGGCATCTACTCCGCCGCTTGAGATTGTTCGCCCGGATTTACTTGACATCACTGGAATTTGACTGCCTCACCTATCGCGCCTACCTCTCACCCCGAACCTGACCCGCCGCTCAGGAAACAACGTCATTACCCAGAGCACCGCCGACGATTCAATCGACAAAATTACGGCCAATCCATTCGATCGGCTTTCAAGGACCGCAGAGCTGCACGGCGTTTGCAATAGCTCTGTGAATTTCTCGCCATGGATACGAACATGGAGGATGTCGGGCGAGTCCCCGCAGACGTGTCACCGCTCCCCGCCCTCGAACCCACCACCATTCCCACCCTGGACGGCTGGATCGAGAGCCTCATGAGCTGCAAGCAGCTGGCCGAGTCCGACGTGCAGAGGCTGTGCGATAAGGTCCGTACGGCTTCCAATCCCACGCGATCCCCCCCCCATAACAGACACGGCTTTGGCTTGCGTACCGCGCGCGGTGCACCTGGTCGTCGCGTCAAGTCACCCCCATCCGGTGGGTATGCTATTTGCTGCTTGCTGACATGCCTTTCTCACGCAGGCGAGGGAAGTCCTCCAGGATGAGTCCAACGTCCAACCCGTCGTAAGTTTGAAGACTCAATCGCGGGCCCTCATTTATCATCGCGCTTACGCTGCCCCTTCCAGAAATGCCCCGTGACGGTGTGCGGCGACATCCACGGCCAGTTTCACGACCTCATGGAACTATTCAAGATTGGTGGACCGAACCCTGATACCAACTACCTCTTCATGGGTGCGTATTTTGATTTTGGACGGGGCGCATATGCCGATTGTTTGTGTTAATGATGGTGGTAGGCGATTACGTCGACAGAGGCTATTATTCCGTCGAGACAGTGACCCTCCTTGTGGCCCTCAAGATCCGATACCCTCAACGGATCACTATCCTGCGCGGCAACCACGAGTCGCGGCAAATCACCCAGGTATACGGCTTCTACGACGAGTGTCTCCGGAAGTATGGCAACGCGAACGTCTGGAAGTACTTCACCGACCTCTTCGACTATCTTCCTCTCACAGCCCTCATCGACAACCAGATCTTCTGCCTCCACGGCGGCCTCTCCCCGAGCATCGACACGTTGGATAATATTCGTGCTCTCGATAGAATCCAAGAAGTTCCTCATGAAGGACCCATGTGCGACCTTCTGTGGTCCGACCCCGACGACAGGTGCGGTTGGGGTATCTCGCCCCGAGGTGCTGGGTACACCTTTGGGCAAGATATTTCCGAGGCGTTCAACCATAACAATGGCTTGACACTCATAGCTCGCGCTCATCAGCTCGTCATGGAAGGGTACAACTGGTCGCAGGATAGGAACGTGGTGACCATATTCTCTGGTACAGCTCTTCCCCCGCCCCCCAGCCCGTTCTCCTCTGGCAAGCTCTAACACGGGGACAGCTCCGAATTACTGCTACAGGTGCGGTAACCAGGCCGCCATCATGGAAATCGACGAGCATCTGAAATACACCTTGTGAGTTTAGCCTTGTTGCTAGCCTAGCTCTGATGCCGCCGCCAAAGAAGCTAACCCCTGGGTCTAGCTTGCAATTTGACCCTTGTCCAAGGGCTGGCGAACCTATGGTCTCTAGACGTAAGTGACACCATGAAACCGAGACGAAGACGCGGAATCCGGCTAACAGTTGGACTAGGCACTCCCGACTATTTCCTCTGATTACATGCGGTCTTCTCTATCTTTTCCCCGTTGCAAGACCCGGGATTGGTGGTGGCCGGCCACAATGTGCCACGACATATGGGGCTCTGCATCTATCTGCGCGCGCAGTCTTTGGAGAGATGGACTGGGACCGTGGTTGATGTACGAGTAATGTCTTGGTACGCCCAAATTGTGACGTCTTTTCCAGGTCTGGCTGGGAGACGGCACAAATCAGAGGGTCTAACAAGAAGAAGAAAATAGGACAGCGCGGGGTCGCTTAAGAATCACGTCGTTGACAAATATTAGAATCGTGCCATAGATGAGGCTATCAAGAAGCCCTTGCCAGTGCTGTAATTATGCCCCGGGTCAGACTGGTCACAAACTGCACGATGTGAGAACCTGGAGGAACCTAAGTGAGGATAATCCGGAAGAATAATAATGTAAACGCACGTCATCGGCGTTTCTAAACGATCCGGGCTTCAACTGACGCCGGTAAGTTCCATTATCAGGAGCCGCGCATACCTAACCTCAGTGCTCCCTGTACCTATTCTTGATTATGTGGTACCTATATGCTACGTATCTATGGTCTACTCGTTCTCAGGTATCTAAGCTAACATTCCATGCCACTTTATCCAACGACCGAGGTATTTAACACAAAATACACCGATACTCCAAGATATTCTAAAATGATTCAGTAGGGGGTGGGGAGTACCGCCGAACAAGCTAACACTGGTGAAAAGCCTGGCAATGCAAGGAGCTGGCTGGTGTCATCCTCTAGATTATACCCAACCATGCTCAAAAGACAACAAGAAAATAGATATAAGAAGAGAAACCAAATAATGTTCCTCAAGAAACCCGCACTTCTACCTACTACCCGCAGTGCCCAGCTCAAAATCAGGCCCAGGGCCCGGGTGCGCAAGATCCGAAGTCGACAACTCCTTCCTCGCCCTCTCGGCCCACGCCGACTCATCCCCGACGTCGTCGCCGCTGTCGGCGGCGCCGCGGCCGGCGCCGGCGGCGTAGTGGCCCGGGGCGGAGCTGCCGTTGGGGACGTGGAAGCGGCGGTCGAAGCGGGAGGCGGCGTAGGTGAAGACGACGACGAGCTCGATGCCGAAGTTGAAGACGTAGTAGCAGGCGCGGTGGTGGAACCAGGCCGGGTGCGAGGCGGGCCGGACGTCGAAGGCGACGCCGGCGCGGAAGCACGCGCCGAGGGCGAGGAGCGTCGCGGTGAAGAGGAGGAGGTACAGCTTGGTGGATAGGCGGCCGCGGCCGAAGTTCTCGGCCGGGGTGCGGCGCTGCGGCCAGAGGGCGGCTAGGAGGGAGAGGGGGATGGGGAGGAAGGCGAGCACGGCGAGGAAGGTGACGCTGAAGAGCTGGACTTGGCGGTCCTTGGTGCGGGCGCCGGGGGAGAGGGTGAAGAACATGTGCACTGAGGCGGTGATGACCATGACCAGCAGGGCGATGACAGAGAAGAGCAGGGTGCGGAAGGCAAGGGTGACGGGGCGGCGCCAGCCGAAGGAGGGCTGGTAGGCCCGCACCATGCGCTGGGTGAAGAGGAGGTTGACGACGAAGAGCAGCAGCACGCCGGCCTGGGTGAAGACGTTGGCGGCGATAGCGACGTTGGTGTTGGTCGGGTGGGTCGCCCAGGCGATGCGCATCGCCAGGGCGGTGATCCGGGCCATGCAGAAGCCGAATAGCAGCCCCGAGAAGACGAACTTGTGGCCACGCCTCCGGTTGATCTGGAAGATGGTCATATTCGTCGCCGCGGCGCACACGAAGATGAACAGGAGGACCGCCGAGATGGGCACGTCTACCGAGACGGTCGGTAGGCCCCCTAACTGGGCGGTTTGTGGTAGGTATGGTGGGCCTTGAGGCATCTGTGTAGAGAGAGAGAGTTTAGCCCTGACATCACTACATCATGCCTCGTGCTGGCTCTGCCAAAGAGTGTTGCACTGGTATATCTGCTCAACTCGGAGTGCTTGGGTGGGTGACCATACCTGTGGGCTACTCGCCCCTCCTGGGGGGACTGCGTCTGACATGGTTGGAACGACGGACGACTTGGTGTTTGAAACTTGAATAAAGTTCTCTCTTGATCGCTGATGTAGGCCACTTGAGTTCACGGGTTTCCATAGAAGAAACCTACATCAATTGGTGTCTCTTCCCAGTAGCATTAATCGTCGTCCCAAGTCGAGGCGCGAGATGGGTTGGCACATATGTATATACGGCCAGAACAGAATGGGTGAGACATCTGAGAGAAGCTCCATCTTGATGCCCATCAATCTATGATTTACCTCTAAGTCGGTTTCTAGTCAGGGTTATTGAATCAAATGAGGCATGGTTCCAAAGAATTAGCCCGCCTGCGAGTCGCTACGACAGGGGTGTCGGAGCACCGCGACGCCGTTGGCCATGCTTTCGGATGGCCCCGTCGGTGTTTCTAAGCGCGAACCTCCGACCAGCGAACCTTGGACGGGCTTGGGAGCGGCCTCGACAATTCGGAAGCTCCGAGAGCAGCGCCAAGTGCGATCCCGGCTTACTTTGGTTACCTTCCAAATGCTGGCACCACTGACTCCCTACTAAGGTCTGGAGGCTCTTTTTTACAGAAGAGAGTTCCGATGACCGATGCATCTCGGACTGAGATCAAACAATTGGTCCGCGCGAAGCAGAAAGAAAGGGGGGAGTAGAAGACAAGCCTGTTGAAGCCGTATATGTCTTTTGTTTCCAGTCTTTTCTTTCCACCCTCTCTTTCTCATGCTCTCGATGTTGCTCCGGGAAAGCAGTGCATGACGGCCTCTCTACCTATTCCTCCCAATGCTGCCCTCTGTATGCTCAGCTCGGGGCCCAATCATACCAACTTCAGACATGTGCACATGGGAAGCTGTGACGGGCGTTGGTGCCCACGATCACAGACCGATGGACACTTTAGGTAGGTATTGCCCAGCGGCTAGGTAGGTTTGGTATCGTTTATGTTCTCCCAGTTTGTATCTGCGCTGAGCCTCTTCGTGGACAGCCCATCCAAGTCGAAGTCAATCACAAGCAGTACATCGCAAAGAGGTGAGTACCTATTTGGGTAGGTAGGTAGGTAGTTGGTCTTGAACATCCCAACCATGGAACCTTTGTATCAGTTTGTTACTGTGCAACCTTTTTTTAACCTCCCTTCCACCTACAAATGTCCTTGGCGTTACGTGACCCATTGTCTGACCAGGAGATCTCCCTAACCCTTATTCCTAACTCTCGTTAGGTAGTTTCTCTATTGGCCAGCGTGCCCCCGATCCTTGAAACGGCGTTAGGGTCCCAAGCAAAGATTGTTTGCCCTCGTGCTCACGGTCCTATATTCCCACCAAGAACGGTGTGGCGGACGAGGGGTTATACAGTAAAGTTGATGGATTGACCCCCTCGGGGAAAGTTTGTCGGATACTCTCTTCGTTAACCCGAATTTCTCTCACCTTCATGCTCGCTGATCGTAGCACCCATTGACATCTTACGAAATGCCAACGAAGCCAGGCCAACTTCTTCTCGAGGGATATACCTCAGCACAGCGCTCGGCCGTGTCTGATGTGATCGACCTTTCTCCCTTGATGAACTTGTCAGCATTATTATGCGATTCGAAGATCCGGGGTGGTCTTGAGCAGCCGGGAAGAGCGCCAGACGTGCTACAACTACAGAGGCCATCCCATTCGACAGGCTAAATTCATGCGAGCACTGCCATCGGTTTGCTTGAACTTCTGTCGAAAAACGTGTGAGCAACTACTGGGCGAGGAGAATCCGGGGGTGGGGCCTTCGACTCCAAGTGCCAAAGTAAGGGGGGTCGTGCAGATCGTGGAGGGCTCAGCCTCGATGCAATTCGCTGTCAGAGCCTCAGAGGCGGCTCAACCTCGAGTTATGGGAGGGGTGAGATCTGGCACCTGGTTGCGATCCCAGCACGATGCAACCCAGATCTGTGTAAACCATGCACTGGGCGGGGTGGACGTGCCTTCCCATCCACTTCATCTATCTCTCCATGCCCTGGGATTTTGCCGGCACTGTCCAGCAGGTTTGGTAGAGCGGCGCAGCGGTTCGGGATGAACTTCCGTCGTTGCAAGTTGCGGCCATTTAGATACTGTTGCTGATTGCGACAGTTGCACCAGTGGCTCCCTGGGCGGGTGGTGATGGGATAGCCCGGGTCGAGCAAGGAGCCCCTTGTGACAGTTGATCTTCCAACTATGGTTCTGTCTTTAGAGACCGAACTTGGATTTCTCGAGGGCCGGATAGAGAGACGAGGGCACGGGCCTCCAGTGCTTGCCAGCGATCTGATAACCATGTGTGTCAGGACGTGGTCGGGATCTGCCTGGCGCCGCCTGGCGCCAAAGGCCCAACCTAAAAAAAACATCCCGTACACAAGAACAGAAAGTGAGTTTTGTGGTAGGAGAGCCCGTTGGTCGACAGTGGATGCTCAGACCGCCGACCGACAAACAAGGTACAAGTACATGCGTACATACGGATTACATGGTGATGCTTTGCATGAAGATTGAAGAGGGGTCGCATACTAGTTTAATCGCAATCCATGCGATGGAAAATTGCCTCCAAAGCCTCGCTATACCTGCTATCAATATACACGGATTAGACGACAAATATTCCCATCTGGCTTGCGATTCAAATCACGGTGAGTCTGAGGGAAGTGGGATGGGGTATGAGAAATTGGGAGTGGCAAGCCAACCTGGAAGCCAACTGGAATGGAAGTCAACGGGGAGTGGACGTGCGTCCAAGCGCCCCACACTAGGTACCTTGTGTCTATCCATGTCGCAATTACAAACGAAACACTCTTGATCAGCGTGTCATGGCAATCTGAAGGGACGCTCAGCCTTGGGATATGGGATTGTGGACGGACAGGATTATTTGTAAAGCCATTGGACCGGATTACCATGACCTTACTTGTTTGTCACCTTCCCATGACTTGCACTCTGAACTAGAGGCTCATCAGCCTCCATCAGGTTCCTCTGGCAACTTCGGATCTTCCCTTCTACCGCAGGAGGATACCAAACACTAGGAATCGCATTAGCGAGTCGATAACGCTGGGACCCTGCCCAATATTCCGAAGGAACCTTTAACATTCTCTCCTACAATCCAGCAGCTCCATTGCTTTTTTTGTGACCAAGTTCATATGACGGATGCTGCATGCAAGACGAACGTAAATAACTACCGATATATACTGCTGATTGCCCTCCTTCGGCGGCTATTCTTGCTTCCAAATATATCTCTCACGAAAGAGTGGACAAGCAGGCGAGCCGTGTTTGGTTCTTTATTGGCGGCCCTTTACCTGTAGCGCACGCGCAATCTGGCGTCGGATTGGGAAACTGGCCCTCAACTTGCGGGATGCTGGCCAGTCATGGCATTCTGCCGGCGCTTATATATATTGACCTGCTTCTTTTTCTGGAAATAGACCGCATATTGCGGCATTCAAGCCGTCTGTCGCTGCCACGAAGTTACCTAGACGCGCATCTGCCGGAAGAGTGGTGAGAATGGAATATGAAGTCCCGTTTCTTCTCTTCTCAAGTCGGTAGACTCCAGGGACACTCCGAGAGGACAGAGGTGGATCCTTTGCTGTCATGGTAGGTACCTACCCATTTTGGGCAGGGACAGGGTTCTGCGAGTAAAATGAAACTAGCCCAGCCAATGGGCGACCTGAAACGCGCTGCCCAGTTGCCTGGAGCTTGTTAGTTCATGCTTGCTCAGAACCCACTGCAAAGTAAAGGCCGAAGCGATATGAGACTGCGCAACCCAGTTCAGCTCTCCAGAGTTCGCATTCCGACAAAAACACGTTGTGGCTGTCGGCTGAAAATATTGGTACTCGGGAATATTGCCGCCCTGACGAAGATCAACTAAGCCACTGGCGCACGGCGGAACATAGCGTGCAGGTGCCAGCCACTTGATTATCCAGATCAGGGTGTTGTAATTTGCACATGTACCTATGTATGTACTTATACATGGAGAGGTACCGATTGTGGGGCCTCTGTTCACCCAACCCAACCCAGGAAAACAAAACAGAAATGATCTCACGCTCTGATCCGGCATCTCCCTTCTAACATGAATGATTCTCAATCAATAACGGAATGGGTAGTATAGCATTGATCCCAAGAACCAACAAAGTAATTCAAGCAATCAAGCATGCAAAAAAGCGGTATTGCGTCGTTCCTCCGCTCATGCTTAGCAACAGACGGCCCCCTGACTGAATCCCTGCAGTTTAATTAGGGTTTGTGTTAGTGCGGCCGGCCCTGGAGTTCTCCTGGATCGCCCCTTCCCGCCTTACCCACCCCCCAACTCCCCAATCCATTTCCCGCCCAGATGTTCGCCAGTCTCTTTTCCAAAATAATTCACCAGGCACCATCGATTCCATTCCTTCGGTCCGTCACTCGTTTCGTTCCATTTCTCGTTTCGCCTGGGTAGCTTCCGGCCCAGAAGGTTGAGGTGTTTGTCTCTTTCTCTTTTGACTTGCTTGTGCCGTCGCCGTACCTGCCTAAGCACCTGCAAAGACTTTGACTGCTGCACGACCTGCATTGCGCCTGCAGCAGTACCCAAGCGGCCCTCATAGGCCGCTCCTGAGGTGTCCTCTCTTTCCCTTCTTTGTGTTTACGCTCCTTCACACTTGTTCAAAAGGTGTGCCACCCCGGCCTCTCAATCAAAACGACCTCAGCACCCAAACTTCCAAACTCACCACCCACTCACCAACCTTACTTGACATCTACTCCTAATTCCGGTCTCCGAATACTCGCAGAATTCAAGTCCCCTTCCTCTGTCGCGCGCGAACAAACACGCCCTGTCGTCGTCAGAGCAGTGTTCCATCCATCTCGTCTGCAACAAAGTCTTCGCCATCCATATCTCCAAGACGGCGCGCTAGGAATATGAACAACGATAGCGCCCTAACACGATGATGAATTCGCCTCAATAGTGAGACAGCTCCATCCGACGGACCTTAGCGCAGCCGCCGTCCCAGAAAATCCCAATGCCACCAACCACCTGTGGAAGTCGACACCTTCCAGGGACAGAAAGAGCAATTGATCGTCAGGCGCGGAGGAGGAGTAGGAACTTGGCCTTGCCTAGCTCGCGGACGATTCTCCTTGCCGTACTCTCAGCATCTCCAGCAGCAATGGCGGCGTGCATTCCATTGCAAGGGTCGACAACTTGCTCGGCCTTCCAATCGTCCTCCGTATCAACCGACAGTTTTCTAGTCGGACTATTGTACGTAGCTCGGTTTACCTGTAGCTCTGGACTTGTCGCCCGCCGCTCGTTCCAGTGCCGCTCATACAGCCACCCCGATTGTACGATGCTGCCTGATCATCTGCTAATACTTTTCCACAGTCCCTTCCTCAAGTTTGTGTCCGACACGACTACCTTCGACGAGCAACTCACATCCTACGTGCAGACGAGTTACGTGCAGGAAAAGTCAGCCATTTCTCCCCAGGACTGTCCATCGCACATTCATCTAACCCATGGGTAGATTTCAAACCCTCCTAGGCTGTGAGGGCATCAGTCTCACAAACACCAGCAACCTCTATGCGCGCTTCACAACTACAGTAATTTGTAATGCTATCATCCAGAACTCGATCGAGCCCTGTGGTCTGTCGGCAGGCGAGTCGCGGCCTGTCTGCGCAGAAACATGTGTAAGTGAAGTTTGCTGTATCCCAGAATGTGTCTGGTTCTAACCGTGACCAGGCCCAATTTGCCGAAAGCGAGGCATATGTTGTCGCTGACGATGCAATCTGCTTGAACCCGAGAAGCGATTCGCTGCAGCAGATCATCCGGGCAGATTTCACCAATTGTGCTCTGCCAGCAAACTCACTATCGAGCAACAACTGCATTACAGGTATCACCAACGAACCAGAGAACTGCGGCTACGGCAACAGCACGTTGGGATTGTGCTCTTACTGCGCATCGGGCGGTATCAATTCAACTGACACGTGCTGCTACAACTCGGACGCCGAGAACCGTTGCGTCGGTGTTGTCTTGCCCACAATCACACCAAATATGACCTTTGTCACTCCGACGGCGTCTTCAACCTCGTCTCCGACAAGCAGTACCGCTGCTACCAGTGGCGGCCACCGTGGCTTGTCTGGAGGTGCTATTGCAGGAATAGTGGTCGGATCTGTGGTTGGTGTTGCACTTCTTGTGGCTCTGGTGTTTGCATGCATATTCCTGAGACGAAGGAGGCATGGAAGTCAGAATGGTAGCATTTTCAACCAGCCCTCGCCTGCCAGGAGAGGGGCATCTATGGGTCAAGCTGGGCCAGCTCCGGCCGCCGCCGTCGCACCACAGGGCTACGAGGTTTTGCCCGGTGGCCGGATTGCACGCATGTCGGCATTGGAAGGTCACTCGGGCGATTCCCCGTCTCGCCATGCCAAGGACGTTCCTGCTGCCGCCGTGGTCGGAGCCGCCGCTGGCTACGCCGCTGGAAGGAGGAGAGGGGACGATCATTCCTCGTCCGATGGATTCGGCGACAGCCCCGAGTCAGATCGAGGCGCTGCTGGCGTGCTTAGGCCGCCACCTACAACACTCCGCAGGAACGGCTCTCTTTCGAGCAACTCTGCTCTCGGAGGTGAAGATCCACAGTCCCCTACCAGTGCTGGCGGGATGTCGTCGCCGCCGGGGATGGCCAGCCAACAATCGGAACAGCTGCCATTTTTCAAGGACTACTACTCTCAGGATGACATCCATCCCGGGGAACGCGTCGCAGTCTTGTGGGCGTATCAGCCACGCGCGGCTGACGAGTTTGCTCTCGATCGTGGCGATATGCTCAAGGTGGTTGGCATCTGGGATGATGGGTGGGCCACTGGTGTCATGACGGACGACCGCGCAGAAGAGTGGGAGGCTCGACGTCAAGCTCAGCGAGACAGTGGCGTCTCTAACACGTCTGGCAGGGGGCGCGACGTATCGCCCCCGGTCAGTGGCGAGATCAAGGCCTTCCCACTGGTGTGTGTCTGCCTTCCGGAGCATTGGAGGAAAACGATCGAGGGGGATGGCTCGACAGAAACCGGATCAAGTGCTCATCAGTATACGACCGGATCTTGAAGCTGCCAAAGCGTCTGCGACCACGATGTTCGATCTAAACGTTGAATAATGTCTTGATGAAGATCTGGGGGCCTTTGAATCTGCATTGGCTGCGGCGTTCGGCATCACGCATCTTCCTTCCTCAGCCGTCCTGAATTCAAAACGGCTAGCTTCCCTCTCCTCTACAGTCCGGAGTCCCTATGCAGGGCATCTCGCTACTTTTCGCGCTGTTCATAGTCGCCATCGCAGGACGACTGATTGCCCAACCTCCGCCGGCCCCTGGAACATAGATACGGATACTTGCATTTGCGATATTACGCTCAGTGCCTTCACTTCTAAACGACCTAATTAATCTCATTCCGACGACCATCGCTTCGACTCGGGATCCCACACTGGAGGTCCTCGCGCCAAGCTACTGAGAGCCTGACACAACAGTCCCGACGAGCCGCGATGGTCCAGCACCAATACCACTGCGCCACTGCGCCCTCCCCTTTCGTTTCGTTGTTTATCTATATACCCGGCTTGCCAGAAAGGGCGTTTTGAAGAGGGAAAGGGGTCGGGGAGGGCCCTTGCTATGTAATTACACTTCTTTTTTGGCGGTCCAGGCGGCGTGGTTCCTGGCTGCTGTGACATATTACGGGGATGGAAGGAATGGAAGATGGACATCTTTCTTATTAGGGGGGCATGTGAGGTGCCGTTAACAAATAGCAAGATATTCCGTGGGCATCCATCAGACGAGTAGAGCTCTCAGTTTACATAGTTGGACGCCAAAAAAGAGAACAACTTGAACTACCGCTCCCTGTCCGCTGCTCTTGGCCCAAGTCTGAACTGAAGGACCCAATCAATACCTTGTGTGTGTCATGGTCTGCATCCGAGGCTCCGAGCTACATAGTTTCATCACCGGCGATGATGAAACTCGTGGGGCAGGGTCCGCCTTTCTTCCGGGTCTGGATGGTTTCCCACTAGTGTACAGTTGGGTTTGGTACTAAACCCATGCAGATGTTTACTCCGAGCCTGGTTGCCTGGTTCCCAAAACCTTAACAGAGGCGGTCCACAACGGGATGACGGGGGTTTGACCCCGGATCCTAAATTTCTGGATTTGACCGCTCTGGTCGCCGTCATATCACTGCCTCAGATCTTTATTCGGTAGCCATTCTGATGCCAGTGGACAAGCCGTTTGGTGCCAAGAGCTTCTTGAAACTACTTCGTCGTGGTATAAAACAGATTGCTGGTACCTAGGATAGGGTGGTTCTACGGCAGTACTGTCTATTTAGGTTCCTACCTAGGCATCGCTAGGAGTCTTGCAGCCATCCACGTGATCCCTCACCACTGAGATCTTATCTATTCGCGCTCTAATTGGACAGCGCTTGCGACTCTGGAGCCGCAGTCAACAGCACGTCACTGCTCACAAGTGTCCAAGCTCCTTAGAGCTCCATGACGAGCGAAATTGTAAACTCCTCTGTGGTCTGTTTGTGCTCGTCCCTGTTCAGGCCCAACTCGCGAAGAACCCAGGTGACTCCATAATCCGTTTCTTCGCCGGAGCCGGAATTTTGAACCACACGGAGTCATCATCGCGGTGACCAAGAGCGATTTGCGACGTTGACGGCCAAGATGAACACAAGGCCGCCATTCCCGAAACCCAGGTAGTGCACCCGACGGCCGTCATTGACCTGCCATCATGGGTCAGGGGTTTTCTCTGGCGACGCCGCCTGCCGGCGCTGCCAGCATCGATGTACCTGAACTTGCCGACTTGGTGTACGAGAAGTCGGTTGGAGCGGCACGGTTCATGAAGAGCATCCGGGCTCGACATCACGATGGAGTGGTGTTAGTGAAGGTCTTGATCAAGCCTTACCCGATGTCGCTGGAGAGATACAAGCATGAATTAATCCGTTAGTCAACGTTGACCTCTCTAAAGAATCCGAGCTCGCGGCTAACCTAGACTTCCACACAGGCGAAAGAAAGGCCCTGGCAGACATCCCGAATGCCCTCGGGTATCAACGGATTATCGAAACGGAAACGAACGGGTACCTCGCTCGGCAGTTCCTCTACAACTCCCTCTATGATCGGCTGAGCACCCGGCCATTCTTGGAGGACATCGAAAAGCGATGGCTTGCCTTCCAGCTCCTCTGCGCTCTCCGCGACTGCCACAGCCGGGACATTTATCACGGAGATATCAAGACGGAGAACACCCTCGTTACGTCTTGGAATTGGCTCTATCTCACCGACTTCTCATCTTCATTCAAACGAGTGATGCTGCCCGAAGACAACCCGGCCGACTTCTCTTACTTTTTTGATACCTCTGGCCGCCGAACATGTTATCTAGCACCGGAGAGGTTCCTCCCAATCGGCGAGGAAGCGGACCCCAATGCTAAGATTACCGGGGCGATGGATGTGTTCAGTGCGGGTTGTGTTATAGCGGAACTCTTCCTTGAGTCGCCCATCTTCAGTCTCAGCCAGCTGTACAAGTATCGTCGAGGCGAATATGACCCAAACATATCGCATCTCAGCCGAATACCGGACAAGCATCTCCGGGAAATGATAGCCCACATGGTCCAGCTAAAGCCAGAAGAAAGGTACTCTGCTAAGGAGTACCTGGATCTCTGGAAATCCAAGGTCTTCCCGGACTATTTCTATAGCTTCCTCCACCAGTACCTGGGACTGATTACCGACCCTTCGTCGGGCCAGTCACCCATCTCTGGAGCCACGAGGAATCTTGGCGAAGCTGACCAGAGGATTGAGCGTGTGTTCCTGGACTTTGACAAAATCTCTTACTTCCTAGGCTACAACGACGATGAGCTATCAAGCACCGAACAGCGAGCTCCTCGCCTGGGGCTTGGTCACTTTCCAGTGCGCCTCAACGTCCCAAACAACGAGCACTTTGTCTCGGGGGGGAAACAGCCGCCTGCGGATGACGGCACGCTAATATTCCTGACGCTCGTCGTATCTTCGTTGCGCAACACAGCCCGCTCCGAGGCCAAGATTAGAGCCTGCGACATCCTGCTTGCCTTCGCCGAGCGGTTAACAGACGAGGCCAGGCTGGATCGGGTTCTGCCATTCCTGATAGCCTTGCTGAATGACAAGGCTGACATCGTGGTGGTCGCTGCCATCAGGAGTATCACTCAACTGCTTGGCCTTGTCCAGGTCGTCACTCCCGTCAATTCGCATGTTTTCTTGGAATACATACTCCCGAGAATGCAAGTCGCATTGCTCGGCACGCACAGCACACCGACCCCCTTGGTCAGGGCAACGTATGCTTCGTGCATAGGACAGCTTGCTGCCACTGCCGGGCGATTCTTGGAAATGGCGGCTACTCTAAAGGCAGGCGGCTCGATCACAGCAACGGATCCCGAGGTCGAGCCAGGAAACGACGCGGATGCAGCATTCGATGGACTCTTTGATAATGCCCAGAGAGAACTCGTCGACCTGTTTGAAGCGCATACCAAGATCCTCATCGAGGACTCGGACCCATTTGTTCGACGAGCGTTTCTCAGCTCTGTCCCGGAGCTGTGCATGTTCTTTGGCACGGCCGAATCCAACGACATCATCCTAACCCATCTTAATACCTATCTGAACGACCGTGACTGGATGCTCAAATGCGCGTTCTTCGACACCATTGTCGGCATTGCCGCCTTTCTCGGCAGTGTTACACTGGAGAAGTTTATCCTCCCACTCATGATCCAGGCTCTGACTGACCAGGAGGAGTTTGTGGTGCAAGCAGCACTGCACTCCCTCGCCGAGCTTGCAAACTTGGGCCTTTTCTCCAAGTCGACGACATGCGAGCTTGTCAACGTTGCCGGGCGATTCACAATGCATCCCAATATCTGGATTCGTGAATCGGCTGCCGATTTCCTGTCCGCCGGGACAAGATATCTGAGTCCAGCTGACATCAGATGTATGGTCTTGCCATTGGTTAGGCCGTATCTAAAACCAGACATCATCCCGGATTTCTCTGAATTATCTCTCTTTGCTGCGCTCAAGAAACCTCTATCGCGCTCGGTTTTTGACCAAGCCTTGATATGGGCGTCGAAGCAAGACCGTGGAGACTTCTGGAGGTCGCTGAGGAAGCTGCGAGACCTTACATTCGGAGTGCAATCGACTATGGGACGAAACTCCAAAGATCTGAGTATCCAAGCTTTGAACAGGGCTCCAAGAAATGACGAGGACGAGCAGTGGATTTCGAAACTTCGAAACCTGGGCCTCACCCCTGAAGATGAACCCAAGCTTCTTGCGCTAAGGGAGTTCATCTGGCGCCTAAGTCAAATCAAATCGAGAGACTCGAAAACAAATGAACCCCCCGCGTCAAGCCCATTGAACAATGTGATGCCATTGAGAAGCCTTGGCATCACGCCGCAGACCATTCTATTTGACGAAGAGCCCCTTCGCCAGCCGCTTCTCATACCAGAGCAGGATGCGTCCGCGCCACGGACCATCACTGACGCCCTGCTTGACGCGTCGATGACCATCGATGACCCTGTTGGCCGCAAGAGACGGGCGGCATTGAATACCCACAGGTCACGCCTTAACAACCGTGGCAATGTCTCTCCCCTGTCTTCCGATGGCACACGCCCACTTGAAGAAGACTCTACCAGATCCCCAACGATCATCCTGACTGAGAACGGGACCCCCTCCGGGGCACAGGGCAAGGCGCCCGCCACCGGCACCTTGGAGGATGGTTCGGCCTCCCGGGACGGTCTGTCTCCCACGAGAAGGACCCTTCGGCATCAGCCCAGCGCGATGAGCCTCCTGAACCGCAAGGAAAGTGCAAAATCCGGACCCGAGACCAGCACAACGACGGCAAATGCATTTGGTGAAGTCGAGGGGCCATTTGTCCACAGTCCTCATCCGAGACCATCCTATACTGAGACAGACATCACCGAGGAGAACAATATCAGCGGACTGCGTGGGAATCATACGTACGCAGGAAATGATCCAAGTATACTCAAGATGCTTGATTCAATGTACATCGACAACTATCCCCATGACATTGCGGAATTCGGCCCGTTGGTCGCACCGGTCACTCGACGAAAACCGACCAAGAGCCCCTCGCAAGTCAACGACGATGGGTGGAGACCGACGGGGAAGCTGGTGGCTACGTTTTCGGAGCACGTTGGCGCTGTCAACCGCATCATGGTCGCACCAGACCATCTCTTTTTCCTGACGGGAGGAGACGATGGCTGTGTGAAAGTCTGGGATACTGCGAGGTTAGAGCGTAACAGTGCCCACCGATCGCGGCAGACGCATAGGCACGCCCAAGGTGCCAAGGTCTTGGCCCTCTGTTTTATCGAGAACACGCATTGCTTTGTCAGTTGCGCAAGCGACGGCAGCGTCCATGTGGTCAAGGTCGAGACCGGCGTCGTCGGCGGGACAGTACGCTATGGGAAGCTCCGGCTCCTGCGGGAATACCAGCTCGTCCAGCGAGAATTCGCCGTCTGGTGCGAACATTTCAAGCAAGAAGCTGCTTCGATCTTGATCCTGGCGACGAATAAGTCTCGTATCTTGGGCATTGATCTTCGGACGATGACCTTGCTTTATGTGCTGGAGAATCCAGTCCACCACGGAACCCCAACTTGCTTCTGTATTGACAGGAAGAGGAATTGGCTTTGTCTTGGGACCTCGCACGGCGTTCTCGACCTCTGGGATCTCCGCTTCAGGATGAGGCTAAAGGGCTGGGGCGTTCCCGGCAAGAGCTCGATCTACCGCCTGTTCATCCACCCGCTCAAGGGGCGAGGCAAGTGGGTGTGTGTTGCGGGAGGCACTGGGCAGGGCGAGGTCACCGTCTGGGACCTTGAGCGGACCCTCTGTCGCGAGATTTACAGGGTTGGCGGAAATAAGGAAGGGCCTAAGGGGTATCATCCCTGGGAAGTCGACGAGGACAAGCCGGAGGGCATGCTTGGAAGATTCGCGACGAATATCGAACCATTGGCCACGGGGAACGTCGACCGCGGGGTACGGACCATGATTGCCGGGACAGGCGCAACAGACGACCAGCGGGATGTGAGACATGCTTTCATCATCACTGCTGGCTCGGACAAAAAATTGAGGTTCTGGGACCTGGCCCGGATCGAGAACAGCACCGTCTTCAGCGGCCTGCAGGCTGACGAGGGCAGGCCCAGCTTCACGGCAAGCCATCCGACAACGTCCATGACGCTGAACACGGAACGGCTACCGAGGTTGGCGCCGCCCGTGTCAAGCGCAAACGGTGCCGCGGGGCCCTCCGGGACGAGCTCCAAGGCCCGCAACCACCCGTCGAGATCCACCGTGATCTCTCTCCAGCAGCAGCAGCTCCTCAAAAGCCACCTGGATGCTATTGTCGACGTTGCGCTGTTAGAATCTCCGTATACGATGTCTGTCTCGGCAGATCGAAGTGGTGTGGTTTTTGTATTCCAATAAGGAAACAACGATGCCAGTGTGGAGAGGAAACACGGCAGCTGGGAGCATAGCTGTGAACATTGCTAGATATAGGTACCTTGTAGCTAGAAGGCTTGGAGCCAATGATGAAGAACTGGGAAGGATCCCTACGATTTGAAGGTATTGAGGGTTAGGGTTGCTTGAAGTGATGCACTATCGCACTATCGGGTGGGGCTAGTACAGTACTATCAACGGATCTCTAAACTCTAAACTGCCTGATGTAACTGGTGCTGTACCTGGGCTCATTTTTCTTTACATCGCCCAAATTTCTCAGCCTTGTGAAACCCACGCGACAACACGCGCACAAGGCTTCGCACACAGAGTCGCATAAACCGGTATATTTCACGACTCAGGATACACGGCGATCTATACACCATATCCAATTGCTCCAGCATTTTAAAAGGTATCGCGTTGCTAAGATGAGGCTCACCGCGGAGCTCATCAACAACTCCCTCTCCTACCTCAACCCGCTGAAGGAGCGGGAACTGGATCTCCGAGGTGCGTTTGTGGAAAGGACAGATACTACACTTTAGAGCAGAGTTGATATCGATCTCTTTTTCCGGTCGGCAATAGGTCACAGAATTCCAACTATCGAGAACCTGGGTGTTGCAGGCGTGAGTGCTACCTCTTTTCGCTTCTTTCTCCGCTCTTGTTTTCCGGCAGCGCTGACTTAGAAAACCCAGCCCCACGATGCGATCGATTTCACCGACAATGACATCCAGGTGCTGGGGAACTTCCCCTTGTCACCGAGGATCCGGACACTGCTCCTAGCGCGCAATCGCATTAGCACCATCCAGCCGACCCTCCCCAATTCGATCCCGAACCTCAAGAACCTGGTCCTTGCGACAAATAACCTCACAGAGCTGTCGGACCTTGAAGTCCTTGGGAAGTTTGCAGGTCTGACCCACCTGGTATTGCTGGATAATCCGGTTACAAAGAAAGAGGTGTGTTCAAGATACAATCCTTGGATCTCCCAGTCCATCATTTAACCCTATTGGATGCGGGGCTGACATGGATGGAAGCACTACCGATATTGGGTTCTCTGGCTATGCCCCAGAGTACGATTCCTAGATTACGAGAAGGTCAAGGATGCAGAGAGGGAGAGGGCAAGGGAGCTGTTTGGGACAGCAGAAGAACCGACTGAGCTGGCTTCGACGGTAGGCGCTCACGTCCTTCATATTCCCCCCACTCCAGCCCCAATTGTACGATGGAGAAGGCTGACACATGGCAACAGCTCAAGGGCATCAAGTCCAAGACATTCGACGTCACTGCTAATGGCACGGCCGACGCCAGCTCCAGGCTCTCGCGACTCAAGCTGACGGACGGCGAGCGGAAGAAGTTGCAGGAGTTGATCAAGAAGGCCAGCAGCTTGGAGGAAATCATTCGGCTGGAAAAGGCGCTGCAGGAGGGGAGACTGCCTCCCGGAATCATGGTGGACGATGCTATGGAGGAGTGAAGCGGTTGGTACCCCACCACGCGGTGCTGGGTCGGCACCGGAAGTCGAGGGTTTGTTCTCGGGTGTTTGGGATACGGAGTGGTACCTAAAAATAGGGTGTCTTTTTCTCCCTTGTGCCAGCCATCTGGGGCTCATGATGTACAAAGTAACGAGTGTCGTGTTATATACGACCATTTCAACCATCGATCGGGGCATTATAAATAAATGCCTTGGGATTACAAATTCGTCATTTCTCAGAGTGATCATAATGGCAGAGTGAGTGACTGCCGCTAAAAATCGGAAACCCAACCAACCCTCCTCCCTCATCCCGTCATATCCACATCGCCGTCGTCCCCTTGCTGCGCCTGCCTCATCTCCAGCTCCAGCTGGGCGCCGGGGTCGTCGTCCCCCAACGCCCTGGAGGGGCCACGGCCGTTTGCGTCGCTCCCGTTCGCCGTCGCCGCCGACTTCTGCCTCTTGCCGTTGGGCAGGCCGCCCGCCGCCGCGGCGTCCTCTCCCGCCTTCTTCTTATCCTTCTCCCCGCCCTTCAGCTTCGCCCGGGTCGCCGCCGCCTGGTCCTTGACCTGCCTATAAGGGGCGGTCTTGGGGACGACGTCCTCGAGGAACTCGAGGTTATCGCGGTGGAGCACGGCGTTGGCTGTTCGTGCCAGGGTTAATTTTGTGGTATGCATACATGCATTTTTGGACGTGTATTGGGACGATTATGGGACAGGGGGAGGGAGCCGGGTCATGGTTCTGTACCTATGTCTTTGTACTGGATGTTTCTCCGCGGTTTGCGTTCCAGCTTGGCCAGGTTCTGGGCCTCTGTGGTGAGATGTTGGATGAACATTTCCTGTACCCCGAGGTCAGATTTTGGTTCGGTTCCTGGACGGCGGCCTCAATGTGCAGCCCTCGGGACCTTACCGTTGCTAGCGTGATGACAAACGCTGCGTTGTTGGAGCACACCGTGATGTCTGGGTCTACGGCAATGATCTTCTTCACTCTCGTTACTGTCCTCCGAGTCAGTCGCCTGCTGGATAGGATCTAGAGTCACTTTTGGGCCTTACAAGGGAGCTGAGTCTGGCCCGTTACCTCCTTCCGAGGCGGGATCGCTGTAGTGTTATATGGCATAATGACTGTCGAGCGACTCCTTGGCTGGCGTATGAGGACGAGTGGCGATCTGATAATGAGCAAGTCGGCTTTCTCAGGTGAGATGGCTGAGCAGAATGAGTAGAGTGAGCTGCTCTGCCTTGGTGGTAGTCAAAAGGCAAGCACAGAAGTCAGGATTATGGGATTGTATTGTCGTTCGTGCTTATCATGAACCAGTTAGAAGTCTGAATTAATCATGGTCGTCTCGATCTTAAAGATCCAAACGCGTGAACCGCAATCTTTTACCCCCGGGGTAGACGTAGCACTCTGGGGGCAATATGTAATTTGCACCCTGGAATCCCAGAACAGACAAGGGGCCGCGAGGGTGGGGGCGGAGCTCGCTATGTGCACTATGATAACCATCAGCCTTGCATTGGGACTCGGCTCTGCGATTGACGACAACCAGCCTCGAGCCAGGCTGAACAGAGCAACAGCAATTCCGAATCCAGCATTCAGATCTAGAGGTTCTCGACCCCCGATCTGGTCCCTCCATATCCTTGCCAAATGTTTGGAATCGCGGACATGATGCCGACGATTGTGCCATGAATTCCCGATCAACATCATTCCAGGCGCCAAATACGCATCCAGCTCGACGACCATCTGTAGGATCTCGCTTGTCCTTTGCGGTATCGTCCGCAGAGAGGGGAGAGAGTCAGAATGGGTCTGGCATTGCGGCGGAGCACCAGATAGAGGAGGAGATTGCGGAGATTAAGAGATATGAGGTATGGCGCCTGTTTCACCTCCACCCCCCCTCACCATTTGCTAACGCTGCTTTAGGATTTCACGACAATAGGTACGCCTGCCAACCCCCGTTCGCGCGCAGCATATTCCCCGGTTGCTAACGAAGACGGATAAGACTGGGTGCAAGACGCGGCTAGAGAGCAGTTGAGGAAAGCGAGACGGAGGCGCAACGCCGGCCACTTCGACCGAGCCGCCCGCTTTGACTGGAGATACAGGCTGTGGAAGTCTTACGACGCTGCGCAAGGATGGCTCGTCATCACGCTTATAGGTGCGGCTATTGGCCTGAATGCGGCCTTCCTCAACATCATCACGGAATGGCTCTCCGACATCAAGCTCGGATACTGCACAACAGGTTTCTACCTCAACGAGGACTTCTGCTGCTGGGGGGAGGACAATGGTATGTTGTGACCCTTTTTCTTCCCGCGGACGGAGATGCTGACGTATTATAGGTTGCGCGGACTGGCATCGGTGGACACGTGTTGAGCCTGTGAACTACATCATCTACATCGTATTTGCAGTAAGATACATCACCGCCCTACCCTGGAGAGGACCATGATACTAAAATCACCTCCAGGCTCTGTTTGCCTTTACGTCTGCAACTTTGGTCAAGTCATATGCCCCTTACGCGGCTGGGTCGGGCATTTCCGAGATCAAGTGCATCATTGCAGGGTTCGTCATGAAGGGCTTTCTCGGCCTGTGGACGCTGATCATCAAGTCCGTCGCCCTTCCCCTGGCGATCGCATCCGGAATTTCTGTCGGAAAGGAGGGCCCCAGTGTGCACTATGCCGTGTGCACCGGAAATGTCATTTCGAAACTCTTTGAGAAGTACAGGCGGAACGCTTCCAAGACCCGCGAGATTCTCAGCGCCTGTGCTGCTGCCGGCGTCGCAGTGGCCTTCGGAAGCCCCATTGGGGGTGTCCTATTCTCCCTTGAGGAGATGTCTAGCCACTTCCCGCTCAAGACCATGTGGCGCACCTACTTCTGCGCCCTTGTCGCGACGGCTGTTCTGTCAGCCATGAATCCTTTCCGGACTGGTCAGTTGGTCATGTTCCAGGTCAAATACGATCGGTCCTGGCACTTCTTCGAGGTCGTCTTCTACATCTTTATCGGCATATTCGGTGGCCTTTACGGGGCCTTCGTTATTAAGTGGAATCTGCGAGCGCAAGCTTTCCGAAAGAAGTATCTCGCCAACTACGCCATTCTCGAAGCCACCCTGCTGACAGTGGCGACCGGGATCATCTGTTACCCGAACGCCTTCTTGCGCATCGATATGACGGAGAGCATGAAGATCCTATTCTTGGAGTGCGAGGGGGCAGAAGATTATCACGGGCTATGCGAAGCTGAACACCGGCTGAGTAACATTCTGTCCCTGTTCCTGGCAACGATCATCCGGATCTTCTTCGTCATCATATCTTATGGCTGCAAAGTTCCGGCTGGCATATTCGTCCCTTCCATGGCAATTGGCGCAACATTCGGACGAACGGTTGGAATCATCGTGCAGGCCATCCGCGATGCCTATCCGCAGAGTGTCTTTTTCTCGTCTTGCGAGCCAGATGTGCCGTGCATCACACCAGGCACATATGCCTTCCTTGGTGCCGCCGCTGCTCTCAGTGGCATCATGCACATCACAATCTCGGTTGTCGTCATTATGTTCGAGCTAACCGGGGCTCTTACCTATATTCTCCCGACCATGATTGTGGTCGGCGTAACGAAGGCTGTTGGTGAGTTGTTTGGCAAAGGGGGTATTGCGGATCGGATGATTTGGTTCAGTGGATTCCCCTTCTTGGACAACAAAGAGGGCCACAACTTCGGTGTCCCGGTCTCTCAGGTCATGACTACAGATGTTGCCTCGATACCAACAACCGGCATGACTCTGAGAGCCGTCGAGCGCCTCCTTCGCCATGACAAGTACCAAGGCTTCCCCATCGTCGAAAACGACAACTCCAAGATCCTAGTCGGTTACATCGGACGCACGGAACTTCGATATGCTATCGATCGAGCCAAGCGCGAGAGGTCCCTGGATCCGCTTGCCAGATGCACATTCTCACCTCCTGCCCCGAATACGGTGACACCGATGGCTGCGACGGCGAGCCTGGACCCCATGTCATCCACGTCTGTTGACTTCAGCCGTTACGTGGATTCCGCGCCCGTCACCGTCCACCCACGCCTCCCACTCGAGACTGTGATGGAGCTGTTCCGCAAGATCGGACCCCGCGTCATCCTCATCGAGTACCACGGCCACCTCACCGGCTTGGTCACGGTGAAGGACTGCCTCAAGTACCAGTTCAAGGTGGAGGCGGCCGAGCACCCACGCGACGATCACCACGCCGTGGAGGGCGACGAGAAGCTGTGGAACCTCATCAAGTCCGCGGCTGGCTGGCTGTCCGACAAGGTCTCCAACGTGTCCGGGGGCAGGATACGGCTGCGTGACTCGTTCGACGGCGGGAGAGGCGGTGGTGGTTCCGGGCAGATCTTGGACGGCACGGAGGAACTGGCCGATGACGAGGGGGTGGAGCTGGAGGCTAGGTAGTTGATTTTTGGCGTTTCTTGGATCAGTTAGATATGAATATAATTCTAGTCATTTGTTCTCGTCTCAAATCACCCTTCTAGGTCACAAACTGATATCCATGTCCGGTGATCGTAATTCAATCAGAGAACATGCTATGAGACTATTGATTTACATCGAGATAACTCTATATTGCTTACTTTTCGATAGCTAAAGCTATCACCATCGCTAGCATATATTTTAACATTATGCTTAAATATGTGGACGGGAAGGGCCGAAGCACTAAGATATGTATATTGAAGACCCCCAGATCTTTCAGCGGCGTTCAAAATAATCTCACAGGGAAAGGGAGCCAAGTTCGACAAGGGCCTCGCCTAGCTTCTCGACAATCAATCGGAATCACCAAGGTCCAAAATGTCCTCATCCTCCCCGTCCACCGCTTTCGACTCCGGGACGAGCCCGTCCATCAGATGGGCGTGCTGGGAGCTGCCCGGGTGGTCCGCCGTAGTGGAACGGTCACCATCCTCGTCGCCGCTCTCCGGCTCCAGGCTCTCGTCCTTCCGGCCGACAATCACGTTGCCGGCGACCAGCATGGAGGCGCCGAGCCACCACAGCGGTGGGAGGGACTCGGAGAAGATGGCTGAGCCGAGGATTGCGGTGATGACGAAGTTGGATGATGTGTTCATGATCGACACTTGGGTCGTGGAATTGCCCCGTTTCAGAGCGGCGGTGAAGAGCGTCCACATCTTGAGAGCATGTTAGCTTGTCGTGGCTTGGTGTTTGTGACGCTGCCGTCCTTGGCTGTCTGTGAAGCCCCTAGGATACACGATCCCATACGCAAAAGAAGGAAGCAGCTCAACTGCCGCTCGGCAAGAGACTTACAATTCCATTAAATACAAGGTTTAGTCCAAAGAAAATCTGTTTGCATCAATACGTCAGCACCCCCAGCATGCAAATCTGAGGCCTTTTTTGGTTGCATTGGATATCACAGAAACTCACAGCTCTAACAATAAACTCTATGACGTATTCAGCATCTGAGAGGCCGAATAGTCTGGCGATACTTTGCGAAAAGCTCGATGTGAGTTCCGTAGTTGTGCTGCAAGTTTTGTGAGCAGGTTTCCCAACAGCATCGCCGAATTGCACCTAAGCCAAAACCAATTGCCCTTCCGCCGGCTACCTGGGCATGTAGATACGGCTGTATAACTGTGGCAAAACAGAGAGATGGCGAGCTCCAGGGTCTTTTCCACAAGCGAAAACGAGGCCTCGACAAAATCAACGACGAAGACTTACAGCTTAGCAAAGACGCCGTTGAAGGCGGCACAGGCGCCGCTCGCGAGGGCCAGAATCAGCCATTGATTCCCGCGGGCCGATGTCCTCGACGACATGGCGGAAGCGTCGTCTTTGACTACCTTTGCATCTAGCAGTCGACTTCCCTCTTGCGACTGCGGTTCCCCTCCTCGTGTACTAATACCAGATTGCAGTTGCGTCGTCGAGGCGAAAGAGGATGTCTGGCTGGCTGGGGGAGGATGACCAGCGACTCGACGTTGGCGCGGCGTTTCTGGCATTGTTTCCTGGGGTGGGTGGCGAGTAAGCATGGCGAAAGAGAGCCAAGGCGGGAAACGGTGGGCCTAAACTGCGAGCTGGATCCAGGCGACAGCACCGCCTCGCAAACGGGGGGATCCCTGTTTCAACGGTGATTTGCCCAACGTATTCGAATATTAGTAGCATAAAACACTGACTTGCCGTAAGAGTCGAACAATGTTAAACATTGCGGGATGGCTTTACCTGTGCTGAGTTTCGCACGGCCAGTACTGGCAGAGCACGGCCGGACTGTGGACAGCATCACCGCCAATACGGTCTTCGAAATTATTGTTGCCATGTTCGGCTGTTAGCGCTGGCTTGAGTGACAGGATCGCTACGATTTACAAGACCTTTGGGTTAACTCAAAGCCAGGTCAGATATCAAATTGCCTTGTCACAGTGTCTCTCCATGCGGCTCAGGCACCGCTCTTAGAATATGCAACGTATGACTAGGGCAGAAACACTGGCTGCGATGTCTCACTTGCATAGCCCATCCGATTGGCTCCTATGGTCGTTATCAGATATTGCCCGACTCGGGCTGAGCATGCAGTGTTCCGGTATTGCAAGGCTGGATCACATCATGTCATGAAGGAGAGCTGCACTGCTACCTGAAAATGGCAATGTATTTTTATGAGATGTAGGCAGCATCAATCTCCATGCTTTCGCCCGTCTTTCGTGGCCCAGGCAAAATCACTGCTAACGATAAGGCGCCGTTCCCTAAGACCCAACCCGACCTTGACCTTGAACCATGACCAATGAACGCCGTTTCAATGCAAATCCATGCCGAAACCAATACTGTACAACCATCGGGCGTGTCGCAGACCATCTCGAGATGTAACCATTCTCACGCAGAGGCCCGCCCCCCTCGTAGATCTCCGCCGTCTTCTCGGGCTCGTCGACCCGATCTCACGTCGGTAGTTCTGATAGATGATTCCATTCAGGCTACTGTCCTTCGGGGCGCTTGGCGTTGCAGCTAACAATCTTAACCTTATCCGCAGTGACTGTCTGCGCGCCGTTCTCCATCTTGAACGTGACGTTCTTGATCAGGAAGGTCCAAACCTCATCGCAGAACCGATAGGTATCGAGCGACCCCTATGTTTCGGGAACAGGCTGTTAGAATCCACGCATGACGGCCGCGCCCTCCGTTGTCAGGGTCAGGCTGGGCTCACCTTGAATGTAAGGCGGGCCTTGACCTTATCAGAGAGGGTCTCGGCAATGGCGCGATCAAAGTTGGATAGGATTTTCATGGCCAACTGAGGATCGATGCGCTGCTCTCCGATGAGATCGTCGAGCGTATCGGTCAGGGTCATGCCGATGCTGTATTGAGAGGCATGGTGGTTAGTAAAGTGTATAGCAATCACCAGTCATGCTGGGCAGTAGTAAGGAGGGACTGGCGGTTGTACCTGCTACGGCGGTACAGCTCGTAGAAAGTTGGACCGTTGCTCGCCATCTTGTCCCGCTCCTCAGTGATGTCGTCGCGGGTTTGTTAGGTGTTGGGGGGGGAATGGCCTTTAAATATGATGAGGGGGAAGAAGAAGGCCAATGAAACGAGGTCACGTTTGGCGGCCTGCCTGGAATGAGTCAGCAAGGCTCCACTTGATTTACTATTAGTTCGCTGATTCACGTGACCTTTCCAAGAGCTCTGGTACCTGTTAGCAGCAGCTGGGGAGGAGTGGGCGACGGGATTACGCTGCCACCTCAACCTGTTATCGTTGATTGAATCGAATCACGACCGAAGCCCACGTCAACCAAGCTCGAATATCTCGAAGTAATAGGGGCAAAATGAGCTTGGCGTATGGAGCTGGCGGCATAGGAACCAGCCTTGCCGTGGTGGGAGCTTGTGAGTCCGATGTCCTGGCTGCCAGGTCCCCACGAGGGCGCGTAGCTAATACGATTGATTGCCTTCAGATATGCTCTTCACTGGCAGCGGCGAAGCCTTCAATGTATGTCGAGGGGCTCTATCCGATTCCAAAGTCCACCGTTCTGACAAGAAGATTACCAGGTCGGCGCTTTCCTCGAGGCAGTTTCCCCATTCGCGTGGGCAGACTTAGGCATCGCCCTCTGCATCGGTCTATCTGTGGTTGGAGCAGCATGGTAGGCCGAACGCCGAAATACAACTGTGCGATGACATCTCTCTAACTTGACCAACCCATGCAGGGGCATCTTCATCACAGGGTCGTCTATCCTCGGTGGTGGCGTGAAGGCGCCGCGGATCCGAACCAAGAACCTGATCTCGATCATCTTCTGCGAGGTCGTCGCCATCTACGGCGTCATCATGGCTATTGTGTTCTCGTCCAAGCTCAACGCAGTTGAGGGCGCAGAGTTGTATTCGGGGAATGCGTACTATACCGGTTACGCGTTATTCTGGGCGGGCCTGACAGTCGGCATGTGCAACCTCATTTGCGGCGTGTCTGTCGGCATTAACGGCAGTGGTGCTGCTTTGGCTGATGCTGCCGACCCGTCAATGTACGTCTCCTATTACGGTCTGTTGCTACTTGCTCTCAACTAATCTCTCCGACTCGTTAGGTTTGTCAAGATCCTCGTCATCGAGATCTTCAGCTCCATCTTAGGCCTATTTGGCCTGATCATTGGCTTGCTTGTGGCTAGCAAAGCGGATGACTTCGGTCTCAATAAATAGACATCCGCAACCCCGCCCCGTCATGATACCGGTGTGATACCGGTCATGTCAACTACTTGCCCATCAAATTATTACTTGATGGCAGCATTGCCCTTGGCGTTCAGGAGAGGCAAGGTCTGGGAAAGCATTTATTTCATCCATGTAGAATAGGTACTCATGCATTGTATCCGTATTGTATAAACGGTCGTGATCTAGTTTCGCCGCCAGTAGTTCCAAGTCCTACACAGTCTTGCGGTTTGGTAGTATGCCCATCCCCACCATAAATTCATATCCAGTCAGTCTTCTGATTAGCAGGTGCTGGTGATAGGCCCTGTTGCTCTCTGCATGTCCAAACTCCTTTGACTCCCCAAAACCTAGCTTATAAGATCCTCAGTCACATGTTGATTGCAGAAGCCTGGGTCTATACCAGGGATACTCGTACTCGAAATCCGTCCCGATTAGGAAAGCTGTAGCCTCAAATAAAGATCCGGCGTGAAACAATCTGTATCAGTGGGTTGATTTCCTTGATTTGAATGCCGATTTCAGGAATCAACACGTAAACTACCCATCAAAAGGGCATCGACCTTCGTCCCCCTGGGCAACGGCTCCTCGCCACTCGGCATGCAGAGGAGCGCGTTTGCTCGGCGCAAGCTTCCGACCTTGGAGCTTCTCTGTCCGCCCGTGCTGGCAGCCGACAGCACCCCATCGTTCCCCACGGAGACGACGGCGCGGTGATACTCTGGCCGCACCTTGTCCAGGGGGAAATCGTGGGCGAGGACGGCCGGGACCCTTGGGAGACCAGGGGGTGATACCCCGGACATGCGGTGAAGCGAGGGGAGGACGAAGAGGTGGAATGTCACCAGGGCGGAGGCCGGGTTCCCCGGCAGCGAGAAGACCGCCTTGAATACTCTCTGACCGGCGTTGTCCTTCACCGGGACTGTCGCGAAGGTGGTCGGCTTGCCAGGCTTCATCGCCACCCGGCCAAAATGGATGGTGCCGCCTAATGAACGCTCGATGGTGGGTTTTAGGAGATCCAGCTCGCCCATCGACACACCTCCCGTGGTGATGAGCAAGTCGACCCGTCGCAGACCGTCGCGGAGAGTCTCTTCTAGGCTGCTCGGCTTGTCACTTGCGATGCCGAGGTCGACGACCTCGTAGCCCCAATGCTTAACAGCTGAGATCAAGGTAGGCCTGTTTGTATCCCGTACCTCGCCATGCTGTAGTTCATCTCGCCGGTTATGTTCGACGAGCTCGTCTCCGGTTGATAGAATGCCCACTACCGGGCGTCGATATGCTTTAACATCTGCCACTCCCACAGAGGCCAGGAGCCCAATTTCGCCGCCGACTGCCGAGATCTGTTCACCCTTCTCAAGTATCACTGAACCCTTCTTGACGTCGCTCCCAATCTCCCGGATGTTCTCCCCATCCTTGACGCCATCTGCAAGGATCTCAACCTCCTTCTCCTCCTGGCCGTCCTCAGTCTTCGACCTGAGCACGGTATCCTCAACCATAATCACCGAGGTCGCACCGGGAGGGAGCGGGGCCCCGGTTGTGATCCTGGCAATCTGCCCTTCCTCGAGAGGCCCCCCGACCTCTCCGGGAGACGCATGGGAGATGGCGGACACGGTGAACACGCCCTTCATGTTTCCATCCTGTGGTACGACGACGGCATAGCCGTCGACTATGCTCGCCCTGAACGCCGGAACGTCTTCCCTGGCGGACACATCCTCGGCGAGGACCGAACCTACCAGACTCTCGTCCACCGCCGCAGAGACGACCCGGGGCTCAGGCGTGTGCTCGCTTATCAGGCTCAGGGCATCGTCGACGGAGAGCATCGAGTACGGGGAGGACCTGTGTCTCCGGCTGGGTCCTAGGCTGGGGTCGTTCGACTTCGGGTTCTCGCCGGCCTTGGTATGCCTGACGAGACCACCGTGACCATGCCCGTGGCCGTGCCCATGACCGGGATCGTGACTGTGGTCGTGGCCATGGCCATGGTTATCGTGACGATGCCCCGCAGGCTGTGACGGGCCAGCACCGTAGCCAATTCCGGCATCCTTTTCCAGCCTCTTCACGCCCCCCGAATGAAGGGACCTCGAGTCCGCCCCGGACGCCTGCAGACAAGCATGCGGCAGGGTTCTGATCACGGCCTGCAGGTTCTCCCTAGCCCCCTTGGGGGATCCGGGGAGGGTGATGATAACGGTGTTGTTCCTCACGCCGGCCACGGGGCGCGACATCATGGCGAACGGGGTCACGGCCAGCGACGCGGCGAGCATGCCGTGGACGAGGCCCGAGGCGTGCCTGTGCAGCAGCGCCGACACGGCCTCGGGGGTGTGGTCGGCGACGGCGAAGCCCGTGCCGCCCGTGGTGACGACGAGGTCGACGGCGTCGGGGATGTCGGCCCAGAGCATGATCTGGCGCTGGATCTGGGCCACGGCATCGGTCACGATCTTAGTCTCCACCACCGTCCACTGGCGGCCTCCCTCCTTGTCGAAGACGTCGCGCAGCGTTACGTCGGCAGCATCGGAGGAAGGGTCCTTGGCTGCTGTTGTTGAGACAACGAGAATTGCCGCTCTCAAACTCGTCTTGGACGCCATGGGGTGCTACAGGACGTTTGGGTGGAAATATGCTTGGCAACGGGAGCTTTCCCAGTGATTGAGCTTAAGCTGACCCGCTGGGAGCTACATATTTAGCTCCAAGTGGGGTCACTCGATCGTCAATCTCCGATTTTTGGGCACCTCCATGATAAAACCAATCCTACCCCAAAGAAGTTTATTTCGATTACTAGCGAAGTGAGCAGACATCACCTACAACTCTCGACCATGGTTCGCTTCAAGGAGCGATACCTCCTGGTGAACATCCTCTATCCAGAGGCGGCTTCCGTTTCACAATCAAAGGGCAACAACGTCCCGGATCTACTGGTCTACAACCAACCGACCGCCGACAATCTCACAGCGCAAGCCCTGCTCAGAGGCATCCGCGCCGAAGTGGCCTCGCTATTCGGAGACTTCGGGTCCGGGGCCATTGAGCGCAGCCTGCAGGTCAAATACCTGTCGCACGCCACGTCGACCTTCATCCTACGCGTCTCCCGCGCCCACTACCGACTCGTGTGGGCCGCCCTGACCTTCATGGACAACATCCCCACGAGGAATGGCAAGCCGTGCGTCTTCCGCGTCGTCCGCACCAGCGGGACCATCCGGAAGGTCGAGAAGGACGCGATCCGGCGCGCGAGACACCTGATGCTTGCGGCGAGGGAGGAAATGGCAGGTCAGAACTCGCGCGCGCTGGATACCCTCTTCGGCAGCAAGGACCCGGGTCACGACCAGGACATGTTGTCCGCGGACGGCGAGTCAAGCTCCAGCGATGCGGAGGGAATGGAGGGCGTGGACGGCGATTGAGAGGGCCTCACTTCTTTTTCCGCGCCACTGTTATGCCACTATCTGGCCGTGGAGGCGGCATCTCGCCAAAGTCATCTTGACCATCAGCAAGGGAATCCCCCTGTTGCGCGCGGAGGCGAGCCTGTTCCTCCTCCTCCTGCCGTTCCGCCTCATCGTACGCCTCCTTGTTATCAATCCAGCGATCCTGCATATCCCCGCCCTCCAGGAGTGACGACTCGTTACGCATCGCAACCTGCCAGATCGTATCATTAGAACCCTCGGCGCTGCCAAAGACATAGCCTCCTGCTCTATCGATCACGCGCAAGAGGTGCATCATGCTCTTCTTATTCTCGACGGCCAGTACCTCGAACCTCACGAGGCCGAATCGCTCGATAACATCGGTGATGGCTTGGTTTAGTCTGCCGAATTTCTCGCTGCGGAGGGCCGGGGACTCTTCTTCCAGTGCGGGCAGCAGGTGCGAGAGTTCATCCACGTCAGTGTAATAGTCGAGGTTGAAGGGGAGCGGATCGTATGACGCGATCTTGTCGATCTTGGTCAACACGTTGATGTGAGGGAGGTCCATCTGGAGCATCGCGCGCAAGGCGAGCAGGATGTTGGAGATGTAGAGGGAAGGCTGGGTCAGGCAGAAGCAGTCGGACAAATGCACCGCTACTAGCTTGGATGGGGGTCAGCCGCATGTAACCAGAGGACTGTGCCGGGTGAACCTACCCTGTAGCCAAGCTTCTGCAATCGGTAGAAAATGTTCCGCAGCGAGTTATGATGGGTATAGAGCTCGACCTGACCCGGGCAGTCGAACAGGATATAGTCATCGCCAAGCTCCTTCAACCCCTCCTCCAGCCATTCCATGTTCTGCTCCAGCTCCTCGAGGGCATAGAGAACGGCTCCGTTTGGGCCCAGGCGATCGTCTGCCATGATTTCTTCCAGGGTGACGAGCTTTCTTATGTCCAGCGCGCAGGGGTAGTTTGTCTGGTCGTTGGCCGGGTCGAGGTTCACTACCGAGCATTGCCGCCCGATTGCGCCCATGAACTGATGCACTGGAATTCGTCTTGGGTCAGCTCAATGGACTGCCGGTCACTGCCGGTCAAGTTCGATCGCACTCACTGCCATCGCAAAACGTGCTCTTCCCCGAGCCGGGGCTCCCAAGGACTAGCTGCCCGAAGGGCATTGTCGGATTCTTATTCTCTTTAACTTATTACACGGGTGCATAGGTCAACCCAAACGGCGCGCGATAGCAGCTGACGGAAGGATTGGGAGAAGGGCTTTCTTGGTTGTGGTCAGACTGGAGTGCCCCGCCATATTATTGCCCCGCAGATAATCACGATGAGCTTCTGACAGTGGGGAAATTCTTGGCGGTGAACTGCGGCAGTACTTTTGTTGTCTGTTTACGGTATGTTCATAGCTTTCTTCAACTCAAGCTTAGCACAGTTTCTCTTCCCAGTTGCTTGACGTTGCAAGCCCCTGAAATAGAAGATGGCGCCTGGTACGTAATTTGAGTTGCTGTCATTTACACCCACATGGTTTCTAGTAAAGCTCATTCAGGTCCTAGGAACTCAATTCGAGATAGCGCAACCGCCGAGTGATGCCATCTCGGCCATTGACTTCGCGCCGGAATCCCCAAACCGATTCATCGTTTCGTCTTGGGACAAGCAAGTCTATCTATACGAGATCTCCCCGGATGACGATGAGGGGAGTGCCCAGCTTGTCCAGTCATTCGAGCATCGCGCACCGGTTTTGGATGTGTGTTTTGGCGCCAACGACAATGAAGCTTTCACAGGAGGTGTGGACTACAGGGTGACAAGGTGAGGCCGAAACTGTCTATCCTATATTGGCGTCGATCCAAGACTTACATAGGGATCCAGGATTGATCTGGCGACGGGCGAACAAACGGTTCTGAGCACCCATGCCGAACCCGTCCCGTGTGTGGTCTATTGCCCAGAGCAGTGTAAGTTTCCCACCTCTGGCCTTCGGTTCATCCCACATCCAGGCGCAGGATCTAATCCTTCTCTCCAGCCATTGTTGTTTCCGCCTCATGGGATCAGACTCTCCACGTCCACCCTGCCGCAGCCTCTTCGCAGCACCACATCTCGATCGAGCTCCCCGGCAAACCTCACGCAGTCGCCGCAAGCCCCAGCAAGCTCGTGGTCGCCATGACGTCGAGGCTGGTCCACATCTACGACCTGCCCGCCCTGTCCGAAGCGCTCTCCTCGTCGAGCAGCGGCAGCGGCGGCGCGCCAGCAGACGTGAAGCCGTGGCAGCAGAGGGAGTCGTCGCTCAAGTTCCTCACGCGCGCCGTCTCGTGCATGCCCAACGACGCCGGCTACGCGACCAGCAGCATAGAAGGCCGGGTCGCCGTCGAGTGGTTCGAGGACACGGCCGAGTCCCAGGCGCGCAAGTACGCCTTCAAGTGCCACCGGCAGACCGCCCCCGAGGAGGAGGGCGGCGGCGACATTGTCTACCCCGTGAATGCGCTGGCATTCAATCCCGTGCACGGCACTTTCGTCTCGGGCGGCGGCGACGGGACTGTGGCTCTGTGGGACGCCGAGGCCAAGAGGAGAATGAGGCTGTACCAGAATTTCCCCGACAGCGTCGCGGCAATGGGGTTCTCCAACGACGGCCGGTTTCTGGCCGTTGGTGTGTGCCCTGGCTTTGAGACTGGCATGGAGGATTACAGCGCCGACGGCCAGACCAAGTTGTTTATAAGGGAGCTGGGCGAAACGGAGGCAAAGGGTAAAGGTTCGAAATGATTTCTACGCACTTACTGACCTCGTTATTGTCGGCGGAGATCATGGCGTTGGGGCGATTTTAACTAAAAGGGAGCGGAAGACATGAGTTGGGAGATATGGCCTAGGTTTCAGCAAAGCTATCTTGTGTGGCCATAAACCATCCAGGGGGGAACTAGGTAGCCTCTCTCCCTCAAGGTCACTGACTCGCAGAATACAATGATCATCGGACCGCATTCTATGCGATTCAATTGTGCTTTCCCAGAGATCCCGTTCTACACGCTCCTTGTCTGACTAGACTCGCCTGCCTCCCGAAACTCCTTGAATGGGAGCAGGATATGCTGCTGTTCAGGCAGGCCAGGCTGACTCTGTGATATCTCACGACCTTCCCGGCGGCTCGATCCGTTTCGCAGAATGTCTTTGAAGGAAACCTGTGAGTCTTGCATCTCACCCCTTTTCTTCCGCTTAAAATCTTGGTTGACATAAAACGGTGCTGAACAGGAGTCTGAGCGACGAGTTCCCGGAGAAGTGTCTTCTGGGGCCCTCTCAGAGTGATTTTGGTTTAGGCTTGGCTCCCCTTGCTCCCTGCCGTTGTGCCCCTTTCCAGTCTCAGACAACCTTCCTAACATCGAGCCGTGAGCCTTGTGTCTAGACAGCACGCTGGCGGTACTGTTAACGGATCCATCGGACTTATGCTGTTCAAACAGATAAGGGGCTCGATCTTCGATGTCAAAAATGTGCCCATCTAGTTTTCTCTTCCTAGGTCGGGTAGCCTGTTTCACGGCTTGCGTAGATTGCGTCAACTCCAGTGGTCCCAATCCTGTCGCTACAGGAGGGCTTTTCCTCTTCCTGGCTACCTGGGCGGTCCCGGAAGGGGATACCTCGTCCACAGAGAACCCGTCACCGATAGGGTACTTAGAGGTGGATGAGGGGGGCTCAGTGGAGGTCTTTCTCGGAAGCATCTTGTAGGCCTGTGGAGGAGCTTTGTCGAGGACCAGGAAAGGAGGGTTACGCCTTTTCTGGATTAAAAGTGGTTGGGAAGATGGTCCATGCCTGGTCTGGGACGGAGACGCATTAATATCGAGGCCGCTTTCGCCATCAGGTATTCCCACCGTGCTTGGATCAAGATCTTTCTGAGACAAGTCTAAAGGCTCTTCTGTAATTTGTATTAGCGTCTGTAATGTCTCTTGTGGTGACGACCATGATGGCCGTGGGAGAAAAGTTGAACTCACCATCGCTGTCTGGCATTTCGGTTTTCACTACGTTGGCTGTATCGGATGTGGGGGACAGGTGGTGCCCTTCTAGTTTATTTATCTTGCTTTGGTATATCTCCTGCGGTCTGAGATCATCCTCTGCACCTCTCATTGCGGGGACTTCTTCGTGGCTGGATATCGGATGCCCTGTTGGGACAGGGACGCCAACGACATGGTCACCTAGTAGGGCCGAGAGAGGGGGTGGGAGTTCGGCTGGGAGCGAGTTCCTACGACGCATCTGATACCTCTTTTCGTAAATTTGCATGGCCGCAATTTGCATTGGGGTCCAGGGGGTATCTGGGCTCCAGGGGATATCTGGAGATTGCCTTGAATCCATTGTTCCGCTGGTCTCCTTGTCCGAATTCGAGACCAAAGATATATCGATTGGGCAAGCCAAAGTAAATAGCGGGAAATGGCAAGGGAAAGTTGCTCATGAATGCTAGTGTATGAGGAAAACACGTAGCCCTCTCGAGGAAGCAAAACAGGCCTAGCTCTAATCCCGCGATTTCTTGTCTCTGGCGGCGAGCTTGCCTTTCGAAGAAAGAGAAAGATATGAGATAGAAGGGCTGAGGGGTCTTGACAGCGGAGTGCGGCCACAAGGCCAAGTACCTAAGGTAGGTAGGTACCTAGGTAGGCTGGGAAGAAAAATATCGTAGCTTAGGCAAGTACAAATTGATGTGGAAGGAGCTGCCAGCTTATGCCTCGTATGGCAGGTTGCAAATGACAAGGTAGGAGTCCCCATGGTACCTGCCTGCCGAAGGAAGGCACTTGGATATGGTATCAAGAGACTCCCGACCCAATAACTTCACCTAGTCGAGTTGGATAGAGACAAAATGGCTTGACCTCTGGACCTCCATGTCACTCAACACTGGACTCTCTCTATATTCCACGACTTAGGATAGCCAGGACCAAGGAGAATGGGTGCCTTTCCATCTACAACCATGTTAGCTGTGCCGAACCTGGTTATCCACCCACAGCATAATGCCCAGAATAACATGCTCGATATTTTTAGAATAAGTAACAATGAGGTGCTTATATATTGTTGCAACACATCTGTCGCAAGGCCACATGATCAGTTGGGTATTGAGATGAACAAGGCGATGAACAAGGAGAGAGAGGGAGTAGTTGACTATTCCATATGTTCATTTAACGCTATCTTCCATACTTATTCCAAACTACCAATGTGTTTCTGATGGGCACTCACAGCAGTGCCAGGCCAGCATCCTTTAATAGTCCTTCGGCCCCCACCTCCACCGCGATCTCTGAAGGCGGTTCCACTACTCTCCACTCTTCGTTGGCGCGATTGGCTTCGGCAGAGGGACGTAATCGAAGGTCCCAGCCATTCCCATGATCCAGACATGGTTCGGGTGTGTTGCCATCTTCTCACCATAGTAGAAATTGTTGGGGAAGCCGATGTCGAAAGGCACCGCATTCTCAATCTCCTCGATGTCCTTCTCTGTCAGCTCTAGGGCCAGGGCCTCGATGTTCTGCTTCAGGTGGTCAATGGTCCGGCCACCGACGATGGGGAAGACATAGGGTGTCTTGTGCATGACATAGGCCAATGCCACGCTGGTGATGATGGTGTTCTTGCGCTTTGCCACTGCTTCCAAAGCATCGCTGATCTTGATCTGCGCGTCGGTGGGCTTGACCTTCCGGCCCTCCTGTGCCTTGCGCTGTTCCTCGGTCTTGAAGTTACCACCACCGAGGGATCCCCACGGCGCAAGTGCCATGCCTTCATCACGGGCCATTGGGATGATGTCGCGCTCAAAGTCACGGTTGCCAGCTGACCATCGCCCCTGGTAGACAGAGAACTGTCTAAGCCCGTGGTCCCGGGCATACTGGTTGGCTTTGCTAACCACCCATGCGGGCATGTCACTGGCACCGAGATACAGAATCTTCCCGGCCTGAACCAGGTGATTGAGTGATTGCATCAACTCCGGGATCGAAGTCGAGAAATCCCACCAGTGCACATAGAGCTATGCCGAGTGTTAGTACCCGGCCCCCCTTTTCTTTTTGTCATCGGAGGACTGTCGCTCACCAAGTCGATATAATCGGTCTGCAGCTTCTTCAAACTGGCTTCGACCGACGCGTGGAGGCTCTTTGCTCCGTTTCCGGCGAAGTTGGCCATAATCTGCTTGTTTCCCAGGCCGGCGCGGTAATTTGTGCTGTACTTGGTGGCCAGGACTTCAACCTGCATTAGACACGGAGACACTCAGGGGGTGGCCGTTGGTAGCGACTCACCAATTTCGTCCCGGTTGCCACGCTTCTTCATCCATTCCCCAATCCACTTCTCGGATTCCTCAAATTGATAATTGTTTGCAGTGTCGATGAAGTTGCCTGACGAAAGCCGATTAGATCACATGCCGTCGCCGGGTGTTAAAGCTGGGGGTGGATATGATGTAATGGACTCTCTGCCAGCCTTTAATACATACCTCCATGCTCATAGAAGAAATCCAAAATGTTCTCAGTGGCGGTCTGGTCACAGTGTCCCATGTAATCCTTCCTACAGACACAGTTGTTAAAGACAGAGTGTTCCATTATCGACTTTGAGGAGAACTGATCTCACTCACCATGCGTTGCCAAAATTCATGGCACCCAGGCATAGTGGGCTGACCCTCACAGAGGCAGAGGGTGATAGGAGTCGATACCTGCCAAGGGGGCTCTTGGGAGGCGGGGCCATAGGTAGAGCAGACGCCATGATTGCTGTTCGTGTCGTTTGGCGGTTGGTATTATATTTGTTTAGTTATTTTCTGGTTATGTTGAGAGGGAGCCTAGGTCGCAATTGATTCGTTTGGCGTGTAATTAGGTGTTGAAGCCAGGACGAAGAGACGAGTGTGTATGGCGAGTGCGGTCCCAAGGACTTATAAGTTTCTGGTTCTCAGAAACAGGATGCCGAGCACCTACGTAGTTCTGTTGTAATGATCACCAAACCCGAGGCTCGAGCTGTTCGGAATGCCGGATTCTCAATGCGTTCCCCGCCCAAAGCTGCCGCGCAAGTTGCCGTGCCTAGTCGTGGCTCCCAGTTCTTGGCTTGACCTAACTCCGCATGGTGACATGTTTTAGTCTTCCGGCAGACGTCAACTTAAGGGAGAAAGACGGTGTTTATGTTATCGCCGGCCAAAACTCCGGACCCGGACGTACTGGGAAGTTGTAACTTGTAAGTGCCCCTTCATCGCATATTGCCCGATTTGGCATCTCCACTGGTCTGATTGGCTCCATGGCAGGAGACATCCACTCAGTAGACTGGCTGCCGCCTGTCTCCCTACCAGCGTACCGAGTAGGGACCTACGATGACATGGCCTTCACAGGTAATAACTGCCCGTCTACCTACCGAAGACTAGTAGGCGATATTTTTTTCTTGGTCTATATAATCCCATGCATCCGTATATTAACATGTCCAAACACCGACAATCCCATCGCGGCGTCCTTCGGTCATATAGCCGTCCTTTATTCGTACACGCTCGACCACAGCAGGCATCCTGCCCTCTTCTTCTCCCGCAATGCCAGCACCGCAGTCCCACTGCCGTCCCTCCACCTTATCGTACACCTTGACCACATCCTCGCCTGCAGCACAGACTATCCGTCGGACGTCAAACATCATGCTTGTGATGGGGTTGTCGTAGGCATAGGCATCGTAAATGGACCCCGTGCGCAGGTCCCAGATCTATCGAGGGGGTTAGCAAGGACTTATTCGCCCCGGGACGAGATTCCGTCTTGTCTTACCCGTATGCTCCTGTCGAGGCTCCCCGTCACCAGATGTACGTCGTCAAACTGCAAACAGGTCACTGCCCCCGTGTGGCCCACCAGGCTTCGATTGACCTGGCCGCTTCGTAAATCCCATAGTCTCACCATCCCGTCTGCAGTTCCGCAGGCCAGGGCAGACTCGAACACCTGGAGAGCCCCTACAAAATCTGCCGATACACTGGCAGAACGGCCCGTCTGCCTCCACGCCCCTTCACCCGTTGATGATGTGGCAGAAGCCTGTGCTGCTGCCCACATCACATCCAGGGTCTGGACGCACCGGCCCTTCTCAAGATCCCAGTGCCGGAGCGTCTTGTCGGCCGAGCCAGAGACTAGGACATCCCCACTGAAGTGGAGGGCCGTGATCTCGTCGACATGGGCCTGCAAGGTGAACAATGGGCAGTCGGCCATGCTGCCCGGTGGCGGCTCGACGGGCGAGTCATCCGGGTTCTCGAAAGCAATGCCGTCGTCGTCGTCGTCCTTTCCAAACTGGCTGCCGTGCGGGTCATAGTGGGCCTTGCTAAGATCCCAGAGCCGGACCGTGGCATCGACCGAGCCTGTCGCCAAGATATTGTCTTGGACCTGAAGCGTGCGTACTGACGCCGTATGGCCCTCGAGGAAGCCCATGCAACGACCTGCGTTCAGGTCCCACACTCGAACCGAGTCATCCATTGCTGCCGTGACCATGGTGCCAAATGGCGCATCGAAGTCAAGGGCCGTGATGTTATCTTGGTGGGCCCGGATTTCTCGAATCATTGTCCCAGGATCAAAGTGCTCGTGTAGGATTGGCATCGACTTCCGTCTCAAGTTGCGCGGTTTCTTAGAACGCGACGGAGTGCTGTTAGCAGACGGGAGCTTTTCATAAATGGATTGGGACATGAAGCCCGGATCGTCATCCTCTCTGTCCAAAGCTAGGTCTTCATCCGTCTTTGTTGGCGTCTGCAGCGCTATAGACTCTGCTTCTTCGACAAGTGCCTGGGCTTCTTCTAGCCTGCCCTCAACGTCCATTACTGAAATGAAATTCATGGTTAGTATGCCAAATCCGAATGAGACAGATGCGAGAGCCTTACTATCGTGCTCTAAGAGCGCCTCCTCTTGCTCCAAGCTGGCTAGCCTTTCCAGGATAATCTTGCGCATGCCCGCCAAATTGGCCATCTTGTTGTCTATCTCCCGGATCTCGCTGCTGGCCATGTTCTTCCGAATGCCCAGCATCTCAAACTCGTGCATCATCGAGGCCTTCTCCTTCCCGAGCTTCTGCACCGCATGAGGGCTGTCTGGTGTCGTGTGAGAGTCTTGAAGCAACTTCCTTCCCCTTGAGACCCGGCGCCTGTGTTTCTTCCCTTCCTCTGTGAAGCCGGGAAAGCTGGCCTGGAAGCCTTGGAACAGAGAGTATGAGTTCTCGTCTTCTGGGATGTTCTGCAGCAGCTCCTCCGGGACATATGCCATGGCTCTTGATTGGATCTCCTTGGGGGACAACTTGGACCGAACTAGGTCTGTGGGGGTCGTGCGAGCCATAGAGAACATGCTGCGCTGAAGGGTCTGGCTCCGGAGGTGCTTGTGGACCTCGCCCATCGCGCTTTGGTATTGGGGGTGGGAAGCCGGATCTGAGCGCGGGCCGATCAAGTGGCTTGCTGTGGTGGTTACTTTACGACCGAATGACTCGAATCCCCGTGTCTAGATCAACCATCAGCCAACATTCGGATCAAGCATTGTACAGCTAGCTCAGCGCACAGAGATGATGGAGGACTCCTCGTCCTCGGGGGACAGGTCGTCGTGGAAGGCATCGCGCTCGTCGGGACTGGCCATTCGTTGCTCTTGGTCGTGCAAGAAGCTGGAAATACGAATGTTCTATACAGTCTCGGTGTTTGGTCTCGTAAACCGCGGTGGGCCCATGGGTGGGATGCTCAGTAGGTTGAAGTTATCTGATTATTTGGACGCGGCAATGGTTGCGGCTACGAGTGAGGTTGTGGCGCAAACCTTGTGAGGCTGCGGCACCAAGAAAGGGCAAGCAGGGTTCTGGATTGGCCGCCTCATAGGTACCCATGTTGCCCGGGTCATAGCTCCTGCCAAAGCAAAAGCTGAGAACATTTGAACCCCACCCCCCAATTCGGGCTTTGGCACCAGGATTGGAACGATACCGGAACGATACGATTGACAACCTGTTCCTCACAAGGAAATCCCCCCCAACCTCCAGAGCCGTTCAAGATGGATTCACTCATCGACCTGTCCGATGCGTCTAAGGCGCTGGATCTCTCGCGCATCCGATACCAACTGATGTGAGTCTGGCTTCTGCAGGCTCGTTCGCCAACCTTCAGCTCACCAGGAGTCAATAGTCGGCTGGAGGATACCATCACCTTCCATCTGATCGAGCGCGTCCAATTCCCGCTGAACGAGAACATCTACATTCCTGGCGCCGTGCCAATCCCAAACAGCGACCTTAGTTTCATGGACTGGTACCTCCTGGAGCAGGAAAAGCTGCAATCTCTCATTCGACGCTACGAGTCGCCGGACGAGTATCCGTTCTTCCTCGAGCAACTTCAAAAGCCTATATTAGATCCCCTGGATTACCCCAGGATCCTCCACAAGAACACCGTCAACGTCAACGACAAGATCAAGAAGTTCTATACGCAGCAGTTCCTCCCGGCAGTCTGCCCGGATTTTGGTGGCAGGGGGGATCGTGGGGTCTCGCAGGAGAACTATGGATCGTCGGCAACATGTGATATCGCATGCCTACAGGCCTTGTCAAGGAGGATACACTTTGGCAAGTTCGTGGCCGAGTCGAAATTTCTGTCGGAAACGGAGAAATTCACCAGGTTGATCAAGGCTGGTGATCGGGATGGGATCGGCGAGGCGATCACGAACGCGGCCGTCGAAAAGACCGTGCTGGAGAGGCTCAAGCTTAAGGCACAAACATACGGCACCGACCCGTCCTTTGGGGTGGATGCTGGTGATCAGGCCAAGATAAACGTGGAAGCCGTCGTATCCATGTACAGAGACTTTGTCATTCCCTTGACTAAGGAAGTCGAGGTCGAGTATCTGATGCAACGGCTAGAATAGCCTTGAGACCCGATCGGAGAGATCAGGCCGAGGGGCTCATGTAGTCGCCAATGGCCTTCACTGCGACCCTGAACTTGCCAGCCTCAATCAGAATCATGAATCCACTTGACTTTACCCCCATCTCCTGGAACGCCCTTTTGCTGTCGGCCACGGACTCTTCATCTTTGCTATACTGGAAGCCGCCATAAGCGACTGCATGTTTCTGGAGCACCTCGTCTTCGGGATGGAAGTAGAACAGCGGTGACTCGTCCTTGGCCTTCTTCTTCTTCCTTTCGCTCTGGTCCAGATTCGATGCGACCTCATTATAGGTTTTGGAGACTATCAAGTAGTGTGAGAATTCGTAGGGCTCCTTGTCTTCAACGGCAGCCTCGACCTCATCGGCGAGCATGGAGTACATTGGCGGCGCTATCTCCGACGGCATGTTTATCAACCTCTCGGAAAGGATGAGGCCGACGTGGGCCCTCGAGGCGAGAAGATCCGACACTGGTGAGAGAGCGTCGTTTGACTTGGCCTTCTCTGCCAAATACAGAAGAAGCTCGGCTACGGGCTTCTTTTCAGCATGTTCAGCAAGATTGAGAGCAGTCAAGAAGGCGTAAGCGTCGCTGGCTTTGTCGTCGACCTTGACCGTCGATCCGATGGTGCGTTGCTCGACTATCAAGTCGGTGAGACCGGACAGGTCGAGGAGTTGGGAATCAACATCAAAGAGCTGTCTTAGAAGAGTCTTGACACCATGGAAGTCGATATCGGGATCAAAATTGAACCACTCGAAGTCGACATTGACAATATCGAAATCCTGGCATGGTATTAGATTTCTGGACAAAGATTGCCAGGTAAGGCTAAGTGCACCCACATCATCATCAGAGCTGTCATCCTCATCCATCTTATCAACGTTGGAGTCGACGGCCGCATCTTGGAGGCCGTCGGCTTCTCTAGCTCTTTTCTTCGCCATCTTTTGGGAAACGTGGAGCACCTTGTACTGAAATAGAGATGCCCTTGGAAACTCTGAGAGCTGGATTGAGATGTTCTTCGTGCCCGTCTCGCTGGATATGAAGGTTGGCTCAGCATTCCAAATCCACCGAGTCTGAACTGCCATGAAGCCTCTCAGAAATTTCCTGCCCCTCACTAAACCTATTCGGGAGGCAGGATGTCCGCGATAACCCTAACCCTCATATTCCGGCGACGAAAGTAGAAAAAGAAATATATGATTTCAACAACCTCAGCCGCTTTGCCTGCCTCGCAAGCTCCCTGTTCTTGACCCTTTCAATGCCTTGTGTGGGAGTGTGTTCTCAAATTCCTGCCCAACAGATCCATACACACCCATTATTCTCTATGCCAAGTTGCAGCCCCGAATTACTGGCTGGCGGCTAACATCGTCAGCGGGAGAGGTGCGACTCTGTGATTACAAAGTCTTCAGTCAGAAACATAATTCTCGTCCAAGCGTCATAGGAATCATTGCTTGGAGCTATTAATATCCAAGTTTGGTGTCTCTACGATCGTGCCACTTGTGCCTTTCGGCCTGGCAACGTCTAACCCGGCTGCGAAGCTCCACCGCCTTCCGAGAAGCGGAATTCGAGAAGCTGCAAGGAGGATACGGAGTACCTAGCCCCTGATGTGGCCAGGCCAGACATGGAACTTTCGGAAAGATAAGCCGACCACTCAACGCTCGAGCCCAGACAACTGATGGGATTGATAAAAATGCTTGGCGGCATGTTTCGCTCGACTAGAGACGGGAGATGAGATCTACTTATCAGCCGAGGTGGCTGAGCACGCCTTCCTCGAGCCACTCGTGTTCCACCGAGTCCGAGAGGGAGAACACAAGGATTGCCTGCAGTAGATGGGAGTACAGCTGGCTGAGGGGGACGGCGCACGACAAGAGATAAGACGATGGACCGAGGAGACACTAATAAACGACGAAACACTTTCCACGAAGTTGCATGACTCTGGCCCTGGTCGAACCGGTTACAACAGCACTGTGTTCCTAAGCTGCCCAGGCAAACATTACGAAGTACTGCACCTACGCTACGTACGCGTAGGTGCATTGTCGCGAGTGGCGCCAAGGGTGGCCTTTGGGCTTATGTAGTAGGTATTGTGTTCGGAGTCGGTGATTATTTCTGCTTCCCCTGACCATTTCATGGCGGCGGGGATCAACAAGTAGGTACCTAGGTACCTGCCTTGTTGATGGAACCTGGGCGGTGGAAAATAAGACTAGGTTCTTGGCCGAATCAAATCCGTCGTCACCTACGACGTCTTGACCGCGCTAACACACACAGGATCGTGTATTACTTTTACGACGCTGCTGATTGGTCCGCTCATCGGCCCGCCAAATGGGCACTTCGCATCGGAAACTGTCATGTCCACCAGGTTCCGGGGTCGCCTCATGATGGGGGAAGACACCTTTATGCTATTTGCCAGATCCCTCCTGCATCACTCAGCCACCCCATCCGCTTCGCCATCCTGGACGGCAATCTTACAGTCTCTTATTTTCGTTGGGAACGAAACGGTCTCCTAATCTTGGGTCTTACCTTACTCGGATCAGATTACCTGACTGCAGAAAAGTGGAGTCCCCTCACACGGCACGACGTACTACTCGTGGTTATCTGGGATTCTCTCAGGCCCTCTCTATGCCACTCACCTCTTTCTCGTCTTCAAGCCCTCTTGCGCTTCAACGAGACACCTCGACCCCCCATCTGACACTACTTACTGCTCACAACATCCACTACCACTCTTCCCTGATCACACAGCCTTGACTCGAGTCCGACACTTGCACGTGCGTTCTGGCGACGGGCCAAAGTTCAACTAGACTTGGCAGCGCTTTAACCACCTGATCCCCTCTTCCCCCTTTCAGGAAACTGGAGCGTTCGCGGCATCGGCATCGTTGCTTTACTCCTTCGTAAGGTCTATTGGTGGTTGCTGGGAATGGCGTTGTCCGAAATGATGCATCCCTCAGCGCAGCAGAGGGAAGACGCCACCTTGTTCAGGACCGCACTACCATCCCGACCGGTACCGTCAAGAGATCACGCCGATACCTCTCAAGGCCCGAGGACCCAACTGCCCCAGTCGGGGAGTGATGCCTGGTCCGTGTCTGGTGCCTCGAGATCGCCGAGCCTGTCCGAAACCGGCCCCGGTAGCCCTTCAAGCAACGCGGGGCCTGGGGGATCCCAATTAGATGAAGACATGACTGGTCAAGTGGCTCCTGAGCCATCCTCCAGCCACACCGGACAGATCTGCAGGTGCGTTTAGTACGACTTTTGAAGTTTCCACTATCTGACCATGTGTCTAGTAACTGCGGTACAACTCGCACTCCTCTTTGGCGGAGATCACCACAAGGAGCGACCATTTGCAACGCTTGTGGACTATATCTTAAGGCGAGAAATACCGCTCGACCAACCAACCTGAAACGGCCTCCAAACGTTCTCGCAAGTAACGTACGCCGCACCCCCGAGAAGTTGTCACCAAAGTCCAATGCTCAGCTTCTACCGAAATCACCGGGTGCAACGTATGTTGCGGCAGACCAGACGCCGACCGGGACATGCCCGGGCGGCGGCCGGTGTAACGGAACGGGAGGGGCCGAAGGTTGCAACGGCTGTCCAGCATACAACAATAGGGTATCCAAAAGCGCTAGCTTTGGTGTGCTCAAGAACTGCAACGGCCCATCCCCGGTGAAGGTCCAACCAGACAGCGGAGCGGAAGCGCCTACGCCAATCGACATTGGCGCCCTTCACATCCAGGGCCAGAATACAACAGTAGTCATTGCTTGTCAGAACTGTGGGACTACTATCACCCCTTTATGGCGCAGAGATGAGGCTGGTCACACCATCTGCAACGCATGCGGTGAGCTCCCCCTTTCTAGAGCAGACTCCAGAGAAAGTCCCTTCTGACCTGAGTGCAGGCCTCTACTACAAGCTCCACGGGGCCCACAGGCCCGTGACGATGAAGAAATCGGTAATCAAGCGGAGGAAAAGAGTCATACCGGCATCTCAGGAGGCTGCCGAGGGCGCCTCGACGGAACCCGCAGACTCGCCATCGCCGGGCGCCGATACTCCGACGGAGAGGGGTTCCATGAACCCGGATGGATCCGTTAATCTCGGCTCAAAGGGACGGCCAGGGCCGCCGCTGACCCTTGTGCCCGAAGCTGTGCTTCGACAGAACAGGCAGTCTTCGCCGTTACATTCGGGAGACCTGACGCAGTATCACTCATCACCTACAAGCCAACCGAAATACCTACCCGAGTCCTTGACAAACGAGAACCGATTGGCCCCCCTCCAATCAATCGGTATTCCGACCGATCGAAAGTCCTCATTATCCCCAGCATCATTCCTCTCACCGCCACGGAAACGATCGTTCTCTTCAACCGATATGGAGTTTCCAACCCCTCCTGATGCCGACAACTCGAAACGTCTGTCCTCCATTAAATCGATATTGAATTCCGCTGCTACCCGTTCCGCCTCGGACGATACATCAGAAAACCGGCTCCGGCCCATGCGGACTTCCGGCGGGACGTCCAGTGGTATTCCGAGCCCGCAGAGCAGCTCGTACGACGCCGGCAACGAGAGTGACAAGGTGAAAGCCGGACGAAGGATGGCGCTGCAACGGGAAGCGGAGAGTATGAGGGAGATGCTCGCCGCAAAGGAAAGGGAACTAGCTGAACTTGGGATGTGAAGGGTCTATCATGGCTCTAGATCGGGGTAACTGCCGGGTTTATTGGAGCAGGAGTTTTAAGTGCGATGGCATCTGTCAGGTCTCTGGATGTCTCTGGGTTTACTGGGAACCCGCTGGGTTGCATCCGAGGCGTATGTGTTTGGGTCCAGAATGCAGTTCGCTCTAGGGCTGCCGGCGTCAACCAAGACCATGATAACGATTGGCATGAGAAAGGAATGGCGCAGTGGAAAAAGGGGTTCACATTTATTAGTTGCTTCGTCGAAGTCTGTAAATACCTTGGTTAAATGCATACTTTTGCTTAGTCCTATAGAAGAATAGGAGGTGTGGGTCAAATGCTCTAATCCATGTTTACTTGCATTGGAAGCGATACCAGCTGCGTCAGTCTAGGCAAATGCTTCGGTTGCTTCATCACCCTCCACGTACCCTTGGTGCCACTGCAGAGAATTCATCTGCCTAGTCCTCCACGCAAGCTCCCCCAAGTGTTTTAGTATTTGAAGAACAAACGTCAAGTCGGCGCCTGACCAGACCAGCTTTGTTTCCAATCACCACCCCCCAACCAGCAAAAATGGACTTCTCCGACAGCTTGTACGTTGGCCGGATAGCACTGGAGCTTTCCAACGCGCTCGCCCCGAAATGACACGAATTGGACTAACTCGTGGCTGTTCACTCTAGCCGGATCGTCAACCTTGTGGTTGCGGTCATTATGGTACTGGGAGGCATCTCCCAGTTCTTCCCGCTAAGATTGTACGTACCGTGTTGCTCCCGCCCTCGTCCAGCCGCCTTCAAAGACGAAGGAGGGGATTCCTCCCCGTTGCCCTTCCTGACCGTTGGATTCACACCTCTTGGGTGTCGCCCGATTGTGACAACACTCGGCGAAGAACTACGGAGCTAATTGGAACCTGCGCAATAGCCAATCTGTCGTGGTTGGATGCTATGTCATCATCTTTGGACTTGGTGAGTCGCCCCGTTTCCGAGGCTTTCCACATCATCGTCTGTGCTTTGTTGGCTAATGAAATATGTTCTCTCTACAGCTACTGGTCTTCTTGGTATGTCAAGATCTACAGCCAGCCGCTGCTTCCTTTCGCGCAGCCGAATCCTAACAAAGGCCGACAGAGTTCCAAATCCCTCCGCAGGTGTCTCGCCACGCCTCCTTCCTCTTCTCCTTCATCGGACGCGGTATCTGTACGTGAACCCCTTACCGGTTCTGTGATCATATCCCGCCTTCTCTGCCGTGTGCTGGGAATTGGTTTGACGTGACTGACTGACGCCTTTCGAACCGCAGTCTACATCTTCGTCGGGTCCATCCTCCTCCACGACAACGTGCTGCGCGTGATCGCCGGCTCGATCGTCGGCATCGTCGGCGTGGCGTACGTCATCCTCGAGTTCATCCCCTCCGTCGAGCCCCCGGCAAACATGCGCGAGGCGGACGCCGGCTGGGGCGCCGAACAGGTCTAGACGGGGCGAGGGAGCTTCGGCGACCTCCGTGGCTTCTCAAGTCGCATCTTGTTCGTTCCTCGTGTCGACAAGCATTTGTTACATCTGGTGAATTATGATAACAGGGGGGGCGGTTGAGGTGTTGTGGGGTGGGGAAGGGGATCGGAGACTGGGGTCTCGGGAACCGAGGAGGGTGAGATTCCAAGAGATCTTATATACGCTGTACGTTCAACGAATCGGTCGGAGGCACAATGGACCACCGAGTGGTGGCTCGATCGTCCATGTACGATATGGATGCCATAGTACGATTTAGCTCATATTCTTGCTCGTAATGCGTCCGTTATAATGCTTCAAATATACGCCATTGCTACTAAATATTGTGACTGCATGAAGTACATTAACCATTGCAATCGTTCTCAAGTCCTAGCTCATCGTGGGTATCCGAATTTGACCGTACATCGTCCGAATCATCAAGGGAATAGGTGTGAGGCAGGGAGGGGTATCTATAAAAAACTTCCAACAACACAACAACGAACGCCAATCATGACAAAGTTTAAACTTCATATATCAGGGTCGTCCACTTCCATCATCTCCACTTCGGGCAATGTGTCTTTGATAGCCCAGAGTGCATCTCTCGCCACCTGGACCGGAAGGGTGACAGCCAAGGCGTTCCAGAGCCACTGGTCCGCCTCAGACATGTTGATCTCCACGAAGACGATGATCTCGTTTTCGGGATGCGAAGAATCCAGGTTGATGATCATCACCATGTGCTGCACGACGACGAAGGCGAACAGGAGGGGCGGCGGCGACCGGTATTCCCACTCCGCCTCCGGCAGGTGTATACGCCCGGGCAGGACGAGATCCAGCCTGTGTTTGGCGGCCAATCTCCGGAGCCTCTTCTCGACCTCGTCCGAGATGGGGTCCGAATCGAGCTCCGAGTCGGAGCCAAACTCGTCGCCGCTCTCCATGTCGTAGGCTGCCGGATCGAACTCGTAGACCTGGAGGGTGGGGATGTATATCCGCTTTGATACCCCCGCGTCGTGCATGGCCCAGTCGATATGCCTCTCGAGAGCTTTGGTGAGAACAGGCCCGATTCGAGCCTCCATTCTGATTTGACGATAGCTGCATATAAGCGCCGACAGGTCGAATAAAGCTTCGAGAGATTTTGCGGCTATGAGAGAGGTGGTCAGCATGGTTCATCTCAAGTCCAATCGAGGAAAATAAGCTCACCTCGGAACTCGTCCGATCTTGCGTTGATGGCCACCTTCTTGCGGCTCCCTTCTGGAGCATAGACCCAGGGGTAAATATTCCGCGTCCTAAAGTTGAAGGTCCAGTCTCTCCTCAGCATCGGCCACGACCCGCGCAGTGCAATGAGTTTATGCAGATGAGCCTGTGCGTCGGTCCATTTTTCGTGGCCCTTGATTGCGCTTTTGAACTCATTGTAATCCTCCAGGTGCTTCTCGACTTGTTCGTGGGTGTCCCAGTCACTGTTCGTCTCGTCGTCCATGTCGGGATCCAAATCATCCTGAAATGGATCGCCGCTACCACCCTTGTCTCCGGCAGGCGAGTCCTCTTCAGCAGGCGAGTCCTCCCCAGCAGGCGACTCCTCTTCAGCAACCCCCTCCTTTCCCACCTCAGTAGTCGATGCATCGTCAATAGTTTGCAGCCCCTGGCCAGCCCCTTGCTCGGGTAGCACCTCGAATGTCGATGGTTTCTTGTCAACCTCTAGCCCATTTGCATGGCTGACGGGGACGACATCCGGGCCCGCCAAATAACTGCCAAATCCTAGCTCGTTCAAGCCCTGAACGGAGAGCGCATCCGGGAATGGCCGGGAGTCTGCACCGTTAGGCAGATCTGTCCTTGAAAGGGTGGTGGCTGCCTTATCTCCTTCCAATAGTATATCCATGGCACAGTGGTCGTTCAGGAGCGCATGCTGGCCCCCAAACGTCGTCTTGAAAGGATTCAGAATGGCTATGCTCCTGACGATACCGCACTCGTCCTCGTCGTCGAGGGAAGGTATTGTTAGGTGGGTATGGTCTCCTAAGATGACCGAAGCCGGAGCTGAGCAAGATGCTGGGAACACGGTGGAAGCGGACGAGGGCTCAGGAGGGGTATTTGGCCTCGGCGTAGGTGATCTTCCTCGGCGCGTTTCTGCGTCATGTTGGTTGTCCACGTCTAGGGCCTCGGGGGAGAGATTGTGGGCGGAGAACCTTCCGCTTGTGTAGTGGGGAGGCTGTCGGATGACCATAATGTCGCGTAGAGTCTCAGGTTCAGGAGATGTGCGAAGAGTTGAATCTGACATGAATCTGATGTAGGAATGAAGTCGGAAGACGGGAGGCAGCCCTCAATAAGAGTCGGCTACTAGAAGATGGGTCGAGGGGTCGAGAATGTCATGGCATCTAGCTTTGAAAGAGCGGACGAGCGAAGCAGATCGAGGCCGTCTTTGATCGCCTCCTCTTCCGATTCATTATTTACTATGTGTTGGGTCGAGGAAGGTCAATCCTATTGATGTTGAAAGGCTGGGCTGATAATTTGCTGATGTGCCTGGGATCCCCTCATCAAATTTCAGTGACGCATTCGGCTCAAAGAGGCTGGACACTCAATGACCAGCCCCGCCATTTTGGGGGTTTTGTCATCCCAGGAACCTGCACTTGCAGCAATGCCTGTCCAATCAGAGCTTGGCAGAATCAATACCCTGGACGCAATCGGCACTTAATATGAAGCATCGCAAGGATGTGTAGGTACCTGACTGCATGCTGCAGTAAAGTTGGGATAATAAGATGTACCTTGGTACGGATTACCAGGCCCCTTGTTGAAATGATGATGTTTGCCTTAGGCAATTATGCAACCTTATTAGTGCAAACATCATTGGCTCAGATGCACAGCCTTAACAACACGCGCCGCACTGTGCCCTTGACTTCCAGACTCTGTGACGCGCCCAATTTTTCTACCCGTGACGATTACACTACCACGACACACACGACGAATTGCGAATATATTTCCTCCACACTATCAACCACCCAAGATCAGTGCAGAATCCACGCGCCGACCCTTCCCTCAATTCTCGACCTTGTTTGACACCCGGCCTACTCTTTTCTGTACTCCTTGATCCACATACTGCTAAGCCATGAGCATCTCGATTCCCGTTTAGCTTATTCTCACATCCCCTGTCACGTTGCCTCACCATGGCAACCGACTGGAGCAAGCTTACTGTTGTCGAACTGCGGGCTGAACTGAAGAGGCGTGGTCTTCCCCAGACTGGCAAGAAGGCAGATATTGTCGAGCGTCTTGCTAGTGCCGATGCTGAAGAGGAAAATAAAGATGATGCAGGCATTGAAGAGGCACCAGGTGGCGAAGAAGAGACAACTGTGGAAGAGGCAGCTGTGCCAGACTCCGTCTCAGAACTAAAGCCCAAGACCGACTCTGACAGCACTCGACAACCATCTGCAGAGATTGAGCAGCCTGAAAAGGCAATCCCACCCCCAACTTCCCCACAGAAGCCCGATGTCGCGTCTTCCACCCAAATCCCCCCAGAGGAATCGACGCCCATTGTCGAAGCTACCACCCCATCCCAGCAGGTCGTCACGACCAGCACAAAAAATGTGGAGAAAGAGCCCAGTTATGTCGACACCCCGCCTGCACCTAGTGAAGTGGTCAAGGATACACGGGCAAGAAAGCGGCGATCACGGAGCCCACCCCTATCTGCAGAGGAGGATGTTCGGAAGCGTGTGCGCCGGGACGACGAGGATACACACATGGCTGAAACTGATGGGCTAGCTCAAGCAAATGGCGTTGCACCTGAAGAACCCAAGGTTCTTCCACTCACCAAGGAGCAGCTCGATGAGCAGCCCTCGTTTGCAGAAGTCAAATCTGTGGAGGCCATTGAGCAGGGCATTGAGCAGCAACCGCCCCATGCAGCTGAACATGCTAGACCAGATGTGGACATGGATGTTGACGAGACTGAGGCTCTCAAGACCCAGAATATCGCCGATGCATCCCAGTCTCCTCGCGACCTCCATCACCCAGTGGATCATGATACTGCGGATGACAATGTCACTGGCTACGGCGCCGTCAACTCCTCTTCTGGCTTGGACGAAAAGGCAGTTGTCCCTGCAATCCACCCTGCTACTTCAGCTCTCTACATCAAGAACTTCATGCGCCCTCTCCGATCCGCCATGGTCCAGGAGCACCTTGTCCAACTCGCGACTCCTCCTGGCAGCCGCTCTGACCCTAGTGTCATCCACGAATTTTACCTCGACCAGATCCGAACTCACGCATATGTCAGCCTCAGTAGTGTCTCTGCGGCAGCTCGAGTTCGCTCGGCCCTCCATGATACCATTTGGCCCGACGAGCGGAATAGGAAACCACTCTGGGTTGACTTCATCCCAGCAGAAAAAGTAGTCGAGTGGGCTGAGAGGGAGCAGTCGGACAAGGATGGCCGAGGGAATCTGAACCGCTGGGAAGTTCTTTATGAGCCAGACGATGAGGGAAACATGGTAGCTAAGCTGGAAGAAGTTGGGGCGGATTCTGCTAGACAGACTGCAAGACCCCCGCCTCCGCCTGTAGCTGGCTTCATCCCTACAGGCCCATCCCGAAGCAACATTGGCATCGAAGGCGCTCCTCTTGGTCCTCGAGGGGCCGGTGGACGAACGGGACCCAACCGAGGGCAGGTACCGGCTACTCTGGGAGAAGGGTGGAAAGCCACACGAGCCATGCCGTCACTCCACTACAGAGCGGCGCCGGAAGACCTCGCCAGGCGGCGCCTGGGCAACATGCGCTCCTACTGCTCGACCGAGCGCAACCGCGACATGGGACGAGAGGACGAGATCAACCGCTACACATTCGAAGACGAGACCTCATTTGTGGACCGCGGCAAGGAAGTCTTCATCGGCATCCGCCCGCCCCATCGGGAACGCGATCGACGCCGACGTGGCGGGGCTGCTTTTGGTGGTCCTCCTCGTGGTCCTCCTCGGGGCCCGCCACCCGGCGGCCCACCCCCTTTCCGACCACGCCCCGGTAGCGACCGGTATTTTGGCGGAGGAGGCGGCGGCGGCTCGCGTAGGGATGATGTGGGCCCTCGCTCTCGCTTGGATGGCGCCCCTCTTCCAACCTTCGGTGGTCGATCTGACAGACGTGGTCGAGATGACCATAGAGGCTCTCGATACTGATCTGATGTATCTGATCGGCAGTTACGCGGCTCGAAATGAGTCCGATCTAGGCTGCCGATATTGGGGCTTTGTGTGTTTTTCTGTTACCTGTTTCGGCGCTCTGGTTGACGACCTGTGTTGGATTTGTTTTCGCACATGCTCAGTTCGACGGGCCGCACATGGCCCGATTTCTGCATTTGAGTACGCTTAGGTGCCTCACTTTCCATGAACGACGATAGTTCATGGTCGCCTGTAGAATACTGTCCACGAAAAATAGGGGAGAGCATGGGAAGCAGGGTACAGAAGGAAGGGAGGCATTGGCACTTCGTCGGAACCTTCATAGATACCCAATACAATGTCTGAGTAAATCCTTGAGTTCCGTGTAGCCTAACTCGATTCACAACCATCTCGACGGCTCAAGTGCCCCTCCACACATTTTAGGATTGTGAGGTGCAAATTAGTGGGCGGGAATTTGGTCAATTGAGTAGGTGGTGTACAGGTATCTTGAAAATCCCAATTAAATCAAACTCAACTCCTCCAACAAAGACTGTCCTCGTGGGCCAGCCCGGGACCATTTGCCCAACATACAATGTAATTACCGGGTCCAAATATCCAAATATCCAAATATCCAATCGAATCAGGGGCCCCAATGCCAGCTCAACGCCTTCCGAGTTTCCCATCGCTATGCCCGTCCCAGCCATAGGTGGGCGCTGCAAAACCACTGACAGATGCCGAACGCCTTCTCACCCCTCTTCCCCACATCATCTTTCCTGCATCATTCCTCCTCAATCTGGGCCAGCCTTTCCGTACGAGTAGCCGAGCCCTCGGAAGAGCCAGGAGGAGGCAGGGAGAACTGTCCGACGGGGGGCAAGTCAATGTCGCAAGGGTCTGGGCCGAACCAGACCTTGACGTCGTGCTCGCTCCACTCGCGGGCGAGGGCCATGCGCGCCGCCTCGGCCTGGCAGCGGAACGACCCGAAGCGGTACTCGACGACCCTGCGCTCGGCGGCGCCGCCGACGTCGAGGACCTCGTCGACCTGGAAGTCGAGCTTGGACTGGAAGTAGGCCGTCAGGAAGGGCTCGTTGACGACGCCGGCTGGCCCCGCGATCTGCAGCACCCGCGTCTGGTGCCGGGGCCCCCCCTGCTCGGCCGTGCGGATGCGGTTCCAGATGACACGCCCGCGCTCCGCCCGCCCGGCCATGGCGAACCCGCCGGCGCCGCGGCACTGGTCAAACAGGTGCTCGGCGGCCGGCCGCTCGAAGAAGATGACCTTGGCGGCGCAGGTGCCGTGGCCCTTGTCGGGCTCGGGGGCGTTGATGTGCGTGGCGTAGACGCGGCCGGCGTTGCGGATGTTGGCGAGGAGCTCGCGGGTCGTGATGTCGGCCGGCAGGTTGAGGATGAAGAGGGAGCAGTTCTGGTGCTCCGGTATGTCGGCCGAGCGGTTCCGCGACAGGCTGATGTTGCCGCAGTAGTTGGGCGAGAAGCCCGCGATCATGCGGGCCCAGGCCTCGTGCTGCGGCGGGAACGGGCCGCGGTGTTGCTGGGAGGCGGGGTTCCTCTGCGATAGCTTCGACTCCATGGGTCGGAATACGCGCGGGCTCTCGCCGGTCGACGCCGTGTCGAAGCTCGGGTGACCTTGTTCTATCTGTCGGCGGGGAGGACTGACGAAACGACGCGGATGCTGCTGGCCTGGGCTGTCCAGAGCCGTAGATGGTTCTAGGGACAAATTGTTGAGGCGGCTTGCTAGCCATCGCTGAGAGTCATGGCTGTTTGGTCTATCTGCGGCGGTTGCCCATGTAGTTGGACTGCGCCAGTTATGGTGAACACCACTGAATCCACCGGAGGACCCCCCGAAATTCGAAAGTGAGGTGCTTCTCAGATGGCCAGAGGGCGCGTGGTGGGAAATTGGCAACTGTGGCAGCTTGGAAGGGGTACTCCACGGGGACAACGGTTGCCGTAATGGCCGACCGGGGCCATACAAAGTTCTGCTCGGTCCTGTTGGGCAGGACGGGGTATTCGTTGCGGTGGGTTCCATCGAGGAACCTGCAATCGTCTTTCCGTACGACTTTGGTGTCACTGCCCGTTCCGCGGGACTGGTGGGAGGAGATGGGATGGAATCGTCAGAGGTTCGGTCGGGACTGAATAATGGCCGGTAATATCCAGAGGAATCCAACGGAGAGGAACCCAATGGGGAGGAACCCTCCTGGGAGTCTCCAAGGCTGGTCTGACGGGTCATTTCAACAGTGTCAGTCTGGGGTCTGGATGATCTTGAAAGTGTCAGGAAATCGAGTGCGTTGAACCGCTGGTTCTGAAAGTTGGCTGTAAAAGTATGAGATGGCCATTTATATATTGGTATTGTGAGCTGAGATTGATGCCTCTGAGAGCCTGTACCTTTTCAGGAAGTGTGAAAGGTTGGGCTTGAAACCTCTGGTGATTGAATATTTTCTAAGAGAAAGGGCTCGTCCGCAGGAACTGGAAGTAAACAGTGGGAAGTAGAATCCCAAGGCAAAAAAGACGAACTGGACCCTCAAGATGTTTGTGTGAATAGAAGTGGCATCTGCTGGGTGATGTGTTACGCGAATGCGAGGGTTGATTTTCTCTCTCTCCCCGCCGCCATTGAATCGCCTTGTCTCATTGATACAATGGCTTTTGAGTAAAATGCATCGACAAGATGAATAGATAGATTTTAGCTTCTGTGGAGAGTGGAAGCTTCTCATTGTCTAGTTACCAATGCGCTCCCCAGGTCATCACTGTCCCAGACTCTTCCCATTCGTAAAGTAATTAATCAACTATTGAACCATGTGCTTAGACTTACTGAAATCCTAGAAACTAGAGTGATTCGAGTCCCTTCTCCAGGAACAAAGTATAGTGGTTGACTAGAATACATTCAAAGCATTACCTAGACGAGAATCAAAGGACATGTCAGCATTGGCATTGTAGGATAGGTAATTAAGGGAGTTAATCTTTCTAGCCCTTCTTTAAAGTAGAATCTGGAAACAGCGAATAGTAGGGGCTATTGTCTTGGCTTATTCATTGTATCGTATTTTCATCCCAAGTCCTCATGTTCTAGTGCTGATGGTTCTCTTTGCCAATTAAGCAAAACTGTGAGGGACTGAGATTGAGAGCAAAGGCTCATGTCCCCCATTCCACTTCACTTTAGTGCAAACATTGGGATCCAACAGCTTCCGCGCTGGACCTTGCTTGGGTGAGACTCTCCTCTTCCCTCTCCCCCTGTTTGAACCTCGAGTACTTAGCTTCTAAAACCTTGCAAATAGTCTTTGGTATGGGAAACGGATTGGGTTTGACAGGGGGGGAAGGAAGGATAGGTGAGGAACAAAAATCAAGACTCGGGAATGAAAATAAGACAACGTAAGATGAAACAGAGTGAAAATGATTTTCTGTTTGCCATTGCCTACTGGAACAATTATCTGTCAAGTTGCGTTTTCTTGTCCCAACACAGAATAAGACGTCATGTCAAGAGGAAGTGACATTAATCCAAGGGTCAACAAAAGCCCTCAACCCTGGAATAGCACGGCAATACCGGCGCCAAGTTTCTCCCCAAGATGTGATATTTTCTCCAGAATGCCTTAATCCCAAGCCGACTGGTCGAATCTGCAAAAAATAAATATTGTTTTTTTTCACTTTTCTGAAGCCGGCATTAAAATCAGACTCAGTCAGCCCGGGACCCTGCCCTTTCTCTCGCAGTAGGGAATATCCATTCATACACATAAGCCGGCGCCGGCATTGTCATCCCGGAGCTCTACCGAAAGATCTTGTGCTGCTCCACTCCCGGCTTCCTTGGCCTGCCTAGTGGGTCCGCCTGCAACATCGGTGCATAGGCGGGACCCGTCTGGACCATTCCGCCTTTTTATTTTTTTTTATTTGGAAGGATAATTCTAATCTTCCAAATTCCCAGAAGGGCATCGCGAGCTGTGAATAGTCCCAAGGTTGTGCGTCGCTGGCATTGATAAGTCCTTGCTCAGGGGACATACAGTGACGACTATGGCTGCTAAGACCGGTGACAGCTACCCGGACGAGAAAGCCGTTGTAGCCACCCAGGCTCCGACTTCGGACGAGTCGGTGACTAGCCGCGAGGTAGCCACGGATAATGAACAGAACCAAGACGAGGACAAGCCACAGCTGCCCTTCTCTAAAGCAAGATGTATCGCCCTGGTAGCCACGGTTACTGGGGCCAGTTTCATGAACGTGAGTTGACCTCAAAACTTCCGTCATGTTCACCGGACCGGAAAACCAGTCACTGTCTGGAAGGGGGACTGACATCCAGTTATAGACCCTCGGGATCCAAGCCGTTGTCATCATCTTGCCAACAATAGGCAGAGACTTGGATATTCCCTCGGCTAGAGTCCAGTGGATCATCTCGTCGTATACCCTCACGTTTGGGTGCTTCCTCTTGTTCTGGGGCAGGATTGGCGACATCTTCGGCAAACGCAAGATCTTCATATGGGGCTCCGCCTGGGTGGCTGTGGCAACCGCCATCAACCCCTTCTTGCCCAACGAGATCGCTTTCAACCTGTTCAGGGGCCTCCAGGGCCTGGTAAGCACAAACCGAGGCCGGGCGAGGAGAAGCCCCCCAGGTACAATGGGCAAATTGGCTAACTTGTGATAGGGAGCGGCTGCCAACGTCCCCACGGCTATCGGGATCTTGGGAACGACTTTCCCTCCGGGGAAGGCCAAGAACTATGCGTTTACAGTCTATGGTAAGTTCTGCTCAGTCACTCGCCGCCCGGGCGGATACCCTTGGGGATTGTTGATAACTGACTGTACATCTCAAGCTGCTGGTGCGCCCCTTGGGAGTATATTTGGAAATATCCTTGCCGGCTTTATTGCTGGATACACCAGCTGGAAATGGGTCTTCGGTGTCACAGCGATACTAGCAGCAATCGTCCCGGTCGCCGCGATTTTCGTCATCCCACCGCCGAAGCACACTCTGCACCAGGAAGGCGTCACAGCGAGGGCCTCGGTTGACTGGATCGGGGCAGCATTGATCACGCTCGGACTCTTCGCCCTTCTCTTCGCGCTTACCGAGGGCAACGTCGTCGGCTGGAGCACGCCGTGGATCCCCGTCCTGATCGTCGTCTCGCTCGTCCTGGTGGCTCTGTTCATCGTCTGGCAGCGCCGCCTCGAGAAGGGCGGCAAGCGGGCGCCGCTCATGAAGGTGTCCATCTTCCGCAGCGGCCGGTTCGCGGCGGCCATGCTTATCATGGGCGTCTTCTTCAGCAGCTTCAACGGTTTCCTCGTGTACGCCACCTTCTTCTTCCAGGACTACCAGGGCCTCTCGACCGTGCAGACGACCCTCCGCTTCATCCCCACGGGCGTGTCGGGCGTCATCACCGCCGCCCTCGTGTCGCAGGTCCTCGCGCGCATCCCGGCCTACATGATCCTCCTCTTCGGCACCCTGTGCGTCTCCCTGTCGAACCTGCTCTTCGCCATCCCCATCCCCCCGCACACGACCTACTTCGCCTTCGGCCTGCCCGCCATGATCTTCAGCGTCCTCGGCGCCGACACCACCTGGCCGAGCCTGACCCTCTTCACCAGCCAGGCCCTCCCGCAGGAGGACCAGGCCCTGGGCGGCGCCCTCGTCAACTCCATGGCCCAGGTCGGCCGCTCCATCGGCCTCGCCATCGCCACCGCCATCCAGACGGCCGTCATGGCCCGCGAGCGCGGCGTGCCCATCGAGCGCGCGGGGCCCCTCGAGGTCTGGGACGACGCCACCCTGCTGGGCCTCAGGGCCGCCTCGTGGTTCCACTTCGCCCTGGGGGTCACGTCCCTGCTGCTCGTCGGCATCGCGTTCCGGGGCTCGGGCATTGTCGGGAGCGCCGGCGTCAAGCAGGCCGCCGCGACGAGGCCGAGCGGCAGCGGAGAGGCGGTTATGGAAGAGGGGGATATGGTTGGGCGTGAGGGCTAGTCGGCCGTAAATAGCTGATAATAATAATAATAATAATAATAATATAAGTTACCTGATTAAACTGGGGAAGTCTGGACTCCGGAGACCGGATAGGTGAAAGGTCAATAGCAGTCAGCTGGTTCCATCACAGCGCCACAGCAACACGAAATCCTTAGTAGAAGGGTATTTATTTGCTACACGCACAGTAAGCTGACAGGAACAAGGTGGGTTCAATATCGATACCACCACCTGGTTTCGAGGAGCTTTTTCCTTGAAAGGAACACATCTGTGATCGATTCGCAGGCTCCTCGCCTGCCCCTTTCGTATACTCTAATGTATCCTATTCGTCTATCGACATGCTGCCTCCGCCTGATAGACCGTTCGGTAAGAGATGAGAGGCCGGTCAAGTGTGCCCAGCACGCAGTGCAGACAGGGCCAATGCAACCCATAATCCAATTAAGAAAAGATATACATGAAGGTCTAGATGTAGATGGATTATTTCCGATCCCGTGAACCAAGAACTATCCCAAACCCCGGCGCAACTCCTGTCCCATCGCTTCCCTTCCTATGAGATAATGCGAAACATCCCCGGTATGGGTATCCTGAGGGGTATAATGCCAAGGAAAGGAGAAAAGACTGCCATCCCCAAGAAAAGAAAAGAGGCGTAACATCGTATCGTACAAGGCTTCATATGTCTTCTCTGAGCCTTGAGAGTGAGTGCGGCGAGGGAGTTGCCCACAAAGGGGCCGAGCTGATCGAATGAAGAAGCGAGAGAAGATAATCGAACGAACCATCTCGAGATACCTGAAATTGTTTTCCCTTTTCAAGTTTTTTTTTTGTTCTCTTTTATGTTTGTGGGTTGATCAAAGGAAAAGCTTGTTGAAAGGAGCGAATATTGGTCGGTGTGTTGAGTAAAGGAAACGGTGGAAACCGAAGTGTTGGTCCTAGATTTGGTTGTCCAAATTCGACGGAAAGAAAAAGGAAAAGTTGAAACGAGCGTGGTTGGTTCTCGAGGATGGATCGTTTCTCATATTCTCTCGCAATGTCTTGATTCGTCGTGCTCGTTTTAATTCGTCAGACCGAGCTCTCCTGATATTTTCAAGATTTTGGTTCGGCATTCGTCCTCCTATCATCGACCGAAGACCGAGGGCTCAGTTGAAGCAACTTTGCGCTGCCGGCACTGAAGCTGCGCGCGTGATCCTTGCCGAGATTGATGCTCGTTGCCCTGTGGAGTCTCGAGCCTTCCTCTTCTGGGTCGTTGCCGTCACCAGCTAAGTCGCCGACTTCAGAGTCCTTCAGGATGACCTCGCGACTCTTCATCCGATTGGCAGGATGGATGACAGTGGGCACGAGTTCGTTGACTGCACCCCAGCGGGCATCCTCACGGACGACAGTGGATTGGTCTTCGTCGATTGCTCCCCAACGAGCATCCTCACCCTCGTCACTCGATGGACGGGCCTCACCGGTAGACTTGCGGTTCCAACCGGACCGTTCGTGGCTTGAGCGCGCAAATCTAGAAAGGTACTCGTCGTCCACGATAGAGATATCCTCGCCAGCAGTGTCGTGCTCATATGAGGGCGAGTTGTTGTTAGAACTGCCCTCTTCTTGCTGGGGATGCTGAACACGGATGGAAATCGCCTCGGGGTTCCCAGAGGAGCGTCGCCTTGCTCCCAGTCGGCCCGAAAGCCAAGACCCCTCAGAATCTATGGATGCGAGGGACATGGACTGGGGTTCGGGAGACGGGTCAGCCTCGTCGGGCCTTGAAGTCGTCGACGGCGTCTGTCCCGTCCCTTCGATGGATCTGTAGCCTGACGATCTAGAGGTGACATGCCTGGTCTTCTGTGTTGCCGGCAACGATGCGTAGGCCGTGTTTTCCGATTGACTCTCGACAGCAGGAGACGCTTCCATGATAGTCATGGGGATAGGATCCGCCTCGGGGGATTGCCTCCTAGAAGCGGGAGGTGACATGGGAAGTTCAGGAAGATCTTCGCGGAAGCGTGATGTTGTTCTCTTGGGAACACCCCTGCTTAATGTTAGGTGTGGAGCATAAGTCACCGAATTTGTTGAGTTTGGCGCAGGCGTTGGAAGCTGATTTGTTTGCATCGAATCCCTCGACGTGTTGGAGAAGGAGGAAGGACCCTGAGAGCTTCGTTTGTTCCGGTTGGCCCATCGGAAGATCGAAGACCACGACAGCGGCCCTTTAGAACCACCGCTCCCAGACCGTTTCCTCGAGTTCACCGATGCTTCCACCTTGTCCTCCGTTGCTGGCGGTGATTTTGAGCGAGACATCTTGGAGCGCAAGAAGCGCCTAGCTTTCGAGCTTTGGGTGACTGGTGGCACAGGCTCCCCGAGCTGCGGCGGTGAGAGGGGTGTCTCGAGAGGCATACTGGTGGTCCTGTGGAAGGCATCGAGTGGTTGGTGTTGTGAGTCCTGGTCCATCTCATCACCGGTGGTAAGATCTGGCTGCGTGCTCCACTGTTTTGGTGGCCGCTGCCTAGATGAGGTTACCACTGCTGATGGTGGATTGATTCCTAAGCCGGTTGCTTCCCGACCGAGAACGCCTCTCTCCAGATTTGGCGGAGCCTCTCCGGTTGTGGACTCGTTCGCTCTCTGCTTTTCGGCTCGCGTCGCGAGCCTCCTTTCCATCCTTTCCTGATCTCTCTGCCGCTTCCTTTCCCTTCGCCTTTGATCGCGTTCCATCAGCTCCCGCAGATCGCCAGCGCTGAGATCGTCGGCAAGGTCATCCACACGTTTATGAGCCCTGAGTGTCGCTTCTGGGATCGGCACTCTCTCCGACAGCTTCCTCCGTTGAGAGGGCACCCTCATCGGGCCAGACCCGGACTCGCCAGCGGGCGGACCCCATCTGGGATAAACTGCATAGCGTAATGTTGGTCTCGGCACGAGAGCTTCGAGGGCCGATACCTTGTAAGAGACGTATTCCGAGTCGGTGGACAGGCTAGAGTGGATGGATTCCGCCGTGGGCAAGGAGATATCGGAAGATCGATTCAGCCTGTGCCATTCTTGTTTGGCGGCACCTCCGAAACTGAGCCCAAGTCCCTTTTTTGCTCTCTTGCTGTCCTTCTTCATGGGCCTGCCCGCAGTCCAGTCGTCGGCCGCGGGACGGAGGGGCATAAAGTTGCTCATCGCCTTGATCTCGGCCTCGCGATCGTGCTCGTTTTTGCGGCGCTTCTTGCTCGACAGCTTCCTTGGCATTAGATGCTCACTATCACGCTTGTTATGCAGAGTTGGAACGCGTGCGAAGACATCTTCGCCAAGGGTGCGCCATCCATGTCCTTCGTTCCCACCAGCAGCGTCTCCTTTGCCAGGGTCAGAGCTGCCGGCAACATTGATCCCTGGTAGAGAGGGAACCGGCGGGTCGATCTTTTGTTTCCCCCTCGCGCTTCTCTTGCGACCAACACGGATGGAATCATTCCGGCCAGGAGAGAAACTGTAGGTCCGAGCTCGCCTTTGCAGCTTGTTTGGCCCCGTACCATTTCTCCTCTTTGACCAGGATCCAGTCGCGACATTGGGTTCGGCGGTCGCATCCGGAACTGTTTGACTCCGGGGCGGTAGACTCTGCTCAGGCTTCCTCCCCCGCGCGTCCTCGACGTCGGCGAAGGTTGAGGCCCGGCCCCATCTCCTCCGGCTCTTGCGCCGGAAAGGCCACAGCGCCATGGGAGAGTGACAGGTGTGTGTCTTGTCTTGTCGATTGTAGAGGTTATGTGTGGATGTGACACGGCGTGCTCGGTGGTGATGATTGTCTTGAGCACATCATGTCGATTGATTTAGGGCTGACGTCCGCAGGGAGTTGGGATGCGTTGGGCCGAGCGAGTGAGTGAGAGGCCGGGCATGTAGTGCGAAAACGAAACGAAATGATGCAGTCCTCGTGGTGTTGTGGGGAATCGAATCTAAGATAACTTAGGCGACAGAGTGTCAGTCGCAGAGTTCAGGCTGCAAAAAGGTCATTTTGGATATCCTAATTTGTGTCATACCTGAGCAAGCGCGGCCGGGTGATAGATGCTCAGAGGAATGAGCGAGAAGAGTAGGTTTAAAACGGCGGTGTGTAGTCAAAGTCGAAACGATGGCGGCAACTATTCAATTCTCCCTTTGCTAGAAATGAAATGGGATGGCGTCGATGCAAGGGAGGTTTCGATGCGAACAATCGCTACGGAAAAGAAGCTCCCTGCGAAATCGTGTCGATAAGGTGGGCAGGCGGGGTGTGTCTCACTTTGGAGAGTGGTCAAGCCGCTGTGGGACAACTGGGTGTATTTGAATGTTCTACAGCACTGGGTCCAGACGTAATAGTGCGTGTACGCCATTCAGGGATGGTTCGTGTTGCAGGGGTGGGCCTTAGACAGTATATGTACATGAACTTGTCTAGATTTCCACTGCGATTTGAAAGTATCAGAACAATACGGACTGTCGCGGCAGTAGCAGTTGCACTAGCACTAACAGGTACCCGGCATCCACCCTGGCCTGTTTAGGTTCCTTCCCTCTGCCGATCAGTGGAATTCCTGGTGACATTTTTCCCGCCATCAAGAATGAACTAGTGTACACTAGCAGGCGGTGTCAGCATGCTAACGGAGAACTGCAGCGTGCCTAGAGAGGCGTTTTGTGTGACGAGCCGACACGGCAGCTGAAAGAGGTATTCCACTTTTGCCTAGGTACTTTTGGTTTGTCCCCCCATGACCAAGCAGTTTTTAGCTCCAGGAACGATGCACTTTTTGCAGATTTACTACTTGTTGATCCGATAGTTGCGCCGTATATGTGCTACCGCAGTACGGTACATACGACGTAGATGCACCCGTGACCTGCAGGGCATCTCTGCGATCTGGTAGGCCTGGGTAGGTGGGCAAGGTGCTATTCAAGTGGCAGTTATGCATGTGCAATAGGTACTGGCGTACATGATAAGGTTAAGCCTCTGTCACGAAATCCCTCTGCCGTTCGTAATAAAGCTTACCGGTCGGCGGTCTCGATCTGCCCCGGCCCCCATGTGCTTCCCTAACCTATTCGCAGACGCAACCACCATCTTTCGCTTTCCTTCACCCGGCCCCGAGGATGGGTGGGTGGATGGGGCGGCAGAGCAGCATTTAGCGATCCCATTGCGCAATAGATACGTAGGCAATTAGTTGATTGCTACTCTGCAGTACTACACTATGTCATAGCAGCGCCAGTTCATAATGATATAGCGTCTTAACCTTCTCCCAAACGACACTCCAGACCCTGCATAACCATCCCACTCAGCGCCAAAGCAAAGCCCGGCTGCACCTACCGGTCGTTGCCTGTTAGACGGAGACACGTAGACAGGCCCCATCATCGTATCTATGTCCGGGGCGGCGCATATCGGCGAACTCTTATCTCTGCCAAATCGGGGCTCCGTTGTTGTCTCTGCGTATTGCAGTCACGAAGCAGGCCCCTCGCCTCGATTCATGCCCGAACCAAGGGCATCTAAAGAGGGTAGCACGAAATGATGGTGCAACTACGCCATTCGCAGAGCCACTGGCCAATGGCGAAGAAAGGGACAAGAAACGCTCGCCCCCCTAAACGAAAGGGGGGCGAACCAAGAAAGAACGCAAACCAGCCCAATCTGCCAAATCTCGCATGACACGTGTGGGGAAAGGCTGGAACATCCTACGAGGTTACTGGGAGAGGGACTCACCGTCACTCTGCCTCGATTCTCCTACAGCCAGCCTTCTTCTTCTATCCTCTGGCGAATCAAACGGGCGTGAGAGCGGGGTGTTCTTGGTGAGGGCCAGGAGGCGGATTTCGACGTCATCGAGGGGATCTCGATCGCGTCCGTTTGGACTAGCGACAGTTAGGTGTGCGGCTCGAGCCATGGTTACCTCCGCCCGCTCCACGCGGGAACTGTCTCCGCCTCCGCGTACTTGGTGATGTCAACCGCCACAATATTGCCTATGATGCTATCCGCCTGGAGAGGAAGCGCATGGACAACGCTCCCCGTACAAAAATATCCACACTCGGAAACGGGGTCCAAGGCAGGGTCACGAGGATAGTGCGTGCCATACAAAGGCAATCAATCTTGTATACAATCCACACGGCACAGGGCTGCTCCATTTTGGGTGGGGGGAAGGAAAATAGCTGTCGCTGTGCGGCTGGAATGACAACCAAGAATAAATCGCTGGAAGGAGTACACACCACACTGGGAGGGTAGATCGCGGCAGAAGTTATCAGGATAGTAAGCTGGCAATGCTATTTCGCACTAAGATATCAGCGTAAATGCACACCGCCCTGGACGGGATTCTCACTGAATAGGAGAATATGATGAATTATCTGGAAGCAGAATTAGGTCACACTCAACCATTCAATAGGTAGCTGTAGGACATGACTGATCCGTGGTCCCGCCTTAAAGTAAGCCGGGCCTGTGTCAGACAAGGCGGCCGCCGAATTGTGGGCCCCATTAGGTTGGAGGCGGCAGGGTGCCGTGCCCGACCCGGTATCTCGTTACTGAATCCGATCCGATCGGCGGACGATGACAATCTCGGGAGACGATCGCCTGTACCTCAACAACGACTATTGTACCAGGTTGTATAGTGGTTTCCCTACAACCGGTAACACTTCTGCAATTCTCCCATTACTCTTATTTCTCCAATCTCCATTTCTCCAGACGCTTTGCTCCATCTGGCTATTTAACCCGAATATTTATCCAGCACCGCAGGGACCGCTTGGGATGGCTAATATCTATATACCCGTAAGGGGTTATACTTATAGGAGCCCCTCCGCGGACAATCAAAACTGTCAACAACATCATCTATTAGCATGATATTAGCATCCTCCGCTTCCCGGGTCGTTCACAAGGGTCGATTCTGGGTGGCGGAGTCCCAGACCGACCCCGACCCGTGAACCCAAGCCGGGTATTTTGGATATGCAAAATTGATGGGGAGTCCTGGCACCGAGAGCATGTCTAATATAATAAGCTTCAACCTCCCGAGAGGGTCAGTGCCATGCCCCTGGCTCTGACCGACACTTGATCCCTCTCTAGTATTCGGAGCTCAGCCGCACGTCGATCCCTCCTCTTATCCAGCCAGAATGCGTGTTTCTGCTCTTACCGCCACGGCTCTGGCCTTCAGCGGCATTGCTGCTGCCAGCCCGGCTGCGTAAGTCGAGATCGTCCAGAGTTCTGACGATGGGTTGACTGATTTTTGTGAAAAATGCAGGCTGGATCCCCGCCAGGCGACCGGGATCAACGCTGCCATGGTTGCTCGGGGTCGGAAGTACATCGGCACCTCCCTGACGATCCGTAACGACAATACGGAGCAGAATATCATCAAAGACAAGAACGAGTTCGGCTCCGTCACGCCCGAGAATGCCATGAAGTGGGATGCCACCGAGCCCAACCAGGGCCAGTTCTCCTTCGGAGGTGCCGACCAGGTCGTCGATTTCGCCACCCAGAACAGCAAGGAGGTCCGTTGCCACACCCTGGTGTGGTATAGCCAGCTCCCGGGCTGGGTGTCGAACATCAACAGCAACGCGACCCTGATGCAAGTCATGACGAACCACATCCAGACCGTCATGGGCAGGTACAAGGGCAAGTGCACGCACTGGGATGTCGCCAACGAAGGTAAGTCTGCCCCCCTTTTTAGCTCCCCACTCGAAAACATTCCCGCCAACCTAAAGACCCCGGAGCACAGCGTTGAACGAGGACGGCACGTACCGTGACAACGTCTTCCTCCGCGTCATCGGCGAGGCCTACCTCCCGATCGCGTTCCGCATCGCCGCGGCAGCCGACCCGGCGGCCAAGCTGTACTACAACGACTACAACCTCGAGTACGGCGCCGACGCGCCCAAGACTCTCGGCGCCGTCCGCATCGCCAAGCTGATCCAGTCGTGGGGCGTCAAGATCGACGGCGTCGGCCTCCAGGGCCACCTGGTGACCGAGAAGACGCCCACCCAGGACGTCCCCACCCCGTCCCAGGAGGTCCTCGAGGGCAGCCTGCGCGCCTTCACCGACCTCGGCCTCGACGTCGCCTACACGGAGGTCGACATCCGCATGAACACCCCCGCCACCGCCGACAAGCTGCAGGTCCAGGCCGACGCCTACGCCAGGGTGGCCGCCTCGTGCCTGGCCGTGCCCCGCTGCGTCGGCATGACCATCTGGGTAAGTCGCTTCCCCCGACCACCTTTCCCACCCTCCCCTGTCCGGGGTAGTTAGGTTGCTAACGATAAAACAGGGTGTCAGCGATAAGTACTCCTGGGTCCCGCAGACTTTCTCCGGCGAGGGTGCCGCCCTCCTGTGGGACGAGAACTTGAAGAAGAAGCCCGCCTATGACGCGTTCTTGAAGGCCATCCAGGACACCCCCGAGAACAACGGCACGACCACCGAGTAAGCGAGGTCGATGAGGGATGGGTCAGGGGCAATGTTCCCAGACTGGAATCGTACATATAAAAAGAGAACGATGCTTGTGACGAGTAATATATAGCCTCTTCTTCCAGTGTATATTGAAACCATGACTTTTGTACCACACAATGTACCCACCTGCCAGACCAGCCTGTTATGTGACTAGAGCCGGTTTCGATGGATCCCAATATAGGCCTCGTCTTGGTGACCCCAGGCTTCTAAGGCGCTTCACAAAGTGCCGTATGTGTTACCATGACTGACATGCCATGACTTAGAAAACGTGTGGTTTCTTTCGGATCATGATACGAATCTGCAAATCTCGGCCCTCGGTCGAATGCGTGTGCAGCCTTCTCACTGGTCACCAGTGAGCACTCGAGTCCAATCAAACTTCCTCCACCTCTTCTTAAACCCATCGACCCGCCCATCCGACCTCGACCACCTCCCCTGACGTTTGATGACATCCGGCCCGCAGTCGACCATGCCTCCAATGATCTCCCTCGCGAACAGATCTCCCTTCGGCCACCTTCCCTGGTCCTCGACGACGTGGCCCAGCCCCCCGTCGAGGTTGAACCACACGTGGAAGTACGGCATCTCCTTGGCGAGGCTGCGGCGGAAGGCGAGCTTCCCGAGGCCCTCCCTGGCGCGCTTCCCCGTGTCGATGATCTTCTTGTGCTGGGACCACTCCTCGTCGGCCGAGAGCATGGCCTCGCGGAAGAAGGCCGGCGCCGTGTCGCCGAGGTCGTAGGGGATCGGCACCGCGACGAGCGCCGCGTGCAGCCGCCGGTGCGGCGCCGCCGCGTTCTCGTAGAAGAGGACCTCGCGCCCTTGCTCGTGGTACAGGCGCGTCAGGCTCTTCATGAAGTTGCGCATCTCCTCCCACTCGTCGTCGTCGCACTCGAGCAGGTTCGTCCGGTGGCTCACGGGCACGATGATCGCGCCGCCCTCGGCGCCCGTCAGCTCCGGCTCCGTCGGCAGCGTGAGGTACACCCGCGTCGCCAGGGACACCACCGGCGCCAGCGGGAGGTCCTGCGGCGGGGCGCGGTCCTCGTGGTGGCATAGCGGGCACGTGTCCAGGATGCGGTTCAGTTTCTGAAAGTCGGAGACGGCCATGTTCTTCAGGCTGGCCTCGGTCTTGTGCACGCGCTTCGCAAGCTTCTCGGCGTTCTCGTCGAGATACTCGAGGTCGTTGTCGAACTTGGAGTCCTTGGCGATCCGCTCGGCCAGGCGCATGCCCTCGCCCCCGGCCTGGCCCCGCGTGCGCCGCTCCTCTCGCACCATGTCTTCGACGCTCATGTCTTCGTTGGCCTCGACGAGCCCGCGCTCGCGCCCACGCTTGTTCTCGATGTTTTTGATTTCGCCGCGGGGTCCGGCGAGCATGCGATTATGCGTCGCATCCAGCACAACTGGGTTGTTTGAAGTATTGGAGAAGGAGGCTACGGCGGCATTGTACTCCGCCTCAAGCTTCGATGCGTCGGGGGAGTTTCGGAGCTTGGCTTTCATCATCTGTGCCCGAAGGCGATTGAGGGCGCTCTGATCAATGGCAGCTGGCTGCACCAGTGTCTCGATGACCAAGCCCTGTTCGGGTTCATCATCGCTTGCAGGCGAAGGGTGGTCCCTCGGTGAAAAGCCCACCTTGGCCTTCCGTTCCCTGTAGAGTTCGCCAGTTGGCTTCTCCTTCCCAACATAGCCCTGGCCATAGACCTTCCTCCTGTCCACCTCAATCTTCTCCTCCCTCGCGTCATCGAATTCCTGTAGGCTGCCGAACCTCTCCTCAGCAACGTCGTCAACCCGGCGGCCGGTCTGCTCTGCCAGGGTGTAGACTGTCTTCAGCTTCGTCATCCTCCAATTGGACCCTTCGTCTCCAAATTTGTAAGATATTTCGCGCTCCGTAGGGTGCTCAAGGCTTTCTAGAGCCTTCTCGTTTGATACTTCCTCCAGTCCGGTGTTGAGTTCCCTCTTGTGTAATACCCGTTTCGGTTCCGGTTCAACAGGCTGCTTGGTTTCCTTCTTCCGGGGAGCTTGAACATAGTCGATATCGAGGGCAGAAGGAGCAGTCATCCAAGAGTCCCTTACGAGCGCTGGCGTTTTCTCCTCGTCTGGCAAAGGCAAATCTTCTTTAGGGTCTGATTGCTTCAGGCCCTTCAAATCCTTCCCTCCGCGATCGCGTTCTCGTCCTTTCGATCCATGCCTGTGTCTATGCCTCGATCCTTCCTCGTCCTTGGAATGCCTGGGCCGCTTATGACGGCGGTCGTCGTCATCGTCGTCCCTCCTATGGCGATTTCTGTGGCGCTCTTTATCCCCGTCTCCGTCCCTGGTACGGTCTTCGTCTCTGGCTTTATCGCGATGGCGGTCGCGTTCTGAGGAACGATCTCTCCGGTGGTGATGGCGGTGCTTCCGTTCCCTTCGCTCTTCCTTCTCGCGCGCGGCCCTCTCTCTCTCGGCCTTCTCTGCCGCTAAGGTTTTCTCAAAGTCATCTAGCCCTTCCATTGCAGACCCGTCCATATTGCAGGTATTTTTGCGACAGGTTTGCTCGCCGATTGGATTGACCGACGAATATCCCTGGGAAATCGTATGCTAATAAATTCCCCAGTTTTGGATTTGAGCTCGCTGACGTATTTCCTTGTCTTACGTAACGAGCAAGCTCATACCACCCCCTCGGAGGAAGGAAGGCGGCAAGCTAGAGGATTCCAGACATGTATTGTACATCTATCCGCGTCTGTGGGATCAGTAAATAGCGTCAGGTGTCGTGTCTTCAGCAAAAATGAGGTACAATGATATGGCTCCTTCCTCTTCTCCCTCCTTCGCCCGAGACACGAGAGACCGACGTTGTGCTCGGCCTGCTGCGTGTCACCGACTAGTGCCGGGTACCTGAAAGGCCTTGGGTGGGCTTAAAAATGCTGTGAAGGACAAGTCAACTTGCCTCATCGAATTTCAGTCACAATGCAAGGACGGGACCTGCATGCAAACCATCCGGGGAAGAGGTGCATTTCGGCCCGCACGACCTCTGCAAGGGAAATGTCGTCTGTGGTACATTTCTAGAGCTGCGGATTTGGACACGAGAGCAGAGCAAGTGCCCTGCTCGGGTTTGCCGGCCTCCTTAACGGTAGCGCGTATATCGGCGACATAAGTTGTCGTCGAGGGATCTAGGCGCGATAGAGACTGAGATATACGAGAATAGCCTTCCCGTGGTAAGGAAAGTGCATATACAGTTGGGGAGCGCCTCCAAGATCTGGTGCCTGTTATACGTTCACATCCCAAAACCTCATCCTATCTTGCCTTTCTCTTCCCATTCCTGGGTTTCCCTCTCCGTCTATTCCGAGTTGCACTGCACGAAACCAATGACAGCGGCTGGCTCAACAGACCGGATCGTTGGTTTACTGAACTCGATCACCCCAAGCCCCTGCCTGTCCGGCTCCAGAAGCGTGCAACGCCCGAAGACCCCCGTGGCCGGCGGCTGGAAGAAGACGTTGGCGACCGGGTCTCCACTGTCTGTGGCGGTGTTAGTTGGCCGAGCTTTATTAACACGCAGATGCCCCGCGGGGGGAGGCGGGAGGGGCGGGCTCCTTACTCAGGACTTGGACTTCCAGCGAGTCGGGGACGGGAAAGACGTCGGTGAAGGTCCCATTCACGTATGTGAAAGAAATCTCAAAAGCCGGCTTTGCGTCGCCCTGCTCCGGGGTCGGGATCGCGGTCGCTGACCCGGCGAGGACTGCCGCCGTCGCGATGGGGAGGAAACGCATGGTACGTAGAGGATGCTATTCCCCAGGTTATTGTGGTCGATAATCTCTGAATGAGCGGTAGCACCTTCTTTTACAAACGAGAAAAGAAACTGCTTGACTCTTGGAAATCCATCGACGATTTGGTTTCTCATTCGTGGCTTTATAGAAGTCGCTACGGATGGATACCTTGTCAGTGCGGTCAAGGGTGTTTGTAAGCGCCCTCACAGTGGCGACGTTCATGAGGCCACCAGACTCTGCTAATTGGAATCTGTTGCAGTGTGTGTCAGAACCCGATAGAGCGAATACGAGGCGTGTGTCTCCGTGGCAGCCGGAGTATAGGGAAAGTAGGAACCCTCTTCGACCAGCTCTAGGACGACGTTCTCGGAGCACCACGGTCGAGAAGTTGACGGAATCTTTGGAAGTTCTTTTTCATAAAGATTACATCTGCTGACGTCCCCGTTGCGAATTCGAGAGAAGGAGGTAAGTATGGAATGGGAGCTGGCAATCTCTTCGCCGCGCCCGGCAAACAGCTGTATCAGATGGAGAGAAACAGCGAAGATCCTGGAGTCTCTTGCCTACAAGGAGGCTAGGATTATAATACTCGTACTTTCGTATTATTCAAAGTCTGACCAAACGTTTCCGCCCAATTCCCCGGTCCATAACTAGCACCAATACCTGAGGACGCCCAAACACCTTCCCTATGCTATCCTTTGGCCTCCCGCTTCCGACACTCGCCTGCTGCTATTTTGACTGATCAAACCCCATCAAAACCCGTGCTGCGCCTAGCTATATCTCCGCCCTTGTTGGTCGTAGCCCGAGCCGTAGCTCGAGTATGGGTGGGGTTGGGTGTTGTGCCCGACCTTGGCATAGTCCTGGGGGTTGTAAGGAGCGAATTGCGAATGTTGCTGCGGGATGCGTGGGTCAAGCTTGTGTAATGCCTCGTCGCGGTGCTCGTCACGGTGCTCTTCATAAGTCTCACTGTGGGTTGCCAATTCCGAGGCGAATCCCTTGTGGTCAAGGGCAGGCGATCGAAAACCGCCACCGGCTCCGGTTGTGTCGGAAGAATACGAGGTCGGCCGAGACCTGGATTGACTCTGGTAATCCGCGGACGACCACCGTGCAGGCTGGGAAGGGTCAGGCGAGACGCCCAAGGGGTTTGATAGACCAGACATGTCGGAGTCGCGATTCGAGTGCTGTGATGGGGGTCCGGGCGATGACTGGGAATGGTAGGAGTCGCCCGGAAGCTCCGCGGTGAACTGCTGAGAATTTCCCAGAGAGACCGACGCACGTCCGTGGCCGAACGACGCCTGTTGCTGTTGGTGATCAGGGTGGGCAGAATAAGGGGCCTGGTAAGACTGCGGGCGAAGGACCTGGTAGGGCACTCCTTGCTGAGCCATCTGTGGGGTCCCTGGAGGTTGGAAAAATGAAGTGGGAGACGGCAAAGGCGACTTGATGGTATTGGAGCGGTCGAGAGGGTTAATAGTCTTCAGCATCCCGCCCTCTACCATGGCGTGGAGTACGCCGGCGTCCAGCAATTCGGCCTTCTTGATCATCCTGGATACCACCTCTTTCCCCGCCTTCTGCATCTGCGCCTTGACAAAGCCGACGACGGTCACGTTGCACTTGATATCAATGTCCTCCCGCAGGTAAAGACCGTCAGCGGGCGCGCCAAGGCTCTTCAAACCAATCTCGGGTTGCTCGGGCGGCTCGACTCCAGGTTGATTGCCAGCAATGCGGTACTTGTTCCGCAGATCAACGTTCATGGGAGCGTAGATGTGCGTCTGCAGGCCCCACGGCATGTCGTGAAAGCATCCATTGAATTTGATGGTACCGGATCCCATCTTGCCAATTCCGGGGATATACTGAATGCGCTCCGTGATCTCGTACCAAGTACAGTAGAACTCGTCGGCTTGGGCATCGCGCGGAGCCTGAATGGGCTTGTGGCCCAACACAAGGGGATTGAGGGTAATGACCTCCGAGTGCGAATGGAGAATATCAATGGCCAGTTGGCGGGGGATGAAGCCGGGGATCGGCGTGATGACGGTGAAGCTTTCCTTTTTCCGCAACATCTTGAATAAATTTTGCCAACGTTTGCTCGAGTGCGCTTGCAACTCGGCGCTGCTCTCCCTGGCAAAAGGTATTCCTAAGTAGGGTAGATGGCTGCTGGGGCTGGAATGAGACGAAATGTGCAAACGTAAGGTGAAGGAAGCTTTCTGTTCCTTTCGAAAGATCACTTCTGAGACAGATCACCCGGCTGGGCTGATGACGGAAGGGAAGGGGGGGCAGTGTTGGTCCCGACCAACCCAACAGCCACCTCTGGCCATCGCTTGGGGGCGCGGACCGCTGACGTGAGATACCATTTTAAAGGGTTGTTCCGTGTATAACCACCAATCCCTGCCCATATCAGCCGGCGGTTCGACAGAGTAGCTAAAGCTACGAGATTTTGGCACATCAGCCCTCCAATATTAGTGTACATTCGGAGATACTGGTACTTCTCCAAGTGGTGACGGACACCTATCGTAAGTTCGTAACCTAGGTAGATTCCTTCCCCACATCAAATGCCCCGCCCTTCCCAAAGACATTGGAGAGTGCATAAACCCACGATTGCCCTGCAGAGTTACTTCTGTAGATGGTTTTCTAGGAATATCGGACTAAATAGTAGTAAGATCACAGTCCTACCAACAACCACTCGGGGTGTACCTCTAGGGAGAAGCTTGATCATAACGAGGACTTCATGCCAACGGGCTTTCTAACTAACCTTAGCACCCGACTCTGCCTTGTGATGCCATTGAGGTGAATGGGATAGGATGCCTCGTTGCCGGGACGAGCTTAATCGGACTCAGTTGGAGGTACGGATATTGTGGCATGATGGGATGGATGATCGCCCGCACCGTCCACGGGTATTGGCATATATATGTACCTGTACTTGCATCAATGCATATATACATCTATCGGGGCATAATCTTCATTCAATCGTACCATAGTACGGAATAGTCCTTGCATCAAATGCCCCGCCACCCCTCCAAAAACCGTCATCCAACTCCGTCCGTCCAAATAATTCATCACCACACATAATAGGCCCCAGCAATGGCCTCAGAAACTGCAGGATCGGGTCAACAGTGGCAGGCTTCGCAGCCTGTGACCGTTGTCTGTGTGGGCATGGCCGGTTCGGGAAAGACAACCTTCATGCAGCGAATCAACGCGCATCTTCACACCCGAAAGGAACCGCCATACACGATCAACCTCGACCCGGCCGTGCTGAATGTGCCATTTGACTGTAATATCGACATACGTGACTCGGTCAACTACAAGGAGGTTATGAAACAGTACAACTTGGGACCCAACGGCGGCATCTTGACGTCCCTGAACCTGTTCGCAACCAAGGTCGATCAGATTGTGAACCTGCTCGAGAAGAGAACAGCACCGGACAGCGAACATCCAACACGCAAGCCAATAAACCATATCCTCGTCGACACTCCCGGCCAGATTGAGGTGTTTGTCTGGTCGGCATCCGGAACCATCCTCCTCGAGTCCCTGGCCTCATCCTTCCCAACCGTCATCGCCTACATTATCGACACGCCTCGCACAAGCTCGACATCGACCTTTATGAGCAACATGCTCTACGCCTGCAGCATTCTGTACAAGACAAAACTGCCCATGATCCTCGTCTTCAACAAGACCGATGTTAAGGATGCTTCTTTCGCGAAGGAGTGGATGACAGATTTTGATGCCTTTCAAGAGGCTCTGAGGGAGGACGAGAACAACAATGCTTTTGGTGGGGTGGAAGGTGGTGGCGACGGGGCGGGAATGGGGAGTGGATACATGGGCAGCCTTCTTAACAGCATGAGTCTGATGCTGGAAGAGTTTTACGCCCATTTGAGTGTGGTGGCCGTAAGTTCAATGACGGGCCAGGGGATCGACGATTTCTTCGAGGCTGTCAAGGAGAAAGCCGACGAGTTCAAGAGGGATTACCAGCCAGAATTGGAGCGAAGGAGAGCCGATAGGGAAGAGAACAAGAAGAAAGCGAGGGAGAAGGAACTCGACAAGATGATGCAGGGCATGTCGGTTTCGGGTCCATCGGGCAGCGGTCCTCAAGTTGGCGATGTGAAGGATGAGGACGAGGATGAAATGGAGACCTTCAGTGCCGACGACGATGATGACGATGAGGATGAAGATGACAAAACTGCCCGAGACGGGGAGGGGTTGCAGTCAAGATATGAGACTGCTCTACAAGGTGCTGATGACTCCGCGGCCGCGGACGCGAGTTTTGCAAAATATTTGTACACACAGCGGTGATAGCCGTCGCTGAGCATGGGAAGTTTGGCACAGGATAGGCTTTAGACATCATAGGGGATTTTAGGCGTTTAGATTTGATACCAACTGTCCCCAGGATTAGGGACGTCAGAATGCGCAAGCAAGCATAAACCATCCCCAGAACTCCAGACTCCATAACCCATCTACCATCGCGTGAATGATATCATGCCTCCATAAGCAGCCGTATAAAAGCTGATCCCGACCTCTGCAAGCCATAAGGATAGGGGTTCCGTCTCGTAAACTCGTGGTGACATCAAGGTCACCGGGCTTCAAACTGGACCATTCTGCGCCATATGTCAGCTCGTGGGGGTCGGCACCTAGGCGGGACTCGGCGGCTTTTCTAGTTGACTGACCTCTTGGTCCTCTCCTTGTAGAGCACACGTCCACCGCATTCCTTGCATCGGATCGGGTCATTCTTGCGCAGAGACATCTTGACGGCGCAGTCGCTGCAGATGTATTGCATGGCCGGACCCTCGGTGGCTGAGCCGAAGTCGCGCCCAACGCTCATGCCAAAGCTCTGGGAGCCGGCTGTGGGCACTTGATATTGTTCACGGGACATTCTGACGGTCGGTTTTGGCCTTTTCTTGTTTTTCTGTGAGCTGATGCGGGAGCGACAGGAGGTGATGCTTCGAGGGTGTGATTCTTGCAAAAAAAGTTCGTCGCAAAATGGAAAGCGGCAAAGGGGCAGGGCGGTGAGATTGAAACGGCAGAATTTAGGGGTGTTTCTGCTGATGTCATTTTATCTGTCCCCCTGTCTGAGCCTCCTGGACCGAGGTCTAGGCTCCGAATAGGGAGGTCGGGTCCAATCCATGTTGCTTAAACAGCAACTTGGCTCAATCCGCCTTGGCTTTCAAAGATTGCTACTTTCTTTGACTCGAAATGCATTCATTGTGCTAATAGCCCTTCAACAAGCATACATCGTCTGCACAACTCTTTCGATATATATTGGAAGACGATGGCACCACCGGACTATTTATCCACGCTACCCCCAGCCGAACCCCCAGCATCCCCATTCGATCCCAGCGCGACCCCCAGCGATGACTCCTGCCCCTTCTGCCTGATCGCGAGCAAATACCCTCCATTCGATCCCACAAAGCCGCCCAATCAATCGGCCCGCTCGCTGGACCCTGACGCGACGTCGCCCGCGCCGTCGGCCTTCGTCGTCCTCTCGACCCCGCTCCTGGTAGCCTTCCTCGACATCCTGCCCCTCTCCACCGGCCACGTCCTGCTGTGTCCCCGGTCGCACCGCCCGAAGCTGACCGACGCGACGCCCGCCGAGTCCAAGGCGCTGGGCTACCACCTCCGCATCCTCTCGTCGGCCGTGACCAGGGCGACGGGGGTCGGGGACTGGAACATCGTGCAGAACAACGGCGCGGCAGCGGCCCAGGTCGTCCACCACATGCACTTCCATGTCATCCCGCGGCCGGAGCTGAACGTGAGGAACGGCGGGAAGGGGAGGGAGCGGTTCACCAGCACAATGTTTGGGCGGGGCGCGAGAGAGGAGCTGGACGAGGAGGAGGGGGCTGTGCTCGCCGGGAAGATCAGAGCGGCCATCGCGGAGCTACTTCTCGAGGAAAAGCCCAGGCTTTGAAGCACCCCTTCCCCCCAGGTACCAACCGTCACTCAGTCTCAGCAAACCCAACGGGAACATTCAGCAATGATTTGAGGGCCACATCTAAGTTTGCGCCTATCTAATGCCACCAGGGCCTATCTTTTGTTGTTTGAAAGCATCTATTTGCCGAGTCCCAAGCTCATTCGTCGTCACCGAAGAAAACCTTGACGGGCAACCACGAGTCGCCGCAGACCTTGAAGCGCTCCTGGATGCTGTCGATCTTCTTGACGTCCTCGTCGGTCAGATCCCAGCCGTCGAGCTCCCAGTTGGCCTCGATGCGCGGTATGGTGACGCTCTTGGGCAGCACGCTCCAGCCCTTGTGGAGGCCCCAGGCCAGGAGCACCTGCTGCGGGGTGCGACCCTTGTCCTTGGCAATGGCCAGCAACGTCTCATTGCTGTACAAGGGTGAGTTGGCGCTGCCGAGTGGCGAGTAGCCCGAAGAATGGATGCCCTTGGATGAGTTATAGGCCACAAGCTTCGGCGACGGGTTGCCAGGGTGCAGCTCGATCTGGTTCACAGCGGGGACAATCTGCGGCCTCGAGTTAGATTTTTTCCCACAAAAAGAAAGCCCACCACGGGGTGGTTGGAGTTGGCGCGGCGGCCTACCTTGCAGCTGGGATCGTTCAGCAAGCGCTCCAGATTCTTGATCCCGAAGTTGCTGACGCCAATGTTGCGGACCTTGCCCGTGCCGACCAGCTTCTGCATTTCGCGCCAGGTGTCGACGAAATCCCAGTCCTCAAGGTGCTTCGTGAGGTCATCAGGATCCGTGCTGGACGGCCAGTGCATCAGGTACAGGTCGACATAGCTGGTGCCCAGGTTCTCGAGCGACTTGTCGATGGCCTCCCCGACGCGCTTGTGCCAGGGGTTGTCCAGCTTGGTCGTCAGCCAGATGTCCTCCCGCGACACCCCGGACGCCTTGATGCCCTCGCCGACCTCCTTCTCGTTGCCGTAGGCAAAGGCCGTGTCGATGTGTCGGTAGCCCCGGCCAAGGGCCACCTGAACGGCCGTCTTCACCTCATTGGGCTCAGATCTCCAGGTCCCGAGGCCAACGGCGGGGATGGACGCCCCGGTGTTGAGCTTGTACGACTTCCTGGAACTAGTGTCAGCTGCGTATGATTTAAGTTGCAGGGGAAACTCAAAATGGCCACACACGCGGTGTTCTTGGTGGTCGTCATGATGATTCTCTTCATATGCCTCTATGATATGGTGGCTTAATGGCTGAGGGGAAGAGGGGAGAATCGCCAAGTGGGGGAGGAGGGGAAATTCAAGAGCCACGTTTTCAGTGGAGAACCTCGCTATTTCGGCTTCGTCTTTCCCCGAAGCAGCAAGTGGTTATGTCTGTCCGCCTCTGTGTTCCGCAACTCCTGCCAAAACTGGATAGCGCTTTCTAGCTTGCATCGGTAGTCCTGAATTAGGGTGGATATCTCGACCGGAGAGTCTGTAGATTTGTAATATGCTGGTCTCTTTAGAAATATCTGCACAAGAAATGTCTGCCTTCTGAAAGTAAGCGGGAAGAGAATCTCCAGCCTTGTTTGGGAATTTAGCAGGTTTGGGCCATCTTAGAACGGGATCTCGAATTAGAGATATATTGCAGTTCTGGACGGTACCAACACGAGGAAAGATAGACATTTCTCCTACATGAATCCTGGTCAGTACATGGCAGGAATTGGGGGGTTCGAAATCGAGGGAGTATTGTGTTGTATGTCTCTTGATGGCTCTTGTCATGTTCCCAACACCTGCACTTAAACTTGGCGACAGGCTTCAATATAACGCTTCCTAGTATCGAACCTTGCTGCATTTTTGGTTTAAACTCGTCTGGAACGTTCTGTTGCTTATCTAGATATTTGGACTTCGGCTGATGATTCTAAAGACAGTGAGGGATCTCACGCTCCTGAAGTTAACTGGCGGTGCATTTAATGCTTCGTTCTAGGCCTACAACTACCAAATATTTGGCCCCCCTGGCAGATGACAGTGTCCGGCTCCGCACTTCCAGTTCCAATGTTGTCAGCGTGGTACAGATCCAGCAGAAGAGTTGCAAGCCTACCGAGCACATCCTTCACTTCTTCGGTCCATCTGACTTCTTAATCGGGAACTTCTCCAAGTCCTCCCTCTCCAGCATCCGACAGTTGACAGAGATTATCTTATGTTGCTCCTTGTCCGCCGGCTCCCAATGAGTTACGCACCCGCATTCCTTGCAGCGGTGAAACTGGAGATCCTTATCGCCCCATATGTAGAACTCAGTCGGCCCGCCCCCGACCTGGACTTCCTCTGGCTGAAAAGATACCCAAAGAGCTCCGTAGCGTCGACATATCGAACACAGACACTCGGTGAGAGGCTTTTCAGGCGACGGAAATGTCAGGCGGACCGCTTTGCAGTGGCAGGCTGCCGTGAGGGTTGCTTTCTTTGTGACATCCATTTGGAACCAGACTAAACTGAGCAAAATCAACTAGGTAGGTAGACTGTGAAGCAGGAGAATGATGCAATGCCTTGATATCTCCACATAAGCTTACAGTCCAGAGCTTATCCTAGCTTAAACCTACCTCATTTAGGAAGGTGAGTATAAATGGGAGAAGAAGAAAAAGTGGAAAAATGCGAGCGATATTCCTGGACTCTATACTGGCTGCCTGGCTATACTTACCATTGGGGTGGGACGGGTAAGCCAGGCAGCCATGCAGTGCATAGTTAGGAATGACAGTTCCCGGATATCTGCCTTCTATTGGCTGTCAGTCACGAGGAAGCAATCTACCGCGACACAGCTGCGTTCGAGAACTGGTTGCCAAGGTCGAACGTGCCGCCGTTAACTGCAACCCATCATCAACTGCGTCTGTGACCAGCTCGCCCAACATTCACAACGCCGAAAATAATGCTGGGTCCTTGTGCGAGGACGCCGAGGCTCAAGTTCAGGCCCTCGGCACCAAACACGCGTCCACGGTTGACGCTTTCAACGCGGCACTGGGATTTCAGACATTCAATGGGGGGTTGAATCAGGCGAGTGTAAAGGCTCTACTGAGGTTGGCAGCAACGAGCCAGGGACTTGTGAAGGGGACTTTGCCCGATGCTTGACTTACGGGCACGATTATACTAGTGCACCACCAGATCGATAAATTAAAGAACTTTTGGCTTCACATTGTCAAGTTCGAAGGCTGTCATATTTTGAATCTCGTCGACGGACCGCATGATGCTCTGGACAATTCTGCATCTAGCAAACCTATTGCAACTTTGATATCCAACATTGACGAGATACCACCCTCGAACTCCACTCTCAACTCCAGCCTCAAGCTTCCAAGTACCAGCACCTTCAGACTCTTTTCGCAGGCTTCCCGTTGATCTCATCGCAGAGCATGCGGAGATGCCTCTGGTCTAGCAGCTGTCCTCCTTGACAATGCCCCGCCACTTGTCGGTGTGATCCTCCTGGCCGCCGCCAAGGAGAGCACCGGACTTGAAGCATGCATTCAGAATGACCTGAGCAGAGTCCGCAAGGTTATTGAAAGAGCCCAGGACCTTAGTATTATCGTTATCATTGCACCACCAAATGGCGCTGTTGTCAGAGCAGCTGACACGGCCGCAGTTGTTTGGACCAGGGCCGTTACTAGGGCGGCCATTGACGGTCCGTAAGTGGATGATACCCTTCTGGATGGCGGTCTTCTGGGCGTTTCCAAGTCCTCCACAGCGGGTGTCTCGCTTGTTGAGAGACGTCATACGCTTGTTTTTTTCTTGCTGCTCGACGACGCTCGCCGTGGCGTTGTTGAAGTGAGCTCCATAGTTGGGGTCGAGCTCCATGAGTTGAGCAACAACTTCCTGGACCGTGCCGGTTAGGTTGACCTTCGGACCACCCGGTGACGTCTCAACCTCCCAGGTTACTGGTGCGATACCGTATCCGGGAAGAGGGGGGCTGAGAGCAGAAATCTTGGAGAGGGAATGTCATTAGCAAGATTTCGATGACTTCTTTGAGGGTTGAGGGTTGGGTGCGGAAGTGAACTTACGTGCGCAGCAAGGCCGACAACAGCGACGAAACTGAAGGAAACCATCTTGGCAATGAAGGGATAAGAGAGCTTTGGAAGGCTTATAGATGACAGGGACTCGATGAGGTGATATTTGGGGTGATGAGGCGATGGAGTGTTGAGCCTAGATGTCAGAACCAACCTCTCTTTTATACCTGGGAGATATGTTGCTCGAGTGATGGAGTTGGCTACGTTCGTCATGATGCGAACCTCTATACAGGGGTAAGAATGTTCAGCTGCCTAAGGTACCTAGTCGACGCTCACATGAACCGTCGTCGTGCGTCTCTCATGCATGGCCCCATCCCCTAGTACTGTGTGCTCGATGTCACGGTATGAGTCGCTTCATCACAGAGTAGCCAGTAGTCTGAGCCTCAATACGCACGCGAATGCGGAATAGTATCCCTGACAGTCAGTCATTCTGAGTCCTATCCAATTATCTATCATATACGTCTCTTGCGAACCAACAGCGCCGAACCAACAAGGCCGACCAACACGGCAAAATAGATTATCGGCCCCCAAATAGGAGCTTCATCAAAGGTAATCTAATTAGTTAACTATCAAGATGAAATCCCACCAACTTGCGCTTCACCTAATTATAGTCAACGGCGTAAAGTACGTCATGGAGGACTTGATCTACGTTGCAAACGAACCGAGCATTCAGCTCCAGAATCCTGCCGACGAGTCACTGGACGGTAGGCAGAAATCGGACCGTTGTTGCGTTGAGCTCAGTTTGAAGATCGGGTGAGCGACAACCAACATGCGTATTACTAGACCTTGGTTAGTTCTTGTCCAAAGACTGACATCGTTGCAAGCATTTTGGGAAATGGTCACCCCTCTTCTGAAGCACGATGCGCACTGGCAGGGCAGATTTCGCCTTGTCCATGCCGCCTCAATAATATGAAAACATCCTGGCAGGTGCATAATAGGTTTCGATCCAAAGATATCTACGACCGGTGCCCGGAAAGACCTGTATCGCTTCCCGGGCAATACCCAGCCTTTGCCACAGTCTCAACATTGGCAGTGGGCAGACGGGCTTGGCTCATTTTGTCTCAGACGTACCTCAGAGGCACGAATCGCCCTGCGGCAACTGCTTTCGTCACCGACGTCGGACTGTGTCTATATGTTAATTAGATCTCAAAGCCTGCCCAGGGTGGAAACGTCTTCGGCAGGATGCGCCTGGTAACAGGGCCTCGCAAATATGTCAGCCATCCGTCATCCTTCGACGTGGTCTAGATTAATTTCCCAGGCAGGTGCGGCTCAGCGCTCATATCGGGACCTAACCGTCTGAATGTGTTGGTTGTTTAATATTGAAACAAGCGACGCACCTACTGGCGGCGCATGCAGGTGTACTTTACCAGCCGAATGTCAGGGCAAGCCAATGAATGCTCTTATGTTCTCTGCCGGGTCTGAGGCCAATTTAATCGTGAAGATGCTTTTCATGTGCCCCCTCTTCTCAGCATCAATTGCACCTGCCGCACTGATTCGTGGAAGCATCAGGATAGGCGTTTCTGTTGGCACAAAAATTTCACGATTGACTTCAACTGGCATCGGGTCGTACTAGGAACAAAGCTTTTTATGACGGTCATCTTGGCCGATACCTTTGCAGGCTCCGTCGCGTAGTGGACATCCATGGTCTGTGAACTCTTGAACTTGCCGCAGGGGGCAAACGGTGGATGGCACTGAGGCTTTGGGACATCGCTTCGCTTTCTCTTTGTCATTTTGAGAACAGTTAGACAGCATCGAATCGAATGGTAAAACATCTATCTGTCTGCAAGGACAGTCACGTCTTGTTTTATTTGATTCCGAAATCCCCGAATTTCTCCGAGACCAGCATCCTGTAAAACGCCTCGCTCATGAAAGATCCCAAAACTATTATTCACTTCGTCCTGTGCAATACCATCCAAGTACTGAACTTATACCAGATCGTCCACAAACCCTAGCATCTCTCTGTCCTCATCACACACTCTTGCAAATTCCAGCAAAGCTCTCCAGGTATACAGCAGCATGTCATCACGCCTAAGCACTGTCTCGGCCCACTTCTTTCCTGTCTCAGCAATGAACCTAGCCGCGGCATCGCCTTTCTTGTCTCTGGTGAAATAGTCCAATACGGCGTACATGTCTTGGAAAGTGTTGTCCATTGGCGCAAAGTGGAGCCAAGGGGTTAAACGGTCGTCGTGCCACTCTGCGTAGATGGTAGCCTTGATTGGCAGAGAAGTCGAGAGGAGAAGCCCGCGGAAGCGTGCACTGAAGCTGTTTCCGTCTACATCAGGGGTAAACTTGAAGGCATATTGCTTCTTCATTTCCATGTGCTCGACCAGACTAAAGTAAGGGGCGACATAGTCGCAGTCCCTGCCCCCGTCGATACAGTTGAGCCTTGTAAAGCCGACATCGGCTATGCGGCGAAGCCACTCTCCCAGTCGATGCTCTCGCCTGCGAGGGAAATCATACAGCGACAGCGGCGGCAGGGCAAATGTGGAGGGCTCAGACAGGCCGTGTTCGGCGCTGGCGACTGTTGTACCGTTAAGCATGTCTACTAGCCGATGCCGATGGAAGTGTCGCCAGTTTTCTGGCTTATTGCGCCCTCCGGACGCCATACCACGCCATATGATCGTGTCCTTTTTCTTCCTCCATGACGGGCCATGTGTCCAACCCCCCGAGTAGAATGAGTCGGTGCTGAGATACATGGCCCCGGGGATTAGGATCTCGTTGTTCATTGGGAGTTTGCTACCGCCGAAAAGAGGTATCAGCTCGCGTGAGGTGGACATGCTGACTGGCTCGATGAATGTGCCGTGAAGGCCGCGAAGGTGCGGCTGGATACACGGATCAGAGGCAGCGGTGAAGTTCTTGACGTAGCCATTCTGCGTGTAAGACGGTTGCCAGTGATCGGGAAAGGTCGGGGGGCCGGAGAAGTCGGTGATGGCTGAGATGTTCCGCGCGGGCGATTCGGGAGGGCAGGCCATTCGGGACAAATCCCAATATGGATTCCGCACCCAGTCTGGATCATATGCTTTGGGATCTTCCATGTCGACACCGACTGGCCAGTGGTACGTCGCCTTCGTCGTTTCAACTGGCGTGATTCGCCTCTTCTTGTCCGCCTCTTCCACCAGCTGAGCCACCACTTCGAACGGCACAAGGAGCCTGGACTCGTCCATGTAATTGATGGGCATATCCACGTCGGGTAGCCACTTTCCTGCTTTTCTCACTAGTTTCATCCATAATTCCAGCCATGGCACCTTGTTTGTAACATCGCCCATCATAGTTGTCTTGCCATTTCGTACGCGCACACGATGGTGCCAGCCAGCGGCGCGCGTGGCTAAGACGGTGGCATTCAGCGCCCAGAATGGTCGGATATCATGCTCGATGCGATCAAAGAATTCCTCCACGATAACCGCACCGTGGCTTTGTGCATATTCGAACCACTTATCAAAACCCGGTGGCGGGTGTCGGCCCCGTCGAGATCGATATTGCGCCGCAGCGTCTGCCAGACTTGTGGAACGGGACTGCAGGATGCTGTGGAATGTCGTGTTGGCGTCGTGTATCAGATGATCGATTGGATGCCATCGTAAACGAGACGGCTCGAGTAAAGAGAGATATTCGTCTACTGCAGACTTCTTCGAATAATGGTAAATGACATCAAGGTCCAACGTCTCGGAGAATAGAAGATAGGTGGTGGCAAAGAGCAGGATGCAGCTCAAGACGGCCAGCTGATAAAAAGGTTTGGCAAACCTTCGAACTAATAGCATCTTAGCCGTACTGTTGCAAGTATTTCGTATGGGAAGCGAATGTCTTGCGGAGCAAAAGGGTAGGGTCTCAAAGACCAGATAACAAGGCTACGAAATGCATCAAAAACAAACCATAGCGCCTTGAGGAAGAAAAGGTGGTGGTCTGAGGAATAAATGAGGTGAAAGACGCCAAGCACGCATGTTGGGCGGCACAGCAAGTCTTGATGTGCCAGAAAATCGTTGCAGAATGTTAAGTCACGTGTGGAGTCCCTGGCTGCGCCTAGGGTCTGTGCATTTTCTGGACATTATGTAGAATCTCAGCCTGCAATCATCTGTCCTGTGGTGGCAGAAAGGACAACGCCTGTGATAATTAATTACTTCTGAATTCAACCTTCACGAAGAGTTGACAATTATTTTGTTAGTGCCCCGTAACGACGTTTGTGGGGCAGTCTCTGCAGCGTGCTTTCGCTGCTTAGTGCCCGTTAAGGCGGCGGGGCGTCTGCAGGGTCTGCAGCTGTGGGAGGGCAAGATTGGGGGACCATTACGGATCGATCCGTACACATCAAGTCAAAAGACATTAACTTTGGACTACGTAGCTCGAAAATCCCAACCATGGCCCCTTGTACATACCAACACGCTTCTCATTTCTAATTTCGTATCTTCTGTACGGGATTTCCCTTGATAACCATAAGCAAATGTCATCCAGGAAGGAAAATGGTTCCAGAGTATTAGCATTTCATCCTTCCGTTCCCGTGGGGCCTTTCCCCACCCATTGCTCCATCCATTCAAACACTGTCCTGTGCCAGACCAGAGCGTTCTCCGGGTTGATAACCCAGTGGCCCTCGTCGGGGAAGCTCAAGAACCTACTCCGAACCCCGAGACCCTGCAGCGTTTTGAAGACCGACAACCCATCCGTGACCGGGTACCGGTAATCCTTGTCGCCGTGGATAACGAGCACGGGCGGTGCGTCCTTCCAGTTCCTCAGCAGATCCGGCCGCGCAGGGTTCCACTTCTCCAAGTCTTCCGAGTTTCTCTCGTTTACCCCGTCCTGGTACAGCTGTAGGAGCCGCGTGTCGAAGACGGGCCCGTGACAGATCATGGTTTTGAACTAGATGTGGTCAGCCGAATCGCTGGGCCAAGGAAATCGTGTGTCTGCATCGGGGGCTCGCAAACAAACCTTCTTGGCCAGAGGCTGTCCCATGATCCAGTTCACCATGTAGCCACCATAACCACCTCCTGCTAGGACTGCCCTGTCTGTATCGATGTAAGGTATCTCGGCAAGGGACTCCAGGCAGTTGACCAAATCTTGATAGGGGTAGTCTAGCCCTGAACCGTAGGCTCTGGCATTAAAGCCGACTCCAAAGCCAACGCTTCCTGTGAAGTTGGGACAAACAACGACATATCCTTGCTCCGCCCAGAGAACACTGTTCCACTGCCGCTGGTGTCAGAAGGGGGAGAATTACCCAGGGAGCTGTTTTTAGAAACTTACTCTCCAATGCCACTCATCCCTGGCTGCGTCCTCGGGACCATCGTGGACTTGCAGAACGACTGGCCACTTCTTCTCTGGGTCAAAATTGCTTGGCTTCGTGAGCCATCCCTGAACAAAGCTTTCCGCCGACCCCGCAAACCAGATCTCGGAAACCTGGCTATGCGACAGGCCGAGTTTCTGGCCGTGTCTTGTTGCTGATGATATGACCCGGGGCTCTGACGCCAGAGTGGTATCAATGACCATGTATACACTGTTATCCAGCATGCTCGAAGCCGACACCAGGAGCTGCACACCGTCATTGCCGTTGTTGAGAAGATGATACCCGTGTACCGATGGTCTTCCCATAAGCAGTCTTGGCGCTGCATGATAGCGCAACTCAAGCTCATACAGGGCTCGGCGGCCGCAGTCGTCAGCTAGGATGAGGACGGATTGACCGTGCGGCGAATACTCAAAGCTCGAAGGCGCCAGGTCCCAAGCGGAACCAATGCACATTTTCCACACGTCAAACGATGACAGCGAGCTAACGTGGCCCATCAAGAGCCGGGTGTCGGCCGGATTCGCAAACGGCTTTTTGAGGTAAGCAACCATGGAGCCATCCGGGGAAAAGCGAGGGTTGGATGCATAGCCAACGACATGATCGGTTTGCATGGTGAGTTTTACCGGCCTGCAAGCCACCATGGCAGTCCAGGAGTCCACAGGGACGAAGTAGACGTCCGAAGTAGCATGATGTCGAGGGTGGACGGGCTTCGGGTCACAAGCGACGAAGACGATCCCCTTTTCACATAGGTCGTAATTATCAGCAGGATCTTCAGGTTGATACATGCCGGCGGGAGCCTCGAGATCCTGCCGCCTAACCGCATTTCGCAGCGGGCCGGCGACTGTGAGCCTGCCGTCGTCTCCTGTGACCAGCGCTGAGTAGAAGATGGCGTGCCTCCTCGGCTTGATGTATGTGTCCCACTAGAGCAGTCTCCATGTTAACAGGCGATGTGACAGACGAGGCGAGCTTATTGGTGCGAGATGTACAAACCCCGCGAACGTTGAGATCATCGTATATCCTCGCCGTGGACATCTTCCCAGTGGTCTCTTCGTTGTACAAACTGCCATCTTTGCCGGCCAGACCCACAACAGCGAAGGCGACCCAGCCGTCAAGACCTTTCAGCTTCAAGTGTTGAACGGGAGCGTCGAATTCGGCCGCGGTATAGTGATCTTTCAGCTCTCCGGTATTGCCGATGCAAACGACGGCTAACTGAGTGAACCCGTTGGTGGCAGACCTCAGCCAAGCAATCGTTCCGTCGTGGTCGGGGAGCCACTTCACGTCGTGGACTTTGTCATCATCCGTCAACAGCCATGAACTGCCCGAGTCAATATCCATCACCCTCCACTCCCTCCTGGTGCCCTTCCCAGACTCGTATGTCGAAACATTGTACAATCCCAGAGTACCGTCCCTGTTTGGCACCACGACACCTCGCCGAGGCAGACGAACGAAAGACTCGGGTGTCAATCTCTGGGTGATAACCATGCTGAGCTAATCTTCTGGACGTATAACTCGCCTGGCCTGGTGTTTCAACCGACGTCAACTAGCGGCACTACGGTCGACTGATGATGGATAATGTATCGAACCGGCCGGTGCAAGGAGAGGTGGTGTGGAAGCAACTGAGGAAAGACCGAACATGACACTTGAAAGAAGCCAGATTTGCTAGACTACCTAGAAATACGGGTAACAGGTAGGCTTTTGCCTTCAGACGAAGCTTATGGGCATATAAACCTCCGCATCGCATAGGGGGTCCCAAGCTCGAGCCAGCTGATGAAAAGGCTTACGCAATTTGGAGGGAGGACGCGACGCATATCCGCCGCCAGTAAACCCGACACGATCAATATATTTTACTTGGTCCCCATCTCCTCCATTCCCCAAAAGTAACGGAATTTGTCTGCCACCAGCCATGATAACTCCAAGGGCCCGCGCACACCTGGGCTGTTGGTCTTCAGTGGCGATGGGTGTCAGGAATGAGTTGGGGATGGGTCCTGTTGAACGTGAGTCATGTGAGCCAAGCCTTCACTGGACAGTTACGTGCTGTAAGCTGGGAAATGGCCGTCGCTGATTGGCCAATCGGTTGCGGTATGAGGTACGCCGAGAAGTCCGCGCCCCCTGACTGTTTTTTTTGCACGGCTTCAATTCGACGCTGGGAAACCGGGTGCTTGGCACTTGGCTATCTCCGACTTCGGGGAAGCTATATAACTCTTATCGTCCCCCAAGTGGAAAATCTCCATGGATTGAACAGCATCGTTCGTTTTGTGAAGCTAGTAGTCTTTCTTTTTGCTCAAAGCTCACACCTGACTAAACTGACTCCCGTCAGCCTGGACAGCTCTCTCTCTCAGTCCAACTGCGTCCGCGCTTCCTTGAGTGGCCTTGCGATGCAGACGAGCGTGGATTACTCCCTCGGTCAACCAGACTCGCCTTCACAGGAGTTGAAGCTCCAGACAATACCGCAGCCTCGCCAGCGGCGGTCCTCATGGATATGACGGCCAAGGCCCAGAAGAAATGGAACACCAAGAACCTTGGCCTACGGCTGGTAGCTGACGCCGTCAGCGCAGTTTCCGCCGCGGCAATGGTAGCTCCGGTGATATCCATCATTGATCGGTATGTGCGATTCCGTGAAGACAAGCAAGGTATCCGCGAACATCATAAGCTAACCTGCCCTCCCCCTCTCAGATCCATCATGGAAAACGCCTCAGGTCGGCGAAGCATGAGCGCCTGTCTCAGAGCATCCTTCGGCTCCCTTCTCCGCCGCCCGCACACCCTCATCTTCTCGCGCCCGTTCGCCCTCATCGTCATGGTCTACGGCGGCACCTACCTCACCGCCAACACCCTCGACACGGCCATCTCGACGACGCAGTCCCGGCCGGCGACGCACGTCAGCACCGGCACGGCCAAGTTCCTCGGCCCCACGGCCGCCAACGTCGGGCTGGGCATATACAAGGACCAAGTCTTCGTGCGGCTATTCGGCCCCGCCGGCGCCGTCCCGCGGCCCGTCTCCCTGCCCTCTTACCTCCTCTTCACCCTCCGCGACTGCCTGACCATCTTCGCCTCCTTCAACGTCCCGCCGCTTCTCGGGCCCATGCTGACGGACCGCCTCGGCGACGCCGTCCAGCGCCACGTGAGCGGCCAGACCGTGGCGCAGTTCGTCGCCCCGGCCGCCGTGCAGGCGCTCAGCACGCCGCTGCACCTGCTCGGCCTGGACCTGTACAACCGGCCCTACGCGCCGCGGACGGCCGCGCCGAGCTTCGCCGAGCGACTGGCCCTCGTGCGCAAGAACTGGGCCGCCAGCACCGTGGCCCGCATCTGCAGGATCGTGCCCGCCTTCGGCGTCGGCGGCGTCGTCAACATGAAGGTGCGGAGGGGGCTGATGGACGGGCTTGTGTAGGCGTCTATCAGGGTTGCCCCCTGAGCGGCGCGCTATCCGTTTCTTCGTTTTGTGGCTTGTAAATTTTCTTTGGGGGAGCCTTGTTTTGTGACGAGCGGCTTCGAGGGCGAGAGGCGTTTGGTTTTGTCTGTTTTTCCTTCTCTTTTTCCTGGCAGCATACTGGTAGCATAGATGCATTTGAAGACTTACATGTGCGGATTTCTAGATAGATAAGATAGTTATAGAGGATCTAATGGGTGGTTGGTAGATAAAACGAGAACGATGGCTGTAACGATAGAATATACTATTGCAACTCTTAACCATGGGACTTGAGCCGTGCTATATATAAGTGCCTGTTACTCCGAACCCAGTGCCAAAACCCCCAGGTTTCATAGGAACCCGCTCTCTTTGAGCACCCTCACAAGCAGGTCCTCTGCCTCTTGTTGTGGGGTTCGGTACGATCGCCCCTCGCCGGTGTCGATGAAATTCTCCCAGAACTTCAAGCCCTCGATGCCTTCCTCGCGACAGAACACGCCCCTTTCCTCGGCCATCTCGAGTTCCTCCTCGGCGACACCAATGCTCCAGCCGAACCTCTCGGCAGCGTCCCTGGCAGTAACCCCGCGGCCGAACTCTTGCCAATCCCACGCTACCTCTCGGTCGGGCGGTACGGTGCGGAGCCCACGTATCCACGTTAGAAGCGACTTGATAGTGGCGTCGTCGGTGCGGTCGCGACTCTGGACAACCATGACACCCGACTTGAAGGTTCGCAAGCGGACGGGAAGCTTCAGCTTCTCCCACAACCGCGCAGCTTTCTCGAAGTCGTTCGGGCTCACGAGCTCGACACCACCTCTGGCGCGGTTGAACATGGCCCACAGATCGACGAGGGAGATGATGCCGCCGGCCCTCTTGAGGACGCCCCGCGCGTCGTCTGTGAGGAACTCGGCGAGATTCCGGGCCAGCTCGGACAGATAGAGCGAATCATCACCTCCTCCGACAATATCTTTGGTGGTGATGAGGCCCAGCTGCATTGCCGACTCGGCAAGGAGGGCATTCTCGGATGCGCTGCTCCCAGAGCCGCTCTTGGCTTGCCGAGCGAACGACTCTGCGAGGGCGACCACCTCCTTGGCCGATGCCATGAGGGCTTCGAGATCCTCAAAAGCGGTGCCAATAACGATCTCGTTGTTCTTGCGCCTGTCGAGTCCTCGTTGCTCTAGGCCTGCGATGCCGGCCGTCCTTACTCTGTCGGCCTGGCTCCCAGTCCCTTGGCCCGGCCTTGTCGCCGATGACCCGTCGGTGGCCCCCGTGGAAGAGTATGCATCGCCGGGACGGTTGGACCTGGGGATTGGTGGTGCCCCCTGCAACAGCCACTTCCGCTGCGTCATAGACCCCTTCAATCGCTCGTAGAAGATCTTCTCACCCCCGCCGCGGAACGAGATCTTAACATTGTCTGGGTTATCCGAAGTTGCTTGTAGATTGGCGACAGGTGAGTTGAGTACGGCCCCAGGGGATTCGGTGCGCGGTCGTGTCTGGGCAAGTTCGGCAGGCACATGGCGCGAAATCAGGGGGGCTCCGCAGATCTCGCAGGCGAGGAGGGAGGGATGGTTGAGAAAGGTGCACCGGGGACATTGAAAAGAGGCATCCGGATCTGATACCTGTAGAGACCCGTTTGTTGCAGTAGACACATGAACCTGGGCTGCGAGTTCCGACTGCGGCCGTGGGCGGACGGGAAGAGGTGTACACAGGCTCGGGTCAGCAGCCGCCGGCTGGCGGTTGGCGGCATTAGAGATGGCAGCCTTCAAGATGTGGGTCAACGCTGGCTTGATACCGCAGGCCAGGCAAGGGGGAAGGGGGATATGGGCGTTTGCGGTGGCGGGATCAAAGTTTGAGGGCACAGGGTTTGAGAAGCTGCAAATGGTGCAGACCCAAGTTGCTGTGCTGGCTTTGGGAGCCTCGGCGGGTGGCGCTCGGAATGGGCTATGCGGTTGTTGCGACGGCGAGGCCGCATCGCTTCTTGAGGGAGTCGTCCCGAGGGCAGGGGAGTTTGACCGCAGGGAGGCACGTTTTGTTGGCTTTGGGATCAACGTGACCTTTGGAGAAGACTTCAAGAATCCCAATCCGGCCTAAGTCATATCTCTCAGTACCAATCCGAGGATCTGTATCTGCAGGTTTCCAGCCTTACATAGAACTCATATCGCTCTACATCCTTTAGATCCAATGCAACCGAGTGTTTCCGTGGCTCGGCTTTGTCGACATAACATATTCGATGTGAGGTCAGATACACCTGGCCATTCTGCTGGCTGGGAAGCTTGTACTTTCTAAGAAGAGAGAGAGAGAAGAGAGAGGTTAGCAAAGGGTGACAGAAGCAGGCACACGACACACTGACCCCTCATAGAGGCCCACATTGTCCTGGACAAAGAAGAGAACTTCGTCAGGGAGATAGGAAGGCCGAAGAGCCGTCGTCAGATCGATCTGCTTTAGAAACATCCGTCATAGTCGTGGGAATGCTGTCCCAAAGGTCCTGGTGAAATGAGAAGGCACCAGCATAGTCTTGCTCATTGTTCTGCAAGAGAGAGGCCAGCATCTGGCATTTTTAGCTTCATTAACCCGTAGGGCTGCCTTCTACAGTAATGGGGGGGTGGACCTCAGCAGGGTCGACAGACAGCGATAGCAGGGAAGTGAACGATTACGTACTCCATCTCAGGCCGGGATATCTTTTGTGCGGTTATTTGTTTGTTAGGTACCTAGGTATATGGCTCCTGCCTCCACTATGGTAGACCCGGCCCAGGTGGCTACAGGTCCATATTGGGCTAGGTAGAGAGTGGACGTGACTTGACCGCCTACAAATTCGAGTCCCGTCCATCATCCATCCCTACCTACTTTCTATCTCACCCACCACCTCTTTATTCGACCAGACCCTAACCCATCGGCAATATCGTCCACGGTTTGTGATAGAACACCATCACGTCGTTGCCGAATTTCCTGCATTTCCCGCACCTCCCTGTAATCACCCTGTTCGTGGATTCGGGATCCTTGAACTCAAATTCTCACTCCAGACCCCGCCCCGGGCCCTACCTAGTACATGCAAACAGTATGATGCCGACGTGGTCACCCGCAGCCGCACCGCCTCCGCCGGGGGCCAGGCCTCCTCCAGGCTTCAACTATCCTATCAGTGAGTAATTTCCTCCCATCACCCTGTAAACACACGGGGTATATTTTCTGTCTTATTTTCTGTCTCACTTTGTTTGTCCTGTTTCGCCTTTTCTGACATGTCCTCAGTCCCATCATATACCGCTGTTCAGGTCCGCCAGAGCTTTGGTCCTACCTATACCCAACCACCTCCCCCTGTGAACCCTTCTGCCCCATCTCCGGATAGCGCTAAGCGGAAGATCGACTGGCCTGATGCGGTTCGCAACTATGTTCAACGATCTTTCCTGCCCCACAACATGGATCCCCTCGTCTCACGCCAGGAGATGGAGACCAAGCTGAAGGAGACCATCTCCCAAGCTAATGATAGCGGCGTCATGTATTCTGTCAACTGGGACTCGATGCCACTGCCCCAGCAAATGATCCGAGAAGAACAGACCAGAGCCTTACTGTCCCAGCAATATCAGCCCCCTGCCCGAGATGATGGCTCGCAGACTAGGAGTCCCGCTGCCAGTTCCAAGAAGAGGAAGTCGTCGGATATTGGCGATCTGGATACGGCATCTGTAGCCCCTCCCTGGAGATCCGTTGCCGAGCCTCGCCCGTCTCTCCAGGACCGTATCACCAACCCATCACCGGACAAGCCGCGCCAGCCCACGGTGGATGCAGTGTCCAAGAACACGAGTAAGTTCCAGAAGCAGTTGGAGAAGCGACAGAAGCGCTTCGACGGTGGCTACAAGTCCACATATCGGTCGCCAAGCCCTCCTCCCACCGCCGGACCCGTTATCGGCACCTGCCAGGATCTAGAGAAGCCGTATCTCCGCCTGACTTCGGCTCCAGTGCCTGCCCAGGTCCGCCCGGAGTCCATCCTGAAGCAGACCTTGGAGCTTCTTAAGAAGAAGTGGCGGAAAGAAGGCAACTACTCTTACATTTGCGACCAGTTCAAGTCGATGCGCCAGGACCTTACCGTGCAGCGCATTAGGGACGATTTTACCGTTGCCGTCTATGAAATCCATGCCCGTATTGCCTTGGAGAAGGGGGATCTTGGTGAGTATAATCAGTGCCAGACTCAGCTGAGGGCACTGTATCAGATGGGCCTCAAGGGCAGCCCCGTCGAGTTCAAGGCGTACCGCATCCTCTATTTCATTCACACAGCGAACCGCACTGCGTTGAACGACGCTTTGGCAGATCTAACCACAGCAGAGAAGGAGGAGCCCGCCATCAAACATGCCCTGGATGTTCGCTCGGCCTTGGCGCTGGGTAACTACCATCGATTCTTCCAGCTCTATCTGGATACTCCAAACATGGGCGCCTATCTCATGGACATGTTCGTCGGCCGCCAGCGCCTCGCTGCTCTCTGCAACATATGCAAAGCGTAAGCCCCCCCATCCATCCCCCTATCCATCCCCCTATCCATCCCCCTATCCATCCCCCTTACCACCTGTGTGCGTCCCAATACATGTCGCTAACAGACAGTCTAGGTACAAACCTGACGTGAGACTGCGGTTCATCACTGAAGAACTCGGTTTCGAGTCCGATCCCCAAGCGGCACAGTTCATCATCGATCATAACGGTCAGCACCTCCTTGAAGAGCGGAGCGACCATATCGCTTTCCTGGCTGGCAAAGCTGGGTCGCTCTTCGAAGTTTCCAAGACCGCAGCCTTCCGCAGGGTTGACATCAAAGGTCAAATCTGATTGACCATCTGCTGGCCCTCTCTATCTTGTCTTTTTTACTGTTCCGCTGCTGTTTCGCTCTCTTCTTTTCAACGCCATCGACGTCGATCGAGCTGCATCCCGTTCGTAGATTCCTTCCAATCCTAGTGAGGAACATGCGGGGGAGGCACACGTCTCAACTCGCAGCCTACTTACTGGCTGCTTATCACTGTCGACCCTTTGACGTTGACGAGGACCTTGCGGTCCACCATTCCTCAGCCGGACCGGGCGAGGCGATTCGACACTTGCAACCTTTGCAACCCCATGAGTCGGCGGCACCGGCTGCCTTTGTTTTCTCTGACTTTCGATAATCCAGCTTACCCAACACACTAGTACCCACAACTCCTAACGATGGGGCATTCATACCCCCCGTTGCGGAAGCTTCCTTCTTACGAGAGAGCCTCTCCGTGGCTACGAAAGTTTATCCGCGAGGACTCGAGATGGCCGTCGGAATCCTCCGGCCGAGCCTCTTTGAGGCTGACGCTGGATCTCACATGATCTTTCATGTTCGTCGATTCGGATAGGAAGGGCATGCGTGGCCAAAAGAGGGGGGCGGGGGGCGGCAGGTATTTGGTTTGGATTGCAAGGTTGACTACGTGATACCACTTGCATTTAATTGTCTTTCGGCGTTTGGAACATAGAACGAGGCGCCTCTTGCTCCTCCTGGAAAGGCGTTGGGGTGGATCATGATGCCCGCGAAAAGTCGCGCGCAAGAGTCTTGAAGCAAAGTCTTAGGCTCCAGAGCAGGACTCCCACTCTCCAAGATGGCAAACATGCCAATGAAATGGGACAGGGAGAATAATCCAAAGAAAACGTCAGATTATGTCACATCATTCGGTTCCACTTCGCAAGCGTGTTTTGTCCAAGTATTGCCGTACGGTATGTGCTAGGGCATCTCTTGAAACCATGGCATCCCCCCCTTTACCTCTCTCCCAAGAGCCATGTCGACCTCTTCTTCAAGTCAAGCGTAACTGAGGTAGGTATCTGGACAGACGAAGGGCAGCGATTGCCATTTGATACGCAACAGGCTAAACATAGAAAGAGGGCACACCCACACTCACCTGGCACTTGGCAGAAGCTCAAACCAGGTCGGCGCGGAAACGGGCGTGCCAATGACTGCCGTTTCAGAGCCGGCGCCGGGTTTCATGTTGCCTGTGCCTGGCGATCGGGACGGGCTGGATCCGAAGGTGTGGGGAGAGAGGGCATGCATGAACGCGTACAGTACATACAAAATGCTGGTGATGATGTGTGATTTGGAATTATCTCTTCCTCTTGTTATTTATATGACAGTCCCCTTTTTTCCGACGTCTCCGGGGTTGCTCACCCCCGGGCCGGGTGACTGTTCGTCATTGGGCCGGTGTTTCCAACAACCACCAGGAACACGGTATTGTGGCTGCTTCTGGAAGCTTTCTGATACCTCGCCTTATCCCGCGTCCCCAACCAAAATAATGGACGGGATGGTAGATTGAGGGGTGTTTCCATCCATCGGCAGCCGGCGACCACCTATCTTCTTGTCCTTGGGGTCGCATGCAGGTCGCGAATCGATCGCTTGCCTTGGATAGTACTGTAGGTACATGCCTGTGTTTTCTGTTGGTCGAACACTCAACACAGGGAGAGCACTGCCATTACATGTGACGTCACATTCCACCATGTCTGCGCTTGACCTGGCCGAGTCAAGCACTTATAGCTTCATGACAAGAAAGGTAGGCAGGTGTGGTCTAGTTGTGGTCTAATTGTGTTCTTGCACCTGGCCAAGACCCATGTCTCGCCTATGCATATGGCAGGAGTGCATGTTGACAGGTGAATGGGGTGCCCCAGGTTACTACCCGTTTTGCAACCCCTCATCGCATATGGATAAGGCACTTCACTTTACCCTGGGTTCACATCACCATGGTCCATGGATGATGGAAGGGCCGGACAGGCGCACAAGCCATGTCGATCGGGCTGATCGTCCTGGTACACGTAGGCTAGATTCCAACGGCTGCAGTGGGGTGGGCCGGGTCAGGAGCGTTCCAGAATGTCCAAAAAGCAATCTCGCAGCCAGGCCTGCCGATGGCAACCGCAAAATTTTGCCATGGCGAGAAGTGGGAAAGGACAAGGGCGGAAAACCAAGGAAGTCTAGGCAATGAACAGAATAGACAAAATAGACAGAATACGCGCCGTATTGGTAAGCTCATGAGAAGTGGCAAACAGGCATGCAGAGCGACGCGCGCGCGCGCGTTAGACCCGCCGAACCAGGAAGTGGCAGTACATACCTACTGATTAGAGCGACAGCTGAGAGCAAGGGCAAGGGGGGTAGGAACGCCTCCTCGCAAAAACTGGGCGACAGAGAGAGCATTCCTCTGGGGGTAGGATTTTCGGTGGCTTTCCCTGGCGGCTTGCCCAGTCAGTCGCACTCACTCATCTGCTCGCCATGGCGAATTGTCACACGACAGGACAGCACGAGAAGGACCTGCATTGACGAAGTGACGCAGGCTTGCGCAAGAGGCCTCTCAGTGGCAAGGATTCCGCACCCGAGGACAACGTCGGATCGCCAGAACCGCCCTGCGCCGTCCCCTGCAACACAAGGTTCGGTGGGGAGATAGGGGGGTGTGGATAGGGCCCAACCTGAGGGAAGCCCTACTACTATGCAGTAAGTACTCTTGGTACTGTACATACAGAGTAGTAGGATGCAAATGCGACCTGTGAGGCCAGGGGCCTTCCCAACCTGCAGCTAAGGCTTGACTGCAGCGGTGCAGCCCTCGTGACGGATAGCCACTGCAAATTTCTAGGAACGGCGGCGACATGGCGATCGAGGGGAGGACAGGCAAGGAAGGGTTCAAAGCCGCCAAACTTTGCGAGGCCATCTAGGAGACTGGCAGACTGTTTATGCTGAAGCCTTGGATGCTGCAGCTAGCCTAATTTACATCCAACAGGCCAGGGAACGCAGGGAACGAATACATTTCAAGTCATTTCCGGGAAAGGAGGCGACACCGATGCCATGTGATGATGGGCTGGCGGGCTGGCGTGTGACTCGGGTGCCTGTTCAATCGGGTCTCCTTGCTGGACTCTTGTTGGACTATTTGGTCTTCCCACGGCCATAGCTGAACCGCCAGGGCAGGTAAGCATGCCTGGCCTACTCGTCTACTGTCAAGTCAGCGCAGATTATTGGTGATTTATGGCTGGCATTGCTCAGTGGGTAGGTAGCTGCCGGCGGGCATCCCTGTGTCTTTCTTCACGTCCACGCAATCGCAGCTAACGGCATGAATTTCCAAGGCTACACTAGTTCATGGCGGGCTGGCTGATTGGTTGGCGGTGCTTGAACTTGTTTCGCAAGCACAGCCATTGGAATGGATGCCCGTCGTCTCTTTCTTTACCCAACTTTTCCATCTGAAAAGGAGAGAGACGTTGGAGGGAGGGGTGCTATATGGAGGGGTTACCTAGCACGCCTAGGTAAGGTAGGTCTCCATTTCAACATCTAGCGCGAGCCTAGACCACTATCTAAACTGATCAAGCACAATCCATTAGGTAGGTACCTTGCCTCGGTATCCATCGCGTCCAGATGGTAGGAAATGTGGCTGGCAAACCTCGCAAATGAATGAAGACTTGACTGCAACGACATGGAACTTGGAGAAGTAAAAGAACAATGGATTGCAACGAGCAAAAGAGGGCAAGGGTTTCCTTTTCATTTTGAATATAAAAAAGAAATAAATAAACCACATAAAATAGCGACCGCAGAACCAGAGTCTGAGATGCCGAATCCACAGTACAGTGCTGCAACAATGAAGCACCTGGTAATGGCGCAGAGTGAGGCAGCCCCCCGAAGTATCGTACATGTTGTCACAAGTACCTGAGCTACATAGTAGAATGGAAGCTTCCCTGGGGTGCCCTTGAATTTAACCCACCATCCACTCATTCCACACCCCTCCCCACCCTCACCCCCCAGAAAGCAGATCCCGCGGGCTGCACTTCCACCGTCTTCCACTAGGTTGGCTGTTCTCCTCTTTTAATAGTTCCGGAGCGCCAATCTCTTCAACCCCCTCAAGGGTGCCGCCGCCAGCAAAACCCCTAACCTATGATCGGACCCGCGACATCCTCACCTGTCATTCTCGGACAACTACAGCCGAATTGGAGCCACGGAACCGACGTCCTCATCCTCTCCCGGCGAGGTTGATTGAACAAAGGGAAGCGACGCACAATCGCTTGAGGGACCCCGGACTTGCACGCGCTCTGCCCACTTTGAGGGACAAGAGGCGAGAGATATATCGGCGAGACGGAGCGCATTCCACTCGAAACCTCCAATACTCTCCTCAACGTTCGAAAGATACCCTCGAGGCATGCGATAAATACCTGCCAGCAGTAATACTTGAACCGCCGAGGATCGAAGAAAGTCATTTTTGCGCGCACTGTTGCTGCTCGAAACCCAATCCGCGAACCCCGGCCCCCATCGCACGCGGGTCGCCCGCAAATCCGCATACACACAAACCAACCAACCGTTACGCCGATTAAGAGTCATCCGAGCAGGACATCGTCCTGTGTTTAGGCGGCGTAACCTAGAAGCTTCCCGTCTGCTGTTGCTTCTCCCGCCTAGAGAGTAGGCTCAGACACCATGAAGGTTCGTCCCGAGTCTACCACGTCCAATGTTCAAGCACATGCTGCAATCCAACGCTTTCCTCCTGTTCGCAAGCTACTCTGAATTCCTGCCCGTCTCTCATTCGTCATTCGCCTCTCATTTCCTCTGCTTCTTTCCCTTCCCCTACGTTACAAACCCCTCGGTCATATCGTGACCCATCATCACGTCGCCTGCCCGCTTTTTCGACCTTGAGACTGACAGGATGCGCTTTGCGAAGGCTCTAAGGAGATCAATCAAAGGGGACAAGGACAGCAAACCCCACGGCGCCATCGCCCCCAAATCGGCCGTCGCCATTCTCCCTCCCAAAAAGGTTAGTGATGGAATCCGCTCGGTCTCGCTCGCTGCTGGTTTTTTTTTGACAGCGTTTTGTTCAGGTCATCCGCGCACTCTACGATTATGAGGCGCAATCAGATCAGGAGCTGAGTTTCTCCCGTGGAGACTTTTTCCACGTCATCGGCCGCGAGAACGACCCCGATTGGTATGAAGCCTGCAATCCTGCGCTTCCCGACGCCCGCGGCTTGGTCCCGGTCGCCTTCTTCCAGGCCCTCGGGCGCACGGAGCGGGACAGTGGCCAATCGCAACCAGATGTTGCGCGACCACCGACAACCAACAATCCCGACCATGATTCCGGGTACGCCGAGACCCCGGCGAGCTCAGTGGGAGGACCAGGCCGGCGAGCCTCCAAGTCTGGAGGCAAGTCTGGCGCTATGGTCTACGGCATTGTCATGTATGACTTTAAAGCCGAGCGAGCAGACGAGTTGGAAGCCAAGGCTGGGGAGGCCATCATCGTCATTGCGCAGTCGAATCCGGAATGGTTTGTCGCCAAACCCATAGGCAGATTGGGCGGGCCTGGCTTGATTCCAGTGTCGTTTGTTGAGATCAGAGATATGGCCAGCAACACACCGGTGCCCAACCCCCAAGATGCAGTGCGAAGGGCAGGAATACCCCGCGTCGAGGAATGGAAGAAGATGGCGGCGGAGTACAAGAACAGCAGCATCACTCTAGGCAAGTTCGAGGTAGGGTCCTCACAGCAGCCATCCGCCGAGCAGGCTATGGGCCGATTGAGTCTCCAACAAGGCAGCGGACGTATGAGCCAGGGCAATGGTGGTAATGTAAGTCGAAAAAGCTCCTGGGGTTTGCCATCTTTAAGGCTAGCATACTGACATACAGCTCAGCAACTGCAATCGCAACAGCAGCAGCAGCAGCAGCAACAGCAGCAGCAGCAGCAGCAGCAGCAACAGCAACAGCCGCAGCCAGGATATAACCCACAACGGAACACACAGCAAATACAGCCGAGCCCTTACGCGGCCAAATCAAGTTCTCAGTTGTATGGGCCGGTCTCGGCTCGCATCCCCCGGTACTGCTTCGCCGAGGAGAAGTATTGGTTTGTTATCGAAGCTGTGTTAGAAGACGGCCGTGCCTGGGAGCTTTCCAGGTACTACGAGGACTTCTACGACTTCCAGATCGCACTGCTTACCGAGTTCCCCGCCGAGGCCGGAAATACGGGGGAGCAGAAGCGAACGCTTCCGTACATGCCCGGACCCGTTAACTACGTGACCGATGCCATCACGGAAGGTCGCCTGCATAACCTGAACGCCTATGTTGGGAACCTCCTTGCCCAACCCCCTTACATATCGAAGTGCAACCTGGTGAAGCAGTTCTTTGCACCCAGGGAAGGAGACTACGAGATCGACCCGAGCGGACTCGGAGACGAGTACCGCTTATCTGGCGGGTCGCAGCCATCATCTACCGATTCTCCACAACCCGGCACTTCACGTCAGTCGTCGAAACAGAATCTGAACGGCAATGGCTACTCGGGTCTCTCAGCCGCGCCGACACGACCAGGTCCGGACGGCCAGCCGCCGATGAATAGGCAAGGGTCGTCCCTCTCTCAGCCATCTCAAACTTCTCTCTCCCCTGGTGTCCAGCAAACAGGCGCAGCCATGAAGGTCAAGCTAAGCTACGGCGGTGACATAATCGCTATCCGGGTGCCGTCCGATATCCAGTTCCGTGAACTTTACCAGCGGATTCTCGAACGGCTGAAGATCCCCCCCGGAGAGCAGGTCCAGCTATCTTATAAGGATGAGCCCACGGGCGATAAACCGCCTCTTTTGAGCGACAACGATCTCGATGTCGCACTCCAGCGAAACGAGAAGCTGCTGCTCTACGTCGAATAGGCGCGGCCCTAACCCTACCCCCAGACCTTCGTTCCGTTCCAAACCCGCTTGCTCGTTTCTTATGATGGGCAACTTCTTCTGGTGACTGCGGAGAAAACAAAACAAAAAAGCATACCCCGGCTATGGCTCTGTTCCTTCCATCTAGATTCCCACCTGCATTCCGCCGTTCCGAATACCGATACAAATATATCCCCTTGGTCTAGTACCTGGACTGTCCAAGCACACCACTTCCGCAAACCCCCCTTACTCGAAACAGCAGAGTTTTACGCCGCTTCTTTGTTCCTGGTCTGAAATGGTCACTCACATGGTCCCCCCACCCGCCTCCACGAGGTCGCACGGGGCCTTTGGGTTTTCTTTCATCGAGCTTCCAGGAAGTGCCTTTAAACCGTCCTGGACACGACCGCAAGATAGGGGATGGGATGGATCCCGGCCTCTTCATTTTTTCTCCTTTTTTTTTTTTTTTTTTTTACCGAGGAGCCACTTTATAGGGAGGGACTACCACTCACAGACGGCGTTTTTATTTTATTCCAAGTCTGTCGGCTGCTTTTGGTTTTATTTTGGCTTTTTGCAAGCTTCTTCTGGTGGGATCTAGGGCTACTTCTATCTTCTGATTCCTGGCTGAGCGTTGCTGATGAGTGATGGAATACGTCTGAGGAGGGCGCCGCGATTATAGGCTACGAATATACGACGGGGGGGTGGTTGGGGACAAGGTTTTGCGAGGAGAAGGAGGCCCCGATTGGTGGGAGGAGAGAGGGACGACGATGATGGCAAACCTTCGTCCATAAGGTGATGGATGGGTGGATATGCTACCCCGGTTCTCGTGGTTGCGGTATACTCTGAGGCAGTTAGTTGTCGAGGCAGCAAGGCATGTCATGGATGGCCTCCCCAGTCTAATACAGTTGGGGATAGCTCTTCTGTGCGGAAATCGTGAGGCCCGTGAGCTTCTTCCTCATCATAACTCTGTCCAACGTCCTTCGAAAGTGCCTGTTTGCGTAGACCCACCAGAATCCTGGGCCCGAATAGGCTCAACCGGGAAGAGTGCGGATCATGCGGGAAGGTATAAAGTAGGTAGGTAATGGTATTTTTCGTGAATCCTTAGTGTTACAAACACATCCATGATGGTGACTCCGCCCCAAAGGCATAAAATACGTGAGTCCCATGTTTCCGCAGTCCAGTCATCATGATATTAGAGACGCAACTCCTTGCAAGCAAGTCCCCCCTCCACCCCAATAAACGCCAGCATTGACTCGGCAAAGGATCTTCCATTCGCAAACAAAGGTCCTTGCCAGCTTCCTTCCCCGGGTCCGAATTATTTCGATAAGGAAAAGCCTCCGAGCGTCATTAAAACTGCCCTATCCCACCCGTCTCCCGCGGGGCAAAAAAACAGAAAAAAAGAGGAAATAATTCGATGTTCCCAATGGGATTGCACGACAGTAATCGGCCACCCAGACCAATAGGGACCAGGTCCGTCCTTCCGTGCGTTGAGTGATCCGTTAGCAAGCATACCCAGCGTATCTCAGACGACGACGTGCGTCGACAGGTGCTGCACCGCCTCCTTGATGGTGCGGAGCATCCGCTGGTTGACGCAGAAGGGGCACCGCACGGGCCGGTCCGTCATGGACATTGGCCCGCTGCTGGGGATGGGCGTCAGCGTGAGGTCCTCGCCGCCGGGGCCGGTACCCGTCGACGGTCCCGGGGTCTGCGCGAACCGCGCGCCCGTGTTGCCGTTCGCCCCTCCCGCTCCCGCTCCCGCTGCTGCCGATCCTCCCGCTCCCGCTCCGCCGCCGCCGCCGCTGCTGCCCGGCGCCCCGACGCTGCCCCTGGGACCCCCCGGCGTCGTCACCATGGCGCCCGCGGCCTGCGCGTACGCCTGGCCGGCGATGGCGCCGAGCGGGGGCAGGCCGCGCTCGGCGCGCTCGCGCTCCTCCCTGACGGCGGCGGCCTCGGTCTCGGCGTCGGCCTCCTCCTGCTGCAGGGCGCGGAGCGCGTTCTGCAGGACCACCTCGGGGTCCTCCTCGCCGTACATGGCGGCCGCCGCTGCTGCTGCTGCGGCGGCGGCGTGCGGGCCGTGGCCGCCGTCGGGGATGGAGGAGGCGGCGTGGTGCGGCTGACCGACCGAGGGGCCGCCGTTGGGCGACTGCTGGTGCTGGTGGGGGTGCTGCTGCTGCTGGTGCTGCGGGTTCTCGAGGCGGCGGACGATCTCGTCGCGGACGAGGGCGCAGGTGGAGAGGCTCGCCTCGACGCCGACGACGCGCTGGACGGCGTCGCGGATGGCCGAGGGGGGCGTCTCGGCCGAGACGCTCATGAAGCGGGGGACGGCGTCGACGAGGTAGGGGATGTCGTCGGCCGGGTTGGGGGCGGTGCCGTGGCGGCGCTGGCGGCGGATGAGGAGGCCGTAGCGCTTCTTGAAGCGGTGGATCCAGCCTGGCGAGAACTCGGGCGGCTGCTCGTCCTTGTAGCGGGGCAGCTGAGAGAAGATGGATTTGGCCTTCTCGGCGAGCTCCTCGTTGGAGGGGTGGCGGCCCGAGTTGACCATCTGCTGGTGCCACAGCAGGACCAGCTTCTCGACGTCGGGCCAGTTGCCGAACCGCAGCCGGGAGCCTGAGAGCTGGGGGTCGCCATCGAGACGCGCATATTTGGGGCTAAGAGAGTGGGAAACGGTGGACTGGCTGATGGTTTGGTCATATTGGGTCTGGAACCATTCGATGCACGCCTTGTGGCTCGGGCGCACTGTCTGTGAGTTTGCCCACCGGCGCAGCGCGCGGCGCTGGTCCAGGGTGAGCGAGTGTCGCTCCTTGGCTGTTGGCGAGTCGGACATGGCAAGAACGGCTGGCCCCGGGCCCGGACCTTTAGTGAGGCTGGGGCTGTCCTGTTTAGGGGAAGTTAGAGGAATATGCGATGAAAACTGCCTAGCCGAGTTTGCCCTTGATGATTGAATTTAATTTTCGAGGATTGAATGATGGTTCGAGATCGTTGTAGTGAAGGCGGGAAAATTTGGTTAAGGGAGGTTTGAGGGGGAAGACGTGGAAAAGAGGTGGCGGAAATCCATGGCCCGTTTGTGCGTGGGGGAGGAAGTGCATAAATTATCGAAGAGAGCATGGTTCCGGCAATTAGCCGACAGAAAAGCCATTTAAACAACCATGCATAAATCTAGCTGCCGCTTGGAAAACTGCATTTATGCGCCCCGTGTTTCCAATCACTTTCCAATTACACGCCACGCCTACAGGCTAGGTACCTAATTATGTACACCCTAGGAACATTCCTAGCATCCCACATATGTGAAAGCCACACACATTCTTCGGTACTACCATGTAGAGTAACTGCAATAAAGTTGAAGCATTTCTAACTCCCATGGTTGTACGACCGGGGAACTATTGGAATCTATGGTATAGTCTGCATTTGAAAACAATTAGAACATGACAGTGGGAAGGTCATGTATGTGAACAAAATGATATTGAGAAAGCCTATCACAGTACGGATGTAGATTGATGTGTACCACAGTAATTAGGTAGCGCGAATCGTGTAATAATAAGGGGGCCCCTTTATCAGAATCTCGCCAGGTTTTACTTTACATAGGTAGGTACATAGCCAAGCCAAGACACTCATAATCTCCTAGCTTGTCAAGAACTTCCATATAGCAACCATTACTCTATATAGCGCAACTGCATTAGAGATGGTTTACCTGATTCATTGCTACCCACCCATCTGGGGACTATACTAGAATTGCAGAGTTGGACCATATGAACCTGAAGGCATGTAATTCTCAGTCACTCAATCTCAGAGCCCCCTGGTTTATATACGTCCGTCTACCGGCCATCATCGAATTGCAGGCTGGCCATTGGCAGGTCCTAAGGTGATAGTCAATGATTTCTGATGAGTAGCAGCTGTAACTTGCACTTGCAGCTGATCAACAATATCAAGGTGCATCCCACGACAGGAGAGTGATTATATCAGCCGACGACCGAAATAAGTTCGTGGCTCGTAGCAATGACTTGGCAAGGAGGCAAACCTGGCGAATATCAGGGGCTGTTTCCCTTACCTTGCTGTTCCTCGACACTTGAAATGATACGCTTATATTCATATTTCCCTAGGAGAGCTGTCAACTCGGCTCGTGATAGGAGTCGAGTTTGGTCCCTCCAAGATGACCTTTCAAGGTCTCGAGGCGGTTTATATAGAACATTAGACCCAAATTCCAAATTAGACTTAAATACCTACTGAGGACATGGGGGTACTATCAGCGTGACAGTGCGATCAGCTTACTTCAATCTCTTAGTTACCATGGATCTTACCTTGGTCATTGTATTGTACATACAATGTTACGGTCATGCTTAGAGTGTTGTGCATCCGCGACCTATTGGTTATCTTACCTTGTAGCTTCAGCTAATCAAATATGAAATTTAAGCATACATCGACTGGTAAGAAGAAATACAGGCGAGTTGGTCCGACTCTGCTGCCAGGGTGTGCTTTGCGGGCTTCTCGGCTAGGAAATGGAAATCACTAATGATTATCTCATGGTATTGTCTCCTTAACAGCTAGGCGTAGAGTTCGGGTGAAGCGCAATCTGGACGTAATACCGTCAGAACTCAACGTCGACTGTCTGGGAAAGATATAATTGTCGTTATGCACGGGGTCCCAAGGGCCAATGACACTATGCCATAACGGACGAAGCCTAACAGGATCAAGTCGTACACGCTCTGGATTAGGTGGGTTTAAACAGCCAAAATGAAGGTTGAGAAGTATAGGTTAACTAGGTATGTCATTAGGATTCATCATTACCAACCAGCATATAGACCTCAGCCTATGGTACCAATTTAACTCCAACCGCGGATTCCAGGGGTCCTGGCTATCCAAAATCGAATCCCATTTTCCACCATACTCCATGAAGGCTCACTTCCGGTCCAACGAAGAAGGATTTCCTTATTCCCAACTTGGACAACTTTTTCTTCCGAGTGCGATGGTCCAGCCAAGTGAAACTCGCGGCGTCAACTCGAGAGCTCCCTAATACACGCACACACACACACACACACACACACACAAATACCCGCGAATTAGACAATCGCACTTCCGAATCAAACGCCGGGCAACTTGCCCATCACCTGCCTGGCTGCAACGTCGCGCATGAGCCCGACGTTCTCCAGCAGCTCGTTCCGCTCTTGCTGGAGCGTCAAGCTCTCCTGCTCGAGCGACGTGATGCGCTGCCTGGCCATCTCCAGGACCTCGGCCTTGCTCAGCCGGCGGTCGTCGCCCGCCCCCGCGCCGCCCTTGACCTGGCCGCCGATGCCGCCGCCCGGGCCGTGCTCGTTGTCGGCGGGCAGGACGGCCAGCAGGCTCTCGAACTGCTGGTTCAGGCGGTTGCGGTACTGCTTCTCGACGAGGTTGTGGCTCTGCCTGGCCCGGCGCTCCTCGGGGGTCAGGGCGTCGTCGTCCTGCTCCGCGATGGGCTGGACGGACTGGGCGGGCGACGGTGGCTTGGGCCTGCGGCAGGCAGTCCGGAGTTGGGCCTTGGGGCTCTCGCCGGGTGTGATGGGTGTCAAGGGCGCCTTTCCCGCCGATTTGCTTGCCTTGGATTTGCTGCCGGGCTTTGATTTCGACTCGGCCTTGGGCTTGGCCTTGGAATGGCTTGGGGGAGTCGTGTCCTTGGCCTTAAGCTTGCCTCGCATCGCATGCTCTGACACATCGGAGCAGGCTCGTTTCGCAGGCCGTGATGAAGCGATGTTGGCGGAGCTTTCTGATGCCTGGTAGTCGTCGGGTCCCCCGATGCTGTGTCTCTTCTTGATCGGGCCACTGCTGGAAACTGGGGAGATGGGTGAGACCGGCGTCTTGTAGTAGTGCCCGGTATCCGGATCCGAGGCTTTCCTAACCCCGGCCGAATAAGTCGCAGGCGCAGCCGAATAAGATGTTGCCGAAACACAGCCATCTCCCGGCCACTCCATCAGGCTGCTTCCGGACGAGGTCCTGTACTCTGAGCTGGCGGAAGTTGAATTGCCCGACAAGGTAAAATTGCCGTAAGATGTCTTGTCATCAAGACAGGCGCCCGGGGGGTAATCCAGGTTAGAGAGGTCACCGTCCGCAGTTGCCCAAGGCATGAAGTCAAATCCGCAGCCGCCGTTAAGCTCGGCGTCCGTCGGAGACATGGAAACCTTTGAGATGGAACATGTCAGCGCACATGATATGGTAGTTTACAGGACTGCCGAACGTAGAAGCCCGGAATCTAGGCACACCGATGCAAGAATCCGCCAAGGCTTCGAGGGTATGGCCCCTGGGTTGGGCAAACCCATCATCGAAAGGAGAGTGGCAGGGCGGGGTTAGAAGTCGAAAAGAAACCCCTTGTAAGAGGAGCCGATGGACCTTACCTTGCTCATATCCAGACCCAGCTCATCGGTAAAATAACCGGAAACTGAACCTACGTCCATGGCGAAGATGTGCACGAGGACTTGACTTCTAATCTGTAAGAGTGGCTTGTGTTGGTTAATGAGAGGTTGCTGATGCCGCTTGAACAGACCAACACCCCAGGGTTGTGCGGGGTTGACGGGATGGATGTTGATGTGACTAGTTCGACTTCTTCAACCATTTATTAATCGAGTCGTAGCGATCCTTTATATAAATCATCCCAGACATTCTTGGCCGCTCCCTGGGCGTATCTTCCTCTCCTCCTTTGAGTGGCAGCTTTAGTCGACTGGATTGGTGACGAAATGCAGCCGAGACCTAAAGACGCAGGGATCTAGCAGGATTAAACCCAATATACCTAGTCTGTGGGATGCACAGCACCCAGGTAGGTATGTACTCCCAATTAGATGCATGATGATACAGGTACAAATGATTAGAGCGTGGGAGAGAGTGCAGACGAAGTGCAGAGTACCCGCCAGCGCCGTTTAGGGACCTCCATTATCGCCAGTTCTAGACCACAGGCAGACCCGAGGCCATGATGAGAGGCGGCATCATTTAGCTTGACGTGGCGTCATTTTTTGGCTTACCCTTCCGAGCGGAGCCCGAACCAGGCCGCGCCAGAGATGCTAACCGATTAAGAAACGCCAGAATCAACACTACACCCAGAAGGCTTGGGAGCTCCATAAAACATGTCTGAGCCCGATCAGTTCTGTCCCGGACTTTCTCTCCTCCATTTCTCCAGCCACTCCAGCCAAGAGCTCCAAGCCCACTACCTTATCCATTAGCTTAGAGGTTCCTGGCGAATTGCGAGTCGCGGATGGCGGGAGAAGGTCGTCTTACCGGCCATCTGTCCCGAACCCCACCCACCAGGAGGCTCAGCAGGACGGGGGCTTAGGCCCAGCTTAGGCCCACCATCAGGCATGGGGCGGTGGAATTGGCCCATGTTTGTGTGTTTGTGGGCGATAGTGGGCGATGACTTCCAGAGTAGCGGAAAGTCTGAATGAACGCTTGGGATATACCAGCGTCTGGGCCTTCCTCAGAGGTACAGTGCAATATAGAGGTACGTGGAGGAGGGCTCCTTGCCACCCCTATCTCGTCGACATGACATCCCATCTTCGGATAACATCCCATCTTTGGCCGGCGGTTTCCGCGAGGGATGTCTCTCACGCCGCCCAGGGCCGAGACTAACCTTTGCGCAATCGTTCTGGAAGAGGATGATATGATATGGCCCCATGTCTATGTACCCGGGTACCTTATTACGACTTGTCGCCTTGGCCAAACCAACGTGTGCCGGTCCTGCATTGGCGTTGCCTGTCTGTCAACCAATGAGCCAAACTGAGCAGTCGACTGTACATCCGTATTATGCAGAGACTGGAAACTGCCATATCACTCTCGGGACCAAGTGCTTTACCTAGCTTGCCTAGGTGGCTACCTAAGCGCTAGTCATGCCCCGCTCCATCCATCGCCGATCCGTCGCCCCGGATGCGGGTTTGCTGGGCCTTCCGTCGCTTGCCGGCCGACCCGGAATGCCTTGCGATTCTCGGCTATGTCGGGGGCAGGGTGCAATCTCGCAAACATGACCAGGCTATGCTCATTAATATGGGTCTGTCAATTTAGAAGTCGTCGGTGTTGATATGGCGCTGTAGGGTGATTTCAGGCTGTGCATTGGAGGAATGAATGTGGGAAGTAGCGAGTATATCCGTGGTTGTGATGAGGACCGAGGACGAGGAGTCTGGGAATATTTTTGTCAAGGGAGCTGGGGAGGTCCTGGCTGTTCGTGCCATTCATTGGTGACAAATCGGTTCAGACGCTGGACCAACCAGAGCACACCCAACCATACGGTCCCTGTCGAATCCGAAAATCTCGGGCGTCAAGGGTGCCTGAAAATCTAGATCCTCGATTCATCTGCACCGCAAAGCTGGCAAAGAAACAATGTCTATTGACTATTCGTATTTTTGATCCACGTCCACCACATATTCCGGAAATTCTAACAGACTTGACAACCATATTTCATCCTGCAAAGTTGAAAGTCCGCAAACCCCGAGTGCGGCCAACTCCGGAGAGGTGGCCGAGGTGAGTAGCCACAGCGAGAGACAGGCGTAATGGAGGGAAATGCCATTCGGCGGAGGAGCGGGAGAAGCGAAGCGGCGCCTCCTAATCTTCCTCATCGCCGCCTCCGGCAGCGACCCCTTTCTCCTCGCCTTGTTCGACGGGAGCGGCAACGGCAGCCTTGGCCGCTGCCTTAGTGGGCAGGCCATTGCCAACTTGTTCGGCTCCCTCCCCGCCCTCTTCATCTTCGGCCACATCTTCCTCCTCGTCGTCGTCGATATCTTCTTCTTCTATCTCCTCTTCCTCCTCATGCTCACCATTCTTCTCGCCATTCTTCTTGCCATTCGAGACATTGACAGGCTTGCCAGGCGCGATACCGGATGGGGCGGTCTTCAGTTTCTTCTTGGGCGGGGCGTTGTCTGCTTTGTCTATGATCATTCGTCAGCAAGGGAACGATGTTATGATGGTACAAGAAAAAGGAGCAGCTGCAACGAGGGCACATTTCGACAAACGTGCTGAGCTTATCATCTCCATAGATGCATAATCGGGTATCATGTCTGATAGTTTGCGGATGAAGGGACGAAGGGGATGTCAAGGACTTTGTCTTACCTGGCACTCCATTTCCTTCGTCTTCGCCCTCCTCATCAGACGCCTCTTCTACGTCCTCGTCCTCGTCGTCATCAACAACATCTTCTTCGTCATCCGAAATATACCTGTTCGCAGTCGATCAGCGCCTCATGTCTTGACTTTCGGATATAGGTTTTGGGGTTTCGAGACGGAAACCCCGAGAGAGTGGACATCGTTGACGACGGTGACCATGGGCAGAGTTGCCGACGGCCAACAAAGTACTTGCGCTGGAACACACAGCTGGAGGAGCCGAACACGGATTTCTCGGGCGTTGTCGCACCAAGTTGGCGACGCAGGTGATGTGTTCTGAGCACTGGCGATAACAAGAGTGCGACTTACTCTTCTTCTTCCTCAGATCCACTAGGGAGGGAGACAAGCTCCTCCTCCTCAACCTGCTTTCTCTTGCGGCTAGACATTGTGATACAGGAGGCGGATTGGGGTCAATTGACCAAAAGACAGTCTGTCCGGAGGTGTATTTTGGCTGGTTTGGATGCCTGGGCGTTGCAGAATGATGGGGATGAAAAGGGGGAAGGAGAGGAAAGGCTGCGAGGAATGGGAAGATTCGGGGGGTGGCGGGAGTGCAAAGGCAGGCAGCTCCAGCAAAAAGGTACGTACCTCTGTGAGAAGCAGGGCAGGAGGATAAAGCGGTGGGCGGAAGGGGGGGAGCTCACCTCAAAGTTCTGTTGCTGGTGAGGGGTCAATCGAGACCTCAGGCAACCACCATCGCCGCCAACAACGGACAGTGGAGGCGGAAACTGGGGGGGCCGGACAAAGCAAGCAAGCTGTGTGGAACTTGGATCGTTTCCTGGCTCTAGCTGGCCCGGACTCGAGTCTGCGAGGGAGCTCGGACCTCTACTGGCCTGTTTGTACTGCATAGTAGTTGGCCAATCATCCCTGGCAAATCTCCACCTATTTACCTACCTTAGTGCAATGCAACGCACCTATTTCGAGCTTATTCGAAAGCATGGCGCAAAGCAAGATCAGAGCTAACGTCATCGGAATGTCTCGAAGTGCCGTCTGGGAAAGAGCCAGCATAGAGCGACGAAATTGAACGGACCACGCCCTTCTCAGCTGAAAATCAAAGTTGCTTGACTACCTACGGCATAGCATACTCGACTTGGGATTGAATTGGAATTCCTCAGTTTGTTTACCGATGTTGCCGAGGATCGCTGGAAGGAAAAGTGGACAGCTAAGACACGGGTGGTAAGACACGGCTGGAGAAATGATGCGGAGGATGGCAAACAACGTTGCCCACCTACCTAGCTGCCTTCTAACTATCATCCGCCATGTCCTCTCGACGCGGTTGCAATGACGCGTTGCTGCTACTGCAACACCCCGCGCGCCAATCCAACCCAGCGTTGCTTCACCCAGTTTTCGGCACGCGTTGAGATGGCGAACTATCGATGGTGCAATCAAATTGAAATGAAGCCCAATTCTTGCCGTGTGTGATGCTGCGTGCAATGGAAAAGATGCTGGCGGAGCCTCCGTTGGGCCACGAGTGGGAGGGATAATTGCTTGCAACAGAGAAACGTACATAACGAGTTAGAACATGCTTAATTCTGATTTCTAGTGGTACGCCAGAGAAATAGCACGTTTCTTCTTCGACATGGGGTACTATGAACGGAAAAAAAATAGGAGGAAAAAGGAAAAGGGGTGATGAGGAGAGTCAAGTCGGGTCACATCCTGGGACCGGGACCTGAAGGAGGAAAGACAATCGCAATTAATCCAGTGCTTCTATGCTGGTACTGTGGACACTTGACAGAGTGCCAAGTGCGGGCTAGCCCGCTCAGGGCAGCAGCAGCTTTCGTGAACCGCAGGGATGAGCTGCTAGCTTGACCCGGATTTCCCACTGTTCCAGGGCTGACCACGATGGTGGGTGTGACACTGCGACTCCCTTTTTGCTGGCATTTTGGCCTCTCTCGCCAATCTTATGTACCACATGCTACACTGCTATACAACCCTTTTTGGAGATGAAATGTAGCGTTTTGGCTTCATCTTTCCGGGCAGACCTGCTGTGGAACCTGGGCACATAATGGGGGAGTTGGGGGGGAGGGAGTTCACCTGGCATTTCTGTATATCACATACACCTGCAGAGTACAGATTACTGACACCGATAACATAACTCCGAGCCGACAATACATAGATGCTTGGTCTTGGTGCAGGGTAGGGCAGAGAGGTATTTGCTGTGGCACGTCTGTCACTCCAGAAAATTACAGGGAATACCAGGTTGTGCGTTTGAACTTTTGAAGCGTGTCTTACCATGACCCACTCTCGCTCAGACTCCCATGTCGCGCTCTGGGACCGGTTCCGAAGATTGTTGATCCACTGAGACACTAATAATAATAAGCAATGTTGGGAAAAAAACAAGATGAAAAATAAAACAAAAACAAAAACAGCAAGTAAACAAGAAATAAAGCAAGCCCTCGCGAAGCTTCCACCCCCAAGACGGAAGCAGCTATGGCTGACTCGTCCGCAGACGAGTCTCGCAGCTGCTCCGGGTTTGCCAATGCAATGCATCACCGCGATGCAAAACATCGGGAGCTTGGCCTTGACCCTTCCGTCTTCCGTGCGAGACCACAACAACTTCAAATATTGCAACATGAACAACCTCAGCCCGACCCTTTCGAGTTGAAACCCAGCACAGGCGAGGCCTCGGATTTGGCCCACCACAACGCCGACCACCACACACAACAGGCAGATTTCAGGTCTGGCAATGACTTCGTGCCTATGTTGCCTTCAACCGGATCCGTCCCGCAGCTGCCTGCGCTCTCCTTTCCGACAATATCTCCTCGATGGGATTCACTCCCAAACAACAATCCCGCCATCACGCACAAAGAACCCGTCTCGACGACAAACTTGACAGGAAGACCGCCCCAGCTGTCGCCTTTCCCTGGTCTCTCCTCCCATCCCCCGTTCTCCCCGGATCCGCTTCAACGAGATTCTCCGAGCCCCTCAATCCGGCAGTTCCCAGAATTCGACAGCAGCTATGAAGCCAATCACCGACCGCTAGGCCCGACAATCTCATCAAAACCGTACCCGATTGACCCCTATGCAGGGACGGCCGCCGATGTCAACATGGCAGTGGGAAACTTCTCCCGCCCTCGGAAGCCGAGCGTCAGACAAGCAAATAAGGATCTACCCCAGTCACGACAGAGAACAATTACCATTCCCCAGCCCGATCCGACAGGTCTCGACCTACCCTCCTCTAACAATGTCTCCCCGAATCCTAGCATACAACAGACCGGATGGCCCCGTGGACGGGGCCTTTCCGCTTCATCGGCCAGGTCCACGAACACCTTTTCCTCCCTTCCACACCGACCGTCAAACGACCACATCAACAGCGCCTACCGAGCCGGGTCCCTCCGACTCCCCAATCCATCTACAAATCTCGCAAGGCCCCCCGTGTCCTTCAACAACGGCAACGGTTCCATGCACAGCAGAGAAGCTCCACCTTGGGTGGCAACGGGAAACGACGAACTCCGGTCCAGTTTCAGATCACAATTGACGTCTTCGACAACGCAGGGGACGCTATTCACTGCTACTGGCACTGAACGGAGCAGCGTTCTGACGAAAACGAGCAGTCTCACCGAGTCCTCAATGCTCAACGGCTATGCCCCGGCTGGTACCTCGGTGGACGAAGGACTCAGCGTGGAGGATGTCATGGGGATGTATGAGCAGGGCTTCGGGGATGATTCTGATGACGGGGAGGACGACCCGGGCCTCGGCAGGCGGAAGTTTGGAGATGATGAGAATGACACTCGGGAGATCGACGTTGGCGTCAGCTATGATGAATCGCGGCCGGAAACTGGGAATTCGGAATCAAGCAGGATAGGAAACAAGACGCTGGACGCCATGAGCGACACCTCCCGCGTGGACGGAGCACTGGACATATCGAACTCGAACTCGAACTGGGGACGATTTGACGCCCGAGACTCGCCACGCGGGTTTAGGTCGCCTGGTTTCCCCAGTTCATTACCAAAGGATGTCGGATTCGCTCTGGCAACCGCGGCGCTTGGGGGGGGCGGGCAGGAAAGTGGGAATCTGGAGAGTGCCGCAAAGGGGAATCATGATCTGGCCAGGACGCTGGGAGGAGACGACCAACCGATAGTGCCGCAACTTGGATCCGGGGAGTCCACGGCCCCCTCGATGCATCCCCAACCACCTTCCCCAACCGCCAACACCCCGGTCCAACCGTCGGCATCTCGATCTCCGACATCTTCGCCACCCTACCAAGTACCCGAAGAACCCGTGGAAGATCCGGCGGACCGTGACAGATATGGCTTCCGTAAGGCGAATGCGTATATCACTCGGGAACAATACGACACGTGGGATTCGTCCTATAGTGACTATCTCGCTCGGAGGAGAAAGAAATGGGTCGCATATCTCAAGGACAGCTCCTTAATGACCGAGAACCCAAATCGGTTTCCACCCCGGAATGCTAAAACGAAGCGTTTCATCCGCAAGGGTGTCCCGCCGGACTGGAGAGGCGCTGCATGGTTCTACTACGCCGGTGGTCCAGCTATTCTAGCTAAGCACGGCGGCGTCTACGATCAGCTTGTGAGACGCGCTGGCCTGGAAGCCAGGGGGAAGGGCGGGGCTCAATGGGAGAAGAGCGAGTTGAAGCAGCTGATTATCGAGGATATCGAGAAAGACCTTCATCGGACATTTCCCGACAACACGAAGTTCAAGCCGGCCCGTTATGCGAAACCACCTCAAGAGCCCCCTTTGTCGATGGCCAACAGTGAGGCAGCCCTCACAAACCCGTCTCCCGACCAAGCCTCCACAGCCGATGGCCCCCGGGAGACGGAAATCATCTCTTCGCTTCGCCGCGTACTATACGCGTTCGCCCTTTACAACCCCCGAATTGGCTACTGTCAGTCGCTCAACTTCCTCGCCGGCTTACTCCTCCTCTTCGTCGACGGCGAGGAGCAGGCCTTCTGGTTGCTCAACGTCATCACCAGGGTGTATCTCCCGGGGACTCACGAGATGAGCCTCGAGGGCTCCAAGATTGATCTAGCCGTCTTCATGGCCGCGCTCCAAGACGCGCTCCCCAGCGTCTGGAAACAGATCGCCGGAGACGAGGCCGAAGGAATGGGAAAGCCGACCTGGAAGACGAGGGGAAAGCGGGCCAAGGGAGTGGCTTCGGCTTCGGCGTCTCCGGGTGGAGGCAACGACAGCTCGCCCGTCGACCCGAATCGTCTGCCATCCATCACGCTCTGCATGACAGCCTGGTTCATGTCATGCTTCATCGGGACGCTCCCGATGGAGACCGTCCTCAGGGTGTGGGACATATTCTTCTACGAGGGATCCCGCACCCTCTTCCGCGTGGCGCTGACCATCTTCAAGGTCGGCGAGTCGGAGATCAAGTCGGTGGCCGACCCGATGGAGATGTTTGGCGTGGTGCAGTCCCTGCCCCGGCGGCTGCTCGACTGCAACGCCCTGATGGAGGCGTGCTACAAGCGGCGCAACGGGATCGGGCACCTCAGCCAGGAGGCCGTCGACGAGCGGAGGCAGGAGCGGAGGGCCGGGATCCGGACGTGGAGGGCCGAGCAGGAGAGGGCCAGCGCGAGCCCCACCCAGGATCCCGACCCGCTCGGGGCAGGAGCGGCGGCGGCCGGCCTGGACCTGGCCGCCCACTTCGCCGACATTGACGTCCGGCGCAAGGGGACCCTGTTCGGCAGGCGCAAGGATCGGGAAAAGGCCAGGGCCGCTGAGGTGATGTAGGGAGAACCCCGCGGGCCTGATCGGACCTAATCTCGATTCGTTTTGCCTGCCAGGAGTTTTTTTTCTTTTCCTTGTGTGTGGCTAGCCTCTTGGGCTTCCAGTTTACTTCACCACCTGTTGTTCCCTTTGTAATGAGTGATAAATCCACGTTTCTCATCGTGGTACGTTTTGTTCTATCGTCGCCATGTCTTGGCAAATATTTTGCATGATGATTGATGGCTTTAGGAAAGGGGCGGCTGTTGCATTGGGAGCAATGATTTTCTTTTCTATTTAAAGCTGCGCTTTTGGGGGGCATCGCACGAGAAAGCATCATGACGGATGGTGGCTTTGGCTTTCGGTCTGGGGAGACCCTGTCTCTTCAAGCGACAATCATGAGGTGAACGGAAAAGGTTTACGGCGAACTATGATAGGATAGATGGGCTGGGAGGGAAAGTTAATGTATTGTATACTACCCATTCAGCAAGGCGAGAGAATTTCGAAGGACATGCTTATTTCAGCCACAAGGTCCCATCCGCATAGCTCAAGCTACCTAGGTACCTTTCCTGCCGCTCTAGTACATGGGAATAGAGTTGAGTGAGGCTCAACTCGACAGGTTCGTGGTCCAACTTTCTCTCTCACTGACATGGCTAGAGGTAGGCTGCCACAACAAAATACTTTGAACGAGACCAGCGAGCTAGAAGGGAGAAAGGACAACAAGATTTGATTTGGAGGGGAAACAGAACAACCCCTTGTCACTGACATTCCACGATTGGAACTGGAAGCGGGTTCCGAGCCGTTAGATTCCGAAACGGTACATGAGCACAAGGATCGGGGCGGTCCCCTGTGTTGGAGTGAGAAGGCAGTTTATTCGTGTAGAGCTTGCGAATATCCCCTCAGGTAGAATGCCATGCCCCAAAAGCAACCATATGCAGTGCATGCGGTCCTCTGTATGTACATACATACAATGTGCCTCGTAAGGCCAACCACCACATATCCAGGGGAATCACCAAAATGAGACAGTCCAGGTCCTGAGAATGATGGAACTTGCTCCTCACTGCCGGGTTGGTAGCGGTGATGGATAACCCCTCAACCCCGGGCCAAGTCTCCGCAGTTCCGCCCGAACGCCTTCTTCTCCCTTAGAACGAGCCCCTCCCCGCCTCCCCTTTCTTCATCCCTAGGGGGCCCGGGTCGTCGTCTCCTTGGCGGCGGCGGCAAACGAAGGCGGGCCCCTGGCGTACTTCGCCGTGTGGGCGCGGGCGTTCTTGTCGAACTGGGCGCGGTCGCGCTTGTACTCGTCGGCGATGTGGTTCTCGAGCGGGTCGTCGGGCTGCGGCTCGGCGAGCAGGGCGCGGACGGCCTCGAGCACGCCGAGCATCTTGCTGGCGGGCTTCCAGTTCTCGGCCTTGAGCACGCCCAGGCAGATGCTGCCCAGGCTGTCGTTGGTCACGTTGGGGTGGTAGACGCGCGTCGAGAAGCGCACCGTCGGCGCCTTGAACGGGTACTCGGCCGGCAGCGTCACCACGAGCCCGAACGTGCCGCCCGCGTACGCCGTGCCCGGCGGGCCCGAGATCGTCACGTGCCAGCGGTGCACGTCCGAGTCGTTGGGTAGGGCGACTGATATGCCCTCCGGCGGGTTGTTCATGCACTCGGCTAGCTCCTGGGGGTTGGGCGCGGTCGACCTGTCAGCTATTTTCCCTCGTTTCGTTTTCGGGAGCGTGTTGGTCTGGGAGGTATGGGGAGCTGCGGGGCGGAGCAGGCTTCCCGACCGAGGGAGCTCTTACCTTGGTGATTCGTTTCTGGGAAGCCATTGCTTTGATATTCGGTTGGATGCGGCGAGTTTGGTGGCTGAAGTGGGATTCTGTCACACTCGTGTGCTGCTATCCTGTGCTATGCTGCGGTGATCAAGCCTCGTTTTCGGGCTGGACTGGGAACGAAAGCCGAGAGAAATTACGATCTACGCATGCTGGCTAGGTTGAGAAACTTCTGAAAGAACCGAGTGAAATAATTGTCGGTACCTTGCTGTCTTGATACCTTGCTGTCTTGATACCTTGGTGCCTGCTTGGTGAAAGCCTTCAAGGTGCGGGGCTGTACATGTACGGACGTAGGAGTGATGGCATTGCCAGGTCGTATTCACCTAAGTAACCCGTCCCCACTAAGGCAGACAAGCATACCCCCAATTTGGCACCTACGTCACTTTACAGGGATAAGGTAGTATGGATATGGAATGGTACCTGATTGTTTGGTAGGTACCTATCCATTATTTCGATTGTTTTGCATGATACACAACCCAAGGCCCCTTTCTTTGAGATACAAAGGTTACACTGTAGGTAATATACAGAATAGTCTGTACAAGAGTATGTCAAGCCATACTCCAAGCCATACTCAAAACGCCATTGCTTGTTGTTTACTTGGAAACCATTCCCCGATCCAGCTCCTCGTCAGGGGTTATTCAACTACCATGGAGCTAGCTGCCCATGTCAATACCATCCCCCATCACTGCTCAGCAGGGGGCGATCCCGCCTCACCAGCGGGAGAACTGGGCTCCGAACCCGTGCTCTCCACCTCGGTGTCTTGGCCCGACACGAGCCCAACATCCACACTCCTCCTAAGATTCGGGAAGAGTAGTGCCGGCGGCGGGCCGTCGTCGTCGTAGTCAGCCGGCACATCACTAAGGTCGCTCTCGTCGTCCGCCGAGTCATGCACGCTCCCTGGAACGCTGGAGATATCACTGCCCGCCTCCTCGTGCCCCAGCTTTCCGTCTCCATTCCCGGCGGCTGCCTCGTCACCCGCGCCGCCCTCCTTCATCTCCACGTCGTCGTCCTCGGCGTGCGCGACGTCGTCACCGCCGTCGCTCTCCGCGTCCTCCTCCGCCTCGGCGTTTGGCGTGTCGTTCTTCCCGCCGGACGTGGATCCCCGCCGGGATTTGCTGCCGTGGCCGTTCGCCCCTGCTTTCGACGGTCCCTCCGCTGCTCGCTGGACAGCTTGGTCTGCCTTCCGCAGTATGTCTGGCTTCCTAACCCCGGCTCTGCGCGCCCTCGGCGCCGGGTCGCCCGTCGACGACAGTTGCTTCTCCATTTTCTCCGGCTGTTCTGAGACCGCCCTAAGAGAGCCAAGCGTGGTGGTGGGTTCCTTCACCCTCTCGATGTTGCCGTTGACTGGGAGACCCCCGCCCTGCTGCCTGCCTCGTTCATCGTCGTCTTTGCCGTGCTCGGGTTCCGGATCCGGGAACTGGGGCCTGACATCGACGTAGAGCGACGAATAGCAGTCGGCGATTAGGTCGTCGATCGGCGTAGCCTTCATCAGATTCCCGTTCAGCTTCTTCAGCTCGATCGCATCCCTCATGGCGCCGAGAACGGGATGATCCTGTGCATCCGGGCGCCCCACCCACTCGTTGACCGCCTCGGCGCCGACGTCGAACTCTTCCTGGGACACGCTCTTAAACACGTCATCCTCGGTCAAGGGGATATGGTATGACTGCCGTAGCAATTTCAGATATTCCATGACACACGATTGCCACAGATCATTGAAATGGTAGAAGTCAGCACCCTTTTTGCGAATTCGGCGCAGGAGCGCCTCCATGTTGGCCCGGTCATTCATAACGACAAGCAAGCCAACCATGAGGCGCACGTATCTCTCGGTGTACACGTGGTGACGGCCGGGCCGCTCGGCATCGCATTTCCAGACGTTCATGACCATCGTCTTTGTGAACATGCCCTCGCGGAGGACGGTAAAGGCCGCCTTGGCGGAGACATAGCCGCCGCCGTTGCCCCGGCCGGGCGGCTCGCTGTCCGGGCTATTGTCGTCGTTCTCAAGGAGGATGCGCGCGTGGCGGATGACCAATCGATGCTGCCAATTGGACTTGTCCTTGTCGCGCAGATGCCGTATGGATCTGACCACATAGGCTTCCCAGTCATCACCATCCTTAATGGTCACATCCAAGCCCGGTTGGAGGGCGTAGGGCTGCCGCTGCAGGATATCGGCTCCCTCTTGTGCCGCCAAGTACCCTCGCGTGACCAGTTTGTAGATGACAGAGAGGATCTTGTAATGCGGTTCGAGGATGGGATCCTGCCCATGCCGCGGCTTGGGAAGCGCTGAGACGACCTCGACTGACTTTTCAAGGGCTCTAACGACTGTCTCAACCGAGGGCCGGCTGACGCTGTCCTTGTGGTCAAGGGCCTCTACGGGCTTCTGGAACATCTTCCACAGGCATTTGGCGAGCATGTACGGGTTCTTCCAGTCCTTGGGCTTCCCGGCCATTGCTCGCCTGAACAAGCCCGCAGCGTACTTCCAGACCTTGTAATCCGTCATCTGCTCGTGCAAGACCTTCTTGTAGGTTCCGGCGCCCATGTTCTCGATAAAAAACCGCTCTTGGTCGGCATGCTGGAAGGGCTCCATTGCGAAAGGTTCTCGGCTCGAAGCATAGAGTCTCATGCCGAATTTATGGTAGAGTTCGCAGAGCGCCTCCTCGCCGTCCTCGGTGGAACCGGTTGCTGATGACTCGGGGTCCCACGAGTGCGAATGCGACAAGGCAAGGGTATAGCAATGAATCGCATTCCGCTGGAACTTGACAAGCTCGGCGCGGTCCTTGTTCATCTTGTCCGCCGTCCACAGCACTGCTTCGTCGAGTTCGTAATCGAAGCACTCGGCAAGTCGAAACCATGCATCCCAGCGGTCCGGGGTGAACTGCAACTGCAGCCGGAGGAAGGTGGCGCCTATCCGTAGATCATCTGTCGCCCCTGGCGTCTGCCGCCTGTTGAGGTCGACACCCTTGAACTTGGTGAGGGCGAACATGCCCAACAGAAAGAACCAGCCATGCTTTGCCAGGGTGCTCTCGGGCGTGTTGACGGTTACGGCGTCGAGGGCGACATTGCCGGTCAAGGCTTGGTAGAGGCGTAGAGGGTGGATGGGCTTTTTCAGATACTCGGTGAAGTTGCGGAGGTTGTGAATCATCTGTGGCGTGGATTTGGTCGACCCGATAGCCTGCTGCATATGGTCTATAGTGTTCTTGAGATCGGATTTTAGGAGGTCCTTCATCGACATGCGGTTCGCCATGACGGCTATCTTTTCGACCAGCGTCATGGCGTGTCGCTTTTCGAGCTTCTCAGGTGGACAGCCATGGTCCTGAACTTCCCAGCCCAGCTTCAGGCCGTGAAGGTCGTAGAGTACTTGGTCGAGGTAATCCTCCCAGTTCTCCATATTCTTCTGTTTCAAGAGCTCGACGCGCATCATCTTCAAGAAGACCTTGTTGACGGCCTTGCAGCATTTGCGCAGACCCAGGACTTGATGTACAGCTGCGAGGTAATCGGCCAGTTCGGTTTCGGGCTTGGGAAAGCTAGCCCTGTTCTGGCTGATGGCGACCTTGAGAACCGTGTATTGCAGGGACCAGGTCCTGACTTGCATATCCTGGAGTTTGTTGAGGAAGGACGTGTACGTTGGGCTGGTCACCAGAGGCTGCGTCATTCCAATACGAACCTCGTCGTCGAGCATGGCAGCTGTGTGCAGCAGGCAGCTCAGTCTCGCCAGTGCAGACGAGGTTGATTTGAGGTGAGCCTCATCAATGACATCGAATGCACTGTTATCGTTCAGCGCCAGGTCGAGTGCTTGGATGACAAGGTCGTCCAGTGACTTGAGCATCGTGACCAAAAGTGTCCTCCTCGAGTCTGGCGGGGTGCTTAGGTAGGCATCGCGGTCGAAGTCAGCAAGTACCATTTCAATGCTTCTAAGGTAGCATGAGAATTGCTTAGTCGTGTACTCGATCTTCCCGTACGCCTCTCCGAGCCTGGTCCAGAGGAATAGCCGGAGGTCGGTGTTGCTGTTCTCGATAAACTTCCACAGGTCGCGCAGCCCCTGGCTTGCACACTCTGTGATTGGCACCTTGCCGTCTTTCCGCCCTGCCCCGTCGGAGCCGTCATCATGAATCTCAGTTTGGCCGGTGCTGCCAACGTAGACTGATTCGGGGTTCAAGACCGGCTCAAGCGTATCGACGACCGAGACAGGCTCACCCATGTCTTCCTGGAAGAGGCCTAGGAAGAAGTCCATGGTTGTCAGCTTAGATATCTCTCTGTCTGCGGCAGTGGCAGAGATTTCAGGCATAACTGCGTTATTCGGCAGCGTGATATCATGGTCGGCGCCTGAAAGCTCGTCCCGAAGGCAATCCCAACAGGCTAAGGTGTGGTCCCGCGCAACGCCCTCAGAAAGGGATGTGGAAAAGACGGCAGCCCAGAGGAAGCGAACGGTCACGTCGTCTTCGGCCTCGCGAACGCGGCTTCTAATCGCCTCGGCGGCCATGCGCATCCATCTACCCAGGCGTCCCCTTGTCTCCACCCGGGTGGCATACTCCACCACGCTGTTCGGATTCGTGATGCGCTGGTACACATCAAGATGTAGCTCAAAGAGCATCTGGGCCACCGAGACAAGTTCCTCTGAGGTATTGTTCGTGCTTGCTTTCCTTTGGTCGTGCCGGAGTTCATATGAGATCCCGTCATAAATGGCGTCGTCTAAACGGCAGATAACTTGCACCACAGCAGTCTTCATTTGATCTGACCATTTGAACGCGGTGTAGGTCTGCGTCACAGCCTTGACCCATTCGTGGGCAATGTCGTGTATGGTATGCCACCCTGCATTGATTCGGTCCACAAACGCCTTCAGGCCTCGGGTTTCGTCAAAAATGGGCGTCTCGACGGCGCGCTGCGAGCCGGACTTTGTGTGCTCGAGGAAGGCGGATAGTCCAAGTTGCGGGCTCTCCTTCTTATTCAGGAGAATCTTGGCGTTATTCTCATCGAAAGAGACTATCGACTCGCGCAAGTCAATGGCAGCTGGATTGCTAATCTTGGCGGTCCGCTCCTCGGATGCACATGTGTCCAGGATTTCAGCCATCCTATCCAGGGTAGCTCGATCCGTCACATCGAGATTCTCCAGCATGTTTTTCGTCATCTGGAACAGATTCTGGTCAGCAGCTTGAAATGGTTGCAGCTGGGTTGCAAGTCGGGTAGCTGGGTCCATCGCTTTCGCTTCCTCAACCGCAGTATCCCGCCGCCTGGTGCGTTTGATTCTCTTCGTATCGCCATTCTCATCTTCCGCTGCTTCCGGCAATCCAGCCGCGGATTGTGACCGTTTCCTGGATGGAAGTGACATGCTCCGCTCCTTGGGCTGTGGGTTCTCAGAAACCACCGGTGTCTCTACGACCGGTTCTGATGGCGAGGCGACCAACTCGGCTGCCTTATCGGGGGGTTCCTCAGCTTTCCGGCTCTCAGTCCTGGCGCCCGGCTTTCGAGGTTCGTCTGTGGCTTGTAGCTGTTGATCAATTTCCATTTGCTCATCTTGCCCCTGTTCAGACACGTCGGGGAGCTGGATACGGAGCGCCTCCCCAGACGGGCCATGTTCCGCAAGGAAGTGCACAAGTTCTAAGCCAAGCTCCGCCCAGGATAGGCTTGGGACGTCGATTGCTAGGCGGTGCTCAGTTGTCTCTTGCAAAGCGGGTTTCGGGATGGCAACACGCGAAGTAGGATCCGGTAGGAATGGAGCCGGGTCAAGATACCGCTCAAAGGCAGTGGGCAACTTTCGAGTCAAAAATGGCTTCATGATGGGGTGTGTTAGTGCCATGTCGTCGGAGAGGATTCCTAGCTGTTTTTTCAGCTGCTCTCCTGCAAACGCTTCGGCCAGGGACGGAGGTTCAACATCCACGACCGCAGGGTCATCATCAAGCTCGAGTGCCGCTTCCAAGCTATACCGGCTAATACGGGCGCTTTTGAGAAATGCCGCGACACGGGCGGTCTTTCTCCACAGTTCGGCATCCGATGGGTCGCGGTCTAGAGCAGCCGTGAAGGATCTGAGAGCATTCCTGGCCTCGTTAAGCACGCCTGGCTCCTCAAACACCGACACACTGTCGGCCCGAGATGTGCGAGCCTGGTGCTTGATGCGATCCAGAAGAAACCGACCGTGGTTCTTGTAGGCCAAGTATAGTGCCTGAGGCAAGCTGCTACCAAAGCCATCTCCATCACCTCCGGCCAGATCTAAGGGAGCTACGAAGCTTGACTCGAGGGCGAGCGGCGAATCCGGTTGTGTCTCAGTCCGGTCATACTCTGTCTTGCTCTCGGGGTACTTGAAAATATCGCACTCAAAGAGCGCATTGTAGGCATCGGAAGCTTCGTCGAAGAATCGGGGGCCTTGGGCGTGAAGCTTGAGGGCTGTCTGAAAGTGCTTTAAAGCATCGTCCACCTGTTCGGGCATGGCTTTGTGAGAAGGTCGCTTTCATACATAGCTGCGTAGTCTTAAGGTCCAGAAACGTACATGAAGCTCTCTGGTGGTATCGACCTCCTCGTCTACATTTTCTTCAGGCTCGAGGTTGATGGCCGAGAAAGCTGGCTACGCAAGGGTTAGCAAAAACAGCAGGTTGCCACGACGGGAGACTGACCATTCTCGACTCCTATCTCGGCATTCAAACGAATCTATAATTATTTGAATTTTGGAGCCCTTGGGACTAAGATGATTGCCTCTGCGCCGAGAATATGCGATGCCCAACGTCCATGGATTCTGGAGTTGAAAGGGAAAGTTAAACGCGCGTTAAGTTGCTTGAGACGCGATCCATCATGTCTCCACTTTTCTGACGGAAGGTTAATTGAGCCCAGAATTCAGGATGGAGCCTCAGGTACCCGCAACATATTCGAACACACTGGCCTGTGCTTCGCTTTCAGCAACATCCAACTTCCATGGCAATAACCTACCTAAGTAGCTCACCGTTGCTTGATTAGGTATTCGACAGCCAGCCAGCCACCCTTCCTAACCAGGAGACCACGGGCTTTTATTTGTTGAACCTCGCTATCGGCCGGATACCTACCCATACCCTTCCATTCAGCTCGAATCCCACCTCGGTGGTGATTCCGTCGCAATGGTTGCGCCAGCTGTTCCCGAGTAGGATACCAGTCGAAAAGCTCTCTTCCAAGTAATGAAGCTGACAACCGTACAAGAATCACGGAAGAAATCCTTCAGGAGTCAATTGACGCCCGGACAGAGTCTCTTATTGCGTTGCGAGAGCTCGGTCCCCCAGACCTCGTTCATCTCCTCAAGCAACCAGTCAGGAACCCAGGCAAACACGTACGATGTCCCATAGAACCATGTCTCAAGTAATTTAATAACCCTTCCATTCCAGATTGGTGTCTACCACCATGTTACCGGCGTCGATGCATCCTCCTCGGCAAGCCTTGCTGCCTACATAAATACCCTCACCTACCGCGAATATGGACAGACAGCAACTACTAAGATAGTTGAGGGCGTCTACTGGTATCACCCATCCCTGTCGCATGACCCTTGTGCGCAAAAGTCTAACCGTTTCCGAACCAGCTGCTACAATGCCTTCTCGAGGCTCGACATGCGAGTCCACGTCACTATCCCGGGAACTGTTGAGAGCTACTGCGTGGATGAGAGAGGCGAGAAGAGGAAAGCGACAGACGATTTGTGGCTTGAGACATATTTATGCAGCGTTCTGCGGGCCTATTCGTATGCCGACGACGGCAGCGGCGACACCATTAGAAAGATCATGGGAGTCCGCCGGTTCAACCCCGTTACGAACACGGAGACAGAGCATCGATTCCTAAGCGCGGCAGAGCAACTGTTCTTCAGAGGTGAGGCCCCTACTTATAGAAGTCTGCGCCATCTCTTGAATACCGCTAACAGCCACCTTTAGGCTGGCAACTCGGCTCGGATTCAGTTGTTCAGGTCCCCAATATGGTCTCCAACCATTTGACCACTGGTCTGTTGAAGTACTTCCAAACCACTGGCCGTTATGCGTCGGGTGTCAACCTGTTTGAGAAGTTGCGGACACAAAACGTCGAGGTCTCCTCGTTGTTGTCGAAGGTCCTCTTCATGGGCAACGAAGAGGTGGAAGGGGTGCGAGCCCTACACCAGGCCCTGAAAGAGATGCCCATGGACTATGTGATGCTTGACACCCAGGCGGAGTTCCTCTTGAGAAAGGCCAAGACTGCTGCGACCCCTGAGCAACGGGAGGAGAGGTTGCGCATGGCGTTGGGCTGCGCCGACCGAAGTACCATCGCGGCACCCAGCGAGTTTGGAACCTGGGCCAGATTGGCACAGGTCTATGTCACCATGGAGGACTGGGAGAATGCCCTCACAATACTCAACTCTTGCCCCATGTTTACCTACCAGGACAAGGATGCGCCAGTCATGCCGGACCCGAAGGATGTCCACCTCCCAACCCTTCCCGAGACGAGATTGGACGAAATCGACAGTGAACCAGAGTCAAGATACTCGGAACAGGTGGACCCGAGCTTACTCAACCTCCGTGCAGCCGGCTACCGTGGCACGTTCAAGCAAGCCTATAGCATCCTTACAGAGATGACCGCCAAGATAGGCTGGGATCAGTTGCTCAAGATCAGGAGCAATGTGTTCGTGATGGAAGACGAGTACCGAAACGAAAGACTGGAACCGGCTGCATATCCTGCGAAGCGTAATGCTAGCACCGACGCTCTCCGGGGAACGCCGGATCCCAACCCAACAAACGGCGACGCCACTGACGATGAGGATGGGGAAGAAACTGCCGAGAATGAATCCAAGGCGGCCGATGCCGATTCGTTGGCTCCGACTCTTGTGCCTAATGGCAAGGCAGATGACGCTCTTGAGAGGCCGTCCAGCACCGCTGATCCCGATGAGATCAAGAAGTCCGACGGGGAACAGGTAAGTGGTTACTACCCATTAATCCTCTCCCACTCTAATACCGCACCATCTCTACCCCCTATGGTCAGCACTTGCTAACACACAACAACGCACAGGGGGCGAATGATGAAGATCACCTCTCACGTCTGAACAACAAGCGTCTCTGTGAGCGGTGGCTTGACAGTCTGTTCATGGTACTGTACGAAGACCTGAGGGTCTACACCATCTGGCGGACGCAGATGGCGCAGTATCGAGCGCAGAGTATGCAATACAAAAAGTCTGCCGAGGAGTGGGAGATCCTAGGGAGCCTCGCCGAGCGGCTGCAGCATACGGATGAGGCCGTCGAGGCTTACCGTGCCTGCCTAGCCCAACGTTTCAGCCCCAAGGCGCTCACGGGCATCTTGAGAGTGTTCGAGAAGAATAAGAACACCCGAGAGGCGGTTGCTGCCACGATCAGACTCGTGACGTGGCAGTACAGATGGTACAGCGAGTTCTCGCCCGAGCTTCTCCACACGGTCCGGACGCTCATCGAGGACGAGGGTGCGGTCAAGGTCAGGAGCATCATCCAGGCTACCAACTTGCCCCAGACGGTCCTGGACCTGACTCACCATTACGCTGCCCTCTGTGCGACATTTCGTAGCAGCGGGACGGATGGCTGAGTTCTGAATGAGATACGACAGAGCTAGGTTCCTTTGCTATACGTGTGTGATATGTGGCTTCGGACGAGTGTGTCTACTTGTGGAGAGAAGGGAACACCTGGCAGTTGGGAGGAGAGACGAGGAATAGGAAAACTTGGAAGCATGTTAGCTCGTTGAGTACCAGGCTGGGCATGGCAACACCGATTCCACATTATTCTCCTTCTATATGCGCCTTTGTACCCGCCTACTCATGAAACTGGGGAATTCTATTAATACCATGCCTGGCTACGCTATAAATTTCTGTCAAGGTCTTTACACGCGATGTTTTCTTCGTTGAACATAGCTGTCACGGCCTAGGATTTACCCTTAGCGTACCAAACCCATAATCTAGACTATCCTCTAAACGACCGTGATTCTCACCTAGGCTTCTCATAGAAGCATGCCTCAGTATCGACTCTATCTACCTGCCGATATGTTGCACTTGATATCAGTGCGACTAGGGTGGTGCTGAGGCTCTTGCAATTCCAGTCCTTAGACAGAAACGCTATCATTATGGGAAGAATCTAAGGGTAGTACTTACTTTAAAGGCTATCAAGATAGTCCCCTGGTTTCTAGCAAGCATGTTTAAGACCAGCCTATGCATACCTTGGCATTGAACATCTATGCAAGGTGCAATATCTGATTATATATGTGTATATATGCCACAGTGTGAGAGAGTAACTGGTAGAATGGGTAATTGTAAGAGCGACTTCAAGTTCATACTGGGCCGGGTAATGCGTCGATAAAAGCTCCATTGCGACATATTCACATATCTTATTGATCTCGCAATGCCTAGCCCCTACCTTCGAGTCATCCGATCTCGAAACAGGGAATCTCGTACGACTTTCCAGAATCCCAATTATACTATCTCTTATCGGTTTCATTCTCCTCCTTGCTGACCTTCTGCCCTATCACGGCCAGCGCGTGGGCGTAGAGTCGGTCAGGGAGCAAAACTCGGCAAGGAGCAATGAACTCGGTGAGATCAAACCAGGAGATGGCGCATCGGAGGGACGGAAAGCCAGGAGGGATACCTCACATAACCCTTGAGACGGCTCTCTCTGTTCAAGGGGGGTGCCGAGAGGATGTTCATCCATAGATAGGTAGGTCGCGACATGCCATTTCTATGCTCTTTATGACGGAATCTGGGATAATAGAGAAATAGAACCTCTTGGGAAGGCCTGCTATTTACGTAAACGTTCAAGATGGTATTCTAGGGTGTTAGCCGCGGCTGGACAAGATAGAACTCCAAGGGGCGCAAAAGTTTTGGAAGGCAGGGTCCAACCTAGTCGCAGTCGCTCAAGGAATGCTCCGAGGGTTCGAGAAAGGGCAGACCTGAGCGGCATTTCGGCGATTTCTGCGAGACATGGATAGACCCCGTACTGGGAAGAGATCAACACCTTCGGCGGGTACCACGTCGGCTGCTATATCGGACAGTTTGAATGAACGTTAAATCGCAGGATGCGCCAATCGTAATGTGTTATCTCTCGACAGAATTCCGCTGGCCATCAAGCGCCCCTGTATATGTACACTGTCCCAATGCGCGTCGCAACATCATCGCTCGAAGCCCGTACAGTTACACTCTTACTGCTTCGCCTTCTTCTCGTCCGCTTCTGCGTTCTCCATGAACTTCCTGTAGAATTGTCAGCTGCCTGGTGTGACTTGTGTGTGAATTGGGGTGTCGCAGGGGGTCGCACTTGATGAAACCTTCCTCGTCCGAGCTCGATGCGTTGATGGGAGGCGTGGGAGTTGTTGCCTTCTTCGGGCCGCTCATTGCGAGGTAGGTACCGCCGAACATTGTTCCGAGGGTAAGCATCGCCAGCTGCACAAACGGAAATGTCAGCATAGGAGGTCCAATGGCTCAGCACGCGAGGCTCAGGGAGCCGCGAAGGCCCTGTCAAGTGCTGGGAGGGGGGGAAGCTCGCTGGCTTTCGCCGGCTTTCACTGACATGGTGCGAGCCGACTTGGCGGCCGAAAATAGTGTACGTGGCAGTCATCTTGACGGGAGGGGGGATAGCGAGCTCGGAATGCCGGCGATGTTGGTTGCTATGGGGCAATTGAAGGTCGCGGTTTGGTAACAGAGGGTTAGACGTCGGAAAACGACGCAGCAAACCAGCATTCCGATTTTTGTCGCTGTTTCCGCCTGGCCGGTCCACTCCATCCCGGTTATATAGATATTTGTACGCGTTTGGACGATATTACTTACCAAATGGGCAAATATCCTTCTATCAGAACGGGCTTGCCCGGTCATCCGAACGACGTCACTAGATTCCAAGTATCTCACCACAATCCACCATCAAGTCCTCAATCCCCCGCCCTTCCTTTCTGCCCTACAGCACTTCAATTTCCTTGCTAGATTTTGCAGCTTAGCTGCGCTTTGATACAACAGTGAATAAAACCCATTACTCACTCGTGCTGGTCCAAGATGTGGTGGGGCAAAGGCCAAGACAAACCGACGGAACCCGCCAAGGCCAATACGGCCAAGGCTGGATTCGATGCAGAGAAGCTCCCTGACAGAGAGAAGCTGCCAGCCAAGCTCCAGAAGATTGTCGAAAAATCAGACAAAGAGGATAACTTATATGACGAAATAGTGGATGGCTAGTATGCATGATCCTCGGGGCCTTGGCTATGATCGCGCGAAAGGCTTCCGGCTGACTTTTGATACGATAGCGCGCCGCCTTCGACAGAATCAAACGTCCGTTATGCAGCCTATGCCTCTCGTTTTCGCACCATTCTGGTCTCGGCGCAACGCTACGTAGCATATACCTCTGACATCGGCGAGTCCTTCCGGCCCGTCGCACATCCCAAACTCGTCCGCACTGCCTACGGCATAAGCTGGGCATACATTATCGGCGATGTCTCATACGAAGGCTACAAGGCCTACCGGCAAAACCAGCGGATACTCAACCCTCAGCTAGAGCTTTCTGCAGAGCATCAGAAGGTCACAGGATTGCCCGACCCGCGTCTTCCGGAGCTGGCAAACCCTGGTGTCGTTTCCCCTCTCGAGGACTACCGGACTGTTATGGCGCAGCGCGCGATATTCCAAAGTCTTGCCAGCATGGGGCTTCCGGCGTTCACGATCCACAGCGTGGTGCGATACAGCGGAAGGGCGATGAAGAACATCAAGAATACCACGATCCGGACATGGGGACCGATTGGCCTCGGCCTAGCCGTCGTGCCGTTCTTGCCCAGCTTGTTCGACAAGCCGGTCGAGAATGCGGTCGAGTGGGTGTTCCACAAGGGGTTTGCGACCTTTGGCGGGGAGCATGCTGTTGGGGGGGCGTCCGTGATAGGGAGAGAGAAGCAGCTCAGCACCAAACCCGTCAAACCGAAGGAGAAGGAGCTTTGATTACGGGGTTGACATTTCCCGGGGCTCGAGTTGGACAGTAGAAATACGGCATACCACCCACCGACTCCACTCCTGGGCGCATTCATGATGACAATCTCAACTTTGTTGATCTCTCGAGGTTCCTTTGGACGACCCATTTCTGCTCGGAGGAGTCAACACCTTGATCTTTGTCACGATAGTGTTGAGACAGATACTATACTCTGCACTAGTTCCCCTCAATATTCCCCTAAATTCGTACGTTAATGAGCCAATTTCCATGGCATCCCATACACGGTAGGTTGGTATCTAAATGTGGCCCGCAACCTAACAAACCAAATGAACGCTATGCTTCTATCCATTATGTATAAAACCCGCCGCTGCCTCACACCTCAATGAGATCCGGCGGTGGTCCAACTCCCCTCAAAAGCACAATGGTATTCCCGCTGGCCAGCACGGAGCCAAGCTTCTCGTTGAACTCTAGCAACCTCCCTCCCTCGACATGGAATACCCGTAACTTGTCCCGTTCGTCGGACGATTGGTTGTTGATGTTCTGGACCTGGAGGCTGCGCGCTGCGGCATCCAACACCCTCCCTATTACCCAGTCCTTGGAATAGAAGAACTGGCCCTTGGGGAACTTTGCCTTGGCCGTCTCCGCCTCGGCCTCGACGTGCAGATATATCCTCTTCTCCGGCGCGAGCTTGACATCGCCTTTCGCCGTCTTCTTCAGGTTGTTCACGGCGACGAGCCTGGCGGCGTTGGACGTCGGCTTCGGCTTCGGCAGGACCCTGGAGGCCTGCTGCTTCTTGGCCGACCCCCACAGGCGCAGCTTCTCGAGCGCGCTCTTCGCCTTCTCGGCTGTAGCGTCGATGCCGGACGGCGCTCGTGCGCCGATGGGCACGAGGTTCTTGCAGTCGTGGTCCTCCTTCAGGCGGTGCTTGAGGCAGTAGTCGCGGTTGCAGTTCTGGCAGTGCACGCCGGGCACGAGGCTCGTGCCGACGACGGTCTTGCACTGCGGGTCCGCGCACGGCTTCTGGCTGACGAGGTCGCGCATCCGGCGGCCCTCGCCCGCGGAGTGCCGGGCCATCTGGGCCTGGCGCCGGCGCTCGGCCCAGGCGCCGGCGCTGGCGCATCGGTGCGCCGTCTCGGTCCGGTGGTCGAGGCAGAAGGTCCGGCTGCAGCTCTGGCAGAGGAAGGGGAGGAAGTCGAGCTGGTTGCAGTAGTCGAATTGGCAGTGCTCGCCGATGAGGTCGGCGTCGTTGCCGACGCGCTTCTCGACGGTCATCTTGACGTAGCTGGTCTCTGGATCGGGGTTTGGGAAGGCCATCTTTGCGGGCGCTGCGAGGTCGCGGGGAGAATTTATGGACGCCGAGCGTTCTGAAAGCCCGGGCGCCAGCAGGTTGAAGCCGGCTTTCGTGTACGGAGTAGGCAGTTGTTGAAGCGTAATCGAAGTGGCGGTTCGCTGACAAACGTGGCTGAGACGTGTCAAAGAAGGGTCTCGAAGGCACTGTCAATGATGGGTTGAGGGGTGTGGGACGAAGATCGACGCTAACCTTTAGCGAGATGCGGCTGGTAACTCCTGGAGCCGGCCCCGATATTGCTTACGTAAACGAAGAACGTCATGTCAGTGAATAAGACTGTACCTACAGACAAAGATCGTCAGGAACCAGTGGCGGCGAATATTTCCTCAACCTCCTCACATCATTCCCTCCAAGAGCGGAAAAGCCATGCGCAATTCCGACCATCCTACGAAACTGGAAAATGCCTCCATACGTCACGCGCAAGCGCGTGCGTAGCGGCTCACCACCCCCACAGCATCAAGCTTCAAAGCGGAAAGCAACGACCAAGCCTGCGCTTGCCCCACCTCGAAAACCCACCCTGTTCGATGACCTCGACGCCACCTCTACTCCACGGTCGTCCACGAAGAGCAGCGCCGCTGCACAGCTGATCGACGATAGTGACGACGACAGCAGCTCGCTCTCATCATTTTCCGATGCCGATTTCGAGGATGTGCCGCTCACGAAGAGGCGGAAGGTCGATATTGGCCATGAAGCAGGCGAGGACGACGACGACGACGATATTGAGTTCGAAGACGTCCAGACTCCGCTTGCCGAAATCCCCGACGCCCCAGAGCCGTCGGGCGATCTGGAGTTGACGTTGACCAGGGACACGAGAATCTCGCTGACCAATGCTTTTGGCAAGAAAGGACCCTCCAAGTTGGAGCGCAGGATTAGGGTCGCAACACACTGCGTCCACGTCCAATTTCTCTTGTGGCACAACGCTATTCGCAACTCGTGGTTATGCGATCCAGAGGTTCAGGGCTTGCTGCTGTCGCATCTTCCGCCTAGACTATGGGACGAAGTGGAGAGATGGAAACGAAATAGTGGCCAGGATGAGCCTCAAGCCACACCGAAAAAGCCCACTACCACTAGGGCAAAGGGAAAGGGGAAGAACAAGAGTTCCACGGATAAGTCATCCCGAGACTGGAGCGACGCCGCGCAGCACTTGGAAAGTGGCACTGTAGACTTGAGTCACGGAGATCCCCTGTTTAGGTTGATGAAGGCTCTATCTGCTTGGTGGAAGCAGAGGTTCCGAATCAAGGCGCCAGGGCTGAGGAAGGTCGGGTACATGTCACTTGAACGGCTGGATCGGTTGACTAAGGCGTACCACAATGACGAGCATGACGCCGTCCGGTTTGGGGAACGCATTGGGAGCCTGGAAGAGTTCAGGATATGCGCTCAAGATTGCACTGGAAGCCGAGACGTCGGGTCGCAGCTGTTCACGGCCCTTCTGAGAGCACTGAGCCTAGACGCAAGGATGGTTGCGAATCTGCAACCCTTGGGGTTTGGCTGGAACAAGCTTGAGGAAGCAGAGCCCGAGAAGGAGAATAAGGATCCCATCACCACCTCTACGGAAATTGGGAGCAAGTCCAGTACAAACGGTGCATCTACCGGGAAGGGCAAAATGCCGTCAAGGTCAAGCAAGGCTCCCGAGCGGAAAGTTCAGGTAGCTTCGCAGTCGAACACGAGGCAAACGAGCCGCAAAAACAACAAACCCTCCCCTGACGACGTTGACAATTTCGAACTCCTCGCGGATGACAGCGACGAGTTGCTCGTTGAGATACCCCAAGCAACACCAAGGAAGAAGTGGCAAGCATACGACCAGGATCTCGAGTTCCCACATTACTGGAGCGAAGTATTGTCCCCCGTCACCAACAAATACGTGCCAGTGGACCCCATTGTCAAATCCGTCATTGCGACGAACAGGGAACTGGTTGAGTCGCTCGAGCCACGGGGCAACAAAGCGGACAGGGCAAAACAAGTCATTGCTTATGTCGTCGGCTTCTGCCAGGACGGAACCGCCAAAGATGTTACAGTCAGGTATCTCAAGCGTCAGGTGTTGCCCGGCCGGACCAAGGGGATGCGGATGCCTATCGAGAAGGTACCGGTACATGACCGTAACGGAAAAGTAAGAAGGTACAACCAAATCGATTGGTTCAAGACTGTCATGCGCGGCTACGGAAGGGGGGGCAGGAAGAATCCTGTTACCGAACTTGACGATGACGAGGACTCGACCGACTTGAAGGCGGCCAAGCAAGAGAAAAAGGAAGTCAAGGGTGGGGAAGAAACTCTGCAATACTACAAGCAGTCGAAGGAATTCGTTTTGGAAAGGCACTTGAAGAGGGAGGAGGCGTTGCTCCCAACAGCCATTCAGGTGAAGACATTCAAGAACAAGGGTAAAGGCAGCGACCCCAAAGAGGAGCCAGTGTTCTATCGCAAGGACGTCGTCCAAGTGAAAAGTGCAGAAACATGGCACAAGCAAGGGCGCGCGCCACTACCGGGAGCAGAGCCGCTCAAGAGGGTACCCTATCGAGCGGCAACGACAAATCGACGCCGTGAGATAGCAGAAGCCGAGGCTCTCACGGGTGAGAAGGTCTTGCAGGGCCTTTACGGTTTTGACCAGACTGACTGGATCGTCCCGCCTCCCATCCAGAATGGCATCATTCCCAAAAACGAGTACGGAAACATCGACCTCTTTGTTGAGCACATGTGTCCCGAAGGTGCTGTTCATGTTCCTTATCGTGGGACCACGAAGGTCTGCAAGCGGCTCAAGATCGACTATGCCGAAGCAGTGGTGGACTTCGAGTTCGGGCACCGGATGGCAGTCCCCGTCATCCAGGGCGTGGTCATCGCCGCGGAGTACCACGACCAGGTCATGCAGGAGCTCGCCAAGGACGAAGCAGAGCGGAGTAGGAAGGAGGACGAGAAGCGGAGGAAAGCCGCCCTAGCCATGTGGAGGAAGTTCTTGATGGGCATGCGTATTATGGAGAGGATCCGGCAAGATTACGGAGACACTAACGTCGACGTCGAGGTTTTCAGACACGATCGCGGTGCCGGAGACGCTGCGGGCAAAGACGAGGATATGGCTGGGGGTTTCCTACCGGAAGGCTACGAGTCGGGAGAGGAAAAAGAGGCACATCAGGTGTCTGGATTCTTCCCCGTTGCGGACGAGGACGACGGCGACGACGACGGGGAGGACACGCTCCAGGTAGAGCATGATACCCCGTTCGACCGGCCCGCCCAACCACATACCCCTTCGGAATCTACAACGAGTACGAAGCCGAGGAGGAAGACGGCAACGGCAGCAAAGGCTTCCTCGTCGAGACGCAGGCAGCGGAGAGCACTGGAATCAGATGACGAGGACGCCGAGGAGTATGGAGAGCAAGACGAAGATTACTGTGCTTGATGACGGTATCACAATGAAGTAATGAACTGGCAAGATAATATTCACGACGAGTATATCCCTGTATGACAATACAATCATGCCGCCGAATAACAAACAGGCAGCGGATGGTTGCTCGGCAAGTCAGAACCTTGCTTTTCTGTTTGTAGTGACTTGCTATAGACCATTTCCACGACCCCTAATTTCAAGTAATTTGAACCCATCTTCAGGGGCGACTAGCTCATCCCAGCGGAGACTTTAGATATACCGTCTACAGATTACCATGTCGTAGAACGGGATACTATATCCTGGACTTCGGGTTTTTTTTTTTTGGGAGTTTGTGTCATAGTATTCCGCCCAGGCGTAGCCAGCCAAGATCACCATGCCATCTACCCGCTACCGATCGCTAGCCCGGGTTTGCCAGGACAGCTGGACTTTATGGGGATTGATCTGTTCTTCAGAGGCAGGTTGGGCCTCATAACCTTAATATTGCTCCCAACACTTGCACCTTGATTGGTTAGGACGGTTGGGAGCGCAAGCGCCGCAAGGTTGCTGCATATTACAATCACGCCAGGGGTGGGCGTTGCAGAGGTGCCAATTATAGCCCAAGTCAGCAGCACCTCGCAAACCACAGGCATTCGTACCTCACAAAGGAAGACCCGACTCACGAAGGAGCAGGCTGAACCCCAGCAGCCATAACTGGGGAGTCTCTCAGGCTCTTCTTCGAGGCGTCGGTTTCCACCCAACAACCAGTCTACCTACCTAATAAGGTAGGCACCTACCTATTCCATCGGGCTTGGCTGGCTTTTGGCAGGCTTTTGGGAACCTCGACTCATCTACTACCTAACCAACGGCGACTCGCATAGTATTTCCCCACCACACAACCCTCTTGCCGATTATCTTGCACCGAGATCTTCTTGCGCCGAGATCTTGCACCACTATCTTGCACTGCTATCTTTCACTAATCATTAGTATCCCTTGCCGATTTTACATCATCCAAATGTGCTTCCCGAATGCCGCATTCTCGGCGCCAGCTTAAGCTCAACCCCAGCCTTTGGTGAGTGGTTTGTCCTTTAGAGTTCAACAGGTTGCTGCCTGCGCGGGGGCTTAGAGAAGTCACCGGAATGTGAAGCGCACCCTAATACCCTACTGTCTGCTATTCCAGCTTGTTCCCGTTGTCATAACTCCATTCTCAGAGTCGACAGTGTCGTCCTAAGATCAAGATTCTCGCTCTTTCTTCTCTATCATGTCTCACTTTGTCCCGGACGATCATCCCCAGGTGCCTCTGGAGAGAGGGCGACAGTCTATGCGCAGGCGCTTTTTGTCGGCAATAGTTCCAGTCATTTCCCCCCTTACCCGTCATATTCCTGCCAGATTCTTCTCCCCAAGAGCGCCAGGCGACAGGCCTGTGGATAGACAAGGCAAACCACATGGCAAACTGCTTTGTGTGTCTCAGCAACCTGAAATGCACAAGTTTGAACCTTATGAAATTAACACGGCTTAGACAGACTATCACACAAGATCACCGGCAAGGGCGCTGGCAAGGCTGCAGCCATGAACAACAGCATCCATCAAGACAGTCCGGCTCTGCCACTGGGGCCACAAGAGCCTCCTAGGACAATGGATGATCCGGTGGGCACTTGCAGACAGGCAGTTCTCGCCCTCTTCCCCGATATCTGCCCTGACTACCTTGATTCCGCTATGGCTGAGAATGAATACGACCATGAGACGCTCATCATGGATATCCTCGACCAGACCGAGAGAGGGAAGCCGTATCCGAGACGCCAGCGCCCAAACCTCAAGCGTAAGCGGCGGTCTAGCCAAGGGAGGGCAGCCGAAGCTGAAGCCGAAGCTGAGGCCAGGGCCAAGGCCGAAAGTGAGGCTGAGATGGAACGCAGGAAATTCGACAATCCTGAACGGCGACAGGCACACAAGTCTGGAACCTACATAAAGGCCTCACGATCACTCCTGATGCAAGCATACCCGTTGGTCTTCGCCAAGGAGGTGACTCAGTGCATGGAGGGCAATAACAATTGTCTGTTCCCGACATTTTTTGCTCTCCATGACAGAGTCTCTGGGAGACTGGATGGCGTTGAACTCCGACTGAAACAGCAGCGGACGAAGGAAAATCCCCTATGGCGGGATGATCAGATCGAAGCTACCATCCAAAATACGACCGACCAGGAGCAAAAACGTGCGCTGGAGGAATTCCATGCTGCCAGACTAGCTCTTCGCAACAGGCAGGCAAGAGTGGATGCCGAGAAGCAACGAGAGCGTGAGGAGCAGGAGAACATGGACCATGCCATTGCTGAAGGTACCATAGCTGAGTGCGAGTGCTGCTTTGAGGAACGTGCCCTGAACCGAATGGTCCACTGCGACGGCGACGTTCTTCACTGGTTCTGCTGGCCTTGCGCTAAGCAAATGGCTGAGACTCAGATCGGCCTTTCCAAATATCAGCTATCCTGCATGTCTATGGATGGCTGTAAAGCCGGGTTTTCCCGGGGCCAGAGAGACCTATTCCTAGGCCCCAAGTTGGTCATTGCTCTGGACCGGATTGAGCAGGAAGCTGTCTTGCGCATGGCGGGCATTGAGAATCTGGAGACATGCCCATTTTGCCCCTTTGCAGCCGAGTGCCTGCCCGTCGAGGAAAACAAGGAGTTCATCTGCCAGAACCCCGGATGCGAGGTGGTGAGTTGCCGAATGTGTCGCCGGGAAACTCACATTCCCAAGACCTGCGAAGACGCAGCACGAGAATCAGGTCTCTCTGCTCGCCGCTTGATAGAGGAGGCCATGTCGGCAGCCTTGATCCGGAAGTGCAACAAGTGTATGTACACTCAACCTTTCGCCTTCTGATTTCAGTTACATGTTGGTACTAACGCGGAGCAGGCGGCACTCCATTCATCAAGGAAAACGGCTGCAACAAGATGATGTGCACCAGGAATGGGTGCCGTAATGTCCAGTGCTACGTCTGCCACCAGTCTTGCGAGTACAGCCATTTTAATGACGCGACTCGCGGTGGTAAGGAAGGGAACTGCCCACTATTCGACAAGAGCACCGAACAGCGCCACGAAGACGAGGTCCGCAAAGCCGAGGAGCGGACGCGGCAGGCCGTAGCCGAAGAACACCCAGACATCGATGCCGACCTGTTCGCGATCAAGGTGTCGGACAGGGTGAAGCAGGACGACGAGCGACGTAAAAAAAACTACCCGCCTGTTCCCGTTCCTGTTCCTGTCAGAGCACCTGTGGTTGGCAACCTGGGTGAGTGGGATTAGAGGAAGTAGAAAGCGAGTACGCGACGAGGGATCATGGATCTAACTGTGGCTTCCTAGGTCACCCCGTAGGTCCCATCCGGCACCATGCGAAACCTGGTGGGCATGGACAACTTGCTGGGCAGTTCATCGGGCAACCCAATTGGCATATTCTCGTGCAACAGGGTGTGAATCTTGTTGCGCAACAGGCTGCGCAGCTTGGTGGGCAGCTTGGTGGACAACCTGGCGGACAACCCGGTGGACAACCCGGTGGACCATGGGCATTGCGAGTTGCGCAAATCGCTGCACAGCAGGATAGACGACCTGTTGCGATACATGGTGGGCAGTTCGGTGCGCAACCTGCTGGATATCCTGCTGGACATCCTGCTGGACATCCTGCTGGACGTCCTGCTGGACATCCTGCTGGGCGACCTGCTTGGGGACATGCTGGGCCACTTGCTGGGTCACATGCTGTGGGACTTCCGGGAAGGGGAGGTATCGTCCCTCCAAAGATTTCGAATAATGCACGACCCAAGGGAGCTCTCGCCGCCGCCCAACAAAATCAGACACTTGCCCAAGGCTTCGTTGACCCTCGTCCTCGGAAAGCCGAATCCAGGGCCAGGCAGGAAGGGCAGCGAGGGGACGGTAACTCGCCTGGATTGCCTCCTGCTCACAGGGAAGCCCTGCCTGATTTCTGGTGGAATCCTGCAGCGGCTTATCTGACTGGCCCAGGCCAGAGATTGCCCGGTGACGAAAAACCGAAAGCCAACAGACCAGCCGCTCCGGTAGCCCCATTTCTGGCCCCGTTCCCACCGTTCACCGCCAATGAGCTGTCTCGAAACCCTTTTCCCAGGGGTCCAGATCCGCATATCCAGCGTATACGGGCGAGGATGGCAGGTTTCAGAGCCGACATGGAAAGGGCGCTGGAGCAGCCGATCGGAATTCCTGCACGGAAAGAGGTTGGCGGGCCCCCCATTCCAGATAACCGTGGCGCCCTAGTGCCCCTCTCGCAGCGCAGTTTGGCCCAGCATGAGCGGGAGCTGGAAGTATTCCACCAATCCCAACACCGGGCGTATGAGGCGCCACATCGGCGTCACTTTAGCGGGATCCTGGCCCCACCCCCCCAGCTTCTTCCGCCGTACCGACACCGAGAGCCATTGGCTCCCGATGTCCAGGTTGGCAACGCAAATAGACGAGCAGTGGATGTTTCGGCTCGTCGCGGTCCCGCTGAAGTAAATCCTTAGGAGGGTGTATTTCGCGGCAACCATGACGAGGACAGGGCTTTGCAGGCGGAATGGGGAAACAGAAACCCCTTCGGTCCCCGCCCCGGTTCCCCTCCCGGTCCCCGCCCCGGTCCCCGCCCCGGTCTCCACGGGAACAACCCCTTCAGCCCCAGCCCTGGCCCCAAGAGGAACAACAACCGCTTCGGCCCCGGGCCTAACAATACAATGCTTTAATCATAACTCTTGCGCATGGCGTTTATACCAAAGGATAGGATTCCCGCCGTCGAAGGCATTACCTGCTAATAAGGGAGCATAGAGAGTTTGGGGTACAGTCTTTGTTTTGGGCTAATTTGCAACTTTCCTTGGCCAACTACAGAGAGGATGGCCATCAATCAGCATCGGCGTTAGGGTTATATCATGAGTGTCGTTGGAAGGCGACACCTTCATCATTCATTCGCGCAGTCATAGGCGCTGGATATAGGACACACGGTTTTTATACCGTAATAATTTACCTGCTTTTGCGCCACCTTGATGGGTAACGTAGGAGAGCTCACGTTGACCCCTCGGAATTTCTGGATTCGCGTGGGTAGAGAGAGGACAGAAACTGTCGGGGCCCGAGCCCGGCGGCATGTGGGTGACAGGAAACATGCACATGAAATGCCTCTCAGCCGTAATCTAGCGGTCATAGTGGATGCATGGAACCCAGAACTTGACCTGGGTGATGCTTTCTAGCTTTAAATTTCCTGCCGGCTACCTATTCCTCCCAAATTTCTCGTGCCATTTCCCCTTTGTAGCTGCAGCTGGAGGTCCATTTCCGGCCTCTGGCACGAGCTCTATTGTCTCGTGCAGCGTGGCCACAGCACCTAGGCCGAGCTCTGGGATCTCCGAGGAGGCGGGCGGGGCGTACGTGGGCAAGAGGAGAATCAGCGCGTTGGACGTGTTCTTCTGCCGGAGGGAATATTTCTTGCCGGCGGCCTTGAGGACTGCGACTGTGGGGGATGATTCGAGGGTGAGCCTGGTACGTGGGTTAGGGGGTTAGCGCGCCGGCGGAGGGAGGGCGATCTGAGAAGTTCTGACGTACGTGGGGGGGTTTTCCCCTTCGAGGATGGAGAGAAGCTCTGGTGGGAGCTCGAGGAGCTTGTGGCCGACGGTGCTGGGCTGGTGCCAGAGCGCAATGCCCTGGTTGTCTTGGCTGGACATTTTTACCGTCGCAGTAACGGTGTCGCGATGATGATGGCCATAGGCAGGATTTGGAGGTGGAGAGTGGGGTTTGTCTTGCCCCAAAATCGGAATGCAGGGATACCACGTGGTAGGTGGGGTGCGGCTCCTGCCATCTGAGTGGGGGCGGCAGAGCCTCTTTCCACGACCACTCCAGACCTCCCACCACTGTGTGTTCCGCCTCCTTCGCTCACAAGAAGATGATAGGGTTTACGCCGTATTATTGGCATGGGGATTTACCGAACCTCGAATGTCCAGGCTATATGATCTATTGTTTGCATGGGAATTTACCAAACCTCAATTATCCTGGCTTTTGCGAACCGTCACGGCGAATTCTCCACGGACGTTTTGGTAGTTTGCCCACACAATGCAACCAAACCGCGCCTTGGTTTGGGGATTGAAGTGCCCGAAATGGAAATGATAGCTCGACACTAGATTATAAATGAATCTTCATCAAGGTTACGAAAGACAGGGCTCACCCACAGTATCAAAGACTGGACCTCACACGAGAACAGTCCAATGCCCCTTTCTTTTCCTGCAAGTGCATGGAACAAAGCTCTTGTTGGAAATGCTTTGGCATCTATCCCATGAGTCATGATCCCTTCAAGGCTCAATGTTGCACTTATAAACCCATTCTTCCGCTCTCCAGACAGAGTTATCAACTGGGAAGCTGAGAGACCTGGCAAGGAGTTAAGAATTTCGAAGATACTATGAACAAGAGAGATAGAAACACGCATAAGCGACTATGTTGGAGCACAGATTGGATGGCTTCTAGCTGATATCAGCCCTACCCACGACTTGCTTTCACAACTCCCAGGTCTGCCCATGCAGCGTGTTAGTTGTCTTCCTTCATACTACGCATTCTTGCGACCTGCTTAGTCGTTGTACCATCCATCGAGTGTGGATTTGGGATCAGGGCCTAAGTTGCTTAGTCGCCATGACATTGACCAAGCCCTAAACTGGGACTCTGGCAAGGGCCTGCTTAGTCGCCATACCACCCAATGACTCTCTAAATCGGATCACGAAGTGTCTGCTTAGTGCCTGCTTAGTCGTATCGAACACATAGAAATCTATATAAATTCCAATGTCTTCAGAGGGAACTAGAAAATTTCTCCTCCGTTTCACCCAGCCCTTCCATCGACAGTTCCGGTAACGTTTGCGCAGACCACATTTGTTTACCATCAAGCTACAATATCCCTTGACTCTTGACAATGTCTAGCTCAAGTGGCGAGGATTCGGTAAGATATTTTGTTGACCCAGATAAATACTACGAGAAGTTAGACGGGTGCCAGATCTGACAGACCTAGCTTTTCGTGGAACAGGACTTGGATTACTCCTCCGCCGACGGAGAGGCGGACGTCTCCCAGCCTGCCCCTCCCCAGTCCGCCAACCCCCAGCCCGCGGTCCAGCCCGCCGACAGTCCTCTCTCATCGGTTGACGAAGAGTGTAAGCCTTGCCCAGCACAACAGACCAAGAATATCAGACACTAATCAGAATTCAGTCCTGGCCCAGGTCCGCGAGGGCCAAGTCACTTTTGAGGTCCTGGGAGAAGAACTCCTCTACCCCCATCACAGTAACAGGCAATACGAGGCGAATAATTCTCATGCCCATTGTGCAGGGCATCCTCCTCTCCGGCGGCCTGATGGCAAGCCTGGCTCGTCGAGTATCTATAGCTTGGCGACCGACCCAGCGGCCAACCTGATGGCCGCGATAATCCAGACAACCGGCCCAGAGGCTGAGGAGCCCTGCACCCGGTGCAAGAAGGACTATGCCGGCGTATGGATGCTCTGCATCCGACCACCTTGCAAGTTCATCGACGACAAGGTTCATGGCGCCTGTGCCAACTGCGTCTTCCGCGGTCGGGCGGCCGACTGTAGTCAGAGCCGCAAGTGGAAGCTTGCCGACCAGTCGGGGATGCTCTCCAAGGCCACCATCTCCGAGAGCACCACGAGGTGGGCTGACGAGGTGGAGAAGATCGCGTCTACCGTCTCCGACCCCGCGGCCAGGGGAAGATTGGCTTCGCTGGCCGCCTCGCTTCGTCTTGGAGTGTTCAATCCCGGCCCTACTCCCAATGCCGAGGCCGACACTGGCCCTGCCGACCCTGCGCCAGGTTCGAATGACCAGGCCCACTCCGCCCCAGGTGCGAGTGAAGAGGCCCTGCCTTGTGGCTGCCAGAATTAAATGCCATGCCTGTCCGCCAACGGCCCCCCGCCGCCTTGCCCTCTCTAATTTCTTACATTTTCATTCACCTGCCTTCTCGTCTTTCGTCATATATTCTCGTGCTCTTCTACTCCCGCTACACCCAATTTTTCTCCTCCGCCTTCAACACAATTTCGGGACCCACGATCACGTCTAGATCTCAGTACTTGGCCTGCTTTAGCGATTACTGCGTCTTTCCCGTCACCTCAACAGCTCGACACACATTGTGAGTTCTTCTTGGCCCTATCCTATGAGTGAAGCGAGCACATTCCAGGATCTGACTCATCCAAGTTCCAAGTTTCTTGCAAGATATCCGACCGAGGCTGGGTAGCTGAGAACATGGCGGACAGCGGTGAGCCACTTCGTAATTTCTGGACATGAACTCGAGCTAAGCATACTACTAGATACCAATCTCAACGGCACGACGCAGGGAGGCTCGGATTCTGACAATCGAGTCAACGAGGGGGCCGAAGATTCGGCTGATGCACCCGAAGCGGGTTCCACCAACGGCGCCGCCAACAGCGCCGCCTGCGACGGTGCAAACTGTACCAGCGGCCCCACCAACGGCCGCTGCTCCTGCGGTCATTATCATGCCAGAAATCCCGACCAGCTCATGGCCGCAATCATTCAGATTACCGGTCGAAAAATGAGGCACGAATGTTTCCGTTGCCAGTCTGGCGGGGGCCCGTGGGAAGGCTGCATCGTTGCGATTTGTGACCAGACCCAGGAACTCACCAAGGGCGCCTGCGCAAACTGCATCTGGAATGGGCTTGGCTACCTTTGCACAATTCATAGGCAAGAGGAATTTCACTCCGCTAGGCATGACATTGAGAACGCCGTTGCCAGGGTGGAGGATGCTGAGAAGAACCGTCCGGATGAGGTAGAACGGGCGAAGGCTGCGCTCCAGGAGGTCAACAATTTCTGGCGTGAGAAGCTGTATGCCGTCCTCGGGGCTGACCTCCTCTGGTAACACCCTCGTTACGGCACTAGCATCATGAAGACGCACAAGACAAGCAAGGAGATGTCGTTTATTCTTTCCTTCTTGTTTCCTTTCCTTTTTAATCTCTATGACGAGGCGAGGGCGTTATATGAAGGGCATGGTGGGGTCGTTTAGCAATGTTTACTTTGGAGGGGTTGGTTGGCCGCGCAATGCTATATTTAGATTCCCCCCACAACATGACGCGTGATTCGTGAAAAAAAGGGTCGCGTAGCTACCAGGTCTGTAAATACCGAAGGAACCTAGCAACCTCCGAGAGCCTCCTTTTGGCACCCGACCACATACCAACTACCCTGTGTTTCCATTCCACTTCCAAAGGAGAAACGATCCGCCCTACTCATTGCGGAGACCTCCGGCAGTAGCCGTTCGATTGCTGGGACCCTCGTTTTCGCTTTTGTTTCTCTTGTATAATCTTTCCTCGACCCTCTTTGTCTCTCGGGACGCAATTGCTGTGCTTGTTTACTAGCCGAAGTCGGGTCCCGTACATGCGCGTGTGTACATAGCATCAGAGACGCGGGATCACTAACAAGTAGCTGCAGTGCGCGCCAACCTCTGCAAGAGCCATTCTCCGCACAACTACCAACAGCCGACCCTGTGGCACTCCATCGAAACGCGTTTGGGTGCCTGTTGTTTACCCAACATCGTTTAGAGACTGCTCCCCGCCAGACCCAGCCCGTCCCTCCCATCCTCTCCAGACTGTCCGCCACCCCCAACCCCCACCACCCCTTGGTCTTTTGGCTCGCCCCGAAACCCAGGCTTTGGAGGATCGCCCTGTTGGCTTCTAGTGTCCTGTCAGCCATGCGACCGGCCCATTGAAGCGACCATGGTTCGTGTCACCGAAGAGTTGGCGCTCTCTCCTGAGCATGTAACTCTCTACTATGCCAACGACCCATTACTCGGCCACCTCCCCGTCCTGATATTCCACGGATCCTCCACCACGGCCAACTACACTCTCAACAGCTCCCGGATCCAGATCCACGTCTACAGCCCAGCCGGCTTCCAGTCCTTTCCACGGGTCACCATCTCTCCGAACTCCCCCTTCTATGGCGTCGTTAACCACCTGCCGCGCGAGTTCCAGGGCGACGAAATATGCCGAGGGCTCGCATTCGGCCTCTTCAAGTATTTCACCGAGCTCCCAGAGGCCGTCAAGACCCACCTCAAGAACCAATACCCCACCACCCGGGGCCGCCGCCCGGGCTCGGCCCCTGCGCTTTTCGGCGAACAGCATGCGGCAGACCTGGCGAAGTCGATGGTCCAGGCCGAGAACACCCCTGAAATGATACAGGTCCTCGAGACGGCTCTGCAGACACAGCACATCAGCAATGTCGATGTCGACCTTGTCCTGCCGCCAGGATCCATTACCCCCTTGCGACCCGCGGATCTGGAGGAGGTGCCCGAAGACGAAGACGACATAATCGATCCGAGTCTCAGGCAATACGGCGAGTATACCCCGCTGGTCAAGCTCTTTGGCGAACCTGTCTTCTTGCCAACATCCAAGCTACGGCGAGCGCCCTCGAAACCCAGTTCGCTGAACAGGAGCAAATCGTTCACGAAGGACCAGAAGGTCGAGATTCGTCTCAAGATGGGAGAGCTTGTCGACACGGAAGAGCGCTACGTTTTCAAGCTCAACGAGCTCGTGAACCACATTGCAGACGACTTCCGCCAGAGTGCCAAGGAACGCCCGGCCGGCAGCACGAGCCCAACGGAAGATGACCTGGAAGGGCTCTTCCCAAGGTCTGCCGACCACATTCTTCAAATCAACTCGGCCTTCATGCAAGAAATGCGGCGAGTCATGGACGAGACCGAGGATGAGGCTCTGCGGGATATCGACACTACGTCCCCCGCACCCCGGCTAGGTGGCTCAGGCAGAGTCAAGGACTCAAGCGGAGCATTGGCCATGGCACGAGTCTTCTTGGACTGGTTTCCCAAGTTCACTGACTGCTATCAAGACTACATACGGGCCAGTCAGAACTTCCCGCACTTGCTCAACTCCTTCCTCGATCACCAGTCCACCTTCCGCCAGCGCGTAGCGCACAAAGGCGAGCAGACGATCCGCTCGATCCTCATTGAGCCCGTACAGCGACTCCCTCGCTATAATCTCTTCATCGACCAGATAGTCACTTGCCTCCCCATCACCCACCCTGCACTCCAGCTCATGCTTCGTGCAAGAGACATCATCACGAACATCTGTTCCATGGACGACCCCCTACCGAACAAGCCCCATGTCACCAACCGGCTTCGCAACATGGTGGAGTGCTGGCCGCTCGACCTGGAGCCCCAGGGCAGGCTGATTTTGGGCGTCGACGTTGTCGAACTTGCCGCGCCCTATGTTGCAGGACCTCATAATGCCAACATTCAGGACCGGGCAGGTATCTTCCTCGTCTTCTCGGACTGCATCGTCATCTTGAAGAAGAAGTCCGCCTCCGGCGTCACCGCGCGTGACCTCTTGAGGGAGATTGACAAGCCCTCTCCGGCCGGCTTGCTCGCCTCGATGACCAACGCTGCGGGCGGTCCGGGGTCTTGGGAGTACGCATTCGCGGGCTGGCACAATCTCGCCGACGTTCACTTCACCGAGTCTTCCGATGGGCGTCTGATTTGGATGACTTCCACCCATGAGATGAAGGGGGCTCACTCGGGTGAATACGTCACTGGTAAGGCCATCACCTCCAGGTGCTTTCTTCTCCAGGAACTGTACGAGGGGAAGGCAGCTAGATTGGGCGAAGATGTCGCCAAGGCACGTATTGAAGGGCGGTTCTCCGAGGCCGAGAGGGAGGACCCGGCGTGGTCTCTGCGGTCAGTGAGGATGCAGGACAACAACATCGGGCTACATGCAGCCGTGTTCCAGGAGGCCGCCGAGCAGCTTATCGAAGGCCGGAAGGAGCCAGCCCCGATACGCATTGTCATTGATCACGACAAGGGGACTAAGGGCGCACCTGTAGGTCATTACGGCGTGGAGGTCGTGGTGGAGGTGAAGACGGGCGACTTGACGAGGATTGGCATCAACACACTCGGCCTGAACGGCAAGCGTTATAGCGACGATGTGGCGCTGGAGGACTTCCTCCCGTCACTCACGAGGAGAAGTATGAGCCCCTGAAACCTCGCATCTGACTTGAGACTAACACCCAACGCAGTCATCCAGCTACTCAGTAGCCAGTTTAGCGTCTCAAATCTCCGGTTGGCACCTGCTCTGGTGTCTTATTATACCAAGATACTACGGGGTTGCAACATCTCTTCGAGGACAGAGAAGACAAGATCGTTCCTCGCGTCCTCGCCCGTCAAACTGCTGTCTAGTTTCCTTGGCGGCGGCAGCACACCTACGATGGCAGATACCGTGAGCGGACCGAAGCATCAACGGACGCCCCTAGGCAATATGACGTCGCTTTTCCCAGCGCAGCTCTCGCGTTCGAATAGCCAGAAAGACAATGCGTCCTTCGTGGGATCCATCACGGAGAAGGATCGCGGGCGCATTGGGATGGAGGAAGGGCGGCCAGAGAACCCACTGATGCGACTCGAACAAACATTCACGGGCTACATTGCCAGCCTGCAGGCACGGAAGGGCCAGTTTATCGGCAGAACGCTGCTGAATAGGTCGAGCGCCGACGAGCTGTCGGTGAACGATCTCTATAACCGGCTGATCGAGAGCCCGTTCGACCTCGACGCGTCGGCCGAGCTCCCCACTGAAGTCATCTTCACGGCGTTTGAGAAGTTCGTCCGCATTGCCTGGCGCGACCAGATGGGCCCCGTGATGACGACCCAGGCTCTCGATGCGTTGCAGGCACGGGCCTCCAAGAGGGTCCCCGGGGACTTTGCTGACTTTGTCAACTACTTGTTCGGAGACATGGCGCCGCAAAATCGAAGGGCATTTACCGCTCTGATCAAGCTGCTCGCGGATATCCTGGACGGGTGTGGCAATGACGGGGACAGGGGCGCCCTGACCTTGGCATTTGCGGAGCTGCTAGTCGACAGCGACAGCGCGCATAATTATATCAACTTGCTGGACCGCCTCGTCGAGGACTGCGATCGCATCTTCGAAGAAGCCGGCTTCGGGGCTGGACTTCATCTCCGTGGCTCGGCGTACGAGTCGATGAACTCGACGACGAGAAGCCACAAGTCTGCGTCCGGGTCGATGACGTCGAACACGTCGTCTCTTCGACGCAAGTTCGGCTTTGACAGCCTGCTCCGGCAAAACACCAAGAATGACTCGGAACGACCATCTATGTGGCGTAGCCTGAGTAAACATACTCGGAACCCGGCGACGGGTGAGAGCGCAAGCCTCTCCAAGGCATCGGTCAACCGTTCAAGGTCGATCGACCTGGGAGTCCAACCACCGAGCCCCAACAAGCTTCGGCGCCCGGGATCTCGCGATCGGCCCCCCGTTGCGGGCGCCTTTGATGACATTACCCACCGCCCTTCCAGCTCACATAGACTCGAGACCATTGGCGAGCCCGACGCCGAGCCGGCGGAGTCGTCCAAGTCACTCAAGAAGAAGCGGCGGAGCTCTCTCTCCGATCTCAAGGCCCTCATGGCAGCGGCAAGCCTGGAGGACGTGCCACTCACGCCTCTACGCATCAACAAGCAGACATCCGAAAAGTTCAACTCCAGCCCGCGGATGCCCCCTCCGTCCAAGATCCCAATCAGCCCACAATCACAGAGCATGCGGGCGCCGCGCCAGAAAGAAAACGTTGCCCAGACATTCGACAAGACCGCATCCTCGTCCCTGTCCGAGGTCTTCAGGCCGGCCGAGCGGGGCCACGCCAAGATGCTCTCGACCTCTCAGATCCCGACCCTCAAGCCGTCGTCGCGGATCCCCAACACGAGCGGCGAATCCTCACCCACGCGGCCGTCATCGAGCCCGACCAAGGGCCAGCCGCCACCGTCGTCGCTGACGTTGACGTCGACAGCGACTACGACCGGTTCGCCGCAGAAGCTCCGGCTCCAGTCGCCGCAGAAGCTGCGCGAGCGCCTGCAGGTGGAGAAGCAGGCCGTGGACGACGTGGACGCCAGCCTCAAGAGCGAGCTGTCGCGGATCGCCGAGGACATGGCGCGCGTCAACTCTGCGCTGCCGCGGTCGGCGACGGCGGACCTGCGCAGGCTGTCGGCGGCGGTGCGGGCGCTCGAGGACCGGGTGCCGCGGGCCATGCAGGAGCTGCGGGAGCGGCAGGCCGAGGTGCAGCGCGAGGTGGAGGGCGCGCTGAGGGCCGGCGAGGCAAAGGTCAAGGCCATCGACCAGCTGTACAAGGAGGCGACGGCGGAGAACGAGCTGCTGTACGAGAAGTTCAACAACGAGCTGGGGAAGATCGTCAGGGCGCTGAAGGGGAAGGGGAGGGAGGATAAGGAGGAGCTCATGACGAAGCTCAAGGAGGGCGGGGAAGAGAGGGCGCGGATGAAGAAGGAGAATTCAAGGCTGAAGAGGGAGATTGTCAGCCTGAGGACGGCGCTGAAGGGGGGGGAGAGCTGAGTTTTTTCCTGCCTGGGTGATGGTTCCGCTACGGTTGTGTCTAGAAGTGCGAAGGCGTCAAATGGGGTGGCGGCGTTGATTTGGAGAGGCGGCGGTTTGGCTAAAGGGTACGGGAACCGACTGCCACGGCAATTGGCGCCAATATGTGTGATGTCGTTACCTGATGCGAGATGACACTGTGTGCAGTAGCCCCCGGAATGTTTGTAAATACTGTAACGAGTTTCATGTCTGGGTATGTACGAGATCCTTGATGAAACGAACCAGGCTTGGAATGGAATGGCAAAGCTTAAAAAATTACGATGCCGAGGACTGCGTTGGCGCCCCCTGGCTTTGGGACTCTCTAAGAGCGGCTTTGGCTTTACCTTCTTCCACCCAGCATTCGAAGAACAACGGTCCGGCCTCTACGGATCTAATGGGCGTGGTCCTGGCCCCGCCGATATCACGGCCGTTCTCCGGCCTGGCCGTGGATGCTGTCTGGAGGTTTGGCTCCGAGGGGATCCACGCTTGGGGGTGCTGTGGTGCGGTTCCCGGTCAGCATATACCTATATATCAGCCTCCGTTCTTCTGCCTCCCCTCCCCTCTCACAAGCGACTAGACTTACTCCAATGGGCGCCTGGCCCTCCTCCTTCAGCTCCACAGCAACAGTGAAGGTACACCCCGCCGGCAAGGCCTCCATCTTCTCCGCCGCAGACGACAGCCGCCGCACGGCGCCGCGGAGTTGCTGATCCACGTCTGCCCAGTTCACAGGACCGGGCACGTCCCCCGCTGCGCCGCCAGCTACAGCTCCAGCTCCAGCCTCACCCGGCTCGGAACCGCCAGCAAGGGCACCCGGCTCTTCCCCTTCCTCGGCCTGCCCGCGCCGGCCCCCATTCGAGCCCCCGAAATCTCGCATCGCATCGGCGCCCCCGGGCCAAGACGGGAAGCGCGCCACGTCGAACATCCAGCGCTCGAGCACGGCCCCGGCCTCGGACCCGGACCCGGCGCTTCTTGTTGGCGGGCTGTGGATGACGACGGCGATGCGATCGACGTTGCCGCCGGCTAGCTGGGCGGACACGGCGTCGACGGCGTCGCGGATCCAGGAACAGACCCTCGGGTGGCGGTTCTGGTGCACGGGGAGGTTGTATGCCTTGGCTGAGAGGAAGGTTTTCTGGGGGTATATGGACCGGTAGTAGAGGATGTTGTGGATGCAGACGGTCAGGAAGGTGGTGAAGGAGGTGAGGAGGTTGTGTGCTTGGGGGAGGGGGAGGGAGGTCTCGGGGGGTGGTGTCGGTGTTGCATTGGGGTTGGCCATTGGCTTGCTGGGCTGGGATCTGAATTTAGAGGTTGATGGGGCCAAAAATGTCTAGACAAAGCGTTTTAGATGACGTAGTGATGGTAAGTATTATCTAGAATGAAGTTGAAAAAGAGTGGAAATATGCAAGCTTAACGCGGGGCAGTCTTTCTTGACGCGTCGTGATTTCTGCCCCGCAGACATGTGAGACTGTCAGGCTGTGGCGCACAAGCCACCTAGAAATCAAGCACCACCACTCACGGCGCGTCTCAAATTCTAGTCTGAGCTCTATTGCACCCCACATAACCGCCATTTCAAGGTTGTTGTCTCGGCCAACAATCAAAGTAACCACTTCCGATACATTTTCCTTTTCCGCTACTTGTTTGATTGAGAGGAGGGTGCATTCAATCTGACCCTCTGAAACAAAATCATACCTTGCGGCTGCTAGGTCAACACCATGGAGGAGCACTTGGTGCAGCTGCTGGCTAACACCCAGCTGCCGGCCGAGGGCCCGCGCAAACAAGCTGAGCTCGACCTGAGCCATGCGAGGACAAACCCAGACTTTCCTTTGACTCTTGCCAGGATTGGCATCCATGCCAGTGCCCCCACTGAGATTAGGCAAGCTGCATTGACATACCTGCGGAAGTTCATTGAGAACAACTGGACCCCTGATTCATCTGATGGCGCCCACATTCCAATCCCCGACGCCGCAAAGGAACAACTCCGGCCTATGATGCTGGAGCTGGCCCTGAGCCCCGAGGATGAGCGGAAGGTCAAGACAGCCGCTAGGTGTGTTTTCCCACCCATCCTTGTCCTCCCCGCTCGCCCATCAAGGCCTCAGCTCTGACATCGGTGCCAAACAGTTACGTTGTCAGCAAAATTGCCATGGTCGACTTCCCAGACGACTGGCCGACCCTCCTTCCCACCGTTCTCAGCGTCATCCCCAATGGAACGGACGTCCAGCTACACGGCGCATTGCGCATCCTACAAGACCTGGTTGAGGAGAGCCTCAGCGAGGAGCAGTTTTTCACCATGGCGCGGGACATCATCAAGGCCGTGTACGACGTTGCCCTCAACGAGAATCGGAAGCAGACACACAGGGGCTTAGCCGTCCTTGTCTTCCGTGGCTGCTTCGACCTCATGGATATCGTCAAGGAGGATTATAAGAAGGAGGTCAAGGCATTCGCAGACGAAGTCCTCAAGGGCTGGCTGCCTTTCTTGGAACAGGTCATGAAGATGCCGCTACCGGATTATGGCCCCGAAACCGAATCTCAGCCCCAGCTCTGGAATGGCCCCATCGCTCTCAAGTTACAGGTGGCGAAGACCCTAATCAAGATCAAGACCGTCTTCCCCGCCCTGCTTCTGCCCCAGAGCACCGCGCTCTTTTCTGCTACCTGGGAAGATCTCAATAAGCTGCAGGCCCCCTATCAGCAGCTGTTTATCGATAGTGACGCTCAAGGACGGCTTGAGGATATAGACGGCCTGCCATTCACCTTGGATTTCTTGGTTTTGGAAGAGCTCGACCTCCTCAACCAGTTACTGCGTGCGCCGCCCGTCCAAAAGGAGCTCGAGGCCCAGATCAACGCCCATGCCGCTATCCACGAGACGCCGTGGGTGCTGGATCTGATGAAGCTGGTTACAGGCTACTCGCGCATTACCCAGGAGGAGGAGGGCCTGTGGGACATCGATGTGTCCCTGTATCTTGCCGAGGAGACATCTGTCTCGTCCAACTACACTGCCCGGACCGCGTGTGGCGATCTCCTGATCAAGATCGGAGAGTGGCTCCACCAACGTGCGCTGGAGGGGCTCTTCGCCTACAGCAAGAGTTTGTTCGTCGGAGAGACGAACTGGCGTAGCCAGGAGGCTTCTCTATACCTATTCAACATGCTCGTCTCCGACTTCCAAGATTGTGCAAAGCCGGTTCCGGACGAGATGGCAAATGCGTATCTAGAGCTAGTAAACTACGCTGTCAACCGACAGGAAGAGCCAATTCTGCGCGCCAGGGGTTATCTCGTAGCAGGCATGTTGTCTGAAGGGTTCAGCCCCGCAGCTTCTCTGCTGGATCGGGCCATCGAGTCCATTACCCGCGAGTCGTCCGAGCTTGTCCAGGTTGCCTGTGTCAAGGCCATCGAGGGTTTCATCAGATCTGAACATGTGCCGCCTGACCGGCAGATTTCGATCATCGTCGCGATCCAGCAATTCCTGGAAGCGAAGGACCTGACTGAACTAGAGGACGCCGATGACCTTCTGGTGACTCTGCTGGAGACGGTGCGTGCCGCTATCAACATGGACAAGAGGATTGCCGTTCATACCGACAGCAAAGCTGTCGACCTCCTCTTCCTCATTGCGAAGCACGGCGCATCCAATTTCCAGGTTACCATGGTGGTTTGCGAGGCGTTCGAGGATATTGCCCGCTCTCTCACTGATTCGTCGTCCTATACCGCCCTGTGCACCAAGGTCCTCCCCTCCTTGACTGGCGCCTTCGACGTTGCGAATATGACGCAGGATGACCCCCTAGTAACTGTAAGTTGGCTCGAACGGCGTCAGCTGGGCCACATGTACTAACAAATATGGCAGCTGGCCACGGAGCTCCTCATGGTCCTTGTCCAGTACGGCTCTGAGCCACTCCCCGCCGGGTTCATTGCGTCCGCACTTCCCAAGCTGAACCGATTGTTGATGAGCTCGCCGGAAGGCGAGGTTCTGCGCCCGGGTGCGGAGGCTGTCAAGTACATGCTCATGCATGACCATCATCAGGTATTTGGATGGCACGACGAGAACGGCCGGTCCGGCCTGGAGGTCTGCCTCCTCATTATTGACCGCTTGCTGGGTCCTTCCATTGAGGACAATGCGGCCTCCGAGGTCGGAGGTCTCGCCGCAGAGCTCGTCGAAAAAGCTGGCCAGGACCGGCTCGGTCCATTCTTGCCACAGCTACTCCAGGCGGTTGCAACCCGACTGGGCTCTGCCGAGGCGGCCCCCTTCATCCAGTCCCTTATCCTGGTCTTTGCGCGACTCTCTCTAGTCGGAGCCCACGATGTCGTCGAGTTCCTGAGTAACATCCAAATCGAGGGCCAGAACGGTCTGCAAGTCGTCCTCAGCAAGTGGCTTGAGAACTCTATCAACTTTGCCGGGTACGACGAGATCAGGCAGAAGTAAGCCCTCCCCTGAGGGCAGATGTCATGGGGGTTATTGGTGTTGCTAACGCTCGCTGTAGTGTGATTGCGCTTTCAAAGCTCTACTCGCTCAACGATCCCCGCCTGGCACAGACAATGGTCAAGGGAGACCTGATCATGACCGATAGCAATCAAATCATTACTAGATCGAGGGCCAAGCAAAGTAAGACAAGCCACAGCAACCTCATCTATCTGGATGGCAACTAAAAACCTTGAAACCAGACCCAGACCAGTACACCGTAATCCCCGCCACGCTCAAGATCCTCAAGGTCCTCATCGAGGAGCTGCTCTCGGCCTCGGGCGTCCAAACCGCCGCCAAGGCCGCCGCGGCGGCCGCGACCGAGTTCGCCGACGCCGACGAGGACGACGGCGACGACGGCTGGGAGGACGAGGCCGGCGACACGCTCGACCTGAGCCTCGGCGGCACAAAGGCGGACCTCATGTCCTTCATCGAGGGGTCGGGCATGCGGCAGCGCGACGACGAGACCCAGGCCTACCTGACCGAGTTCTTCATGCAGGCGGCGCGCGAGAACACCACCGGCTTCCAGGACTGGTACAACATGCTGACCGAGGAGGAGCAGGGCAAGCTCAACGAGCTGGCGTCGCAGTAGGGGTAGCGGTTGCCTAGGTTGGGCTCGAGGCCGGCGGGTGTGGTCTGCAGCAATTGGGGGGGACCCCCGGATATTGGGCAGAGGGGTCGGTGCCAAAGCTTGTCGCGGCGGTATGGGGGGGTTGCGGTTTCAAAGCGTGGCTAGACACAAGCCGGGGTTCAGGGGCTTGACGATAGGGCCTAGTGGTCCCGACACCCCGATGTAGTAGGGGGTTTCCTGCACTATATCCGGAGGCGGACGGGGTGGTGATTTGCTCTTAGGGGTGCAGAAATCCATTGCTGTCGGCACAGCAGATGGAGATTTGAATGCACTTGTGGACTCGGCCTATCGTTTGCTACATAACTGGCTTTGCGGATGCCGAGTGGGAGGGCGTAATCATGCACCTACCAGATGGCTCAAAATCAGAAACCAGATATAGGTGCTGAATGAAAAACACTTGATGGTTCTATCATTGGTGATGATTTGAGATTGAATTTATTATAATGGAGAGGCGTGTAGACATGCAGACGGGATCATAATGCCACCCCAACCTCATTCAACAGGAACGGCCCTTTGGCTAACCCTACAAAATGCCTAACATACTCCTTACAATTTTGTATAATGCGTGGTCATCGTCGTCATCATCATCATCATCACCAGCCCATCCCTCGCGCCCACGCAAGAGCACACTTCCAAAACGAAGTCAAAAGGGCAGAAACAAAAATGTACCCCCCATGGGCACCTAACTAAAAGTGGCAGTTTCCCGCCCCCCCATCAATCAGATGATATCCCCCCCGCCAAACGCACCACCACCGCCCCCACTGCCAAACGGCCCCCGCCCGGGCCTCCCTCCGCCGAACCGCGGCGCACCCCCGGGACCAACGGGATCCCACCTCGCGCCCGGCGGAGCCTGCGGGTCGAACTGCCCGTCTCCACCGTCGCCGCTGCCGCCGTGCGGGCCCCCGAAGAGCGGGTCGTCGAACGTGGGGTGCATTCCGCCGCCGCCGAAACCGCCACCACCGGGTCTCGGCAGGCCGCCACCGCCGCCGCCGCCGCCGACGAAGGAGCCGCGCAGCGGGTCGTGCGGGCCCAGGCCGGGCGGGTTGAGGTCGTCGTGCCCGATGTTGAAGGGGGAGATGATGCCCTGCCTTCCGCCCGCGCCCGCGCCGGGGAAGGTCGGGGGGAACACGCCGCCCCTCGGCGGCCTGTTGATCTCGTACTCGTCTTCGAAGCCGGGGGGCGGGAAGTCGCCGGCCGGGATGGGGGCGCGCGGGGGCGGGGCGGCTAGGGGGTCGATTATGGGGTAGGGGTTCGGCTGGGCGGGCTGCGGGAGCGGGTCGGGCATTTGCGGTTGGTGGGCGGGGCGGGAGCGGGCGGCGCGGTCTTCGGGGGTCTCTTGGTAGCCTTCTTTCTGGAGGGAGGGGAGGAGGCGCTGGATGATGTTGATTTTGAGGAGGTTGGCGAGATCTGGTGGGGAGAAGAGGTCCTGTTAGAGAGATGCTACAGGGGAGAAGAGGGACAGGCAGGCAGGTAGTCATGGAAAGGGGTTGGCGGGCAGAGACTGACCTCTCATGCGCTCCTCCGAGATGAAGACCTTCTTCAACCTCTCCTGGAGGTCGCTGCGGTCCTCGGCACCACCTTCTGCCTTGGCGATGCGCAGTGGCAGCGCGGCCGAGGAGATGTAGTCGTGGGCGGTGATGTCAAAGCGGACGATGCGCTCGTCCCCGACGGCGAGACCGCGGATCTCGGCTTTGCCCCCCAGTCGGTCGACTTTTATGACGAACTGCATGGACGATTGCGGGTGTGCGTATACGAAGCTGTGGCTGTTGATGTTCGCATTCCATTGTCGGGGGAGGCGAGGTGCTAAGCTGGCGCATTCTGATTCTGCGCGTGAAGGTCATATTGTTAGCCCACCATCAGTAGTCAAGAGCCTGTCGGAGATGTGGTTTCCGGGAACCTACCAATCTTGCGTTCCTCGTTGAATCCCAAAAGCCGGAAGCCAAGTGATATCATACAGCCATGTGTAAAGAGCGCAATGGCCTCAAGGGAGCTGCTGAAATCCGACGTGGTGTCTTCTTTCTCGTGCGTCGGTAGAGCATCTGCCATCTTCCCCAGGACAGAGGGCGGTGCTAGCGGATCAGTCGACATGGTTGCAAGCACGACACAACTTAAATATCGGAAGGTAGGTAGAGAACGCAAGTATCAAGATGGTACGTTGATATGGAGCTTGACGGTATCGTTGAAAGGAAAGGGGGTTGTGAAGGTGGAGGGAGTTTAGCAGCCAGGCAGCCCAGCAGCCCAGTATGTCGTAATGCTTCTGCCTGGATGTGGGGTATCAGTGGGTGGCGCCGCCCCAGCCCCACTGTTACACTGCATCCTTGCAGCACATCCATGGATTCTCCTGGCACTTGCACGCCCAATATCAACCTATCTGGCGATTCACCAGTATGATCCCCCCTCCTCTCTTGTGCTCTCAGCTTCGTACGACTATTTTGTCCTCGTTAGTACATCGCCACCCTGGACCAGCTGGTTGGAAGACAAGAGTATGGAAGATACTCTTATAGATGCTACTGTTATTTGTCATGTAATGAACTCTACCTAGCGAAAGAAACCATTGGCGCCATATTGATGCATTAATGCAGCGTCAGTTTTCAAGGATTGATGACCATCCTTGGACATGGAGAGTAGAAGACAGGCTCTGGAGCTTCTCCGGAACGCCAGCGAGGTGTAGACAGGCAAATCTGCCCATCTCTGAAACACACAAGACCAACTATTACACCAAACGCCGGGGAGGAATGGAACAACTTTGCGGCTGTCCTCATGCCCTCGGATACATGTTTCGGGGCTTTCCCCATTTGAAAAGCTCGTCGGAACGGTCGAGCTTCACTACCAGCGACGACTGGAATGCCTGTTAGCCCCCGGTTCAAGACTGCAGGGTGTTTATGGCTTACCTGAAGGCCGACGCAACCTTCACTTGCCGCTTTGCGGGCTTCTTGAGTGTCGGTTTCTTTGGCTGAGACTCGCTCGGATGAGATAGGCCGAGGAGTTCGGCCTCCAGCGCAGTGAGGGGCGAATTGCTTCGACCACGACCCCCGCAGTCTTCTGGTGACGACCGGCGACTGCTGCGGCCAACTGGGCTGCGAGAATGTGAATGTCTTCTGGGATATGACCATTCCTCCCGCCGCCACCCAGACTCGGATTCTCGCCGCGAAGACCGAGGCTTGTCTTGCGGCTGTTCACTATGGTAGCCGCTGTCATGGCGGAGGTTTGATGAATGAGGTCTACCACCGCGTTCCTGGTGAGATGGAGTAGGTTGATCATCCGGCCGGTCAGGGGGCCGATGTAGCTTAACATCTCCTGCGCCGTTGCCGCTTGTGACACTCTCTTCGGCCTCTGGCGACCACCCATCATGGTCCGGGATTGGCTTTGCCTGGGGCGTCGCCTGTTGCGCCGAGCTTTGGCAACTTCGGGACGGAGTGGTCACCTGGTTAGGGCTTACTCGGGGACGTTTCGAAGCTCTATCCTCGGACACACACGAGTCATCCAGATCTCGTTTGCCTGACCGACTTGGCGTCCGGTGATACCCGTTACGGTCTTGGCCACCACGACCCTTGGAGTGATCAATACTCCGATCTCGATCGATCTGCAAAGATACCTGCCGTTCTTTCCTTTCGTCCAGAGCCTCACGACAAATGCGGAACGGAGGTGGGAGTTTAATAGGTGCCGAGGCTGGATGCCGGACAGGGGCTGCATATGTGAAATAGCCATGGTCGTAGCCAGGAAACATCCGGACAATCATCCCAGGGTATCGTTTGAAGACAGGATCATGTTCAAAGTCCCATCCTATGCTCCCATGGATAGATTGGCAGAACTCCTTTTGATTATCCTCCCGCAAGAACGAAGATTTGATGCAAGTCGCATCATATGCGGGCGGAATGGTTGGGCAGTCGGTATATTCGTGCGGCAAGGGAATGCCAACCGGGTCCGCAGCCTTCGTGGGGTGTTCTGCAAAGATCATGTCGAAGTCTTCCTGCAGCTCGTCATTACAGTCGCTGTTGGCCACATTTTCACTCTGCGCCTTGGGTAATTCCTCTGTGCCAGGACTATCCCCAGTCCGCTCGTCGGGAGCGGGGACGTGGTCGTCCTGTGATTCATTAGGAGTTGGATGTTGCTGACTAGCAATGGTTGCAGGTGTCTGCTGGTGGCGCGGGCGCGACTTGTGATCTTGCATGTTAGACGAGGGCCGGCGTGAACCCTGGTGCTTTTGATGCTTGCCGCGTTGATGGTGCGGATGGCGCGGCTGTGACGAGCCATGACGCAGAGGTATCTTTTTCCAGCCTGCGGTGGACGGATACGGCGGCACGCTGGGAGGCAGAGGGGCATGGTTTGCCCCAGGTGTAGGCGGATATGGCCCTGGAGGGTAACTACATAGTGGAGGGGGCGGAGGAGAGTATGATTGCTGAGGATACCCGGGAGGCATTGGATAGGGAGGAGCTTGGTAGGGGCCGGGGGGGTAGGGGGCAGGCGGAGGGGGCGCATAATAACCCGGTTGCTGATACGGTGGTTGTGGCGGCGGCGGTGGTGGAGGTGGTGGTGGTTGCCCATATCCTGGCGGAGCCTGCTGCCCAAAGGGTTGGGGAGGTGGAGCAGATGGGTATGGTGCATAGTAAGGTTGAGGTGGTGGAGGCGGAAGTGGTGCATAGGGTGGTCCATACGTCGAAGGTGGCTGGTATGAGCTGGCATATGGTTGAGAAGGGTGAGGTGGCGGCGGAGGCAAAGGCGGAAGGGGCGCCGCTGGTAGATATGAGGTCGTTGGGGAGGCGGCATACTGCTTCACGGCCGGTCCATGATTTGGCGGAGGCGGATAGCGAGTTACCACTGGTCCTTTCTTATCTGAGGCTGAGTTGGGTTTATCCGATATACAGCGCTGATCATGGTGTTGAGATTGCCAACGTTGAAGCCCCCTGGTCCATGTATCAGCATTTTGCATGCAGTAGAAGAATGGCTATAAAGAGCTGGCATTCTTCTCCAAGCAGGCCACCAAGGCTAGCATGCGAACACTTACGCTGGAACATCACGGGTTGGTTCCGGACATGCAACCACCCAATGACCTTGTCCGCCACAGTTGTAACAGACTGGCTCCTTTTGAGTAGCTGACTGACCAGGAGCAGCCATGACGAGCCGACTAGGTATGCAGCGTAAGAAGAGTAGATGTGATGGAGTGAGTGACAGCCCAAAAAGTGAGAAGTGATGAGATACGGGCGGTTAGTGGAAGTTGTCTCGAGGATCGAGTATCGGTGTGCAAAAGCGCCGCCTTGGATTGTCAATCCCCGCAGTTCATGCTCTGTCCCTCCTCGGTTGCAAGGGACCCACCAACTGATTGTGTCCTTCGATGAAAGGGTGGAATATCTTAAAGAGCATCGCAAATGCGCAGTGGTATACGGGAATATGTGGAGTGGAAGTGTCAGTGAAACCCAGGGAGCTTCCAACTGGTGGATCGAGGCAAGTAAGTCCAGCCTCTTTGAAGTTCCCCCGCCACAAACCTAGTTGGTGATGATGGACAGGAAGACATCAAGAACACAGTAACACATGCGACAAAATCCCAAGCAATGAAGAGCTATGGGGTGTGATATGTTAATGAAGTTGCAGGTATGATATTTGATCTGCCATTTGGGTGGTCGAAGATGGGAGGTCTGAGGTCCTCGTGGCTGAGCCAGGGCTGATTCAGAGGAGATGATTGGAGGAGAGATCGACACGTGATATTTATGGTGACACTGGCAGGGACACTGCGCGTACGTGCCTTTGCAGATGGCATCCAGAGGCAGTCTCGAGAAAAGTTGATATAAAATAGGTAGGCAGGTCTCACGGCTTAACAACACTCCCCTGTGCAGATATATGTTGCCGAGCCTCCCGAATATCAATCAACAAGCAAAAGGGAAGCGACGCTCCCCATGGATATGTGATGCCATGGTTGGCCAACTATCAGGATGGAGTTTGGAGGAATACATTTGAACTAAGACCTAGACGATGGTCCCCAGCCCAGTATGAGCCTTGAAGAGGACAGAAACGAGCCTGTAAATAAGCCCAGAAATGAGCCTAGAAAATGAGCCCGAGAGCAGGCAATCCGACAATAACTGGCAGCAAGGCCATTCCGCTGGAGATGCAATAGGCATCTTGCCCTCAACAGCTAACACTAGAAAAGAAACCCAAAAGAAATCGGCAATTAGATGACCCAGAACTCCATCTGAAATGGATGGTCGAAAGAGGAAAAGAGAATCTCGGGAGTTATGAGCGAACAGATATGATGACCTCGAGCTGGTACATCTACGGAGACGGAATTGACTTGAATCAAGCAAGAAATTTGAGGCATCTCATTCAGCTCCTAGTGAGATAAAGACATGGGAGACGGGAAAGCACAGTTGATACTCACCAAGTGATTTCCAAGTACCTGTGTAATAAGACAAATGGTTGTTTTTTCTCAAGAGATGGTGCCTCGTTGGAGCCCAGATATCCCAACAAGCACGTGACCCTACCTAATTACGCTAGCAGGGAACCGATCTTATCGATAAGGCTTTGTGGCTTACTGCGATTGCGGCGGTAGTGGATCAGCAGTTTGTCGGTGCCATGGATTCTACGCGCTCCTGCGGCCAGAAGCTAGCAATCTTCAAACTGAGGCTGTCGTCAGCCATAATGCCACCATACAGCTGTTCCAACCAGTCAACCACAGCATTCTTGATCCCTCGATTCCATGGTCGCCTAATCTGAGTGAGCTGTGCCGTCCATCATGACTATTTCCTGATGTAAATCTTCCTGCTTCTCTTTGAATATGTTCGCATCTTGTCGAGACGGCATCAGACAAACCTCGACCTGGGACAAGCGCAGCTACTGCCGCAGCAACACCGCCTCGCCAGATCCACTGGAGTCAGCTCCATAAGACTGACCACTAAACCATGCCTGGTCTTCCAGGTGAGTTCCATGCTGTCTATTCTACTTACGACCCTGGCTGCATCACTGTTCCACAAACGTCTCCCCCTCCAACTCCCCCACCTATGTATGCAATATGCATCAAATTGCTTGTGCTATCAGCATCTGAATCACAGCAAACTGATCTTTCTCTCCCTTGCAGCCTCCGTCGATCTCGACGAATGCATTTCACGCCTGTACAAGAAGGAGCTCCTCGCAGAATCGGTCATCGAAGCAATATGCGCAAAGGCGAAGGAGCTCTTGATGCGGGAGAGCAATGTGGTCCACGTTCAGGCGCCCGTCACAGTGGTTGGGGATATACACGGGCAGTTCTTCGACCTCATTGAGATCTTCAAAATTGGCGGCTGGTGTCCGGATACGAATTACTTGTTTCTAGGTGAGAGCCTCCATGCCATTCTCTCGCATAATGTCGAGTCGACCAAGGCTGACAGGGGCTTTTCCTTCCCGATGCAGGCGACTACGTTGATCGAGGGATGTTCAGCGTCGAGACCATTTCCCTTCTTGTTTGTTTGAAGCTGAGATACCCCAACCGAGTGCATTTGATACGCGGGAACCACGAGTCACGAGGTGTGACACAATCTTACGGCTTTTATACCGAGTGTTCCCGCAAGTATGGGAACGCAAATGTTTGGCATTACTTTACGGATATGTTCGACTTCCTCACCTTGAGTGTTGTCATTAACGACCAGATCTTCTGCGTACATGGAGGTTGGTTTCTTATCCCCTCCCCTACACCCCCCCCCCCCCGCCGAAACTCCAGCCACTCTCATGGAGCACTAACAAGACCCCATGATCAGGTCTATCACCCTCCATCCACTCGATCGACCAGATCAAGATCATAGACCGCTTCCGCGAGATCCCCCACGAGGGCCCAATGGCCGACCTCGTCTGGTCCGACCCAGACCCCGAGCGTGACGAGTTTAGTCTCTCGCCCCGCGGGGCAGGGTACACCTTCGGCGCACAGGTGGTTAAGAAATTCCTAGCCGTGAACAACATGAACCACATCCTGCGAGCCCACCAGCTTTGCCAGGAGGGCTTCCAGGTGCTATACGACGACCGGCTGAGCACGGTGTGGAGCGCGCCCAACTACTGCTACCGGTGCGGGAATATGGCCAGCGTGTTGGAGGTGAGCGATACCGGGGAGCGGTTCTTCAACGTGTTTGCTGCCGCCCCGGAGAACGACCTGCACAAGGATGCCCAGCCCGTAGGGGACAAGACGGTGGACGGAGGGGTCTTGCCGGATTACTTCCTGTAGCTTTGTATAGGCTCCCAGACGGCGCGTACGAGGAATGCTTTATGTGCACAGATTAGCGTGGCCCGACCACCCTCCCAGGGTAGAGCGGAGTTGGGTATTATACCACCATAGTGGAAGGGATCGCAGCTCTGTTGTATAAAGAAAGTGCCACCATGCATAGGTGCCCAACTGTGTGTCGAGAAATGGCATAGCCTCCCTACGTAGCATCTTACAATAGCAATCACACATTAATGTTAGATGGCAAGCAGGGTCGCGTTGGCTAGTGTTCGATTCCTAACTGCCTCTACCACCTAGGGAGTCATGGGTGTAATAGTCTTCCGGTGTTTATTTTTCTTTCCTCTCCAGCCTTGTCGAAAGTCCAGCGATGTCGGGACCTTTCCACCATGAGGGTGATCGCAAAAGCAGAACGCAGCAAAAACGGGGGGTGTATCTCATGGGTCAAAATCCATCATGTCTCATGCCGGATCCAATGATGCCGTATGCCTGGATGCATGGTCAGAGCGACAGCAGCTGCAGGCACTCTACCAGTCCTTGGCAATGTCAAAGCTCCATTCAAAGGAGAGGTGGGTCTTCTTGTCGTCGTCGACAAAGCTTGACAGAGCATGGTAGTGGCCACGGGCAAGCATGCCACTTGGGGCCTCTTCCTCCTGGACTGTACAACATTGTCAGTATGTGAGCCCAGACTATAGTGACACAGACAGGGACCTACACTTCTTCGAATAGATGGGCTGCTTGTCGGTGTTTGGGGCATAGCTCCCCTATCATGAGTATTAGCAAGAGTTGTCCAAGGTATAGGAGGGAAGCTGGTTGAACCTACAATCATCTCACTATCCTTGCTGACCCTGATGCCCTTGCGCTTCACCACCTGGACATAGTGCAGGCCACTGAGAATCTCATGCTGGACCTTGAAGGAAGCAACCATGGTGAACTTTGCACCCTCCTTGATCTTGAACGGCTTGTCCTTTAGAGTCACCTCGCTACCCGGGGTTGACAAGTCGATGGTGACAGGCGGGCGGCCGGGAGATTCCATGGTGAGGGACAGGATGATGCAGACTCGGGAGTCATTGGGGTCGGAAAGGTCCTTGCCAGCACTGAGGCCGAGGGATTGCTTGTAGCGTTGGAGTGATTCGTCGCCGGCATCTGCGGTTTCCTTGTTAGCACTCCGTAGACCAAAATGGGCCCGCAGCTTGCTTGTGGTTGTGTTGGGGCTAGATTCTAAAGAATCGAAAGGGCGATCGATATTACTCCACTGGTAAATGGGCAGGATGCCAACGCTAGTTGGGATTGCATCTGCAGGATACGGCGTGGCAGGCCGGCAAGTAGGGTCCGTCCTGTCACAGGATACACCGAGTCCTGATCTGCCATTGATGGAGTTCTGGCCCACTGAATCTGGCCAGAATAATTCCGTCTCGTAGGGGAGCAGGGATAGAGTCTCCTGGCTGCCGGAAGGCTCCAAAGGGGTGGGCTGGATACTTGGTGGAGGCGCCGGCGGCAGAGGTACAGAGTCCGCACGGCGGCGGGAGAGCATCTTCTTGATCGATTTCATTTTGAGTGTAGTTTGTGAAGATGTGGGACACTGAAATTGACGATGAAGAATCGGCGCAGTTCAAGGGGGTAGGGGCGATGCCGTTCACTGCCCTCGGCAACGACGTGATAGGGGTAGGAATAGAAGGTGCGATTAGGTTGACTATGGGTAGACGATGAAAGAGGACTACCTATCACAGCTAGCCATAGAAATGGGGTTGTCTGTTCACCGTTGCTGCAGTATGCAACCTGGAGAAAGATGTGAAGGTGAGAAGCCGGGACTGGTACAAGCTACCTGCCGACAGACCAGTAGGGAGAAGACTGGACCGGTAGCAGGAGCAAAGTTCAAGACAAGAATAGTAAGGTCGATTCATTGAGAGTAAGGTCAACTAGCACAGTGCGCCTCAAATTTATAGACAGGAGGGCAAGCTTAAGAAGGTGAGTTTGGGCAAAGTGCCAGGTCAACAGGAGTGCGGTACTACATAAGGCAAAGTGCGACCTCCCTCTCTGGTACCTGTGGCATGGAGATATGGAATGAATGTACTGAGAGAAGACAGGTGATATTCTGAAAGCAGGAAAGGGATTGATGTCCTGGTGAAAGAAAAATAGAAATGGGAGAGGAGAAGCGGCAAAAAGTGAGGCCAGAGTCAACATCACCACTTGGCAGTGAGGACTGAGGCTTGGCATGCCATGCCCCCTTTCGAAGTGAGGGACTTTAGAGAAGAAAGAGAAAAGTCATAGCATTCTGATATAGGAAACCCCAGTTTATGGTGCTGGGAACACTGGCAATAAGCATTCAGGCAACTTACCCATGTTTTGATATTCAGCCAAGCTCTGCTTGGGCTGGTTGAGCTTGTAGCCTGTCGTCTCATCGGGCATTGTGTCATCGTGGGAGGTCATGTTGGGCAATACTTAATGGGTATCAAATAACGGATTGCTATGCTTGTCACAGCAACGAGTGAGACAACTAAAGACGCAATACTAGCATATAAACAGGCCTGGATAGTTATCACGGTCCTGGGATGTTTTGGAGGGGTAACCGATGGAGTTGGACCCCAGATATTTAACTGTTTCTCGATTTGTCGGTCTGTCAGGGCTCCCACCTTATGGTGGGGTTGTCAGTCCACAGCTGTGACATCTGGGCCCGCTAGATCATGCACGATTGGACAATGCAGAACAATATGAAAACTGGCTGCATAATAAAACAAGAGGCAAAAGCAGCCCAGCGGTAAGACAACAGCTGCCCAACAGCAACAGCAGGAGGCAGTTGAAAGCCATGGATTTGCTGGCGGTTTGCTGGTGGATCCTAGTCATCCACCTACCTATTTGCCTTTAGCTAAAAAGCCTTAAACTTACCTAGGTGCCTAGGTAATCCCCGAGTAACAATAATCGAGGAAGTGGAAATAAAGTAAAATAAAAATAGCAAGAGAAACGAGAGTTTGAAAGAGCCCCCCTACCAGCCGAAGCCTAGCTGGTACTGAAAGAAAAACATGGTTTCGGAGATGCAGCTTGCCATGTCGCAACCTAAAGGTCATCAATTTGCTTGCTATCGTAAGAATAAGCTTCCGCTCGAGGAGGGATCCCCCATGTTCCGGCCCCCCCAGCTGCTCCCTCTATTTTTCGGTCGAGCCTATTGGTATGTGGCCCGTGCGAGGTGACATGGAGGTGATGCTGCGACGGGATCTGCTGTCCTTCCCTCCGCGCAGGGGCCATCTGTCGCACCCGCCCAGCCTCCTTCCCCCCAGAACCCCAGAACTTCGAGTAACCTCTCAATTCTCCTCTCAATCAATCCATCTGCGCGGCTCCCCGTGTCTGGCCCTCAGCCGCGTTTTCCCATCTCCGTCTTATTTTTCTTCTTCGTGACTTCACACAGTTCTTCAGTTGTTTTTCATCTGTGCCTATATCTCGCGACCGAGGGCTCGCTGTGTGGACAGGTTGCACACCTTCGTTGCACCGTTGCAGCTCGCGCGCGCAAAGATTTCTCTCTCAATCCCTTGCGACCGGCCACAACGGCAAGCCTTCCCAACAAGCCATTTCCTCGGAGTTCACTGGGCCATAGTCCACAATGGCTCCCAGCAGGCAATTGCCCGCTCGATACAACCCTCTAATAATGGAGGATGTCCCGGCCTGTTAGCAAATCCCCTGCCCTTCTGCACGCGCATTTCCGAATTGTGTCGGTTTCTAACGCGCCCTAAACAGATAGCGAGCTTGTCGCACGCCGTCGCCTGGGCCAGACTCAGCTCACTCCGCGCATGGTTGCCGGTATCCCGGATGTCGAGCTTGATCCAACCTGCCTAGGAGTCTTCGATTATGCCCACCTCCGAGCTCCCCTCCCCAAGGGGATTGTCTCGGGTGTCTTCAAGGCTCCTACCCCCACCAGCTATTTCCTGATGCGCCGCAGCAGCGATGGGTTCGTCTCCGCCACGGGCATGTTCAAGGCCACATTCCCGTGGGCGACTTCCGAGGAGGAGGAGGAAGAGCGCAAGTTTATCAAGTCTCTGCCGACTACGAGTCCGGAAGAGACGGCTGGCAATGTCTGGATCTCTCCCGAGCAGGCTTTGGGTCTGGCCGAGGAGTATGATATTACTCCGTGGATCCGCGCTCTCCTTGATCCCGCAGACATCACCGTTACTGGGGTGTCCGACGGTAGCCCCCCGAAGAAGATTTCCACTCCGCCCAAGTTCTTCTCTGGCCGACCCCTAATTGCGCCGCCCACACCGACATCACTGTCCCGATCCGTGCGCTCCCGTCGCTCTGCTAGTCCCACGAAGTCAACGGGGTCCAAACGTGGAACGACCAGCCCTCGAAAGAGGAGTGCTAAAATCTCCGCGTCGCAGTCATCCTCGACCACCGAGGCGCCTGTCTCGGCAAGCTTGACCAACGGCGATCAGCCGTATCTTGCCGCAGCCACCGTCCAGACAGCATCCGAGCCAAGCGCCGAGACCACTGTGGGCGACATCAAGGTCGAGGCGATCGAGAAGGAGCCGGCGGTTGTGCTCGCGCCGGTCGAGGAGGAACCGAAGTTGAAGGTCGACGTGGAGCGGGATGTCAAGGTTGATGAGGATGGAGAGGAAGTCACTCAGACCAAGGTCGAGGTGGAGGTGCCTCTCACCGGAGAACTTCCCTCCGCCGAGGATGCGGCTCGTATGATTGCCGAAGCCAAGGAGATGGTCAAGGCGGCTACCGAAAGCATGGCGGAGTCAGCCATCGCCGCGCCTACAGAAAGTACCAAAAAGAACAAGCGCAAGGCAGATGAGGTTGAGGCCGATGAGGAAGCCGAGAAGGAGAGCGCCGATGGGCTGTCTACCGAGCAACCGAAGGCGAAGAAGGTCAAGACAGAAACCGACCTGAGGAAGGAGCGGATTAAGAAGAGAGCATTCATCGGCATTGGCGCGACAGTCGCTGTTGGGTAAGTTCAATTGTTTGCGGCCTCGGGCCAACGTCTTTGTCTGAGGAATGGTGGCTGACCCCGTGCATAGTGCCTTGATCCCGTACGTTATGAGCGTACTTTAAAAGGACCAGCCGTGATAGGAGATATGAAGTGATGGCCGGTGTAGAGCTACCTCATGGCGAAGTCTCTAGTTGGAACTTCTACGTCGGGATATGGTCCCATTTAGTTTGCTTTATCATACCCCCTTTTATCATACCCCCCTGTGGCTTGGCTGGCCGGCTCGTCCTCGAGGGGAGCGGGAGGAGATGGTTGAGCCAGGCTACTACTTTTGCACTTTTAAGAATCGGGTTTGCACCTGAACCGGGACGAGTCGGGCTCGGACCAATGTCTTGAAGTTCATCCAACGTTTTCGAGGGCCAAGGCGTCACCTAGATGATGAGTCGGCTTTTCGACAGACGAGATATGTGTTTTTAATGGACGAATAACAATATATACCTACCCGCTTGTAATCTCCAAACTGCCTACCCAGACTGGAACAAACTATTTGCAAAGCATTCCCGAGATCTGGCTGGTTTGACACCAACGACAAAGTCAGCGTTACAGGGGCTTGATAAAATTGGCAGAAAATTCTCAATCCCAGGAATCCTAGGCGAGTACGGTGCGCTATCCCCTTCTTGGGACGACAAGACACATTCTGCCAAAATTGCCTCTTCACCGCCTTTTGCCGTCGCACCAACCGTTGCAATGAAATTCTCCTCAGTCTTCTTTTCATTTCCCGAGAAACAAATATTGTGCGAGGAAGAAAAAAAGGGAAGAAACGGAAAAAAAGATGCGTTTGGAATGCATCATTTTCTTCTCGATCTCCTAGGAGTTCTCCTGTACAGGATGCCTACAACTTCAGTATGAAGCACCAAATACCCACAATGGAGCTCGCCAGCCTTGCTATCCGGTCATGCGTTACCTAGCAATGGGTAAGACCGGCAATGGGCGGCTTTTCGGATAACCGTACCCCTCGACCTCCCACTCATGCAGGTACCATTCTCCAAACAATGGCAACGGTCCTCCCTGTCTTCGCAGGTGTCGACAAATATTTCCACTCCTCATAATCAACGGAACGATCATGATGAAGACCAATGTCAGGTTGTGGAGGCAACTCCAGCCTCACAGGCGAGCGTTCTCAACAACACCGCAGCGGCTGGATAACTATGCCTTCATCGGGCTAGGACAGATGGTGCGTATACTTTTTAACCTGTCTCTTGAAGCTTGTCTAATTGAGCTATGATTCTAGGGTTACCAAATGGCGAGAAATCTGCAAGCCAAACTGTCCCCCAGCGACAGCGTCCATCTCTTCGATCTCAACAAGGGAGCCATGGAGAAGCTCGCGCAGGAGATGAAAAGTTCGCAAGCCGGAGGGGCAGCCGTCAAGCTTGCCGATGACGCAGCGGAGGCTGCGAGAGACGCTGTAAGTGACCTCATGACCTCAATCTTCGCTTCCATCTGGGGCAGCACTGTTTTTATGATGAGTTTGTTCTATCGATGATCTAAGTTGGGGTCGGCATTGCCGGCCTTTCCATGATTCCAAATTATACAAAGCCAATCCTCTGAAGAAACAATTGCCCCATTTGGTTCAGTCCGGTCCTACACACATCTCGAGATATCTCGAACTTTGACTGACAAACGCGGCCGCAATAGGACACTATCATATCGTGCCTCCCTGAGCCGCGGCACGTCAAGAGCGCCTACGGGACCATCCTGGAGTCGGGTCTTCCCGCCCGCCCGAAGCCCCGCCTCTTCATTGACTGCTCGACCATCGACCCGTCGTCCTCGCGGGAAGTCGCGGCGTCGGTGTCGAAGGTGCTGCCGTCGGGGCAGGGCGCGTTCGTCGACGCGCCCATGTCGGGCGGCGTGGTGGGCGCCACGGCGGGCACGCTGACGTTCATGCTGGGGGCGCCCGAGTCGCTGGTCGCGCGGATCGAGCCGGTACTGCTCCGGATGGGCAAGCGCGTGCTGCACTGCGGGCCGCAGGGGACGGGCCTGTCGGCCAAGCTGGCGAACAACTACCTGCTGGCGATCAACAACATCGCGACGGCGGAGGCCATGAACCTGGGCATCAGGTGGGGGCTCGACCCCAAGGTGCTGGCGGGGATCATCAACGTCAGCACGGGCAAGTGCTGGCCCAGTGAGGTCAACAACCCGGTCCCCGGGGTAGTGGAGACGGCGCCCGCGAGCCGCGACTACGCCGGTGGGTTCGGCATCGGGCTGATGAAGAAGGACCTGCGGCTCGCGATGATGGCGGCGCGGGAGGCCGGCGCGAGGCTGGACTTGGCGGAGAAGGCGGACGAGGTGTACGACACGGCAGAGGCGGACGAGAGGTGTAAAGGGAGGGACTTCAGTGTCGTGTATAGATATCTAGGGGGGAAGGAGTAGACGACACGGAGCGATTTTCAAATAGAAATCCAAGCTCCTTTGACCACCCACCTGCCTACCTTGTTTGTACGTATGCATGTACTAGCCTGGCGATAAGCATAGGCATTTCATTTCTCTCGAGTCTCGAATGGTCCATGGAAACATCCAATGTTCTGTGCAGGCCAAGCGCTCGGTAAGAGAGAGGCAGCCCCCGTCACGAACCTAGATTGCATCGTTGCATTCGGAACAACACATGATTTAGAGCTGGATTCGGGACAATTCTTGCCCCGCATCCCGCCCTTCCAAGCCAATTTGTGGGGTTATGGAATCCTTCCTTCTGGTAATCTCGTATGGAGAATTAGGGAGGGATGCCAGCCTGAATCCCAGCAGCCTGGTTTTGCTTCCCGCCGCTTCGTCCTAGCCATTATCTCTACTGCAGATGGGAAGGGTTGATATACATAATATGAGTGTTCCCCTTGGCTGCTTTTATCTCAGTTGAGAGACCACAGGAGTTCTCCTTGTATACCAAGCACGATAGGTACCAAGCACGTGGCCCTCGCATCCAATTGACCAATCGCATCTTTACAGATGGATAGACGCCGCTCGGCTCCCCGGGCTTCCGGCCACTAGGTCCTTCCTGACGGCGTCTTCGCCGCCAACAAGGTGGATACCTCCTCCCATTGCAGAGATATCGTGTCTTAGTTTAGTTCATTCGAACGGGTCTTCCATGATCTCGAGGAAAAATAGGTAGGTACTTTAACAATGGCCCCCCCACCCACACCTTCTCTTCCCCATTATTGGTGTGACCGTTGTTTCGTTTCAACTTCGCGAACTTCAAGTTGAAGTTCCTTTGCTTTTCTTCTTCGTCTTCTCTTCTTTTGCTCTCCGTCTTCTCAGTCGCCAGTGATCGCCTTGTGAACCTGTGTGATCAAACGGCGTGCGCTACTGCCATCAACTTGACGTACAGCCGGTGCTTTACTAGATACGGCCGTCGCAAAGATGACAAACCACACGGGCAAACCGTTTTACACATGCGAGGCAGTCAGTCCTCTATGTCCCGTCGAGGCCACGACCCTTGGTTACTATCCCATCCGAGGTTTCAACATCTTCTTCGCGATCGGCTTCGGGTTTGCAGGTGTCGCAACCCTGGTGCTGGGAACATGGAAGAAGACTTGGAGTTATATGGCCTTCGTCGCGGCCGGGTGTCTGTTGGAACTCGCTGGTGAGTCTTTCCGTTTCCCGCCGCGATCATACCGGCTCCGGGTTCCTCGAAGCAAAAACCATGGGAAGAAGCCAAGAGCTTACTGACGCTGCAACCCCCCTACTCCCCAGGCTACGCCGCGCGGGTCCCGCTGTCCGACAACCCCTGGAACTCGAGCGCCTTCCAGACGCAGATATGCGCCATCATCCTCGGCCCGACGCTGATCTGCATCTCCATCTACCTGACCCTGAAGCACGTCTGCCTCTCGCTCAACCCGTCTCTGTCGCGCGTGCGCCCCGGCCTCTACCCCTTCATCTTCCTCCCGCTGGACGTGTCGTGCCTGCTCGTGCAGGCCATCGGCGGCGCGCTGGCCGCTAGCGCGGGATACGACAACCGCGCGCTGCTGGAGAGCGGGAACCGCGCCATCATCGCGGGAATCTGCCTGCAGGTCGTCGTCCTGAGCTTCTTCGGCACCGTCAGCGCCGACTACTACCTCCGCGTCAGGAGGTGGATCCGCGGGCCCGACGCCGACCCCGAGGCCCTGGCTATGTGGCATGATGCGAAGTTTAGGAGGTTTGTGTACGCCGTCACGGGCGCTTATGCGGCGATTCTGATTCGCTGTATTTATCGGTGAGTCCCCCTCTGCCCCCCGTGTCGTTCTCTTCGTGGGGATGGCTGGGTCCGAAGGTGGTAAAGGATAGTGGGACTAATATTTCGCTCCTAGTATTGCCGAGATGGCCGGAGGATGGGGCAACAAAATCATGCAGGACGAGCCATCGTTCATCGTCCTGGAGAGCTTGTGAGTTTCGGTCTTTTTGAACTTGGGGCATCGTGGTCAGTGTCAGGGCTAATAAACGTGTGTAGTATGCTTGTCATTGCGTGCATCCTCCTCGCGGTCTTCCCGCCCGGGTTCCTCTTCCCCCAGATGGCGGCGCGCATGGCCACCCGCTCCAAGGGACGACGACGGTTCGGGAGGAAAAAGTCGGGCGAGAAGTCGGCCGAGGCTGCGGGGGGCGTGGAGTCGGGACGCGAGGCGGAGATAACTGACTCCTGAGGCCTGGAGATCCGAAGCTTGGGTACTCACAGGGAGGTTTGTATACCCTATTTTGTTCGCATTTCCTGTCTCGTATGTATGTGTTGCACCTTAGATTACAGATATATGGCCTTTGCTTTTTGTCCTCGATAGCGTTGCCTATGCGCTTAAATTAGAGTTCGGTATATCCATTTTTTTAACCTTGCTATTCGCAGTGGGAAATCCAAGGCGACACTCGAAGCCTAGGTGAGTGTCCAATATTTCGGCGTCAGACAGCGAAACTAGAGTTACCTGGCTGATGCTCGCACAAGACTAAGTTCACATATGATCGAATGAGGACACTACCGCAAGACTCGAGAACATTTTTATTTATGCTATGATGCAATGAGCTGAATATATATCTACATGGAAATCCTTTTTCTTATACGACGACCACACGATCAGATGGTCCCACGCTCCAGGAACTTGTTCGGGATGTCGACGTGCTTGCAGCGGATGTACTCGCACAGGTTCTTGCCCAGGCTGTCGAAGCTGCTGGTCGAGTTGAAGCCCCTGTCGAGGTGGTCCTTGAGCAGGAAGTGGACGGCGCGGATGTTGGGGAACTCGCAGCGGTCGATCTGGCGGCCCTTGTCGTCCTTGCCGAGCAGCTCGCGCAGCTTGGCCACGCTCAGCAGCGACCGCAGCCAGTCCCACTCGTCGTCGTGCCGCACGAACAGGCCCAGGTTCGCGTTGGAGCTCTTGTCGCCCGACCGCCCCATCACCACGCGGCCCAGCGGCGCCCGCGTCGTTGGGCCGTAGCTCGACAGGTCGACCGGGTTGACGGTGTCGTAGCTCGGCTGCTCGCGCGGGTACTCGCGCACCACGGTGGGGGCGGGGATGTCGATGACCTTGCCGTTGGGGAGGTGCGCCGTCTCGTGCACAAAGGTCTGCGGCATCAGGCTGACCCAGTACTCGAAGAAGGGCCGGCCGATGGCGGTGCGCATGTCGGGCGCCATGGTGCTGCCCGGGTAGCCCTGCAGCAGGTTCTCGATGCAGAAGCGGGCGAAGGAGCCGCGGTCCGAGTCGACAAAGTTGTTGCCCGACAGGATGTCCGGGTCGCGCGTCTGCGCGAAGATGCGCAGGTCCACGGTGGCCTCCTCCTGCGACGCCGGGTTCTCGGGCACGGCGCCCGCAATCATGAAGCGCAGGCACGAGAACTTGGTGACATGCTCGCCCATGAGGGCCTTGGTCTGCCGCTCCACCATGGCTGCCTTCTCCTCGATGTCCAGGCCCGTGAGGTAGAAGTGGAATTCGGCCTGGAAGCCTCCCTTGGCGGTGATGCCGACTGACGCACACACAAGGGTTAGCTTAGGGTCTCTGGAACACGGCACCGCCGAAGTTTGCACATACCTTTGGTGGTCGCCGGCGCGGGCAGTCCCTTGACGCCCGCCACGTGAACTTCATTCTCTCCGATCTGGGTCAGGCGGATGTCGTCGATACACGCGGTGACGTCCGAGTTGTAGTAGAGGGAGCCCTGGATCTCGTACAGGAGCTGGCTGGCCACGGTGGCGATGTTGACCAAGCCGTGTTTGCCCTGCTCCATGGAGATGACGGCCTCTCCCTTGTTGTCGATGGCGGCGATGGGGTATCCCATGTCGGTGTCGTTGGTGCCCAGATCCTTGAAGCCCGAGTAGTAGCCGCCGGTGGCGTACGTGCTGCACTCGATGATGTGGCCGACCATCAGGGCGCCAGCCAGCTCTTCGATGTGCTGGTCCCGGTTCCAGCCGTGCCACCACATGGCCGCGCCGACGGTCACGGACGCGTCGGCAACTCGGCCGCAGAGCACAATGTCTGCGCCACCCTCGAAGCAGGCCGCGATGCCGGTGCCGCCGAGGTAGCATTGGGCGCAGATGGGATCAAAGCCCCACTCCTGGATGGGCTTGTTTGCGGGCAGGTTGAGGAACGGCTCGCCTGTTCCTCTCGGTCAGCATATATTCCATCACTGCGGGATTCAGAGATGCATAGCCATCTCACCCTTCTTATAGAGATCTAGTACGGCGTCGGTCACGTCATCGCCATCGACAACGCCGACTTTGAGGTCAACCCCGTGCTTCTTGATGAGCTCCTTCACTGCCTCCGCTAGGCCGTGGACGTCGCTGGCGCCGGCGTTGACGGCAATCTTGGTGCCCTTCTTCGCGAGCCACGGGATGGCGGGGTCGAGCTCGTCGAGGAAGTACGGCTCGTAGCCCTTGGCCACGACGGTCGAGCCCGAGGTCATGGACTTCTGGGCGAGCCGGTCACGCTTGTCGGATCCCCGCAGCGTCATGTTGCACTCGGACATCCAGTCTCCCGTGATGACGTCGACGTCCTCGTTCTTGGCCATGTCATGGATCGCACGCTTGCGATCATAGACACCTGGCGTTTCCTCGTTAGCAACCCGATCTCCGATACTGTAAGCGAACCCCTCCACTCACCTCCTGAGCATCCGGCAATGCGGATTGGCCTCTTGGGCTGGCCATTTGCGGTGTTGATTATTGAACCCATCTTGTAACAAATCTAACGGCTGACGGTAGAATAAGATGATGTGTCCGAGTGAGAAGGGAGGTTTCTGGACGTACGATGATCTCTCATATTCAGAGGGGAAGGGCGACTTGATATACGTCGAAATCTTGGCCCCGGGAAATATGTCCGCACATTAGTTCCCGAGATCATCTCGGCGCTCTTCGGCCATCGCTGACTCGATTCGAGTAAGGTCATTAGGTACCAGTGAAGCCTCCTTTGGCGCTCCAAAACGTCGTTTGGTGGTGGAATGTATGGGGTTGCCAGGCGCTAATGATTCAGCAAGCTCCTTGCGTATCTTATCACCCCGCCCGTCGTTCTGGCCCACGATGATTCCTCATAGCGGGGTTAGTCGGGGTTCATGCCCGTGGCTCTCGGTATCCGTCTATTGGTAATCAGCCAAGATACTTGGGTGAAACAGAAACACCATCTCATGGAAGAAAACACCTTATTTTGTGATCGACGCTGGTTCTAACATTGAAGATAGTACGGAGTAGCTATCCCGGGCTATTCTGATCTACTTTTAATCTTTGTACAGAAACCCTCCTTGGATCTTCAGGAAGTGGTGCTTGAGCCCTTCTCTCAGGTGCTTGGTGTTCTTGATGCTCTCCTCAACGGCCTTGCTCTTGGCATGTACATCCAGCAGATACTCCTTGCTGTCGTATGCCTCCACGGTGAAGAGCTTGTTCTGCTCCTTGGGGTCCCTCAGGATCCCGTATACAAGTGTGCCCGCCTCTTTCTCGCGCCCCGTATCGGCAACCGCCTTCCAGTATGGGATCGACTTTTGAACAGTGTCGGGCTTGTAGTCCAGTTCCGCAATGACCACGCATGGATCCTCGTGCTTGGAGACCTCTCCCCGGGAGAAATAGAAGTCGTCGACGTACTGCAGGTCCAAGATCCTCGGAGCTCCTTCCAGAACTTTCCCGGTTCCAATCCACTCAATCAACGCCTTGACGCCGGGTTCCGCCAGATGGGACTCGAAGGCTGCTTCGTCTTTGTACCTTGACACTTGTTCAGTTCCCATCACCCTTCCAGTATCGGATCTAACTCGGGGTGGGCACTTACTCCTCCACGGCGAACACTGTCGTCTGGTCTGATTCGTCTCGGGGCACAAAGGCTGCGTATTTCAGCACGCCGGGCTCGCTTTGGAAGGCGAAACTCCCCACGGCGCTCATCTTCTTGATGAACTAGAGTCGATCGTGAGTCTGGAGGGCCCCATCTCACTCCCGCGGGGCAACACTCTCACCTCATCCCGAACCTCCTTGCTCTTCGTGGAGAGCTGACCGATGATGACCTTGCGAGGCATTGTTGTGATATCGTCTCTCGACCTTGTGTTTGGACTAGAAAATTCAGAAATGTGCGTGTATGGGAAAGGTTACCGAACATGAACTGCTGAGCTCCGTCAACATGGGTGGGCTCCATGGCCAAATAGTATACTTAGACCTGGAAATTTATATCCAGAGACCAGCTTAGGGATGTGGGGTTCTTACCTAGTTACTCACAGGAACCGTACTACCGGCTTAGCGTTGCAGAATCTCCAACTCTTGGGTCTGGAGATCTCGAGAACAGACAGGTTGGTAACCGGGGATTCAGTCTTAAGCGAGATCTATCTATATTTAAGTATATGTGAAAGAGGGGGTTCTACAGCCGGGCCAAGACAGCAGCTTCAAGGGAGCAGAGGCCATCTCTCATCTCGACCATCTTCTTCCTCAATATCTTGCCAGTCGGATTCTTTGGAATCGCGGGCACCTGCCAGACGCCTCCCCGAAGCTTCTTGTAGCCGCTGACCTGGCTGTCGACGTTCTGCTGTATCTCCTTCAGGGCCTGTCTCCTCTCCCTCTCCGTCTTCAGGTGGTCCTTCAGGATGACCCACGCCGCCGGCAGTTCGGTAAGCTGGCTCTCATCCCACACGGCGCCCACTCCGCCCTCGACTACGTGAGGGTGAGAGTTGAGGTAGCCCTCGAGCTCGGCAGGCGAGACCTGGAAGCCCTTGTACTTGATCAGCTCCTTTGTCCTGCCCACGATGCTCAGTAACCCCTCGGCGTCTATCTTGCACACGTCCCCCGTATTATACCAGCCCTCCATGGGAAACGCCGCGCGGTTGGCCTCCTCGTTGAAGGCGTACCCCCTCGTGATGTTCGGCCCGCGCAGCCACAGCTCGCCGGCCTCGCCCTCGGCGACGTCGGCCGTGCTTCCTTCCTTCTTCAGCACGGCCTCGATGCCCGGCAGCATCCTCCCGACCACGCCGTCCGGCAGCTGCTCGCCCAGCTTCTGGTACGCCACGTACCCGGCGGCCTCGGTCATGCCGTAGACCTGGTTGAACTGCCACGGCGCCCTGGCCAGGACGCGCGCGACGAGGTCCGCCTTGAGGGGCGCGCCGCCGACGTTGAGGACCTGCGCGCGGCTGAAGTCGTGCCGCTCCGTGATGTCGCTGTTGGTCATGGCGAGCACGACGCTCGGCACGCCCTGGAACGAGGTCGCCTGGTTGCTGCCGACGAGCTCGGCGAAGGTCTCGAGGTTGTACGACGGCATGGCGTGGTGCATCATGCCCGTGTAGGGCCCCAGGAACAGCGGCATCGTCGTCATGCCGATGTGCGCCCACGGCGTGAACGCCACCGTCCGGCTGCCTCGGTGGAACTGCGCCGCGTCGTGCGCGACCAGCTGCAGCACGTTGGCCACGAAATTGTGGTGCGTCAGCTCAACTCCCTTGGGGTGGCCCGTCGTGCCCGAGGACAGGTGGATCGTCGCCAGGCGCACCGTCGCGTCGGCATAGTGCGGGACCGGGAGCCGGCGCGGCGCGAGGAAGTCGTCAGGGATGTGCTTGTGCTTATGGCCCGGGGCGCGGGAGATGATGGTCACGACCTCGGGCCGGCGCCAGGCGACTCCCTGGGCGCGGAGGCTCTCGTAGGCGACCTCGATTGCCTCAGTGATTGCTGGGACGGTGGGGCCGTACGACACGATGAAATGGGGCCGCGATACGGCGAGCCCGTGGCCTATCTCGGAGGCTTTCAGGGCATAGTTGATGGGGCACACAACGCCGCCGGTCCAGAGGATGGAGTGGAAGACCTCCAAGAACTCGACGCTGTTGGGCAGGACGATCGCCCATCTTGCCTGGTCGACTGGCCTCAGGGCATCTTTCAGTCCTTTGGCTATCCGCCCGGCCCGGTCTCGTAGCTCGCCGAGAGTGATGCTCCGGTTTGTGAGACTGTCCTTGGCTATGAGATGCGACTCGGGGAGGCTCCACGCCGTCGTGTGGAGAAGCTCTGTAAGGTTCTGGTCTCGGGGTATTGAGATCGGCTGCGAGGTGTAGACCTTCATCTTGGAGCAGATTCGGTATCTCTGTCTCTCATGACGATATTACAGAGCTCAAGGCAGGTGAAGAAAGATAATCGAGGTAGCAGGCGGAAGGTCAACAACTCTCTGGCCGACGGGAAGCCGTTTGCCCGCACTCAAAATGCACGCGGCCATCCCAGGCTGACATGTTCCGCTCACCGGTACTGTCGGCAAGTTATTACCTGCCTACTGTTAGGGGGTTGTTAAACGGAGGTCTTCCACCATCCCTGCCTGCCCCCTGGTTTTTGCGGCGGTCGGAGGGGCCCGTTATTCACACATAATCACCCCGTCGTTCCCCGCAGAAGGGGGAATCCCTGCCGCTAGCAACGACTCCATTGACGATAGTGTTGCACTAGCAAAATGATTCAGCCCCTAATTTACGCTAATGATTCATCGCTCTCGTGTACCAACTTACACTACTGCATAGTCGACGCATTGCGGGGAAGATGGTGTGTGGGACACGGGATTATCTTCTGGACGGCGAGCGATCCGGTGGCAGGGATGGGAGCCAGTTGATTAAAGATGAACACAAGTCGGGCGTGAGGTCGGACCGGCCATTCATGATGGCCGAGTCCGAGAGAGAGACTGTTTGAATATATCCTACAATTAGCATCAAAGATCTCAACAAGGCAACATTATGGCTCGGCAACAACGGCCAATTCGCATTGGTAACGTGTCGGGCGCCATTGGCGACGGCATCGACCAGATCTACGAGATTGCAAAGTCGGGGAACGTCGACGCAATCACGGCAGATTACCTCGCCGAGTTCAACATCGCCTGGAGATCCATCGAGCTCCAGACCCGACCGGATCTGGGATACGAGCCCAACTTCCTTGAGCAACTTGCCTGGGAGAACGGCGATGCCGCCCGGCTGGTCGCGGAGAAGCGCATCAAGATTGTCCACGATGGTGGAGCTCTAAACCCAAGGGGTCTTGCCGAGGCCGCGGACTCTTACTTCAAGAGTCTTGGGATCAGCCACGTCAAGATCGCGTGGGTGGGCGGCGACAATATCACCGAGCAAGTCAAGAGTGGAAAGTTTAGCTCCGTAGCCCATCTTGATCAACAAGGAGTTACTCTGCCGGAGTCCAGCATCAAGGATATCCTCTCCGCAAACGTCTACACCGGACAGGCTGGCATCGTTCGTGCCCTGGAAGAGGGCGCAGACATTGTGGTCTGCGGGAGGTGCTGCGATGCCAGCCCTGTCATGGGCCTGGCCTCATGGTGGCATGGGTGGGATTCCGAGGACTACGACAAGCTCGCCGGGAGCTTGATTGCCGGTCACCTCATTGAATGCGGCCCCTACGTCACGGGAGGCAACTTCTGCGGTGCTCCTGAGATCAAGACGCTCTACAAGCTCGGCTTCCCAATTGCCGAAATTGCAGAAGACGGCAACATTGTCATCACCAAACCCCCGGGCACCAACGGCGCCGTGACGATCGACACCTGCAAGGCTCAGTTGCTTTACGAGATCCAGGGCCAGAATTACCTGAACACGGACGTCATCGCCAATATCGAACACGTCCGTCTGGAAGAAGTTGGCACGGACCGTGTGCAGGTTTCGGGAATTAGGGGCTCGGCTCCTCCACCGACAGCAAAACTGGCCGTCTGCCTTCTCGGAGGGTGGCAGGCCGAGTTGTCGGGGTACTGCGCCGGCCTGGACACGGACTTCAAGTTCCAGCAGATGAAGGACGGCGTGCTGAGGCGCATCAACAAGGACGACTTCACCACGTTCAGCATCGAGAAGTACGGGTCGTCGCAGCCGGATCCGCGCACGCAGAAAGAGTGTACCGTCCAGGTCAGGATCTTCGCCCAGGCGCCCGACAAGAAGGCGCTGGCGCAGGTCAAGAGGGCCATCTTCTACAACGGCCTGCAGGGGTACTGCGGCCTGCATCTGGGCATGGACTGGCGGACCCTCGAGCCGAGGATGTACGTCAAGTATTTCCCCGGCCTGATTGCCCAGTCCGAGGTCCCGTTGACGGTCCACTTTGTCAACGACAAATCTGGGAGGTCGATCGGGGTCCTGCCACGCCCTGCGAGCAAGTGCCTTGCTAGCGCTCCGGCGCAGAGGAGCTACGAGCCGAAGACTGCCCTGAGCTACTCCGGGGAGACGGTCAGGAGGCCATTCGGGGATCTCGTGTTTGCGAGGAGCGGCGACAAGGGTGGGAATGCCAATGTTGGTTTCTGGGTTCGGGACGCTGCGGCGTGGCCTTGGCTGCAGTCGTTCCTTACAAGCTCCAGGTTGATTGAGCTTCTGAGTGATGAGTGGAGCGACAAGTTCTCGGTTGAGAGATGTGAGTTCCCAAATCTATGGGCGGTCCACTTCGTGGTCAAAGGATTTTTGCAGGATGGCGTGAGTAGCAACAGCATCTTGGATGGCTTTGCCAAGAGCTTCGGTGAGTTCCTGCGAGCGAGGCATGTCGACTTGCCCAAGGACTTGGTTCAGCTGGAGGACCAGCGCCGAGCAGAGGCTCGAGCCAGAGCAGGTCGTCTAGCCAGGCTGTAGAGAGTACTTATTTACATGCTTTATTGGGCATCGGTTTGAAGATTGGCAGACGAAACGAATAGTTTGTGGACCTACATTATGAGCCCCTGAGCCCCTGAGCCCCTGGGAGCGTGAAATCTGACCTTGTGTGCCCGGAATCGAATGGCCCAGATTCCGCCGCGGGAAATGTGGTTGTATCAAGAAGTTGTATCCCTGTAAGGCCGCGTGCATGAGTCTGGGACCGGCTCAATCCGATCGAGTTCCTTGGACACTAGCCGTGGAAGAGGAGGTACTGGGTCTTTTCTTCCGTATGCCTCGGCGTAGTTGCTCTTCCCCACACACCATCCCGGCTACCCCAACTTGACCCAATAATTTAGGTAGATCTAGTAGGTAGTTCTCCAACTTTGGATCCTGAAATTCTCCCTCAATTATTTATTCCTTTCTCTATCTACTCCAAAAATCGCACAAGCAAAACCTTGGAAGATTGTGGCACCCTGCCGATACAAACGGACAGCACAATGGCCAGTGACAAACCAGTGAAGAACGCATCCGGAAGATACGACAATGTCGATTTCCGGAAAGCAGTAGGGTACCAATACCCTCCCATCAAATGCAGCTATAACCGACGAGATGTCCTGCTATTCGTAAGTACCCATTACCGCGCTCCGTGTCTTGCCCAGCTCCCTACTAAACCCTAGGAAGGCCAACGCCATCGGCGTCCAACAAGACGAGCGCCACTTCCTGTACGAGCTGCACCCCAAGTTCGCCGCCTTCCCGACCTTCCCCATCAACCTCGCCTTCAAGCAGACGGACCAGGACGTCTTCGACTTCATCGCCCGCACCACCAGCGCCGACGTTCCCGGCGTCCCACCCTTCGACGCCCAGCGCTCCGTCGACGGCGAGCGCGGCATCGAGATCGTCAGCCCGCTGCCGCCCAGCTCGGCGGGGCTGGACCTCGAGATCCGCAACCGCGTCGTCGGCGTGTACGACAAGGGCGGCGCCATGATCCTCGAGGCGGAGCAGGAGCTCGTCGACGCCGCGACGGGAAAGGTCTACTGCAGGATGAGCTCGGTGGCGTTCGGCATCGGGCAGGGCGGTTACGGCGGGCCGAGGGGCCCGACTAAGCCCGTTACGAGGCTGCCGGACCGGAGGCCTGATGCCGTCCATGTGTTTAAGACGACCCCTGAGATGGCGCTGCTGTATCGGCTGTGTGGAGATTATAACCCAATGCACGGTGATGAGGCGTTCGGAAAGAGGGCCGGGTTCAAGGGGTCGATCCTCCATGGTTTGGGGACTTGGAATATCTCGGCGAGGGGGCTGCTGCGGGAGCTGGGGAATTCGGATCCTACAAGGCTCAAGGCGTTTGGCGCCAGGTTCAAGAGCGTGGTCTATCCCGGCGATGAGCTGGAGACAAGGATGTGGGTGGTCGGCTCTGAGAATGGTTACGACAACATTGCCTTTGAGACGGTCGTCAAGGGAGACGGCAGGGTGGCATTGTCGAATGGGTATGCTAAGATCAAGCAAGAAGGAAGCAGGCTGTAGATGTAGATATTGAATGTAGACTTTGAGAGAGTAGATATATCAAAAATCCAACTTCAACTTATAGACAAGATCGTGGTTCAAGATATATCAAGTATTTACAAAAGAGTTCAAGCAGATCTATAAGCAGCTGTGAGGCAAGACATCTAGAGAGTCGACCACGGGCGAAAAAAAAAGGTACAGAAAAAGGGGGGAAAAAAAAGTGACGCCAACGCCGCTCGAACAAAAGAGTTCGGACTCGGTGTCGAGTGTCCTAATCTCTTTGTCGTCGGGCCGGTTGTTGATTTTTGTCGAGTGTCGCTCATTACCACTCCACCACGGGACCACAGTTTGACCTGAACAACATGGCCATGTTGCCGCCTGCTGTGATCCCTTGAGAATTGGTTCCTAACCCTCATTTATATGTTCATTACCACCACCCACACCGCCCTCTACCTACCAAGCACCCACATACACACGCGCTGTACCACGTGAGCATCACTTTGCCCAACTCACCAATTTTTTTTATTTCCCTGTCTGCCTCATATATGCGACGGAAACCAATTCGGCTTCCTCTTTTCCCTGTAGGATGCCAGACCCTCTGTCGCATTCTTGCTCTTCAACAGGTTCTCGGCCCAGAGTTCCTGGCCCCTCATCGTCGCCCGGCTCACGCCCGTCTCCCACGCCTCCCTCGCTCCGAGCCTCGAGATGATGACGCTGTCGGGGCTTAGCGACGCGATCTCGGCGGCGTAGTCGATCGCCCGCTGCAGCAGCTTCTCCTGCGGCACAATCTCCTTCACGAGCCCCCACTCGAACGCCTCCTGCACGGACATCAGACGCCCTGTGAGGACGAGGTCCATCGTCCGGTGGTTGCCGAAGAGGAGCATGCACCTGGGGAGGGCGCCGGCTAGGGCGGACACGCCGCGCAAAACTTCGGGCAGCCGGAAGTCGGCGTTCGGAGACGCGAAGATGACATCGGCGTTGAGGATCATCTCCATACCGCCACCTGGGGAGGTTTATACGTGTCAGCTCAATACGCGACGCACACCCATAACTGCGGGAAAGAACAAGGGCGAGGAGCAAGTACCGTGAGCATGCCCATTGCACGCGACGACGATGGGCTTCTTCCCCGTCCGGTTGGACATGCCGCCGAACCCGCCGTGCGGGTACTCGAAGGCGATCTCGTTCGTTTTTATGAGGTCCAGCCTCTGCTTTAGGTCCATGCCCGCGCAGAACGCCTTCTGGCCGGCGCCGGTGAAAACGGCGCACCGCAGCTCCGGCTCCGCGTCGTACCATTTCCAAAGGGCGCCCAGCTCAATGGTTGCCTCGACGGGCAGGCAGTTCATGAACTTGGGCCGGTTGATGGTGACGAGGAGGATGTGCTTCTGCGGGAACGAGATGATGCTGTGTTCGACGTGGGGATACGGGTTCTCGATCCAGTCGGGGACTGGGTTCTTCGTCCTAGGTACAGACATGGTTGGCAACGTTTGGAAATGCTAAGTATGGCAGTACGGTCACGATGCGTCTCCGAAAGCTGAATGAATGAAAGCCTTCAAAGATTCACGACAGCAGAGTCGACAAGAAAATGGTTTTCAGACAGGAAGGAAGGAATTGGATCGGTTCCTCGAACGTTCAGCCCGCAAACAGCCTCGGCCCGCGATGAGAAGGCATCACAACGAGACAAAGCCATCATTTCCCCATTTATTGGGGGCCCTGCTGGACTGGTTGAAAGGAATGTCGTTATGAATCATTAGCGCGACGTTAGAGGCGACCGGCTCCAACCTACTTCTCCGCATTCCCCCGCACTCTGCCCAGAACGCCTCCCGGCAGGCAAGCTTTTGCGGGTCCCCTAGTGGGGACGGCATATCGGTGGGGAATAGCCCCTGCCGTTAATCCCGCAACGGAAGGCTTGCCTGCCCAGTCGGAAAACATGAAGCGGGCGACCGAAATTCGCCCTATCGCGCCGCGGCATCCTCGCACAGGGTAATCCGAGAACACCGCTCGTATACTGGCCGACTCATTTTTTTTCATTTGAGCTAGTGAAGTTAGCGCGATGAGTAAGTACAGACTAAAAAAGTGCTCCAAGCCGGGAGACTTCGTGAGCAAGGTTGGGGCTTGAGGATTGAAACGTGGAGAACTAAGGAGCCGAGCTGGGACTCCTCCGGATGGAGCTGTTGCCCAAGGTAATTCAGTAAGTGTAGCCGAGCTAAATCGGAAGCCCAGTCTGCCAGCTGAGCAGGAAGCAAAGATCTCAACTCCTGTTCTCGAGTACAAACTTGCCATCTTTGAACGTGAGAAATCAATACACACAGAGTCAATCCCTATTCTGCAAAGTCACAAATACCACCAGAGTCACCCCCCTCCCAACGCCCAAGATGGCGCAAATATCATCATCACCACCAACGACAACACCTCCCCCGCCGACCCCAACCTTCCTCCGCCTCTCCTACCCCGCCCCCCGAGTCCTCCTCGTGCGCATGGACCGCCCCAAGGACCTCAACGCCATGTCAACGACAGCGCAGTGGGAGATGGACAGCGTGTGGAAGTGGTTCGACGCGGAGCCCCGGCTCAGCGTGGCGGTGATTACGGGGACGGGGCGGGCGTTCAGCGCCGGGGCGGACCTGAAGGAGTGGAACAACAGCATGTCGGGGGACTCCGACCCCAAGGCGCGCATGGGCAACGCCCCGGCATTCAAGCCGCTCAGCCGGCGCCTCGGCAAGAAGCCCGTCATCGCCGCCGTCAACGGCCTCGCCATGGGCGGCGGCTGCGAGTTCGTCGTCAACTGCGACCTCGTCGTCGCCGCCGAGGACGCCTACTTCGGCCTGCCCGAGGTGAAGAGGGGCATCGCCGCCATCGGGGGCGCCCTGCCGCGCCTCATGCGCACCGTCGGCCTGCAGAGGGCCAGCGAGCTCGCGCTGACGGGGAGGAACGCGTCGGCGCAGGAGATGTTCGAGTGGGGGGTCGTCAACAAGGTGGTGCCGCGGGAGAGGGTCGTCGAGGAGGCGGTGCGGTACGCCGACATGATCGCGAGGAACAGCCCCGATGCCATCATCTGCACCAGGGCCGGGCTGCGGCAGGGCTGGGAGTCGGCGAGCGTCGAGCGCGCGGTCGAGTGGACGCTCGAGAAGGAGTTTGCGGAGCTGCAGAAGGGCGAGAACATCATCGAGGGCCTGAAGGCGTTTGCGGAGAAGAGGGAGCCGCAGTGGAAGGCGAGTAGGCTATAATGTGTTTCTACGGAGATCGTGTGCTACAATAGAGGCTCGGGCGGTTGGCGTACACAACTATTTGACTGTTCATATCACTTCTGCCACAAAGGACACGGCGAAGATGGGAGGAAAACTTCTTTGCAGGCAATTGTCTCGTCTTCTCTCTCCTGCACCTTACCAGCGACTGGCCTGAGAGCTTGGGGTGTCAAACAGCTCCCCCAGGCTTTTGGCAATGGCTTCAGCTCCCACGTAGACCAAACGACCCAAGCGGCTTGGCTCTTCTGCCTGTTGGCCATCGCCACCACTTATTGTTGAGTCGGACCAGCGGAGCTGAGAGTTGAGAGTTGAGTAGCTGAGCTCGCGGGCTGAACATACTATTGCCAGGTTCGCCAATTGGAGGCGGATTCGTGCATGAACCTGCGTGGGAGCCATGCTGCGATGAATCAGTAGCGTCCCATATTTTGTTGGCACCATTGGTTTTTTTGGGGGGTCTTGGCGTAGCTTCACCACCGTGTGTGTAAAAGAGCGCCATATCGGGGGTGCGTATTTCCCCCGCGAATTGCGGTTCTACTATTACAAGTTAGTCTATGCAGTAGTTCCATTCCCCCAGAGATTCTAGCCTTTGGTGGACCCCTAGAACCTCTTGCCGGCTCCCTTGGAGTCTGGAGTACCTTTGTGGAGAAGGTTTGGAATGTTGCTGGGTGACTGAATCCGACGAAGTCTGGGGAGCTTGTCTCTTGGCAGTTGTAACTCTTGGCAGGTGTACTGTTCATACATATTTGTTGTTTTTGCCTCGTCGTTCTCTCTTCTGATTTGGGTGACAGAGAGAATATTCGCATTTCTTCAGAGTCATCAAAATGGAAGTCAACTTGGCTCCCGACCACGACCAGATCGAAAGCACCAGCAAGGAAAGTGTCGAATTTCAGCAAGATGGACGTGACGATGCCTCCTCTATCCGGTCGGAGGCCCTAGGCGATAACCTCCCCCCGGGCTACTTCTATTCCCCGCGGTTCATCGGCTGCCTTACAGTTAGTGATGACGTTGAGCTGCATGTGTCTCTGTATTCCAGGGTCTAACCGCCCAAATCTACCTAGGGGTTCTGTCTGTCGGCTCTCTCGGCATACATCTTCTTGATTCTACCCACCAATGTGCTGTCTTACATCAACGCTGATATCGGTACGAGGTTGCCTTACCCCTGAGACGGCAACTCCCGCTAACAATTCTATAGGGCCGAGCCCGTACATCTCCTGGGTCAATATTGCGCGAACCCTTGCTCTCTCCTTTACCTACACTATTCTCGGCCGCCTCTCCGATCTGTTCGGTCGACGATGGTTCTTCATCGGTGGCAACTGCGTTGCCATGATTGGCATCATTGTGAGCGCCACCGCTCAGAATGTTAACACCTTGATCGTTGGCGCCGCGGTGTATGGCCTCGGCGAGACTGTCCAGCTCAGCTTCAACGTCGCTATTGGAGAGCTGGTGCCCAACAAGTACCGGCCCATGGTGCTTTCGTTCATCTTCTTGACCAATGCACCGATCGCAACCTTCGGTCCTATTATGAGTAAAGGCTCCCTCCTGGTTCCGTCTGATATCTGCAGCTCCCTGACATGGCGACAGGCCGTAAATTGATCTCGAACCCGAATCTTGGCTGGCGATGGTGCTACTACATCAACATCATTTGTGTTGGCCTGGCGATCATCCTGCTCTTCTTTTTCTACCACCCTCCCACTTTCGACCTGCTGCACGAGAGGAAGACCAAGCGCCAGTTGCTGAAACAGCTGGATTGTGAGTCTATCACCTCTCTATGCCCCTGAATTTGGAGACCTGATTGACTGACATGGGCCCATAGACATCGGTATCTTCTTGTGGACGGCCGGTCTCACCCTCTTCCTAATGGGCGTCTCCTGGGGAGGCAGCATTTACCCCTGGAAGTCCGCCGCCGTTATTTCCAGCATACTTATTGGCGGTGCCATGCTGGTCGGTCTCTTCGTCTATGAGGGAACCGTGGATCTTAAATATCCTGCCATTCCGGTCAAGTTCTTTGCCAACCGCGGCTTCATCAGTCTTGTGGCTTGCGCGACAGTGGCGAGTGTAAGTGTCGTCAAGAGAGGGGGATTTCTCCTGGAGATCGTGTCTGACATGTTCTGTAGATGTTCTACTACTCGGCGGTGCTTCTCTGGCCTCAACAGGTTCAGGCTCTGTACACGAAAGACATCACTTATGCTGGCTGGCTCTCGGTGAGTACCAAGCGAGGCGAAATAATGCTGCACCAGACGAGAAAGCTGACGATGATTAGTCTACGGTAGCGAGCTCCACTGCTCTTGGCCAGATCTGCGCTGGTGCCATTGTTAAATGGGGAGGAAACGTTCGTTACTGGATCATTTTCTCCGCATTCGCCATGGTTGGCTTCGTGGCTGCCCTGGCTTCTCTCACGCCCGAGACCAAGAGTGCCGGAATCGCACTGACCATCCTTGGTCCTTTCTTTGTCGGCTTTATCGAGCTCGTCTCCCTTGCCCTCGCTCCGTTGTACTGCAAGCCATCCGACATCGGTCTCGCTTCAGGCTTGCTGGCATCGATCCGGTCCGCCGGCGGATCCATCGCCGTTGCCGTGTACAGCTCGATCCTAACGAACCGCCTGACCACGACGCTGCCGGATAATATTGGACCGGCGGCCACCGAGGCGGGACTCCCTTCGAGCGAGGTATCGGCCCTCGTCGCGGCGGTGCGGGCCGGGAAGCTCGCAACGTTCCCCGGCATCACAGCTGCCATCAAGGAGGCCGTCGAGCGGGTGCTCCCGATGGCGTATTCGCAGGCGTTCAAGACTGTCTACCTTGCCAGCTTGGGCTTCGGCGCCATCGCGATCATGGGAAGCCTGTTTTCCAAGGATGCCCAGAAGCACCTGAATGACAAGGTGGAGCGGAAGATGCATACTGTTGCAAAGACCACCGAGGAGAAGACAAAGGACGTGGTGTAAGACATGCATAATGTCTGAGCATGAGGAAGATGGATTGGATTTGGGGCTAGGCTCAGGCAATGAAGAAGTGGTGGTACGGTGTAGGAATATGGACTTCTCGGGGGTTAAGAGTTCAGCTTCGTCAGTTTCAAATTACGTGTAGCTAGACAGGCAATGTTCGAATGCCTCCTCCCTGAGATCCGTCCCTTTTTCAAACTGCTCTTACATGACCCCACGCTGTTCTGTAGGTACGTATGTACCTTCTGTGGCGCCTTCTGTGGCACCCTCCATACGCTCCCCCATAGGTCCCACACCCTGGACTATTACCCCGCAATTTCAGCCTAGCTTCCATTTCCGTGCCCTTTCAATGGTCAATGCTTTTGTTCCTCTTCTGGCGCACTCTTTTGGCGCCCTCTTTTTTCTCCTCTCCGCAAGGCACAACTCCACCACTCGCTTGGCTGTGATGACATGCTGTAGCACGTCGACTACCGGATGACGGACATGAAACCCGTTGTGTCGAATTCGTTCGATCAGGCACGAAATTCAGGTAGGCACCAAGGTTGACTTTTCCACTTCAACATGTCACCGCCGTCGGGCCCGTCAACCACTTCTGCCACGTCTCCGGGCTCATCCGAGTCCTCATGTGGGACTCTCACGGCTAAGGAGATTGAGATCCAACGGAAGAGGGCACGCGATCGCAAGTCTCAGCAGGCTATGCGAGACAGAACGAGATGGACGATTGGCAATCTGACCGAGCAGGTTACTTTTCTCACGCAAGCTCTCGAAGAAAGAGCGAGAGATGTGGGCATGCTTGATACCAGACTCCGCCTTCTGGAAACGGAGAACGCCCATCTTCGAACCCAAAATGCAGCCCTGCAGCTCAGTTTAATAGGATATTCGAATTCCCAGAACCCGTCAGACTCCGGATCAGTCAGAACCCCGGAGCCCAAACCATGGGAGATTCCACCCCTGAACACTTCACCATCGTGTATTGCCGACCAGATCCTGCAAGGCTTCCTGGATTCCAAAAGGGAAGAGCGTCTCGTGTCTCCAGCGGAAGCGGCAGAGAAGACCGCAGCGTACTCATCCAGCCCGAATTTGCTATCCTTGTTGCATAAGGATCAACGTACAAACGATGACATCAGCAATGTTGTCGGGGACATTATCCGCAGCTACCTTGAAATCGACACGCTGCCGAAGAAAGTCGCAACTTTCTATATCATGTCTACTCTTCTCAAGGTGAGCGACGAAACCGGGCAATGGAGGAAGTGCTATCGTCTGACGCTTGGCAGTGGATGGTTCTCATGGACAGACGAAGCTGGGACCTGATGCCAGACTGGCTAAAACCGACCCCACGCCAGCTAGTAATACCGCATGCAGCCTGGATTGACCGAATCCCCTGGTTCGTAACAAGATACATGTCCTGCTTGAAATCTATCCTGGCTTACTGATGAGGAACAGGCCGAAGGTCAGAGAATACCTTATCGGCCACCCTGATATCACCCTGGACGACTTCGCTGTGGCGTATAGCTCCTCGTTTTCTGTCACCTGGCCCTACGACCCGTCGCACATCCTCATCCACAATGCCGGTGGCCTAGGGGGCTGCAACAGCATCACTACTAACCCCGTCTATGAAGAACATATCCGTCAGCTGAAGAACTGGACCGTGGCAGAAGCTTTCCGCACCCGCTTCCCCGAGATCGCCATAATCATAGACGAGAGCTAGCCTTCTTGGTGTAACGAGGCCAGTAACAGGGGCTCCTACCCTTGCATGCAACCCGGCTGGCAAACTTACCAGCAGGATGGCACTACGCATGGGGCCAAAATCCGTGCGTAGGTTGGAGTAACAAGGCGCTAGCCACCGGGCTCCCCCGGGCTTTCGGCCTGGTTCAAGATGCCGTTAGTGGGTGAGCTTCCAGTGCGGGGTAGAGACAACACTGTTACAGTGCTAACGAACCCCAGGTGGAGAGACGCGTGCGAGTCATTAGCTGACCCACACACCTAAGTACGCAATTGGGGAGCTTCATGCTCCATAGGGATACCCTCGGTATACACCACCGTGATTCCAATTCAAATGGTAGCGCGGAAAGGCTGAAGGGATATGCGCATTCGCATTAGAAATCCGGTGCTGGTCATCATATCTTACGTCTCGGCGCCGACATTGGCTCCTGTCACCGACCAGCAAGCAGACAGACCCTCTACCAGTGAGCGTCGCGACACACCCTGCTATATTTCGAATCGAATCCATCAGCGTTGACTTATTGGAAAACACAGACAAAGAAGTCTCAGCCCTCCCTTGTCTATCACCAGCTGGACCCTACTGCCACACCCCCACACCCCTGCATCATGTCTGTCAACCGTGAGCGTCGCCGTCCAGTCCGCATTGGCGGTGCTTCTGGCGGATTTACGGACAGAGTTGCGGCGATCTCTCGTCTAGCTAGCGACCCCGACGTGGACGCCATTGTTGGGGACTGGCTGTCTGAAAATGTCATGACTGGTTATGGCGCTGGTAAGGCCCGCAGAGACGCAGCCGGCAGCAGGAAGGACCTACCTCTAGCCGAGAGGAGGAAGAACGCGCAGTTTGCCAGTACCTTTTTGCAGTGTTTCGAGCCCGCCATCAGCAAGCTCGCTCAAAATGGGGCAAAACTCGCCGTAAATGCAGGCGCCAGCGACACAGAGCTCCTAGCAGAGATCTGCCAAGACATGGTGAAAGCTGCCTGCCTTGACTTGAAGGTAGCCTGGGTAGAAGGCGACGATGTCACGGTCCCTTTCAAGCAGATGGTGGCCGAGGGAGCCACGTTCAAGAGTCTGACTGATGGGAAGACCTTGGAAGGATGGGGCTTTGAGCCTCTATGTGCCCAGGCATATCTGGGGAGCCTGGGAATCGCCGAAGCGTTGCGTCAAGGTGCGGATATTGTTATCTGCGGCCGGTAAGTGGTGACTCCTTCTTACTCCCTTTTATCTCGTCCGTACGCTAACGACGACGCTGAAGAGTCTCAGATGCGGCTCCAACGATTGGAGTTGCCGCATGGTGGCACGGCTGGAGAGCTGAGCAACTGGATGAGCTTGCTGGCGCCTTGATCGCGGGCCACATTATTGAATGTTCGGCATTTGTCACCGGCGGCTATTACAGCCGCTTTAAGGACTTGATGAAGTCGAAGAAGCACCTGAACCTAGGCTTCCCGATAGCAGAAGTGCACCACAACGGCGAGTGTGATATTGCCAAGGAGAAGAACACCAATGGTGTGGTGAACGTCGAGACTGTCACTTCACAACTGGTGTATGAGATCTCGGGACCTCTCTACTTCAACTCTGACGTTGTCGCGGATCTCCACCAGATCTCTGTCGAACAAGCCGGAGAAGATCGCGTTCATGTCAGCGGTGTGAAGGGACTTCCGCCTCCTCCTACCACGCGGTGCGGTATCACAGCCCAAGGAGGCTTCCAAGCCGAATGGCACTTCTACCTGGTCGGCTTAGACATCGAAGAGAAGTGTCAGTGGATGGAAGAGCAAGCACGCTACGCTATTGGAGAGGAGCTCATCAGCAAGTTCTCGATGTTGAAGTTCCACGTTCACGGCACCTCTCCCGCCAACCCTCCAAATCAAGAGGTCGCAACAGTGGACTTTAGGATTTTTGCGCAGGCCCGCGACGCTGCTCTATTTGATCCAAGCTTACCAGACGGTTTCAGCCGCAAGTTGTACGAGACTGTGTTGCAATCATGCCCTGTAAGTTACAGTCCCCGCACTAGACAAAATGAAGGCCTGGCGCTGACCAGGAAAAAGGGCGTTTCGCGGCCAAACGATCTACGGCAGTCAACGGCAAAGAGCTACTTTGAGTATTTTGTCACTCTGATTCCGCAGAGCGCATGCAATCATCGCGTGCACTTCCTGTTTGGGGACAAGTGCACGATCGACATCCCAACGCCGCCAACTGTGAGGGAATATGGCCCTCAGGAGTCTTACAACACCAGAAATCCGGTGGCACTGGAGCAATTCGGTGAGGTGGAGGAGGCACCTCTTGGGCGCATCGCCCTAGGCCGCTCCGGCGACAAGGCGTCTGATGCGAATGTCGGTTTCTTCGTCCCTGACGCGGAGCAGTGGGATTGGCTGCGGACATTCTTGACCATCGAGAAACTCAAGGAGCTCCTAGGCCCGCACGAGTACTTGGGGGGTCGCATAGACAGATTCGAGATGCCAAATATCCGCGCAGTGCATTTCTTGCTGAAGGACCATCTGGACAGGGGGTACAATTCGGGCTCCAAGCTGGACACACTCGCAAAGAATCTCTGTGAGTACCTGCGGGCGAAATACGTGCCCATCCCGCGCAAGTTCCTCGAAACGGGGAGCATCCTGTAGCCGATGGGGGCCCGGGTGGCTCGGTGCGGAGAACGTGGGATGAGCCGAGTTCAAAAAGTCGTTTCTACGGGTATAAGATTCCGCACGGCGTGGTTCGTAACTAGTGCCATCCGTAGTTTGGAAAATGGGGGGGTGTCTACTTATCTTAGGTACATACAAACACACCTAGCTATGCCACACATATATATGATCTCCATCCTCCCCATGAATCATTGCCTCGCAATCTGTAGTAAACACTCCGGGCCCTCCAAATCAAGACCACGCACCACCACCACGCACAACCACCACGCACCACCACCATGTCCTCCTCTCCCCAGCAATTCGCCAACAAGGTCATCGCCATCACCGGCGGCGCCTCCGGCATCGGCCTCGCAACAGCCCACCTCCTAGCCAGCCGCGGCGCTCGGCTCTCTCTCGCGGACCTCTCGCAGGAGGGCCTCGAGCGGGCCAAGGCGGAGATCCAGGCGGCGCACCCAAGCGCCGAAGTGCTCACGACGGCGCTCGACGTGCGGCGGGCCGACGCCGTGGACGCGTGGGTGAGGGACACAGTCTCGCGGCTGGGCGGGCTCGACGGCGCGGCCAACCTCGCGGGGGTGATCCCGGCGTCGATCGGCACGAGGGGCGTCGCGCAGCAGGACGCGGCCGAGTGGGAGTTCGTCGTCGGCGTCAACCTGACGGGCGTCATGCACTGCCTGCGGGCGCAGCTGGCGGTCATGACGGCGGCGGAGGGGGGGGCCAGGGGCGGGAGTGTGGTCAATGCGAGCAGTATCGCGGGACTGACGGGGCGGGAGAATAATGCTAGCTATGCGGCGAGTAAGCACGGCGTGCTTGGGCTGACGAGGAGTGCTGCGAAGGAGGTGGGTGTTAAGGGGATTAGGGTTAACTCGATTTGCCCGTGAGTGTTCTTCCTTTTTCTACCTCTTGAGATTCCTCTCCCCTTTCTCGACTTCACCCCCCATTTCCTGCCTGCCCCCGCTGCCTGTGTTGGCTTCTCGCCATTCGGGAAGAGAGGAAACAAAACTGAGACAAGAACAGAGGTCGGATAGACACCCCGATGGCCCGGAACGCAGCCGCCATCTCAAAGGATTCGGGCTCGATCCTGGGGGTCAGCGGCAACGCCGACGCCTTCTCGGACGTGGCGCTCAAGCGCAGCGGGACGGCCGAGGAGGTCGCAAAGCTGATCGCGTTCCTGCTCAGCGACGAGTCGACGTACATCACGGGGACTTCAATCAGCATTGACGGGGGTTGGTTCTGCTAGATTTTTGTGCGTGGTTATTTATAGGGACGAGCTAGACGAGATAGAAGGATTCGGCCTCTCCCAATCTAAAATAGACGCTCTTCGTTTATCACCTCTTCCGGCAGCGGCATCGTGTTCTTCAGCCTCACGTCGCAGATCCTGCAGATCTCGATGGCGATGTCGTATGCCGCCTGCAGCTGTTCCCTGGTCCCTCCGTTCCTGATCGTCCCCCTCATGTGCCAGGCGACCTCGGCCGTGACGTCCATGGGCACCAGCGTGGCGATGTTGAGCAGGCTGGTGGTGACGGAGTCGACGACGCTGACGTCGGACTGGTAGTACCCGTAGATGGTCGTGACGATGAGGGTGCGCAGGTCCGGCCAGTACCGGTCCATGGTGTCCAGGAAGGGGTCCAGGTCCGCCCGGAAGATGTTGCGCATGTAGGCTAGGCCGCGCTCATCTGTATCGGCGGGCACTTGGATGTGGTTCCTGCTTGATGTTGTCTCGTTCGAGTCTGGCCCTGGTATCACTGTGATGAGGGCTCTGAAGGCGTTGATCACCCTTGGGATGCCGTATATGATGCTCGTTTTGATGAGCGACTCTGTGGGGAGGAAGGAGGCGGTTTAGCGGCCCGAACAATTGATCAAGGCTCTGTCTGGATCATTAACCTTTTATCCTACGCAAGACTCGTTTATGAAACTCGACGTCTGCCTGATGGGGTCGGATGGCGGTGGTGAAGACGTCCGCAACGTATTTGCCTTGGTTGCAAGCTGCAAAGGAACATGCCTGCCACCCAGTTTAGTGTCAATCTTTGCTCTGTGGTTCAAGTTTATATTACTGCAATGCAATACCATGAATCTTCCAGATTCATGCCGTGAGACCTCTTTGCAAGTGATTCGATGAATACGGAGGCACTCTCATCCATGGCGTGGTTTGTTTCGTGTTGCACTGCCATTGTATCGATTTGATTTCGTCGATCTTTGATGGTTTTTCTAATGGAGTGGGAAGGGGATAGAGCCTCTCGCATGGATGTTTGAGAGTGTTGCTGGTATAAACGCTGGTAGAACCACAGTTTTGTCAACCAACGTTGCTTCTCGGATTTCCTTACCCGCAATCATTGTGAATTAGCAAGATTGTTGGTCAATTTGAGACGGAGAGTTGGAAAGCCTGCAGAAACTGCCTTGAATTCATCTGTTGTCAAAAAATGAAGATCAACGCTGTGTATATATCAACCAAATCGCATGAATGTAAACTATACAACAAAAACTATAACTTGGCCACCTTCGTTGCCCTCTTCTCCGCTACCATCTCGGGGAGCTGTCTCCTCACAATCTTGCCAGTCGATGTTTTGGGAATCGTTTCCAGGTGGAACAGACCCCCCCTCAACCGCTTGTAAGGCGCCACTCTCTCATCGACAAACCTCTTGATCTCCACTAGGGTCTTCTCGATGTCCCGGGCTTCGACTGCACTGGACAGCTCTACACATCCAAGTGGCACTTCAGAGTCCCCGTCCGTTATGCCACAGACGCCCGCTTCGGCGACCAAAGGATGCGTGAGAAGGACTGCCTCCAGCTCAACCGGGGCGATCTGATTCCCCTTGTACTTGATCAACTCCTTCTTCCTCCCTGTAAGCCAGAGGAAGCCGTCTCCATCCATTTTCACAATGTCACCCGTGCACAGCCACCCGTCATGGAACGTGGCGGCCGTCTCTGCGTCGTTATCCTTGTATCCCATAAAGACGGTCGGTCCCTTGACGAGGCACTGCCCGTCAGTCCCCAGGGCCACATCCTCAAAGTTGTCGTCCACGATCCGGATGGACGCTCCGGCGACGGGCTTGCCGACCGAGCCTGCTCGCGCTGACTGAGACTCCCTGAGCATGGCAATCGTGCCCTCCGTCATGCCGTAGCCGTTGAGGATGGTGACGCTGGAGCTGAGGATCTTCTGCAGCTCCTGCGCCGTCTCCGCGGCCAGCGAGGCGCTCGAACACATAATTGTGTGTATCGACTTCAGGTCCAGGCGCCTCACCGCCGGGTCCTTGGTCATCCTGACCGCAGTCGCCGGGACGAGCCTCACGATCGTGGCCCGGATCTCGGCGCAGCGCTTCAAGTACGGCAGGAAGTCGTACTGCGCCATCGCGACCAGGTAGCAGCCCACGAAGGCCGGGAGCAGGACCCCCGAGACGAGGCCGTAGATGTGGGCGAAGGACGGGAAGAACACCTCCCTGGTGCGCGAGCTGTGGAGGAATGGGCTGGTGGACCGTACCGTCAGGAGGTATGCGATGAGGGTGTGGTGGGAAAGGACGACACCCTTGGGCTTCCCAGATGTACCGGAACTAAAGCACATAGCGACTGGCACTTTTGTGTTGTCCTTGCCCGTCAAGTCGTAGGGGGCCAATGGCTTGCGCACGTTGGATATGAAGTCCCTGGGAAACTTTGCCCGGTTTAGCAAATATTGGTCTACTAGACAAATATCTCGGTGTACCCTCCTTACCTGAGGCAAGCTGGTGGTGGTCTGTATCAAGGGCTCCTGAAGAACAATGACTGCTGGAGGCGCCGACAATTTCATGAGTTTCAACGCCGCCTCAACCTTCGGGAGGAGAGTGCCGTCTACAGCGATGAGTTTCGGTTTGGCAGTTTCGAAATAATGGACCAGCTCGTAACTGGTTGCCAACGGGTTCATGCCGCTGTTTGGTGCCGGCCCGGTTAGTTCTCCGTCGCCTTATTGATCGCATGCCATTCCCTTACCAAGTACAGCCGCCCGCCCACATGATGGAATGAGCCAACAAGGCCCAGCTCACGGAGTTGTTCGCATAGATGCTGACAACATCGCCCTCGCGGAGGTCGACGACATCCCGCAGGCCGGCTGCTCCCTGAGCGGCGAGCTTGCGGAGGTCACTGAAGCTGAGGTCGTGTCCCGGATTGTCGAAATCGCTGAAGATGGGCGTCTCCGGGGAAACATCGTCCGGGTTACTCGCGAGGAGGAATTGTGTCACTGAGACATCGCGGGGAACATTAATGGGAGGGAATTGTGACCGATACACTCGCTGTTGCGACATCGTGAAGATTTGGCTCGAACTTGGCAGCACAGCTTCCAGCGTGATAGCTTCGAGTTGTTTAACGTACTTCTCGGGTCTGCCGATGCCAATGGCTGCCACCCCAGATCTTGTAGCTACAAGTCGAAACAAGCCCAAAGCTACAATGATTCAGCAAATTCCCGTCCTGGAAATCATTTAGACACCCCCTTGCTTCTAAGCTTCCCATCGACCTGGTCAAGCTACTTCGGACTCCGACAGGAATAAGGGGAAAAGGGGATCTCCCATTGGGCAACACCATTTCTCACTAGTGATTCATTAGCTTGGGGCCCATCCCCCGCCCCCGGCCTCTTCCCCCGCATCTTGGCTCCGCCACGTGCTGGGGTAGTCCCCGGAGGGCCCCGGCCACTGTGCCTGGAAGACTGTGCGGGGTTCCACCGGCCGGCCGGCCGGCATCTCTAATCAAAATCTCTCTACTATGCAGTAGAGGGCCAACGCAGTTAGTGCCGGCTCCTAACTACTATACTATCATCGCTCCAAAACATTTCCCCGCAGGAAGTTGTTTACACAAGAACGAGATCCACAAGGCAGACCGATCGGCTAGTGGAGAAGTTTTCCGGGGACTACCGAATGAGTATCCGGGTTGTGCCTGGCAAGATGTCGATCCTAGGACTTAATCTTGACCTACTAATCCCAAAAATACTGCGGGAGAGGCTAGGCATCCGCTTCTAAAACCACCTATCATGGCTGTAGACATTGAGAAGACGAGCAGCAATAGTGGCCGGGACGAGGTGAAAGTGGGTGCTGTGTCCGACACGGAGCAGTCCGCCGCCGTCCACTCCGGCGATGGCGAAGGCGATGATGGCGAAGGCAAGATCACGTTCAAGACAAAGCTGGCGATTCTCGTGAGTTGAGCCCCGCCCCCGACCGAGAATCGTGATAAGCCGGTGCTAATCGGGATCTAGGCCCTCATCCTGATGTACGAGAGCTACCTGTTCACTCTGCTCATGCCCGCCGCCGTCTTGACCTACATCAATGCCGACCTCGGTCCTGACACAAGATACCCCTGGATCGCCATCTGGTAAGTACAGCAAAACCGCGAGGCTGATGTGAGATGCTCGAACCGACTAACCCATCTCAACCAGCTGGAACCTCGGAGCCTCCGTGATTGTGACCATTGGCGGTCGCCTCTCGGATATCGCGGGGCGGCGGTGGTTTCTGCTGTTCGGCGCCGTCGCAGGCGCAGTCGGGGCCCTCGTGGGTGCGACGGGCCAGAGCATCAACCAGATGATTGCCAGCGGCATCATCTTCGGCGTCGGCGGCGGCTTCCAGGAGATGTGCTTCGCCTGCGCCCAGGAGCTGGTCCCGAACAAGGACCGGTTCAAGACTCTGGGTACGTGGAGCAGCCCCCTGAAAGCGACCCTGAGTGGCACCTGAACTAACTCAAGATCAGGTGTCATGATCCTGGCGAACCACTTCAGCTCCTTCGCCCCCATCATCAGCTATGTCTTCATCGCATACACCAAGCCCGGCTGGCGAGCATGCTACTGGTGGTGCTTCGCCTGGGAGGCGACGACCGCCATCATGCTCTTCTTCTTCTACCACCCGCCGACGTTCAGAACCAAGCACAGCGATGATCAGAAGACGAAGATGCAACTCATCAAGGAGATCGACTACGTAGGCCTGCTCCTGTTCACCGCCGGGTGCTTGTTCATCCTCCTCGGCCTGAACTGGGGAGGAGGCCTGTACCCCTGGAAGAGCGCCCATGTTATCGCCACGATCGTCGTCGGGTTTGTGTGCTTCGTTGCTTTGGGATTCTGGGAGGCTTACGTGCCCCTGAAATACCCAATCCTGCCACCTCATCTGTTTGTTCAATGGCGAAAGTAGGCTTGATTATCCACCATCCCAACCCTTCCTGCTGAACCTAGGTGCTAATCATACGGCTGGACAGATTCACCAGTTTCCTAGTCGTCTGCTTCGTGGCCGGCATGCTGTATTACAGCATGAACGTGTGAGTCGCCGCCCAAAAGATTGCTCCAAAACGAAAACCAGGCCACTAACCAACCTCCCGCAGCATCTGGCCGCGTCAATCCGGGCTCCTGTGGGTGCCAGCCAACAAGCCCATCATCCGCGGCGTATACGCCAACCTGGTCTCATTCGGCACCATCATCGCGGGTTGGTACTGCGTGGGCGTGATGCCGTGGATCAAGCACGAGCGGTGGCAGCTGATCGGCATGATGGTGGTCCAGACGGCGCTGATCGGCTCGCTCGCGTCCGTCGGGATCCACGACAAGGCGCAGGCCATCGGCACCGTCATCGCCGTGGCGACGGTCAACCTGCCGCCGTCGCCGCTCTCCTTCGGCATGGTCGGCCTGCACCTCGACGACCAGGCCGACATCGGCGTCGCCGTCGGCCTCATCAGCACCTTCCGCCTCATCGGCGGCGCCATCGCCACCGCCATCTACACGTCCATCCAGACCAGCCGCTACGCCCAGGTCATGCCCGGCCGCGTCGCCGACGCCGCCGCCGCCGCCGGCTTCGACGGCTCCGTGCCGGCCCTGGTTGCTGCCGCGGGGGCTAACACGGCCGCCGCCTACGCCGCCGTGCAAGGTGCTACGGGCTCTGTGGTTGCTGCCGTGCAGGAGGCCGTCAAGGAGGCTAACTCGGAGGCCTACAAGCTCGTGTACCTGGTTGCCATCGCCTTTGGCGCGCTGGCCATCGGGGCGGCGTTTAGCACCAAGGGCGTGGATGCGAAGTCTAGGTCGGTGCACACTGCGGCGAGGTTAGAGAATGAAAAGGTGGAGGTAAAGGTGGTGGATTGATATACTCTTGTAGAGTAGACATACCCCTTTAGACTAGATATACTCTTGTAGACTAGATGTACTCTTGTAGAGTAGACATACCCCTTTAGACTAGATATACTCTTAATAGACTAGATAGCATCACCATGGGAGGCAGTTCATGGCAATCGCAGCCGCCCGGCTGAGGATTAAACAAAATCAAGCTGGGACATCCCAGGGATATCCAATTCTCGCTGTATCGTCACAAGAGCGGACTGACTGCTCAGTTAGACCTTATGTGCCCTGGTGTGACATGATTTAGCAGTAGCGAAGCGCGTCCTTCCTCGACAGTCTAGGGAGCGCTAGGGGGCAAACTAGATTTCTTTGACCAGATTGCCTGGATTATGTTGCTTGCCGAGACTACCTCTTGCGGAATCACTGATTACCCAACAAGTCTGGTCCGCTCTGCCTGACTCCCCTCGTCTTCACTTTCCTCCCCACTCTCTTCTTCATCCCCATCTTCTTCGTCGTCCTCATCCTCATCATCTTCCTCTTCCTCATCGGAGTCTTCTTCCTCTGTCTCCTCACTCTCATCCTCTTCTTCCCCTTCAGCCAGCCAGTCATCGAGCGACTTGACGCCGACGCCACTCCCCGTACCGTTCGCAGGCCCAGCCGACGACCTGGCCACGCTATCGAGTGCTTCCGCAGCCGGGACGACCCTCTTCTCCCCGTATCCCGAGCCGAGCGTCTCCGAATCCCTCAGCCTCGGATCGGGCTCCCTCCCCTCCTCGACCCAGTCGGGGAGGGACTCGTAGCCCCTCAGGCCGTGCACGCCGCCGCCGCCCGCAAGCACAAGCGCCGACGAGCCGAGCATGTAGCCCTTTCTCGCTTCCGAGGGGCTGGGGGCCTGCGGCGCCGGCTTGGGGGCGAGGAGCATCAGCGTCGCCAGCTGCGGCACGGCGAGGAGTGCCTTGTAGAGGCGGGCGCGGTCACGCAGGTCGTACGAGGTGTCGTAGCGGACCAAGTGAAGCACATATGTCCAGAGTTTTGCGGCGGGGTGGTCGTCGTCCTCTAGGAGCTTTGGTAGGGAAGTAGGCTCGTCGCCCGAGGCTGCTTGGGCGACCTCAGTCTCGCGGTTCAGGTGGTGGAGATACACCTTTGCCGCGAGGAGCACGATCTGCCGCTTCGCCACTTCGGACTCGGACGTGAAGCCCTTCAGGAGGATGCGCAGCACGTCGGCCGCGATATTATCTTCGCCATTGAGAGCCGAGAACTCCCCAACCAGCCATATGATGGTCGCCCTGGCCTGCGGATCGGTTGCGCTGTCGAGATTCTTTGCTAATCGAACCACTGTCGCAACATGTGCCGTGGGATCTTTTTGGATGAGGTGGCGAATCACGGTCAAGCTCTCCGCAGCCAGGATGCCGTCGAGACTCGTGATCTGTCCGAGCAGGAGACGCAGGCAGCGGGGTGCAGTGGCGGGATCGGTCTGCGCACACCTGCCAATCGCCCTCACGGCTTCCCGCACGAGCAGCTTGTCGCTCCCGCGACTAAAATGCTCGAGCTCATTCAAGATGAGACTCTTTACATGGACGGGGGCGCAAGGGAAGACGAGGGTCAAGAACTCTAGCTTCAGTTCCCACACCGGTTGGGTGTCCGTTGCGCGGACCAGGAAGTGAGAAGCGTATTTGACAAAGTCGGCTGGCCTGTCTAGACAAATGGAGACGATATCGAAGAGCGCGACTTGCTGGATGTCCTGGGGGCCGCGCAGGAGAGCGATGAGCGGCCCGATGGCGGACTGCACATATGGCGCCGTGCCGACCGAGGCGTAACATCGGGCAACAGCAATGACGACTGCGGAATTACGAGACTGGAGGAGCGGCTTGATGCCGCTAAGTAGGAGCTCCAGGTCCGGATCGAGGAAGACGACCTCTTCGCCCTCCGGGCCCGCGTCACCACCCTCGCCGTAGAAATCCTGTAGCTCAGCTCCTTGATTCTTGCTCTTGACCTTCCTTGTGCGCCTCGGGAAGCACCTCCGTGCATAGATCGTCATTAGCCTGAGAGTCGAAAGCTGACTCCATTCGTCCATATCCACAACTTTCTTGATCAAGCTCCGATAGTGCTGATGTATCAAGTCGACTCGTTCCGGGCAGACTTCCATGAACGCCGTGATGGCAGCTCCAGCAACGTAGTATTGCTTGTCTCCAAGCAGGGTGGACAGGTACTCCAACAGCTGCGGCAGCTGGCTGGGGTCAAGGCGGTAGCATTTCGGTATTGCCAACGCAGCTGCGCGACGAACGTATGGGCTCATGTCCCCCGCGCCCTTTTTGACCGCCAGAGAAACGATTTGGCTGATAACTGGGACTCGAATATTGGACATGGTACGCAGCGCTAGGGCGCGGACTTGCGGGTTGGCATCGGAGAGCGACTTCTGGATGGTATTGATGGATAGGAGGGCGACATCGGGGTCCTGTTCGGCATGGTGTACGAGGTAGATGTACACAAGTTTCTTGATCTCGAGGTTGGGCGACGCGATATTCTTGACGATGGAGGAGAAGAAGGGCAGCGTCTTTTGCGACCGGTACATCATCTGTAGGGAAGGACGTCAATGGTGAGTGCCCAACCGGGCCAGCGAACAGACCGAATATATACCGAGATGACGCGCCGCAGACCGTCGAGAACCTCCCTCTCGCTGCGGCTGTCGAGGAACTTCTTGATCTGGGGTCTATCGAGCGGCTTGGACGACGAGCCGCGCCCACTTCGGGCTGCCGAGGCGGCATCGAGCGTGAGGTCTCGAGCTGGCGAGGAGCTTCCATCAGCTGGGATCGTGGTGGATGGCACCAATAGAACTTACCGCTCTCCAGCAGGGTCGATATTCGGGATATAGTCTCCATGGCTAGAGCTTCCTTTCCACCTCCCCAAGGTCCCGTCTGATTTTCGGGTTGGCTTTTGACGACGGGGTCTGATGCGTGCTTATCGGATCTGGTGACATTATGGGGTTGAGACTTGGCGGGGTGGAATGACCATGTATGCAATTAAGCGTGTACTAGCACTTAACCCTTGTTAAATGGTCCGCCAGTTCGCAGGAGAGAGACCGTGGGCTTACACATGCCGGAGCTTCTCTCTTCCAGGTCAGTTGGTTGAGTGAGACAACGTGGCAGCATTGAATTGGAGGGCTTTCGGGCGGTCATGGTAGATACCGGAGCACTTCATGGACACAAGAAGCTACATGTTACGCCTTAGCCTCGTCTCGACAACTCAGTCTTATGCACCAGTCCTGCCACTCTAAGGATGTCGTTGACACCCCTGTTCCTGTCACCAGCCCTGCCTTCAGAGCTCCTCGCCTATGTCATTTCAAAATGCACCTACCCGACCACCCTCATAGTTTGCTCTACGCGCGCCGACTTCCTCACCTCCCTCGCCGACGACGTGCGGCACCAAATCCACCCCCTGGCTCCTAGCGGAACACCAGGGGAAGGCGATGATGGACCATCGCTAGACCCCGTCGTCGCCCACGACTCACCCGGATCCCACCTCCTAGCCTCCCCGCTCTTCCAGGTCGCCATAGCGAAGCACATTCGCGTAGTCTTCGTCCCCACCGTCTCCCACCTGCGCGTCTTCCTCTCGCCCCTCGGGGGCGGGAAGGTGGCCGCCCCGCCCCCGACGTCACGGTCGGCGCAACAGCCCCAACCCCGGAGCGCGCCGCTGCTCCTCGTGTTCGGCTTCCTGGCCCTGCACCGCGACACCAGCGAGTGGAGCGCCCAGGGCTTGAGCAACACGGCCGCCGCGCTCGTCGACGCCGCCGCCGAGGCGCATCTGCGGGTCGTCGTCGTCGAGCCCGCGCGGGGGCGGCGGCGGGCCGGGGATGACGGGTCGGGTGGAAGCGGCATTAGCAACAGCCTGGAGTCCGCTGCCGTCCTTGGGGAGCTGATTCCCGTGCTGAGCAGCAGCACGAGAAGGGCGGCGGCGCCGGACCTGGAGGAGGGTGGGTGGACTGGGCGGATGGTGGAGGTGCGTCGGGTGCTGGGGAGGTGGTTCCGGTTTCGAGACGGGGAGCGGAGGCATCCTTGGCAACCTGGTACGTGAGCTGCATGGAGTCAGTTGCGGTGCAAGCTTTAGACTGCGAGGCTGGAGCTCGCGCTCCAATCACTAGATGTGCTCTATCATTGCAGTGGAAACAGCTGATCATGAAAACTTCTCATTATCCCAACCCGACATGACACCAAACCAAACGCCTTGCCAATGGTATCCTACCCCATCCCCGGGTCCTCCAAACCCAACCAAACGTAAGCTAAACCGTGACAGACATACACCTGCAGTGGCAGCCTAGATGGCTTGTTCCATCTCCGTGATGTACAGCTTGATATGGGACTCCATCTTCAAGTACTCGTCGTGTGCCGTGTGGACCTCATTCTCGATGTTCTCCTTCAAGTCAAGCATCTAAAGTCAAAGTTAGCAGGGTAATCCTCTCGAAAAGAAACCCACACATACCTTCATCTCCGTCTGCTCAATCCGGACCCTCCTCCGCTCAATATCCACCCCCTTCTCCGACCGCTCCTCTGTCAGCGTCTTGTGCACCGCCCGCAGCTCCTCCATCTTCTCCTTGGCCCTCATGGCCTTCTCCCTGCTCTGCTTGCGCAGCGTCTCCGTCCGCTCCGCCCACTTGGCCAGCTGCCGCTGCAGCAGCGCCTCGGTGCGCTCGACCTCGCGGACGTTTGCGCCGCGCTCCGTCAGCGCGTCGCGCTGCTTGGCATTCTTTGCGTTCTCCTCCTCCTCCTTGGCGAGCTCCGTGGAGATCTCCTCGAGGAGCTTGATGCACGACGCGACGTCGGTGGAGATGACGGTGAAGGAGTCGGTCGAGGTCTGCAGCGCCCTCGCCCTGCGGTCCAGGGAGTCGATGTGGCCCTTGTCGCCGTTCAGGGTGTTGTTGAGCTCGGCCAAGCTCGCCTGCAGCGCCTGGGGGCTCTGCAGCACGTAGGGCCGTAGCTTGGCGCTGTCCTGCTTGAGCGACAGCTTGGCGGCCGTCTTCTCCTCGAGCTGGGCGGCGAGCTCGCCCTTCTTCGCCTTGGCCTCCTCCAGCCGGGCGGCCACCTTCTCCTGGTTGCGCCGCAGCTCCAGCAGCCGCTTCTTCAGGTCCTCGTTCCGCCTCGTCTTCTCGGCAGCGAGCGCCTCCATCGCCTTGCGGTTCCCCCTCATCTCCTCCAGCCGCGCCTCCATGTCCTGGTTCTCGCCGTAGAGCGTCTCGATGCGCGACTTGGTCGTCTCGGAGCGATTGAAATGCTCGTCGATCACGCCCGTCTGGCTCTCGCGGAAGCGCACAAAGTTGATGAGGTAGCTGAAGATCTTGACCAGGCGCTCGTGCGTCGGCTTGTACAGGTCCATGAAGCTGAAGTCGTTGATCCCGCACTCGAGCAGCAGCCGGCGCAGCGACACGTAGAAGCCCATCAGGTTCCGCGTGTCGGCCGGCATCAGCATGTCGCCAAAGTCCCCGCAGAGGTCCTCGGAGGCCGCGCGCATGGCCGGGTCGACTGTCTCGCGGGTCGCGTTGAGGAGGAGCTCGGCGAACCATTCGAAGATCATCTGCACCTGGAGAGGGTTTGGTTTCTGGAGATCGGCCACGGCAAACGGGATGCCAATGTCGGTGATGCACCCTACGATCTCCTTGTCGGGCAGGCGCATAAACGCGTCAGCATCTTCCTCTTTCTTGCGCGACCGGTTTTGTTGTTGCGCCGGTGGCAGGATGGACATCCGAGGGTTGTAGGCCATGCTTGGAATATCTCGCGAATGATCCCTAATGAAAAACTCTGGTTGTGCAGTATTCGGCTACGATGCGGTGCGGCCGCGCTTGTATGTTCTTTGTTATCTTGCTGGTACCGTGGAGTGATTAATGTTTAATCGGAAATGATAGCAGATAACAACAATGGGCTGGTTGCCGGAGAGACGGGTAGGCCCGTGCCCGCCGCCCGTCTCTCAAAGGGTGCTTACCTAAGTCGATCTCCACCTCAAACATCGCAAGACATCCCCCTAACGATGGACGTGGTTCCTATGGCTAAACATGACTCTGCTGATTGTTACGAGCATCTTCCGCAATCCGTTGGTGGAGGTTGAGGCGATAATAGGGCGCGGAGATGTCGAAGTTTCTGTATACATAGAGTAACTCTATCTGGTGGTTTTCGTTTGTTCTTTGTGCGTCTATCTCAGACAAAACTTGACAGCGAACAGCTTAAAGGCGACCGTGGAGACTCTGACACGGCAATCGCGACATTTCGAGGCGGAACGAAGGAGGTACATTTAGTGACTTTCATTATTCTTCAAGGCAGGCAGCCCATTTTACAAGCAAGTTCCTATCGAACATACAACACCGGATTTCGGAATTCCCGTATACCCGCGCCAATCCATGCCATTATTAAACCTCATACTCGTGAGAAACGCTTAGGCAGATCGGGACAAGTGCCTCTAAACATGGTACAGTAGTCGACCTTAACGCCATTTCATTTCCACCATAATCCTCAGCAAATCCCAGAGCAATTGGCGTCGAGCCGAAAGTGCGCACAGTATAGGCAGGGAACCGACAGAAAGGGGTCAATAGCGACCCCGGCCAAAGCGGCCGTGCATCTCATCGCACTTGGCGCATTCAAAAACGACATCGTGGGGGCGATCCTCTTCCGGAGGGGTATCGGGCGCGTTGCCGACCGGGTAGCCCGACCTGCGGTCGAACTCGAGCCATCCGCGCTCTTCCTCGTCCCGGGCAAACGGCACCTTCTTCCAGACGGTAGGACGCTCCACGTAGGTTGACATCGGATGTCCGGCGACCTCGGGGCATGCTGGCATTCTCGGGAGATCCTCGTGTCTGGAAGGATCGCTGTCATAATTGTTGTCGTTACCATCGCCGTCCTCTTTGAACTTTCTCAAGGCACGAATCGCCTTCGGAATGTAGGGTCTGCTGTGTAGGCACCACATGCAAGTCTGTCCCGTGCTGCCCAGCGTCTGGACATAGGTTGGGGCCGCGTCGAGAAATAGGCCACCGTCCTTGAGCATGCCAGTGAGCTCAGACCCAATCCGAATGCCTTGCTCGGAACAGGGCAACCCAGTGACCATGAGCTCGTTAAGGGTGCATCCGAGTTCGTTTGCCGCCATCAAGCGAAGGCTGCCGTCGAGGAAGGATATGAACCTCTCGATGAAGTTGACAAAGTCGATCCGCATCGTCTCAAGGCCGGGGAGCAGCCGAAGACGCGGATGGATCCCGAGGTGGTTGGGATCGAAAGGCGGGCACAAGGCGGCCAGGAAGTCGACGGCTTGGGCCCAGGTGTAGGCACGGAATCCCTTCGGGGTCAGGTTCTTCTCCAGTATCCGAGGGCGAACCTTGAGAGACAAGTCCTTCCGCAACGCTGGGTGGTATGACTGAGGGATCTGGTGACACCGTGGCTCGTCGTCATAGTACATGGCAATGACTCGAAGATTGACATGTTTGATCTCTTGGCGGTGCTCCAAGGGCAAGTTACAGAAGTTGCGCAGGGCCACAGGTGTCGTAAAGGTGAAGGTATTCTTGGTCCAGAGAATGTGTGTGGCTTCGTTGCGGAAGGCACTGCACACCGCCATGCACCCAATGGCAATCTGGTTGCCTCGTTGCTTCTCCTCATCCGACATATTGTCTTCGGTAGACTTGGATAGAGGATCGACGATGGGATACTTGCTTCTCATGGCGTACTCGATAATCAAGAACTGCACCTCTTTAGGAAGGGTCGGCAAATTGGGGCGGTCATTGTCGGAAACCTGGCCAGGTGTTGTGGTAGGAGAAACAGGTTTGCGCGCAACGCCAAAGAGAGGGGGACGAGACACGACAGGAGGGGCCCAGGCAATACCGTTCCCGCGAAGAAGGCGCTTCAATTCCAAGTTTTCGGCGACGAGCTGCCGATTCAGGACCCGGGCCGGATCCTCATGATACTCTTGGGCCTGATCCTGCTGATCCCGGGCCTCGGTGGGGATGTAGATTTCCTGCTGGCAAGGTTAACTCCATGGACCTTTCGAGTGCGGTTGGTGTACAGCATGAATAAGCAGCAAAACATACCCGAGGTGCCATGATAGTCGTTGGAATAGCGAGGCTTAAGACCTGTCCTGGGTCTGAATGGGTTCTCCGTGTTGAATTGTTTGAAAAACTGGATGGTATCTGGTACCTGAACAGAACAGCTGCCCAGGAGATTGCTCAACAGGAGGGGGCAGTTAAATATACTACCAAGGATGTATGTATGCAGTGGATAGAACAAGTCAAACCCTGAAAAGAAAGACAAGATATGGTAGAAGAAGATGCGGAAAAGGAATATGGGAAAGAAAGGCGGAAGAGGGGATGAGAGGAAGGAGCGTGGTGTATTAATAGACCAGAACCAAGAGGCTGATTGGCAAACACGCTTGCTTGCAAAACACGCAACAAGTACGTGTAGAACTGCGACTTCACGACAAACAAACCAAATCAACCCGAGTTACGGGGGTTGATGACGGGGGATTGATGACAGTGGGTTGATGACAGTGAGTTGCAGTCTAGGATCAGGTGGGGTCTGGAGGAGGAGAATGGAGAGAAGGTGGTCAGAGTAAGGCTAGCTTAATGGGCAAAAAATCCTTGGGACAGTTCAAATCAAGAGGCACTGTCAGAAGATGGTGGGATTGGAATATCTAGGCACTCAGGGAGGAATGGTGCTGGAAAGAGGAAATGATGTGGGTGTGGAGAGAGAGGCGATGCAGAAGAATATTTCTACTTGGCCTGATATGGTCGTTGACAATTACAGGGGCATGGCTGATTGCAACCTAATCAGTAGCAGAAGGCAATCTAAAGCAGCTACCGAGACGACGATGGTGAGAGACGAGGTAAGAGACGAGGTAATCGTCGTGACTGGGTGATTAAGTAGAGAGGTACTGTACCTCTGCCCCTGTTCTCGCCTTTTGGCGACGAGGATCAGGCTGACTTCAGGCACACTGCCAGACCTTAGAATGAGCTCAAGGCTTTAGGGGTCAAGATGGGAAAGATCATGTGGGTTTCTCTGGGATAATCCAGAACCTTAATTTTTCAAAGGCCACACTGAATGAGTGGAGAGAAAAGGGGTGATTCCAGGCGTGTAATTCACAGACAACAGAAGATTGACGCCAGATTGTCATTAAAGCCAGGGGAAAATTAGAGAGAAGTCATCTGTTGATTCCAGCTACCTTACTATAGAAGCAGGTAGCCGGCGCAAGCCAAGGCCAGAATTAAGACGAAAGAGCAGGGCTGGCTTGAGGAGGATCGCAGCTTTCGTTGCCAGCCGTTGAGTTGCAGGGCTGACTAACAATCCAACCAAGCTCTGGCATTTTCTCCACTTGAGATCAGATTATCCTGCTGTTTGTGACTAGTGGACATGTCCGGTGATTGTCCATGTAGCAGGGTGTTAGTGTGGAGGGCCTGCATTTGAAGATTGATTTGACGTCATGTCATGAAACCGATGATGAAATCTAAGGGCAAAGGGGGCAGGAAGCCACGAATCGGCGATCTAATACCTATATAACAGCGCTGCTCAGAGTCCCAGAAGCGCAATTGGTGCGACTACTACTGTAGATAAGAGTCAGCTTCTGAATATTGTCCAATTTCAAGAGCCTCAATAGCAATCCAAATCTATCAATTCACCCACGTCATCCATCGTCTTCAAACCCTCCAGCATGTCCACCCAGCAGAGATTCTCCAACACAGACACTGGCGACAAGCCGGCTGATCCGTACACGCTGGCCAACATCGACACCGAGGCCACTCTGGAGCAAAAGATCGAGGACCTGAGCAAATTCATGACCAGTTCGAAATATGGCATGATGACCACCAGGGATTCCGAGACGGGCAAGCTGGTGTCGAGGGCCATGGGATTGGCGGCCAAGGTAGGTTGCCTTTGACTCGGTGGCGATGTATTGGTATTGTACGGTACATGGCTGAAAACACGCAACAAACAGGAATCAGGCGGCGTCGACCTTCTTTTCCATACCAACACCGAGTCGCACAAGACCACCGAGCTGAATTCGGATCCTCACGCCAACATCTCGTTCCTCAACAGCTTCGGCGAGTGGGCGTCCATCAGTGGCGTATGCGAGATCTTGACCGATCGCGCGACCGTCAAGAAGTATTATTCTCCAACTCTGAGGGCGTGGCTAGGCGACTTGGGAGATGGGGTCCACGACGGAAGCGAGAACGACCCTCGCATCGGCATCATCCGTGTCAAGATGGTCACCGCCACTTACAGCATCTCCACCAAGGGCATCGTTGGTCAGGTTGTCGAGGTAGCCCAGGGTAGCGTCACAGGCAAACCTGCGCATGTGAACAAGCTGAGAGAGATCAGCGAAGCTGATGTCCAGACATGGAGGTCTTCGCACTGAGTTTGGCGCGTCTATGTTAGCACGAGGACGCAAGATAACTGCGGCAGTGGTCGGGATGGGAGGGGAAACAATCAATGGACAGGTGTATCTTACCGACAAGAGAGATTCATTCGCGATTCTGTTACTGCCTTCCCTGATACTCGGCCTTCCAGATGCTCTCCCACGTGTCTCGGTTGATGGCAAATTCCCTAGCGTAATCATACTCCAGCTCGTGTGTTCTCCTGCCCAGCAAGACAAGGCTATGCAAAGGCGGGCCAAGCAGGTCGTCGGCGTCGCAGAGCTCCTTGAGCGTCCCGGCCACGAACTTCTCCGTCTTGCCACCAACCCTGGCAGCGCCAATGGCCAGGCTTTCCGGCCCATAGACTCCTCCCCGTTTCTCCTCTTCAACCTCCAGCATCTGCTTCGCACAGGTACCGACGGTCATGTATCGCGGTGGCTCGTAGATCTTCCTCCCGCGCGCCAGGTTCTCCAAGCTCTGCTCCTTGACCTTGATGTCGAGCAAGACCAGCGTATGCAGCCCGATGTCTCTGTTCTCCTTTATCCGGTCATAAAAACTCGCCGGCCGCCAATTGTCCAGGAAGAAGACCATGCTGACCGTCTGGCCGAAGTTGTACAGCTGGAGGCCGGAGGCGCCGATGCCGGACAGGATCGAGGCATTGGGCACCGTCCCCACGGGGATCCCCAGCTCGCGCGCCCGCAACACAAGATCAGTGTGCGTGGTCGCGCCGAAGGGATCGCCGACCACAAGGAAGGCCACATCGACCGTCTGGGCGTCTCGCAGGATCTCGTCGCTATTCGACTCGACCATCTCCCGGTCGGCGACTAGGATGGGCCGGCCATAGTAAGATTCCTACTTGTTCATTAGCGTTAGCCAACTGAGGGCCGAACTGGTAAGACAAGCGGGCGTACGAGAACGGATTGCTCGACCAGCAGGATGCTGGTGTAGGCCTCGAGATAGACACGTGCGGCCTTCTTGACAATTTCGAGCCCCTTGACGGTAATGTCCGTCTCATCGGACAGGCCAAGTCCCACGAGGTAAAGCATTTCGTCGAGCTTGGAGAGTGTGGAGGCCTTCTGGGAGGGCAAATGTGTTGGAAGGAGTAAATTTTGCGCAGTTGCTTGCCTGCTAGCTACCCCGCCACCAGCGCCCCGCATAATTTCCATCCACTGATTGCACTATCTTATCGATCGGTCGAGGATCTGGACTTCTAAACTTTTTGCATTCTCATTGTCTTCTGCAATTTCGTTGGCGGTCTCTCATCCCTCGCCGCATTTATCGGGTCATACAATCTCAAGGCAAACACGAGGCATACCTATCCGAACATGTCAAACAAAACCTCCGCCTACGGCCAGGCCGCAGGCGACACCGACTTCCGCAAGAAGTACGATGTCGAGGAGTATGCCGCCAAGGCCAAGAATCGAGAGGAAGGAGAGAGGGAGGAGCGCAAGGCGCGCTACGAGGCCAAGCTCGCGGGCAAGAAATACTACAAGCCGCTGGACGGCTCCGAGACGCTCACGACAGCCCGAAATGCGACGCAGGACTTCAGCAAGCTCGTCGGCACGACGACCCTCGTGCCCGCCGGCTCGGCGGTCGGCAAGAGGGGCCGCGGCGCCGGGTTCTTCTGCGAGACGTGCGAGCTGACCTTCAAGGACAACAAGCAGTGGATCGAGCACGTGAACAGCATGCAGCACCAGCGGGCGACGGGCCACACCGGCGAGGTGAGGAAGGCGACGGCGGAGGAGGTGCACGCGCGGATCGAGGCCGTCTGGGAGCGGATGCAGGCCAGGAAGAGGGAGGATATCATCACGCTGCAAGAGAGGCTGCAGGTGAGGAAGGAGGAAGACGACAAGGAGAGGGAGGAGAAGAGGCGAAAGAAGAAGGACGCGGCAGACAGGAAACGGCTCGAGAAGGAGGAGGCGAAGAAGGTCAAGACCGAGTACGGCGACGACGTGAGGATCGAGGGCGAGCACGACGAGGATGACATGATGGCGGTCATGGGGTTTACAGGGTTTGGATCGTCAAAGAAGTGAACCTGGCTCTTCCGCCTCCCCATCACCAACAACCCTTAACCTGCGGCCACCTTTTACCTACCAATACCTAAACCACACTCGGGCCCGGTGGTTGAACTTCCATGTATACTACTGCCATGCACGACACTTGGAGATGCACTTTGCCTATGAGATACAGGCCGGAGTCAGGATGTTTTTCGGAGTACGGATACTATATAAGCATAGAACATGAAGTCGGTCATGGTTTTGGAACCCTTCCTATCTGCACTACAGCCCCATCATGATATTTTTGTAGTCTAGAGTCTCGACCTCTCACAGTCACGGAGATATGCATGACCGGGATTCGCGCCCAGGCTCTCTAGCGGCTGAAGGTGGATCGTCGTTCGAGACCCCACCATTTCTGTCAACCAACTTCTGCAAGACACCCTTGATAAGTACCTACCTATATTTGATCTTGAGAGTCGACGGGCGTCCAAGGGGTTCATATCTGTGTATTGGGATCGTTTTGAAGACCTCACAACAGCTCTATTCCACGACTCACTCGTAGACCCTAGGAATAGCAGGCCAAGTCCCTTGGTCTGGCCGAACCTCGACGCAGATCATCTCCCGCACAACCCCTCCACGACCCCTCGACAAACTCGTCGCTCATATAATACCCGTCTGCTCTTGCTAGCTTCGTGGCGCACAACTCCATTGCTAACCAGAAACCCGGTCGGCATGGCAGGCTCGGCAGGCTCGGCAGCTGCCTCCCTCCTGCAGCGGCAGCTGAAGCAGATGCAGGCTGGCAAGGACATCCCGGGCATATCCTGCGGATTGGTCAAGGACGACAACATTTTCGAGTGGGAGGTGATGCTCATGATCAACGATGACTGCAAGTACTACGGCGGTAAGTTTGAAGACCTCATCTTCCCCCCTGCCTTTCCCTCAGTCCCAGCTCCGGCCCCTCGTCCTCTTCCCCCTCCCCCACAGAACAAACTAACGCCGTGCGACACACCAGGGGGGAACTTCCGCGCGCACCTCACCTTCCCGCCAGCGTACCCGCACATGCCGCCGACGCTCCGGTTCCAGCAGCCGATCCCCTTCCACCCCAACATCTACGAGAGCGGCGAGCTGTGCATCTCGATCCTGCACCCGCCCGAGGAGGACCGGTTCGGCTACGAGGCCGCCAGCGAGCGGTGGAGCCCCGTGCAGACCCCCGAGACCATCCTGCTGAGCGTCATCAGCCTGTTCGCCGACCCCAACGACGAGAGCCCCGCCAACCTCGAGGCCGCGAAACTGCTGAGGGAGGACCGCGAGGGGCGGGGAAAGGAGTTCCGGCGCAGGTGTAGGAAGTGCGTGAGGGAGAGCTTGGGCGAGGATTGATACGACCGACGGATGGGGTTGGAAGCGGGAGGAAGGGGGCTGTTGGGAGGAAGAGATAAAGGGGGGGAGAGCAGACAAGAAATTTTTACTCGAATGCATCTGCAAGGGGGCAAATTCTAACCACCACAGGCGAAGAACAAGGCTCATTAAGCGAGGGAATTACATTCAAGCGTTGTCAAGCAGAGCTTGCGACATGAAATTGTGTTGCAACATCTGGAGTTGGGGTTCGGCAAGCGATCTTCAAGTGTCAAACAGAAAGGCCAACATGATGACTTGGTTCGCCGAAATATTGGGAAAGCCCCAGGTTATGCACGCCTCTTCTGCTATCTCTCCATTTGCTACGCCATATGCCCAAGAAGAGTGCGAACATGGCAGAGCCGTCTATGATTCCCATCCATCGCTGCGCCATCGCTGCGCCATCCCGCGCTGGACCTCATCGTCTAGGCAGCCAAGCCCAATACCGGCGCGACCGTGGCATCCCATTCCTCATCCCACCGCCTCCTCCCCTCCTCCACAGCCCCTACCCTCAGGCTGCCGAGCTCGCGCCCGCCCCCGTCGCCGAGCAGCCGGCGGAGGATCCCCGCGAGCTCCTCCGGCGTCTCGAACCCGCGGCCGTTGCGGCCCTCGTGGACCAGCTCGGCGAAGCTCTCGTAGCCCGAGTACGCGGCGACGGGGAGGCCGGCGCCGAACATGTCGACGACCTTCATGGGCAGGTCGACGCCCGAGCTGCTCATGTGGAGGCAGATGCCGAGGTCCGCGCAGGCCAGCAGGCCCGCGTAGTCCGGGAAGGGCAGGAAGGCCGTCTCGATGGTGACGTTGGGGAGCGAGCCGCTCTTCTGGAGGGCCGCCACCCGCTCTAGGTACATCTCCTTCTGCGGGCCCTTACCCGTGATGATGGCGAGCACCGGCGTGGGTGGGCCCATCTTGCTGGCGTCGTCGGCGTCGTTGGCGTATTGGACCAGCGCGTCCAGGAGCAGGGAGAAGTCCTCGTCAGGCGTCCAGCTCGTGCTGCTGACGATGAGTCGTATGCTGCCGTCGAGAACGCGGGGGACCAGTTCGTGGCCTGGGAAGATGCGGGTGAGGACCTTCTCCCTTTCTGACTGGGAGTGGATCGGTTGGAAGATGGTTGCGGGCCGGTCGTGGACAGTCAGCATTGGTGATCTGATGTTGTATGGGGCCTGGCGTAGTTGGCGGCCCATGGCTTCGGTCACGGTGAGATTGAAGCTACCCAGCTTGCCGAAGAAGCATTCATATGCCTTGGAGATATGCACTAGCGGGTGCCGTGGCCCCCGGGTGCCAGCCAAGATTGTCCAGCCATAGTTGTGCCAGTCAATCATAAGCCGAGTGTTGCGCACGTAGCAGACAAGACTGGCAATGAAAAGGGTCGGTATCGAGGGTGGGTTCTGGACAAGGAGCCACTGGGCCGGCTTGAGGCGATAGCTGAGTAGCCAGGCAAGATGATAGAGCTGACACAAGACCTTCCATGGGCCGAAGATCACAAAGGGGATAAAGCCGGGCGGCTTGGGAGGCGGGGGGAGTGCGCTTATGCGGATTTGAGGATTATGGAGCAAGTCTGGATGGAGTGTGCTCTCTGTATGTCTGTCAGCGGCGTTCATTTGAAGCTAAGCAGGCTGTCGGACACCGACCAAGGTAGCCGATGAGGTCTACTGTGCCTCCACGTCTGGCGATGCTAAGAGCATGATATGTCATGCGTGGACTTCGCCCGAGATCCCCAAGAACTAGGATCTGAACAGAGACCTGTGTTCTTTCCCCCTGGGCAGGCGACTTATACGCCTCTGGACCGAAGACCAGGCACGCAACCCATAGTAACAGACCCGAGAGGCAGAGAACGAGAGGGTATATCATAATGTTGAGCGACATCATGTTGCTAAACCCTCGACAGACAAGTATATATCTAGGTCAAGTTAATGAACAATGAGTCGCAATTGCTCTTCGGGCCGTTGCGTTTTCACAAGCGGATGACAGTTGTCATCTTGTGAGACGAGGTTAATGAATGTGTGGCAGCTGCGTAGAAATAACACAAGCTGGAAAGCCTCGAAACCCCTCGTGCCACCTCTCCCTCAAGAGCCAAGGTGTAGGATTGTAAAGATGCTCACCATTTCGCGACCTCAAACTTGATATAGACACCTCTATCTGCTTCGAGGAGAAAGGCTTAGCCTCGCATGCATTGGGTGACGGGTTCTCAGCATAGGTAAGTTATGCACCTAATTCTGATTGCTACTGTTAACGTTCTGGGCCTCCAATGCACGTTAATACTAGCGGAGATTATCAGCCCGGGATTAGGGATGCCACGCGGTAAGCGTGCCAATTGGGATACGGATAGCGACCTTTCCCCACACACAGCCGTCGCCAAAAGAGAAACTGGTCACAGAAAGAGAAGGTGGAGGGGACGACGTGGGGGATTGAATGGATCGAATGCGGAATGGAACACAAGCAACTCCCATGAATCTCGATCATCAGTGGCAAAAGCGGCGTCGAATATCTGGTCTTGTTCTGGTTTGGATGTTTGCAACGACTTGGTTCTCGGAGCCTGTTCCAACTTTTTTATTATTTTTTTCGCGCCACGACGGATCCGTACCCATACATTATTCGTAGGTAATTAGGGAGCGCCAAGTCCAAGTTCCAGGCCAGACTGCCTAGTAAACAAAGTGGTCCCGCCAGTTGTCTCATTCAAAGACACCACGTGCGACAAGTCTCGACAAGTCTGCGCTTCATCCAGAACTTCATCTGCCGCATTAGTGTCGACTAGATTGGTTAGACAGTCGATTGCAGATACCATCGACAATACTAGACAGACAGCCTTGCGCCCTTGACGGGTCCTCGATCGATTCCACTTCAGTTTCGCTCGACTGGGCCGACGAGGTCGAGTCCCTCCCCCCATGACTTGAGATTTGATCATACCAGGAGCACCGAGGCTCCGACATGCGAAAGCCACCAACTCCAGGCATCCCATTCGAGCTCCCAGTGGCCAGTTGATCTGACCATGACGTCCACATACTCTCTTCCCGCTGCGGCGATTCCATCCCATCACCACCACTCATCAGACCATATACACAGCCACTCGCGCTCGCAGGCATCACTAGGCTCGCTACACGGGTCCCGCTCCCGCAAGACATCCGAACCGGCTTCCAATGGCAGCGCCAACATGCTCCATGATCACAGCCATTCCTGCGAGCACAACCATTCCCAATACCGAGCGAACTCGAATCACCCGCTCGTGACTCGACCGAATCTCCCGCCGCCGCTCGCCAATGGGCACTGGAAGACGGACTCGACGGCGGGGGGCAAGCCATTGATAACACCCTCGAACGCCAGCTTTGATGCTGCTGGGGCATATCAACCTCCGCCCGCATCCGATCCGCAGCGCGATCGCTCCCTCGAGCGGTCAAGATTCACGAGTCTCCTCCTTCCCTACACTTCGAGATGGCCGTTGTTGCACGCGATCGTGGCGGAGAAGGATTCTCGTCGGATATTCTACTTCATGACGTATGTTTTCTAAAAAAGGGGGTTCTTTTAGACTTGGGACCGACAGCTTGCTGACCAAATCGCCCCGCAGTCTCAACTTCTGCTTCATGGGAGTCCAGGCCTTCTATGGCTACGTGACCGACTCGCTCGGCCTCCTGAGCGATAGCATACACATGTTTTTCGACTGCGTGGCCCTTGCCGTAGGGTTGTTCGCCGCCGTCGCGAGTAAATGGCCGCCGAGCGAGAGGTTTCCGTACGGCTTCGGCAAGATCGAGACTCTAAGCGGCTTTGCCAACGGCCTGTTCTTGGTGTTGATCAGCGTTGAGATCATGTTCGAGGCGTTTGAGAGGATAATAGAGGGGAGGGAGACAAAGCGCTTGATGGAGCTTTTCGTCGTTAGTACACTTGGCCTTCTGGTCAACCTGGTCGGCATGTTCGCCTTCGGTCACCATCACCATGGCCACGACCACTCGAGCAGTTGCGGTGGGGGACACTCCCACTCCCACTCGCATGACGAGCATTCCCATGGTCACTCGCATGACCATTCCCATGATAACTCCCACTCCCACTCCCACTCCCACGACGAGAAGCATGGCCACTCCCACGGCCACTCGCATGCACATTCGCATACAAACGAGAACATGTACGGCATTTACCTACACGTCTTGGCCGACACGCTCGGCAGCGGCGCGGTCATTGTCTCGACAATCCTCACTCGTCTATGGGGGTGGGCCGGATGGGACCCCTTGGCCTCATTCCTGATCGCCGTCCTCATCTTGCTGTCCGCCATCCCGTTGGTGAAGTCCTCGGCAAGAAGACTGTTGATCACCATACCAGACGACGTCGAGTACAGCCTCCGGGAGACCCTATCCGGCATATCGGGGCTGAGAGGAGTGGCGGGTTACAGCGTCCCCAAGTTCTGGATGGACGACCGCAACACCGGCCACGGGCCGCAGGGGAACAGGCTCGTCGGCGTTATGCACGTCGTCGCCGTTAGAGGCGCGGATATGGACGATGTTCGAGACCGCGTGCGGAACTACCTCCTCCAGAAGGACATGGACGTCACGATCCAAGTGGAGCGGGAAGGCGATACCAGCTGCTGGTGTGGAGTTGGCCGCAGTCGCCTTTCGCAACATAAATCTGTCGGGAGCTCCAGTTTCTTCTAGCAAGACGGGGCGAAATGTTGCGGAGGGTTGCAAAATGTGTGATGTCTAGGTTCGGAATAGTCGCTGCCTTGGCTTGCATCAGCCTCGTCTGATGTCTGGGGCCTGGTTGAAATGGCCACGACTTGGATCTTGTATTATTGCATGGATTGGACGGGATCTGAATTTGCCTTTTTCTTCTATTGTGTATATGTCTATCTTCCTTGATCTTGTCCCGGCAGATACTTTCCGTGGCACATATCAAACCTGGCCCATGCAGACAGTAGAAAGCATGGCCTCTGTATTGTATTATCGATACCCTCATGGCCTTGCATCTCCTCACGTCAGCATCCTTGTCATTGGAGAGAGGTCATGCCTCCTAATGCAGGTCTTCGGCATGATATTGAATTGCCTGCAATCGATATCCCAACACCACCCCTTCCTGAGTTAATAAAGTAGCCAAGCCGGACGACCTGGACTCGGTTTCCGTTTGCCCTAATGCCTCGTTCCATATGTGCAGCGCAGATAGATGATTCGCGGGGTCGAGTTGGATTCCGGGTGTCATCCGCCTGTCCGGGCAGATTAGATCATTGTTTACCTAGACCGGGATGGTGCCATTAGTCCCTAGGTCCCTGCAGCCGCCAGCCAGTCTCTTGCCCCTCCACCCACCCACGATGCCGAGGCCACCCCCACATTGCTTGTTAGCTTTGCCGCCATTTTAACAGTGCGGTGTTGCACTTGGGGAGCCGAACGACCGAGGCAGGGTGCGGAGAAAGAAATGTTGGAGAAGTCAAAAATAAAATAAAATAAAAGTTTCGGGGGTTGCGTATTAAAACTGGTTATTTTTCGAAAATGTCGAGACCATAATCACCATAATCCCTAGTTTTTAAACCACACAGTTCTCTTTTTGGCGAGGCACGACTCGAGAACAGTTTGTCCAACACGCCCGTTTAGTTTAAGTCTTAAGCTCGTGATTGTCAGGAGAAAAAAGCAAGCCGGCGCTATTTTTTGCCGAGGTTCGCCGGTGACGTCGTGGCTGCTCGGGGCAATTCTTCCAGACAGCGACAGCAATCTGGGGCACACGCGACTCGCAGCTCGAAATTGCCAAATATTTTATTTCTTCACCACAAACAAGATCCTCAGTTCAATAAACCAAGCGTTAAGCCAGCCATCGTCGGAATCCCTACTGCGAGCGTTTGCCCTCAAGGACTGAGCCAATTGTCCGCGAACCGAGCCGCCGTTCGTCCGCGAACCTAGCCTCTCCCCTCGAAGTCCAGCACCCTCGTCCCGCCACACAAACAACCGACCATGTCCGGCTCCTCGTCGCCATCGCCGCCGGGCTCCTCGCCCGGCGCGGCGCTCAACCAGAAGCTGCACGACGCCCTCCCGGCGTCCGTCGCCGACAAGATCCACGTGCCCGAGAGCAAGGGCGAGCTCAAGGCCGAGCTGAAGACCGAGGCCAAGGCTGCGGCGTCGACGACGTTCGCGCAGCTGCGCTCGCTCGCCGCGGGCGGCTTCGGCGGCGTGTGCGCCGTCGTCGTCGGCCACCCCTTCGACCTCGTCAAGGTGCGCATGCAGACGGCCGAGAAGGGCGTCTACTCGGGCGCCATCGACGTCGTCAGGAAGGGTATCGCGAGGGACGGCCTGCGGAGGGGCTTGTACGCGGGCGTGAGCGCGCCGCTGGTGGGCGTGACGCCAATGTGTGAGTCTTCCTCCTCCCAGGTTTCTTTTCTTCCCGTCTCTGGTCGTCTATCCTCATTTTTCTTCGCCCCCATTTCGCTAACTCAATCCCCGCTACCCAGTCGCCGTCTCCTTCTGGGGCTACGACGTCGGCAAGAGCCTCGTCCGCAGCGTGTCCACGGTCGCGCCCGACGGCACGCTCTCGATCGGCCAGATCTCGGCGGCCGGGTTCTTCTCGGCGGTGCCCATGACGGCCATCACGGCGCCCTTTGAGCGGGTCAAGGTGATCCTGCAGGTGCAGGGCCAGCGCAAGCTGGCTCCCGGCGAGAAGCCGCGGTACAGCGGCGGCGTGGACGTGGTGCGCCAGCTGTACCGCGAGGGCGGCGTGCGGTCCGTGTTTCGCGGCAGCGCCGCCACGCTGGCCCGTGACGGTCCCGGCTCCGCCGCCTACTTCGCCGCCTACGAGTACATCAAACGCCGCCTGACGCCCGTCGACCCGGCCACGGGCAAGCCGAGCGGCCAGCTGAGCCTGATGGCGGTGACGTGCGCCGGCGCCGCTGCCGGCGTCGCCATGTGGATACCCGTCTTCCCCATCGACACCGTCAAGAGCAGGCTGCAGACCTCCGAGGGGAACGTCACCGTCGGCAGCATCATCAAGGAGGTGTACGGTAGGGGCGGCCTGCGCGCCTTCTTCCCCGGCTTCGGGCCCGCGCTCGCCAGGGCGGTGCCCGCTAATGCGGCGACGTTCCTGGGCGTCGAGTTGGCGCACCAGGCTATGAACAAGGCCTTTGGTTGAGAGGGTTGGAATGTTGTTGGGTTACAATTTTTTCTTCCCCTTGGAAAGGAGCCGGGGTATTTAGATGGGTATCATGGAGTATCTTGCTGGGCCTGCCGGATGGAGGACCATGTGGGGGATTGGAGAGTCCCACGCTGGCTGGATCTGGGGGCTTACGAGACCGGCCAAAGTGGCCAAAGTGGCTGCGTTCCTGACAGGGCAGAACTCGCAAGCCGTCGTGTCCGCGTCCGATGTGGAGGTATCAGGTCAGGTTAAGCAAGGATTCAAGATGGAGATATGAAGGGTGAACAGAGCGAATATGTACACTACGATAGAATCAGGCCACTAGTTCAGGATATTCAATCTATTTTTCCCATCTCGATATCTCGGTCTTTGTCATTGCCTATTCAATCATATTTGAGTGCATCACGGCTACCCTACCATCCCCGCAACGAGAGCGTGACAGTTCCCATCTAGATGCTGCTCTCCGGAGGCGATCTAGTCTCGAATGTGGGGGTGGCAGGTGGTGGAGTTGCCACACCAAGCGCCTGAGGTCTCTCTCCTGTCTCCCTGCAAACGAGGTGGAATGGGCACGGTTAGGAAAATTGAGCAACACTACAGGCTCAATGAATCTCCACGTCAGTAGAAGCTATACGAGGATGCTTTTGAAGACTGAGACGACGGCCTTCGGTATTGCACAAGCCAGAGAGTACCCCACCGACATCTTACCGCTGCTGGCCTAGCCGTATCCGAAAATGGGGCCATCATCATATTACTACGCGGCACTCTCAACCGGCTTCCTGAGTGATACGCTCGCCAGCGTCGCCTGTACCAACTCCCTGGGGCTCTTGGTGTTTCCCGAATCCAAGAGAACCTCGTGTGGGGTTCAGTGAAAGGGAAGGAGCACCCAGCCGATGGGTAGTCAAGGCCATTGGCCTAACGCGACTTTCCCCGTAAAATGGCTGGGCCTTGTTGACGAGAAGTGAGCACCTGCATTCATTGATCAGTTTTGAAATACCGTGAAAAGGATATAAAGATACTTGTTAGATTTCGATGGACTTGTCTGGCCATGGTGGGATAAATGGAACCAGGGAGGCCCGCTTAGTGGGGTTTCTGTGGCGTCGGGCCGCTCCGATCACGTATGCAACCCTTGCATGGGTCCCAACCTTAATCAGACATCCAGGCTCGCTGTCGTTTCGACAACAACCATCGTGGTTCAAATCGGCGCTTGTCAAGATCCGCAACAGGATGGAGGGGATGGTTTCCACAGTTCAGTATACTGCCAAACGGTTATGTGTGCTAGGCATGCATCGAATCACCGCAATCTTTGACTTTTGATTCCGTTCAGGAGGTCCATGCTAAGGTACAGGAGCGCAAGAATCGTTTCTCCTTACATCTCGGCTTAGCTTCTATTGGTGCCTTTTTTCTCTCATCCTTCTCTCCTTGGGCGCGGGAGACTTCCTCATCTCTCCGCCGGGACCATCTAGTTGAGGTCCATGGCCTCGTCATCGAAGCCCTGGAAGCTCTCCTCCTCGTCCCCAGCCTCTTCGTCGTCATCTCCGAAGCCCTCGGAGTCCTCCTCTGCACCCGCGGTGCTGTTTCCTTCCTCGATCGTCATCTCGCCCACCCGTCGGGTGATCGGGCCGGCGCTGGAGGGGCCGGCGGCAGGCGCGTCGTTGTCCCCGCCGAGGCCGGCAGCGAACCCCATGAGCTCCTCCTGCCCATCGAGGCTGCTGCAGGTCACGGCGTCGGCGAACCGGTCGGCGGCGGCGGCGAGCATGGCTGCGGCGCTGCCGGGCTCCATCTCGGCCTCGCCCTTGGCGTAGCCGCGCTCGGCGCGCCAGGAGAGTCGGGCGGCCTTGATCTCGGTGAGCAGAGCGGCAAAGACCTCGGCGGGCAGCTCATGAGCCCAGGGAACCGAACCCTGGGCCTTCTTGATGGCGTCGAAGAGGGTGACGAGCCCCGAGTCTCCTGTCTTCTGTCCCCCGGTGCCCGCGGCGACGGTCGCGGGGTCGATGCCCAAGTCTTCTAAACCGAGGCCCAAGTCTTCTGGGCCGATGCCCATGTCGGCCAGGTCCATTCCGCCGAACAAAAAGGAGGAAGCCGGGGCCTGGTATCCTTCAATCTCATTGGCGGCCCGGTAAAGGGTGTCGGCGAGGATGGGGGTCACGTGCGACCTGTCGAAACGGTGGCCGGCCATGCGGATGGCTGTCTGGATCTTGGCATCGTAGGTATGCCGCGCGGTGACTGTGTTGCGTCTCCAGTTGAAGCCCGACCTTGGCATGATCTGAATCAGAAGGATCGACATGATGCAGATATTGCAAGTTTAGAGGATATTTGGTTGGGATCTTGATTTGAAATGGAGATGGCTTTAAGTGTGCCATGAAGCCCGTTTTGTTATTTTTTTGGTTGCAACGGGGAGAGAGTTGCGTGAAAAAATGAAGGTGTCGGCTCAGAAAAGAGAGGTCTCGGAGGAAGAGTATTTTGCAGGTAGGGCTCAAGATTGTGAGTTAGACAACTCGCTGTGACCGTTACCTAGCAACACCATGCTTGGGAGTGACCCAGGTACGTGGGCCTGGATTGCGTAAGGCAGCCAGGCAGGTAGGTAGGTTGGTAGGGACGTTGAGTGAATGAATGCGAGTGCATCAGAAGCTAGGATGCCAGTAGCCCGTGCTTGGCCGCAGGATGGTCATATAGTTCCAAATATCGAGTGACAATTTCGACCAGCAATGGTCATGTTGGTAAGAGTGTTAGTTCTAACACTCTATTCCACGAGCACGCGGGTTCGATTCCCAGCCAACCTTTGTACCGCATTTACTGGAGCTTGTTTTCCGGCTGTGGCGTCGCATTGTCAAGTGGGCATCTGGGGGCATACTTTTTTTGCCATGTTTGCCATTTTTTCCCCCCAGCCTGTTTCTCCATCCCCCTCTTCTCTAAGGGAGTGGTCATTATAAGTGACATGGCAAGTCTAGCTAGAGCGGTGTAGACTTGATGTAAGGTGTTGTGTTTTTCAAAAGGCTTTTTTTAATAAGTCTTTTATTTCTTGCTAAGTGTTTTCTTTTCTGTCTGATGTATTGTATTTCTACTGTATTATAAATTTAATTAGAGCTTCTCTTGCTAGGATACTATAAGAAGAAGAATACTATATGTATAAGCAATAAAGCTGTTAAATTCCTACTGTATAATCTATACTACTCTAAACATTATCTTGTCTAGCAACTTTAACTGCTAGGGTTGTCTTAGAAGATGTTTACCTTGCCTGCACCTACGCCTTAGCGTTCCTTAAAGTATATCTCTTGTAGCATTTGATTTAGGAGCTGCTGGTGCAGTACTTGTAACGAAGTTTGTGTAAGATATAGCAGACATTGGTAGTTGTATCATTAGATGGCGCAAGTTCTAGGTAGACTGAAATAAATACATGGTTACGTGGGGAAAGGGTACACATAGCGGGAAATGGGGGTACACACAGCGAAGCTCTTTTCTGTTCTGGGACTTTTTCTTTTCAGAATTAGCTACACTGTGCTATATCTTACTCGATGGCTGGCCAGAACGCAGCTTCTGCAGCGAGGAGGGATTTCCATTTTCCTTCAACGCGTTCCAGCAGCTCATCTTTAATCTGTTCCCCAAGGCTTCCCATCGCGTCGGATACGGCAAGGTCAATGATGCTTCCCAGTTTGCCGACAAATCTGGCAAATTCTGAGCTGCTCCAGTTCGGGATGAACTCTTTTCGCAACGCCCCTCCATCCGCGTCTTCCCGTGCCTGTGAGCCGGCCCCCAGGACTTGGCGAGACTTTGCCCACGACCAGGCATCCAGATAGCACCTCTCCGTACCCCAGAACGTGACCGCGCCTTCCAACCACGGGAGCGTCAATGCGCTCGACGTGCCGACATCAGACGGGCCAGTCGACGCGAATAGCTCCTCCATCAAGACGAGTCCGAGAATCTTCTCCTCGGAAGACACCGAGCTCGGCTCCGCCAGCCCTCGAGCAGCCTCCGAGGCTTCCAGGTCGACACGCAGCCCGTAGCGGGAAGCAACGTCAATGAAGAGACGTTCCTCGCGCCTCACGGCAACCAGCGCCTCGGTGAACCAGTCAACAAGCTGCGTCTCGGGCGCCTCCACGTCGGGGACGTGCTGCGGCAGGTTCAGCGAGGCCAGCATGTGGCCCGAGGCCTTGATGTACGCATGGATGTACAGCCGGTCGTTGGCGAGCCACTGGCCGAGGATATCCTTGGGAAGCCTCCCCTCAGCGGCGGCGAGGAGGAATGGGGACTGCGTGGCGGCCTTGTACCCGTCAGGTGATATCGAGAGGAGATGCTCCGTCAGCGACCACGAGGATGGCATCTTGGGGATGAATGAATGCAAGCGCTAAAAAAAATTGGGGCAAGGGGTCGACAGATGGCGAGAGATCGATGCAACACGGGCAAGGTTTGTGAACGGGATTGATGTCGTCATCTGGATTTTATGGCTTGTCGTTGGAATGGGCAGCCGAGCCGCTGATTACCCGATTATGCGGCTCGGCCTTGGCCAATCTGATTACACCCGCCCGATTACACGCAACAATGGACTCTATCCTCATGGTCATGAAGAACAATCACGCAGCCCCGGACATGATTGCAGACGGCAGATCCATAAGTGCCTCGTCATATTTGGAGATGTCGGGTTTCAGGCAACCTCGGTGACTCGATGATTTCTTCCTTGTAGTCGCTTCCGAGCAGCGACTTGGTGGTGCAACCTGCTGCGATGGAAAGATCGTCCGTACCAAACCCATCATCCACGACAACGCGTTGGACGTTTCCTTTTCAGGAGCCGGGCAGATTGTCACATAACATCACGGTAGTGGTTTGCATGAAGATAGATACACAAACCTTCGGCCCAACGGCCCTGGTTGACCAATAATTACAAGCTAACAAACCTGACATCAACGCTGATGGAGATGCTCCACAACCGGGTTATACCCGGGCATTACGCAGTCAAGCCGCTTGCAGGTGCCAGGGCAACAACACCAAGTGTGCCCATATCCTTCCGTTTGCGCTCACAATGTTCAACGAGAGTAACGCGCTTATGGTAAGCGCAGCTTATCTGAATTATTGTGCACCTAGACCTAAGCAAAGCAACCATCTGAGCTGATTTGCGCCGACGGGTCGGGGTTTCTCGTAGGTGTGTCTTTTCAACAGCAATGGCATCCCAGGGGGGAAGAGCGGGTTCTTCTCCAAACCTTTCCGTTTGATCTTCTATGGAATCTTCACTGTGGCCCGCGATGGACCTGCCACGTGTTGGCTGCGTTTCCGGTGGATATTTCGTAGTCGTCTCTCTCATCGTCGCTCACGACGAGTACATCTGGATTTTCTCTGGTTTTTGGCGAGCGCTGTCTTGCTGACCAGTCAGCAGGCGTCAAGTGAAAAGCGCTGTTGGGTTTGCATACCCTTGTGAACGGTCTCTCGGATTCGATGTAATTAATGGGGGCCGTGGGTTCGGATAGGGCGCATTGCCCAAACCATATCGCGCGAGTCGGGTGGGGAGTAAACATATGAGCCTTTGACTACTTTGGTTTAATTACCACCTTGGCAGAGATTACTGTCGTTGTCGCTACTGCCGTCACTGTCATCTGATCTCACGTATGTCGCTTGCAAGATTTGCAACGCAAATTTTCATGCACTCCATAATCGGAAGACCTGCCTGAACGTGCGGTACCGTCAGTGCAACTGCAAGGAACGTCTATCCTCTGCCGTGTTCTGCCTCAATAGACACTCCGTGGTCGACATCTCCGTGGTCGACCTCCTTCTGAGGCCGACAACCTTTGAAAGGTATATATACCAGCATCGGCAGAAAAAAGGTATGTGCCTGAGCTGGCAGTAGATCCTGCAGTTTCAGGTGACTGGAGTTCCATTTCTGGGAACCCCTTTCCATTCCCTCTCTACCGAGGACTTAATGGGAGGTTACCTACTAGTTCTGTTCACCCTCTTTCTTAACTTTCATTCTTCCAACTCCTCCTTCATTCTCTCAGCTCCGTTCTCATTAAGCCGTTTTGCGGACCTTCTTCTACCCATCTATCTCAGTGGGAGTCGACACCAAGCACAAACTCTCACTCATCGACCTTAATCCGATTATACTGATTAACCTTGATGGGTAACGGATAACCGTCTGCCGACAGGACGACCCGGACTAGCTCGACAGGATGCTCAGTCAAGTCGGTCAACTCTAGCTCCACGTCCAAGCCAAAATCGCCGAGCCGTTTGCCAATCCTCGCGATTGAGAACTGCTCATCACCCCTGCTAGAAGGCAGCCTGCCCCAGTCCAAGCCCGTCCACTGAGAGCGCTCGCAGGATTCCTCATCCACGTCGGGAAACATGTCGAAAACGAGGTAGATGGACCGAACGGTGCCGGAGCGAGATAGTTCAGCAACCACGTTGAACCCAGTTTTGAACCACTCTCTCCTCTCAGCCTCTTCATAGCTCTTGGGCATGTCTTGGACTTTGTAGCAGCTATACTCCAGGTAGCCGAGCTGGTAGAAGACGAAACCCGGGGAGTTGACATCATCGGATTCAGCCGTGATAGTCGACTCTTCACTCATGTTTGCCCTTCGCCGATTGGTAGGCAGCGACGGCTCTCGAGGCTGTACTGTCAAATTCACAGCGAGGAAGGACTCTAGGAGAACTTTCCGGTTTGTAGGAGGAAGTTCTAGAACCTGCGGTCGAAGGCGGTACGACTCGGGGGCAAGACGGTAGAGATATTTGCCGATACGGCCGAGGACGATCCACGTTCGAAAGTCTTTGTGCATCTCGTCGTCGAGGATATCAACTGCGGCGTCGTCCAGGAAGGAAATGGCATCAACCTTTTCCACAAGCTCGCTCGCAGCAAGGTTGCTCACTGAGAACAGTGGGCGTCTTCTCGCGTCGAGCCAGGCATTGAACGCTTTTCTGTCGGCGCGGTCTGGCCATTCCTTACGCAAAAGCTGGCTCATCTCTTCTAAGCCAGGGCGGTTGTCGCACAACTCCCCGAAGACCCTCTCGAAATCCGCATCTGTCGGCATGATGCTGCGCGTCGGTGAACTGGGAAGACTGCTGCTGGGAAGACTGCTCGTGGGTGGTGGTAGGTTTGTCATGCAGGCGGCTGTAGTGCATGATCCCGATGTGTTTTAACGGGGTGCCGTGTGAGAATGAAAGCGACGAGATTTGGGCATTTGCGAACATCAAACACAAAGGTGGTGAGAATATGCGTCCCCTTAGGCGATCAATAGTTGGGAAACGAGACAGGGTGGGAGGTGCCTGGTGGTGGAAGGTTTTATACTCCGCAATGTCAGGTGTTGCACTCATCGGCGAAGCGAGTTGCATTAAATTTGGAGGTTAAGTTTGAGCTTGCGCGTACCATGATGGACACCGAAATTGAGAGTTTACTTAGTTACTGAGATCTAACTGGCAGCGGGTATGAAGCCTGACTGTGTAATAAGTATGCTATTGGTTACAATGTTCGCCACGCCGAAAGCCTGTTCGTCAGAGTTTGTCCAGCAAGGCACCAAAGCCACGCAGGGTGAACTATTAATAATGCCTGGTAATCTCCTCGGGACTTCAGCGCCGGGGTCTCCAACTTCACCTTTTCATCTAACACCAGTTCTTTCAGCACTTGTTTGCAAACATGGCTTTCAAACGATGGATCCAATGGATCCAAAGGCTCTACTCATGCCTACGTCAAGAGGATCCAAAAAAACAAGATGACGAACAGAAGAAGCAAGGGCAACAGGGCCAGCCGAAAGACAAAGGTGGCCAAAGGGAGCAATCTCGAATGCTGGTCACTTTGCATGAGCTGCAGCGCACCATGGACCCCTTGATAGCAGCGCAAGTCTACAACAACCATCACAGCCCCCTCGGCCGGCTGCCAGAAGAGCTCTTGCTTTGCATCCTCCGTTATATAGGCGACGACGTTCTCACCCTATACTGTCTCCGGCGTGTCTCGAGGATATTCCGGCGTCTTATCTATGAATTGGAAATTTGGAAACAAATGTTGCCTCCTCCATCTTCCCAAAGATTTGGCTATTCTACCGAAGCTCGTTGGCGTCTCCCTATCCACCTGTATCATCAACTTCGACAGCGCTTACAAAGCGATGGCTTATGCAACGACTGCAATCTCTGGTGCGATGTTCCTGTTAAGGGATGGTTTAATTGGTTTATTCAGACTACAAACCTCAAATCAGACCGTTTTCTAAAACTTCAGGCTATCTGCAAGTTTGATTCTTTGCAAGGTTATGCTCTTTACTGCGATGCATGCGGCATTAACCATGATATGCGGAGATTTTTCCCTTCCAATCAGCAGTCTGACAAGAGAAATCGACAGTGTCTAAGCCGTGAAGGAGCTGTACAGTTGTGCAAGCATGTCCACATCTCCTGGGCTGCCGTCGAGGAACATATAACCGACTGGCAGCAGCGCAAGCCTGGAGACTGGCAGGCCTGCTTCGACCACTTCAACATCGAGTGCCATGATCCAAGCCACGATACACGCTGGACAGCCGAGGAAGCCCCGACCTGGCCCCGGGCCTGTCTCCAGACTGCTGGGCTGAGGCAGAACCCAAACCCGGTGGTTCTCAATTACGAGTGGAAACCCCATAGTGGTCTCGACGTTTTTACCTGCACCTTGGACGGGCAGGTGCCTGCCTTGGGGATGAGGGCGCTATTCCAGAGGTTGCGACAAGGGCCAGCTGGCATTTTGTTGCCTTCATACCCTACAAATCCTTTACCAGAGATGGCGTGTTTTGATCCAACCCGGTGTGACTGCATCTACTATGAGATGGGGGATAACAAGAGACTGAGTGCTCCAGATCCATCAAAATGCCTTAACTTTTCTGCAACGATTTTCCATCTGGATGGAACGCCCATCATACCTACTACAGATATTTTGGTTTCGGACGGCATATGGAGCAAGTAGGCATGAGCAAACATTGGCCTCGGGGTATGTGCAACTCGGTGTGTCTGGTCGCCACCTACCAGCGCTGCATTCCGGTCTGCCACAAGACAGACCGTACTAATATCAACCCTACCCACCAGTGGCTCCATGCCATGGATCCTGACACATACCCTCGCCCACATGCCAGCCATACCTTACCTTTGTGCAGGGACAAGGGTTGTATTTTGAACTATTATCGAAGGCCAAATCCGTCTGTTGAAAATATGGCACAGCCGATTTCATGCCCGCACCTTCGAGTGTCTGGGGGGGCGGAAGCGATGACTCCGAGAAACGATGCAATGACTTGGTTAAAGTCAAATCCATGGCCTAGACTTTGTGATGTTTATGTAAATTAAAGCATGGGTAGTTAATTCATTAGTTATCAGAGCTAGTTGTATTTGAGTCTCCATGATACGTGGTAGTCTTGCTTGAGAGCTACAACCATCTACCTAGGTGGGCAGGTATTCATACTCCTGGAGCTGTATCGGCCAGACCAATAACATCGAAAAGTAAGATATTAACCCCATCATCATTCCTGAACAGCTGCTGATGGGCTGGTAGTCTGCTGATGTTGTTCTGGAGAGCCCGAGGAGATTTTTGGCGAAGGAACCATACCAGGAAGTGATCCGAAGGTGGCCGAGAGGTCTGACATGCGTCACGAGCACGAGACTGCAGCGAGAGTTGTGAAAGGGCGTTGCGCAAGGGCTTAATGAAAGTGGCTACTTCCATAAACAGTGTAGCAAGACACGCTGGACGGCGGGAGATGGAACCGAAATCCACGCCTTGACATGGGCGGATGTAGATAAGTGGAACTTCATTGTTCAAGCTGACGAGTTCCAGTCGGCGACCAGAAGGAAGTGCATGCCAGATTCTTCCAGCAGGCCCTTTTGCCGGCGACGATGGCGTGAAGTTTGAAGAAGGCGAGGTGTATTCGGCTGCGATGCTGGCGAGAAGGTAAGAGGAAATGGCTGAATCGACGCGAAATCTGGGAAACTGCGTGATGAGGGAAAACCGGGGGGTTCGAGCGACAAAAGCTGAGGATGTAGTGAAAGCTTCGTTGTCAGTGACTTCAGGCAGAGAGAGGTTTGGTGTGGACGGCGGAAGACGATGAGAAAGGTAATCGTAAATGGATGACTGGAAGGTGTTGTGGTTGGGCCAGGCTTTGGCAAGCGTGGTTAGAACACTCGAACTTGTCACCCACCCCTTTTTTTCCCCTCTTTTTTTTTTGGCGAACAAATATCCCAGACTTGCAGGGCTGGGAGAGACGAGCTGTTTTGTGAGAAAAACTAGACTCGTGGCGGGGTGAGGAACCGAGGCAGAAGTGAGAATACGGAGGTTTGTAACCACCCTAGAATTTTATTCGCAAACTCGTCCCACCATGCAACAGCAGGTCTGGGGTATTTCTTTTTTGTTTGCAGCCAAGTTATCTCCCTCAGCCTATCCTTGGGACAAAATTCTAGATGACGCACTAATCCCTCTCACCTCTCCCTGGGACTTTCGAGAGTTCGCCTTCCGCCAGACACTTGTGAACGACAAGTTTGAGTGTTTTGGTCACGCTTACCAAAGCCTGGTACCCCGCGTAGGTGGAAATCTGAAGCTTTTGGTTCCCCTTCTCTTTTCCCCGGTCGCTGACGATAAAACAGTCGTCCTGCAACCTCTGCTACAGCTACGTTTACGCCGTCTAGATCACCATTTCGAAACAAACGGTTCGTACATCACTTTCTCTTTACCAATCTGCCTTTTAAGTCGCCCTAGCCCTTTGCGTCCGGTCGTTCTGACTTATTTTAGATGGCGACCGATTATGCCTTCAACTCGCGCTTCTTTGCGTACGAGTGCCGCCGGCCGCTGAACCAGCCGAAAAAGCTGGTATTACGTGCCAAGTACCCCCGCAAGGGTGTCGCTGTGCCGAAGCAGACTTTTGGTCTTGTAAAGGCCGACAAGACGGACGCTGGCAAGATCTTCACTCAGGCCGAGACAGAGACCGCCGGGATTGCGGACCACGAGCTGGTAGTCGTCGTTGGAGAACTCTTGCCCAGGGACGCAGTCCAAGGTCATAAGTCCTTCTCTACGCCGACCGCGGTGTCCGGGTTCGACCCCACAAAGCACACCCTGATCCCCAACCGCCCAGATACTCGGCTGGTAGTACGGGCTGTTAAATCCCAGGTCGATACTCTCTACGTCCTGCTGGGCAGGGAAGAAACAGGTCTTTGTGAGGCATACGCCCTCTCGAGCATGCTGGACAGTGTCTGTCCGGTCTACTACGACGAGTGGACGGAGAGCCAACCCAAAAAGCACCTGCCTGAGCGCCTTGCGGCATGGGAGACCAACATCCAGGCCTTTTGTGACGGACTTCTTGTGAAGGCGGTACCGGGGGACAGCGGGGAGGGCACATCTCAAGGCACGGCCCCTGCACCACCTGCGCATCAGGGTGATTCCGAGGCCCTGCTACTTAGGTCCTTAGTGATCTACGAGAAAACCGAGAACGAAGTTACCTCAAGATGGCGAATCAATACGCCAAACGCGCGGTTAAAGACATTACGCAAGCTACGGCAGACGCTAGCAGTCCAGCACCGACGGCCAATCTCGATCAGCTATCCCGGCAGGAGCATTTACTATCCAGGCAGGAGCATTTAACTAATGAGTGCGAGGAGGCGGTTGTGGAGCGACGAGGCCGAGGCCGGGCTGGTGGATCGGTTGTCCCAGCTCCGACGCTACGAATTTGCCGCCAGATGCGGCGACTACATGAGCGCTGTGTGTGACCGGCTGAAGACCAAGGTGAGGGTCGAGAGGACCCAATATTTTGAGCAGCTCCAAGGCTGGAACCGATTTTGGACCGATATCAACTCGGATATCAACAAGGAGACCCGCGCCTGGGAGCGGTGGCTCGTCCGGGACCCGACCCTCGGCGACGAGGGGGCTCTGCCGTGGTATGTGCTCTTGGAAGAATATTATTGGTATCGCCGCTCGGGGCGCGGACTGGGACGGTAAAATAACTGATCAGCGCCCCGAATACGCGGCCACCTAATCATCCTCCTCGAACAAGTCACTACTTACTCCCACTCCTCAGCCGTTGGTCCATCCTTGGAGCGTTACTGGCCCAATTCGACGGGCGGCAGGTCCTTCTCCGGGCCGACATCACTTTCCTTCTCGTCGTTGTCTTCTTCCTCTGCCTCCATGCCATCTTCTTCTCCCTCCTCCATGTCGTCTTCTCCCTCTTCCAGCCTTCGACATGGCTACCATGAAGCAGCAGGGTCTTAAGAGGCTGAAGCTTGTCGTCTAGCGCTTGTACGGTTCCTACAGTTAGGTATTCAGGCAGGAGCATTCAGTATTCAGGCAGGAGCATTCAGCTATCCAGGCAGGAGCATTTAACTATCTAGGCAGGAGTATTTAACTGCTAGGGTAGGAGCATTTGGCTAGCCATTGTATCGTCTTCTTCTTCGCTCTCCATGCCATCCTTAATCAACGGCAGGACAGCTCTTTCGATCTGGTGGACGACCCTCGAGAATACTTTCTACCTTTGCGCATCCACCGGTCGCTTGCAACGTCAAGTACCTGGCCAGTTCGGAAGTCCAAGTCGTTGCATCTGCTGCGGTGGTGGCCTCCGCAATATTCCGCATGATCTCGTCGAGGGACGCCACTGGGACGGATGCCTTGGGCAGGCAGCTAAGCTGCTCGTCGACCAGGACCTTAGCTGCAACCTGTTGTATATGCGACTTCATCAACCGAAGAGACAATTGGTAAAGTCGCTTGTGTGGAAGGATTTCGTCGTCTAGCAAGAACCAAACGTCATCCTGAATGCTCCTCCTGCCTGGATAGCTGAATGCTCCTGCCCTGGATAGCTGAATGCTCCTGCCTGGAAATTTGAATGCCCCTGCCTCAATAGCTGAATGCTCTTGCCCTGGATAGCTAAATGTTCCTGCCTAGATAGCTGAATGCTCCTGCCTAGATAGCTAAATGTTCCTTCCTGGATAGCTGAATGCCCCTGCCTAGAAAGCTGAATGCTCCTGCCCAGAAAGCTGAATGCCCCTGCCCGAATAGCTGAATGCCCATGCAAAAGAATTTCTCGAAAAGCTTGTACAGAAACCAAAGCTCAAAGAGGTCGAAAAATCCAGTACAGATGATATGGTACTTCTCTTGCTAAGGAGATTAGTAGGCTACTTCTACTTACTGTACCGCCCTTTCCATATTAGGAGTGTGGATAACTAGGTTACTAAGTCGTTCGGCTGGAGAGGACCTGCTCTCCGGGCTTCCCACGTGTCCGAAGCACAATCCATGAGTGAAAGGGACTGGAGGTCTCCAAAGCTTGCCGCAATCTTTCTGGCAGTCCTAGGTCTAAGGGTGCCAGATAGGAAACGTAGGAACTGTACGAGCGCTAGACGACGAGCTTCAGCCTCTTAAAACCCTGCTGCTTCATGGTAGCCATGTCGAAAGCCTTCCCATACGCAGCGGGCAGGTGGTCAAACGCTTGGTGCTCTTCACCAAGCATCTACCGCGCTTGTGGTTCTGTCTTTGCAAGCACCCTGATCGAGACCCTACGCTCCCCTGGAAGCCACGAGCGGCCCACCTTTGAGTATCAACGCGCTGCTGTTGCTACAGCCGTCGATGAAGAGTTCCCTGAGGGAAAGCGCTTTAGTGTGGTACACCACTTTGAAAAATTCCTTCCGACCTTCGTCGCTTAATCCACCCAGGTGGAGGGATTTCAGATTAGGCATCTGCGAGATTGCCTTCTGGATTATGTACCTACCCCAGTTCGTCCTCAAACGGCTCCACCTCATAGGCGTCGTACCAGGACGATTTCCGCCCATCCGTGTCGGAATCCGGTAGGCTGTTGGTCCTCGCAAAATGTGTGGAGGACAGCCGACAGCCGTTGCGGTAGGGAGATGAACTTGACCTCCTCCCACTGGGAGCCGATGAAATACTCCCGGAATTTCTTGCACGTATTTCCGAAAATGTGAACGTCTCTCTGGTTTAGGAGACTTGCCATTTCTCGACAGAGCTCGACGGGGAGGTGTACGCGACCCAGCGAAAAGTGCATGCGCCATTTGCTCCATGGGCAGCAAAAGTTTGACCAATTGGTGGAAAATCGGCAAAACCTGCGGCTGCTGTTGATATCTATTGCTCTTTCCATCGCTGTTTATTGCTCTTTCCGTCGCCGTTTATCGCTCTTGCCATCACTGTCTATCGCTCTTTCCGTCGCTGTCTACTGCTCTTTCCGTCGCTGTCTATCGCACTTGCCATCGCTGTCTATCGAACTTGCCGTTGCTATCAATCGCACTTGCCATCGCTGTCTATCGAACTTGCCGTTGCTATCAATCGCACTTGCCATCGCTGTCTATCGAACTTGCCGTTGCTATCTATCGCACTTGCTATTTCTAGCAATAGCAATACCGATGGCAGCTGCTGCCAATTTTTACCATCTACAACAAAGCTCCGACACCTAGAATGCATAGACCACCTGCCTGCAGAACAATTCCTATAGGAGAATGGTATGAGTGAGAAAAAGGTGAGAATAAGGAGAGTGGAAGTAAGAGGCGAGTTGGAGGAGGAGGGGAATGAGACTGAGATGGGAGATATTTAGGAGAACGTTTTGAACTTGCCGGTGCACCAAGCTTTGGAAAAGGTGACCAGAACACTCGAATTTGTTGTGCACAGCTGTTGGCAAAGACTTAATGACAAAATCGGAAGTGGAATAACGTTACATTCAAAGTAGTTTATTAGAGCTACACAAGTTTAAACATACCCTGCATTCTCTACGGAATTAACTTAAGACATGATTCTTCTCTCTAAAGACTTTGAGTATCTCATACTGATTACTCTCTTCCTCACTCTGTCTCACTTGATTTGTATTCCTGACAGCTGCTGAGGTATGGTAAAATCCTAAACCCTGAAACACAGCCAAACACAAACGGAAGAAAGGCTAAGGGAGGCACTTGAAATCCTAGGCAAGGTTCATGTTGCCATCACCAGTCACAGTGTCAATCACTACACCAACCGCCAATGCTTGCCAGTACTGCCTAAATCAGGACGCCATGGATACAGGTGCGAAGTCCAGCCTGTTCCCCTTGTCGCAAGCGTGGCTAACATCAACACCTGCACTACAGAACGCAAACTCATCTGCGGACGTCAATAGCTCTCTGGCTGTCACTTCGATAGTTACTGCGGGCGATAATGCAGTTACTATTCTAATTACCGCCATGCCAATGGTGGAAGAGTTTACAGTGCTCCAGAGCGAACTGCAGAACAAACTCGCATTTCCAACGCACCCAGACGAGGCACTCAAAGCAGTTCAAAGTGGATGGCAGAGACCTTGACTAGGACGACAGCCGCTACTACCATACGTACTGGCCCTCGTCCATGTTGTGAACGAAGGTTTCGACCGCCATGCCGATGAATGACTGGGAGTTACGCTTCTAAGACGAAGCCTGGGAACACCATGACCAGCTAGCTACGCTCTACAACGTTCCAGCTCGAGATTGACACATAATGCAGCCCATAATGGTTTGGGCCATGCGCCCTATCTGAGTCCACGGTCTCCCATTAATTACATCGAATCCGAGAGATGGTTGACAATGGTATGCAAAACCAACAGCGCTTCTCACTTGACGCCTGCTGACTGCTAAGCAAGACAGCGGGTATCGCCAGATTGTGCATTTTTACTAACTAATGCTTCCCCGTCCAAAAACCAAATAAATCTTGGTTATCGTTTAAGCGCTGTGCTAAGATAACAATCCTTGCACAAAAGCACGATCGCATTAAAAAACAATGCTAATTGCGTGTTAACAAAAACTGTCAAATGGGTTTTCTTTTTTTTTTTTTGGGGGGGGGGGGTTTTTTCTGCAAAAAATTGCGAAAAAAATAATAGTGACTAGAGTGAGATTCGAACTCACGCCCCTTACGAGACCACGGATCCAGGTGTGATTACCTAAACGTGGCGCCTTAGACCGCTCGGCCATCTAGCCTGGTAGTGCTATTCGGCCCGCTAAGTCTATCCTTGAAGCATCGAGACTTGGCAGATGGGTACAATAGGGGTGGTGGTCCAGCTGCAGCCTATCAATAGAAAACAAATATGCATGTGCAAATCAGCTCAAAAGTCACAGCATAGTGGTAGCTCTCCTTAACACAACTAACCAGCAGTTGGGAAGAATGATGCGCAAACAGAACTCCTAATGAGATTTTTGAAATTTGTTGGTTTTTGGCTAGAAGACGAGACTGGAAACTCGTGGAATATGTCCCCCGAATGTCGCCCGCCAACCTTTACAGCCGCCCTTTCGTACCAGGATTGAAGCAGAAAAAGACCGCCCCCTCATAGCCCCTTGTAATCATACACTACTGCAGCAATCTGAAAAGCAGTCAAAATACGGTTAGTTCCGACCATCGCCTGATCTACCCCCTGAATCTGTCGGGAGTTGGGTTGATTAAACGACAGGGCTCATAGCTCCTGCCGAATCTCCTCGTCGGCCTTCTTCTTGGCCGCGTTGGAGCCGATGCTGATCTGGTCCACGACCCAGTCCCAGGTCTGCTTGACGGTGTCCTGGATCTGGGCGAAGATGGTCCCGGCGGGCGTTGTGGTGCCGTACTTGAAGTAGGTGTACTGCTTGCGGGCGCGGGACCTCAGCTCGTTGATCTTAGAACCTTGAGGTGCGGGCTAAAATGCATCATGTCAGCTTGAGCGACTTCGGGAGACTGAGAGTTAAAAGGATTGACATGTTTAGGCGACTTACGATGCCGTAACTGTCCAGGTACGATTTGAGTTCGCTCTCGCTCCAGTTATCAAAGGCCGTCTGCTTGACCGAGTCGGTAGTCTGAGCCAGGTAGCTGGTCACAGATGCGTAGGACGAGCCGCCGGCCGACGAGGCCGAGGCGTACGCCGACTGCGCGGCCGCTAGGAGCTCGTCGCGGGTGGCTCCGCTCTTCTGGCTGACCTTCTTCGCGGTGGCGTCGCCGGACGAGGCCAGGTAGTTTCTCAGGTTTTCGAGGGAGAAGTCGTCGAACGTCCACGCGGTCCAGCCGCTCGCCGCCTTGTGCGAGTTCTTGCGAACAAGGGCGCGCAGTTCGTCCTTCTTGGAGGCATGAGGCACGGGAATCCCGCGAGCATCCAGGTAGCCCTTCAACCGGCTCTCGGACCACGTGCCAACAGCCTCATTGAAAGCATCCTGGGCAGCCTGAGAAGCCTTGTCGGTAGCCTGGGCGTAGGCATTGCCTGCGTTCGAAGTGGCAGCCCCGTAAGCCGAGGCGGCAGAGGCTGAGACGGTGTCGCCTAGGAGCGCAGCACGGTGCTTTCGCACCAATGCACGGAGCTGACTGGCCTTGGTGCCCTGGGGAACATTGATGCCGTTCTTATCGGCAAACTCCTTCAGCTGGGACTCGTCCCAGGCATCAATGAGTTTATCGGTCAGAGTGGCGTACGCGGCTTGAGCGCTGGCCGAGGCACTAGAAGCGCGTTCTTGAGCCTTTAGGGAGGCGATGCGCGAGTTCCGGCGAACGGAAGCAATGAGCTTGTCTCGCTGGGTGTGGATTGTCAGCATTGAACAAATCAGGGCTATGGATGCGAATTATCTTACTGTCGTGGGCTGGGGCACGGGGAAACCATAAGTGTCAAGCCACTCCTTGAGATCCGACTCTGTTTAGGTCAGTCTTCGCTCTGCAAAAACCAACAGGCTAGATCGGGGATAACTAACCAGTCCAGGTGTCGTAGAGCCAGTTGCCAGGGTACGCAGCGGTGTCGCCGGCCTTCTTGGCGATAGCGTCATAGTTGGACCTGACCTTCTCGAGAATGGTGTCGCGCTTGCGTGGTTGAGGGACAGGGATGGCATGATGGTCGCAGAAAGCCTTGAGTTGGCTTTCGGTCCAGGAATCCAATATCCAGTCCTTGACGCTGAACCAGGCTTGCTGAGCCTTGTCCCCGGATTCGTACCAGAGATCCTGTACCTGAGACACCAGCGACTCCTTGTTGGCGGCGGCGGCTTCCTTGGTCTCGATGCCCTTTTGTTTGAGGTGCCGGTTCAACTCAGCAGTATCCCAGTGCTGGTAAGGGGTTACCACGTTGGTGTCCCAGTTATTCTGAACCAGCTTTTCCAGCTCCTTTCGGTCACTGCTAGTCGGGTATGGGATATCATGGTCGGAGAGCCAGCGCTCTAGCTCAGTCTCATGCCACTTATTGTATGCTGACAAGGACAAGACGTTAGCAGATGCTCATCGCTTAGGGGATCCGTGTCACCAGGTATCACGTACCAGCTTTGGAAGCGTAAATACTTCCTAGGGTGATGTCGGCCACAAAGGCCAACGAGATGAGGGTCTTTACGATCCTCATTGCGTGGAAGTTCTCGAGTCCAATAACCAGTAACGGAGCTCAATCTAATTCACAAGAGGTTTGCGGATGGGTCTGCTGGAATAATCGACGTTGGGAAGGAGGAGGTTATGGAACAAAATGACGTGCCCGGTAGTGAGGGCGAAGGCAGGTTTGGAGGCATAGGCAAAAGGCTGGGAGAATCCATCACGTCACTTTCTTTTGAGCTGAGGACATTGTCTCAATCACGTCCCGCTTGCACGTGCTTATTACGACTGCGATTCGGGAACATCGAGCCTTCGCTGTCTGTCTGCCTGTCTATCATGACGTAATGAGTTTGTCACTCAGAGCTGGAGAAGCTGGTTGCTGAGACAAAGGCTCGTAGCTTGGGCTGGGGATTGGCTCTTTGGAGGATCCGGTGGCGGGAGATTGCATCTTCTAACGGTGATCTTGAATTCTTATGTACCTATGTATTTGCTGGGTAGGTAGCCGGGCTTTTGGCCAGGCCTTGCACTTGTCATCATTATTCACAGAACGTATGGCATGAAGAAGATCTGGTGACGTCATGGGCGGACGGCTACGCTACGCATACGCAGGTATCTGTAAATGGTGGAGCTAAAGATACCTAGGTACCTAATTCTACCTTCACAAGAACCTATGGTTCTGTCATGCTCTCATGAGTGCTTCTTGCAAACTCAACATCCAGTGCTCACGATGATTCGATATTTGCGAGCCACAATTGTATTGTAGCTACAAGTTTCAGGGCATTGCAGGGCATATTTTCGCCCCAGTTTTGTGCTACTCATCAACATTCATTGCCTGTGAATTTCTGGCTCTGGCACCATGCGATTATAACGTTGGTTTAACAAACACCAGTGACGGCAGCGAATTGGTCATCTTTTTATATTCGCCGACATGGATGCATTGTTGGATTGAAGTTGTCCCACATCTCCAAATGTCACGTCCCAGGACGGAATCTCGACCAGAGTTATGTGCACTGCTTGTCGTCGATCGGAAGGGATAAAACGAGTGTGTATCCAGAAAGACACCAGGAATGATTTCCCGGTCAAGAGATTCTCGGTCTCTCGCGTACCCAGGAACTGCATATCAGCTTCTAATTTTGGTTTAAGGTTAATTAACTTGTAGCGGCCCGGTTAACACAAATAAGGTCGGGGATGCACATGATTGCCTCGGCTCGGTTTACTCTCCCCAGACGTATGTGTCTTGCTCAGGGAGGCTCCCGCGAGACCCTTCGAGGACATGATAGTCTCGAGGGCCTGGGGTCGAACATTCTTGGAGACTTCTCTACTTCCCTGTCAATGCAACGGCTGCCCACGGTAACATTCGATATCATCCCGCGGTGTTGGAGCCCGAACGCCCGGCCGCTACCACCTAAAGACTAACGGGCCCGCGCCCGACAGTCGTGGCATGCTTGCTTGGATTAGTGTGTACTTTGTTCCACCTTAGCTCTATTATCAGTTGCCGCTGGGCCGTTGGTTTCTTTTGCAGGAGTAGGCTGGCTCTTCGCAACCTCCCATGAACCTTCCCTCCCCCGCTTTTTGCGCCTTGTCGCCCATCTCGAAAGCCTGGACTCTTAGTCAGTCCGGGCATCATGAGCCGGGGTTTCCTTTTCCAGAGGCCCGCGAATTTCCGCATTCGCATGAAACCGAATTCGGAATACTCGGAGGCCTGGGACCGGTGCCAGGGCTATGTTAGGGGTAGCTTGAGTGCCATCCAGGCCCATTTAGCCGCCACGGTTGTACGGTTAAAGGCAGCTACCCTCGCCATATCCCCAGGGCTGGTTTCCCATTACGGCGACCCTGCGCCTCTTTATTGGTGCACCACCAACCCATCTTTAGCGACGGCGGATCGAGACAATCTTTACAGAAAACCGGGTTCGTTCGAATGGTCCCCTACCTGGCCCTGTGGGTTGCATTTCGCCGCATCATCACTAGGTGGTGCGACTGGAAAATGGTAAACTGCCACCGCAACATATTGCTGAACCTTGGCATAACTGCGATATGTTCATCTTCGCACTCCACCCTTGTTCATCCATGGGGGGGAAAGGCGGCGGAGAATGCTGGAGGTGCCCCCAGACAGACCGCACCTCACCCGAAAGCTACCAAATGACCACTAAAGCCAAGGGGTTGAGCCACAAGCTCCCGAGACGATTGGACGCGTTCACGATGTTTCCTTGTAGACAAGCGGTGGTGCCATCAAGTAGGGGGCAATTACCCCCTGTTCATTCCGCGCCCGTGAACGATGTAACCATCCGCACGACGACCGGTGGATGGCAGAGGATGGTGACAGTGACCCAAAAAGTACAAAACAGAAAGGGGAGCCCTTCAACACAATGGCTATCCAACCGCTCTCGACGTCATCACCTTCACCATCGTCACTATGGTCACCTTCTCTTCCCTCGTCGTCGCGCTCTCCAGCGTGGCGGGAGCTCTTGCCTTCCCCGCAAACATCTCCAGCGAGCTCTTCGCTCGTGCCGGAACCCCCAGCAGCACTGGTACCAACAACGGGTACTACTACTCTTGGTGGACCGACGGCGGCGCGGACGTCACCTACACCAACGAGGCCGGCGGCCAATACAGTGTGAAATGGTCCACCGGCGGTAACTTCGTCGGTGGTAAGGGATGGAACCCTGGTAGTCGCAGGTAAGGCCCTGCCACAAACGTTACCGAGCCCCTGGGTCACTGCGAGATAGCTAAACAATATCCTTCTGCCTCGTTCTAGGACCATCACCTACTCGGGCACCTACAACCCCAACGGCAACAGCTACCTGGCCGTCTACGGGTGGACCACCAACCCGCTGATTGAGTACTACATCGTCGAGTCGTACGGCACCTACAACCCGTCGACTGGCGCCACCCTGCTGGGCTCCGTCACCAGCGACGGCGGCACCTACAAGATCTACCGGACCCAGCGCGTCAACCAGCCGTCCATCCAGGGCACCGCGACCTTCTACCAGTACTGGTCCGTCCGCGACACCAAGCGCGTCGGCGGCACCGTCACCACCGGCAACCACTTCGACGCCTGGGGCAAGTCCGGCCTGACCCTGGGCACGCACAACTACCAGATCGTCGCCACTGAGGGCTACTTCAGCAGCGGCTCCGCCACCATCAACGTCGGCGGCTCGACCAGCGGCGGCGGCGGCACCACCAATCCTCCCACCAACGGCGGCGGCGGGGGCGGCACCACCAATCCTCCCACTAACGGCGGTGGGAACGGCGGCAGCGTAAGTTTCTCAAAAACAAAAAAGAGTCGTTCACCGGCTTGGTATTGGAAGAAATCGTGAGCTAATCACCAGTGATCCATCACAGTGCTCTGCAAAATGGGGCCAGTGTGCCGGTGATGGCTGGACCGGCCCGAAGTGCTGCGAGTCCGGGTCTAGCTGCAAGTTCTCCAACCAGTGGTACTCCCAGTGCCTGTAAACTCTTGCCCACCGCGGGTGAGCTCTGTCGGGGAATGTCTCTTTCCAGACGGGAGAGTCATGACCGGGGGCATTGCTAGGGCCATCTCAGGAGGGGATAACTTGGGAGGTTGTGGAACCTAGGTGTGGGGAGGGGGGCAACTTCAAAGCCGTTCACTTCGGGCGCCGCTGGGACAGTCGAATTCTATTTCTACCGGCTTGGCACTGTAAGGGTTAACTCCAGCAGTAAGACTGTGTAAGACTGTACATACTTGATGGAATTTACGACAAGTCTGAAAAATCAGTGGACCAAATGGATGGATTCAGACAGCAGCGAAATCCGTGAATGATTAGTGGTCTGGAAACTAGTGACTGTTGCTCCATCTTCAACCTCTGGAACGAGGACGTCTTCGCGTGCAGGTGGCTATCTTTGCCATTATCCATGTTGCTATCGCTATTCTATGCTTATATCTCGCATTAACAATATAGGAACAATACCTAGAGACTGTATAGCCCCCAACCTTCACTCTGAAGCTGACGAAAGCTGTGCTACAACGATTATTCTGGCTAAAGTGGTTTCGTGACAATGGTAAAGAGTGTATTTCTGTTATAACCAATAACTTAGGAGTAATCCTAGTCATTGTCTGGACTCAAGCAGAGGTGGAGGGCTGGCCCAGAGAGAGGCAGGTGACTCAAGGACAGACGCAGGTGGCGTAGATATTGGGTTTCGGCCCCGGTATTCCATCCTAAATCTCAGTCTAAGAGACTTCCGTTTATCCAGTTTCAAATTTGGGGTTCGCATTCCTCGTGGGGCTCTGATCCTACAATTGCCAAAGAACTTGTCTCTCGACCAGCCCAAGACCAGGAGAGAAGCAGAGAGTCCGATCCCAAAGGCAGACTCCCTAATTCTTGCGATTCGGGTAATCCGCAGTTAATTAGTTATTCCACACGACGCGGCCCCTCGTCCTATCCTCACCACTACCATCGCAGCTATCCGTTCCCGCGTTCATGTGCCGAATGTACGAATGGTAATGCTAGGGCCACTCGAGCCCGTCACGCACCTCGATCGCTGTCACTGTCTTGATAAGGATACTTGCACCAACAGAATAGGTAGTGTCTCATGGAATTCAAACCTACAGGAAAGAGCGCACAGTGGATGAAAATGGTTCGTTAGACTTGTGAGCTGTAATCATCCTGTTGTCAAAGATATTTGGCCCTTCGCGCGTACCGCGGAACGGGCAGTCCTGTAGACATATCGCAGGCGGTGCAAAAGCAGGAGCAAGGGAGTTGAGCCTTGACACCAGATCTCACGAACCCGCGCAATATCATAACTTAGCACAAGAGATTCTGATGAGAATATTATCTCACCTCGTGCAGCAGTCGCATCACGGAAGAGCCTAATGCCATTGACGGGTACAACAGCTCCACCACTGGCTTCCCAGAGGCGCATTCAACACAAGAGATGGAAATTGTTTCCGAGACAAGCGAAAACGGATGGACTGGGCAGGTATCCCCTAGCCATCAGTGGCGTGGTGCACCCTCTAAAAACGGTTGACTGGAAGCAGGCAAGAATGCGAACTGAGAGCGGACGGTAATTATCAACTTTCTTGGTACGGTATGGTGCGGCGCAAGTATCAAAGAGGGAGTAGTGGTCAGATAACATGTTGGCGGTCAGGGGCTAAGATCGGAGGCCATTCGGAAGACAATCGCAGCACGTGATTCAAGAAAGCATGCTGAAACTCCAGCGCAGTCGACAAGGCCGAGCAATGCACAACAGCCCAAGAAACGTCACTGTCCATGGATAGTATGTCGATAACGACGTTTCCGGTTGTTGGCATATTCAGACACGTCCAGATGGTTCTTCGGGTCGCGCGATCCAGGCAATGGGGGTCTTCAGCGGGGGCAGGTTGGTATTGTTGCGAATGCCCAATGCAAATTCCGGGAATCCTCTAACAAATGAGATGCAAGGCCCAAACGAATTGCGCCGACGTTAGGCAATCTTCCAGTGATCCATCCCAAAGAAACAACCCGCATGCCATGGCCCGTCCATTTCTCCTCGTGCCGTCCTCCCTTCTTCCTCTCCTCCCTCCTTTCGCCTCGTCATCGCTTATCTCAGACGTCTGGCCTCGCGTTCGGACTCGAGTAGGCAGAGGATGTCATCCTCACGGACTGCAGATTTCAACGGGTCAGCATTACCGGCAGCTTCCACATCACGCCGGACAGGCCAAAAACAAAACTGGAAACCGTACCTGGGCCCTTGACGTTCCGAATGATTGACCGGGTCTGGTCGTCCATGAACTCGACGCGAACCTGGGTGACACCACCACGAGAGCCTGCTCCTAGTCAGTCGCTGTCCCGCTGTCGCTCGCAAGAGGGCACATGTCTGGAAGGATCGGTCCAGATTTGGCGGGGCATCATCACGTACCGGTTCGGCCGAGGACTCTGGTGACCTTCACAAGCTTTACGGGGGCCTTGGAGGAATCCATTTTCGATGTATGATTCTCTTTGCTGCGCTTGCGATTGATCGAGGTAGAGAACGGCGGGTGTGCGAGGTGATGCGTGGGGAAGTAGTCGTCAAAATGCACTTTTGGTGAAACTTTTTTGGTGGGCTTTGCAAGCCCTCAGATCCACTCGAAAAATCGAGAGCCAATCAATGCGCGGCACTTCGGCAAGCCGGATTATCTTCGGCCCTTTCAGCCCTAGACGGGACCTACGTGACAGGCCCCCCTTTCATTCACTTGAACGGATGGACCCTGCGGGGAGCGTCTTTGTTGCTGTCGAGGAGCCAAATTTGGGATTTGGGTGCAGGAATGCCTGAGAGAGGTGACACTGAGATGCCCACGAGTTGCCAGATCTGCCGCAGGTCGTTACTTCAGATCCGCTAGAGAGGCGGTGGCTTCCCTTAGACACCCCCTGGAAAAGACTAATGGCGCCTTACATTTCATACCTGGCCCTATGGCGGAGAGACGGAGAGAGAGCGAGGCAGGCAGGTAGGTAAGTAGCTCAAAGAACAGAGTGCCTCAATTCTTCCCGAATCGGCAGTTGAGTACCGTTCAAACCTACCTACCTAACTCGACTTGAGGAGAGGTGCATCTCTTCCAGGCGATAGTAGAGGTTTATGGATTGAGTTCAAACATGAGACTTTAGATCCAAAAGACACTTATGGCCACCTACCTGACAACATATACACTTTATAAGGAACTTTGACAGGCTTCGGAACCTCTTGGGCTGCGGGAGCTGCTGGCTGAGGTCCGGGAGGGCGGCGACCCCGGCTGCTTGTTGACCGGGCACATCCACGCGAAGATGAGTGCATCTGTTTTGATGCTGCTCGGGCACGGCCTGAGGGTGTCATGCTTGGCCCGAGACTGGACGGAAGTTACGAGCCCGGTATCCCATGACTTTTGGCAATCAACGGTACAGGTACTGCGACTGGTTTCGGGCATCAGCTGTCGGGACCCAAGCACCGGGAGACAAATGGTACATGCAATGCGGTAATCATGATATGGCGTCTAAGCAGGAAGCAGAGACTGAACCGACGTTGCCCATCCCCACCTGTTTAAACCCACGACCCTGCATAGGGAAACCCCCAAGTCTCGCAACCCCCCAGCCACATCAAAGCACCCTCTCATGCCTCGCCCCCAAGACCCAACCGAAAGATTCACCTCCCGCCCTCCAAACTGCCCCCGCCCCCTATCCTATCCCCAAACGCCTCAAGCGTTCTTCTCCCACCACCTAGCCACAACAATGTAGCAGCACCATGGACCGATGACGCTCACGAGGGCCACGAGGCAGACCAGCCCGAGCGCGACGCCGAGCCCGATGGTGCTGCCCCGGTAGCGCTGGCACAGCCCCACACATTCTTCAGGGGGAGGAGCCTGTACGGCGGTCGCCGCCGCCCCTGTCGCTGCTGGGAGCCCGTGGGCCGTGCCGGCGAGGAGGGCCACGGTGGAAAATATCGCTAGGGCTAGCTTGGCTGATGTCGCGCGGAGCTGGTTGGGTTTGAAGGTGGGCATTTTCTTTTGCTGTTTTTTTGGGTGTGGTGGTGAATGAGGAGGTGGGTGATGGTTGGCTCGTGGTCAGGCTAGCTTCCGAGGTGCTATGGAAGGGTGATCTATAGGTAATGCGACGATGAATGTGTCAGTTCTAATGAAGATAGTGAAAGAAGAGGGGGGAAGAGTGTGTGATTTGGGAGCATTGGGAGGAGGGGGTGGTGCTGGTAATTGTAGTAATGTCAATCTTTGCTGGGACTTCTGCTGCTCGGCTCTGATGGATTCACCCCTGCCTACTTGGCTTTGGGGATATCAGGCGCCTTTGAAGCTATATTAGGAAGTAGGTAAGGAAAAAAGGATAGCCGTCTTACCGGTTGCGGAAGAGCTCAAGGTTCCTCGGTCCCCATACGCTGAGCCTGATTACCCCTGGCCAGCAGGAATTCCGTCTCTATTCTTGGGTCGCTCAAGCTCTTTGTTGCTACCTGCGCGATGATTTTCCCGAGTCTTTGGTTGGGTCGAGTCGGTTTGTGTTTCCTTTCTTCTCGCATTCCACGCCCCTTTCTTCTACCGCATGGTAATCCCTAACAGCCGTCCTTCCCGCTTCTTGGATGAATCGCTCTTCGACATACACGCCAAAGGAAGATGCGAGATTACCGGTCATAACAAAGTTTCCCATTCACAGCCATGACGATTGTTCGGTCGGGATTGAAGCGTATTCAACTCTGACCACAGTTGACCAGGTAGAAGCAAAACTGTGTAGCTTGGTTACGGACAGGATACAACTCACACTCCGATTCCAATTGTTTCTGCATAGCTGAGCGTCTTGTTTGTCTCAGATAGAAGTGCCCCAGACAACTCGAGGCTCCGGACTCACGCAGGAGAAGGGTCCTCCGGAGCTCGGGGAGGCATCCGCGGTCGGTCTTCTGTCAATGTCCAGAGCAGGTACCGGTCACCAAAAAGCATTCAAACTCCGGTTGCTCGTCAGGAAGTCAAGTCCACCGTAAGGTTTTCGGGGTGGAGGGAACTCAACGCAGTGTAGGTATAAAGGTAATCGCATGCAGTGGCAAATTTATCTCCATCCGATCATGTCTAACGCCTGGATTATCGGAGGGACTCGTCACTTTCTGTGCTCGATATCTCAGTTTCTATTTCGAGGGGATAGCCACATGCTGCCCCAGCTCAACACCTCGCTCTAACCAGAAGCCATGATAGATCGAAACTCGACGATAAGCGAAGCCGGAATGGGGGAAAAGGAATCTTTCTGACCCCGTGACTTGGTAAAAGATCCCCCCCTTATCCCCACGTTCCACCTCCGCCACCAGACCGTCCACCCCTTCTCTGGGCACTGAGCCTCCAATCATCCTCCCCGGCATACTTGTTATACAGCGGCTGTATTCGCTCCGCCGCCTTCCTCTTGGACAGCCGGTCCGTTGGGGCAACCTTGAAGAACGTGGGTGCCGCGTCCACCAGCCACTTCGGCTCAATGGCAGTCGTGCAGTGCATGTACTCTTTGGTGGTGAGGACCAGCGTGTGGTAGATGACCCACTCGGCCTGCTTGCCGAAGAGTGCCGAGCTCGGGTGCAGGTACACGGGGGTGCCCTCGATTAGGGTCTTGTAGCCTTCCTGCGGGTCCTTCCTCGCGCTGTTGCGGAAGAAACCGCTGCACAACGCCTGCCGTACCTTCTGGGTGTTCCGTCCACAGCTCACGATCGGGTGGCGGTATCGTTCCATGATCCGGACGATCTGGTCCCGCACATCCTTTGCACGGCGCATCGACCGGGCTTGGATGAAGTTCTCGAAACACCAGGGACTGGAAAATCCGCTGGTCTTCCACGCGTTGTACACATTCAGTAGGGTCAGGTGATCACCCTGGGGGTCGTGGAACTTGGCTTTCTTCTGGTCGGCCAGCCCTTGCTTTTCCTTTGGTCGATAGAACACGTTGGGCAGATTCAACATGGCGACAATGCTGAGCATTTCGTCTGAGCATCCCATATCAACTGCCGCGATAAGAACCTTGGCAAGTGACGGTTCCATTGGAAAGTCAGCCATCTTCCTTCCTAATCGCGTGAGCAGGCCCTCGTCATCTAATGCAGATAAGGCATAGAGTTCTTCCAAGGCCGTAAGCATAGTGTTGATAGGGGGTGGGTCCATAAAGTCAAAGTGGAGAAGGTCGTTGATGCCCATAGCTTTCAGCATGAGGATGGTATGGGAAAGGTTTTGGCGTTGGATCTCAGGCACTGTCGTGGGAAGCATCTCAGACTGGTAGGCAGCCTCAGTGTAAAGCCGGAAGCACTTTCCTGGACCGGTCCGGCCGGCTCGACCAGCCCTCTGATTTGCCTGTGCTTGAGAAATCGGAGTGACAACCAGGGAATCCATTCCAAGCTTCGGGTCATAAGCATTCTGCTTCACAAAGCCAGGATCGACCACATAGTAAATGTGGTCAATAGTAATTGACGTCTCGGCGATATTGGTGGCGATAACAACCTTCCGGCTCCCAGGAGGCGCCGGTTCGAAGATGCGGCTCTGCATCTCACTTGGAAGTGCAGAGTATACAGGCAGGATGATAAGCTCAGGCACATTCGGGCCAAGTGACTTCATGCGCTCATAGAGAATCTCGCTGCTAGTATCGATTTCTTCCTGGCCAGTCAAGAAGAGAAGGATGTCTCCCATTGGCTCTGTCAGGTGGATTTGCATGACAGTAACCAAGGCAGCGTCGAGGTAGTCTGATTCTGGCTCCCTCGAGTACAGGATCTCGACAGGGAAGGTTCGTCCAGGGATGGTGAAGATCGGGCATTCGTTGAAGTATGACGAGAACTTGTCCGCATCCAGGGTGGCAGAGGTGACGATAACCTTCAAGTCAGGCCTGCGCTTGACTGTTTTCTTTAACAGAGCGAATAGAATGTCGGTTGATATGGTTCTCTCGTGGGCCTCGTCAAGCATGATGACTGAATACCGCTTCAAGTCCGGATCCACCAGAATCTCACGCTCCAACATGCCATCGGTCATGTACTTGATTTGCGTTGATGGGCCAGTGCAATCCTCGAACCGGATTGTATAGCCGACCTCGTGGCCAAGCTGGCAGCCTACTTCCTCGGCGACACGCTTCGCAACTGACATGGCGGCGACACGGCGAGGCTGTGTGCAGCCAATAAGGCCGTTGTTCGTAAACCCAGCCTCAGCAAGGTATTGGGTAAGCTGGGTCGTTTTGCCAGAACCAGTTTCTCCGACAACGATCATGATCTGATTCTCCCTCACGGCAGTAATGAGTTGATCCCTGAATGCAAAGACCGGCAGGGACTCTCGTTGCTGCTTGATTGTCATGCTCGTCCTCTTACCATAAGATTCATCCTTGGGCTGGATTGCTTTCTTCCATTCAGGCACAGCATCAGTCTTGGCAGCTGGTTGAGTGTTGCGGACGTCGCGAGCAAATTTCCGGTGCTCGGGGTTTGCCATGGGGTCTTGCCATTGTGAGGACAAATCAACCTTGTTTTCGTCATCTTTTGCGTCGGCCTCTTGCTGCCTCATTTCCTTCCTCTCCTTGGACAGGTTGGTACCCGCCATAGCAGCGCGGTTAAGAGATCCGTCGGGGGCCTTAATGACCCTGATGGGTGATAGCTCGAGAGACTGCTTGGTTTGACCGGCAAGGAAAGGAGGTTCCTCTTCTCGGATCTCGATATCCACCTCCTCCTCCAGCTCCATATGGCCCTCTCCGGTGAGAGTCGAGTGGTAGTCTTCCTCGAGGTCTGGATAGTCGGAGGCTTTAGCAACCCCTGACGCGATCAATTGCCGTATCTCCCAGCGTTCGGGCGATGTCATCCGTTTCTTCTGCCGCCTTGGAGGGGCGGTGGGAGTCTGGAAGGCTACCGCCACATCCTCCACCAGGCCGTTTCCATTTCTTCCACCTCCCAGAGCCTCCATGTTCGCCCCCGACTCTATCCTGGCTTGTGGGGCAAGATCCTGTCCAGACTCCTGATCCACATCTTTCATGGATAAGCCTATCCGGTTTCCCTCCATCTTGACAACCTTCACCTTCACGTTCTGGCCTTTGGAGACGAGGTCAGAAGGATGGTTGACTCGCTGGCCTTCAACCAATGCGGAGACGTGGACCAGTCCGTCAACCTTCCCCCGAATGCCATGGAGGTTCACAAAGGCCCCAAAGTCCTTGATTCCCGTAACGTGCCCGTCGTATACTTTGTAAAGTATGGGCTCGTCGTCCAACTCGGGTGGGGGCGGGCGCTTGAATATGTCGTCGTCACCATCGATTCGACCTTTTCTCTTTTCCTTGTAGCCGTTGCGCGATGACTTGTACCCTTCATCATCATAACGGTCGCCTTTCCGGCGGCCTCTGGAGCGTGATCTCGACCGTGACCGGTATTTGTCTTTCCGCCTGCGCCTCGAGTCATCGTGTTCGTCCTCGGGGCTCCGGCTCCTCTTCCTCGACACCCTCTCTTTGCGCGCCTTCCCTTCTAGGTTCTCCAACATGGCCAGCGTGTCATCAATCGCGTCGGTCTCTTTGCCGTCCATAATGCCATCTTCGTACTCGACTTCCTTGTCTGGAAGGGTAAGGCCACGGAAGACTCGCTCCTTCTCCTCCGCAGACCGGCCTTGTTGAGCCTCATCCTCGAGTGCACCGTTCTGCGCCTGGCCTTTGAACTTGGGGTGCATGGACCGGACAAGGCGATCTACGCTCTCCACCAAACTGGGTGGGAATTCCGCGCCAACCCCCGCCAGCATCTTCTTGAAATCGGCAAAGGAGCCGCATTCTAGTCGTTTCGCGATGACGAATTCGGCCAGGGTCTTCTCGCTGATGCCCAAATGGTTTTGCAACTCCGACGTGACTTTCGACACGAGGGATAGCAGCTCGAGCGACTCAAGGTCATCCATGATGAGGCAGTGGGTGTCCGGGTGTGGAAGTTGGGTCGCGAAAGATGAGGTCGAACATTCAAGGCGAGAGACGTGCGGCTAGAAAGTTGAGCATCGGGACTTGGCTGAATGCCGAGGTTTTGCCGCTCACCGCACACCGAGAGGACCCTGTTACGTGGTTCATTACGCATTACGCAAGCACAGTAGCGGGTACCTACGTAACTAGGCTGGCTCCGCTACCTGCATCATTTTACCCCGTCCCATTTACATTCAACGAGCCTCGAGTATCCCTCCCTTATCTCCAACCTCACGGCGATACTACCCAAACGCGCTTTCTTTCCACCTCGACTCTTCAACTAGACTCGCAACTGTTCGGGATGTGCTCTGCAGACATCTTCCTCGGCCTTTTGGCCATCCTCTTCCCCCCATTGCCAGGTATGCACCCGCCACCAAACCTCGTGCCCCGCAGCTGTCAACAGGCAGCCCGGGATTTAGGCACCACAACATGCCATCGTGAACTTAATCTAACGATATGCGCGCAGTTTGGGTCAAGCGAGGCATCTGCTCCGCCGACTCCCTCATCAACATCCTCCTCTTCGTGCTAGGATATGTGAGTCATTGCCTCCATCTCCAAACCCCTCCCCCAAGCGCACCCAGCGCACCACCACCCGCTCCTCTTCCCAATGCTGACGCCTCAACCCTCCCCCCAGATCCCCGGCCTGATCCACGCCTGGTACATCATCGCCAAGTTCCCCGAACCAGGCTACGACTACGAGGGCATCCCGCAAGACGACGAGCGCGGGCGCTTCTACGTCTTCGTCCATGACGGCGGCTCGACCCAGGCCCGGCAGCCGCCGCGGCAGCCCAAGCCCCAGGGCAACATGAGCTACGGGACCACCGACAACGCCAACAGCAGCGGCTCCGGCCCGAAGCCTTCCGCCGCCCCGGCACCTGGCCCGGGCCCGGCCCACGATGCCGGCCAGGGCGGCAGCAGCAGCAACGACGGCCCCGCGCCGCCGAGCTACGCCCAGGTCGTGGCGGGCGATCACAAGATCCAGAGCCAGGAGTAGGCTGGCGGCTAGTATCGCGGCTGGGAATGGGAGCGGAAGCGGCTCTTGGGGGGGGGGAAGGCCTATTGCCGGATGGACGGACATGTATTGAGTGGTTCGGGTAGTGGAGGAATGGGCGGGTGAGCGAGCGTCGGAGCCAAAGGCGATCAATAGCAGGTGCCCCGGATTCCGTCCGGCGCATTACGGGCGTTGGGGTTGGTTGGTGGATCTTTTAAGGGTGCTTTTTCGGACTTTGTACAAACTACATCAACATGCAGGTGCGGTGGCTACGCCCGTTCCTGAGGGATAATGCAATCACGGTCTTTACGGTGGCTCTTCTTCTTTCTCTCCGTCTGGCTGGATGTGCACCCGATGATCGTCGACGGCTGCAAGCTTCACGGGTTTGGGTGCTGGTTGGTAGAGGGGCTTGTGGGTGAATGTGCTGTGGTTGAATGCTCGATGCCCTGGTCGTATGGGCACTGCGAATGCTGTGGCCATACGATTTCACACGACGGAACTGCGAAACTCGACCATCCATTGGTATCTATTCGGATGTGGCAACCATTAATTCCAGGCCACGAGCAAAATGCCAGCCACGAGGCTCCCTCTAAAGGTCAAACCCGACCAGACGCCGAAATGCCTGGGTATCTCCTCCGAACTCCAATCCGATGTCTCAGTCCTTGGCCTTCTGGGCCGGCTGCTCATCCTCCGCTTCCAGATCATCCACACCCGGGGCCGGGCGTTCGTTCAGCACCGGCTCCCTGTAGTTGAGCATCAACTCCTGGGGCAGGAAGGTGTAGTAGCTCGGACAAACCTCTTTGAGCTCCTTGATGAACTTGATGCCGATGTTGAGCGTGCACACTACCAGCTTCACCTTCATTCCCACCATCAGGTAGCGCATGATGCTGCAGTTGATTATTAGGCTCTCTTGAGCGCCATCACCACAGACTTGATCTGTGCACAACCCAGTGTCCCAGCCATCTTGGATCGTAATAGGCTTGAGGACGATAAGGCCACATGGTTCAATGGTGCCCGGCGCACCCGAGGCAGGGTCTTTGACTCCGCGATACAGCTGGAGTACCTCCTCGCTGGGATCGCGAAGTTCGAGGATCTCGAATGCTTGCTCAGCCGTGTCCATGACGTGTATGGCGTTCAAAGCACTGGCCGCGCAAACAGCTTCAACCGAGTCACTATCCATTGTAGCAACAGTTGCCATGAAAACAACCATAGCACGCTTGTGATCCATTCGCTTATTAGCACCGCCCAAATAATAGGACGAGGCCTCTTCCCCTTCCTTGCGGCAATACAGCGTCTGAGCAGCGATGCTGAAGTCGCCGGGAATGGCCTGCCAGATGCCGAAGATGCGGGGGATCTGGTCCAGAGCCTGGTCACAGACGGCCTTGGCCTGGTGGATGTTGTCGGCGTATTCAGGGCAGACATCGTGGTGAAGCACGTAGTTTAGGAAGTTCTGCACGAGATCGGCAGCCATCTTGATCAAGGAGAGGTCCGAGCCGGCGAGCTTGAAGATGCGTTCGGAACTGTGAAATGTTAGCATCTCGAGCCCTACACCAGGGGGGACAGAGGCCTACAAGAATCCCGAGACAACTCCCGCAAAGTCTACATCCCAGTGGTCTGGACGGTTGGGATTGTAGAAGCGCAAGTCGTTCCCGGTGCGGTGGATGACATCGCTGGCCATGATCTCCCTGATCTCAGTGGAGGTTGCCCCCTCGAGATCGATGCTGTTGCCACCCTGGAACTGGCGTGGGGAGCCATCAATCCCACCGATGGCAAGAAACTTGTTGAAGATATTCAAGCGATCGCTGTCGAGTCGGCGGCGGGCCCGGAATCGCTGGATGCATTCCTCGATGCGGCTTCGTTCGTTAGTAACGGCACAAGAGAACCACAGTGAGACGGGCAGCATACTCAACAAAGGCACGATGACTGCAGAACTGTTAGCTTGGGGGCGGAGCGTATGGACCGGTGTGGGTCAGAGGCAGGACATACGGGGGATAGATGTTGGTCTGCTCCTCGAGGGCCTCGTCAGGGGTCACTGGAGGATCGCAGTAGAACTCTGCTGAATTGTTAGTCTGAGCCACCACACTCAAGGGTCTGGTATCTGTAGAGTGAACACTCACCCTCGAAGCCAGTGCCACGAGACTTGCTCAGAGCTCCGGGACCTCTCGCAACTGTGGACTTGTTCTTCCTCTTGGATCTCTTTTTTTTGTCCTCGACCAGCTTTCCTGGAATAGGATGCTCTTCCGAGCTTCCCTTGGCACACTCACCGTCAGTTTCGTTGGGTCCGACCAGGATCGCGTCTGCAGCTAGACTAGACCCATCCTGGAGAGGCTGTGTAGAATAATTCCCAGCCATGCCGTCTCCCTCAGCAGGACCTTCGCCAGGTGACGATGTCATGGCGGTTGATTCGTATTTCTTATGCAGTCACAGCCTCAAAGCTATGATAAGCGAAGATGTGGTGAGACTGGGGTCAGGTTAGGTTGAAATTTGAACTTCTCTAGGGTGGCTCGGGGGAAGCTGTCACGATTTCCCAGCTGGGAAAGATGTAGGCTGGCTAGCCAATAAGGTCGCAGAAAAAGGCTGGCAGAAGAGGGCTTAGAAGTCGATATTGATATGTGCGCCTGCCTTCTCCATTCCGTTTGTTTGCGCCGCAAGGTCGGGGCGGCCTGCAAGGCAAAGACCAAACACCAAACACCAACCGGAGACGGGAGCAGTCTGTACGGACAGATGCATTCCGGGCGGATTGGCACAATAGGGACGGGAAAAAGGAAACTTGCATGAAAACATCTGAAGCACCTCAGGTAGGGAGGTACCTAGGTACCAGAAAATGTGGTTGATCAAGGTGGCACGTGACGGTCTGAGCATACCTTCATTAGAGCTACACCTCCCTAAGCTACCTGTTTTATCTACCTGCTGTAATAAGCCAAGCTAGAGGCAAATGTTACTCTTTCTACGGCAATTTCGCCCTTGGAAGCTCAATATCAACCTGCCACGGGAGCTGTGTTGGATATTCCGCAGTCCCTTGAATCGCAGCATTGATAAAAAGCGTATGCAAACCTGGTTTCACGGGATATCTGAAAAGTGGGTAGGCATCTCGCTGGTCGACTCACGCCAGGCGACCAGCTTCGCACCCCAGGCCTCGTGGATGTGCCCAAAGCAGTGCAGGCGCGGCCGGGACCGGGCCACGGCCGCGAAGAGACTGAGCACCCCGCGCGCTGTCCAGAATCGGTGACGTCCAGGACGCCCCTCGGGGGCCCGTGTGTGATGGCGACGTCGACGTCCTTGTCGATCAAGAAGTCGTGGCCTTGTCGCCGCGCGAATTGAAAACCCCAGTCGCCGAGAGACGGGGTGAATGGGCTGGCGTAGACCGCAAGTGTAGCGCCGTTACTCAGCGTAAATCGATGGGTTCCCTCGTTTAAAAATACGACGCCTCCGGCTGCTGCTTCAGTGAAGAGGTTTCGGATCTCTCCGAAATCGCCATACTCCTCCTTGACCAGGTTTGGATCCAAGGGGGGGTGTGCCTCTGCGACCTTCTTCTTGAATAGTGGGATGTCCATCGTCAAATCATGGTTCCCCGCAATGACGAGCTTGAGGGGTGCGTTGATATCCTTCAGCAACCTTAGAGTTGCTCGAAACTCGGCTATCTTGGACTCTTCGGTGAGGTCGCCGCAGTGTATAGCGACGTCCGCAGGTTGGAGAGGCTTGGCCTCTGGCCCAAATTCCTCGCCATGGGTGTCGGAGAGAATGAGAAATCGTGTTTTTATATTCATGGACATCGCTTCCTAATTTTAGGATTGCCCTCGTTAGAGATTCCGGAAATGAATTTAATACGCGTCTGCCTAGGTGGGAGAAAGCCTGCTGACACTGCAGTGACTAAGTTATCATTCTCCATCCATGTTTTCAAGAATACATCATCTTCGCTATCACCCAGCGAAACTCTCGATACCCCTGCTTGAGTAGTAAAAATAGTTTAAACTCATTCTCAACGCCATGCAAAGTAGGTTGCCCTATAGATGCCACGTTTCTGAGTTTCTCTGCTTATACAAAAACGATGTAGGTTATATAAGCAGTTCATTAGACGGGTAACTAGGTTAGAACTTCCCCCTGATGCAGAAGACTTGACAGTGCTCAAAGTAGACAATTCTATCCTGAGAGCCGGCAGTTGATCAGTTGCCGATTCTTAGGCTGACGAGTACATACAGCCGTGTTATGTGAGCCCTTACGAGGGTGGTGAAGGGGCCGAGGTCGGCCAGAATATAATAAGCACCCAAGACGGCAGTATATGCAGTTTTAGCCTGCAACCTCAGAACAACTGTGAGCCCCAGCATATGATGGCTACCTAACCATGATCACCACCACCTTGAACTCTCCTCCAGATGCGGTATCTGCGCAGATACAATATTAGGCATGGAAGGGTTATAGCATGGATGGGAACTTTCTCTCTGCCCTGACCTCCCTGCACTTCATCTTTCGCTCGCCCTTGTCATTTCCTTGCTGCTTGTTGACTTGATATTGTAGTATTTGGGAATCATGATTCGACGTCGTACCGTGGCCATACTCGACCATTTCCTTTCCCGCAAGCAGGCTATACCATTACAAAGGTTGACTATCGATGCCCACGAAATCAGCAAAGTAGAACGTCTTTCTCATGTGCCCAAATATTCAAAAGAGTGTTACAACCGACTCACCTTCATCGTCGAGCATGGCACGTCTATCTCTGGGTTGGCAGCTGAAGGTACCTATCACCGTCGTACCGCTCTTGGATGCACAGCTCGTCTCATTTATCTCCAAGGACGATCGCGTGCGTCTCCATTTAGCCCGTTGCCGGCGGACACTCCCAGTATGGAACACACCGGCCCCGCCAGACTTGGCCTCTTGCAAAGCTTGTGTTGCAGAGTTCGCTTCTTGGTAGCGTTTCTTCGCTGTTGAAATGGACGAGATAAGAGGCATCACGATGTGGACAATGCTTACTTCTCATTGGCACCTCTGGATGGCGTTTCTTCTGCCCGTAAACACACAGGCTGGACCATGCGTCCCACCGTAGACGATATTACACCTCGCTCAGTTGTAATATGTGACTGAGCACAGCCTAACTGCAGTATAGACAACAAATTGAGCTAGAAGTTGAGCCGCGGCAGGCAACCCAGCAGTGGTATCGGCAGCTGAAGCCAGGCAATGGTCAACACGCTCTGGGGTCCCTATTGGGCGACTTTGTCACTCCTTTTTTAGTTGGCCGTGCAGAACGATCGCTGCCTAGCATAGCCAATAGATTGGGGCCAACCTGCATTGCATCAATACTCGAGTCATCTACATTCGACCCAATACCACAACTTGAGAATATCGGGCTTCGGCTGGTTCCTCAGCGCCCGGTGCTTGTTCCAATAGTGCCTTGTCTAAGCCGATGGCTGACTGGGAATTTGTATACCCAACCTACAGATCGCTATCCTAGTCTATAGACTCTGTCTAAGGGCTATGAAGGGACTAGGATGTTGAGTCTCCAGGATAATGGGAGTCCCCCCCCCGCGGACCGGGAGGCCTACTGCGATAGGACAGGATATGGACGGGGAATATCGCTACTGGCTCCTAGGCGAAGGGGCGTGAAGTCTAGAGGTAACACAGCCACCTGCCTGGTTTTACGACTCTACTGCATAGGACCTAGACCGCAGTTACCTACCCAACTCGTCGTAGGCCTTACCATTCGCCAACCATCTTAATGGAGCCGGCATTCAAAATCAAACATGCAAGACTGGCCAGGTTGCTTGGCCTCACCGCCTTCATGGTCACCAGACCTCGATAAAACAACCAACAGAAATTGTAGGACGGACGTTCACAGTAATGTAATAGAGCGCTAATGTAAGCAAGGAGAAGGGGGAAAGAAAGAAAGAACAGAAGAATAATAACAACAAATATTTGATGAGAACAATATTTTAACTTTGTCGAAACCATGAGTTATCTCCACGTGTTAGGGACTGCAAATATGCCGCAATTGGAGGCATCCTGCAGTGTCTGGAGCCATTATTGCGTATTGGGCAGCCCGCCTCCTGCAGAGCATCTTCCTCGACCCAAAAAAAGTTGTCTATGGGAGCCCAATCTACCCCACGATCCTCATCAGATGGATTTATGGCACTGGCGTTGATTGGGCAATCAAGCCGGCAATGTAGGTAATGCAGCACTGAACAGCAATATTGAGACACGGGAGGACCGGAGCCATGTTGATGATATTGTAGTCATCCTGACATGTCCTCGCGTGGCGGTTGCTGCGGTCGGTTGCACGGGCTCGGAATTGAGAATTAGTGGAGTGGAAGACACGCACTGTGGCTGAGGCTGGGTTACTCAGCCAGTCAGCCAGTCAGCCAACAGTTAGCCTACAGTGTGGCCGTGCCTGCGGCAGCAGTGACAAGCTGGGCCCGCCACAGTGTGCTGGTTGGGATATGCACAATATGGAGTGAGCCCCCAATGGAAATCCCTTGTCATTCCCTCGCCACGGGGCCAGAAGCTAAAACAAGCCGCCTTATTCGCTGGACTGGAACCCGCCCCCGTGTGTCATGGATGGAAGCGAGGTACGTACCTCGGAGCCACTTAGGGATGGTACCTGAGTTCCCGCATTCGCATCCTCCATTCCTTTGACATGGCCATTCCGACTTAAAATGTCACTTTCGCCTTCGTTGCCAACAAGTGCCATCTCCATCATCGCCCGATCTGCTCTACATTTGCTTCCTATCCAAGCATTCTCTTTCCTCTTGGCACCTGTTTCTCCTGACTCTATTCTGCGTTGCCTATGCCATCGGGGGCCGATTCCCCTCAAACCCAAGTACCTCGAACCCCGATAGGCAGAAAAACCCCTTGGATGCGCCTCTCGCCTCCCTCCCTCCTCTTCATTTCACACTCGGCCCTAGCGCACACCGCTTTAATCAAGGGCCAGCTGCGAACATGATCCGGACGAAGGAGATCCCCAACAGGGCGGATCTGGTTGACTACGCCCATGCTGTCGCTGGACAGTAAGCCTCCTCGACCCATAACTTCATGGCTCGGACTCGGAGTCAGTCTCATAAATGAGGTCGCTAACCTCTATCAAACAGTGCGGGGACCCTTTGCGATTCTGACGGGGAACTCTTCATCAAGCCATGCACACCGCAGGAGATCAAGTTTTACGAATCGGCGAACGAGAGCCATCCCGAGTTTGCGGAGCTGATGCCGCTCTTCATGGGCACCCTGATGCTCAATGATGCCACAGACATGGACTCAATCTCGGAGCAGATACCCGTCGTGGCAGACCACATTAGTCTGGAAGTGAAGGAGGCGGTCCTCAAGATGGCGCATAGCCTGCAACCGGAGCCTTCACAAAGCCCAACGCCAACACTGGCAGGAGCATCACCGTCGGACAACATCAAGTGGATACCAAATATGACCAAGAAGATTGCCACTGATAAGGCGGTCGTTCTCGAGAATGCCGCATACGGGTACCGGCGGCCGAATATCATGGACGTGAAGCTCGGTGTGCGCCTTTGGGCAGATGATGCGCCGCTCGAGAAGAAGCAACGCTTCGACAAGATCAGTGCCGAGACTACTCATGGGGAACTCGGCTTCCGGATCGCCGGGATGCGCGTGTACCGAGGCTGTGAAGGCGACGAACAACCCGACGAGGAGGGATATAAGAAATACAGCAAGGACTTCGGCAGGGTGCACGTCAACGCCGGGAACGTCGTGGATGTATTCAAAAAGTTCGTATTTAACGAACACGCCAAGATCGACGAGGAGCTGGGAAAGGCGGTTGCGAACGCCTTCCTGGAGGACCTGAAGAGGGTCCAGCAGATCCTCGAGAACGAGGAGAGCCGCATGTTCTCGGCCAGCCTGCTCTTTGTGTTCGAAGGCGATGGCGACGCCTTGCGTGCGGCGATTGACGAGACCAGCGCGAGCGCGACCATGTCCCAGGAGGGCAAGGACGAGGATTCTGGCCGGTCTACCATCCGGGTCGATAGCGGCATAGCTCTCGACGAGAGTGGGGAGCTCATCCTTGCGGGCGAGGACGAGCTCTCAGACGACGAGATCGATGTTCCGCGGATATACTCGCTGAAGCTCATCGACTTTGCGCACGCGCAGTGGACACCTGGGCAAGGCCCAGATGAGAACAGCCTTGCGGGAGTGCGGAGTCTGATTCGCATATTCGAAGAGCTGTCACAGTGAGGAGCTAGAGATAGAGCAAACGAGGAGTTTAGAGGACGGCAGCCCTGGCAGGCATGCCAGCGTCTCGTCGGGAAAAGAGAGAGGTGTGTGGACAAGGCGAAGCGGGAGGATCATTTTCACTTGCATTGGAGCATTACCATGACGATACAAAAGGGCGTTGCATGGAGGCACGTGGCTGGATACCCCAAGTTACCTTCCATGTCGCGTTAGATTTAAGGGAGGCGTTTTTTTACTATAGACTTTAGTCTAGTCATGATCAACGACATTCAACGACATGAATTACAGCAGAAACCATTACCAGGTTTTTGGCAGCATCGTTGCTCTGCATCCCCCATATTATTCGAAGTTTCTATACTCGGGACTGTGCTATTCGTACGCATCGAGGACAATATCACGTATGTAGGTCCCTCCCCACCTAAGCCTCGCGGGGTGCATGCGCCACAAACTACAAGGCTGAGCCAAACTTTCGCCTTCGTCGACTCCCCTTCAACCCAGCAAACATTTCCTTCCTGAAGCTCCCGTGCCCCTCGAGCTGTAGGCAAGATGTCGATTCCAGGCTTGGGGCAAATACCTGCACAGGCAAGTAGTCATTTCCGATCAACCTGCAACCTTGGCATCCCCAATTCCAAAGCCAATTACCTCCTCTCCACCCAACTACCTCCAAGAGTCGACTAACCCCTGAACTTGTAGCCCCCTCCCGGCTCAAGGACTCGCACAATAACGCTCAAGCCCCTCTGGGAGTGGCGCTTCGAGTCCCCCCATCACCCGTCCGCGTCCTTCGCCTCCGCCGGCACCTCAACCTCCGCCGCCCTCACCGTCCGCCTCGTCTCGGGCACCGCCGAGCGCGACGGCACCGAGCTGGCCCTCAACGTCCCCTACACCCTCCAGGGGGCCAAGTCCAAGATCCTGACCTGGAAGGGCTGCACCCTTGAGGTCTCGGGCGAGTGCGAGGACTACGTCGCCGAGCACGCCTCCCCCGACGAGTCCCCGCAGGTCAGCTACCTGAACCTGCACTTCGCCCTGCAGGGCCGGCGGCGAGCCGCCGCCGCCGCCGCAGCAGCAGCAGCCTCCGGCGCCGGCGCGACCCTGGGCCCCCGCGTCCTCGTGTGCGGCGGGCCCTGCAGCGGCAAGACCAGCCTCGCGCGCACGCTCGCGGCCCTGGCGACGCGGCAGGGAGGGCAGCCGATCCTGGCGGGCGCGGACCCGCGCGAGGCCTTCTTCAGCCTCCCCGGGACGCTCGGGGCCGCGGCCGTGGGCACCGTTATGGACGTCGAGGCGGCCGACGGCGGCGCCGGGGTCGGCGCCTCGCCCAGCAGCGGGCCCGGGCCCGTGCCCGTCAAGCTGCCGCTCGTGCACTACTTTGGCCGCGACAGGGTCGAGGAGGACCCGGATGTCTGGAGGGCCCTGGTCGCCGCGCTGGGGGCCGCTGTGGGGGGTAGGCTCGCAGAGGATGGGGCTGTGCGCGCCGCCGGGCTGGTTGTCGATGCGCCTACCGTGGCGGCTGGCAAGAGTGGCGTCGACCTGCTTGCCCATATCGTGAGCGAGTTTGCTGGTAGGTCTTTGCTTGTCACACACCCCCTTCCCCTCACCTTCATTCTCTGTTCCCCGGCCCCAGACATGGTTGTTCTGTTCTAACCGCGCGAAACCGGTAGTAAACATCGTCGTGGTGCTTGGATCCGCGCGCCTCAACGCTGAGCTCCAGCGCCGGCTCTCGCAGGAGCAGACGCGGTTCGGCGAGGCGATCACCGTCCTGGCGCTGGACAAGTCCGAGGGCGTTGCCGAGCGCGACGAGGGCTTCATGCAGCAGGTCCGCGAGGCGGCCATCAAGGAGTACTTCTTCGGCGACGCGAAGCGGACCCTGAGCCCCTTCACGCAGCAGGTCGACTTTAGCACCGTAGCCATCTACAAGATTCCGGATCGTATGTCGTTCCCGTCCTCCCCCACAGAACCTGATCTGCTCTCACCTCACTGTAACACCCGACTCTAATGCCTGTCTCTAGCGTCCGATTACCTCGCCGACGAGGAGGTCCTCGAGAAGGTCGACCCCATCTCGGAGATGTCGCACTGGACCCTAGCCGTCATGAACGCGTCCCCGACCGACCCCATCGAGACGATACGCTACGCCACCGTCATGGGCTTCGTCTACGTCTCCGAGGTCGACCAGGACAGGCAGCGGCTCAAGATCCTCGCCCCCGTCAGCGGTCGGCTCGGAGACCGGCCTCTGATCTGGGGCCGTTGGCCCGAGCCTTACATCAATTTGCTGGGCTAGCTGGGTAGCTTTCTTCCTCCCTCCCCTTGGCGTTGTTTGGCAGCTATGATGCACGGATGGTCTGGGAGTTGGGATTTGGTTCATTGGCTCTGTTGGCGGACTAGACAGACATTAGCTGGACCTTGGAGGCGATACCCAATAGATCCGTCGTGGTCTGTAATAATTGTGGCACAATGTATGTTTACAATTCTTTGTTACTTCTTAACTCTCTCGTCCGCCACAAGATGCAGTTCGGCAAAGACACTATGACAATATCATTACAAAAAGTCCTTGACCCCTTACACCTTTATAACGCCAATGGCTGGGCCGTTTTCAAAGCAGGACTGTCAGAAACCCCCCTCCCTTTTCGCCTTCCAAAGCGAGCAAAACTGCCGATATCAAGCGGATTGGGCATTGGCCGTCGCGGTGATGCCGTTGGCACCGGTCTCAATTACTCTATAACCGTCGGCATTGCCTTCACCGGTGGCGGCGCGCTCGTAAGCCTCGTCGCTCCTATATCACGGGTTTTTCTCTCGTTAGCTTCGGCGCAAGCCGCCAGTCGGGGAGAGGTGAAGTGCTTACCTGTCACACAAGACGGCCAAGTCCCTATCACTCAACACCTCCTTGTCCCCGGAGAACTTGTACACCTGCCCGTCCTTGAGGAGGAGGGCGCGCAGCGTGTCCTTGTCCAGGTCCTCGCGCGCGTCTAGCTTCTGGCCCATGGTGCGGAAGCCGCCCTTCTTGATGACGAGCTTCTCGAGCCGGCGCTTGGCGTCGGCGCTCATCAGCAGCTCCTCCTCCACGGTGCCCTTGGTGGCCAGCCGGTACACCACGACGGGTCGCGTCTGGCCGATGCGGTGGGCGCGGTCCTGCGCCTGCAGGTCCTGCTGCGGGTTCCAGTCGCTGTCGAACAGGATGACCGTGTCGGCGCTCGCGAGGTTGATGCCCTGGCCCCCGGCCCGCGTCGACAGCAGGAAGATCTTCACCTTGTCGTTCGTGTTGAACTCTTCTATCTGTGCGCGGCGGGCTTCCTGGGCTACTCCGCCGTCGATGCGGCAGACGCTCCAGTCTCGGAGTTCCCGGCAGTAGTCCTCCAGGATGTCAAGCTGCGTCTTGAACTGCGAGAATATCAGCACCTTGTGGCCTCTTTCGAATAGAGCCGGAAGGAGACGGTCCAGGAGGAGCATCTTTCCCGATGCCGTGACGATGGTTTCGTCGACCGGAACCCCAGACTCCGAAGTCCATGGGTTGTAGAAGTTGTGCGGGCTGTTGCAGACCAGGCGCAACTGCAAGAGGGGGTTTCCGAGCTTCTTGTTGGCAATCTCCTTCTCTGTCACGTTGTTAGCGAGCGGCCACAGCGACTGTTATATAGATAAGAACACATACTGGCTAGATCAAGGGTCATCGCCCGCTCAAAGTCCTCTGCACTCATGGTGTCCACGTCAGTCTTCTGCACGTCCGCTTCGGCAATCTCTTTCACCAGCTTCGCCTCGAACTCGTCATCGTCGAGGAGGTCGTCATCAGACGGGTTCGAATCTTCATATTTGGTTTTAGCTCTTCGGGCACGGCCGCGCGCGCTTGCTGGCGTTGATTGTCGGCTCGATTTCGCGCTCTTGGGTGTTGACGATTCTTTGGTTGGAGCGCCCTTCCTCTTACCACCCCGTTTGGTGGGCGTCTCGACCACATCCGGCGTAACAGTCGAAGTCGGCTCAGGACCTCGCTTCTTCTTACCCATCATCATCGCGAAAGCGTTCTTCGGCTTCGGCCCAGAAGGAGAGACCGAGGCCTTCTTCGCAGATCGAGGGCTGGCCCTCAGGCTCAACTTCAGCGACTTGCCATTCGTCTCGACCTCTCGAGCTCCGGGACTAGCGCTGTTGGTCCTCGAAGTCAGTGGACTCGGTTTGCCCGAATTAGCCGGGCTATTCGTAGCACCTGTCAGACGTTCAACAACCTTGCCCTCCAGGTAGGCCCGGGTATCGATGTTCTCATCGTTGATCACATTGTACAGATCCGTCTGCTCCTTTGTCATTGGAGCGAAAAGAACATATTCGCGCTTCTGGGGCAGGTAACTGGCCACGTCCGCCTTGACTCTCCGTAGGAGAAGGGGTTGGAGGACGAGGTGGATCTTCTTGACCAGATCCTGCTTCATCTGGCTGGCGATGAACTCCTCGGTGCCCTCTTCATCCTGCAGATCGCTGAAGTCAAACCAGCTCTCAAAAGCCTCCCAGTTGGTGAAGACGTTGGGCAAGAGGAAGTTGAGCAGAGACCACAGCTCCTTCAAATTGTTCTGCAAAGGGGTTCCGGTAATCAGCAGGCGGGTAGCTGATCTGAATGTTTTGAGCTCCCTGAACAGCTTCGAGTCAAAGTTCTTCATGCGGTGTCCTTCGTCCTAGTGCCGAGTTAGAGACGGTATTCGAGTCGCTGCCGTTTAGGGGTCTTGGGGCCTCACTATTATGATGAATTCCCAATTGATCTTGGACAAGGCTGCGCGGTCCTTCAAGACCATCTCATAGCTTGTACAGACGACTGGGAACTTATCCGTTGGCCTTCCGCTGTGAATGTGTCTCATAATCTTGGTATCCAGGATCTCACTACGCTGGTTAGGAGTCCCGTGGTACATAACAACTGGGATAGAGGGTGTCCATTTGTGGAACTCGTCCATCCAGTTGGACAGAGTGCTCAACGGCGCGACAATGAGATGCGGGCCAAGGTATCCCTCCTGCTCGCGCAGCAAAGCTATCAACGAGATGGTCTGGATGGTCTTGCCTGTGTGTCATGTCAGTTGATGATAGACCTACCGGGGACGTATCGACACGTACCTAGGCCCATCTCGTCGGCAAGAATGCCACTCATTCCCTGGAGACAGATCTCGTACATCCAGGTCAAACCTTCAAGCTGATAGTCCCGCATTGTGCCGCCAACCAGACACTTGGGCTGCTTGGCCATCTTGAGATCATGTTCGCCAAGGGTCTTTCCATCGAGCCCACTGCCCACGCGGCCCAGGACTTCGGTCTTCTTGGTCAAAATGTCGCTGAAAGCGGCACTCTGGAGCAGGAGTTCGTCCAACTCTCGCGCCTTGGCCTCGCGCTCGGCTTTGGTCTCGGCTGTTTTCTTTCTCTTCTTCTTCAACAATGCTGCTTTCCGTTTCTCCTCCGCTTTTTGGTTCTCGATGCGTGCCTTTTCCTCCTCAGCAAGTAATTGCTGGTCTTGGAGGTCGGGCGAATCCATTTTGGCTTCAGAGGGCTCGTGGGCCGGCGGAGGAGAGGATGGCGCGCTTGTGGGAAGAGGGGAGGTCGAGAGAACTGACTCGGCGTCAGAAGATGAGTCTATTGCCATGTCGAATGGTCTGAATTGGGGCTAGTGGTCTAGCTGGACTCTCTCGAGCAGGATGTGATCAGGAGGTGATCAGGAGGTGACGCGAAAGTCTTAAACCAAGAAAATAAGCCAATTCTGAGCAAGGGTTGACTGGCAAAGGCGCGCGCCAAAATTGATATTCAAAATCAAATACGAGCAAAAAGGAACCGAATTGAGCGGGAAGTGAGGCTTAACTGAGTGTCAGCCTAAGGGCGCGGCGACGCGGAGGGCTTCAATCAAGGCGTGACGCGAACACCGCGTCGTCACGCGACTTCGAGGGAAAATTTAAGTGTTAATCCGTTAGAGACACCCCCGGAGTGATAACAACCAAGTCAGCATTGGGCACCCCACCAACTGAGTCAACAACCCGAATAACGCCCCGCACCGCTTTCAAGTTTTGACTGTCCAATTTTCCCCCCGACCTCTGGAGCCATAACAAACCACACGGGACGCCTTAAAGTTCCGTAAACATAGCAACCAAGCTGTTCTCTCTCCGACCCATCCTTCCCGCTCTCCGCAGCGTCTCGCCCTTCCGGCAACTCAACCCAACCCCTCTGCGCAACCTCCACAACAACCACCGCCCATCACCGATCATCATGGTCCTCTCCACGCAGACCTACACCCCGACCGAGGAGGCCGAAGTCGCGCAGTGGCTGCAGACCTCGGAGCGCCTGAAGGGCTCCCCCGACGACGCCAGCCCCATCCTCGACACCCTCAACGCCCACCTGTCCACGCGCACCACCCTGCTGGGCACCAAGCCGTCCCGCGCCGACGTCGCCATCTACCAGACCCTGGCGCCGCTCGTCCGCGCCTGGACCCCCGAGCAGCGCACCGGCGAGGCCGGCCGGCCGCACGTCGTGCGCCACATCGACTTTGTCCAGAACAGCCCCGTGTTCGAGCTCGCCGTCGCCGACGCCGACAAGATCCCCGTCGACCTGGATCAGGTCCTCTACGTCAAGCCGCCCGTCGACCCCAAGGCCGAGAAGGAGAGGCTGAAGAAGGAGAAGGCCGCAGCCGCAGCCGCTGCTGCTGCTGGCGCTGCAGCCACCGCCACCGCCTCCGCTGGCGCTGTGGCGGGTGCTCTAGTCGACCGGACGAAGGAGGCGGCGGGCAAGGTAGCCGACGCGGTATCGGCGGCGGTGGCGCCGGCGGCGGCAGAGGGCAAGCCGAAGAAGGAGAAGAAGGAGAAGAAGGAGCGGGCGCCCAAGCAGCCAGCGGCCCCCGCGGCGCCCGCCGTGCTGTCGCCGAGCCAGATCGACCTGCGGGTCGGCCACATCCTGAAGGCGATCAAGCACCCCGAGGCGGACTCGCTGTACGTGTCGACGATCGCGATGGGCGACGCGGCGGGGACGGACGACACGGCCGAGCACGAGGGCCAGGTGGTGCGGACGGTGTGCTCGGGGCTCAACGGCCTGGTGCCGCTCGAGGACATGCAGGGCCGCCGCGTCGTCGTCGTGTGCAACCTCAAACCCGTCAAGATGCGCGGCATCAAGTCGTCGGCCATGGTCCTGGCCGCGTCGCCGCGCGTGCGCGAGGGCGAGCCCGACGACCACAAGGGCCCCGTCGAGCTGGTCGAGCCGCCCGCCGGCGCGGTGGCGGGGGAGAGGGTCTTCTTCGAGGGGTGGAGGGGCGACCCCGAGAAGGTGCTCAACCCGAAGAAGAAGATCTGGGAGACCTTCCAGCCGGGCTTCACCACCACCGATGCCCTCGAGGTGGCATTCGACGCGGCGGTCGTCAAGGAGCTGGAAGGCAAGGACGGGCTTGGCAAGCTGGTGACGGAGAGCGGCGGCGTGTGCACCGTCAAGAGCCTGAAGGGGGCGGTGGTGCGGTAAGCAGCTGACCAGGTGGATTAACGAGGCTGGGAGGAGAAGAGCTGCGTTCGGGGAGATACGGTTGGCATAGAGATAAAGGAGTCAAGAGACAACTTATAAAACTGTTGAAGAAGTACCCTGTTGAAGAAGTACCGGGCATCTGGTATATTTGCAATCGCTATTTACAGTGAATCTTATCGAGTTAACCCAGTGAACATCCCACACCCTCCCTTTAATATCTCCCACACCCCTTTTTCTTTTAGCCCCCCTACCACCCATTCTTCTCCCTCGTCGCAACCAAATCCTTATGCTTTCCCCGGAATGAGCGTGGCCGAGGCCACAGGGAGGATCGTGAAGCGGCAGCCCGTGGTCTGGGTGACGGTCTCGGTGGGGATCACGCAGCCGGTCGGGCAGGGCAGGCAGCTCCTTGTCACGACGTGGGTCGGGGTCGTCGGGCAGCAGTTGGTGCTGGTGGGGTCAGCACTTAACCCCCCGGAAGGAACCGACACATGCAACGTGTGCTCCCTGTGTGTGTTTTTTTTTTTTTTTTTTTTTTTTTTGAGGAGAAGAAACATACCTGCAGGGGACCTGGGTGGTGGTGACCTTGATGTACATGGGGCACATGAGGTCCGTTGGCTGCGTGCACTTGCCACACTCTGTGTGAATGGACTCAGTATTTATTCCCGGTGGTCAGGGGTCAGAAACAGAAGGGGGGGACAGACCTGGGGTGGTGAAAGCGGTGTGGGTGTAGCATGACAGCGCCTTCTGGGTGCAGGTTGGCGGCAGTGGTGTGATCAACGCCGTGTCCTGGCGAACCTGTTCCGCCGGAGCAGCGGCGCTAATGGACAGGCGGCCGTGTTAGTTGGGATGGGCCGCTTGCGTGGAGGATATCCGGGGGTTGACATACCAGGACCAGGCGCCCATGAGGCCGAGGAGGAGGTTGGAGACTGACGTGGAGAACTGCATGTTGAAAGAGAGGGATAATATCTGCCGGGTACTTTTCTTGCCTCAGATGTGTTTTCTGAAGGGAGTGAACAAACAGTAAATAGGCGTAACGGTTTGCACCTGTGACTTATATCTCCCAAAAGGCGAACCCTCAATATCTACGATGGCGATCTTCAGGATAGGAAGTCAGGGATCGAGCGTTCCGAGTCCCCCATTAAGGTCGCCGTTGGAATGTGACCATTTGACATGGCGTCTCCATACCAAGAATACTACCATTTTGGACTCTCTTGGCTGTCCCTCTCTGACATCCACCACCGATGACCCAGTCAGGGCAGGGGAGAAGGCCCGGTCAGGAGTCTGGCGGCGTCTAGTTTTCCACAATTGCCCATCCCATCCACGACCAGAGCCTCCTCGGGCCAGTTGTTCCTGGAATGACTGGAGTGGCGACCCCGGAATAGGATGATGTTGAGGGTGGCCTGGATCTTGTAATCCCTGCAAATCGAACCGAGTGCCAGGTCATTTATCCACGTTGCTGAAGCACGTTAAAAATAGAACGCGGCGATCGAAATGGTGGCTTCCATTGCAACGTTGATAAAGATCAGGTACAGTCCGACAGGCCTAGTTCTCCGGTTGAATAGGGGATGATATATGACCCCCTCCCGAGAATGTTCGGGAAAGAATGCACATCACTGCAGATATTGCCCAGCTCCGATTCCATTTCGGGCATCGAATGGTGGCCAAGTCTGCAGTCGGACAGTTGTCAACTGTGCTTACTCGGAGGTAACATGCAGTGGTAGTAGGTAGCACATTGCTCTCAGTTTCCTTCTAGTAGAAACGCCTTGGTGGCCACTCACGACGATGCGTCGGATACTCTGGAGTCTGTCAAATAGGTACAATACAATATACAAAAAGAAAAGGATGCAGCTATTATACATCTAGATGCCCCTCATCTCAACCATGCATCCGTTTCGAAGATCCGGGGAAGCCCCCCCGGTAAAATGCATAGCCCCCATCTACAAAGAGCAACACAGATAGATGGTCTCTAATCATTACTTTTGATCTTCTGTGCATATGCACGCCGCGCTCCCATACCCAGGATACGAATCATACCACACGCCAGGAACCCCCTTTAACAGAGCCATCTTAAGAAAAGAAGTACTTGCTCCCCTTCAGCCGCCGGACGTCAAAGTCGCCCTTCTCGGGGATGGCCGGGAAGGACAATGGCAGCCAGACCTGTGTCGTAGACGCCGGGGTCTTGGTCTCCCGCTTCACGTGCGATATCTGCATGGCGAAATGGCCAGTGCCGATGAGCGACGACAGACGAGACTCGGCCGAGTCGGCCTCGCCCTTGTCCTCGTCTTGCATTACCTCAGCCTCCTCCTCAGGCTTCAGGCTCTCGAGCAGGAGCTCGTCGGATTCTGCCGCGCCGTCGCTGGACATCTTGGATTCTAATGCCTTGGCTGCTTTCTTCTCCTCAGCCGGGATATTCCCAAGGGCAGTTTCCCCGATCTCTTCAGGCTCGGCTAGGTCCTCGGCGGCCGCCATCTCCTCGAAGATGCTGGCCGGAGTAACCATCAGTTTCCCCTCCTCCACCTCTGTAGGAACACTGGACTTCAAAAGCTCCTGTCTCCGTTTCTCCGTCAACAGCTCCTGCCTCAGAGACGAGGGCGACGCCTTCCGGAACGCGGCGATCTTCTTCTCCACCTCCGTCCCTTTATTGATCTTGGCAAGATAGATCGAGCCCTTGTACCGCGCCTCGAACTCGGCCGCAAGCCGCCCAATCACGTCCTCGCTATGTATTCTGATGAATGCGTCGCGAATGACGCCGTTCATGGTGTCTACATCCGAGGCGTGGGTCCAGAACGAATCGTGAACTGCAGCAAAGGTGAGACCAAGCTCGTCACACTGCAGGGCTGAAAGGATCATGTGGCTGGCATCCAGCGAGTGGATGAAGTTGGGCGGGAAAGCCTGTAGCTGTTTCCGTCGGTGGACCGGGTCGGAACGCTCGGGTGTCGTCAGTATCAGGGACTGGAGGCACGTCTGGATAACCCGAGTACCGCTCTTCCGGTACGGTTGGACGACTGGCATGCGGAGCGGCGTTGTCCACACTAGAGTTGATCTGAACTGGGCTAGCAGCTCATCCGTTGACGAGACCCTCTTCGGTTTCGACGTCGTTATCTTAGAGGAAGCCTTTGTCGGGGGGTCGCTCTCGATCATCGTCATCTGTTCTGGCGTCAAGGCACGACAGACTCGACCACCGATCTCCCCTAGCCAGTACTGAATATCGTGAGCGCCCTTGAACATCGTCGACAGGGCCTTAAAGATCTTGGTAGCGACATATGAGGAGAGGAAGATGGGATCCAGGCCCGTCTCAGCAAGTATGTTGGGATATAGAGCATCCAACTGCTTCAGGACCTGCTTCTTCGCGCCGGCAAACGTGACGCCGTAGACGTTCGTCATTACCGTCTGCTTGACGACCTTGCGGGTGATCTTGCCATCCAATGCCGCCGCGAGCGGGTTCCCTTGCTCCAGATCCTTCTTGATGTTTTCCTTGACCAAGTCGGCGACGGCAGAGTAGACATCGGCCGGACGGTCGCCAGGTTCCAGGTTGACTTGGCGAGCTCCCCAGGAGTCGCCACCGAGGGCAGCGTAATGCTGGAGACCGTTGCAGGTGCCGTCCTGGTGCACCGGCAGGTGTGACACATGCTTAGTCGGGTCAGGGAGGTCCATGGCAGCCTTCAACTCGTAGCAGGTAGCAAGGCACTGCCAAGGATCTTCGGCCTTCAGCCACCACCTGTTGCCCTTGAGCGGGTTATTGACAGAATCCCTGATGTTGTCGAGGTTCTCCACGGCGAAATTCTCTCGGTCCTTGAAACTGGCCTTGTCGTACCCGAATACGTTGGCCAGATGCACCTTGAGCCACCGTAGGCCGTTCTCTCCGAGCTCCTTGCCCTTTGCGAAATACAACAGGCCTCGGACATGGTCGGCACCCATGTGGTTCAGATAGGTGGGAATCGGATATGCCCGTCCACGGAAGTCGATATTGTGGGGGAAGTAGAAGGTTTGGTCCCGGAATGCCCTGGCAATCTCAAGCTGGAAGTTCATGAAGCATCGGACCGAATGCAGAGCCGACTTCTCGTTCTCGGCAGCCTTCACAGACTTGATCCAGACCCTTCGCTGCATGGGATCCTCGCTGGCTTCGGGTTCAGGGGGGATAGAGATATTCGGGTTCAGGGGCGGAATGTCGGCAATCGCCTCCCCGGTATTCCAGGCCTCCAGCATAACGTCGAAGACCGGTCGGTTGATCCGCCACCCTGTCCTGCCCAAGACATCCAGGCCTTTGAGAACCTGGTCCATGTCTCCCCGGGCAATCGCCGCCTCCGTGTATATCCTTTGGTCTTTCTCCCCGTACTTGACACGGACCAGGGAAGCCGGATACTCGATGAACCCGCCTTTCTCGAACTTGGACCATGGCTCCGGCTCCACGACCATTGGTAAATGGCGAGCAAGGAAGTCACCCCGTGGCTCGCGCTTCATGAGATCGACTAGGACTCGGTTAGGGACGATCATGCCGAGTTTCTTGCCCCTCTTCAGAAGGTTGGCATGGGAGAAGGCGGGCTGGATCTGGGCGATCAACGCCTTGGTCTCCGGGTGATCCCGGACCACGTTGACCTTTGCGGTTTCGATCAAGGCTGAGAGCAGCATTGCTCCAATCTTGGTCCGGATCGTGAGAGGCCAGGAATTGTCCTCCAGGTGACTCGAGAGGCCGGTGCGCGTTGTTGACGCCTCGGCCTTGTCCTCCACCGCCGCTGGGTTGCCATGTTCCAGCACCACTGTATGGTGTCCAGCCGAACGTCGAAGCATTCGCCTTGCAGTTATCCTCGCAGCCTTGATGGATGCGGAAGACCGGTCCTTGCTCTGACGCTGTGCTCGAACCTCTTCCTCTACCACCTTGGCAAGCTGGCCGATCACAACCGTCAATGGCACACCCTTGTCGGCCCCGTGCATGGCGAGAGTACTCAGGGTGCTCAGGATGGTAACGGCGGCGAGCCGGCTGGGGACGGATTGGCGCAGGACCGGCCCATACAGACACCGGTCCATGTCGTCCCTGTTCTTCTTCACTGCCACCTCGGCCTTTTCAACATTCTCCAGCTCCTCGATGAGGCGGTTTTCGAGCGCGCTTTGCCACTCGTACAACCTCGAGCTCAAGGACGGAGTCGACAGATTGGTGTTCAGGCCCATCTTCAAAAGAGCCTGGTTCTCCTCCCGCCAGCGTGAAATCGCAGCGTCGACGCAATCTCTCTCGAGCCGGGACTGGATTTCTCTGCGTTCGGCGTACGACAGCTTGGAGATATCGCGGCCCTCCGGAATTTCAGAGAACAGGGAAAGGGTTTGCTTCAGCATCCTCAGTCCCATGCCTTTCTGCGGCGTGCTCAGAACCTCCGGTGCTGTAATTGTTTGTGCTGATTCTGTGTCCAGCAACGCGGCCTCCTCGGCTGCTTCTCCGGCAGCCAATGCGGTGGAAATGGAAGCAGAGACGTCTTCGGGCAAGAGATTATAGGTTTGGCAAATGCGGGTGATTGTCGCGAGATCCTGATCCGTCAGGATGTCCCCCATATATAAGACTTCGAGGCCGGCCTGCCCCGGCACCATGCCCATGTAACGGTCAACTAGCCTCTCCAGTCTCGAGCCATGGGTGGTGAGAAGTGACGCCTTCAGCATGCACGCGATCGTCTCGGCGGTCTGGGGAAGGTGCTCGCTCCGGATCTGGAGCTCGTACCACTGGTGCAGATCCTCGGCCTTGTTCAGGCCAGGACTATTCTGTATCTGCTCCAATTTCGCTCGCAAGTACTGGTTATGAAGCTGGATCATGTCGTGCCCGGCAAGAGCGCCAATTCTTGCAAAGCGCTCGAGGACGAGGGCGGCCCTGTCCAACTTGCCGACCTGCAGACAAGCGTCGAAGACAGACATCATCTCGTCAACATCTCCCGGTATGCCAGACGGATTGATCCGTCCCCGAGGCAGCCGCGGGGACGGGTCCTTGACGATAAGCGGCTCAGAGACATCGAATGGCCTAAGTTCGTAGAGCGGAGGGGACGGGGATGGGCGAGGAGGATAGAGGGGCGGCGCGGCATTCGGAAGCCCTTCGAACGGGATGTCATCTATAGGCTTGTAGTCGTCTAGTGCTGTGGCCAAATTTCGATCGAAGGCGAGGAGACTGCGCAAGCTCTTCCTCCTCCATGGTCGCAACTCTTGTTTTGTTGTTAGGAGCCTTCTTGCATCCTGAAAGGACCGGCAACGTGCCGGCTGGCACCTGGATACGATGTGAGGGGCGCTGGAGGATATTAAATGGCGGAGAGGGTAATTGTGTCGAGAGCTCCCCGATCGGAGGAGCATCGTGAAAGCTCGCGTGATGGCGTGGATTGGATGGATTGAGGAGGGATAAAAGAGTGACGGCCCTGATAGAGGCTACGACCGATCTAATGGTTCGATGCGCATTCAAGTAGAGGCATTAAAAAGAACGGTATATCAAATCTAGTGTACAAGAGAAATCATGTTAACTGCTGTTGAACAACAGAAACGGCACCGGGAGGCAAAAAAAAGTGTACAGTAGAAGGGTCTTCGAGATACCCCAGTCTAGAATAGGAGATAAGACGCTGCCCAGAAAATTTGCCATCACGTCCTAGCAAGGAGCGAGCACCGGCGCCAATTGGCTAGAATTACCAGAGCTTGGGATTGGCTTTGCTCCTTTTCGGTGCACAGACCATTGAAGCCAACCAGGAAATTTTACTTGGTGAATAATTCCATCTTGCATGCAGCTCTACATTCCCGTGAGCCTCAACGAGCCTCCTCGCCCATCCCCATGGCTTCAATTCCGCCGCTAAGAGCTGCCTCGGGCTGCTCTGTATGTCGCCTGTCTGCATTGCGACTTTTTGTTGGTAGCGCGATATCACCGAGGACTGCTCGAGCACCGTTCCGAAGCCAGTCGACGAGCCAAGCAACTGCCAGATTCTCGACTTTCCGCCACACTGTTCCGTTACGAAAGGACCCCGCCATCGTGGAGCAGATTGAGAGGGAGCAACCGAACGATGAAGAGAAGCAAGCAACGGAGCCTTCCGACTCCAATGGCACGGATTCACCATGGTATATGCAGGTCGAGTCTCCGAAGCATCCAACCCTAGTGGACGCGCTCCCACCACTACCAGACATTCCCGAAGGATCACCGCAGCTCACAGGCCCGCTGCTTAAGTTCGTGTCGGACGATCTAGGACTCGATGGGTTATCGCTACTTGACCTTCGCAATGTGGATCCGCCGCCAGCACTGGGTACTGGTCTGCTTATGCTATTCGGCACGGCTCGCAGTGAGCGGCACTTGCATGTCTCGGCGGATCGCTTGGTCCGATGGTTAAGGGGCCGCGGAATCTCGTCCGACGCTGACGGGCTGCTGGGACGGAACGAGCTCAAAATTCGTCTTCGGAGAAAGGCCCGCAAGGCAAAGATGCTCGGGAAGGCCGGCCCTGCTCGCGAGTCGGACGACGGCATCAGCACTGGTTGGATCTGTGTCAACCTCGGCACGATTGGATGGTCTGATGCGGAAGCACAAATAGTCAGTGAGGACGGAAGAGTCAGCGGCTTTGGCGTTCCACAGACAGGGACTACGATTGTGGTGCAAATGTTTACTGAGTCGCGGAGGGCGGAGCTGGACTTGGAGACCTTCTGGAATAAGTTGGCGAAGCGAAGCCAAGCTAAACAGGACGAACTGTTACAGCCCCCAGGTGTGGGCCCTCAACACAGCAAACCGAAGACCAACCCTTTTCAACAATCCCAGACGCGACTCTTTTCTACGGTTCAAAGGAAGGAGTCTGCTTCCCAGCTTGGAGAAGACGCCTTGGCGGAAAAGGTACAGGCAGCACTGGTCAACCCCCACGCTATTTCCGAAATATCTGACATCTTAGCCCACGACACGGACGAGAAAGTCCGGCTCCTGGAGCAGATGAAGACCTACCTGAGCAGCTTGCCGGCGTCGTCGGTCGTCCAGGCCCTGAGGCGCGGCGACCTCGCCGAAGGAGGCAAGCCGTCCGCCTTCCTGCGACTCTTCGAGCTTGCCCTGCTGAACCTCCCACCCGCTCAGACGTGGGGCCCGCGGCTATGGCTCCACGTCACGGCACGAAAGCTGGGCCTGATGGAGTACGGCCTCGACGACCTGGCAGCCCTGGCCGAGGAAATGCGGCTCTCCGGGATCGATGCGACCCTCGACCAGTTCGCGGATCTCATCTGCGCCATCTTTGCTCAGCCGGGCCAGGGCGACGACGCGGTGCGCGAGCAGTCCAGGCTCGCGATGCGGGTCATCGACACCATGTACGAGCGAGGCCACAACGTCTTATCCCACGACATAGTCGTGCCCGCGATCGAATCCCTAGTCTGGTCCGGCGCCCGTGGAGCCGAGGTGGACAGGCTCCGATCAACCCTAGAGTTCCTCCTGGAACAGGCCAACCTTCCCTTCATGGGCGAGGAGCTGCTCCTCAGGCTTTTGGACGCATACGCGAGCCAGGGCAACTGGGACAGGTTCTGGAAGGCGTGGCGGAACCCCCCGAGGTTCGGGGTGGCGCGGTCGGCGCAGATGTACTCGTACCTCTTCCGGCGGTTCGCCGACACGCAGCACCAGTCCCTGTGCGTCGACGCCGTCCGGTGGTGTTTCCAGGAGATGGTCAACGAGGAGCCGTCCGTACAGCCCCGCGGCGCCGTCCTGGAGGCGCTGAAGGCCTGCGTCCGTGTCGCGGACCCTCAGGCCGAGGCTATCGCCGAGAACCTCGTCGTCAAGGATAAGGACTCGGAATTGCTTGCGAATCGGGAGTTCGTGAAGCTGCTCAGGGATATTGGGGGGGCATAGGAATTGTGGCGGTGCCGTCCGGCGAAACTTGAAGATGTTAGGAGGGTGGACGACATCCTCTTCTGTCATCCAGGTGTGCGTGTTATTGTATGTATGTGTATATATATGTATATTATGTATACTATTCTAGCCTCTTTGTCCCTGGTCAGACGCGGGTGGCTTCTCATCTCACCAGAATTCCACCAGTGTACCAACAGAGAATCCAGTTTGAGAGACCTTCCTCTTCAGTAGTATTTCCGCGACATGTGTTAGCACAGTTCAGTGACGTACCACATCAAATGGCTTGTTTAAAATTATCGTCGAGTCCTAGTAAGCTACCTATGCTAGGAGTTTAGTGTACGTTTCGCAGGTATCCATTGGCATATCTATGCCGCCTCTAGCCTCTATGCCGCCTCTATGCCGACAGAATTCACTGGCAGCTAAGCACAGAGAGGCAGGTCGTGCAGGAGCTATGTATGACAGATGCCGCCAAGCAACGGGCCGCTTTGCAGCTGATAACCATTCTCCCGATCGCCTTCGGTATCTTGGGGGAGGGATTTGGGCTGTTGATTGGACGAGCTCCGACTAATGGGGAAATACCAATGTGGCCCCTGTCAGCCTACCAGGCTTCTCCGATGGGACTCATGTTGCCTGCACTGAAACTGCAGTGTAAGTAGCTGTTTGATCCAGGATTGACCTCTCATCTGCCTCATCTGGTTCGTGGCCAATGGCTACGTATCAGGGACTCAAATATTTGCTAGAGATGTCTTAGATGAAGAGAGAGCTTCCATTTCTAGAAACACCGAAGATCAAGGTGGTAAGACGATGTACAAAGGGGTAACATGTGGTCAGACAGTGATGTTGTGATAAAACACCGGCATCCGTTTCCATTTTCTCTTACAACAGTGTACCCAACCTAGTCATCAAGATTCGACGAGAAGAGAGCCGATACTCGACCCTCGGTACAGAGACAATGGCTACTCAAACCTTCACCATAGCCCTCCTCGCCAGCGCCGGACTGCCCAGAGCATTTGCCTGGGGCGCCATGGGCCACGAAGCAGTGGCCTACGTCGCAACCGATTTCGTAGCATCGGAGACGAAGACATACTTCCAAGATCTTCTAGGCGACAACTCGTCCGACTATCTGGCCGCGGTTGCCTCGTGGGCCGACTCGTATCGGTATACCAAGGCCGGGAAGTTCTCGGCCCCCTACCATTTCATCGACGCAAAGGACGATCCGCCGTCGAGCTGCGGCGTCAGCCTGTCGCAGGACTGCGGTGCCGAGGGTTGTGTCGTGAGCGCCATCGCCAACTACGTATGCCTTCCCCTTGGGGGATCTCTTCCAATCGAATCTCGCCAAATCTGACTCGAGGCCCCGTATAGACTAGCCAACTTCTGCAAACGAAGCTGAGCAGCTCGGAGAGACAGCTCGCTGCCAAGGTAAGGCTTACAAAGACGAGAAACCACATATTTTACTTTTACTAACCTGAGCAGATGGTCATCCATGTAGGTTCGATGTGGCAGTAACCCAACGCTCGCTCCCCTCTGACCAGGAGAACCAAACACTAGCTCGTTGGTGACATCGGCCAGCCTCTCCACTGCGAGGCTCTCGATCTCGGAGGCAACGACATCGACGTTGAGTACAACGGCAAGACCACCAACCTCCACGGCATCTGGGACTCGGAGATACCCGAGTCCATCGCCGGCGGCAAGTCCATGTCTGCCGCCAAGAGCTGGGCATCAAATCTCACGACAGGTAGGTATAGCTCTCTGATCCATCCAAATGCGCAGCAGAAAAGAGAGCATGATTTCCGGTACCGTAAAATGTGGCTGACTTCCTCACCCTTATCCCCAAATAGCGATCAGGTCCGGCACCTACAAATCCTCGGCCTCCGGCTGGGCACGCGGGCTGGGTGTGGCAGATGCCCAGAACGTCACGCTCGGGTGGGCGCAGGAGAGCAATGCCGCAGTATGCTCGACAGTGCTGGCGAAGGGGCTCAGCTTCGTCGAGAGCAATGATCTGAGCGGGGCTTATACCAAGACTGCCACGCCTGTTGTTAACATCCAGATTGCCAAACAGGGATACCGGTGAGTTCTTTCCTTCCTGCAACAGCATTGGACTCGATATTGCGTTGCATGTTCCATGCTGACTGGTATGTTAGCCTCGCCAAGTGGCTGGATGCTATCGTCGCTGCTGTTTGAGAGTTCGGTTCTTGCATGGCTGGGATGTGGAGGGCCGGAAGAGATCATCCTCGAATATCAAAGTTGTGTGCTCGCTGTTCCATTGACTGCACATTTGTGAGATATGTATTTGCCAGTCATTTCGAAGCTTGTCTCATCGCGTCCCTCAACATCGGCGCCACCTTCTTACGGCTGTGTTCGATTCTGCTCTGACGCCAGCACATCCTCCACTCGTCCTGCCCTTCCGGATGGTCAAGCTTCCCATCCTGCCAAAGTCCCAGGCCCAGATCGCCCTTGCTGTTGTCTGCAAAGGCCTTCATAACCTTGACGGCGTCCGCGTTGAGGGCCCACACCAGCAATTCCCTCGCAAACTTGCCATCCGGGTGCAGCGTGGTCAGGACAGCAACGATGTCAAGTTTCTGCTCTTCGGACCATTTCTTCAGCTCGGAGAGGAACACCTCCCTGTCGCCAATCCTATCAAGCAGGTACCCGAAGCCCTGCGCCACACTAGAGGTGCCAAGCGTGAGCCCCCCGTCGACCCATTGCTTATAGTCCTTGCGGAAGATGTCACGGTAGCTGAGTTGCGAGAGGTCCTCCTTCAGCTCAGTGATCTCCCGGAAGTACTCATCCCGATCATACCCCACGCCAGCCCGCCTGATCAGCCCTTCAGCGAACTCGACGGCCCGCACATCCGTGTCCGTCGTCTTGTCCTTCGAGGTCAGGTTCGTCGTGTCGATCAGGATCGGCCCCAGAGCGAGATGCGCCAGTTGGGCATCGATGTCCCCAACCCTGTCCCCGCCCTCCCCCCCGGAAGAAAGCTCCTCCCAGGCAGTCCGCGAGTGTTCTACCACGAGACTCGCGCAGCTCCCGCACGGGCGTATGACCCGCGGCTCGTCCCCTGCTGCCCCATCCCCTCCCTCCTCCTCCGCGCCCAGAAACTCACCCCCCTCGTCCTCATGATGGTCCACGCACCCGACGACGCGCCCGCCGAACCGCCGCCTCAGCTCCCCTGTCATGACGTTGTGGTCGACGAGCAGCCACCGCGTCGCCGCGGCGGGCAGGTCCTCGGGCGGCGGCAGGTCCGTCAGGGTGAGCAGGTCGGCGGGGCGGATTCCGGCGCGGCGGAGGACGGCGGCCAGCTCTGGCCGCAGGGAGAGGTCTGCGCGCGGCAGGTTGGACAGCGGGATGTGCGGCTGCTGCTTGGGGGCGTGCCTGCTGCCGAGGTAGGCCTGCAGCAGCGTCGAGCAGAGCGAGTCGAGGTCCGCGGACTCGTTGCCCACCACCAGCGTCAGCGGGGCTTGGCGCTGGGCGGGGGGCGCGGCGAGGGCGCGGCGGGCGCCGGCTAGGAATGCGCGGAGGGTCGGCCGGGCCGGTGGTGGCATGTCGGTCATTGTGAATGCGGACGGGGTTGCGAGGTTGGATTGGATGGGCGGCGTGGCGTCATAACTTTTTTATTGCACATATCTTCGGGGTGGATGGGCCAATCAGAAGCAGGGTTTGTGGGCTCTATCCCATCAATCCTCGCTAAAAATGGAATTTCAGTGACTAGAACACAAGCAATAGGGAGTGCGGTATCCATTGAGCAACCGTAGAAGGAGGAGGGCGGAACTGCAGTCCTAGGGCGAGGATAGGGGTCAAGAAAGGTCCCGGAGGCGGCTCTTCGAAGAGAACAACAATTAATCCCCTATTTATGGGCCTTGGTTTCTAACAAATGGGAATGACTTGGAATAATCCGCAATTTTCTCCTCGTCTAAGTTGACACAAGTTCCACGATGTCTACTGGCAACCAGGCTCAACGAGGGGGCACGACAACAGCCGAAAGAGCAGAGATTGACGTCCAGCCGAAACTCAGCGGCCATCGGCACTCACCGTCACCGACACCGTCGTCTGGCCAGGGAGCAGCCGATTACTCCCGGGGTACGACACGATCAGACGGTGAGTCCCCGGCGGCAGGCTCCCGGAGAGCGGGAACGTGACCTTCCCGCCTCCAGCGCAGCCGAGAGCCTCACCCCTTCCGCGCCGTCGCGCTGCCAGCGGTCGAGGTCGCCGACACGAGGGTGGTAATCATTCTCGGTCAGGGCCCAAGCCGGGCGCACCCGGCAGGGGACGCATGTGGTGATGAGGGTGAAAATGTTGGATAGAAAGGGATGGCCAATCGTATTTCAACAACGAGGGGTTATCCAGCCCTCCGATGCCGAAGGTATATAGTAATCATGTGTACCTTTCTTCATCGCTCTCCTCGTCTTTCTTTAAATTGGGGAGAAAGAAGGGATGGCAAGCTGGCCGGCCAGTTACGCGGGCAGTTCGTGCTCAAGTTGTTCTATAACTCTGTGTCTTATATCATCCTTGAGTTAAAAATACTGTTGCTGGAGATATTTCTGAAGCCGCCAGAGGAGCATCGATAACAACCGACAATGTTGTTGAAAGTGTTCAAAGTTCAGATCCGTCACCTAATTATCATCCCTGCCGGATTTCATTCATATTGGATCCTGCATCGGGTTTAGCAGATTGCACCACGTTTATTTAACTTCTGCCCACTCCGAGTCGGGCCTCCGAGCACGTTGTCCCGAAAACCCGGGATTCGAAAAGATCGAGGAGATACTCCATAAATGGGCGGTATCTTTGGCCCTTGGCAGAATCCACCCTGACTCTGCGCAGTGCGCTGCGCAACGAGGGCACGTTGTTTTGCCCCTGCGGTGTCACTGGCTGGCTCTCTCTCCCTGTAGGGATACCGGGTTCCTACCTTCACAAGGAACACTCGTTCCCTTGCATGTGGCCGCAGGGCAAATGCATGGCCTCCGTAACGCAGAGCGAACGTACATATAAGGCGAGCGCCAGGCCGCCCGTGGTCTACGATGGAGGACAGCTATAGGGATTGCCCCAAGAAGCAGCAGTGGATGAAAATGGCCTGGCGAATGATGCGTGTCTGGGTACTGATCAGCGTGGCCCTCGTCTGCGCTGTCCCCTCTCTTCAGATCGTTCTGCCGAGGAAGTATGCCACCAACAGCAGTACCTCCTTTGGGCCCCTGAAGTTCACTGAGGATGGCACCTTCCAGATCTCCATCTTTGAGGATCTTCATTTCGGCGAGAGTAAGCCCCCGATCGCGGGACTATTGAACTCTATCGACACTTGTTCTGGGCTCGCTGACGCCACTGTCATGCAGATGCGTGGGACCAGTGGGGTCCACAGCAGGACATCAACACGGTCAAGGTTATGAACCAGGTCCTAGACGCAGAGTCGCCGGGGCTGGTCGTGTTCAACGGCGACCTGATAACGGGCGAGAATACCTTCCTGGCCAACAGCACCACGTACGTGGACCAGATGGTCCGCCCCCTTGTTGAGCGTGGCTTGACGTGGGCGTCGACGTACGGCAACCACGACAGCGACTTTAACATCTCGCGCGAGGGCATACTAGCGCGGGAGCGCGCGTGGCCCAACTCCCGCACCAAGCAGATGGTCTCCTCTCCGAAGGCCGGGGTGTCGAACTACTACCTACCCGTATACGGCGCGAACTGCACGGGCTGCCGATGCACGCCGGAGCTCCTGTTGTGGTTCTTCGACAGCCGCGGCGGCTTCCTGTTCCAGCAGCGGGACGCGAAGGGCAACCGCGTGGGGCAGGAGGACTGGGTGGACGTCAGCGTGGTGGAGTGGTTCGAGCAGACGAACGCGAAGCTTGTCGCGCGACACCAGAGGGTCATCCCCTCATTGGCGTTCGTCCACATCCCCACCAACGCGTCGCTGACACTTCAGACACAAGCCGGGGTCGATCCCAACCGCCAGCCCGGCATCAACGACGATTACATGCTTGCGCAGCAGGGACAGGGCTGGTGCGCCGATGGCAGGAACGACGGCTCCTGCGAGTACGGCGGCCAGGATGTGCCGTTCATGCAAGCGATCACGACAGTCCCGGGATTGATGGCCGTGTTCTCGGGCCATGATCACGGTGACACCTGGGTAAGAACGCGCCCCACAGCGCTCCCACATGCGGCAGCTACTAACTCGCAACGCCGCAGTGCTACAAGTGGGAGGGCGTCTTGCCGGGGATGACCGTCGCCGGCAACGGACTCAACCTCTGCTTCGGGCAGCACTCGGGATACGGCGGATACGGGACGTGGACCCGCGGGGCTCGGCAGGTCCTCGTGTCGCAGTCGAGGCTGAGGGATCTGGAGGTCGACACCTGGATCCGGCTGGAGACGGGGGATATCGTTGGCTCCGTGTCGCTGAACGCGACGTACGGCGAGGACTGGTATCCTGCCACCCCGAATACGCACACGTCGTGCCCTACATGTAATTACACCATAATCACCCCCGGGCCCGGTTCCCGGAAGAGCTGACCATGAGTAGGTTAAGAGTTAATAGCTAATGTATACAATTATATCATTATATGTGATCGTCGAAAGCAGAGCCAAAACTGACCATCGGTGGAGTTGACTGAACGGCCCTGGGAGGAACACTCTATCGTTGAGCTACATGAGACACCACATTTCGAGCCAAACGTAACGTCAACCCTTCAGGGATGCTTGTCCGCACGTGTCTCTCACTGTCCGCCTCAAGACGCAGGGCCCCTTTATACAGGGAGTAAGCAGCCGACGAGTGTGTGTCTCACACAGGTCCTTCTCCCTTTTTTATACTGCAGACGCAGGCACGGCGCTGTTCGGATCAACCCGGACTGTCAAATCGCCCGCTGGCCTAGGAAAGACGGTGCAGGTTTACGCCGTGAACGGAGGACATTCGGTCACCAGTCTCCCGTCACCGCTCTCACCGCTTAATTATTCTGCCGCATTTAGTCCGGCTCACCTCGGCATAAGTGGAGCCTACAGGGTCCGTATCCATGCCCGATTGCGGGGCGAATCGATGGAGCTCTCAAGTCACGATCTCCTCTGTCAGTCCTCCGCCAGCTTCAATCCCGACTGACGAGAACCCTCAGCCGCCACTTCAAGCTCCGTCTTCAACATACCGAACCCTCCGACCCCAGTCCCGACTGAAACCGAGACCAAGCCAACCAGCCCCCCCACCATGGGATCCCCAACCACGAAACCCCCCGTCCGCCTCGCCATCCTCGAAGCCGACACCCCCCTCCCCGGCACAGCAGCCGCCTACCAGACCTACGGCAACGTCTTCACCTCCCTCTTCGCGCGCGCCCTCTCCCCAACAACAACGCCCGTGTCCTCAGTGCTCTCGATCCGCGCCTACAACGTCGTGACGTCGGCGCCGGCGGCGGCAGCCACGTACCCGGACCTCGACGACCTCGACGCCGTCCTGGTGACGGGCTCGCGCCACTCCGCCTTCGCCGACGACCCGTGGATCGTCGCGCTGGTCGAGTTCGTGCGCGCGGCCCTCGCCACGGGGGGCCGGGTGCGCGTCGTGGGCGTCTGCTTTGGGCACCAGATCGTCGGGCGGGCGCTCGGGGTTCCGGTTGCGAGGGGGAGGAATGGGTGGGAGGTTAGCGTGACGGAGGTTAGGTTGAGTGAAAGGGGGAGGGAGGTTTTTGGGGGGAGGGAGACGCTGGTGAGTTTTTATTTATTTTTATTTTATTTTTTATGGCTGTTGTTACCCTGCTCTCGGAGATTCGTGATGGGTGGGGGCTGACCAGATGGGAACAGAAAATCCACCAGATGCACCGCGATGAGGTCTTCTCGTATCCGGCTGGCGCGGAACCGCTTGCCGAGACGGACGTCTGCCCCGTGCAGGGCATGCTGATCCCCGGCAAGGCGATCACGGTTCAGGGGCACCCCGAGTTTACCGAAGGGATCGTTCGCGAGATCCTGGAGTCGAGACACGACGTGGGCATTATCTCCGACGAGATATATAAGAGTGGCATCGAGCGCGTTGCGGATGAGCACGACGGGGTTGCAATAGCCCAAGCATTCTTGAGGTTCTTGAGGGATTGAGACTTCATCATCTTTGGGCAGCCTGGGGCGCGCCCTTCTAGGTTCCTGGGATTTTCGATGGGCAGCCTGCTGGTCCTGCTGGTAATCTGCTTCGATGTACTCGAGCGCTATATAGATCGCGTTGCTATATAAAGCATGACAGTTATATAATCCGACCCCTTATTTCCAATATGTACAGTACAATAATCCATATTCTTCGCTACACCCGGGTATGCCCATGACCCAGTCGAACGCCGAGATATGCCGAGGATCCCAGGTCAACCAAACATGACAAAGAAACGAAAGCAAACTCGAAGCACGCGTGCCAGCCCAATGCAGCCCAGTTGCCAGGCAGGGGGTATATATCAATGAGTCCTTCTCCATACGCCCAATCCGTGAGCCATGATGTTGTCGAGGGTAAGACGAGCCTTCCGTCGCGGTGGGTCTCGAAACCAATCACCTCGTCCGCTCATATCCCTCCCCATCCCCATCCCCATCCCCATCCCCATCCCCATCCCCTCCGTCTTCCGGCCCATCCAGATCAGCGTCCCACCAATCCCTCCCCCCTCTTCCTTTCGTCGCCGTGTCCTGGTTCTTCATGACCACTCTCTCGGCGGCCATCTCTTCCTCCCTCCGCGCCCTGGCGTTCCGCCCGTCGATCAGCATCTCCTCCCTGGTCCTGCCCACGACGTGCGCCGTTTTCCAGCCCGTCCTCCAGCTCTTCCGCAGCTGCCGGTCCAGGGACTCCCAGAACCCGCCCTGGGTGTGCTTCCAGGGCTCCTCGCGTATCGTGAACACGGCACAGTCCACCGCGCCCTGTATGCCCAGGCTGACCATGGAGACGACCAGTAGCCAGAACGGATCGTTGGCGTTCAGGCTGTCGTCGAATCCCATGATGTGGCTGACGAATGGGAAGATCCAGGTCAGAAGGTATGCGAGCGGGTATACGAATAGCGATCGGAACTGGCGGAGTATCTTCTCCCGGTTCCTGGCTATCTCCGAATCGTCTTGGATTGCTCCAGGTGTGGTGGCTTCGGGTGAGTCCTCGCTCGATGGGCCGCATGTGCCTTTCCGCAGCATTGAGCAGATGCGGGTTGGTGTTTGAGCGCCGCTCCCAGCCGTCTCCCCCGCCAGTATCGTATGAAGGTTAAGAGCATCGTGGCCTGCCATCCCAGCCGCGGCCGAGGAGAGGGGCCGGCGCCAGCCGGAGCGTGGAGTGCTTATCGTCGAAGACAAGGATGGGTCATCATCTATAGAGTACGTCCCCGACGGGGTATGGCTTCCTGGTCGAGGTTTCAAAGGGTTTGGAACCAAGGAGAGAGCATCGCTGTGCTTTCTCGATGTTACACGGTGTTTCTTTAGCGCAAAGCTGGGCCAATTCCAGATCTCTGGGCGCTGATCTAGCTGCGTAGTAGGTGTGCGACTTTCTCTCTCCGAGTCGGGATGGGAGCTATCGAGCCCAGCAGTGTTGGTGGATGAGACTGATGGCCGCCCGTCTGTCGGCCCCACGTCGACACGTCCCGCGGAGCTCGGTGTTGAGGGAACGAGTCCATGGCGCTCGATCCCTGGCGATGGCGGAACATCTCTACCATTTCCGTGATCTCTTCGACAGTTTTGGTTAAAACGACGAGTGCTCTCCTTTCCGGGGTGAAACATCATGCTCCTAACATAAGCGTAGATGCAGAGGTATGTAAGCAAGACGACAACGGATATGACGTATCTCGGGATCCAGCTGAGTGCGACTCGTTCCCATCCCCGGCCATTCTCGAGGTAGCAGTAGTGGCCGATGTTCTCATAACCGTGCCCGCCAATGAAAGCCAGGGACGCGATGAGCAGCGGGATGGTGATATATGCGGCATAGGCAAATCGACGGTAAGGATACAGCCCAGATTTGGGCCGGAAGATGTACAACGCTGAATGAACAGTAATCAAGAGGATCGCGATGTCAGAGGACTCGATGCCCACGGCGAGGAAGAAGCCGCTGACCTGGCAGAACGCAGAGTCGGATGTGATGGGGCCCCGAATGTGGTCCACTATGGAAAATATAACGAACCATAGCGACTTGATCAGGTCGCTTTGGATGAGAAGAAATATCAAGCTGGACAGGTTAGCTGCTACTCCCATCTCAAGCCAAGTCGTTCCGACTTACTCGTGACGGAAGCTCCGCCTCATCCTGACAAGCCAGTAGAATGCGAACAAGCTGCATATGATGCCGAACGAGCCAAGTCCGAGGGCGATTTTCTTAAGTATGTCTACCTCATGCTCCGGATGCATATCGTCTGTTCTCGGTAGCGCTAGCCTTTGAGAGAAACGAGAGCTGAAGAACCCATGGCTGGGATCGTGGAATGGCGCCATGGCGGGCACGTGAGCCCCAATCCGTCCGTCAAGCGTCGATAACCTAATAAGACCGGTCGGTAATCAAAACCATTGCTTGCTGTCGTTCGGCATGTTGAAAGCCGCAGGACCTGGGACCACTCAAGCCGCGCTTCCTCGTGCGAAGAGCGACGGAATGCTGGGAGACGAGCGCACAAATAGGCCTGACCGCAATTCCAAACTGGGAAAATTGAAGTGGGCTCGGTCGACGTCACTAATGCATGGCTGCGACCTGCGGGGTGTCGGATAGAGCAAGTTGCTTCGTCCCATACACAACATGACTCGGGAACTTTGGTCCAGCGTTGTTGTGTCCAAGGGCAAGCAGCCTCAGAAGCAGCAAGTTAAGCAGCAAGTTAAGCAGCAAGTTCAAGACTCGGGTATTCGTAAGCGAGCGAGGTGGAGGACGAGAACCAGGAGGGTGGGTGGGATGTTGTCGAGGTGGAGCCGAAACCGCTTGCCCTGACCCTTGAGTGATTAACCAAAAAGGAGATCGGTCCGGGATGGATCGGGAAGGATCCACACGCTGATCAACTCTCGGACTTTCGGTACATTTCCGGGCACAAAATCAAGTACCCGAAGTGACAGGATGGGCGAAGATCAGAATGCGATTGTATTGCGCACCCCCGGCCAAGCACCCCTCCCATGAAGGAGCAGGATGATGCGTCAATGCATGCGAGTGTTGGTTTCAGCCAGTCGAGTCCTTGCTTGTCGTCATTATACCTCCGTATGGTTGGTTGATTCCCAGTTAATTGGATCAGCAACATCCAGAAAGCCGGGACGGGCCTAAGGGGCAGGCTATGCTGGATTTGGTGCACTAGCGCGGCCCCATGCGTGCCTAATCCGGCGCCCACTGCCAACTCATGCTTATGTGAGATAGGCACTCATGTCAACTAAAGATCCAAGCTCTGATCTCACTCAGGGGTGCTAGGGTTTCCCATCGAGATTAAAGCAAAGCCATGGATGATTGATTTCCGTGCTATTAAAGGGTTACGTCAAATCTCCTCAAGACATCGTGCCATGGTGCAGTGAAGCCACAATCCGCCACAGGCATATCCCGTAATGATAGTTGTACTTGTGGCTTGTGGCTTGCAGTACATAATTAGCTCAAAAAAAGAAATTCACGAGGTGTCCGCCCCCCTCCTTAAAAAACAGCACAGGCAAATTATCAATCGCTGACATTTCTGATGCAAACCATGTCTGTCCTTGCGCACCCAGACGCGTGCTCGAGGATCTAGATGGCCTCGTTCGTTTCCCCCGACGTCCATGGTCCTCCAAATACCGCATCTTAGTGTGCCCTCTCAAACACAAGGGTCTCGCCTCGGCCCGGCGGACTTGATGGACTCGACGAAGCCTCACCATTGTCTTCCTGAACCGGGGCGCCGAGGACAAAGGGAACCGTCCGACCTTCCTAAAAACGGGCATCCATCACAGACACAGGGCTTGCAGCCGTTGGCTTGTGACGTTTTACGAGTGAGGACTCGGATCCCTTTGCTCATCATGGTATGACCACCAAGGCGGCCGGCGTTATTGCATACATAGGCTTGATCCCTCAGCCTTGACGACCCGGCAACTCGTATATATCTGGCCCAGCCAAAGGGCCTTCTCCGTATAGTTCATGGGTCTGCGGGTTATGTACTGGGCGTTGTTGTTGGGCGTTCTTTGACGGGTCGAGGGGCGGCAAGGGCCTCATTCCGGAACGTCTACTACGCCTTCTCCAGAGCAGGAAGGCACCGACGCTCAAGGCCAACACAGCGATCACGACACCGATAGCCACTCCGGCAGTGGCCCCTGTTGACAGCCCGGACGACCCTTTGCCGGCAGCGGAGGAGACGGCGCTATTCGTGGCTGTCGTCGAGGCAGTAGTGCTGGGGTCGGGACCACTGGTGGTGCTCTGTGCCACGTTGAAGCCGTTGACGGGAATGCCGAAGACGGTGACCGCCGAAGACCGTACGGTGGTTGTCGTTGCGACAAAGTGGACACCGTCGTCTGAAGGTAAAGGACCGAGGTATGATAAGCTTTGTCCCGGAGACACTATCGATGTGCATTGCGAAGGAAAAGCTTGTGTGTTAGGTTGAACGACGAAAAGCGAGTATCCCCTGCCGAAACTTTTTGTCAGGAACTCCAACCTCCAGAACAGAGGGATAGGATTGCCTACAAGGGACAGCAGAATACCTTCTGGGTATCGCTGGCAATTACAACTGTCTGAACTGCGGAATACGCTCCTGGACATACAAAAGTGGGACCAAGGGCGGTGGATATCGATGTCTCAGCGGCCTGGTTCCACCAAGAGCTCACTTCGGTTGGAAGACAGCTTCGGGCCTTGGTATCCAAAGACGCGCCGTAGAATGGATCCCATGCTAAGAAGTGGCCATCCACTTGCTTATATATGTACCCAGAGCAGCCTTCTTTGGACGGGTATGGCGTCGAGAGCGGGATGAACGAGACGGGGGTGGGAGTGCCGCTCACGGTCAACGCGGTCGGGGTCGTCGCCGCCATCACGATGGGAGAGACATTACGTGCCAAGAAGAAAAGGGAGGAATGGAACAAAACAAGGTTCTCCATCAACTGTCGCAGGAGTAGCATTCCTATGTACTGCACAGATTACCTAGTCTACTGCGTATCAACAGCGTTACAGCCACCTCTTCCGGGTGTTGATGGTCCAGGCGCCCTCGGCAGAAATGAGGTCTATTTCAGGGCTGAAAGTGGGAAGGATTCGCACCCCGGTAGCAAATGACACGTTCGCAGACCCCGGCTTGCCGCCAATGCTGTAATCGCTCCCACTCTCTATTGGGCATCCCATCCATGGGTGATGTGATGCGCCGCAATCTCTGCCGCCCATGATCCTGGCATCCTGAGCTGGCACGTACATACATCCATACCAATGAGCAGCAACCGTCATGCTGACAGGAATGGTTGTGCTCAAGCGAGTCAGGGATTGGCAGTCATGAACGCTCGAAAGCATCCCTTCCCCCGCGCCCGTTCCTTATCTTCCACCCTCCCCGTCTGTATTAAATCCTCCCTCATATAAGCCGACTCTTTTTTTTTTTTGGCACCAATTTGGGTGTTTGGCGTTTGTGGTTTCCCCCTTTCAACCGGCATGGTCTTCCCATCCAAGCTATGGCCCTCGAGCGGCTCGAAATTTCGGCATTCGTGGGAGTTTGTGCTTCTGATCGCCATCGTGGCATGTGTGCTGGTTGTCTCGTTCTGGAAGAGGGAGATGGTCTATTCAATAGTTCGTTTTTATGTCCATTGTTCTTACTTCCCGTCGCCGACCCACGAGGACTTCATTTCGGGTATTGACTTGCTTGATTAAGGTTGACTCTCACAGCGAGCCTCCTCCGGCCGTGGAGAATTTGGAGCCTTCCCAGGACCATGACGTTGGCCAAAACTCGGGCCAAAACTCGACGGGTTCCAGTGGTACCTTCAACACATCTGACGCCGTTCCCAACAGCCCGCCCCTGGGAGTCATCATCGAGACGGAGATGACCCCCAATCTCATCCCCCTCATGCTCCATTTCGGCGCCGTCCTCGGACCCGCGTGGAAGATTGTCCTGTTCACTCTCGAGGAACATTGGGCCCTGCCCCCTTCTCCCTCGTTCCGCCGAGCGGTGACGGACCAAAGAATCGAGATCCGCTTCCTCCCGCCGGCGACGAGATTCAAGAACAGCGCTTCTGTTTCGCGCTTCCTGACAGAGCCGTGGCTGTGGGAACAGGTGCAGTCGGCGGAGCGAATCCTCCTCTTCCAGTCCGACAGCATCATATGCTCAAAGGCCTCAACGACTGTGGAGGACTTCTTCGCCTACGACTTTGTCGGGGCGCCGATTGCGGCGAGATACGGGAAGGGGTACAACGGAGGGCTCTCGCTGAGGAACCCGAGTCTGTTCTTGAGGATCACCGAGGAGTCGAGCTTTGCCAATAGTTCCATCAAGTTCGAGGACCAGTGGTTCTACACGGAGGCGATGGCGCGGGTTGGAGACGGGGTGCAGCTGCCCACTGAGGACGTCGCCAAGACCTTTGCAGTTGAAACCATATATTACGAGACACCGCTTGGATATCACCAGCCTTCGCGGTGGCAGGCTAAGAACATCGAGCAGATCGAGGGGTGGTGCCCGGAATCCAAGATGCTCATCGGCCGCCGTGCTGGCTAGTTTAGCCGATTAATAAATGGCGAATTAAGAGTATATCTATCAACCCATGTAGGCCGATACCCGGTTCCCATTTCCGTCTATCGTGCCTCTCGTCTCTGTATCAGGCTCGTCGTCATTCCGGGTACGACACGTCGGAAGGTGATGTCTTTCTCAAGGGGGTGAGCTGCCAACTCTTTATGTTCATTTGTCCCTGATGCTTCTCCGCTTGCGATGAGCTGCACTTGCTGTCTGTGGAACATTGAAGACTTGTTATGTCATGGGCTGTTCTGGGCTCTGATGCTTGCGAGCAAGTCCGGATGTTGTTATCACCCTCAATTTAGTACTGGGACTCCCGTGTCATCGGGAGGGGAAATCATGATGCCCTGCAGGATCTCATCACTTGAGGGATCTAATGCTAACTAAATACAAGGCCTCGGGCCTCTGGCCTGCGCAGAAGGGTAGAAGAGCTTAGGAAAATGACTGCATCAGGACGCTGCGGAAACGACTGATTTATCTTATTCAAAAATACCGCGCAACTACCGTTTCATGTCCTCTTCAGCCTGCTTCTTGACAATTTCTCTCACTTTCTCCCAAGAGTTCTCCACCGTTGTCACACGTGTTTCCTTCTCGGAAAGACCGGCGAACTCGGCAGGGAGCACCTTGTCGAAACTGAAATTCGTCTCGTCCTGCAAAGCCAGTTCAACAGCCGCTACAAACTTCGCGGGGTGGGCCGTCGAGAGCGAGATGTGAGGCATCTGCGGCCCCGTTTTTCCGATGGACCTCTTTGCGGCGGTTACGCCCACTGCCGTATGGGGATCCAGAACGTAGTTTACGTCATGGTAGAGATCCTTGATAGCCTGAATCGTCTGGGTGTCTGTCACGCGCTCGCTCTCGAACGTGCGACGTGCACTCTCCAGCACGTCCTGGTAGACGGGACCGAAGCCTCCCTTCTTCTTGAGGTCGGACAGCCACAGCGCGACCTCCTGTGAAGCTTGTCTCTTGTTCCATTCGTCGTTCATCCCGGCGCTCGAGGCGAACTCGTAGGCAAGATACCAGAGCAGACGCTCGAAGTTGCTCGACACCAGAATGTCCATGGCAGGGCTCAGCGTCTCGCGCACGCCACCCTCATGGACATTCGCGCCGTTGACTCTCAACCCTCCCTCCACCTCGGGCCCCCGAGCAGGCTTCGTCTCATATCGGCCTGTCTTCCAGAACCGATCTAGGATGTCGTTCTCGTTGGTCGCAACGACGAGCTTCTCTATGGGAAGGCCCATACGACGGGCAAAGTACCCGGCCAAGACGTCGCCAAAGTTGCCAGTAGGAACCACAGCTCTAACCTTGTCGCCGATCTTGAATGAGGGAGACGTTCTGGCCAGGGCGAAATAGGCATGGAAATAGTAAACGATCTGGGCTAAAATCCGCGCCCAATTGATCGAGTTGACTGCCCCGAGCTTCAGCGCTTGATTGGTGTCGGGGTCAGCGAACAATGCCTTGACTATGTCCTGGCAGTCGTCAAACGTGCCCGTGACGGCCATATTGTGGACATTCCCATCCAAAACGGTGGTCATCTGCCTTTCTTGGAACGGGCTGACACGACCTTTCGGATGCAAGATAAATACCGATACATCCTTCTTGCCCCTGAGACCATATATCGCTGCGGATCCAGTCTACAGATGTCTTAGTGCCTTGGCTAGAAGGGATCTTGATATGGGGGGAGGGGGAGTTACATCACCGCTCGTCGCGCCGACAACAGTCAGATGGTGCCTGTCTACGAGCTTGTCAGTCCCCTAGTCACAAGGTCCCCCGATCCGAGCTCACCGCGGCCATTGGCACAGTTTAGGCGCCTCAGTTGTCCCACTCACCTTTGCCTTCTTTCCCCTGGTTCCTCCGAACAAGGAAATACTCGAAGAGGTTGCCCAAGAATTGCAGGGCGCCTAATAGCTCGTCAGCTTCGCTGAAGCGACCATGGTTGGTTATCCATGACGGAGTGATGTTTATATGCACAATCTTTGAAGGAATAACTCGGCCCATGGAATAGTTCCAGAAGATACAGGTTGTCCTGCAGGTGGACCAAGGGTGTAACCTCCTTCGCACGGAAGGTCGAGTAGCTTCGGTCGAGGATATCTTTCAGATCATCTGCGGGGATCTCGTCGGTCGATATGTACAGGCTGAGGATCTGGAAGGCTAGTTCGGCGTACGACAGGTCTTTCCAACTTTGCTAAGGCAGGTATTTGGCATTAGCCATGCGAGTATACAAACGGTGTTGGAAGCGACAGGAAATGCTTCCCAAGAGTACGTACCCAATCTGTTGCAATTGGGACTTCCTCGGGTAAGAAAAGACCACCATCTGCCGCGAGTCCCTTCAGCACAACAGTCTCAAATGAAAGCTGCGAGAATTTAGTAGGTTGTCGAGATGGACTGGGCGTTGAGGAATCGTTACGCCGTAGTCACCACCTCTCGTGGAGAGGTAGGTTTGCGAAGGAGTATGAGTCTCTCGCGCTGATGTATCCGCCATGATGTGGACAATGTCTGTCCAACCGGTTTGGAAGGGTAAGGAGGCTGGATAGCTATGGTTTATATGTCGTTCCGTCGGCAACTTTGGCTGCCCCTGGCATGACATGGAATTATGTGGTGGGAAAATTATTCTTGCGTTGTCTAGATACCTGCCCCTCTGTGACAACCCCGCTGTCCGGCGATCCCCCACTTTTACAATTGTGACAGATTGGAAGCTGTGGCTGGTTCAGCTCGGCGCCACAGTGAAGGAGCTAAAGGTTCCGGAAAGGAGCTAAAGCTCCGCAAGAGCGGAGGACCTGTTAATTAAATTGTTGACCCTGACCAGCCAGCAAGTTGGAGTGCTCAAAAAGCTACGTCGGAGGCTGTCAAGCCTCAGGATGATATGCGGGGGTTTACGGCCGTTAGTTGGAGGGACTTTCTTCAAGATCGGTGGGGTAGAAATGACCCAGGCGGCTTTGGTTTCAGAGGAGAAAACGAGGATCTCTGGCTAGAAGATGCTGAAAGTATCTTGGAGGTCTTGATATTATTGTCGACTGACCAGGTTCATATCGACCAGCTTGGAGTGTCCCTGAAGAAGCAAGTCGCTGCTTGCATCAAACTCGCCGTCAGCCATTTCCAAACCCCCCCCCCCCCCCCCCCCCCCACAAAAAAAAAAAAAAAAAAAAAAAAAAAAAAAAAACCTCCTCCCCCAACGCTTGGACCTTAGACTAAGCTATTGCCTGGCCTCTGTCCTTTTCGGGACGGGGCTCTAGAAGGTGTTATTGTGCAGGCTGCAGAGCAGGCCCCGTGAGCACGGCCTTGGGGGATTCTGTGAGAGGATAATGTAGACAACATGTTACTCGTTGTCGATAAGACAGACACAGCTGTCAAGAGACTGCTGGAGGGGTAGGAGGTTTGGTCCACTACCAACCTGCCATTCATCAGCTTGTTCATGAGATGAAATGTTGGTAACTAATATGGATGCTAAGGTGAGACGACTTGGGGAAATCAAGACTCAATAGAGCAGAGCATATCGCAAACGGTGGCCAGACGTAGTCAGTCAAGAAAAATGGCAGATACTACGATGTGGGAGTCAACTCGAAGGTCGTTGACTATATATATCTCTGTATACATTAAGACTAAAGACCCGAGTATATCTACTAGGTCAACGTGAAGACTCTTTAGACAATCCCACTTGTTGCCACAGCGCCAGGACCCAAGTCTCAAAGATTTCTCAAAATCCAAACCTTGACCCCCAAGATAGAGCCTGCCACTCCTCTCTCTTTCTTTGCCTTCCTTCTGACGTTTGTTCCTGAGTCATCACCGTTCTGACAAGGCATGCTGATTCCAGTGCCGACATCAAGAAGAGACAGGACGACGCAGCCTGTAAATAATTAGTCCTTAAATACCGCCAATCTGATCGTCACAGCTGCGATAAAAACAGCAACCTTAGAAAAGCGCAATGCCTACCACGGTGTAAGTCAAATAAGACTTGAAATTTGGATTCTGTCTTGAGACTTCGATAGTGCACATACCTCTCTCTCTGTAGAATACATCAGAACCAATTTTTTTTTTAATCTTTTGCAGCACCAACATCAAGTAATTTGCTTCTGCACCTGAATTCTGGCCAAAGAGTGACGTTTAAGCTAGTGAGGTCTCTCGTTGGATAGGACAATTCTAGAAAGGCAAAGACTTATTCAATCATCTCCCTACCTATGATTTAATTATTTTCTTCCCCCAGTTCGTTTTGAAAAAGAAAGAAAGAAAGTCCAGACACACCTTGAGAACTTTTTCAGATGCATAGCCAGAAAATATTACATGAAATAGTCTCGTCACAGGGCCGTTTCTGCAGTCAGCCAACCTTGGTCTCTAATGAACACTAGCCTCTGTTGAAGAAGCCCGTCAATTCAGATTGACAAGGCCGTCTTAGACCATTGACAGTAGCAATATACTAGCACTAAAGTTCTAGGCACACGGCACTTGAAAGTCATCCCCCATCAGAACCTCGAGGACATATGTGGACACAATAAACAAAAGCTCATGTTGACTTTTTTGGCGGAGGCAATGCGGTTCCAAAGCAGCTGCGCTCACCAGCGAACGCAGAAGGCACAGACTATATACAGCCTTTGGAAACGCAGTCCAGTCCTCCTTGGGGGGTATTTTATACTATGTCGTCGGTGACTGAGCAGATTCGACCAGAGACGGACACTGCAACAGCCTACTCGCACACACAACGTCATACCAAGCCGCACATCATCCACCCCCGGATATTCCCCTCGCCCCACGACGTCACCCGATCATCTCCTGCCCGCTGCAAGCTCAGATGCCCCCAGCAGTCAGGGTTATCCCGGCCTTGGAGAGCAGAGACGCGAGGAGCTGCAGCAGACTTGCGTTGCCGACGATGGCGGTGCCACCGGCGGCGGTGCCCGCGCCCGCTCCCGCGGCCGCACCACCGGCGGCGGCGGCGGCGGCGTTCGGGAGGAAGATGCCGAACTCGCCGTTCATGTTGGCCACCTTGAGCGAGAGCTCCTTCTCGTCGGCCTCGAACTCGAGCTCGCCCACGTCGGCGCCGATGATGAACGTGTTGGTCTTGGTGCACAGGCGGCCGATCTGTCCGGTGCTGATGTCCAGGGGGCCTGGGGAGGAGGACAAAAGGTTAGCAACCTGTCTGGTTTATCGATGCAGGGGGGTTTGCTTCTTCTTCTTCTTCTTCTTCTTCTTCGGCGGGGGGAGGGGGGGGAACTCACTGTCTGCGTTCTGGATGTAATCGACCTTGGATACCGTCAGGTTGTCGGCCGAGCCGCCGCTCAGGGTCACCTGGAACGTCGACTTCTCAATAGCGGTGAATCCCGCAGGAGGAGGAGGTGGTTTCTTGTTCTCGACGACGGTCAAGGTCCGGCCGTCGATGTTTGAGAATTCAATCTCCAGCACGCCGTTTTGCTAGATCAGTTGGTGTTGGAGTCAGTATTATTGTGTGCCCCATATGGATGCCAAGGATGGAAGATGTCTGGTCGTAGAGTCGACATGGCAGGGGACTGGCACTAACCCCTGGTGGGAATGTCGTGTCCTGTTGGATGTTGCCTCCCTTCAACGCGACCTTGGTGTTGAACTGGGCTGTCTGGTCTATCTTGTTCGGGTCTTCCGCCTCTTCAGCCCGCGGCAGCAGGGCAATGCGCTGGCCCACGGTGACTCCTCCTGATCCAGGGGCTGGCAGGGCGGCGACTGAAGCGAGCACGCAGGAGAGAGCGGCGAAGAGGCTAAGCTTGGTCATTGTCACGGAGGTGAAGACGGACGGATAAAAAAGAATGGATGGAAGTGAAAGTTGAAAAGAGAGCGGACCAGCCGGAAAGATGCCGAATGGAAAATAAGAATTGAAGATGGTCGAGGATCACTTGCTTTTCTGGAGATGAGATCGACGATGGGGAGAAGCTTGTCCATGATGGAGGAGTGGTTAAGTCTTTATACACAACCAGAGCCAAGATGTTTTCGCTCATCATCGAACCAACAGCGCTCCTCCAGGCCCTGTCCGCCGCTGAGATGATTGCACTGCCAAGTGCCAAGGATATAGGTGGCTAGCAAGAGCCCCAGGATGAAGCACTCGTGCCGTGGGGCAAGCGGACTAAGCTGTGGCCATTGAAACCCGCCAAGCTGGGTATTGGAGAGCCCGACCAGTAAACTCTGGACGCACATGAGATCGAGTGAGTGCCCAAATCAGGCTGCGAGCCGCAATGGGAAAGTGGACACGCCACTCAAGAGCTTGGCTCGCAAGGACCTGCCCCCTGTGTCGCCCCGCGTGGCTATTTTGGTGACGGGCGCCACTCCGTCCATCCTTGGAGAAGGGCACAAAGAAGGGCCTGGTAGTTCGCGGTTTGATCGACTCACAGCAAGCGAGGGTTTACAGTGCACGGGCGAGATTTCCAATTTGGCTTCCACAAACAGGATCCGGGGATCAGGGCGAAACGCCGCTTAGTCTCGGACCTCGGCTTGGCTTGCAGGATTCTGGCGCGTCGTGGTGCCGAGTTCCGTCATCTCACGCGCAAAAAATGACTTTATTCCTACTACATGCCTCCGGGAAGCACATACGTAATGTACCAGCAGTAGCAATTTCAACGAGAACATTCGTCCAATGCCTCCCATGCAAAGACGGGAATGCGCCCTGTTACGGGGCCCGCCCATCAAGGCCCATGCCTCCCGAATTTAAAGTTCCTTGATTGGCCGCCCTAGAGAGACAAAGCAAAGAAATAAAACAACGTTGGAAGGGCTCTCTTCAGCCCAAACCCCTTTTCTCCGAGTCAGGTAGTGGCGGATACTGGGCGGTGGACCCCCCCCCCCCCCCCCCCCAGCTAATCATCCCGGACGACGACCAAGACAACCTCATGTCCTTCTTCCCCATGTGCCTTGCCGCCCAGCCACCTTTTTTCCTACGGACAGAAGGCTAGGCGAAAGGAGTGCCAAGCGTGGGACAAGTTGGCTGTGGCGTTTTCAAAGAGTCACGACAACCAGGCACTGACATGGTAGGTCATATCAGGTACTGCCTGGCATGATACATCAACCCATGGCTCCTTGGGCGATGCATCTTCGGGAGCCCTTTGGCTTCGCCCCGTATAGTCAGTCATGCGGGCCCTCTGCAATACGCGACATAGAATGGATAACGCATGGATCCCCCGGGGGAGGGGGCGGCTTTTAAAGAACAGCCCGATAAGCAAAGGCGACACAACATGGGATCCTGCACAGTCGAGTTGGGTCAAGCATAGAGGCTCCCATTTTAGTACCACATACATTTTGAATTAGTGCACACCATCTGCAAGACTTAGTCGGGAAAGAGAACAATTCTGACACTCGGCTCATCTACAATCTCTACCACACTATCGGGGGACAAAAAACAGTTTTGAGATTTCACAAATCGTCGACCCGGATGAGGACAGTCTTGGTCTCGAGGAAGTTGTCCAAGCTGTGCAGCCAGCCCTCCCGCCCCTGGCCGGACGACTTGTACCCGCCGAACGGCATGTCCCTCGCTGTGGAGGGGCTCGTGCAGTTGACGCCGACGTAGCCGCTCTCGAGGGCCTTGGCGACGCGCATGGCGCGGTCGATGCTCTTGGTGTAGACGGAGGCGTACAGGCCGAACTCGGTGTCGTTGGCCCACCGGATGGCCTCCTCCTCGGTCTCGAACGTGTTGATGTTGGCGACGGGGCCGAAGATCTCCTCCTTCATGACGCGCGCGTCCTCGGGCGTGTCGAGGAACACGGTCGGCTCGACGAAGTAGCCGTTGGTGCTCTCGAGGTTTCCCTTGCCGCCGAGCTCGAGCTTGCCCGACTTCTTGCCCTCCTCAATGTACCCCATGACGTTGTTGTACTGCACCTCGTCGGCCTGCGGGCCGTGGTCGACGTCGCCGCGCGTCGGGTCGCCGGCCGTCACCGACGAGAAGGCCTTCTTGAAGGCCTCGACGTACCGCCCGGCCACGCTCTTCTGCACGTAGATGCGCGAGTTGGCCATGCACACCTGCCCGCTGTTCCACTGGATGCTGTGCGCCGTCTCGCGCACCGCCCGCTCGATGTCGGCGTCCTCGAAGATGACGGCCGGCGACTTGCCGCCCAGCTCGAGGATCACCTTCTTGAGGTTCGACTTGGCCGCCGCCTCCTGGATCAGCCGACCCGTGCGGCACGAGCCCGTGAAGCTGATGGCGCGCACGTCCATGTGCCGCGACAGGGCCGCGCCCGAGGGCATGCCGTGGCCCGACAGGACGTTGAAGACGCCCGGCGGGAAGCCGGCCTCGGCGATCAGCTCGGCGGTCCTGGCGGCCGCGAGGGGCGCCTTCTCGCTGGACTTGAGCACAACCGTGTTGCCGGCGATCAGGGCGGGCGCGGCCTTGTTGCCCAGGAAGAGCAGCGGCACGTTCCAGGGGATGATGGCGCCCACGACGCCGTAGGGCTGGCGCAGCGTCATGGCCACGTAGCCGGGCGTGTTGACGCTGGCGTGGCCCTGGATCGTGGCCCAGGCCTCGGCGTAGTGCTCAAAGGTCCCCGCGGCGGCGTGCGCGTCGATGTACTGGTTGATCGGCCGGCCCATGGACACGGCCTCGAGGCGGGCGAGCTCGTCGCTGTGCTTGTGGAGGAGCGCGGCCAGGTTCTTCAGGTGCTGGCCCCGCGCGGCGGGGTCCAGACTGGACCATGCCGGGAACGCCGCCTTCGCTGCCGCCACGGCGGCATTCACGTCGTCCTCTGTGGCCTCGGGGACTGCTCTCTACGTAAGCCATGGTGCCCTTTCGGGAAGGAGTTGGGACGGGGTCATTCACCATCCGCGACCTTCTCGCGAGTTGCTGGATTGTAGATGGGGAACGTCTTCTTGTCGGATGCCTCAACGAGCTGGAAGCGGCAGAGCAGGTGAGGTTAGCTCGAGTGGGCGAAGGGGGGGGGGGGGCAGTCTCGTTACACGGAAGTGGTGGATCTTACCTGGCCGTTGATGAGCAACCGCGGCTTGATGTCGACGGAGGCCATCTTCAAGTTCCTTCAGAGGCAGGCGTAGAATTGACTGGAGCTGTACGGATCTGTAACCACTGCGGTATCTGAGGGAAAGGGCGATTTTTGTGCAGACTGGGGAACTAGGGAACTGGGGAACTGGGGAAGCTACATCTTGGCAGGCGGATGCTGGGGGGCGGGCCTTTATAAATAAAGGCCATTACGAGCCACATGTAACCCAGACTTATTACAGATCTGTGCCAAGGGGGGATGGCAGTTGTCACTGAATTGGAGAAACTGGCGGAGGCTGGTCGGAATATTGATTGCGACTGTGCAACATCGGGATTGTGGAGGAGTGGGTCCAACCCCCCTGGTTTGCGCCCGGGGAACGATCCTTGGCAAAATGGAACAAGGGCATAAAACGTGTCCAACCACGCTGCAGAGTTGGCCCATTTAGTTTAGCCAACTGACCTGGTCCCTCCAGAGCAGGAAACTCACCAGCTATTGTTGTTACTGAGCCCCATAGGATAGCATGGCTTTGCGTACTGGATTGCAATACCCGCTGAGAGAAGAGAGCCTTACTCAGCCCGGCGGGGTAAAAGCCGAAATCCCGAGAGACGGACATCGACCCCAACTGATAAACCCCGCAGTCTAGGTCCCGCACATGCGAGTTCCCAAGAAGAGCGCCTGCTCGGCAGTTACTATTGGTCGCGGCAACCAGAGATCGGCAGCATCCAGCCGGAGCACGCACTGCATTTGATATTCCTTCTACCGCTGCCGCTGCCCGTCGAATACGACAATTCCCAACGTGGCCCGAAACACTCTGAAGATGTCCTGTCCCCAGACCGAGATACGATGGCCTGGCTGCCTTTATAAGCACCGGCGCTGCAATCCTCCAGCAAGTGCTTCGTTAGAGTTGAAGAAACTTACGTCCGAGAGTGTATGGTCCAGGGTGCTAATATCGTGCTGAATCAGCTCAAATGACATGGCTTACACTGGACCGGGGTTGGGAGTGAGAGAATGTTGTCATTGTTAGAGGCAGTGCAGAAAAGGCCCGTTTACGTTTTTCACGTTCAAGAGGAGAAAGGTGGTCTCACTTAAACCTTTTTAACCTTCACTTGTATCAAACGGCAGAAGCGATTTAACGGGCCACGTAGGAGGAGGGCACCTCGGGCTGCAACCGTCGGGCAATGTTTGTGGAATTAGAGGTAGGAGAAGAAAGGGGATCGAGGGAGGGGATTGAGGGAGAAGAAAACAGGCTCGAGTCGTCAGAGAGGTCGCTTACCATGATGTTGTTCGCATTCGTATCAATTCGAAAGACAAAGGGCAATAGCACGCAACAGCTAGAACAGGAGACTGTATTTAGTGATGCCAAGAACTTGGGACTTACTCATCCGCAGACTAGTAGAAGGCGATGAGGTTCCCTCTTTATGCGTATAAGCAACAGATATCAAGTAGCGTCGGCAAGGTAGGCAAGAATCTACGGCAAGGGACAAGCCGTTGAGAGACCTCGTAGCTGTAACCATTGGCTGTTGACTCTACGAGTAAACAAAGCTAATTTTTGTTCCCAGTTACAAACTCAGCAAGGGTCTAATGCAACTAATAAACAGGGTTGCAATACGCTGCCCCTTCTCTTATTTTTATTAGTCCCATTAGGAAGAGGAATGCTCAGTCATCAATTAGATTGGCCCTTATAGCACAGCGGTAGTGCGTTACACTAGTATTCAACAAGTATATGTAAAGGTCCCTGGTTCAATTCCAGGTGAGGGCAATTTCTTTTTGTCTTTTTTATATTTTGTCACTCTCCCTCCTTTTCCCCCTCCAAAACGAGTCATATACTGTAGTGGTAGCATCAAGCCTGGCTCATGCGCAGTCTGGGGACAGCAAGAACCTTTACGAAGCTTTTCAACGATACCTAGTGACAAGCCAGTTGAGTCTTGCTTGTTTGTTGTGCAAGGAAAAGGGGATACCTCCCACATTGATCTCCAGCAGGGCAAAATGTCTTCGACGAGACTACTGAAGGACAATGTGGACTGGGCCTCTCGGCTGATGTGGAAGACTTGATGGAGTTTTGGGTGCTACCTCATCCAACCCTCGCAAAACGTAGAGAGAGAGACTTGGAGAATCTAATCGCGGCTGGACTGGACGCAACGGTTCTAAGAAGACGAAAAGCTAGTTTCGGCCACTGGACCAAGGAAGCCTGACGTGTAAGGGCATAAGGGCATTCAGTTACGCCGTTGTGCCACAACTTCACAGATCTCTCCGAACACGTCAATCATGGATAAGATGCATAAGGGAGAAATATCAGGCAACTTGAATTTCGCTAGCCGGCTCCCGAGATGATACCCTTTCCAGCACCCTTCCAGCACCCTTCACCAAGGGATCTCATCCCCCTGGTAGGAGAAAAATTTCCCATTGTCATCCTTACCCAGTCCGTGGATGACCTTCAACATGCCCCCAATGCTCACCTCGGGCTCCAGGATGGCCCCTTCCCCGCCCAGCCTTGTCTTCACCCAACCGGGATCGATCACGATCGCCACGGCGCCGGGGAACTTCGTCCTCAGGTCCCCGCTCTGGTGCACGGTGAGCATGTTCAGCCCGGCCTTGGAGATGCTGTAGGCGGCGCACTTTCGCGGGCTGATGCCCAAGCTGACGCCCATGCTCGCCAGCCCCGACGTCAAGTTGACGACCCTGACGTCGGCGGAGAGCATGCCCGCGCCCGCGAACGACTCGACGATCTTGGCGGGCCCGACGACGTTGATGCGCACCTGGTCGTACAGGGTCTCCGGGTCGATCTCCAGGCTGCTCCGCGACGACTGCAGGTTGACGCCCGCGTTGTTGACGAGGAAGTCCACCTTGCGCCCGTCCAGGATGCGGGCCGCCTCCCGCGCGAACGAGCCGATCGACTCGAGGGAGCCGACGTCGCACTCGAGGATGTGCGTCGTCGCCGACGCCGCCGATCTGAGGTCGCCCAGGTCGGCGGGCGAGACGGACCGGCTGGTGGCGAGGACCGTGTTCTCGGGCGAGGACGCGAGCTGCCGGACGAACTCGAGCCCCAGGCCCCGGTTGGCGCCGGTGATGCAGTAGATGGGCATTGCGGGCGAGAGGTGGGTGTCTGACGGTTCTGGCGATGTCGGGTTTCTTCTCACGACTTGAGTTCGAGGCTGAGAGAGATGAGAAGATATGGGAGCCCAACGTTGCTGGCTCGAGGCGTTATGATGAGTTTCAGGACAAAGATGTTGTGGGAGGAGGAGGCATAATTGCCTCGTTCCTCATTAATGCTGACCCAAGATCACTGTTGAGGATCCGCCCCACAAGGCCTATTGCCTATGTTACATCGGTACAGGACACTACAGATTACCCGTTTTCCCATTACCAATCCTTCGTTCACTAATTACTCCTCTCACCCACTGTACGATGATTCTATTTCATTCTACGAGGAAATCTGCTGGAACTAATAATAATTAGGTAACCTTAACACGTGAAGCCTGTTAGTCTCAATACGTAATAAATAGAATTTTGTTAGATTCATTTGGACTGAGTGATTGTGTCTAGAGGTGGAATTACATTATTCAGGGTAGGGGGCAGTCCAGTGGCCATTCAATCTGCTGGCTCGACAGACACTCATGCAGAAGAAGCAAGTAAGGATTGGTTGGGAAGAGCTAAGTATCGGCGTCTTGTATACTCGAATTCCCTTCGTCACAGCTACCTAATTAGTTCTTGACTTTGATTGAATTATGTGGTTATTCATGGCAAACATGTAGTTGGGAATATCAAGTGGATTATCACATTTCACTCTCTTATCAATCAGAAACCCGCGTTTAACGTGAGTTTGTCAGAGTCATTAAATTGTAGCTCATGGGTTACCATAGAATCATTCTTACTACACAGTGATTTGATGGGCATCTTTGTGAACAAGGGGATCGTTGATCTCATAGAGGCAGAGGGGAGAGAGAAATATGCAGGAATCTGTCTTCGATCCAACACCGATCTTCCCATGATTACAAGACATGGCATTCGATTGCGCCCTGAGTCGGCGTTTCTGCCACACCGAGACATGGATTGGCGATGCGAGTGGAATCACGCGCGGAAGATTGGCGACACGGCTCAGGAAGTTTGAAAAGGGGAAAGGAGATCAGTGACACAACTGAGACGTGATGGTATGCTGTACGTTAGTTTCGTGGTGAGACAGGGCTGGAGGGAGAGCCGAAGGGGGGTTAAGAGAAGGGGCAGGGGTTGGAATGTATAAGCTGGCCGTGATGCACTTTAAAGATGCGCTCCCCGCGTTCACACGACACTCTTGTGAACATGTAATTGGGGTTGAAAGGAAACTCAGCGGGCGCAAAATGACTTTGGACATATATTGGGTTGGACTCTTGCTTCTCCTCCCGAGCGTGGGCATCCTCCTGGGGAAGGATGTCCTCCTCCGCCTATTCCGCCATGTCACACGGCGAGACAGCAGCAACGAGGGCCATGAAAAACTCCGAGGGTGCGCAGAGAAGGACGACGAGGCGAGAAGATTCCGCCGTACTTTCCTCCAGGTATACCTGGTGGTGATGAGCGCGGAATGGCTCCAGGTAAGAACAAATTTAGCAAGCTCCCATCCATTTGAGTCAAACCTCTATAACACTCCCAAAAGGGGCCTTACCTATACACCCTCCTACGCGATGAGAAGAGCCTCGACGAGCGGACCGTTGCATCGCTGTACGTGACAGGCTACGTCGCCGCCGCCGCCTCCGCCCTTGTCGCCGGCTTCATGGCGGACAGGTACGGCCGTCGGTCGGCGGGCCTGGTGTTCTGCGTTGTGCACGCCGTCGCCTCCATCAGCGTTGTTTCTGACAGGATCGAGATACTCTACGCCGGCCGGGCCCTGGCCGGGATCGCGCTCACCCTCTTGTGGACCGTCTTTGAGAGCTGGATGGTGACCGAGTTCAACGCCCGGGGGCTGGGCGAGGGCTCCGTGTCTCTTAGCAGCATGTTTGGAATCATGACTACGTCGAACTGTGCTGCCGCTATTGTCGGCGGCGTGCTGGGGTACTGTATTGTGCTGGTTTCGGGGAGGAGGACTAGTCCTTTCCTGGTGGGAGTGGTAGGGATATTCCTCCTTCCGTCACCCACCACAGCTCTGGCGCATTGTTAACCCGTTTTAGATCCCTGATGTAGCTGCCGTGGCTCTATTACTCCGTACATGGGTATGAGGAACACCACAAGCGTGACCATTTCTCGCTCTCCCGCTAACCCCTTTACCTATCTGTAGAATGAGAACTTCGGCGAGGCCGAGGCCGATGATAAGTTGGGCGACGTCACTAAGGATTCCAAGAGGGGTACCCTGGGAGGTTCGCCACCCACATTCGTTCTTCCGACATGCAGCGACGGGATGCTAACTTTGAAGCAGACATCAAGGTGTGGATCCTAAGCTACGTCACTTGTTGCTTCGAAGGGACGAACTTCCTCGTCTTGTTCTACTGGCCAGGCCTCCTGAAGCAGGCTCACCGGCGGGACCACCCCGACGAGGCCGCCGAGCTACCGTACGGAGTCATTTTCGCGGCGTTCATGGCAGCGATGATAGTGGGCGCATGGTCGTTCAACAGAATTGTCCGGGGGAGGCCTCTTGGGTCAACGGACACCCCAAGGGGAGGAGTAGTCGCCGCACTCAGGGCTCTCCTATCTCCAAACGTGTTGCTGGCGGTGGTCATGCTCATTGCTGGGGCCAGTCTGTTCGTGGCTGTACGCGTGACACATGAGATATGTGTCTATCTCGCGTTCCTCGTCTTCGAGGTCTGCAATGGCGTCTACCTGCCAAGCATCGCGTATCAGCGTGGGCTGATCGTCAAGGAGACGAACCGGGCAGGGCTGTATGGGGTGATCAAGTTGCCGCTGTACATCGTCGTGATAGTGGCCCTGTGTACGACGGGCGAAGGTATGTTAGCGGAAATAGGAGACATGGAATATCCACTTACAATCTACAACAGGTGGGCATCACCGGCCGACAGTCTTCATTTCCTGCTTTGTGGTTCTGGTGACCGCTGCATTGGGTAGCGTCTTGGGACTCAGACCAAGGCAGCAAGAAGGACAGCCCATGGGAGATAAGTTCGAAGAGTGTATCAATGATAAGCTGAGGCCCGCCGAGGATTGTGAAAAGTGATGACAAAATAGACTTCATTCTGTGTTTACACGAAAAAGGGGGGTGGAGGACTTGGACATTCATGACTCACCCAGACTCGGGGGAAAGAACGGGATTGGAATTTGATATACCAATGCTTTTATATAAACCATACACCTATTACTTGCCTCTTGTACTCGCTTTCTTCTGAGGTCGCCCGACTGCAATTTCTTCCTCCTCGTCTTCCCATTCGCCGTTTGCTTCCATGGCGGCATTGATTTGCTCTTCGGCATCACCTTCCAAGCCCTCACTATCGAATTCGTCCTCGTAATCGAAGGCGTCGTCGCTGTCATCCACGTCCATCTCGTCCTCACCCCCGCCGCCTCCGTTCTTCTTCCCACCACCTCTGGCCTTCTCCTCCTCGGCCTTTGATTTGCGCTTCTTCTCGACGTTCTCCTTCTGCTGCTTCTTCCGCGCCTCTTTCTCTCTCCGGCGCTGCTCCCACCTCTTCTCGAGCTCCTTGATCTCTTCCTTGGTCTTGTGCACGTATTCGTGCCACATCACCTTGCCTGAGCAGATACCATCTTCCACCTTGGTCATCCTCAGCCGCATCCGGGGGCCCAGCTCCACCAGCTTGACAGCTCGGCGCTCGACATTGTCGGCTCGCTCGACTGAGTTCTGAGGGTCCTTCTCCTCCGAGGCGGCAGCGGCAGCGGTAGCCCTGGCTTTGGCCGTCAGGACCTTCCTCGGGGCCGTCTCCAACACCTCCACCTCGGCATCTGTCTCGACTTCGCTCCCGCTGGTGCCCTCCGTCATGTACCCGTCGCCGCCCTCACCGCCAATCATGTAGTCGGAAATATCCTGCAGCTTGTTCAGGTTCGGCAAGCCACCCTTCTTGCCCGTCTTCGCCTTGAGCAGCTTCTCGGCGGCGTTCAGTCGCCTGAGCGGCTTTGAGACCCCGACGGATTTAGTCGTAATCGCATAATGCCGGAAGTTGAGGACGAAGGATCCGTCGTCTTCTTCCGTTGATTGTTCTCTGTTGAGAAGCAGCACTCTGCGGATCGACTTGAGCGGGGTTGCCTGGGGGTTGATGGGAGGAAACAAGGACTGGAAAGCTGTCGTGGTCAGAGATTCGAGGTGTCTCGGTACTTTAGACTTTGCGTCTGAGGATGGGGTGGTAAAATTGTTCATCACAAGCTGCATATTCAGTCAGTTGAGAGGCCAGGGATTGACATTTTGCGACGGGTTTGTCTCATACCAACGGCGGAGTGCTGTATTCCTTCCCCCCTCCTTTCGGATGCCTCTGTGCTCTCTGAACATCCTTGCTCAGCGAATACTTCTCAACTCGGAAGTGGAAGGTAGGTCCACGCGGCGCAACAGCGAGTCGGAGGTTGGTGTTTCCAGATTCGGATCGCGAGAAGAGCAGCAGGTGGGTGACGCCGAGGGGACCGCACATGGTGACGTAGTCTCGTAGTTTGTTTGCTCGGCGCTCCTTCAGTCGACTGGCAGTACCGGGCTCCATCACTTGACGCACGTCGGAGGCCAATTGACTGACGTTGGACCCGACCTCGCCGGCTCCAATGCGAATGACCATGCTCTTGGGATCGCGAGCAGAGGCATGACCAACAATGTCCGCCGGAGTGGCGGGGTTGTTGGCTCCGACATGCGTCTTCTTCTTGGATCTCCGTTTCGCCATGTTTTCTTTGTTCTGTTTGCAAGACTATTATGTCGTGATAATGAAGGATCCTGGGATCCAAACTTGGTCCTCGAGAACTCAAACAGACGGACAAAAAAAATCGGTGGGGCATTCCTTATCGGGCGGTCCCACCTTCCGATAAGCCTTGGGACATGGACTAGGGTAGCAGCCAAACCTTCTTGAGAACAAAGTTTTGAGACATGCCCACCATTTCGATTCACAGATTAACAAACTCCCCAATTCTCGACCTCGACCTAGGAAAAGGAATAAAACAAGTAAGTACCGGGGAAAACTAGGTGAGGAGAAACATGTCTGTCAAACGGCAGAAGGTGTCGCACGAGTTCGGCAGTCTCCAGGACTCCGACTCTGGCCCAAGTCAAATCACCAAAGACCAATCTCCACCAACCTCGGAATCAGCCACCGTCGATGGGACCCCGAGGCAAGAGCCTGTTGAGGCTGCGCCGGAAAAGACATTCAAAGACCTGGTCAGTAACCGTGAGAGTGCGTCGTGTGCGTGATGTACGTGTGACTGACAACAATAGGGTATCGTCGACGCCCTCTGCGACGCCTGCTCCAACCTGGGTTACAAGCACCCGACCCCGATCCAGAGGGAATCCCTGCCGGTCGCGCTCCAGGGCCGCGACATAATCGGGCTCGCCGAGACGGGCTCTGGCAAGACCGCCGCCTTCGCCCTGCCCATCCTGCAAGCACTGCTCGAAAAGCCGCAGCCGCTCTTCGGCCTCGTCCTCGCCCCGACCCGCGAGCTTGCCGCTCAGATCGCCCAGTCATTCGAGGCCCTCGGGGCGTCCATCTCGCTCCGCTGCGCCCTGATCGTGGGCGGCCTCGACATGGTCCCGCAGGCGATCGCCCTGGGCAAGAAGCCGCACGTCGTTGTTGCCACTCCTGGTCGTCTGCTCGATCACCTGGAAAAGACAAAGGGGTTCTCGCTGCAGAGGCTGAAGTACCTGGTTCTGGACGAGGCCGACAGGATGTTGGACCTCGACTTCTCGGCGATTCTGGACAAGATTCTCAAGTTCATCCCCAGGGAGCGGAGGACATACCTATTCAGCGCCACCATGTCCAGCAAGGTAGAAAGCCTGCAACGGGCGAGTCTGAAGGACCCGGTGCGAGTCAGCGTCAGCTCGAACAAGTACCAGACCGTCGCCACCCTGCAGCAGAACTACCTGTTCGTCCCCCACATGCACAAGGACAGCTATCTCATCTACCTCGTCAACGAGTTCGTCGGCAAGTCAACCATCATCTTCACAAGGCAAGTCCACGAGACGCAACGGCTCTCCATCCTCCTGCGCTCGCTCGGCTTCGGCGCCATCCCCCTGCACGGCCAGCTCTCGCAGTCGTCGCGCCTGGGCGCCCTGAACAAGTTCCGCGCCGGCACGCGCGACATCCTGGTGGCGACCGACGTGGCGGCGCGCGGCCTCGACATCCCCAAGGTCGACATCGTAATCAACCACGACCTGCCGCAGGACAGCAAGACGTACGTACACCGCGTGGGGCGGACGGCGCGCGCGGGCAAGTCGGGCCGCGCCCTCAGCCTCGTGACGCAGTACGACCTCGAGATCTGGCTGCGCATCGAGGCCGCCCTGGGGAAGAAGCTGGACGAGTACCCCGTCGAGAAGGACGAGGTCATGGTCTTCAAGCCGCGCGTCGAGGAGGCGCAGCGCCACGCCCGCACCGAGATGAAGGCCCTGGTGGACGACCGGGGCAACAGGGGGGCCATTTTGAAGGGCCGCAGGATGGGCAAGGGCGATGGGAAGAGGGATGGTGGGAAGAGGAGGCGCGATGATATGGATGCCGAGGAGGGATGATGACGTTGATTTGTTTGTCTACCTAGGTACCTGCTATAGGTGAGGAATGTGGATGTGATTAAAAAAAGAAAAAGCCAAAAAAAAAGGAAGCGCATGTGGAAGGACAAACTGATGGCTTATGCTACCCCCCTTAACTACCAACGCTAAAGCGCGATGCAAATGTGTAGAATGCAAATCAAAAGCTCCATGCACGCAAACAATCTCAACGAATAACATATGCACCGTGATACCACCATCTCGCGGCGGTAGATCCAAAAACCGGGGGGCGGAATTATCCACACGGGACGGAGATCAAGCCGCCTCCCCAACCCCAACGTCGCTCAACGACCCGGAGTGTTGCGCCTGGAGCCGCACCACCAGCTCCGTCAGCCTGTCGATCTTGGCCTCCAGCTGCGCCAGGTGATGATGCCCCTCGGGCGCCGTCCTCATCCTCGCCGCCACCGCCACCGCCTCGCCGTCGACGACGTCTGTAGCGGCGCCGGCTAGGCCGGGCTGGTAAGACGAAGACTGGCGGGGGCCGTGCGCGGACGGGCGGACGGCGATGTGCTTCTTGGGCACGGCGCCGACGGGGGTGGTGGCGGTGGTGCCCCGTTGCGGCTGCTGTTGCTGAGGCAGGGGGCCCTTGAAGGTGGCGAACTGGTCGTCGCTGCCGCCGCCGGCACCCCGGCCGGACATTTGTGCGCGTACGATCTCGTAGAGCTGGATGGCGGCGACGATGGGCAGGTGCGTGGCCTTGAGCAGCAAGATGCGTGCGGCGCGGAACTTGTCGTCGGAGGGAAGGACGAGGCGGAGGGGCCGGAAGATGACGAGGGCGAGGAGGTTGAGGGGCGGGTAGAAGTGTGTCAGGCGGTTGCTGGTGGAGGCCTCGAGGACGTAGACGCTGTAGACGTAGAGGTACTCCTCGCGGGCGTGGGTGATGACGCGCGAGAAGCTGTTGCTCAGCATACCCGTCAGGGAGCCCATTAGGAGGATGGAGCTGAGGGTGACGAAGATGATCATGAGGGGCGGGCCGAAGATGGGGTCGATCTCGTGCATAACGTCGAAGCCGACAGAGGAGGAGCCGAAGAAAATCTTGGTCAGGACCATGGTCATGTGCTGGAAGGTATACGACTCGCGGCCGACGAGGGAGAAGGTCGTGAGGAAGCCGAGGTAGATGATGATGACGAGGACCATGAACTTGAGGAAGTCCTTGCCCATCTCTTTCAGGCATGGGATGAGCGTCTAATGAGTCGTGTGGTCAGGATCAACAGTTGTGCAAAAAGGGGGGCCCAACAAGACTCACTCCCCAGTAAGGACTCAAGCTGAGAATCGAGCAGACCCGGGGAACCATGAACAGCGCCTCCAACGCCAAGACATCAAATGCAATATCGATGAGATGCTCGTCACCCCTGGATAAGCCAATTATTCCTAGTTGTGCTTTAGCGGAAGCTTTGAGGAATGGTGGGAATACCTAAAACCTACTCAGAGCTGCAAAGACGATACCGATAGACATCATGATCATGTCAAACAAATTCCAAATATCGACGGTGTAGAATATAGAGCCGGCATCGATCCACTCACTCAGCTCATCATAGATGAAGCCTGCGAACCAGATGTAGAGCATGACCTCAAGGGAGGTGATCCGCTCCATATTTCTCTCCACGAGCACCGAATAATAGAGGAATAAAAAGGAGGCGAAAAAGAGGACCTCGAAGGACTTCAGATACTTGGGCACCCTAAGACGGGAGAAGATGTCGGCGGTCCGATGGTTGTAGAACCTCGGCTTCTTGGTCGCGTGCGTCGACAGGTTGTCCCAGAAAATGATGTCGCCGTTCCAGATGCCCGTGATGATCTTCTGCACGACGTTCTGGCTGAGGAAACGCTTGGCATCGGCGATGGCGGCAATCTCCAGGGCATTGAGGTTGACGAACGGGGCGGTCGGGTCATCCTCCTCGGCGTCGTCGCCCGTCATGGTCATGGTCAGGCGCGAGATGGACTGCAGCAGCTGGTAGCGTCTCGTGCTTCCAGTGGTCCTGCGCGCCGAGCCTGGAGTGTTGGTCCATGCCTGGATGAGGAGGGCGGTGTGCTCGTCAACGAAGTCGTCGCCACTCTCCTCGTCGTGGGCACCATCATCTCCGGTATGCTGGGGGTCGGGAATCTCGTACAAGCAGAAGTCCACAGCCTCCCGCTCGGACAGATGGGTCAGGAACCTCCAGGCCACGATCTCACAGCTGCTGGCACGGGCATCATTGAGCGCTTTGTCGCCACCGGCAGCTCCGTAATGCCATTTGAGTGCACTTGGAAAACAGAAATCAGCGGTGATACTTCGTTTCCGGGGCCACGAGTGGTGGTTCTGAGTCGGCAATGTCCAATGTCCAATGTCACGTAAAGTTGGAGCCTTGGCAAATGGATCGTGACCTACAGCAGAGCGTTCACGATGGCAGGGTTGGTGCAGGTGCAGCTCAAATGGTCGACCAAGACGCGGAGACTGTCACCAACCGAGGTGGTGCGAAGCTGCTCGAAGGTACTCGGCAGAGTTATGGCGTCGCTGATGTAGCTTCACCGTCGTGTTAGTTATGAATGCCGAGTCTTGGGCTGTCTTCGAACTCACAGTGATAGCTTTTTGATAACATCCCTGAAGCTATCGACATCGGCTATTTCCGGGAGGGCACCTCGAGCGGAGCGGGCCCCGTACGGAGATGGTGTCCGCGCTCCCGGCTCAACCTGGGAGAGTGGACGCGATTTCACTCGGATAGGCATCGTAATATTCCAACTGCCCGGTTGCCTGTGTCGTTCCTCCCTATCAGAATAGTGAGGACAGAACTAAGGACAGGTCGCCCACGCAAGGCACTCAAAGTGAACCCTGATGGCGAGGATGGATGGGTGGGGCTGATCTGCATTCCTACTCATGCTTGGAGATCTCCCGCCAAGGGGTTAAAGGGGCACGTGAAGCGCTAACAGGGGTTGGCGGGCCAGACCTTGGCATGATTAGCTGTCGCGGTCATTGGCGTGTTTCAGCCAGGCTGTCAGGGGGTGCCCCGCCTAAGATCGGGGTAGATCCCAATCCAAACTCCAAATCCTTGATACCATCGGCCTGTTTCTTGTGGTCTAAATATGTACGAATGATATACATAACTTGGCTTGAACTTGGCAAAGCTTGTCTGTCTTCTCATATTTCAGCCTACACAACTTTGCGGTCTACGAACGATATACATAACTTGGCTTGACTCGCCTCACCCTTGGCAAAGCTTGTCTATCTTCTTGTCGGACTGGGTCGGGCCGCTTTGATATTTTGATTGGCCCCCTTCCCCTATTCTTCTCACGGTAGGTACAGAGCAAGATGGAAGCAAGCATTTACCATGTTCAGTTGCTCCCTCCGGCTGCTACGCTGAGGGCAATTCTCACCAGGTAACCGCTATTATGTCGGTGGTTTCCATCAGTGGCAGGCGGAGACGTCGCCTCCGCCCTCAGTAGCCCGGTTAATCTGATCCATCTGGGGTATATGACCACTATGGAACAGCGCAGCCAATGCCTCGCCACCGGATTGGTATTCTCACCAGCACGGTCCGAGGCCAGGCGTCGATCTCGAGAATACTTATAAGTAAGTCATGGCCCCGGGCAAGTGCATCAGGTCACTCAGCTTTCCTCTCAAGCTCCCCGAGACGAACCATCTTCCTTGTGTTGTGGTATAAGATCAAGATCACAAAGTCTTTATCACCAGTTTCTTGTCATATATCCCCCTCGGCTTGATTCAGGATGCGGTACCTCTCAGTCCTTTCCCTCGGTCTGCTCTCTCTGGCCACGGCACTGCCAGCTGCCCAGCAAGTCGCCGCAGACACCTTTCCTGGCAAGAGCGGCACTCGTTTCACCATCGATGGCAAGGCCGGTTACTTCGCCGGCAGCAACAGCTACTGGATCGGGTTCCTGACCAACAACGCCGATGTCGACACCGTCATGGACCACTTGAGCCAGTCCGGCATGAAGATCCTCCGTGTCTGGGGCTTCAACGATGTCACTAGGGATCCTGGTTCCGGTACTGTCTGGTACCAGATGCTCTCTGCGTCCGGCTCTCAGATCAACACGGGCGCCAACGGCCTTCAGAGGCTCGACTACGTGGTGAAGGCTGCCGAGAGCAAGGGCGTCAAGCTGATCATCAACTTTGTCAACTACTGGGACGACTACGGTGGCATGAATGCATACGTCCAGGCATTTGGCGGGTCGAAGACTGGCTGGTACACCAACGCCAAGGCCCAGGCGCAGTACCAGACGTACATCAAGGCTGTGGTCAGCCGGTACATCAACTCCCCCGCCATCTTCGCGTGGGAGCTCGCGAATGAGTCCAGGTGTTCCGGCTGCAGCACCGATGTCATTACCAAGTGGGCCACCACCACATCCGCCTACATCCGGAGCCTGGACCCGAACCACATGATTACCCTTGGCGACGAGGGCTTTGGCATCCCTGGAGGGTCGAGCTATCCATATGGGACGAGCGAAGGCGTCGACTTTGTCAAGAATCTCGCCGTCAAGGATCTGGATTTCGGGACCCTGCATATGTATCCCGGGAGCTGTGAGTCCATTTCATCATCCATCCCCTGGGAATGTGGAGAACGACAGTTATTAATAATATTTTTCGTAGGGGGCGTCGACAACAGCTTCGGGCCAGGATGGATCCAGGCCCACGCGAAGGCCTGCGCGGCCGCGGGCAAGCCGTGCCTCTTGGAAGAATGTGAGTGTCAACCCCTTTTCCCTCCGAGCCATAAGCAATCGAATATGAGGACCAATTTCTAACGACAAACGTAAACACAGATGGCGTCAGTTCAGACCATTGCTCCGTCGAGAAGTCGTGGCAGGACGCCTCCCTGGCCCTGGCGACAAGCGGCATGAGCGGGGATCTCTTCTGGCAATGGGGCGACTCGCTCAGCAGCGGGCGGACTTCCGACGACGGCAACACCATCTACTACGGCTCGAGCGACGCCACGTGCCTGATCACGAACCACGTGAATGCCATAAAGTCGGCGGGAGCCTGATAGGTCTCCAGGGAGCTTGTAGGGAGAGAGATGGGATTCTGGGGGAGGGGTTCGCAAATAGGCAAATAGCCGCTTCATTTCTAGCCGCGGGGTCGGAGCTGTCCCGTCCGCCGAGAGAGGAGTTTAGCATATAACAAAAGAATCCTGGGATTAACAATTTCTGCATTCCCGGTACAGATACGACCCTGCCGGTGGATGTGTCGTGACCCCTTTTCTTTTTATTCTTCTGAGACTGTACGTTGTATATATGTTCAAGTGAGTCCGCCTAGCGGGCTGTGCATCTCGGAGGTCTCAATTTGGCGACACGTAGCACAGCCGACTTGTTCACGTAGCCTCCTGAGCCGATGCCATACAGCCGAAGTCAGCCCTATGCCTGAAGGTCAGACACAGCGAGAAATCATCGGCGCGCTGCGCGGGGACGCAAGCCAGGAAACCTTACTTTTTTGGTGACGTGTACGCAGCCACACTTGTCCCGTCCCGAAGATACCGATGCTTTTCACGATAGTTTTAACTCTCGTGTCTGGTTTTTGGACGAATAAACGTTCAGCTCAATGCCCATCGAGTTTGGTTGAGACTCGTCGTGGTTGAGCGACTGTGCAAGGGGCTCCTCGTTTTGCGTCGCCCCAGGTTGTGGCAAGACACTCGACCAGCCAGCGGAGATAACGGGATGTACACCCTCAAAGGTCGAATGGGACAGGGTATCCCAATCCCATGTTAGATTGCCAGGTCGGACGATGCCCGCGGATTGTTGAGACGACATGCTTATGGGGTCTCCAACTCCATTCGGATCTATATGTAGACGAGAACTGCCGGGCGGCATCTGGTGGCGACGGGGTGCGTGCACAGCCGCCCTGACTGCAAGCTGTCTGTGGGCCTACTGTGTACATATGTAGTTGGATCGGTCGGACAACGCCCGGATTTCCCCCATGTTCTGCTTAGAGTTGGGGCTTGAATGCCCTAAAACATGTTGAAGGTGCGGTGAGGATGAGGATACAGAGATGTACGCAACTTCCAGGTAACTTGATGCACGCATTGGTGACAGGACATTAGCTACTGTGGCAACAGTTGTGGCCCAAGATCCAACGTCGTGTTACCACGATCTCGGGTCCCAACAAACAGAAACACAAGATCGTCTACTTGGTGACCTGGGATCGGGGAATTTATCAGCGGCTTGATTTAGAATCGGTCCAACAGACCCAGGCTCCAGGGCAAGCGCGCGCAACTAGTTTTCGATCAGAAGCACTAATGTGGGTGGTTGGGTCGAAGCCTCAGTGGTCAGCCTCAACCTTACTAGGCCCCATTGTAACGGTATGACCTCATGATTGGATGCATTCGAATGGCTAAAAAAAGAACTAGCAGACTCTCTGCCGAAGGGGGCAGGACAGCTGGGACTCGTGTTGCATGTGGCAAAAAGCTGTCTGGCTTGCATACTACCCCATTTCTTCGCTGATATTGAAGTTGAGTCGTCCCTTCGCGGTGTAAACTTCGAACTTGGGGGGGAATCATACTGTAAATAGTCCATTTGGGTTCTAGAGCCGGGCCTAATACATGCGCTAGGCTCTTCACTACCCGGAGCGGGCCGGGAAAGTCGACTCCATCGCTAAGGCAACCGGGAACCTAAATTGTTCGTCCGAGTCTGTTGAGTTTCGCCTACGGTTGCTTGGCCAATCCTTGCATTCCACTGCTGGCGCCATTCGACTTCGCCCTGGTTCAAACACTGGATCGTTAGATCTCCGCCAGGCATTCAGGGTTACTTCTGCAAACTGAAGTCAATCCGCACTGACATCAGCGATCCAGGATCCCTGTGAACCCTGCAGAAACAAGCCGGATCCCTGCCAACCAGGGATCGGGGGCCGATGGATGCGACATTGACCGGACCCAGAGACGTTGTTCGCCTCCTTGCCGCTAACACCCCAGTCTGTGGCTGATTCTATGCTTCTTTTCCTTCTGGCACATCGCCCTTTTCAGCTCCTTTCCTATAAGTCGGAGAATTCAAGCATCTGGTTTTCTGGCGATTATCCTGCACATTCCCGGACCTCGACGTATCACACCATTGTTACCGTTGTTGTTTTATTAGGGACATGTCCCTGCGGCCACCGTCATGAGATGTGATATCTTCCTCCTTCTCCCCTCCCCGACGGCCCTCCTCCTCCTCGCCAGCGTCTTCGACCTGACCTCGGCGCACGCCATCCACAACCAGCCGCGCCAGACCTCGGCCGACCGTACCAGAACCCTCCATACTCTCGACATCGTTCCCTTCCCACCCCTCCCAACCTCCCCGCCGCTCTGGCCGTTCCAACTACGCCGCCGCCAGCAGCCCAACACGATATGCGGATACATCGGCGGCAACCCGAATCTGCCCGCGACGTGCAGCGCCGGCTCGCACTGCGTACTCGACGCCGGCCACGGCGCCGTCGGGTGCTGCCCCGACGACCAGGAGCCGTGCACGACGGGCGTCTTCACGGCCTGCGTCGACCACAACAGCCCGGGGCGTGATGACGAGGCCAATGCCGACGCCTACGCCTTCACCTGCAGCGGCAGCGACGTCTGCTACCGGAACGAGTACGAGGGCGGCTTCTTCCAGTTCGGCTGCGGCTCCGCCACCGACCTGGCCGCCACCGTGTTCGCCACCGCGACCGGCATCACGGAGGCGGTGGACCCGCCGAGCCTGAGCATTGAGTTTGTGAATACGGCGAGTGGGTGGACGGGTAGCTGGAAGGTGACGTCTGCTAGCAGTCCAGCCAGCAGCACCGGAGCCAGCAGCACCGGAGCCAGCAGCACCGACAGCAGCACCGGAGCCAGCAGCACCGGAGCCAGCAGCACCGACAGTAGCACCGGAGCCAGCAGCACCGACAGCAGCACCGACAGCAGTAGTAGTACCAGCGGCACATCAACGAGCAGCACCCGAACCTCATCCCCAACACCTACCCCATCATCAACTTCTCCTTCTTCAACACTCACACCACCACCACCCGCGGCAACAGCAACCTCCGCGCCCCCGACGGTCGACCACGGCAGTTCGTCGAGTCGCACGGGCGCCATCGTGGGCGGCACCATAAGCGGCGTCGCCGCGCTGATCGCGCTGATCGCCGCGGGCATCTACCTCTGGCGGCGGCAGCAGAAGCGGCTCAGCAACCGGCGGCTCGGGCCGGGCGTGGACCCGCACTCGACCATGACCGAGTACATCTCGCCGGCAGGCGGGGGCGGAGGCGGAGGCGGTGGCGACATGTCCGGGGGCGGGTTCCAGCCCGTGCACCAGAGCTTCGAGGCCTGGGAGACGGGCCTGGCGCCGGGCAGCACCGCGGGGTCGCGGACGCCGCCGCGCAGGCCGCAGAGGCCCGAGTATTATGACCCGTCGGACGTGATGGCGGGCGGCGGCGGAGAGGCGGCGGGCGATATCGCCGATGGGGGTGACCGGCTGCATGGAGACATGGTGCCCCTGACGAGGGAGATTGATGATTTCTCGAGGGGGTTCCAGGACGCGCTGGGGAGGATCGACGAGGATGACCACCGCGGCATCGGTGGGGGCGGAGGGCCGCAGGGGGGGCCGAATGGTGCGGGCATGGTCGGGACGGGGGGCGGGGGTGGTGGTGAGTCCGGGGAGGCGGATGGGGAAGAGCGGCCGCTGTGGCAGCAAAATCGGAGGTTGAGCCGGAACATGATGTGGATGTAAACTCTAAGGGGGACTCGGCTGAAGAGCCCGTCATCGGGTTTTATTAATGTGTATGAGGCATGATCAGACCGGGTTCCTGCCCGGATTCACTCGGGGGTGATGATACCCGGGGCGCACGGCTTAGAAACATTGGCATGGAGTTGGCGGCTTATTGTATTGGTAGTTAGACAGAAATGGCTTTGTTGTTCGTTTGGATACATACATATTAGCTTTTGGCGACCCCTTTTTCTTGGACTGCCCCATCCACTCAAAGGGACCACTGGCTGCAGCCACCCGCGTGGGGTAACCAGTACAGACTACCTACATTATAGTCCGACTGAAGGTGTTTCACGTCTTCTAAATCGTCGCCAAGCCGTGAGCAGGAACAGACCCTTCCTGCTGATCATGCCCGAGATGCTACCTGGTTCGGGTGACGCAATCGGCTGGTGTGATCGACATCCATTTCTCCATGCTAGCCTTTTTGGCCGCCTTCGTGCCCTTTTGATCGCTATCAAATTCTGTCAAGCAGCTGAATGGACTCCCTGTAATTCTGGGGGAGACGGTTGGGGTCAACGGGAAGGTGATCACCGGCCAGAACCATGCGAGGGTTGTCGGGGAGGCCATTCTAAAGAAGCCAGGTCCCATGCTCCTCCAGCGAAGCGTTTGTGCAGGAGCAGTAGGAGTCGCATGGTCTCGCTGAAGAAACACGCCCCGAATTGTAGGAGACGAACACCCGTTCGCATGGAACGGGCTTTGCAACTTGCTTGAAGGCTTACCCAGGATCCCTTGATGTTGCAAGCTTATGGGGCCTGTAGAGCCGTCTTGCTTCCTGAGAGCCTCAGCTAATAATATGAATGGTCAGTCTAGTTTCCCACCTGTTTGTGTGTTTATTGTACTACCCCTGTTTTCAAGGCCGAATCTAGCTCCCTCCCCTGGATCAATACCAGTCACGATGGTTAGAGTCATTATTCAGAATGGCGAAGCAGGAAACACTGCCTAGCAGGTGAGCTCTGTAGAATGGAACAGGGAACGGATGGAAGAGAGGTGACTTTTGCCGTTTTACAACTATCTCGGGTATGTACCCTTAGTCTCCAACGGTCCTCCGATGATCAAGTCTTTCTGGTGCCATGCCAGCAGCAGTTACATATTCCCACAATATAGGCATCCCCAGTCGCCAGAAACGCCATGTACAATTTCCCTTGCAGAGGGCCACCTCCACGGAAAGGAACGAAGCAGGAAAAAAGTAGAATCAGTCCCAAGTCTGGCCAAAGTCGGGATACGGGATCAGCTCCAGGATCTTCTGGTGCCTGTCCCATTGGATATTCGTCAAGACATCCTCAATGGGGAAAAGGGTCCAAGTCGGTGCCCGCTCCCTGCACTGGAAGCAAGTCTCGGCGAACCGCAGGCAGGCCGGGCTGACGCCCATGTCCTCGTCCAGCTGGACGCAGATATCGTGAACGCTCATGGTTATTTCCCAGGAGGCCGCACTGGGGAAGAGGCCGACGCCCATCAGCGCCGTCGTCAAGCCGCCCATGCGGAGCGCCATGCAAGACGCGCATCCGTACAGAGCGAGCCTGTGGATCCAGATCTTGATGCCCTCCTCGGCCTCCTTGATGATGTCTGTGAGGCAGGCCTCGCGAGCTTCGAGAATTTGGTCTAGGAGAACCAAGTACGGGGTCGTTGATTAGCAGGGGCCCATCAAAACGACACGTCCAGTGGCATCGGGAAAACCCCCCCCCTATCCATGGAAGCAAAACTTACCGAGAATTTTCTCTCCGCAAATCTCCGAAAACAGCGGTCCACCATCGGGCCTGACAAGCAGCGACTGGCCCCCCGGACCCGGGGCGGTGCCGCACAGGAACACGAGCCGGGCGGCGAGGTCGACGTAGTAATCGGCCCAGCGGAACACCCGGCAGGCCTCCAGGGCCTCCTCCCAGACGGCGTCGCCGAATTCCAGGCCGGGCCCGCGCAGAGCTTCGGCGACGAAGTAGCCCATGTAGTGGCCCAGGCGGTTGACGACGCGGGGCGCGAGGCCGAGCGTGGGCTGCATCTGCGCGAGCTGCCAGATGGTGCGCACGTCGACGCGGTCGGGGGCTCCGCCGACGGGGCGGCGGTGGTGGACGATGTCGAGGACGGTCCTCAGGGCGCCGTCGAAGTCGCCGCGCGGGCCGTCGAGCATGGGGAGCGTGCCCCCGAAGTCCAGCTCGTAGACGCCGTGGATGTTGTCCGCAGCCTGGCGGGACCACCAGCCGCTGAGGTTGGGGAGCTGCGCGGCCTGCACCTGGTACTGGTGGTATTGGCCCTGGATCTTGGCGACGATGACGGTGTCGTCGGCCGCGCTCGTGCTCACGATGGACTGGTTATTGGGCAACGGGGCAGGCGGGGGCGAGGGGGAGGATATAGGGCTGATATCCATCATCTCTGAACCCAGGTCCATATCTTCATTATTCATCTCTGTATCCATCATCTCTGTATCTTGCATCTCCGATGCACGTTGGGGTGGTGGCGGGGCTGTGTTTTCTTGAGAGAACCTGTCACCTGGGGGTGTGTAGGACACAAAACGCGGCTGGGCCAAGTCGAGGTTGCCACTATTGTCCTCGTCCTGGGCGTTGGGAGTGACCTTTCCGGGGGCCTTTGGCTCTCCAGCCGGCTTTGGATTCTCAAAGCCTGTAAAGACAGGCTTCGGAGGAAGTGGGTGCATGGTGAGATCTTTCCGATGGAAGCCCAATACTGCGGCTATTGAAGCAACTAGGGAGAACCCCGTTGAGGTAAGGTTTCTAAGGCTGATGCCCTCGAATTCAGGAGAATTTACTAGGCAAAAAGGGACCACCAACCTCTAGGCTCGCGATGGGTTTCGTGTTGAGGGTGAAGATGTGGAAGAATATTTGCAGTGTTTTTCCAGGTCCTGGATATTGTGTCTGAGTTCGAGGTAAACAACATAAAGCGGAACCAGGCTGTCTCGGGTTGGACACTGCATCTCGATTCGAGGTAAACAACACAAAGCGGAACCTGTCAGTCTCTAGTGGAACACCTGCCTCTCGATTCGAGGCCAACGAGGTCGAGAAGGCCACATGTGTGAACTGATAGAGATCCTTGCCATAGACAGGTCGGAAGTAAGAATAGAAGACCAGTCAGTTTCAAAGAGAACCGAAAAGAATATGGGAAATACATTCAATGTGGTTCTAGAAGGGACTCTCAGGGGTAACTATCTGATACCCCTGAATTTGTAAGGCTACTTACTATGTTGATAATCCAGGTAAAGCGCACCAGCCACTATGTGAAGAGCGAAGTTCTAGTTACAATAAGGGTGAAGGTTAGGACTACTTATATTCTAACTTGTGGTTGGATCAGCAAATCTGCATTGCTTATTTCTTGCCGATTTCCTTGGCCTGGTGTTTTTCTATCTGGGGCTAAATAGTGCGTCGACAATGTGCGTTCGCAGGATGACAGGATCCATTGTCCAGGAGTGAGATGGAAACGAAGGGGAGAAAAAGAACAAGAAAAGGAGCAGACGTGGGCCAGAGCTGCTTGTGATCATGAAAGGTGGATAACTATATACATATGGTGGTTTCTCTCTTTCTTCTTATACTGCTAATCGGTGGGTGTGTTTGTTAGAATCATGCTTTTTAAATTTAGTTGCCCTTGTTGGTTGACCGGAGCTTTGTTCTAATAGTTCTCAGCAGTTGACTCAACCTACGCAACTCGCCGGGATTCAACAGTTCGTTGCTCTACAGTGGATAAGTGGTGATAAGGTATATCGTCTAGATAGATTCCATGATTAAGAAGAGACATTCGACGTTTCGTAGGTAGGGTCGAATATATCCTGACCGTTCTCTAAAAGACTATCCCCCTACAGCTTGCCCTTGGTTACAAGCGCTTATCACAAACCCGAGGACTACGGCTTTGAGTTGCTCCATTTTACACCAATTCACAGACAGGGCAAGTGCCTCGATGGGCGGCTTCTTGGCCTGGCACTCTGGATACCATTGTCACGAATCGTCATTCAGCAACTCGCCCTGTTTCCCCTCTCGGGAACTTGCCGAGAAGAGATGATACAGCCAGGCGGATCGGATGAGCTTCTAAGTTGACCATGAAACTCGAATCTAACGGCTATTGTCGTTGGGATACAGGGTACAGGCAGGTGACATGCAAGGCCAGTCTCGGACCTCCAGTCATCATTCAACGTCAACAATCGACTCACCACATAGAAGTCTCGGCTGTTCTGAGGCCTACTTCCGATGTCGGTACCAGCTGGAGGTGTTAGCAGTCTAGGCTGGCTCTCCATTCGTAGTACTTTATCGTAAATATGTCCCGGACTTCTTTGACGCGAAAAGTCTACGGTTGTTCGAGAGAGTGCTCAAAGAGATTGTCTGATTGAGGACTTTGACCAATTGGTGCTGTCAGCAACTTCCACCTGTTGCCAGCTGACAGAACCTAGGTACGCAGTATCGAGTTAGATATGCATCTAACCGAGTATCGGAACATCAGAGCTTATCTCCACGCGCTGCATCCCGCAGCTCCTCTGTTGTCCGAACTGCTGTCAGATAGCTCGTCGCCCGCCCGTCCGTGACCAGATATGGCTTACATTGCTCCTATACACCGGCCGAGCAGCGTGAGACATGCGCTTCAAATCCGATTGCTCTCTAGCGACGAGGAGAGCCTGGTCCTGGCGTAAAAGCTCTCTACCCCTCCATTCCGAGCTTCGAGGATGCTAATGTTGACCCCTAGGAAGGCCAACCGCATAGAAATATGGCGAGTCGCCGACGGTCTCCTGACCATGGCCCACTCAAAGGTCATCTACGGCACCATCTCCATGCTCCAGAAGCTCCGCCCCAAAGATTCGCCCACCGACCTCCTCTTCATCGGCACCGACAGGTTCCAGTTCTTCACGGTGGCATGGAACCCCAAGACGAACGAGCTAGACACGGTGCAATCGTTTGAGGATATCGGGGAGAGACACATGCGCGACTCCCAGAGTCAGGACAGGTGTCTGGTGGACCCCTCGGGGAAGTACATGGCCATGCATCTCTGGGAGGGTGTCCTCACCGTCATGCGGCTACTCATGAGGAAAGGGACAACCCTGACGCTGGAGTGGATGGAGCAGGTCAGGCTCACCGAGCTGTTTATAAAGGCCAGCACCTTCCTATATACCGAGACGGGCCACCCGAAGATAGCATTCCTATACCAGAGCGACTCCGAGTCAAACGACTCCAAGCTGGCGACCTACAGGCTCACCTCGGACGACCGGGACGCCGTGGCGTCAAAGTTCGACGCACTGAGGGACAGAGAGATGTCGATGGACATACCCGATTCCGGCGCCGCCATGTTGATACCCGTCAAGAAGGTGGAGGAAGAGCTCAAGCGTCACAACGTGCGGAACCCCTCATCGGCCAAGGCACATCTGGGTGGCTTGATCGTCCTCGGAGAGACGCGTTTGATATATATCGACGAAGTCACCAAGGCTACGGTTGAGGCGGGTCTCAGTGAAGCATCCATCTTCGTGGCCTGGGCCGAGTACGATGCGACGCATTACTTCTTGGCCGACGACTATGGCAGCATGCACCTCCTCACGATCCTGTGCGACGGCGTTGTTGTGACAAACATCGACGTGAGCTACATTGGGAAGACTTCGAGGGCAAGCTCGTTGGTCTACCTGGGCGACGACCTGCTTTTCGTGGGGTCACACTACGGCGACTCCCAGCTCTGGAGGGTCGACTTCGCCTCGGATGCAGGGAAGTACTTGCACCTGGTACAGGTCATCCCCAACATCGGCCCCATCTTGGACTTTGCAGTTATGGATATGGGGAACCGCGAAGGCGATAGCCAGATGGGCAACGAGTACTCGTCAGGTCAAGCAAGGATCGTCACGGGAAGCGGAGTCCACAAGGACGGCACGCTCCGGAGCGTCCGCAGCGGAGTTGGTTTAGACGATATCGGCATCCTCGCGGACCTGCAAGACGTCCGGGGGCTGTTCTCTCTCAGGTCACACGGTGCTCAAAAGATCGATACCCTCGTCGCATCTTTTCTTACAGAAACGCGGATATTTAAGTTCGACCCCGAGGGGGAGGTCGAAGAGGTCGAGCAGTTTAACGGATTCGACTTCGGCCACCAGACGCTGCTGGCAGCGAACGTGGTGAACGGGCGGCTCCTCCAGGTCACAACAGCCGGCGCGAGCCTCGTCGACGCCGAGAGTGGTGTGACGGTTGCGTCATGGGAGCCACGAGACGGCCAGACAGTTACGAATGCATCGGCGAATAGGAAGTGGCTTCTGCTGTCCGTCGACGGCACCTCTTTAATATCGCTGAACGTCCTCGAGGATCTTCAGTTGGTGCAGCAGAAGGACATCAGTGATAACGAGCAGGTCGCGTGCATCCACGTGGCTCCTGACTTGGAAGATGTCGGCGCGGTCGGGTTCTGGGCCTCCGGGACCGTCTCCCTGATAAACATGGCGACTTTGCAGGCGATCCACGGGGAGGCACTTCGAAAGTCGGAGGACAGCGCCTCTATCCCGCGTGATATTGTTGTTGCGCAAGTATTACCACCTGACGTGGCTGGGCCAACCTTGTTCGTTGCCATGGAGGATGGCAATGTAATCACATTTAGTATCTCTTTAGCGGACCTCTCCCTCTCCGGCCGGAAGAGTGTCATCCTGGGCACCCGGCAAGCCCGCTTCCATCTTCTGCCACGGCCGGACGGCACTTACAACGTCTTTGCGACAAGCGAGCATCCAAGCCTGATATATGGGGCAGAGGGAAGAATAGTCTACTCAGCAGCGACTGCAGAGGATGCCACGTGTGTCAGCCCCTTCGACACGGAGGCATACCCCGACTGCATTGCCGTGGCCACCGAGTCCCAGCTCAAGATCGCGCAGATCGACGACCAACGGCGGACTCACGTTCGACCCCTAGAAATGGGAGAAATGGTGCGCCGGATCGCGTATTCCCCAAGTGAAAAGGTCTTTGGCCTCGGTTGCATTCGGCGAGACCTTATCCGCGGCGAGGAGGTCATCCGGAGTTCCTTCAAGCTGGTGGACGAGGTTGTCTTTGACAAGTTGGGGAAGCCGTTCCCACTCGAGACTGCGTCTGCCGTCGAGTTGGTGGAGTCCGTGATTCGGGCAGAACTGCCGGATGCTTACGGCAACCTGGCGGAAAGGTTTATTGTTGGTACCAGTTTCTTACCGGACCCCGACGTCGGCGCCAGTAGCGACATTCGCGGTCGAATTCTAGTCCTCGGGGTCGACCCGGACCGGAGCCCCTATCTTATTGTGAATCATGAGTTGAAGGGAGCGTGCCGGTGCCTCGGGGTCATGGATGGCAAGATTGTCGCCGGGTTGACCAAAACTGTGGTCGTCAGCCAGTACGAAGAGACTTCGAATGCCTCAGGAAGGTTAATTCGACTCGCTTCATACCGCCCGTCAACATATCCGGTGGACTTGACCATCAACGGTAACATGATTGGGGTAGCAGACCTTATGAAGTCTGTGTCATTAGTCGAGTTCGTTCCCGGCAAGGACGGCAACCCTCCCGAGCTCGTTGAGCAGGCACGCCACTATCAATCGGCATGGGGTACTGCGGTATGCCATGTGGAGGACGAATCCTGGCTGGAGGCGGATGCCCAAGGTAATCTCATGGTGCTGAGACGAAACCCAGGAGCAGTTATGCTCGAAGACAGGAGACGCCTGGAGATGACCAGCGAATTTAATCTCGGTGAGATGGTGAACAAGATCCGCAAGATCTCGGTCGAGACGGGCCCGAATGCCATGATCATCCCCAGGGCATTCTTGGGAACGGTAAGAAATCCATCCGCGGACCGGAAATGAAGACAAGGGAGGCTAATAATGGAATGACTGCAGGTCGAGGGCGCCATCTACATGTTCGGCACTATTGCGCCGCACTCCCAGGACCTTCTGATGCGCTTCCAGGCGAAACTGGCCAATATTATCCAGACGCCGGGGAACGTCCAGTTCAGATCCTACCGGGCATTCCGAAATGCGGAGCGGGAAGGCGATGGGCCCTTCCGGTTCCTCGACGGCGAGCTCCTGGAGAGGTTTTTGGATGTCGACGAGGAGATCCAAGAGGCGATCTGCCAGGGGCTTGGGCCATCTGTGGAAGACATGCGGAATATCGTGGAGGAGCTCAAGCGCATGCACTGAAAGTGAGATTCCGTGCGCCCTGTCGCCCCGGAACGTCACCGGCATCCTACAACATTGTACGTATTTTGTAATTGCAAGATGGATGAAAGTAGACGACCCCTCAGGGCAAGGTACCTAGGTAATTGGAACCTCCAAGACGGTCTGCCTGGCAGCCTGGCACCAAGGATGACCAGCTGGTCGGGAAGATTCGGAGTGACGGGTCTAAATCACGTGATTCCCCACACCAGCCAATCAGAGTTCGTCAATTGTAAAGCTATCGCCTCAGGCCACCAAAAAATTAGCTCGGAAACATCGACACCTTCAAACAAGCTCGGCCCAGAGGAAAAAAGACCTCAGCCCACGAATTTGCCGTGTCCGTCGACGAGTCTCCAGCTCCCCCAACCCTATCCGCGACCCAATTTCTCCCCTCCAGACCCCCGTCATGGCGCCTCTCACGACCGCATCGCGCGCCCTCGCGCGCTCCACCGCGCGGTGCACGATGCCCGTCCGCGCCCTCAGCACGTCGGCGGCTCGGCTCGATAGCGCCTCGTCCACCTACCAGAGCCCCTTCGTCATCGAGCCCAAGAAGGTGCCGAGCTTCGACAAGTACGTGAGCAAGAGCAGCGGCTCCAAGAACCAGCTGTTCTCTTATTTCATGGTCGGAACCATGGGCGCCATCACGGCTGCCGGCGCCAAGTCGACCATCCAGGGTGAGTAGGCAGTTCCTTTTTTTTTTACATTCTCCGGGGCTGCGCGGGGAGGCGGGAAGGGGAAAGAGGAGGATAGATACTAGCATGGTGGGGCCGATTAGCTTCTGTCTGCATCGCCATTGTCGAACTCTCTGGTTCGGCATGCTCGCCCACTGGTTGGGGATGGCGTCTTCGGAAGAATCAAGGATGCCCTTTTTGCCAGAGTTGTCAAACTGACGTAGTGTGACCCGATTAGAATTCCTCGTCAACATGTCGGCCTCGGCTGATGTTCTGGCCATGGCCAAGGTGGAGGTCGACCTGGCCACCATCCCAGAGGGCAAGAACGTGAGTGCTTCAAAACCCCCCCGGCAATGAGCATGGTAGCGCCAAGAGGCGAACTGGGTGGCTGACATCGCTGTAGGTCATTATCAAGTGGCGAGGCAAGCCCGTCTTCATCCGACATCGAACGGCAGAGGAGATCGACGAGGCCAACAAGGTCAATATCACGGCATTACGAGACCCCCAGTCCGATGACGATCGTGTCAAGAAGCCGGAATGGCTGGTCATGTTGGGCGTCTGCACACATTTGGGTTGCGTGCCCATTGGCGAGGCTGGTGATTACGGTGGATGGTTCTGCCCCTGCCACGGTTCTCACTACGACATCTCTGGCCGCATCAGGAAAGGACCCGCTCCTCTCAACCTCGAGATCCCCGAATACGACTTCCCCGAGGAGGACAAGTTGGTTATTGGTTAGACGGTGAAGAGGTGGACATGTACGGATAATAATGGGGCTATTCCTTTTCCTCTCGACTGAGCCAGACGGGTTTCTATAGACGTCATAGGAGAAAAAGGGGTGTGTTGAGTCCGGTTTTTTGGGGCATTCCTAGACGTGCCCTTGGCAATGCCATTGTACAAAACACATGAGCATCGAAACATCAGTACCTCCTCAAATGTTTCCCATGTCTCTCTCTCTGGTCAGTGGTGAGGCGATTGCTTTCTGGATGGTCCTGCAGGCGTTGGTGATCGTGTTTCTGCTCTGCCTCAACCGAGCCAGTATCCATGGACCGCTGCGAACAGAGCACATCTCTGCTGACTCTAGCCAGGTCAAAGTTTCGGCGATGATTGACAACGATAACCTTAAGATTTAACTTTGGGCCATTAGGAATGGCCTCCCAGAAGACGGCAACCAGGTGGCTTGGCCCATTTTGGCCTATGGAACGGCCCAAGCAATACGTCCTGATCGCCAACTCAAACTCGAGGCATCAGGGCGGAGGTGGGCGGGCATGATGACCGGATAGACGATGAAACCCAGCCGGTGGCTCGGCTCCAGACTCGGCGGGTCGACGGTACTCAAATTCCGATCACGCACGCACCATCTTGCGGCCAGGCTGCAGACAGTGATCGTCCCCTCTCCGTTGCGTCCTCCTGCCTGCTCGGCGGTGACATCAGGACCTGGGTCGACTCGTCCTTCCCAAGGACGCAACTTTCATGGGTACCGCCTTTTTTTGGTGGCTGCGTCTTGTTAATTTTACTTGGCGTGCCGATCACTGGGCTCACGGGCGGAACGTTCATGCAGGCACAATCATGGCCAGCACCAGCTGGGGAATGGCATAGGCATAGGCATTGGCATTAGCATTGGGGCCGCGCCGTGGTCATGCCGTGAGCTGGACACCTTATTCGCGATATGCGCCGCCGGTGTACAAAACATTACCCAGGTCAAGAAAGATCTTGGGAAGCGAGCGGCGTTGGGGTTTTTGGAGTTGACCCCAGAAGTGGACATTTGTGGACATCATCCCCCCCCCCCCCCCGCCACGATCGTCAATGTTTCCAGAGCGCCTTTCTGATGCCACATCAGGTGTCAAACAGGCCATACGAACCGGAGGGACAGATGCTGTAGGAAACACAATGGTGTAACAATTGGGCTGAGCGAAGACGAGACAAGGACAGAGCTGGCGCCCAAGACGACGAGGCGTTTGGCATCTCCGCCGGTTTGAAGGCGAGATCCCTTCAAATCTCGCTAAAATCGAAAAGAAGAACCTAGCCACATACCCTATAAGTCAGATTTCGCGGCGCTGTGCTATGGTAGCTGCATGCCTCGTGGCGAAGAGAGACGGGTACACCAGCGCTTTGGTCACGGGGTTTCGCAAAGGGCCGAAGGCAGCAAAAGGCCACTTCAGACGAGAGCTGGGTCAGGCTGGGATACCTGCCGGACCGAGCATGTTTCGCCCTGGCCGCTTCGTACCTTTGCTGGACTACCTTCGTCATCTCGCCTCGTCTGATCGAGCAGCCGAGGAGCGTTTTGTCAGAGGAAATCCACGATGGGTAAGTGTCAAACAACGAAAATTCGTTGGCATGTAGCCCAAGTTTAACCTCTAATGAAATGTGGTGGTGAGAGAACCGGAATCTGGTAGGGTTTCATTGGGTGGTACAAGACAGGGGCCTTAGACGTTGCGGCGGGCACAACGCCCGGACCCCTGAACCCCAAGACTCGGGTAGACAGCCACTCACATCAATTCTACAGGGTGAGGCTCCGCAATGAGGCACCTCAAGTCTCACCTTCCGTCTGATCTCTCACAATACATACTCCTGTCTCAAACACTACACGAATGGAGTACCTTGTTGAGCATCGGGCTCAATGTAGCCATTAGTCTGGGCAGCGGCGTCCAAACCATGTCAAGTCTCCAATTGTGCCAGACCATCCCCACTGACAGCCAAATTTCGGGGCAGGATTCCGGGGGTTTGCTATGCTTCCAAGCACCCACACACGGTGGCACTGGCACCACCAGGCCAGGCTGGACTTGCTAACTAACCACCGTGTTTGCTGAAATCCGCAAAACCCTCCGACATGGCTGTTCGTTAGATGCTATCGACTTTTCGACGACTTCTTTGTCGTCCCTGCTGCAGACCTGCCTAGATCTCCCTGCACGCGGCTTGCTATTCGTTGAGCAGGCATGTCTCCAAATGGAGGTCAAGCCGTTTGGGCTTCCAAACATGACAGCTCCTCGCGACCAGGGCTGGCACACACAAGGGCCTGTCATAAGCCCTGGTATCAGACCAGGGGGAGGGCGGTCCTTGCGTTGCGGCAACACAGGCAATTAGACCCCTCTAGGATGGGCAAACCGCAAATCCCATTCGAGCATTTTGGGATGGTCCTTGGTGAGGCAGTCCTTTCCGGAGTACATCTTAGCCGATATCGTTCTTCCAGGCTAGCGGCTCAGTTGCCTGGGGTCTGTTTGTCGCATCAATTGGCCGCCCATCCTGATCGGCGGACCATGGCTCTTAGCGAGGCGTCAAGGATCCTTGCTCCTCGCCCCATGAGACGAGACGACAACTCCCAGTCCGACCGCCGCGTGACACGCACTCGCATCCCCTCTGGTCCTCTCATGCGCATATATATGGTGGCCGCCCTACTCCCTCAATAGGATCTCCTTTCTTCTCTCTTCAGTCCCCACTCATTCTTGGCACCGTTTCTCGTTCTTTCCTGCTTTCTTTCAGTAGTTCTGTGAACTTTTTTACGCTCTTTTTAATTCTCTTCGGTAAACATATTCTTACCCCCTAGGCCGGACCTCCTTTTATACAAAGTTTATTCGATCATTACGATTTCGACGACATCATGAAGTACGAGACTGCAGTTATCGCCCTTGCTGGCTTGGCTTCGGCCCGCGATGTCCCCGTCTACAGCAGGATGGCCAAGCGAGAGGTTCCCCAGGAGCACTCTCACAACGCCATTCTGGCCACTGTCACCGACTCCCTGAGGCTAAACAACCCCCTCGAGATTCAGGATGGCGTCTTCGCCCTTTTGGGAAACAAGGCCGCTGCTGAGGGTGCCCCCAACGTCGCAAACCTGGACTGCCTGCAGCAGATCATTGCCGACCAGGCCTTCACCAACGCAAAGGCTATTGGTGATATCAACGGCATGGCCAACGCCGTCATGTTCCGCGCCCTCGAGCGCAACACCGGTAGCGTCGGTCTCGCCAGCGTCCTCTGCAACGAGACCGCCGTCAACCCTGAGATCGCCGCCATCACCCAGCACCAGGACCCCGCATCCCCCGAGGCCTCTGGCAACAAGGCCATCGCCCTTGCCGTCGCCGCACAACTGGCCTCGTTCGGTGCCGACCCGCTCCTCGCCATCCAGACCGGCACTTTTGCCCCTGGCACTGTTAGTGAACACAACACCCCCAACCTATTCAAGCTTTGATGTAGCTAACGGTGATTTTATAGATTGGTGACCCGACTGGCGCTGGCAACACCTGTGACACCCAGGACGACCCTGTTGGCTGCATCATCTCCCAGAACCTCCTCGTCCCCGACGTTACCGAGGCCGAGATCAAGGCTGCCGTTGCCAATGTGGCCGTCGCCGCCCCTGCTGCCGGTGCCGCTGGTGCCGCTGGTGCTGCCGGTGCCGCTGGTGCTGCGGGTAAGTCTTTCCCACCGCGGCTCTCCCCCGCACTAGCTCGTGTAATGTACGACCTGTGCTGACCTTTAAGGATGTCAAGCGTCCGCAGCCGCCGGCGCTGCTACCGCTGGTAAGAAAAACAACGCCGCAGCCTCGGCTGCTGCCGCCCCAGCTGCTGCCGCCGCCCCAGCTGCCGCCGCCGCCGTCGCGGGCACCAACGTCCAGGCCTTCACCGGCGCGCTCGGTGGTGCTGCCCCTCCCGTCATCCAGGACACCAGCTCTGACCGCCCCTTCTCCGTCAACGGCGACACCTTCCTCAACATCGGCGCCGCTCTCCAGCGCTCCTGCTCCGTCCAGCACAACGCCTGCTCCACCGCCGCCAACTCTGGCCAGATCCAGGGCGGCACCGGCCAGTGCGAGGACCAGCAGAAGCAGTGCGAGGCCGCTGCGGCCGCCCAGAAGGCCCGCCGCTCCTCCGTCGTCTCGCGCAAGCACCGCGTCAGCCGGGCCGTCAACACCGGCTCGTGCGGCTCGCCCGCGATCCAGTTCGCCGTGGGCCTCGACGGGCGCAAGGAGGCGTCGTTCCAGGCCGTCAACCAGGCCGACTTCAACCACGGCTCGGCTTTGAACATCAAGGTCATCAGCGACTTCGTCTGCAGCCAGCTGTCGAGCAAGTGCAAGGCCTCGGCCGACACCGTCGCCTCGTGCAACGCCGCCTCGGCCGCCGCCTCGGCACAGAAGGGCCAGGCTGCCGCTGACGCCTTCAACAACGCCCTCGGCGCCTAAGGGTTGGGTGGAAGCGTGACGCGTCTTCTTGGGATTGGGTTGGGTTGGGTTGGGTTGTATTTCCCTTTTTTCTCTCTCTGTCTATCTCTCCTTTTATTATAACAGCGTTACTTAGGCTTGGGCGAGGGTTGGAACATACATACTGGCGGGGGGATGTCTTCTAGTCAGCGGCTCAATCTAAGGCTTGTATCTTCAAAAGAAAAGAAGTGTCCCACGATGAGCCATGTTTGTTCCTCTGTATTTGTGCGCACCGACTGTATTATTACCACGGGGAATCGCGTTGGTGTAGGTAGGTAGCACGCACTCACATGATGAATTTTGTCATTTTTGCACTACGTAATTTGTCCTAAGACTGCCATAGCTTTGATTCAATTAGCCGGTCCTGTAAGTCTTGTAAACCCAACCGGTCCTTAATACCACTGATAGGCTTCGCTAAGAACCTGTCGGGAGTTGGAACGTTGTCTTCCCGCCGTACCACCCTTACGCGTACGCCCCCTGAAGATGCTACCCGTCTTGCAAGTTGACTAATAAGATTCAAAGGCACCTGACCTGGGATATGTGAGTGACTACTAGGGCCGAGGTCATATGTGATAAGTTACCATGTTAACAGCAGTACCAATGACGGCCGGACGCACTTCAGCATTTTTTATACGGAACGAGCAAGCTGTCCGTGGATAGCCAACACTGAGACGTGGGTGGGTAGAGAAAATGAATGGAAAGCCAGTCTGACCAGATTACCAAAGTCAGCCGAGGCTTCCAAGGCGAGAAAGAGAGAGATGTATGGGTACTCTGGGGAGGAGAATCAGGCTAACATCAACTCCTGGATACCTGCCTACTAGACCGGATAACATGAACGGCTCTGGATGGGGGCCAGCGGGACAAGATCTGTTTGACCCATAGCCAGACGGCGACGCGATGGGAAAGAGTGGCAGCTGAACAGGAAGGCCTGCCGCTCACTGAATTCTGCCCAAGTCTGCCATTGACTACGGACGGGGAGTTTGGCCGTTTCCGGACGAAGGGCCAGAGTAGAGACTTGATTGGGGCCGTGGCACGAGAGATCCCACTCATACAGGTTATCCTGGCACTAGAATTCAAGGCCGGGCAATGAATGGACTGAAGTTCGGCGCTGGGATCTACGAGCGTTTTATTAGCATAGCAGCTGGCGATGACAAAGACAGAACTTTTAATATTTTTGTCTACAGTCCCCAAATGTGTACAAGATGTGGTTAGAGGCGATTCAAAACAGTTCCCAGAGCGGTCGCGGGAGCTCCAGTCTGGCAGGCAAGCTGCGCCGAAGGTGCTTGATGCCGATGTACACGACCCTCCTCGCCGGGCTCCCAATCGACACCGAGGTGGATTCGAGACCGTAGTAACCGGAGATGGAGTGAGTAAGCCAGCGCCTGCGACCAAATGTAAGTATCCGGCCACAACCCAGTCAAGGAAAGAAGAACTGGCGGTCGGGAAGACATACTTGAAAGCCGCGCTCTCATCGTCGCACGGCAAATCAAGCAACATGACCTGCCCCACGTCGCCACCACCTGGGGCGGCCTTCCTCCCGCCGCCCCTCGAGCCGCGGTTCCTGCCCACGAAGACGATCTGCTCGTCATCCGAGTCCGCATTGTCCTCCAATCCCCGGGCCTCCTCAGCAGCAGCAGCAGCAGCAGCAGCAGCAGACGCAGACGCACACTCGACAGCGACGCCGCGCTCGACCATGAACCGCCGCACAGGCTCCTCCAGCACGCGCAGCCAGCCCTTGACGGCGGGGGTGCGCTTGGCGGTGGCGCGCAGGTCGCGCGGGACGCGGCCCGCCGCCGCCGCCGCCCCGGTGCTGCCAGCCCCCGTCCCCGCCCTGCGGCGCGACGAAAAGGCGGCCTTGCGCTCCTCGACGCGCTCGCGCAGGCCCTTGTCCCAGAACTGGGCCAGCTGGTAGGGGACGTGGTGGACCGGGTGGGTGGGGCCGACGTTCCAGTCGGCGGGGAGCGGTGGCTCTACGTTGGGGATGTGGACGAGTCGGTCTGCGGGGGAGGCAAGGGGGAGGACGGACAATGGCTTGTTAGCTTGCTCGAGGTGGGGTTTGTACGCGGCAGAATGATGGCGGGAGGGAGAGGTTGGCGGGTGGGGGGGGGGGGGGGGGGGTTCCATTACCGTTTTCCCAGCGCCGCCGCTGTCGGCTGCCCTCCTTGCCTTTGAGGAGCGCATCGCGGCGGTGCATGCTGTCGCGACGCGACGGCGGACGGCGGGGCGGGGTGATGGTCGCGCCGCCGGTGTCGACGTCGAGGGTCACGTTGCGCAGCTTCATCCGGGGAGCGGCATCACCGGCCGAGGTGATGGGGGGTTGAGAGTTGCCGTGGCCGTCGAGGGGAATTGACAAGGGATTGCCTGTGCCCCGGGCAATGGGGGAGACGCTGAGGGCCTCGAGAGCCGAGACGGTCCAGGCCTCGATGTCGACGGTTGCCGTGGATGCATTCGATAGCTGGTGCTTGTGATGCACGTTGGAAGCCGTCGCTGCCGGCGGCGATTCAGGCGGAGGTGGAACAGCGCTGTAGATAGTCATTGTTCGATGATAAAAAAAGCCGCGGCACCGGGGAAATGGGGGAGTGGGGGGAGGAGGGTGCGCGAGTCCCAAGACCAGCTTCAAGCCGACAAAGAATGGGAAAACGGCAAGACGGCAATCTTGCCAGCACAGCAGTCTATAGGAAAAAAGATATTACAAGAAGAGAAGCTCCTCGATGCTGATGCTCCCCGACGTTGAGAATAGGGCAATTAGGAAATGTGAACTTTCAGAAGCTATCTTGACGGCGAAGTGTTCGTTGGTCAGCAAGTGGCCAATCAAAAGCCAGGCGCAAAGACCGTGCCCTTGAAGTGCGATCTATGCGGGGAACTAGCATGATGCAGGAACCCACCGAGCCCACGTTCCATATTTACTGCGACATGCAATGCGTGGGTACCCCCTTATTTGCAGATTAGGTACCTATTGCTTACTATTCCGTTACCTACAGTGTCATTCCAGGTTCCCCCCCGTACTCCTGCCCTCAAGAGTCAAGACAACCACCATGTGTAATCAACCACCCTGGGGCGGCCCAAGTAAAAGCGAATGACTTTGATAGCAGACAAAGTAGCTAAAAGTAGATGTTCATTGTACAGTACACGGTGATTGCATGAGTGTTTACATGCTGGTATCCCTCTCAAACTCCACCAAAGGCGTTAGAATCCCGCCGGGATCAAACCCTCTATCCGTCCATCCTAATATCCTCGGCGCGGCGTTTGAATATCTTAGTTGATACCATGCCATGTACACCCTCGTCGCCGGATAGGCAGAAGAAATTGCATAAGAGAAAATAGAGCTCTCCCCTCAACCCACCCTATTCAGCCCCAGCCCGTTCATGCTTTCCCGCACCTTCTCCGTCCGATCCGCGCTCTCCTCTATGTCGTCCAGCCTCTCCGCGCCGCCCGGCCGCCAGGACCCGATCATGCCGGACCACATGCTGCTCTTTGACGGCGGGGGCAACTTTTTGCCCGTGACGGACGAGAAGTTGGCCGTCTTGCCCGACCGCGCCGGCCGCAGCCATGACGTGAAGAAGTTGCGCATGGACGACGACAGCGACGACAACGACAACGACGACGACGGCGGCGGCGGCGCGGGGCCGGCCCTGCTGCCGCTTCTGCCGCTTCTGCCGCTTCGGGCGCTGCCGCCAGTGCCGCCGCCGTTGCGCCTCCGCTTGCCCAGCATGATGAACATGACGGCGATGACCACCAGCGCCGCCACGCTGCCCACTACCGGGGCCGCGATCCACGCCTGCGAGCCGCTCTCGCCTAGTGCCGCCGCCGAGTCCAGGTCTGAGGGTGATGTCATTTCGCTGGGCGTGGCGCTGTTGTCGGGCGGGAGGGGGATTTCGGTGGTGATGGGAATGGTGAGGATCTGCGTGACGGCCACGTTCGAGGAGATGGAGACCGAGGTGATTATTGAGATAATGGTCTCGGTGGTCACGGGACCCTTGACGCTCGCCGGTGGTGTGAAGAATGATGCTCTGTCGGGGACGGCTATTGGTACCAGCGTGGGGGCCTACACTCTTGTTAGTGGGTCGGGTGTGCAACGGTCATGGACCGAGTTTGGACTTACCGGAGCGGCTGTTTGCACCGGCACCGGCACCGGCGCTGGTCCGTCGTCAGAGGCTTCCTGCCGTAAGATGCCGGTATCGCTGTTCGGATTCGCGACGTTGTCGCTCGCTACCACCCCCGTCTTCATGTAGCAATTCTTGAACCCGCCCGCCATGCTGGCGTCGAAGGATACGGCGTTGCACCCGGTGGTTCCCGCACATTGACCCATGCAGTCTTGGAAGGTCGGCGCAAAGTTCTGAATTATGTCCTTGCCGTTGACGATGACGTTACAGAAGGTGTCGAATTTGCCGTTGTTGTTGGTCTGCGACCCGCCGAGCGTTGGGCAGTTGGACGATGCTGTAGGGAATATGGCAATTCCCGCATCAGTGTTTGATTGTGAACTTGCTTGATCTTTCTTGACGTTCGCTCTCAGTTTGCACGTTTTCCCGTCGAAAGTCGCGCCCTCGCACCTTGGGTGGAACGAGGAACACATGTCGACGCACGTCGTGAGGTCTGTCGCGTCTCGCGTGTCGAGGACATCTCCGGATAGGGTCGAGCCGCAAAGAAGGTTGAACTTTTGGAATGTGCCTATGGCGGACCCGTCGGCCCCGGGGCACGGCGCGTTGCCAGTCTTTGCCGGAGGCGGCGGGCTTGACTTTGCTGGAGGAGGAGAACCACCACCTCCGTTCCCGCCATCTCCTTTCCCTCCATCTCCTCCGTCTCCTCCGCCTTTTCCAAAGTTGGGAGGAGGCCCTCCGCCATTGTTACCTCCTCCATTGCCACCTCCGCCATTGTTACCTCCTCCATTGCCACCTCCTCCATTGTTACCTCCTCCATTGTTACCTCCTCCATTGTTTCCTCCTCCATTGCCACCTCCTCCATTGCCACCTCCTCCATTGCCCCCTCCGCCAGACCCCTGAGAATCTCCAGAGCCACCCTTCCCAGGTCCAAACCCAGGAGGCCCTCCATTCCCTGGTGGTCCAAATCCTTTTCCAAACCCTGGAGGACCTCCACCTCCTCCGCCCCCTTGCCTGATAATGAGTGGCATCGTCCGAACTTAGCGATTAAGGAAGGTGTAGAAAGAAAAGAAAAATACGATATATCGTCGAAGAAGAAATGAACGTCCTGTCAACAGGAGCGAGAGTCTGGATGAAACATGCAAAGGGAACCAGGCATGATCATTTGAAAAAAAAGAAAAGGAAGGAAGAGAGGGACAAGAAACAGAGGACGGCGGTTTTGCAGGAGCAAAACAAACAGAACAAGGTTGAAGTGGGCGAGGGGGCAAGCATGACGTTCCTTATACGGGAAACCATATGGGGGAAACCCACCTCATCCCCCAGTCTCGGACGGGATGCGCAGCGACCGGCACTACCTATTCTGCCAACCCCCCAGGGCTGTCCCTCGCTGGCTTCATCGACATGATCGACCGCAAGAGCAGCCGGAGAAAAGAAGGGTGGGGGGGTGGAGAGTGGTTTGGAGGTTAAGGTTCGGAAATGCTGTGGGCAAATGCAAGAGCAAGAGACTGGGCCGCCCGCCTGGGTGGGCGGGTAAAGAAAGACGGAAGTGCCACATGCCACATGAGACGAGTTGAGTCCGACCTGCGCTGTTACAGGTAAGTAGATCATGTTCTGCATTCCTGCGCCACACCTCACGTCTCTGGGCCCAGAAAGGTATCTCTCGTCTTTCCGCAAAAAGGCTCCCTGTGGTTCAGTCCAACGCGGAGGAAGAAATGCCCGAGGGCGTTTGATGTCTGTTAAAACGCCGGCAGGGAGGACCAGTTGGACCCCTACCTAGGCAGTTGAACGAGTGGAATTTCCCGGCGATTCCCCCGTCGCCGTGGCGATTATTATCATAGCCAGCCACCAGTCGCCTTGATGACTTTTCTGGGGTAGAAATTGGGATCAGGGGGCTCGCCGGCGCATGGTGGGAATTGGGAACGGGAATCGATCACAATTCCCCACAGTCTCGAGAAGGCTACACTAGGAGTCTGGGGTGTTTATGGAGAAACGTCGATCAATGAGTGCTTGTTGTCCCAGGTGTATCGGGCGCTGCTTTAACATTATGCGACCAATGTCCAGCCAAAAAGAGTGGTTATGCGTCCGTGCACACACGCTTCCTCAGGAGAGAATGGGGCGTTCGAATTGGAGTACGTACCTCTGAGCTCAAATTGTCGGAAACGTCTGTTGCCGGCATCAGTTCCGGTTCCTGGCAGGTCCCAACGGTTTCCAGCTCCCCCAGGTAAGAGGAATGGAAGGCACTTATTAGTTACTGCTAACAATTTGTCGTCTAGTAATATTACTTCATCTGAGGCTGTGTCACCGAAGCATTTGCCAACATTCTCCAGCAGATGAACAGACAGCTAAGTGCGTGCGTGCGTGCGTGCATCGTGCTGGCATGCTTGAATGAGGCGGAACTGGCTTCCATCCGGCTTAAGCGAAGCCGGCCACTCCAAAAACACAGGGATCAAGATTAGATGACAATTACCTAATATGTAGAGAGGTGCTTCTCCTGTGCTTTGGGGAGCCTGGTGTACGCAGCGGACTGCCCCGGCATGGTAATCCATGCATCATCGTCTGCCTCAGATGCAGAGATATGCATCCGGTTTGGGGACAACCATCATGCGCCACAACATCCCTCTCCTTGGCGAGATCTAGAAGGAAAAGAGAAAGACGCCGTAACATCGGGCATGCCTGCCTTCCCTGGCACTGGCATGCCCATGCGCCTAGAGAAGGAGAATCTGTTACGCCGTCCCCCGCGTCACACCCCCGTATATATGTACAAGGGGAAAGGTAAGGTACTTATATCGTCAGAATACCCGGCCAGAAAGGAAGTGAAAGGAATTCGCCAAGCGGTTAAAATACCATCGCACCCGGTGATCTGGCCGCTCTACCTGGAGAAACAAATGCCAAGGCCGGCCCCCTCAATATGGAATGACTTTTCGATTCTTCTAGCCTCGATTGGTGTCATAGTTCCTGTGGGGATCGCCGATACCGCCGGGCCGGAGCAAAGGCGCCGTCTCGGCGGCAGCATCGCTCTCTTGCCTGTCGAGTATCCGCGACAGCTGCTCCGGCGAATCTGCGTAGTGCTCCGGATGCGAAGTGTACCGCCCGGGGGTGTCATCATCGAAACCGTTGGCGGAGAGGTGCAACCTGGGTCGTGTCGGCGACTTGGGAGGCTCGTCCTTCTTCAACCGAAGCTCGTAGTAGATAGCCATGCTGAGCAGCATGCCTTGCATCGTAGCGGTCAACAGGAAGATACCCCACGAGCTCCATCCGTCCCATCCGAGACGGGCAAACAGACTTCCGGCGAAGAGGAACCCTCCGGGCGTCTGCATGCACATCATGGGAATGCTCAGACTGCCGACGTGCTTGAGGCAGTATGTCGTCCAGATTTGGGGTATGTATTGGACAGCCGCTAGAGCGGCAGCCATCGCGCCGAGAAGGTTGGCCCACAGAGAGAGGTGCTGCGGGCCGACGGTTGCTATCACGGCCGTTGTGACGATGACAAGAAGTCCGTGGAAGAGGGTAAGAGTCGCGACGAATAAGGCCGTCTGCCATCGCGGGGCATCACCGCCAAGCTCTTCTTCCGGTACGTTGGAGGTTTTATATCGGAAAAAGACGAGGAAAAGAACGAAACTGCAAGACATGTTAGCAGGGGTCCGAGTAGCTATTCCGATGTGACGAACATGAATGTGAAGCATATCCACTGAACGCCCAGTTGCGCAATTCCCAAAAGCCCAGCAACGCAGTTGAACGTTTCCAGCTCCTTGCAACAGGCGACATCCTGGCGGGACTTCGGAAGGAGGATAATGTTGGCAAAGCCCGAGGTCGCGGACGTGGTGCCGAGGAGGATGAAGTACGGGGAGATGCCTTCGGAGGTTCCTCTAGAGATGATCCTGACCATCTGAGGGAGGTAGCTAATCAAGAGGCCGACAAGGATGAGGCTGCAGGTGGTGTTAGCCGTTGTTGTTTAATATCCACCATCATGATTGTCGAGCTTACATGGACACCACCAGGTTGACGAAGCTGGGCTGTCGTAGGTCTGCGCAGAGATCATCCATCTTTAGCGCCTCCATTATAATAATCTGCGCTGTTCGGGGATCGTGAAGCGTCGAAGGGGCGCCGGAGGTGGCTTTGTCAAAGGGAGGTCGGTAGATGCCTGATCCAGCTGCTCGGAGCTTAGCTTGGTTGGGTTGCAGCGCTGTGCGCCGGATGCGGATGGATGCCTTGGCTTCAGGACGCGGTAGCTTCAACCAAGGGTGTGGCTGCTTGCATCCATCGTGGTCGGTGATACAGAGGATACCATCAGTTGTTGAGGGAGGCAGCGCTTCCTTGATACGAACAAGCGATGATGGATCATGAAGTCCGGGGTGGAAGCCTAGCTCTGTTGGTTGGTCGACGTGGTCCGCAGATGTGACGTTATGCGATGCCCCACAGCTGCAAGGCCGCGCCGACTCCACCAAGAATTATGTAGGTACAGGCACTACCCTGCATGTTAGCGTCTCCCTAGCATTTCCACCTGGGTTGCTAGCAGCCAACTTAATTTGGCCTGTGATGGTTCGATCGACCTCATTCTGAAGGGGCCTGGAAAGTCTGTTTTAAGGTTCTCGATGCATGTGGGTGGAACCGAAATATTCATAGACCCAAACAGACCATCAGGCCATCGGCCACCAGCCTACAAGGCTCACCGAGTCACGGCTCCCAACATAACACCGAATCTGCGAAAGATGGCAGCGAGGATCGGGGCCATTTACTAGGCGGTAATCCAAGCATACCATTTGGAGAGTGGCAGTTACCTATACCGTAATATGGAAGACCAATTGGCCAAAGGGCCCCAGGCCAGGCTTCTAGCCTCGACGACGGACCAGGCTACCCACCGTGATCGACCTCATGAAGACCTCGCTCGTCCAGCGGACTCATTCTTCAAGAGTGCTCAATGGTAATCCGGCTCACCAGCTCCCCAGCTCCCCCAAATAACATGCACGAAGAGTGCTGACCGATCATCCTCCAGGTCCGCAGATGGCACCACCATCTTCACCTCATCTTCCGACAACGTAGTGAACAGCTATGTGGTCCCATCAGATCTACTCCAACCGAGAGAAGACGGTCCAATTCCGCTCCGGGCTCAGGGATCGATATTGCTCCCCGAATCCACCCATGCGATAGCACCATGTCCCTACTTCTCTCTCTCTAACCCCTACACCCACGTCATCCTAACCGGCGCAGTCGACCACCCCATCCAGCTACACCAGGCATTCCCTCCCACGTCGTCAGACTCCCCCTCCCCTTCACCCACGCCAGACCCTCACCACGGCCCCCCCAGCCCAGCTCACCGCCACCCCCAGCACCCCCAACCCCCACCAATCGCAACCTACCCTCTAATCCACCCGCCAACCGAATCCTACCTCCCAGCCCTCTCCCTCCTCTGGCCCAGCCCAGGCACCCACTTCCTCGCCGGCACCAAGAACCTAATCGCCTACTTCGACGCGACGCGCTCCGCCTCGGGCTCCGGCACCGCCGCCCCGCTCCTCCGCCTCCCCACCATCCCCTCGACCCGCCACCGCGCCAAGGGCGGCGGCGTCGGCATGCGCGGCGCCGTCTCCGCCCTGGCCGCGCACCCGGACCCGGGCCCCGCCGCCGGCCGCCTCGTCGCCGCGGGGACGTGGACCCGCTGGCTCGGCCTGTACGACCTCGCGCGCGCCGGCGCCTGCGTCGCCAACTGGTGCGTCGCCGGCGCCGGCGCCGCCGCTGGGCGGGGGGTCGGCGGGGCGGGGATCCTGCAGGTGGCGTGGTCGCCGTGCGGGAGGTACCTGGTCGTCAACGAGAGGAAGTCGTCAGGCATGCTGGTGTACGACGTGCGGGTCACGGGCAAGCTGCTGGGGTGGCTCGCGGGGCGGGATGCGGACACGCACCAGCGCATGACCTGCGACGTGTTCCCGGGCTCAGACGACCGGGGCGGCTTCGAGGTCTGGGCCGGCGGCAGGGATGGGACTGTCATGGTGTGGGAAGGAGTCGGGAATGAGGAGGGCTACGCTCGGAGCGCGTGGGACTGGCAGGCCCATGGGTCCGCCGTCGGGAGCACGGCGATGCACATGAGCGGCTCCGTTATGGCGACCTGTTCGGGGTCATGGAAGATCTCGGGGGAAGAGAGTCAGAGCGACGATAGCGACGACAGTGACGACAGCAACGGATATAGTGGCAATGCCTCCTCCCACGGCGAGGACCGGGACTACCGACTAAAGCCTGGGGTCGAGGTCCAGGATGGCTCCTTGAAGATCTGGAGCATTGGAGCCGCTACATCAGAAGAAGTAGACATTGAGCCGAATTGGCCAGAGTCAGGAATGTGATTACAGCACTGCAGCGAGGTCGGAACCAAAGTCGATAAGGTAAATAGATCTCACCAGTGAGCACCTCGGATGTATGCGATATGCGATTCACAGACACTTATGAGTGAGTTACAAATCCAGCATCATTTTCCGAGCCATGTCATAACAGATCCTGCTTGCAGCCAGTAATTGCGCAGCCAGTGTCTTTTCCCAACATCAGATCCCTTGGTATGAGGCATCAAGTATTTGCAGCAACATATCCGCTTCAAAGCCCACATTTAGCATCCTCTACCAGGCAAACAGCCAGCACCTTTCCCAGCACCCAATTCTTGATCCCAGTCCCTGTCGATAACCCTACTGACTCTTTGCAAGACCCACGTCCCTCCCAGGATCCTCCCAAACCTCGCCACCCTCTCGACGTCCGACATCTTGATAAAAGCAGCCAGGCCGCAGAAGCGCTGCCCTCCAATCACGGTATTTGCATCTTTCAACATGCCCAGGACCACCTGCGCTGCATGCACGTTCATACCCGAACGGCGTAAGAACAGCTCCCAGTTGGATTCCCGCTGGAGCAGATATTGCCGGGTAGCGGCATCCGCGGCGTACCGGCAGGCCATATGCGCCGTCCATTTTGCCAGGTTCTCCTCGCCGCCCGCAATGTAGAAGACGTGTGCTTGGGTCTCCAGGCTAGTCGCGAACCCCTGAAATCTCGCGAGCGCCATGGCATCGGCGGGAGGCAAGCCAGCCGTCGCCATGTCATCGTACGCAAGACCCTCAGAAACAACTATGATGAGCCTCTCATAGCGCACGCTAACTTTCTCGATGAAGCTGTAGAGGGGCGAGTTTCCTTTTGTTCCCGGCAGAGGCTTCTGCCTGACCTTTATCATGGTCGTAAGGAGGATGCCGGTTGATGGGGAGACGATCAAGTCTGCCTCGTCCGCCAGGGGCGAGGTGACTTCGGACCGGCAGACGGAACCTGGGAGCCAGATGGACGAGTTGTAGGCATTGTAGTCCCTGTCGATCAGCTCCGCGCCCGAGAGAAGCTGTTCGAGGCGGCGGAGTATACCACGAGGTATGGACACGGAGGCGATCAGTCTGAGCGGCGTACCGGGGAGGTTGATTTGTGGGCATGGCATATTGGCCAGGGTTCGTAAAGTTGTGTCTGGCTGGGGAGCAGTCTCGCCTGAAGGTTTGACAGGCAGGACTGGGTCCTCTCTCGGCGGCTTAAAGAACGAACTGTGTGTCAGTTTAGGTTTCTTGGGGGCATGAAGTTCCATATAGTTGTCTAACAGCTTAGACGCTGCGCCTGGCTCGTCACCGATCAAGAGTGCTGGTTTGCCATCAGCATTGCAACCATTAGGAGGCTTCTGGGGTGCTTGTAGCCCATCGGTTCGCTCATCGAGAAGTCGTTTTCTCCTCTTGACCGCCATCATGAGATCTTCCTCTACTGGCGGTAGCTGGTTGAGGGCAGGCTCCAGCTCATCGTCCTCGTCGTCATCCTCGTCGTCTCCAAGAGCGGCGAGGCCGGGTCGCTTCCACACAAAATTAGAGCTGTTGGGAACCTCTGTATCTTCCGCGCGTGCAAGATATGCCTCTAAAACAATGTCGTTGGCCTTGATCTTTTCCTCCGATGAGAATGTGGGGATGCGTTGTGTCCATGGCACCCAGACCATCCTGCTCTCAACCAACCTATTTCCGGGCCATACTGGTGTCTCAGCGCCGCCCCAGTTACGGGTGCGAATCCATTCGAACATCATCTTGGGATCACATCGAGATTCGTTCCATTCGGGATCTGGGATTGAGAAGTCCATTAATGGCACAGGTACCCTTGCAGTAGCATCCACTGGCTGCAACTTCTCTTGCTCGATTGACATCATGGTTCTGGCTTCAATGTCCTGAAGTATCTGTCCTAGCTCTTCGTCACACCTGACTTCGTCGAGTTTGCCATCCGAGTCTGAGACGGGCAGGTCTACCCAATCTTTGAAATCTCCGAAGTTCGCTGATGGTCGTATGAGGTCCTCGTCATCCTTGTCTTGCGGCATCAAGGGCACCTCTACCTTCAAGTCGGACATTTCGTGCACTGGACCCAGCCCGACGCTCAAATCCGATACTTGGCCTCTTTCGAGCTCGTCGAGTAGTTGGGCGTCGGCCAACCAGGAGTCGTTGTCGCACTCAAAGATCCTCTCCTCGATGGCTTGCAGTTCCTCGCTGAGCCGAGAGCTGGCGTCTGACAGGATCGGCACTTTGCAGACGTCGTTGTCCGGGATGTAGTATTCTTTGGCTTGATGTCTCGGGCTAATGGGAGGCGTAGGTGGCTGTTTAGCGGTGATCTGGTCAAGGTCAAGGAGTCAGTCATCACTCGATGGCAAACGTATCCGGGCTGGCACACTCCATGATAATCCGTCTCAATCTCTAGCAGTTGTCGCGTATTTTCATCTGTCCAGTCCGATTTCAAGTTCCCCGCCAGGCATTGCAAGGTAGTTCGCGTCATCTCAAGTCTTTCTCCGGCCACGGCTTTCGTAATCTGACGGTCGAGTTGATACACTCTGGCGGGGAACTCGAGCCCTTCATCCTTCTCAGTATTGGCTGGCTCGAGTGGCAGGTGGCTGTCAAGGAGGCGGGTATCTCGCGCAGCATTTACGGTTCGAACGTACGCCCGGTAATCCATATCATGGTCAGTTCGAAGCACGGGGAGCTCCAGTTTCAAGCGTCGGGCATTGCCGGCGTTGTGCTGAATGGTCTGAAAAGTGAGGTCCTTTACTTCCACCTCGGTATATCTCTGGCAGACATCTCTCAGGGATCTCAGAGCATTTCCGGATACCTCCCATTGCTCGGTAATAGGTGTCGCGGAAGGAAGGGAAATGTCTGGTAAGTCGTTGCATGGCGTTAAACCATTAGAATCCGTCGACTCCTGCTCCAGGGCTTTGAATAGGGCTGGGGGAAATGTGAAGGGGTCACAGTAGACATCGACTGTCAGGCCATTTCGACGTGCGTACTCGGCTGCATGGAGGGGGTCATCGAAGGACTGATCTTCAAGGAGTGGATGTTCAAGAGTTTTGGTACCAGCCATCGCCGCCACTGCACTCACTGGCAGACTGAGGTTTGTGGCATAGCTAGATGTCGAGGTGTATGGATTGGAATAATTCTATGGATTCTTTCCGCAATGTTCCATCCACCTGGTCTTGGACTCACCTTTGACGTCTCGGTTACCAGGAGTCATGATAGGAAGGCACGACCCGAAGTCGCGGAACATGCATGTACTGGTACTGTACCTATCGATCCAGCCATGAGTGCCGTGCATGCCTCGTCAATGTGGATGGCAAGACAGTTTCCTTCTTCGCGTCCCGGGCAAGCCCAAGATAGCAATGAAAAAAAGGTCGCGTCGCCTGGAGGCAGTGTAATACCAGGGACACAGTGGAGGACAACCATGGGCAAGCCCAGAGGGGAGTCCTCCCAGGTACAAAAATAGGTATAATCACGATTCTACTCCGTAGAGTAGTTTCAGAGATTAAACTGAAAAGAACAGATACTACACTTGATCTAAGCCAAAAGGCAAAGAGAGCTAAAGAGAAAAAGAAGAAAAGAGTCTGAAAAGGCGGGTGCGGAGCGAGGTATATATAATGGGTGTGGTTGGTCCGTGCTCGGCAGCAGATTTTTTTCCAGCCCTGTGTATTTGCAGCCGCGCACGGGCCTTCGGGGTCATGTGTTAGACACCAGCTGCACATTCTATTCCCGGAGGGTACGACGTAGGACCCGACTCTATCACCATCATTGGCCAATTCTAGGTCTGCCTCTCCAAGTACCTAGGTACCGGACGCAGCATACCTAGGTATGTACAGATAACTTCACCACAGTAAAATCCTACAGGCTCCCATGCCCTGGATTCCAGCCAGAACCACTGCCAACACTTGAGGGTACTGGCCCTGAACATACCACGCAGTAGACATACTAAAAGATACCTTGCTTGATGCATCCCCGCCATCGTTCTCCTGCCCCATTCGCTAAGTACCTGGGCACTCTGGCCTGGACCGTCCTGCGCTAGAATTCCGGGGCCGCATATTATCGGCTTATTGGCGTCCGGTGCCATGGACTAGCGGCTCATCCGAGTGTTGTTCGGGAGGAGACGAACAATGGGCAACCCTGTTAGATGTGGTCGGTGACGTAAAATTACGTTTCAAACCTATGCCTCCTGACCTTCTGCATCGCCATACCATGAAGCTTCCCAGAGTTCAGTGGTCTCGGAAGGATTCCACGGCGGGGTGGGGCACATCGAATTCGCCGGGCCGCTTGTAAGACGGAGGAGAGGAGATGGTAGACATGCTCTGTTCTTTAACTTTCCACCTTCAGAGTCTATTCAACCTCCCTTCAAGCACATGCTCCTTCCCACATATCACTTCAGTCAGGCCATATCACATAGGATAGCAGACTCTTGACCTATACCACTCTTACATATCCATCCCCCGGTTGTCAAACCAACCTTGAACGATTAAAACCATGGGCGCCATGGCCGATCTCCCAGCGGCTTCCTCTCCGTCCCTCATCCTTACCCATCCCACCGACCAGGAACGCATCCGAACCTGGTCCCAGACTCATCCCAAGTGGGGTCCCGCCCTATCTCTCCACGACTACCTCGACCGAGAAGCCTACCTGACCACCGTGCCCCTCGCCAAAGATGGCGGCATCACACACTGGATCCTCACAGACTCGTCCCTCCCCCCAGACCAGCGGCCCATCCTATCCTCGTGCGAGACGCTACGCAAGCCCGCCCTCTCCTGCGCGCCGGCCGGCCCCGACGGAGGCGAACCCGTCGTCGTAGACGGCATCGCCCACGGGCTCGGCTCGGTCTTCACGGCGCCCCAGTTCAGAGGCATGGGATACGCCAGTCGCATGATGCGGGAGGTGGGTGCCCGGTTGCGGAGACACCAGGCCATCGACGCCGCAGCAACAACAGCACACGACGGTATCCCGGCGGCGGGGCGGCGGGTCCCGCTCTTCTCAGTGCTATATTCCGACATCGGCAAGAAGTTCTACGCCCGCAACGGCTGGGCGCCCTTTGCGAGCGCCCACGTGTCCTTCCCGCCCGCGACGGAGGCCCCTTCGCAGGCGCAGGCGCAGCCGAGCCGGCAGAACGGGCATACAAACGGCGGCGGGGGAACCGGCAAGTGTGCCAGCGCCAGCACCATCGGCTACCACGAGCTGGCGGAGCTGTGCGCCGTGGACGAGAAGCTCCTGCGGGCGGCGCTGCGGCGGCGAGCGGGCAAGGGCGAGGGCGGCGGGCGGGGGCGGACCTGCGTGGCGCTGTTGCCGAACCTGGACGCCATCCTGTGGCACCTGATGCGCGAGGACTTCATGACCAAGCACATCTTCGGGCGCACGCCCGTCGTCCGGGGCGCCGTGTACGGCAAGCCCGGGCGGCGCGTGTGGGCCGTGTGGACGCGCGGGTACTACGGCGGGCTGGAGAAGATGGAGGGGAACACGCTGCACGTCCTGCGCTTCGTCGTCGAGGACGAGAGCGACCCGGAGGAGGAGTACCTCGTCGATGGCATCCGGTCGATTGTGCGGATCGCGCAGGCCGAGGCCGCCGAGTGGAGGTCCCAGGACGTGCAGATGTGGAACCCGACACCGAGGCTCAGGGGGCTCATCGAGAAGTCCGGCCTGCCTTTTGAGTTTGTGGATCGGGATAGTGATAGCATCGCGAGCCTGATGTGGTACGGCGAGGAGCCCACTTGCGAGCTTGACTGGGTCATCAATGAGAAGTTTGCTTGGTGCTGACTGCCTGCCACCGGCTGTGATACATTTTGGAAAGGTACAACTACATGTGGCTCATTTTTCTGGTTGGTTTTATCATAGGGACAGAAATTGACGCGCAAGCACCTCGAGAGAGCACTATCAGCAGCTACCTACCTGACTAAGCTGATGCCATTCCTTGGTTGCCAGCCATGACTTGCAATGGAGCACGTAGCCAATGCACAAAGGGCTATCCTCATCAAATTGGGAACCAACTGGCCGTCTAGAAGCGATTCCTGTCTAGAGTAATTTTACATCCCTGAGACCAAATTCCAAACCCCGTGTCAGCCATTATTACTATCTCAATGATCATGCCCATCGTCACCCTCGGGCGCCTGCTCCGGATCCAACTTGATCAGCGTGTCGATACGCATGATGCTGATGCAGGCCTCCACCGCGCTCTTCAGCTGCCGGATCTTGCTCACACTCGGCTCCAACACGCCAGCCTTGATCTCGTCGACGACCTTGCCCTTCATTAGGTCTAGGCCGTAGTTCTTGTAGCTCTTGTGCCGCGCCACCGTCTTCTCATCCTCGTTCGCGTCTCCCTCCTGGATCCGCTGGGACAGGGCGTGTCTCGAGCGCAGCTGCGCCACGAGCTCCGACGAGTCCTTGGCGGCGTTGATCGCCAGCGTCTTGGGGATCACCAGGAGCGACTGCGCGAACTCGCCGATGGCCAGCTGCTCTCGCGAGCCGACAGTGCCGGCGAACTCCTCGAGGTAGATGTGCAGGGCGGTCTCGACGGCGCCGCCGCCGGGGACGATGCTGCCGCTCTCCAGGGTCCGCTTCACGGCGCATAGGCTGTCGTGTACTGACCGCTCCATCTCATCCAGCTGGAAGTCGTTGGGTCCACGGAGGATGATGGACGCGGAGGAGTGCACCTTGGTTCCCTTGATCAGGATGCACTCGTCGTCGGAAATACGTTCTTGAAGCACTTCGTCGGCGTGTCCGAGGTAGGATGGCTCGAACTTCTCGTCACCATTGAGGTCTGAGAGCGTGCTGAGGAGGGTCGCGCCCGTAGCCCTGGCGATGCGGCGGAGGTCCTCCTTCTTGCATCGCCTCACTGCCATGGCACCTCTCTCGATGAACAGCTTCATCACCATGTCGTCGATGCCCTTGGTGGTAAGGATGACGTTTGCACCGGCCTTCAGGATGAGCTCGACTCGCTCGATGACCATGCCTGATTCCCTCGCCCTGATCTGCTCCAGCTGCTGCGGGTCGTCGATCGTGATCTGTACGCCCAGCTTCATCCTCTCCTTTTGCAGATTCATGTCCAAAACTGCGATCTTGGCGTCTGATACGTGTGTCGTCATGGCCTGGGAAGCAACGGTGCAATTCAAGGCATAGCCGTTGACGAGTACCGACTCCAGCGCCGACTTGCCGTGCGCCTTGAGAATGTTGACCGCCTTCACCGGGTACTTCACCTCGCTCCGGTTATTCGTTGACTTTACTGCTTTGATCGCATCCACCACCATATTTGCGAAGAAGTCGGAGTCGGAGCCGATGATCTTGCTCGACATGGACGTCTTGGCGATGCTGAGGAGCGAGTCTCGCCCGAGGTTGTCGACCTTGGTGCTGATGTTCTCATTCATGTATTTTATGGCCTCCCTCATTGCCAGGCGATAGCCAGTGATGATCGTCGTCGGGTGTATCCGGTTCTTCATCAGGTCGTTGCCTCTCCGAAGTAGTTCGGCTGCGATCAGGACCACCGAGGTCGTGCCGTCACCGACTTCCTTGTCTTGCTGCTGCGCAAGATCCACAAGGATCTTTCCGGCAGGGTGGTCGACATCTAACAAGCTGAGGATCGTTGCTCCATCGTTCGTGACTGTGACATCCTGCCGAGAGTTAATGTCTGCAAAACTGACCATCGAGGTGATCTCCGCAGGGGTCATGGTCTTACTCCAATATCGTCCACCATCATCTTGTCAAGACCGCTCGGGCCGAACGAGCTTTTGACAACATTTGCGATCGCTTGTGCGGCCAAGACTGGAAGGCTGGTGAGCTGTCTGGGCTTCAAGAGTGCGCCCACCTTTAGAGCTTACCATTTTGATCACGGATATCAGGCCCGGAGATCTTCTGCCCACCTAAAAACAAGGTACCGTTCTGCGACTGCTCAAACATAGAACCCATTTTGGCGGCTTAGGAGTCTCGTGGGACTACGTCGTGGATCGAAGGTCGGGGATCTGTATTTTCGGGTTTTATTGACATCGAACCGCAGCTAGGCAATCTCGAGCTTCACGGTCCAACACGCACAGGCCCCGCGCAGGAACTTTTTCGCGGAACCTCGCGTTTTTCCATGCCGTATTAGTGGCCCCTCACTCCGAAGGCCCACTTCCACCCGCTTCCATCTCACGATTTCTCTCATGGAGAAGGCAAATGATTCATCGCGACGCAGATGATTAAATACTACAGCCAGATCTCGAGGTTCTTCATTATGCGCCCAGCTATGATGCATGTTTAGAATACCATATACACGGGCTTGGCAAAAGGCAGGCAGTTCGATAAATCTCCCAGGGGCTGCCCACCTGGGTCATCCGTCATGATCCGTGGCAACGATATGACAAGTTCAAGAAGTTGACCACCGGACATGCCCCCTTAATACGCATGAAGAGCCGATACATTGCTTTCGAGCTGTCAGGAGAAGGGCGGTTTAACGACTTTTGACGATGCTGTAGGTACTTGCGTTTTTGTTTGGCCACCGCCTCAGGTGGTTAGCCGCAGAATGATGGGCCTCAAGTTCGGCTGCCGTGACAATTATCTCGACTGCAAGGTCTCGACCTCCCGCCCTGCTGCTTGCCCGGCATCATGCCCTCGTTTGACGTCGCGATTGATTCCCGGGGGACTGATTGCAGGCCCCCATAGGAGAGACTTGCTGGTCAATCTCATCACCCGTAGTGTCTTTTTGAAGATAGTTTCATCCCGGCCTGCTTGTGTATGCATATGTATCTCATGGTGATGTCAATTTGACTCCTGCGCTTCTGCCATAGAGGACTTGCACCCAAGGGACTGAATTGGTGATTGCCTCACCCCGCCATGCTGATACTTAGGGACTCTGATATTGACAGAGCTTATATTGTGTACTGCCAAAGGTGAGATACTAGCCTTAACCATGTCCACGAAATTATTTTTCTATGGCCGGTTGTACTAGATTTGCATGACTCGACTTGAATAGCAAGCTTCTGTGTCGTAATCTGATATGGCGTTGGTAAGATGTGAGTGAAACACCGTGGAAACTTGGCTGCAGAGCGATATGTATCGGGAACACCAATTGGCGCAAACTGCTGGCAAAGGAGTACGATACGTGTGTACCCAAGCACTTCCCCTTCTAGAACCTAATCGTCTCGGCAGGTAGGTTTGTATTCAGTACGGATAACGGCACAACGCACAAACACGGACGAGGGTACGTACATCACAATCATTCGGTACCTTTATCTTCCATACTCACTTAACCATAAGTGTTGGGGGCTTGCAAACAACTCTGTTGGTTTGGAGAAGTCAATACTAACTTTACTTCCTCAAGAATATTTCCACACCTCCATCCCAGAATCCTCCCACATCTTCCCTACTACGCTCTATTACCGCCATGAAATAACTTTAAGGAGACTTGATATATCATTCTTGAGCTAGATATGCCTAAGGAACATAGCCTCACACCTCGAGCCAACGCTGGTGATGAGGGGCGACGATGACGAGATTCTTGTGGGTGTATTCACTCCCCTTCCATGACACACTTCCGCTTGAAATGATGACACTTTATCTCTACTTCCATGGCTATGATGTTTTACACCATATGATTTCTTGATAACCAGAGCTGATCCCCCCAAGCCCGAGCGTATTTGACCTTCGCCCCGTCCCGTCTGGAGCTGTTCTGCTCACTGACCGTTTTAAGAGTCATGCTCGACAGGGACGGTGCCTCCGAAAGCCTGGCCATCGTGGAAGGAAATGTCCGCGCCGGCCGCGAGAGACGTGATGTAACTCTACATTGCAGCCCCGGCTTATCAGATCTTTCCAACTGGTACTGCCTTGCCTGTCATGGCTTGAAAGCCATCGTCACGGATTGTGGGATAAGTCCTGTCCTGTGAGCCACTCGACCAGCTTGGGCTTCTACCGGATCGCGAGTGTCCAATTTGATAAGGTGCGAAAACTGACAGCAAACGTTGATGTCTGAAGCGAGGGGTTGTCTCTTTATTTATCTTTTAGACTACTGCCGAGCTTGAGGATGTTAGGAGAATGCCGAGACCCCACATTCGCCCCCGAAGATTCGGTAGACTCTCGGAATCCCGGCGAATTGTACCGTTATGATTGGCCCGAGTGCCCCGAGTAAGTCCCCACTGGCGCGGATTGCATCAATCTGAGATTCGAGAAACCACATGCTCTTTCAACTCTGACAAACTTGCACCTTGTTTTTGGCCGCTTCTCCGTTCTCTGATGGAAGGACATTCTCTATTGTCCGTCGCTCCTTTCTGGATTGTGCAGTCATTTTATATGCCATGCTAGTCTTTATTTCTAGCTCTACCGCAGCAACAGAATCGAAGTGCACGTGCCATGAAAATGGCCTCACGACCCATCCTCTCGGCGCATCTTCTTCGCCAGCCCTCGAGGGCACGTCGGAGCCTCACTAGGCATGCGTTTTCATGCAACATATGCACATCCGGCCCCCGAACTGTGCCTCGATGTAGATCTGGGGCTGCTGTGTCCAACTCGGGACTTCAGAACCGTCCCTCAACCCATCTATGTTGCTTCCCCGCAGTGTTCCCTGCAGGCGGCGTCACTGTCGGCCAGAGGAGGCGCGCTTCGGCAGTGGCTGCCGCTACAGAAAACAATGGTATGATCTCTAGCTCTCGCAATACATAAGGGGAAGTGTTTGACAAGTCATAGCCGCCAGTAACGACGACATTGGACCGATCCAGGAGTACGATTTGCGCGTCCAGCGAGGGAGTCTGAAAAATGACGAACATCAGAGAGGTCGGGAGATGCCCATATCCAGTGCAACTTCTGCGCAAGAATCCATGTTAAACAACAGCTTCTAGGTATTATCCAGAGCCTGCAGCACCTACACGACGAGCTGCGGCACTACCACCCTCGACCGGTTGTGCGACCAACCCTCGAGTCTCTCAAGCCTGCCAAGTCCTTATTCGGGTCCTTGTTTGGCAGCAAAGGGAAGACTGCGGCAATAGAAGAGATACCCCAGGACCTACCACAAGGCCTCTACCTCTACGGTGACGTGGGGAGCGGGAAGACGATGCTGATGGATCTGTTCTACGACACTCTGCCGAGCAGCGTCAAGTCCAAGACTAGGATACACTTCCACAACTTCATGCAGGACGTGCACAGGCGGCTGCATCGCTTAAAAATGGAGTACGGCAACGACGTGGATGCGGTGCCGTTCGTGGCAGCGGACATCGCCGAACAGGGCAACGTGCTGTGCTTCGACGAGTTCCAATGCACCGACGTAGCCGACGCCATGATCCTCCGGCGGCTGCTGGAGTCGCTCATGTCGCACGGCGTGGTGCTAGTAACGACGTCCAACCGGCACCCGGACGAGCTGTACAAGAACGGCATCCAGCGCGAGTCGTTCGTGCCGGCGATCCACCTGCTCAAGCGGCGCCTGCACGTCATCAACCTCGACTCGACGACCGACTACCGCAAGATCCCCCGCCCGCCCTCGGGCGTCTACCACACGCCGCTCGACAGCCACGCGGCCTCGCACGCCGAGAAGTGGTTCCGCTTCCTCGGCGACCCGGACACGCCCGAGCCGCACCCGGAGACGCAGCGCGTCTGGGGCCGCGAGATCCACGTGCCGCGCGTCAGCGGCCGGTGCGCCTGGTTCACCTTTGACGAGCTGATCGGGCGGCCGACGTCGGCGGCCGACTTCCTCGAGCTGGTGCGGTCGTACGACGCCTTCGTCGTCACCGACGTCCCCGGCATGACCTTCCGCCAGCGCGACCTAGCCAGGCGCTTCATCACCTTCATCGACGCCGTCTACGAGGCGCAGGCCAAGCTGGTCCTCACCACGGCGGCGCCGCTGGCCGAGCTGTTCGTCTCGCGCGAGGAGATGCGCGAGTCCATGGCCAATGCCGGCGACGGCGATGGCGACGGCAATGGCGAACGCGTCGATGAGGCAATGAGCCACCTGTTCGAGTCCATGGAGAACAACCTGGAGCAGCTCAAGGGCTCGAACCTGTTTACGGGCGACGAGGAGGCCTTCGCCTTCGCGCGGGCGCAGTCGAGGTTGAGCCAGATGGGGAGCAGGGAGTGGGTTGAGAGGGGCATGGGCTTGGAGAAGGACGGCGGGAAGAAGGAGAGGGATGACTGGGCCAAGACGAGGAGTAGGCAGATGGAGGATAGCATGTGAGTGTTGTCGCCGATACCCCCCTTTTTTTGAGTACTCAGCATCATGATGAGCGTTCTGCGAGGGCGCTCCAGACGGATGGGCTTCAGTTGGAAACAACGCGTGCAGCTTTGTTTTTGATTGTGTTTCAGCATTGCGTCTTGCGCCCTATGGAGCAGCGGGAGTGCATAGAGAGGTTATGATACATTTATAGAGGCTCCAGCATAATTATACGACCAATTTCTTCTGCGCGACACCTGGCTGGTTCGGAAAATGCCTTCTCCTTCCCTTTATTCTTTTTCTTCTTCTCTTTCTTTCTTTTTTCAAATGCCAGCCATCATCCGACTCTTAGTAGAGACCCGGGAACATCACCCACGGAACATCGGCCTTGTACTTCTTCCACTGCTCCCCGTATTTGGAACCCATGTACTCATCCATAACGGCCACACTCCTGGAAGAGAAATCCCACACCTGGAAGGCCCCCATGACCAGGGCGGCGGGCCAGCCCCCGGCGGCGAGGGTGTAACCGGTGCGCCACACAGCATAGGCGGCGTAGTTGACGTGCCTGGAGAAGCCCCACAGGCCGTCGCTGCAGACGCGGCCCTCGTTCCCGGGCTGCTCCTTGAAGCGCTTGCGCTGCAGCTCCGAGACGGTCTCGACGGCGATGCCGGCGACGTACAGGACTGTGCCGATGGCGACGGGCAGGCTGACGGCGCAGCCGGTGAAGGGGACGGGGACGTCGGGCCCCGCGGCCAGGGCGGAGGTGGTGGCGGCGGTGATGAGAAGGAGCGAATTGGCGCTGTTGACGAAGGTGTTGTAGCCGCTCACGGCGACGGCGGCGCCGGGGGGGAACTCCTCCCTGCAGGTATAGGTGAGCCAGAAGATGTGCTTGGCGGCTGAGCCGGCGGCCATGGCGAGCAGGATGAGCCGCGGCAGGGGCAGGCCGAGCCCGTCGAGGAGGGCGTTGCCCGTGGGGATGAAGGCCGTCGCCGTCACTGGGATGGTGGCCAGGCCGAGTTTGGAGAGCAGGCCAGTGCCCAGACCGCGGGCGAGGATCTGGTACTGCAGGAACGGGTCGAGGGCGCGGAGGCCGACGAAGGTCGCCGTGCCTAGAGGGTTGGACTTGTACACGCCGCGCTTGATCAGGTCTCTTGGTCGGGATTTGTTGTCGTCGGTGCCCTTTGCGGAGGGCCCGCCGGACGGTTCTGACGACATGGTCGAAAGGCGGCTTGTGGTGGTGCGGATGGTTTGTGTGTTTTTTGCTTGTTTTCGTTGGTCGAAACGATTGCTTGAATGGCTATGTCTCTATCGCCGGCTCGACGGACTTTTGGGATTCTGGACGCTCTTCAAGAGACGCTGGGGAAGGAGAAGAGGAGAGAGGAGGCATGGACCAGACCACCATGACGTATGATTCCATGGCTGCTTAGTAATCAGATGAATCAACTGATTGGGAAAGGGACAATAATTAGGTACCTATGTGAACTGATATTGGTCTCTATATACAAGCTGCTATCATCGTGTTATAATGTTAACGGGAGAAACAGAACTGAGAACTGATTCCCGAAATACCTTTCCCTGGGCATATACACGGGAGACACTTACACAGAACATACATACGGATTATGTAGTCGGGAATATGCAGGTGCTACCGCATCGTAGGCAGGTGGCTGACGCCAAGCAAGCCAATGTGGTTAGCGGCTGGCCGGACCCCTGCATGCCCAGGAACCCCAGGCAACGACGGGGGGTTATGCGTCAGTTCCCGCCCCCCACAGATACCTTCGTTCCCAAAGACCGAGCTGCCGCTGTTCCTCTCTACTCTCCTCATCCAATAAACAAGAATTCAAAGGCAGTAAGAAATCAGCAACGATGAAGGTTTCCAAGGCTTCAGTTCTCGCGCTTCTTCTGCCGGCAATAAGCGCTCGCTTTGTTGAAGAGAGCGAACAGGCGGAGCACGTCGGCCTCTATACCGACTGGGCAAAGCAGATTGACGACGGTGCTCCCAAGTATCACATCGAGTTGTCTCCCGGCGAGACTAGATGGGTGACGGAAGATGAGAAATGGGAGCTGCGCAGGGTAAGTCTGCACTTACACTGCTCGACATCTTAACCGGAGCTTTGCTCTCTTGGTTGCCGTCATCTGACTCTCAGCTCGTCTTTCCAGAATGGCAAGCGCTTCTTCGACATCACCGACCACCCCGATCTCGGCTCGCTCCGCGCTCGGTCGGCCGTCAAGAGCGTCTTCCCCAAGTCGCCGGCTTTCCAAACCGAGATCGAGCCTCTCCTGGCGAACCTATCCAAGACGGAGATGAAAGACCATTTGGAGACGTTTACCAGCTTTCACACCCGGTACTACAAGTCCGACTATGGTCGGCAGTCGAGCGAATGGCTGCTCGGTGTGGTCCGTGACACTATCAAGGAGGCTGGTGCGGAGGATTACGTCTCAGCAAAGCACTTCGAGCACTCGTGGGGCCAGAACAGCATCATTGCAACGATTCCCGGCAAGACCAACTCCACAATCGTCATCGGCGCTCACCAAGACTCGATCAACCTCTGGCTTCCGAGCATACTTGCTGCGCCGGGTGCGGATGACGATGGCAGCGGCACTGTCACCATTCTCGAGGCTTTCCGCGTGCTGCTGACGTCGGAGGATATCGTCAAGGGCAAGCATGAGAACACGATCGAGTTCCAATGGTATAGTGCCGAGGAAGGCGGTTTGCTCGGCAGCCAGGCCATCTTCTCGGCATATGCGAAGGCCAACCGGGACGTCAAGGCGATGCTCCAGCAAGACATGACCGGGTTCGTGGAACGCACTCTCCAGGCGGGCCAGCCCGAGAGTGTCGGCGTCGTCGTAGACTTTGTCGATCCGAATTTGACCGAATTCATCAAGAAGGTGATTGTCGAGGTATGTCAAGAGAAGCCCAAGCTCCTGCTATGTCTGGCATTGTTCTGTCCTCTGTTTGAATCTAACGCCGGTGGCCAGTACTGCGACATTCCCTTCATCGAGACAAAGTGCGGCTACGCCTGCTCTGACCATGCCTCGGCTTCGAAAGCCGGCTACCCCTCTGCCTTTGTCATCGAGTCGGCATTCGAGTATAGCGACAACCACATCCACAGCGTCGACGACCTCATCTCATACCTGTCCTTCGACCACATGCTCCAGCATGCGCGCATGACCCTGGCCTTTGCCTACGAGTTGGCCTTTGCCAATTTTGCCAAGTTGGAAAGTGAGGCTTCGAACGAGATGGAAGACCTCTAAGGGATGCAAATCGCCCCTAACCTTGGCCCGGGGGGGGCTTGGAACTGGGCATGCTTGGCGCGGATGACGATTGACGCGCAATATCAAGAGTATCTTTTAGGATTTTATTATTTACCTTTGGGCGTTCGTTGGGGGGGTTGGGAACGGGTGATAGCAGTAGAAGAAGGGTTGAACAATCATAGCAACAATTGTACAGTCGCAATAGACAGACTTGATGATGGATTAGCCCCGGTTTCGGCTCGTAACCGTGAGTGCCATGATATCGACGGCTACCTAGGTACCATATCTTGCCCAGCGGGGCAAAGCTCCGTCCTAGGCCGAGCTTGCAAGTTCCATCGTACAGGAGATGGCGACAACAGCTCACATTCATGATTCTACCCAATAGTATAGTGAGTGGCCTGGGCTTCCCCACAAAACGCGTGGGCTTCGGCGTAGGCCAGCTGACGTCATACCCGCTCAGAACAGACACGCATGGGAATCAGGAAGCTTTGGCTTGATCGCTCTCCAGGTCTTGGATATGGCAATACGGCACACCCGGGTTTACTGTTATACTGTGCTGGGAATAATAAAGCTAGAAATCTAATCGATCGACTCCAGAAACCCGGTTATTTGGCCGGAATCGATCATCATTTAGGGCTGTATTCTCTGGTCTAGACCTCGGGGCACTTTCGTACAACGTAGGTATATATTAAGGTAGCGTGTGTGTGTGTTGACCTCATCACTTTTTACCTTTCCAGGAGCCAGTACCCATTCTTTTCTCTGAAATACGGCCACTCATTCCGGCATACCATGTCCATTTCGCAATACTCCACAAACCTAGGCGAGTTCGTGTATCAGACCTGCGTCGAGTTCCCTGTCAGCGCCCTCACAATCCCGCGCCAGAGACAGCTTCAACCCAATACGCAACCTCCTAGGACGCCAGACATGCCGATTGGAAAGGATGAGAAGATCCCGGTCGTTAGCGACCGGATCTACGAGCTATGTAACTCCACCGAAAGCGTCTCGACCATGTTGGCAAAGGACCCGACCATGGCACCTGGCGATGCTTGGAAGAAGCTCTATGGTCACCACGTGGGCAAGGATTCCGGCTCCCACTCGGCGGGCGCCTCGGGAGAACGTCGCACAGTTGAAGAGGCATTAGAGAAAGCCGCAAAGTGTGGGAAATGGGGGCCAACACAGCCGAGCGAGCTCTTCCTCAGGGTTAGACCTTCTACCACACTCATTGAAAGCCTTATTTGAATCATTCGACTAACCGTGCCAGATCTACAATGATGCCCTGTGTACGCTGGAGGAAGGCGTGGATCGGGCGATGGTCAGTCCGCCGCTTATGGGAAGCTGTGGCGTTTTGCCCCTGACCATTATCTCGGTGTAAGTCGGTGCTGGTGGTGGATGGTGAACCCCTTCCACCCCTCCTGCCACGGTCGTTAACTCGCGACAGTATTCCTGATATCGCCCGGCACATGTCAAACATTATCGTCAGAGCCGAGAGGGAGGTTATCCTGGCGACCAACTACTGGCAAAACTCGGTGGCCTCGAAATTCCTCACCGATGCCATGAAGGAGCTCTCCCGTCGCGCTGGCCAGTCTGGCACTAAGGTCGTAATGAAAATCATCTACGACCGAGGGAGTCCGAGGCAGATCTTCGAACCTCACTACTTTGTGAACGAGAAAACGTACACTGGCACTGCTGTCGGGATTCCCCACCCCGATGAGATACCCAACATTGACCTGCAAGTGATGAACTACCACCAGCCGATGCTCGGGACATTTCACGCCAAGTACATGGTCGTCGATAGGAAGATAGGCATTCTCCAGAGCAATAATATCCAAGATAATGACAACTTGGAGATGATGATCCATCTGGAGGGTCCCATCGTCGACTCCCTGTATGACATGGCATTGATTTCGTGGCACAAGGCATTCGACCCTCCGTTGCCGAGCCACAATGCCCCGGCGGCTCAGGGTGGACTCGGAATCTTTGGAACCAGCCATTATTCCCTGTTCACCCCCGATGGGACGCTTAGAGGGTTCAGTTCCGTTGTCGGCCCGGACATGGTCTCCCCCAGCAAGGCATATGGACACAAGCAGGGTGAGGTCCGCGAGCCAGGGGTTGTTGATCCGTCCGCGCAGCAGCAGAGTGGCGATCTACATCGCGCGGACACACTTACCGGACCGACAACTACCGAGAGCGTCATCCATCCTCACCCAGATGCTCATCCAGGCGCTCCTGGCATACCTCATGCCGAGCCCGAAAGTGGCCGCGATGGACGGCTGCAAGCCGGTGTTGCAAACACACAGGCGGAACAATATCTTCACCATGGGGAGCAGATAATCCCTCAAGCTCAGATCCAGGAGCCGTCGTTAAATTCACGGCCCTTACCGGAGCATTCAACCGAAGACCCGCATTACGACGACGACATCGCAGGCGAGGTGGCGCGGGTGCAGACCTCGGTATCGCCGTCGCTCGGTGAGAGCCGCATGGAAGCCGTCACACGGCACCTTAATCACACTACAAACAAGGGCTTCAAGGGCGCCGCCCCCGAGTGTGGACCCGGAGAGGAGATGACGCCGTACATTCCCCACTCGGTCGACGAGCCCTTCCCAATCGCCCTGGTCTGCCGATCGCCATACGGTCCCCCGAACCACAGTGCCGTCTCGAATCCTCAAAACGCGGCCTGGCTGTCGGCCTTGCGGCACGCCCAGAAGAGTGTCTTTATCCAGACTCCGACTCTAAACGCCGAACCACTCATTCCGGCCATCATCGAAGCGTGCGAGCGCGGAGTGGATGTCTACTGCTATGTCTGCCTTGGCTACAACGACGCAGTACGTGCTTCACCCAACCCTCAACCCCCAAAACCCCAAACCCACCGTTTTACAAGTACTGACCTCATCCCCCTCCCCAACAGGGCGAACTCCTCCCAATGCAGGGCGGCCACAACGAGATGGTAGCGCACAACCTGCACAAGGCCCTCTCGGACGCCGGCCGGGCCCACCTGCACTACTACTGGTACGTGGCCAAGGACCAGACGGAGCCGCTGGTGCAGCAGCGCAAGGAGCGGTCCTGCCACATCAAGCTGATGGTGGTGGACGAGCAGGTCGGCATCGCGGGCAACGGCAACCAGGACACGCAGAGCTGGTTCCACAGCCAGGAGATCAACGCCATGCTGGACTCGCCGGCGGCCTGCCGCGCCTGGGCCGACGCCCTGCGCCGCAACCAGAACACGCACCTGTACGGGGCGCTCGGCGCGCGCGACGGCGTGTGGAGGAGGCCCGAGGCTGAGGGCGGCGGCGAGGCCGAGGGGGCGATGGGCGTCGACCCGGGGAGGTTCAGTTGGGCGAAGGGGCTTGTGGGCGCGGTGAAGAGGGTGCAGGGGACGGGTGGTTTCTAGGGGTGGCCTTTGGCTGGGAGGACTCTCCTCTCATGGGCGTGTTTGTTTGCTTTCATTCTGGCTCTGACAGGATAGCGAAGAGAATGCAATTTGGTCGTTTTGATCAAGCAGGAGAGTTCTCTGATATTCAAAACGGTTGGGTTCTCCGGTTCCTTTAGCTGTTCTCTCAAGAGCTATGCCTTCAACAAATCTCGACATCATATTCACCCAGCAGAACAAGTGCCTGATCTTCGGGATTCCGGGGTGGCCGAGGCTGGATACAAGCTGGTTGATAGGTCGGGTGTGATGAGAAGAAACGGACAGGAAAGGAAGGCCACGTCAATGAATAAACCGGCTAGGCAAATACAATGTACAGTATCCGTGCTACACATACCTCGGTATACATGTATATAACGGGCTTATGCATGCCAAGAGAATATCCTGACCGCCTTGGATAAGTGGGCAGAATATCTGCCCCACTAAAACTTTTTTTTTATCATTCGAAAGCGCATTTCGATCAAGACTGTCAAAGCCTGCCTGCCCTCATCACTCAGGCGCAATTGCTCAACGCCAACGAAAATGGCAAAGGACAAGTCAGGGAAGCGAGATGGCTCGGCGACGAGCAACATCACCGACCCCCGTTTCTCCAATTTCGAAACCGATCCCCGCTTCCGCCTGCCGTCCAAGAAGAAGACCAAGACCACCATCGACAAGCGCTTCTCGCGCATGCTGGAGGATGACGAGTTCACCTCCACCGCCAAGGTCGACCGCTACGGGCGCAAGCTGAAGAGCGACGTGAGGAAGAAGGCATTGCAGAGACTATACCAAGAGGAGGACGAGGAGGAGGGAAAGGACGAGGGGGAGGAAAAGGACGCTAAGGTCGACGATGACGAGGTCATCCAGCGCGAACTCCGGGCCGCCAACGTGAAATACGACCCCGCGCGGGGCGGCGGATTCTCGGCCTCGGAATCCGAGTCCGATTCTGACGAGGACGACGCCGAGGACGAGGAAGGCGGCGCAGAGCTCGAGGCTGGCCCCGCCCTGGACAGGTTTCGCGAAGAGCAGGCAGGCGTCGAGACGGGCGAGGTCACGAACAGGATAGCAATTGTCAATCTCGACTGGGACCACATCAAGGCGCCGGACCTCATGGCGCTGTTTTCGAGCTTTGTACCGGCCGCCGGCGGTCGGATCGAGAAGATCTCCATCTACCCAAGCGAATTTGGCAAGGAGCGGATGCAGAGGGAGGAGTTGGAGGGCCCTCCGAAAGAGATCTTCAAGAAGAAGGCCATGGATGAAGACGATGAAGAAGAAGACTCGGTAGACGAGGTCGACTCGGAAGACGAGGAAGATGAGAGCGCTGACGGGGATGAGGAGGACGAGATTGACTCCGACGAGGAGGCCAAGAACGACCTCATCAAGGAGGGCAATGATCAAGACTTTGACAGCGATGCGCTGAGATCGTACCAGCTGGACCGGTTGAGGTATTACTATGCAGTCATGGTCTGCTCAAATGCGTCCACCGCCCAGAAAATCTACGAAGCAACCGATGGAAGCGAATACATGGCTTCGTCAAATTTCCTGGATCTGCGGTTTGTCCCTGACGATGTCACCTTCGACGACGAGCCGAGGGACGAGTGCGACAGCGTCCCCACTGGCTACAAGCCCATGGACTTCGTCACAAACGCCCTGCAGCATTCCAAGGTGAAGCTCACCTGGGATATGCATCCGGAGGAGCTCTCGCGGAAAGAGTCCATCAAGAAGGCGTTCAGCGGGAGTCGTGCCGAGATTGCGGAGAATGACCTACGGGCCTATTTGGCAAGCGATAGCGAGGATGAGGAGGACGATGAAGTGGATGAAGAGGCTGTCGAGGCTGAGGCGGCGGACGGAGAACCACAGCTCACCAAAAAGGAGCTGGCGCGGCGAAAGATGCGTGCTGCCCTTGGTCTGTCCGACGAGCCCGCGCCAAAGGCGTCCAAGAATGCCGCCGTCGGTGATATGCAGATTACGTTCTCATCTGCCTTGACGGATAAGAGGTCTAACAAAGACGGCCCGGAGGTCGAGGAGACTACGATCGAGAAGTACAAGCGGAAGGAGAGGGAGAGAAAAGCGAAGAGGAAAGAGAAGACATTGTCGAAGAGGGAGGGTGTCGACGAGGATGACGCTGATGTCGTTGCGGAAGAGCCAGCCGGCGAGGACCTCGGCTTCGACGACCCCTTCTTCACCTCCGAGGAGCCAGCAAAGGTTTCCAAGGCGTCCTTGCGGAAAGAAGAACGGGCCAAGAAACGCGAGGCCAAGCAGGCCGAGGAGGCAGAAAATGCCGCCCAGAAAGCGCAGCTGGAGCTCCTCATGGCCGACAACACGAACGAGCAGGCTGCCCATCTGGACCATTTCGACATGAACGAGATCGTCCGGGGCGAGAAACAGAAGTCGAAGAAGAAGAAGAAGAAGGGGAAGAATGATAAGGAGGAGAGGGGTGGCCTGCAGGAGGACTTCGACATGGACGTGGCGGATTCTCGTTTCAAGGCCGTCTTCGAGAGCCACGAGTTCGCCATCGACCCCTCGAACCCGAAGTTCAAGGCCACCGGCGGGATGAAGAAGCTGTTGGAGGAGGGACGGAAGCGTAAGGCGGGTCCTCATGGACTTGATGATGATGATGATGCGGGACCGAGAGACAGGAAGAAGGCAAAAGATCAGCACGGAGAGCTTGATCGCTTGGTTGATGTTGTGAAGAAGAGATCTGCCAAGAGGTAGGTAGTAGTGTCCTGGGTCTATTTCTCAAGTTTGGATGGGGTCATACATGGGTCATTCAAGCTCGCCGGAGGAGGCGGTAGTTGTACTTTATGTTCAACGAATGAAGCAATTATCAATGTTTTGAATTGAATTTGTGAGACTCGTGTGCCTCCAACCCCAGAGAATCCCAGTGCCAGGGGGTCTATTTTTGTTTTCCCATGATCCCGTCGAGGCCTGGCGTTTCGCCGATGGCAATAGTTGAAGCAACAGCAAGCTAGGTATGGGAGGTTGTTCATAGCGGCATATGGGACGATTACGCGTAGTCTCTCCTCACAGTTGATTTAAGGCTGCCTACGCTTGAAACGAGGCAACAGCCTGGTAGAATACATACTCATAAATTTCTGTTCCCATTGCCCATCTCATCGCCGGAACTACAGTTTCTCTTGACCAAGTTACCAACCTAGCTAATTCAAGGATCAATTAATGTAGCGGCAAGATGCGGTGTACTAGGATACCTCAGATATCTATTCCGACTAATTAGTGGTTGGTGCCCTACACTTACACGTTTCAGTTGAAACATACCGCTTTATTCACTGCTTGGTTCACACGTTACGAGAAGACAAGAAAGTTCACGAGGTAGAAGTCCTTCACTTTACTATCTTCACAGTAAGTTTGGAGATTGTCACGATTCCTCATGCTTATATTGTTTACATGTAAGTCTATAATTACAGTCCAACGAAGCTTCACCCCATCCCATACTCCATCAACAACGTTAGCAGCTCGTTTCCTAATAACAATCCGCTCCGATTTAGACCCAAAATGTCGAGGCTGTCATCATTCGACCCATGTCTTATGCGAGAAGAGAATCGATCAGTCGACCACGCCGGAAGGGGTTTGGCAAAGGACACCCTGATCCAGGATGGGCAGGACACAGCAGCGAGCACGCTGGCCAATTTCGGCGCAGACGGCCGAGAAGTCGTCGGCGGACGTGGGTAGCTTGGAGGCTGGTCGGTTGTTAGCTTGGCCGATGAAACCTCGAGTTCTCGGGCAAGATCGTGTCCAAGGCACTTACGTTCTCCGCAGTCGAGGTCGACAACGCCAAGGACGTCGGTGGCGCAGCACTGGGCGCCGTTGTACAGACCGGCGCAAGGTACGTAGGGCACCTGTCTCTGCCCGACCGGTCCGGGGGCGGCGAGGGCGAGGCCGGCGCAGGTGGCGGCAATGGCAGCAACGGTAGTGAATCCCCTCATGTTGGGTGTTGGGAGTATTGTATGTGTGGGACTGATGTCGGTGTTATTGTACGAGTGGGGGAGTGTCGAAAGGCTGGTTGGGTTGGTTGGGAGTAAGAGTGAGTGATTGCTTGGGGAACTAAATTGACAACAGAGGGACGCAAGGAGAGTATTTATCTAATTCTACCAAGGAGAGCACAGCCAGAATGGACGCCTCAGCAAAACCCGTATCAACCTACTCTAAAGCCAGAGCCTTTAGACGTCACTCCTGAGAGCCCCATTAGACTGACCATGCACATACAATACGAGGCTTGAATTATTATGATCATCTCTCGGGTCAGCCAGTGTCGTCGCTGGATTAGTTAGTATCGTCACGATGCAGGGACCAAGAACCGGGAACCGACATCATCGTAGAATTGACGGGAGGTTATACGGCCTATAGAGAGGGTTATATCAGCCTCATCCCTGACCGTTAGAGTAGCCAAACGCGTCATTCACGGCGGTACCACGCCCCCTCAGTCTCCGGCGCAAAGCCTGGGCTGGGCCTGCTGTGTGGCGATTTTGGCCCGGTTTGCTCACGAAGCAACGGTGTGGGGCACAATGTCCAAAATAGCAATCAATCCCCGACTAAAACGTAAAGGAAGGGAAATTACAACCAGGGGTTGTGGTAATTCTCCAACGGTCAAATGGGAAGCCTGGGAGGGCTTGTCATGAATGATCCGAACGTTGACGCAAATGTTTCTGTTTCGCGCGGTTGCCATCTCTTCAAGTCTCCCAAGTAGTGAGTTCGCAGCCGAGGGTGGTCCTCGTAAACACCGCACGACTGAAAAGCTGAAGCCAGCCCTAGATATATGACATGCAGCTCTTCTCAGGGGTTATTGGTGCAGTTATCACCGCCGCCCTGGCATGCCGGCACTCGGGCAAAAATAACGTTGTTGGGCAGAGGGCCGGGGCAGTGCATGCAAGGGGAACGGCTTGGAGACCCTGGCGAGCTGAATGCGTAATGAGAGTTGTACTAATATCGACAATGACGGAAGATCAGGGTAGAAATCAGGATGTCGGCCATATTTAATTAATTAATTATGGGCCGGCGATGCGACTGCCGGTTCTGGTTTCCTAGTTTTAGGGTGGCGAAACGGGTGGCCGGGGTTCTCGACAACTTGGATTTTGTCTCACAAACTGGCATCTGTTGGGCTGGGCAGCATATCAGGGCAGGTTTCACACGGGGAGGATTTGGGATCAGCTAAAACGATCCAACTTGCAATCACCCTGGCCGTGACGCACAGTCTAAAATTACCAGCTCTATAGATCGTGCTCGAAGTCGTGCTCGCAGTGGAGGCCCTCGTGCTCATAAAACCCTCACGATTCTCGACCCAGGGGTCACCATCAAAAGTCAAAAGGTGTTGCCCGATGGAGGTTAAGTTGGGTGCACCAGGGTTAGGGTTGTATGCCAGGTAAGATTTGGCTGTGAATATAATCGCCGACTCCCCATTCACATGGTGCTTTCTGTTCCTTCCCAAACACCCCGACCGTCCTTATCTTGTCTAGCAGAGCTATACGGGAAAAGTCGACATGAAAATTGCTCGCCACGGGGGACTTAGACACTTGGAGCGGCTACTCCGGGTGCCAAACGCGCATGCCCCGTTGTCAGCGGACGGACATTGTCTTCGTCTCTGTTGACTTGGAGGTATCAAGAGAAGAGAGCCATCGCGTCCAATGACAAGCACTATGCGCCCTGGGTTAGAGAGTTTGGAATTGCAAGCCTCGATACACGGCACATCTTCCCCCCGGGCTGCCGCAGTCGGCCTCGGCAGATACGACGACGCGTCTGATATCAACCAGTCAGTTGTCAACATCTAGCGCCTCTGAAGACTGTGAAGACTGTGACGTTAGGTAGAGTGGAAGGAGTATTCAGGGGCTGAACAGGCAGGGGCATTGGCCCAAGGTTCCCGAGGACGTAGCTGTAACCTTTGCTGCAATGTGGCTAGGGATAATTATCATGGCGTCGCCCGAAATTGGTCCGATGCCACCCGAGTTTTAAAACGAATCAAATTAGATGTCGTATGCCATTGTGGACAGACTTTGCCTAAGCAGCTTCGAGTTTTCTGAGGCTTGCCAACATCTGCAAAGGCTCTGCCACTCTTTACTTTTGGCAGACTACCTAATCATGGGATATGATAACCAGGAAGTTCTTATCGTATATCATGATTAGATAGTCTGTGAAGTGAATGTGACAGCTCTACTGGAATACCCAAACCAATCTGGTGAAAGAAAAAATATGTTTGGCGTAACAAGGGAACAATGATATTGTATCCGAACCGACGCAGTTCATATCCTTTGAAGAGTACCTCTTATGGACAAATTGAGTTTATCGCACATGCAGGTTCATGTGTGACAAAGTATTGAATTGTTCGACCACAAGGTCTTTCTCTAGCATGGCCGTCTGGACTCTATAAATCCCCTCAAGTTCAGACAGACCTTGATATCTTCACTTCCAGAGACACACAGAGCACATGCTCTTCCCCGGAATGACGCCCGGAATACTCTCCGACACGGCTTCCAAAGCTATCTTCCTGACGGTCTTCATCTGGCGATACACTCGTCTGGCCGTCAACATCATCTCCTACAACTTTCTCTACAAGCCTTCCCCCCGTCGTGTCAATCCCAGGTATACTCCCGGGGATTGCTCTGTCATCGTTCCAACCATCGATCCCGGGAACCCGAGATTCCGCGACTGCATTCGCAGTGTCCTGAGCAACAACCCCGATACCGTCCATGTGGTGACCGCCGGCCTAGGGCGCCATGGCCACGAGCGGCTGAATGGGATCAAGAAGGTCACTGGTGAGCTCCAGAGAGAACTATCCAGCAGGGCGAGGGTGGTGGTCAGTCTCATTGAGCACCCTAATAAGAGACATCAGGTAGCACACGCCATGCGAAAGATCCACACAGAGATCACCGTTTTGCTGGACGACAGTGTGACCTGGGGCAGCGAATTTCTGCCCTCAATGCTCGCTGCATTTGAGGACCCGGATACCGCCTTTGTCGGGACAAAGAAAAGGGTGGTCCGGGTCGAGGATTCAAAGACGGGACTTGCTCGTTTCTGGTCAATGGGCTGGCAGTTCCTGGGATCCATCTATCTCGAGCGCCACAATTTTGAGTACGTATTTATTCCACACTCCCCCCCCTCCCCTATCTATATAGAAGCAAGCAGTTAACCATTGTAACCTTTAGGGTGCGGGCTACTAACGCCATGGACGGCTCAGTCTTCGTCATCTCTGGTCGTACTTCGGCCATCCGCACCGAGATTGTCAACACGAGCGACTTCTTGACCTATTTTGAGAACGAACGGTTCTTTTTCGGTCTCCTTGGGCCTCTCAATCCCGATGATGACAACGCAATCAGTAAGTAACCCCAAACAACCCCTTTCACCTCCCTCATCCCTTCCATTTCCCCCCTTCTTAGATCAAGGGTAAGTGGCTAAACTGGAGAACCCCATAATAGCTCGATACGTACTGAAGTCTCGCCGCTTCCCTCGATGGAAGATCAAGTGGCAGGCAACAGAGGAGGCGACTATCGATACCGTCCTCGGTGTAGACCCGGAACGGTTCATCAAGCAGAATCTGCGGTGGACGCGCACCACCTGGCGATCCAACAGCTGCTCCGTCTTCACCGACCGCACGGCGTGGCGGTTCCCCTACGGGCTCTTCGCCATCTACCTCCACAGCTTCGTGCAGTTCTCCCTCTTCGCCGACGCCACGATGCTTTTCACCGTCACCCAGACCAGCCAGTACCAGACGTCCAGGTTCCCGGGTCTCCTCCTGGGGTGTCTTGCCGGATTTATCTTGCTGGGCAAGATCGCCAAGCTGGTGCCCTATCTCAAGCGAAACCCGGCCGACGTCAGGTTCCTGCCCTTCTTCTACTTCCCCTTCGCGTACTTGCACTCGTTCCTGCGCCTCTGGGCGCTGCTGACCTTCTGGGACTGCGAGTGGTCCGGCCGGGATCTCAAGGCGATCGACCACGAGTCCGACGGGGCGGACGAGGCCCAGCACCGGGACGGCGAATTGGCAATTCCCATGGATCGCTTGGTTGAGCGGCATCCCGACGGTCTGCAAGTGGCAAGCGGTTGATTCGTGGGGGTTTGTCCAGAGGGCGTTTTGAAGGCGCAATTGGTACTTAGTTATTCTGCATTTCAGCCCCTGCTTGCTGTTCAACCCGGAGATGTGGGGGCTTTTAGAAAACAAGGGGTTTCCGGATTCTGTTATCGTCTGCAAAGAATACAACGCCTGGTTTGCCCCAAATCCCAATTTTGACAATTTCTACTTTTGTGAATGGCGAACTCGAGAGAATGGGCCAGAAATGAGCATAGCCTGTGCTCATATGTCCCGAATGTGAAACCTCCCATTGCACAGCGCCCTATCGTAACCACCCTTCGTTGCTCTGAATCTATTGTTCTCAGAGTGCTAAGATGACTAGAATCATAAATAACGTATCCTTTGGTTATACAAGATAGGGTTGAGAAACGTGAGAAATCAATATTTATCCGCGTCCGACAAGCCCCAGCACTAATTTCCCCCCTGAATAATTGGTAAAGGGGGTGGCCCGTGCACAATAGTCACAGAGCTTTAGGTTCCAGCACAAAGGAGTTGCTTATTTGTTGGTTGATGAGATTGGATAGAATACATTTATTGGGCCCCTGGATACCGTGCAGAGAGGGAAATCTCTGCGCCAAACTCCTGAAACATTCATGCTTCCCATTTTCATCCACTCGTGTGTGGTCCAACACTAAACGCCGGCCTTCCCCTGCTCCGCCCCATTACGCCTCGGAGGCGATCCTGCCTCCAAAATATGGCCGTTTCTCAACCTTCACCCGAGTGCCTCGGCGCAGCCCCTTGTCCGGCCGTGCCGTCCCAAAGATGCAGCTCGTTCTGTTCGCGGGGCGGGGATATTGCGGACAACCTGGACCCGGGCTGGTCCTGGGTCTCGGTTCCTGTCTGCGGCGGACCCATGGCCTGATCTGTCCCTCGAAAGACGCGGATCTCTTGGGCCGCCGAGAGCTCGTGTCTGGCTGGGTCGGCGATTTCCGACCCGCCTAGTTCCGAGACGGTCTCGAGGTTGGGGTTCAGAACCGAGACCCGCAAAAGGTTGGGATTCATCTCGGAGAGCTGTGACGGGACACGGCTGTGGTATCCCTGGGAAGCAGATTCACTGATGGCGCTTCCACGGTACGACGTCTTGTGCATGTAATCAAATGATGTCGGCCGTGAGTGTGGGAGCGTCGGCGAGATTGGTGCGTAGCCGGGAGCTGCCATTGATATGTTGCTGTTGTACGTGTCTGTTCGGGCTCGGGTTAGCATAGCTTGACTCGAATTCTGGAGATCGGGGCGGCCATACCTCGATAAGGAGCAAACTCCTGACTTGGCTCGGCCGTATCGGCCGCCGAAGAAGAGCCCATAAACGACTTGGTGTAGGTCTCCCTCTCTTTCTTCCTCCTGGCGTGCCATCCGCACTTAAACATGTAGGCAGCGCCTGCGACGAGCGCGAGGACCAGTATGACGGCTCCAATGACAATCCCCGCAATGGCCCCGGACGACAACCTAGCTGCCGCAGTGACCCCCGTCGCGCTACTTGGGGCAGTACTGCTCGGCGCACTTATGGTACTCGTGGAACTCGGCGTACTTGATGCTGTCGTCAAGAACACGCTCCTGGTGTCGTTATCGGCGCTCAACTCTGCCGGGAACAGTGACGCGCTTGGGCACATCCGGGTTGCACAAGGGTTAGTTGCGCAGCACCCCAAGAAAGGAGGGTTCATGTTCTGGCATGTGTACCAAAGAGCCCTATCATCGCTGCACTCCTGCGGGGCGATGTCTTCATACTTGTCGGCCGAGAACGAAGCATTGCGCAAGTTGCCCCGAGGGCACAATCCAGACCCGTCGGCGCAAGGATTTGTTGTACAGCATCCGAGGAACTGGGTATCGCTCTCCTGGCAGATGTAAAAGCTTCCGCCGCTCGGGCAGCTCAGGCCCAACGAGGTGAAGGGATCTGGCATTGCCTGGTTGCCAGAATCAGATGCCAATCGAAGAGGCTTAAGAAGGGAAATACCAGTGGGCATTTTGAAGTTGGGGAGCTAGGACGTTTATCTCCTTGATTTACATTCCTGGTGTGGGCTAAATCGGAAGTGTTTCAGTGGCTGGGCTCGAACCAACAGCCTCAGATCACACATATTCATCGCCGGCAATTAATTGGCACAGGCCGAATGAAGCTCAATCTGGCTGTCCAGGGGGCAGTGGAGCACTGGAAAATCGACAAACAATGAGAACGAAGCGATAATGTACTGTGCTGTGCAAGAAAAATCATGTGTACAGTACATAGATAATACCTAAGATTCTTGTTCCAAACGTGACCATCATTCTAGCCACCCCCCGCATGCCTTCCATGCCTTCGGTGCTGGGGGAAGGTCCATCGTCGGTTTTAACAGCCTTGGGCAATGCACTGCACGAATCCTTAAACTGAGGTGAAAAAAAGACGGAAAAAAGGACAAAAAAAAAAAAAAAAAAAAAAAAAAAGGGAGACGAAACAAAACAAGAGGAAGAGAGAAAAATAATAAGAAAAAGAGCTCTGTCTATGATGATCAGGGATTGGGCGGCGGCGGCGGCGGAGATACCACCAGGTCGCTGAATTGCTCGCTCCAGAATACCCATCGGGTGCAGCGTCTTGGTTTTCGCACCCCCCCAACCGACCCCGACGCCTTCCAATCATACACTCTGGGGTTACACCGGCTAACCAGGCCGTCCAGCTTGTGAGCTCTCGGTATTTTCTTGGCTGGATCCTTGCTCCTGATCTTCCCTACATACCGGTAGTTAGCAAGGGCACGGTGCCAGATAAAGCCTCTCTTCAGGCCGTCGTTATTGTTCCAATAATCGATTATCCAATCAAACTCCTGGAAGTCGCCACGACTATTGTGAAAGGCCTGCTCAGCCACCAAACGGTCGCATATGCCCGGCGCCATCCCAGGCGTGATAGCCGGGTGCGGGGTGGTCATGGAGTGGCTGAAGTCCACAAGGACTCCGTTGACATATGCGTCTCTCTTCATGTCTCCGACAACAAGGCCGAGGTTTTGGATGCTGATGAGGTCTTGGAGCATTCGGGGTATCTGCCGAGGGTGGAAGTCTATGTCGCCGGGGACAAAGTCCTTGACAAGGACGCGGATGGGTCGGTACTGGCCATCCTTGCTGGAGGCATCCTTGCGCGCGTCGTCAATGTCCCAGGCAGATGGGTCAAGGCCGTACTTGTCCTCAAGAACCTTCTCGTCCTCTTCCTTGAGGAAGAAGTAGCCGTGGCACTTGGCAGCCAGGTCCTCGCGACCAGCCTCTTTCAGGCGGCCATAAGCACGGCATTCGTTGATGAAGAATTCCCAATGGTCGTAAAGCTCCTCCCCATCTGGAATTGGTCTACCGTAGGGCCATTGGCCCCAATGATAAAAAGGGTGAAACTTGAACTAATAACAGTCAACTAGGCTGGCAGTGTTGATGGGGTACAAGGCAGCTCACCAGTTTTAGCGCATATACGCGCCCGCCAATAGAGGCTTGTACCACAAACGAGGTCAAGGCACCCTCCTCATCGATCATGATAGGGTCTAGGAAGTCGATGTCTTCCTTCCCACCAAAGTCAAAGGGCTGGAGTTTGGGTCCCTCAACTGTTGGCATTGGCAACAATTTGTCCGGTGTTACATACGTGGGAAACATGATGGGAGACTAGAAGATTGAAGCTGGTATGATGTGATGTGAGAGAGGAATCAGAAATTGTTTTGAGCAACTTGGGGAATTGAGCAGACCATCGCTGACTTTATGCCGCGTCAAGCCTGGCAAATCTCTCTCTCTCTCTCTCTGTGTGTGTGTGTGTCTGCCTCTCTGTCTCTCTCTCTCTCTCTTTGTCCCACCGCCTTCGTCGGGGTCATGCTCCCCGTTTCTTTGAGGAGTCTTCTCGGAAAACGCCCCCATTGGCAACACCAAATTTAGCACCAATCCAGAAAGTACGCGCACGACATCGGGGCCCTGCATAGAGAAGTCTCCACCTTGGGAACATTGACGCATTCGGAAGGGACAGAGGGGGGCGACAAAGCCACGAAGCGAAGCAGACCAACTCTCATTGTCCTGATGCTGCGATCCGAAACGGAATCTGCCCGAAACCGCAGCAGATTGAATCCCACCATGGTCCGGTTTGGCCGCTCTGTTTGTGTTGCCCTTTTTTTTCATGGAAGGGTCCAGAACTTTGCCCTGCCTCAGTCGGTGTGCTTGTTGTGGCTTGCTCGAGTGATCTTGGCCACGCTCATCTACGTTGAAACAAACAGCACTGTCAAACGGGCCAGATACTTGGAGGGAGAATGATGTAGCCATGGACAGAGAAAAACGGTAAGGTCAAATCCAATAGGCAATTCAAGCAAAAAAGAAAAACCCCCCGTGCTGTTATGCTCAATCTTGTGATGATAACGTTGATACCGGCCTGCCCTGCCCAAGTCTGTATCTGTGCCTGAACAGCGAGAGGAGTTTGGGGGGGGGGGGGGGGGGGGAAGACGACGAAACCCACCCAACGGCGTTGCAAGGGAACCGCCACGTACCCCCCCCCCACCCCCACCCAACGCCCCCCCATCTTTGGAACCGGACCAAATGTCA